TCTGGATTCCGAAGGCCCAAGATTGTTGGAAATATCCCTTCAGTCCAGATCGAGCTCAATAGGCGGCCGATCCGGACAGGACCATATTGCTGATATAACATATTCGGTTTTTATTGGTTAACTGAAATTGTAGTTCTTATTAATCATACATATGTTTTATTTTTATACTGGGCCGACTTCTGTCTACTATGAAATGTAATATTATATGAATGACGATTCCCAAAAGGAATGAATATTCTCAAAAAGGATGACGGGATGGATGAATGGGGGAATGTAGAAGGAGGATGCAAGCCACCGTAAAAAAAAGTTTTTTTTGTTATGATTATGGCGCAGTGAAGGCCACTTTAATATATCATCCTGTCTGAGCGATTGTAAGTGAGAACTAGGCGGTTTTTAAGTCTATGTATGGGGAACAGTATCCCTGTCAATTGATTCTGCTATGTTATTTTAGCTTATTGATACACAAAAACCGCCTGCGCAACCAATTGGTAATAACAGTTTACAAAAAAGTGCATTCTGTCCGAATTATGGATTATAATCCTTAGTTTGTAAGAAAATATAAAAGGAACATACAATCAAGTATATTTTGTACCAGTTCAGCCAATATATTGGTAGACAATTGGGTGAGTGTGCGTATGTGTGTGTGGTGGATTAAAGAAAAGACATATATATAGTATCTGTCACACATTTAATATATTAATAAAAAGAAAAAAACAATGCGATAGTTAATGATCCATCGAGCTATTTCGTGGATCAAACTGTTATAAGAACATATTAAATTAATTCCTATTTAGTTTATATAATTTTCAGTAAGATACTATATCACTACAAAAAAGGAGCGATTCAGAGAGTGATTTTAAAAGCTATTATAAGCATTTTTTATAATCACTAGTTGAATTGCCAATTTTTTCTTAGTGGATCTATTTCTAATAAAGATCTCAAGCAGTGCGATGAACATGATGTCAGTTTATTAGAGTGTTCAGAATAATTTTTTTTTCTATATGCGCTTTCTTTCTTTCATAACATTTAATTATATAACTAAAAGTTAATTCTATGATATATATTCCATATCAAAACCTTTATATAAAGTATAGATTCCTTTTATTCTTATATGTTTTATTAAAACATTCTTGTTATTATATTTGCTTATTATCTAATATAAAAACCCGATACTCTCAATATTATATATTACTATGCCCAGTTGTGAAAACTTTTAGTTCTCTTGTAATACATTTATATATATAATCTAAGACTAGATATCTGCTCTTATCGACTATAGCAATTCGGTAAATAAAAAAAAAACTAATTGCATTTTAAACATGTCAATAATATTTTTAATTTATGAGACTTGCTTTAATAAAAAGCTGGGATAATATAAAGAGTCTCTTGATATGCTCTTATAGTCTATACATATATATATATATATAGACCACTTTCTCTTTCATATTCCAACTAAAGTGGTACAGTTTTACAACCTTTCTTTTAAGAAATAGTATATTAATATATAACATATGTGTCAAGTAAATTTTTATATAAAATCAATTCACGAAAATGGGTAGCCATATAAGAAATTCGGGTTTTTAAAATGAAAGTCTTTATATTGCTTCTAATCAGAGCAATCAATCCATTGATCTACAATTTTCTATGCATGCTGCTATGTCATCATCTAATGACGAAAGCATAAAATTTTTTCACAGTTATTTAGTAAGAGTGCCAGCCAGACCATCTCTGTTTTCCTCTTGTGCATGGTAAGTCTATTATTTCCTTTTCATTTGTGTTGAGGGAGTAGTATAGTCTATAGATATACTAATCTTGACCTTTTTTCTATGTGAATCAGCGGCGTGTCGGATGGATGGGTGTTGGTGTGGTGTGGATGGGGGGGTGTGGTGGGTGTGGTGGGTGTGGTGGGTGTGGGGTAGTTTAGTTTCCCCTCTCTAGTTAGTTTACGTAGTGGGTAGTCTTTAGATATAGCTTTCGTTTATCCCTTTAGCTTAGCTTAGATTGATAGTTTCGTTCCCTGTTCACCTTTTATTTTTTAAGCCCATAGCTAGCCTCACACCCCAGCGTTCCCGATCTCCTCCCCACTCCGTTCTCTTCCACGAAGTCAGGACAGGTCTACGCCCTGTGGAGGATGGATCCGCCTTTATAGGTGGTGAACTAAGATTCTGACGATATATTTGAATATTAATAAAATTTTTTTTTAAACCATTTTTGTCTGCCCATAAATACAATGTCTGCTTTACAAATGATTGAGAGAAACACTTTATTATTAGAAGAAAACTGAATAAAACAATGCGTGAGAACAATAATATGAGTTTATTTTTTATTTAAAAATATCAAGTTTTAATAGTAGTGTATTTTTTATATGGGCGAGAAGTGGGCGGTGTGAGTGGGTGGTCCGTGTGGGTGGTCCGTGTGGGTGGTCCGTGTGGGTGGTCCGTGTGAGTAGTCAGTGTGACAAAGTTTTGACATTCATGGCGCATGCTAATGACGAGAGATTAACATCGCGAGACTTTTTGTTAGGTGGCGTCCGCTTGGTCTAGACCCAGTCGCGTAAAAGTATACTGAAAAGCGTGAGCTTTGAAAATTATGTCCGATGGGATGGAATTAGATGGGATGGGATGGAATTGAATGGCATCATTAGGATCGAAGAAGGTGTCGGAATTATGGTGGTATGAATACTATATGACTTGGAGAGTTGAAGGTCAGCTCTGAGAATGGTGGCATATAACACTTCAGGTATAGAGAAATATTGTATATGACTTCCGAGTGTTGAGGTTTTATTATATGGCCATTATTTCGATTTTTATTTTTCAGTGATTATAAAATAAAAGAATAATATTGTTGGTGGTGGCGATTCTGGTAGTTTTGTAAAGTTGATGGCGGGATGGTGGGATGGCGGGATGGAGGGAATGTAGGAAGAGGATTGACGCCATCGTTAAATATAATTTTTATTTTATTTTGGTTACGGCGCAGTGAAGGCCACTTTAATATACCGTCCTCTCTGGGCGATTGTAAGTGATCACAAGACGGTCTTTCAACCTATGTATGGGTAACAGTATCCCTGTCAATGGACCCTGCTATGTTCCTTTAGCTTAGGGATACACAAAGCTGTCTGCGCAACCAATTGGTAATACCAATTTACAAAAAAGTGCATTCTGTCCGAATTATTGAGTAGAATCCTTAGGTTGTAAAAAGACACAAAAAGAAATAGACAATATGTATATTTTGTATCAGTGCAGCAATTGTATTGGTAGACAATTGGGCGAGTGTGCGAGTGTGCGTATGTGCGTGTGTTGGATAAAAGAAAAGAAAAATATATGATAGTAAGCCCAAAATATGATAGCAGGTTATATATATATAGTTTGGGAGTAGCTTCTGGTGTGTAACCGTATATTGAATAAAAGGAAAATAAATATATATGATAGTGTATCCAAAATATGATAGAGACTCGTATATATATATATTTTGGGAGTAGCTTTTGGTGTGTGTCCGTGTGTTGAATAATAATAATAAAATATACAAGATAGTATATCCAAAATATGATAGAGGCTCATATATGTATATAGTTCGGGAGTAGCTTCTGGTGTGTGCCAGTGTGTTGAATAATAATAATAACATATATAAGATAATATAATCCAAAACATGATAACAGTTTATATATATTTAGTTCGAAAGTTACTTTTGGTTTATGAATATCACCCTTTTCATTTTGACTTGGTAATATTTTTCTGTAGGCTCTTGCTTTTTTGGTGTAAAATGTTTGATGCTTTTTGATCCAATTTCATTAAGTATAATTATAGAAGAATTTGTATGGATCTGGATAGTGTGTTATTTATGAAACATACTAGAAAACATAGTTTAAATTATATTATTATATATAGCTTCTATCATACATTAAAAGTATTAACAAAAATATAAATAACAATGCGATTGTGAATGATTTGTAAATATATACCGTGGAATAAAAATCGGCTATAGAAGTATATTCCAATATATCTTGTATTATTATCTATAGATTAAACCCAATCTAATTTTAATTAGAATCTTGAGGAGACAGGATATATGAACAATTTTGGAATTATTTGAGAGAGGTATGATACAAGCTATATATTTATGTGTTGTGATGGTTGAAGTTTTTAAGCAGTTGTAAAAGGAAGAATTCAAGATTTGAAATGAGAAACAAAGATTCATGAGAACTTGTGTTGGGTTTGTTTTTTTGATAAATATCTGGTATCAAAGTTTGATCAGATTCCTACACTGAACTACTACTGCTATTTATATTTTTTTGGATTGGGAAAATCATATGACTGGGGTCAGGTAATCGATCCTATCTGAGCCTTAATCAGAGCAACATGATCTTAGGATAATTAATGTATGATTAATTATATAAATGTGTATAGTCCCAATGAAGTATTAACATCGAAAGTAAATGTGTTTGTGAGTTATAATTATGCTTATAATAATCCACTGATGTATCTCATATTATGGTGATATCATCATATGAAATCTAATCACTATCATGCATGATAAATCTGTGTGTTAAATAATAAAGTGATTGGTAGACACCTTTGACTGGAATAGCTGAGGCCATATATTATTTCCTTCAGACTTATTCTCAATTTCAGCAGTAGTCAATACTCACTTACAACACCACTCATTGGAGATATATTAGAGTTATTCCAAGGAGCCAAGTATTTCACCACTCTGGACTTTCTGATGGGCTTCAATCAAATCTTTGTCACAGAAGATATAATTCCAAAACTCATAATGGCAACCCCATAGAGAAATATTTTGTATAAAGTCATGTTATTTATAATAATCATTGGGTCAGTTATGTTTTCATGCACAATATACTTAGTTATGTCCAAACTGTTGGCATTTGTTTTCATCTGCATTGCAAATCTCATACAGTTAAAGCTCGATTTAGTAATATTTGATTTAGTAATAATCGTGATTTAGTAATATTTTTTTAAAACTTTTATTCGCAGTCACATAGAGCAAATCTACAATATTGTTAAAAAACATATGCAGAGTAAGAAAAAATCCATTTGATTTAGTATTAGTAATACAATTTGGCTTCTCCCAAAAGTATTTGTGGTATTTCAGGTACGAAACAATAGAAAAATAAAATATTTGATAATAGAGACATATCGAAATACTTTGAGACTGTATATCAGTTTTCTTTATTCATAAATAAAAAGTGTCCCTTTTTATAAGAAAACACAATCTGCTCTTGTCATTACGTCTTAGTTTCTTAAGGCTTTCTTCCTTTACTATATTTGGTTATTAGAGTGTATTTACTGCTTAACTAGTGTCGGTGTTACAATTATGACATCAAGTCATAAATCGTACTTCTTTAGCTCTTAGCTATTCTTTTCTCTTTTACACTAAAGCTTTAGTACTTTCTACTAATTTAGCTCCATATCGCTATGACACAGTTTACCCAGCAGTATGATATAATTATCTTAGCAATCTTTAAAATATTATCTACAGTACTAACTGTAATAATTATTGATCTGATTACTTAATTGTTTATATATATTTTATACTGACAAGATGATAGCTACTATGCTATCCCAATATGAATATGTTCTTATATGTGATAAATCCAACATCCAAGTGTCTGGATCACCACAGTATTATTAAATCAAGCTTTGACTGTAGTGTTTTTGAGATCATGGATGAAACACTTACAGAATATAAGACAGATATTTGAGAAATTAAGAACAGTCTGTATGAAACTAAAACAAAGCAAATGCTTTTTTGCTAGACATGAAGTAGATGTACTGGGATCCATCATAACTGAAGAAGGAATTAGTTCTCTCACTAGAAAGATCAACAAGGTATAGAATTTCTTGACTCCCAGAAACAAGACTGATATAAGAGCCTTTGTTAATTTAGTGAGCTATTGTCAAAGACATGTTCAGAGCTTTGGAGAGTTGGTCAAGCCTCTAAATACACTTCTGAAGCACAAAGCATCATTTGTGTGAAACTGAATCAAACAAGAGATCTTCAACTGACTCAAGCAAGCTCTATGCAATGCATGCATTTTTAAGTATCCAGATCCAACAATATCATATATGTGATACACTGATATCACTGAAGCAGACATAAGTGTTTTACTCGCCTAAGAAGATCCATACCTGAAAGGAGTGAAAAGGCTAGTAGGTTTTCTATCCAGAAAACTTCAAGAAGCAGAAATCATTTACTTTACTATCCAAAAGAAATTGTTAGTAGTCATCTGTAGCTTGAAAAAAGCTAAGAAAGTATCTATTAGACAAGCAGTTTGTGTTATGCACTGATAATATAGCAGTCTAATATCTATTCTTAAAATCCAAATCAAGCTTCAGACTCTAGTTTTATGTCATAAATATCCAAAAATTCATTTTCAAGGTACAATATATATGATATAATCAGAGATAATTATTAAAGTTGTTTAATTTATTTCAGTTTTCTCTTGAGAAAACTCCAATAGTAATATGTACACTTTTTATATATGATAAACTAAAAATTTTAAAGGCATAAAGAGAAAAAGAAGTCATGTTATCTTATATTTTGTTATTAGAAAGCATATTTAAATTTCATTAGTAATAATCATATATACTTTTTTCAATGCTATAAAAAAAGTCTGTCTCCACTTTAGATCTACTATTATGTCCCAACTTTGAAGGTATATTATCTTTTATCTAGAAAAGTCAAAACAAATCTGAATTATGAAAACATATGTAATAATTATATCTATTATTTCTAAAGTCTAGCTTTATAATAACATGATTTTTTGCAAAAGTCAGATATGTTTGAAAAAGTGCAAAAAACTTAGATGATTATCTTCAATTGCATCATACTGGGCAAGCTCAATATAGTAGCAGACGTTCTCTCTTAATAATTTTACATCAAAGTTGAGTTTAACAAAGTGGAGAAGATATTCAATGATGTATTTCCAATGTTGTAATTGTTTGAGATTATGAAGGAAGTAAAAGATTTGTGATGAGGAGATAAAGATTTGTGAGAACTTCTGTAAAGTTTGTTTAATAAACAAATTAGTTGTATAAAAATCTGACAAAGTTTCTACACTGAGCTACTATTGCTGTTTATATTATTTTGAATCCAAAAAATTATATGACTGGTGTCAGATAATAGATTCTATCTGAGTCCTAATCAAAGCAACGTGATATTGGGATAATTAATGTGTGATTAAGTATATAATTGTGTGTATGTGGCTCTTTCCACTACTATTCTGAAACCATTTGAGACCAAAAACCTCTCCAACACAAGCTCATCTACACCATTGCAACCCTCATTCACACCAATCTCCCTCTCTTTGCCACCTCTTTACTCATAGGCAGCTACTCAGAATGCACTTCCACTTCTCAAAAAGAAACTTCATGTTATCTTCAGCTCTGTGAATAATATAATCTCACGTATCTGGCGTATAGGGTTCTCTAAGTTTTCAGTTTTTTTCACCATCCCACCCAAAGCCTCACCCAAGTTTGACCCTTTCTGGAGAACTCTTCTCTCAGCTTATTCTCACGAGGTTTACATGGGCATCACTCTTGGCTCACGCTCTTCCTCTGATACATGCGAACTCCATCTACCTACCATTGCTGACTGCAAGCAAGTGTGCTCTCAACCTTTGGTAGTTGGCAATTTGTTTTTTCTCACTCAAGCTGCTGTTCCCATTGGCACAATTGTTTGCCGTGTTTTCCTAACCAAGCTTCCTCGTGTTCCTTATTATGACCTGGCTACACAACTCGCCAAATGTATGTCTCTTTTTGGCAAAGTGCGGAAGATCGCCATTCATGAATCATATGGGTTTTTTGACGGTTCTGGCTATGTTGTTCTCGCCAATACACTTACCAACGATGTGCCATCAGATTCTCTGACATACCAAATTGCATATGACGATACGCAAAAGATTCTTGGTAAGTGGCCTTCCATGGGCTCCCACTGCACCTACTGTAAGGAAATGGGGCACGACGTCGCAAAATGCACCAAACGCCCAGCCGAAACCCGAACGTGTTTTGGATGCAACAAGACCGGTCACTTACAAGCCAATTGTCCATACATTACCGATCCTTCCAAGACATCCAAGACGTCCAACAAGCGCTCCCGCCACCCCAACCGCAATTCGAAGCTCGATCGCCCCATCATTGCGCCCAAGCCTTTGATTCCCACTGAGCTCTCACTCATCTACGGAGGATCGGAGGCCTCCAAGCACAACCCTCGTCAACCTGCTTTACGTGAGTTGTCTAAGCTGTCTCCCACAAAGACCACCTTTACTCTACCGACACCAACTGAGACGCCCACGTCCTCCGGCCCTCGTCCTCGAAGCCGTTCTGTCGACACCCCCACGCGTGGCTGGGACAAAGAGATAGACGACAGAATGATAACTAATCTCATGGATAGAGATGAGGCTCGGGCTCTCCGACTCCAGTCTGCCTCTCGCCACACTCATCTCCGTTTTTCCCGGCCGGCACGTCCAACAGGCCGCAATACATCTCTCTCTCCTCCTCGCTTTACTCACCCACAAACCACAAAAGCCCTCGGCGCAGAGGCCAACATTAACCAATGATTAAAATAGGCACTATGAACTGTAGGGGTCTACCCAAAGTTGGACACCCTGAATCACGCTCCTTTTTCATACGCCATTTACGCTCGCAGGGAATCGATATTTTAGCCCTGCAAGAAACCCATGCCTCATCATCTATGCTTCAATCTACCTTTGACCAACAATTTCGGTCCTCTTCATCATTATGGTCTCCACACTGCGGTGTTGTATGCCTTTCCCCTCACATTATCTTCACTGATCCTCTATTTAGCCCATGTGGCAGGTGTATCACGACAACTATCACGCATGTGGATAATAATTTTTCGCCCTTCAGGATAGGCGTCATCTATGCGCCTGCTTCCCAAACTCCACGTTATCGTTTTCTTGCCTCTTTACTGTCCACTCCTGACCTCATCCCTCCCAATCCTTCAAACTTTATTCTATTGGGCGATTTTAACCATGCAATTCACTCACACTATGCTCTCGGACGTCGTGCTCCAGCTGACTGGCTACAGTTTATAGATACCAATATGACTGACTGTATCACTCCTCGTGGCCAGCACCCGCAGCCTACGTTCCACCGAGCCCTGTCTTCCACCACCATTGACTACATCCTTGCGTCCTCAGACCTTCACCCTCGCACTACAGACCCACAAGTGAGCTATATTCACCAGAAATGGTCTGATCATTGTCTGGTTGCAGTCAGTCTGTCCCTCCCTTCAACCAAGTCTTCTGGTAAGGGACTTTGGCGTGCTAACCCTCGCCTAGCACAATCACTTTCGTTCCGTACCGATCTCAACACTCTTCTCTCCACCCTCGTTCCTGCCCTTCGCGCTGATCTTTCTCCTCAAGCCCAATGGGATGCGATTAAGCTCGAAGTCATTCGTTTCGTTAAATGTTTCTCTCGCCACCTTCGCCCCTCTCTGAACGACCTGGAAACACGCCTACAAAAACGACGGGACCGACTCATTCACCGTTTCCGCCACCAACCCGCCCAGAACTTCCAACTCCCAATTGTGGAACGATTGTTGCAGCAAGTCCAACTTGAACGGGTCGAGATTATGGCTCTCAAGGCCGGGAAACACTGGCGGGAAAAGGGTGAGACTTCTGCAGGATACCTCAAACGCACTATCGCCATTCGCCAATCCCGCAAAGCCGTTGCAAGCCTCTGTCACCCTGTTACAAACGACATTTGCACCACACCCGACGCCATGACTGAGGCCGCAGCAGTCTTCTATGAAGGCTTGTACACCCCTGATCCTATAGACCACTCTGCTGTGGATGAGCTGCTCTCTCATTTGCCTTCAGATCTCCATTTGCCAGAACTTGCACAGGACTATATGACTCGGCCATTCGCTCTCGACACAATTCGGTCAGGCGCTGCCCGCTCTCCCAGCTCTAGTAGCCCGGGCCCAGATGGTTTGCCATATGAGATTCTCTGCCTCATTCTCGCCCATCCCGTGTGTGGCGACCTCGTTTCCTGGATATATAACGATGCCTTGTCGAAGGGAATCTTTCCTCCTTCTTGGCAGTCCACTTGTGTCTGCTTGTTGCCAAAAAAAGGCGATCTCAGTTCTCTGAAGAACTGGCGTCCCATCGCCTTGATTAATACCGATGCAAAAGTGTTTACCCGTCTCATGAATGCTCGTATGATTTCTGCTGTTACCACACTTATCACCCCGTATCAAACTGGTTTTGTTCAGGGTAGATTTATAGCTGATAATGGAATTCTGACTCGTTTGGTCATGGCACAAGCCGCGAAGGATGGATCCTCAGGGATTGGCTTGCTCTTGGACCAGGAAAAGGCTTATGACCGAGTACACCCAGAGTATTTTCGTCGAGTGCTCGCTCATTTCCGCTTCCCTCCTTCCATCGTTAATTCTGTCTCTTCTCTATTTTTCTCTACGCAGCTACAGATTAATGTCAATTACTTTTTCTTGTGCTCTCTTATGCAAGCCCGTGGTGTATGACAAGGGGATCTTCTCTTGCCATTCTCTTCGACGTACCTTTTGAGTCTTTGCTTCACTGCGTAATACACAATCCTCTGTTCTTCAGTGTCCTCCCTTCTGTCCCTCCCACTTTTCCCTCTTTACCTCCTGTCCAACTGCTGGCTTATGCCAATGACCTGCTGATGTTTCTTCTGGACATGGATCACATGTCTCAACTTCACCATCTCAACACATATGCTGTTGCATCTAACACTCACATAAACATGTACAAGACTCAAACCTTCTCCCTTTTGGGATCGCCACTCTCCAACTGGAATACTTTTCTTCATGCATATGATGTTACTGACGGGCATGATTGTATGTCACGTACATCTCTCCAATATTTTGGTTTTCCATTATTTTCCTCTATTACTCAACAGGGCTTTTACAGGACTACCCTCCTGTCAAAAGTTGACATTTTGCAGCATTCATGGAGCACGATCTCTTTTCTTTTGTGGGTGGGCAACCATCATGAATTCTTTTGTACTTTCTCAACTATAGCACGTTCTTCGTGTGGTTTAGTTCCCTTCCACCTTCCTTGACTGAGTTTGCTCCATTGTGTGTGAGTTCTTCTGTGTCAACTCTTTTCCTCCCATTGCTTTTGACACTCTCTGCTTGCCCCGACTACAGGGTGGTCTTTATATCTTGGATCCTGAGATACAGCAATGTGTTCTTCAACTTCGCTGGCTGAACCCCTTTATTTCTAATCCTCTACTGCCTCACGGTATTTTTCTTCAATGGTTCTTCACTCTCCTTCGTTTTAACGTCCCTATCATTGATCCTCTTCTTCCCTTATTCTTTCTGGACTGTTGTTCTCGCAAAAATCCAACCCTTAATTGTAAGGAACATCCAATTGGTCTCAGTCATTGGACCAATCAGAATCCCTTCCAACCATATTGTTATGTGACCAATCAAATCAATGCATCCATTTCCTTAGAGAGAACACTCATAGCACCAATCACATAATTATCCCTCACAATTAGCAGACATAAATATTTGTATAAATACTTGTAGAGCTTGATCATAGAAAGATCAAGCAAACAACTTCTTTAATAAAGGAATCTATCTATATTTCTCTCTCTGTTTTCTCTGTCCTTGTCTCTGTTCAGATCGGTTCCTGACATTAATTCCCTGCTGCATCTGGTTCTGAAAGCTATAGATACTCTTTCCCAAACTTTGACAGAGTGATGTTCAACCTTTCCAGTTGTCTCATCCTGCCTTTGTCTTCTATGATATCCAGTCTGCCCTCTCACCCTCTGTATCAACCTGCTTGGCATTATTTGCTAGTCTACTATCTATATCAAACTGAGTCCAATTTGAAGATACTCATACCCATTGCTCCCTCTCGTTCTCTACCCTGTTCTATCGCACTTAATCTTATTCTAAACTGAACTTGCGATCATACAATAGTCTTGCATCCTATTCTCTTTTGAGCATGCATTCCTTCTTTTGTACTGGCATTCTAACAGCCAGATCTTCCTATTTGTGATGGGTCATTCATTGATCTCCAGCCACTTATGTCAGCACAACTTCTTGGTCAGACCTTGTCTCGGCTCACCACGTGCTTGTTGTATCCAACATAATCATAGATTCAAATAGAGTGCACAGACAATAAGATAAAGACATATTGAATAAGCGACCAGTATCAATTATACATTATTTCCCACACTATCATTAAATAAAGGATATATCAGTAACAAGGTCACACACCTTAGTCAACATCACTAATCACTCAAACAAGAGCGTGGGTAATAACTTAACAATATATTATCTATGATATAAGAAAAACAGATATCACATTATATACTCATATTATTATCTCAAATACATATGCAATGTCTATATAAACTCACATAGCAAATAGCAGTAGAAGATCATTTCTCTTTTCATCAATAAACAAAGTCTCACTATACTTTTTGTCTACACTTTGTTTTTCTTTCTTTTTAAAAATATAACAGTGCTCTTACTGATCTGCCTGCTCCCATCAACTGTCTGATGCTCGTCCCATCTACTCTTCTCTCATCCCACAACAACATTGCTCCTTCTGGTCTTTTACCCTCCCTCACTGAGCTTGGAATATCTGGTTTTGCAGTTTGCCCAATAAGCTTTTGTGCTGATCACTTCTGTACCGTATTATGCCACCCACTATCTCTTTTCCTCTCTGCACTATTTGTCAGGTGTCCATTGAGATAAAGAACATTTTCTTTTTGCTTGCCTGTTGAAATCTGCTGTGTAGACAGGCATTTGGTTGGAACTCTTTGACACTGTCCTCTGCCCTCTGTCCTCTCAAGCGCTTTCCAATCCTTTGTTCCCTCCCCCCCCCCATACTTAACCCTGCAATATTTGCTTCCTCCATCTTTGGCATAACTAGCTTGATTATTTGGTATTACCACTAGTCTTTCTACTTTAACTCTGTCCCTTTCCTTCCCTCTGCTGTACTCCACACTGCATGCAGCTCAATTTCGCGTCTCTTCTCTGAACTAGAGCTGGACTCTCCATAACTTCATTTTTTTAAAAAAAAACAACTATAAAATTAAAAAGTCAAAAACATTATATAAGCTACAAAACCTTACAAACAAATATTTTAATTTTCTCTTTTTCTATTAAATTAGAGACCTTTAATAAAATCCTGAGCTTTTTTTTTCTGGCTTCATACAAAAAAAAATTGTGTGTAGTCCTAATGAAATAGTAGTATAGAAAGTAAATGTGTTTGTGTGTTATAATTATGCTCATAATAATTTATTGATATCTCTTATATTATGATAATATTTTCATATAAAATATAATTACTATCATACATGATAAATCTGTGTATTAAATAATAAAATAATTAGTATGTTATGTTCAAGCATAAACATTAAAGTTTTGAAATCTTTTCAATTTTATCAAAAAAACTCTGATAGTAAAATATATTCAATTCCCAATATATATAAAAAGAAAATTGAAAAAATAGTATTTTACGTTATGCAAATATTTTTTAAGGACATTGGAATGTATCTGTTACTAGAATGACTCTTTTTTTTCATTTCAATATTTAAAAAAAATAGCTGAAACTTTGCTATTTTCTATTGATACCTCTTAACTTTGAAGGTTCATAAGTTTTTATTTGAGTCTTGTTCTTAGAATTCTTTAAACAAGTGTTATTTGGAAGAGTCTTCCCTATAAAACATGTTTAAGCAATTCGCAATGACTTGTCTGTATCAAAAGTCATGGAACTTTAAAAATTAACTAAGAACTTGGATATTTCTCTTTGAACACATTATAGATATCTTTGACTGGAATAGCTGAGAACTTATATTATTTCCTTCCAATTTATTCTCAATTGTAGCAGTAGTCAACACTCATTTACAACATCTAGCATGGTTAACTGAAGAATGATAATAAGAATATGAAGAGTACTTAGAACAAATCATAGATTATCTGCTTACATCGGTTATGCTGGTCTCAAACAAGCAAGACCAAAAGCACAAAGTTTGGTTTACACCAAGAGAAACTGGTTTGGATCATTGGAGACTGTTCTCTAAAGATCTTTTTGTCTACAGAAAGAAGTAAGATTCTGTAAGAAGTTCATGATGGGCATGAGTATTTTGTGAAAGAAGCTATATAGATCCGCCTATTTCAGAAATATTGGTGGCCAGGAGTATATCAAGAGACCAAAGACTATGTCAAGAGTTGCCCAGAATGACAAATCTATAGTATAGCAGGAGTAGAGAAATGAGCAGCAATGTCTGTACTGCTAAATCATATCTTTGAGTGATAGAGAATTGACTATGTAGATCCATCCCCAGAGACAGAAGAAGGTCATTGATATATCATTGTACCAGTAAAATATTATATCAATTGGCCTATAGCTAAAGCTAGGAATAGAACTAGTGCCAAGCAGGCTGCACTTTTTCTATATTAAGAAATCTTTTGTCAGTTTGGACTGCCAATGATTTTATTGAAGGACTGAGGGCAACACTTCAATAATGAGCTGTTGGCAAAGTTTCTAGTCTTGATGAATACTAAACATGTGTTTGCCGCGCCATATCATCTATAGAAGAGCAGACTAGTAGAGAAATTTGATGAGATACTCATCAATGGTATTAAGAAATTAACTATTCAGAAACTCAGAGATTAGAATCTATATATCTACCAAGTACTATACTCATACAGAACAAAAGTCTATGCTACTTTGGGCATTACACCATTTGAATTAATGTATGGTACACCCCCAAGACATCTCCTGAATGATATACTTCAAAAGTTGAGATAGAGGCTAGGTAGTAAGAGGATATTAGCTCCAAGAGAAGGAAGGATGAGAGAGAAAGAATATCACATCACTAATATTGAGGGCCTCACTCAGAGACAAGACATGGGTGCTGGAATATTTCAAGAAAATCAAATCATAAAAAAGAATAATCAAAAGAAGTATAGACTGGACGTTTCTTACAAATCCAAAGTTTGAAAGGTGTTAGTTGCCTTTGAAAATATAATCTATGCATTAGTCAGCAAGAAGGGGAATATGGCTAAGTGCAGATAAGTGCTGCTACACTTCGTTTATTTCATACAAGAAGATAACACATACAGTGTGATAGGCAGGGGATGTGATATTTCAGATATGAACAATAGAAAAATAATAAATTTGATAATAGAGATGTATAGAAATACTTTGAGACTGTATATAAGTTGTCCTTTATTCATAAATAAAAAAGTGTCTCTTTTTATAAGAAAACACAATCTGCTCTTGTCATTACGTCTTAGTTTCTTAAGGCTTTCTTCCTTTACTATATTTGGTTATTAGAGTGTATTTACTGCTTAACTAGTGTCGGTGTTACAATTTTGACATCAAGTCATAAATTGTACTTCTTTAGCTCTTAGCTATTCTTTTCTCTTTTACACTAAAGCTTTAGTACTTTCTACTAATTTAGCTCCATATCGCTATGACACAGTTTACCCAGCAGTATGATATAATTATCTTAGCAATCTTTAAAATATTATCTACAGTACTAACTGTAATAATTATTGATCTGATTACTTAATTGTTTATATATATTTTATACTGACAAGATGATAGCTACTACGCTATCCCAATATGAATATGTTCTTATATGTGATAAATCCAACATCCAAGTGTCTGAATTACCACAGGGGAGTCTGTGATAATAGTGCAGCCCAAATCATGTGACACATCAAGAACACTTGGATCATGGCAGACTACGTCACCCTCAAAATCAATTAATCTTTCAATGAATAAACATAAATCTTCTTTCCAACATAATACTTTTGAGTAGCTAGCTGGCTTATTATACAGAATTTTTAACACTAGCAAAGCAGTGTCTTAAAAATACACAGTAATTAGCTAAAAATAATATAAGCTTATTGAGAGCTTAATTGATACAAATCAATACACTTCTCTAAAACATAGCAAACAATATAATATAAAAATGTTATTCTAAAAAGATAGTAACAACATAAACTTATACCAAGTAACAAAAGATATTTTTTAAAGGAAAAGATATAAAAGAAATAGAAAACGTCAAGCTAGGAACAACATTTTTGACAGATTCAAAAACCTTTTAATAACCCTATATGTTAAAGTCTCGCTTTATATTATTGTTGCCATAGTTTCTCATATCTTTTTAATCTCATTTTTAATATAATGACCCTAAATATTTAAATAAGATTCGAGATCTAACAACTTGGGAATATCAGAATGAGATCTGTGCCTTATCAGTACAACAGTAAAATTAATGGACAAATCCAAAAAAAACAATATCTGTTCATTAAAGTCACATTATATTGCTAAGTAAGAGTAAGGGGAGAGCTATAAAGACGTTTAGTTTACTTGATTCAATGGGATATATATAATCTATTTTCATTATTAGTATGTATATATATATTAAAAGAAATTATACTCATCAATAATAATACTTGGATTATATATTTACTAAAAATAAGCAAAAAATCCTACATATATACATATAAGAGAATAATAATAATTATAAATCAAAATTTAGATATAGAAGAAAATAATATCCGACCAACTAATGTGAGCAGCAAGGAAATGCTTAAACAAAAATGAGTGCTAAATAACTTTCTTTTTTTACTATACATACTTTATAGACCAAAAAAACTCAAGATAAAATTTGTAAACATTTTTAAGTAGATAAAAAAGTTTGGTAACTTTATCAGTAATGTTTCTGTAAATCTTTTTTTTGGAAAAAAGATTGTGGCTTTATTTGTACTCCACTCTTTGCTTCCAGCATATGCTTGTAATGTCAGAATATAAGATGGCTTTCTTCATATAAACGTTTATACAAGCTGATATTCTGTTATGTAGAGCATATATAGATATATAGCTATTCTATAGTGTCTCTTATGTCAAATAATATTCTCTTTTCTCTAAAAAAAATATCTCTAACTTTTGAACACTCCAAATTGATGCCTTTTGGAGTGTCTGGTTTATGTATTCAACTAAAAAAAATTGTACTTTTAGAAACAACTCGTATTTTTGCTATTGGGCATTTAAAGAGCTTATTGAAGTGGTGCAAGTTTCCCAAATTTCAGGGTTCTATGCTTTTTGAGAGTGAAAAAATCGGATATTTTGATCAAAATTCGAGTAATTGTAATATAATAAACCTCGAAGAGGTGGATCACAATGTGTCTCACCAAATTACTTAAAGCCAAAAAAAACATTGCTTATTTGATTCGATTTTTAATTTTCTATAATTGAAAAGCTATGATTACCATTGGTGTGCATTTGCATATGCTTGTAGAAATCTTAAAAAATATCATTTCCAGTACACTCATATTTAATCAACCATAGAAAAGGTTTATTTATACTGAGGTATTCGGGATTGTTTATGGGTTAGTATCTCAATAATGGGAAAAGTAGATACTGTGAGAGTGTTATTTATTAAAGAGACAAAATAATATTGTTTATATCTGCTACTATTCAAATCCCTGTAATTCAAATCTCTGTTGTGTAATGGTTGGTTTACACTGTATGAGTGTGTAGTGTACGTGTGCCTGGTGTGTAACAGTTCCGGAGATTGTTAACTTGCCAGGTTCATTAGCAAGAAGGAACCAGTGTTTGGTTGTGGGGTCTGTTCTTCACTCAATTGTGGTGTGTATACCACATATACAAAGGCTCCGTGCTTCAAACTAAAATAGTCTCAAGCGAACCAAAGCTAGACTATGAACCTCAAAATAATAAGTGGAATCATACTATACAGTACTGTAGCGCATTATATTGTATTACAAAACAAAAGTTATAAATCAAAGCCTTTAATCCAACAGAGTATTATTTCTAGGTTATTTGTGCATCCAGTTGAGTTTGGTATACAAGCGCAAAATATCAAAAGCACTAGATCCTATAAATCGATAATTAGTAATCAATAGCATCTTGCTCCCAACCAAACAAAACCTATACGTTCAGTAGCAGTAGATTGTCTCTTTTCTTTCATATTGTGCCGTCAGTCAGTCTGAGCAATAACAGAAAAAAATAGTAAATAAGCAGAGCCTTTAAAAGGTGATTTATATATATGTAATAGCCATTTTACTAGCTTGATCTATCTGTGACCAGGCTAGCACAATTGCAAGCACCACTACTTTTTCATGGTGTATAATGTAACTTATATAAATAATTATAATTATCAATAGAATGGTGTATATTTGAACACTTATAAATATAAAGTGTTTCAGGCAGTTGGGTTATGCTGTATTTATTTCTCGGTTGGATTATGATTGGTTTTTAAAGTAATACAAACCAAGGTCGATTGACAAACACTAGGCTAGACCCTGTTCTTCTTTTTACTTTTATTTTACTCTAAGAACGATGCTTTAACTTGAGGTACGAACGACTTTCAATAGTCAGGCTGTCAATCCCTTCATACTGAAGCACTGGCAGTACTTTTATTTCAAGAAAGTATTCCTACACTTTGTGTTTATTAACTCAAGACACTGGTGAAAAAGCTAGAAGAAAAATGGAAGTCTTTCACACGAAAGAAAAGAAAAGATATAAGCAGCAATTTTTTTCGGGAGTGCTTCTTAAACTAATAAAGTCACAGCATGTGAAACAAACAAACAAGAAAACAAACAAATAAATATACACAAGACTTTAATTAAAGCTTTATAATCAACACAACTTTATACTTCTTTATTGTAGTTAAACGTCTAGCCGATTAATACTTTGTATATCAGTAGTACAGCTAAAATGAACACAGAGGCATATATAGTGTCTCGACAAGTGGCTGTTCAAAAGCATAAGCCTTGTTAACAGAATCACAACAGAAAGTAGAATAAAAAAGGGGATGGGGTCCATAGCAACTGAATAATTTGACATGCATATAGTCCACCAATCGGAAGACATCATTTAAATGTTTTCATGCTAAAGTAAAGTCTAGACCACTATTGCTACTATGCTTCTTTAAGCCCCATGACACATGTGATGCTGCACGGACAGCACGGACCTTATGTGACACAAAAAGAACTAAAAAAAAAAGAGGCAAAAGAAAAAAACAAAAAGTAAAACAAGTGTCTGCACAGCACGTCCTTCAGAATGTACGTGATACTTCTTTAACACCCAAAACCCATATTTTAAGCATAGATATTAAATAAAGAAGTAAAATAGTAATAATATATACATGTTGTCAAGGCTAAAAAATAAAAGAAAACCGAAAAAGGAATAAGAAAAAAACCGAATTTTATAATATATTATCAAACTATCATAATAAAAATAACAAAAAGAACAGCAACTCATGATTGAGACGTCATGAGTTTTATAAAAAAAACACCTATCCAAACAGAACGCGTCAAAACAACTCTCTTCCACATACCATTAATACTTTATACACTTCTTTACTGCTCTCTCACAAACTGCTTTAATCAACATAGACGTTAAAGACGAATCCTGACCAATACAAATCCATTTTGCTAGTCAAATCTCAGGCTTTTATCATATGTAAAACAGTCAGTAGCAAGATATAAGACAACATGTCAAAACCAGTACACAGCAAAAATAAAATACTGAGGTCCAACACTGGTTTGATCATCAATCCATCCAAAGCCTATCCACGCTCAGAAACAAGAGATAAACTGACAGGACTTACTATATTTCAAGGAGTATATGATACTCATCAAAGACACACATTGTGAAGATTATATTTGTCTAGTCTTTTGACAAACAAGGTCAACGATAAAATATATGATCTCCATCCAGGCCTACAGGTATATAAAGCCTCGTTGATTAATCATTCACTGTCTTTTATATTTCTGTAGGGACTTTTCAGGCAAAGTCAAGCAATCAAGAACAGGTTTCCATCCAGGGCCACAGGTACACCAAGACTCGATGAGCATATACTCATTGTCTTTTGTATGCTTCTAGTCTCTTCTGTTCAGGTCAAGCATCAGGGATTCCATCAAAGTCTACGGATTAGGTATATAAAAACTCGATGCGCAATTACTCACTTGTTTTTGTATATTTCTAGTATCCGTTCCATCCAGGTCAAGCTTCAAGGCCCATGTCAAAGTCCACGGTTTCAGGTATGTCAAAACTCGATGAGTAGTTACTCACTTGTTTTTTTATATTTGTAGTATCAAATTCCCTCCAGGTCAAGTATCAAGATTCCAATCAGAGTCCACGGTTTTCAGGTATATCAAAACTTTATGAGCAGTTAATCATTTGTTTTTGTATATTTGTAGTATTCATTCCATCGAGGTCAAGCATCAAGGTTCAGGTCAAGGTCCACGTTTTTCAGGTCAAGGTCCACGGTTTCAGGTATATCTAAACCCGATGAGCAGTTACTCACTTGTTTCTGTATATTTGTAGTATCCATTCCATCCAGGTCAAGCATCAAGGTTCCGATCTCCCAGCTATGGTTATAGGTATAACAAAACCATATTCGCATTTACTCACTTGCTTTTATCTATTACTAGTTTTCAGCCATCTAGGCCAAGTGTCAAGGTTCCGATTTCCCGGCAATGGGTATAGGTATAACAAATCGTTGTGGGAATATACTCACTAGTTATAATATATTTATGGTGTTCAGCCATCGATGTCAGGCGTCAAGGTTCCGATCTTCCAGCCAAGGTTCTAGGTATAACAAAACATTATGGAAATATACTCACTAGTTTTAATATGTTTTTAGTGTTCAGTCATCCAGGTCAATCAACAGGATTCTCATCTCCCGTCCATGGTTATAGATATAACAAAACGTTATGGAAATATACTCACTAGTTTAAATATTTTTCTAGTGTTCCGTCAATCATGCCAAGCGTCCAGGTTCCCATCTTCCTGCCATGGTTATAGATGTAAAAAACATTAGGGACATATATTCACTAGCGTTAATATATGTGTAGTGTTCAGTCATCCAGGTCAAGCATCTAGGTTCTAATCGCCAGTCCATGGTTAAAGGTATAAAACAACATTATAGACGTATACTCACTAGTTTTAATCTAGTTCTAGTCTCCAGCCATCCAGGTCAAGCATCAAGGTTCTACTCGCCCATTCATGGTGGTAGGTATAACAAAATGTTATAGGCATATATTCACTAGCTTTAATATATTTCTAGTGTTCAGCCATCCAGGTCAAGCATTAAGGTTCCGATCGCCCGTCAAAGATTATAGGTATAAAAACATTATGGGCCTATACTCACTAGCTTTAATATTTTTCTAGTGTTCAGTTATCCAGGTCAAGCATCAAGGACCCTATCGCCCGCCCATGGTTATAAGTACAAAAAGCATTATGTGCATATACTCATTTTTTTAATCTAGTTCTAGTCTCCAGGTATCCAGGTCAAGCATCAAGATTCTGATCGCCCGTGTATGGTGATAGGTATAACAAAATGGTATGGGCATATATTCACTAGATTTAATACATTTCTAGTTTTCAGCCATCCAGGTCAAGCATCACGGTTCCGATCGCCCGTCAATGGTTATAGGTATAAAAAAACATTATGGGCCTATACTCACTAGCTTTTATATTTATTTCTGGTCTTCAGCCATCCGTGTCAAGCATCAAGGACCTGATCGCCCGTCCATGGTTATAGGTATAAAAAACATTATGGGTATACACTCACTAGTTTTATCTATTTCTAGTGTTCAGTCGTCCAGGTCTAGCAACAAGGTTTTGATCGCCCGTCCATGGTGATAGGTATAACAAAACGTTATGGGCATATACTCACTAGTTTTAATATATGTCTAGTGTTCAGTCATCTAGGGCAAGCATCAAGGGTCTGATAGCCCGTCTATGTTTATAGGTATAAAACAACATTATGGGTATATACTCACTAGCTTTAATATATTTCTAGTATGCAGTCATCCAGGTCAAGCATCAAGGCTTCGATCGCCAGCCGATAGTTATAAGTGTAAAAAAAGCGTTATGCCCATATACTCACTAGATTTAATATATTTCTAGTATTCAGCCATCCATGTCAAGCGTCAAGGTTCAGATCGCCCGTCCATGGTCATAAGTATAAAACAACATTATGGGCATATACTCATTAGCTGTAATATACTTCTTGTGTTCAGTCGTCCAGGTCAAGCATCAAGGTTCTGGTCTCCCCGCTATGGTTATAGGTATAAAAAAAACATTATGGGCATATACTCACTAGATTTAATATATCTCCAGTCTCCAGCTATCCAGGTCAAGCATCAAGATTCCGATCTCCCCGCCATGGGTATAGGTATAAAAAGCATTATGGGCATATACTCATTATTTTAATCTAGTTCTAGTCTCCGGCCATCCAGGTCAAGCTTCAATGTTCCGATCTCCCGCTTTATGGTTATAGGTATAGCAAAAATCGATGAGCAATCACACTCGGCTTTATTTATTTCTAGTGTTGAATCCACCAAGATCATGCTTCACGGATCCGGATTCAGTCCGTGGCTATAGGTATACGAAAACTCGATGAGCAATTACTCACTGGATTTTATATATTTCTAGTGTCTACTCATCCACGGCAATTATCAGGATCCGATTTTCATGAACTGTTATAGCTAACCAAGTTTCCTTTTAACCTTTACTTAAAACAAACTATACTCTTTATTTATACTTACTTTTGATGGCAAAGAACGATGATCAAATCTACATCCATTATGGAAGGTATACAAGTCGTTCTTGGCCATTACTAACTTAGACGTATATATGACTACTGTTTTTACTCTCCAGGCCAAACAGCAAGGATCAAAACTCAAATATGCGCTACAGGTAAACAAATCTTCTTGAGCTTTTACTTACTGTCATTTATATATTTCTAGTGTTTTTTCCCTTAAAGTTCAAATATCAAGGATCCGATTTCAAATAAGGTTACGGGTACACACTTTTCTCTCTGTCTTTACATGCTTTCTTTCGTATTGGCCTAGTTTTATTACGATCTGGCTACACAATGAAAAATTTGGTTCCTTCCAGTGCGACAGGTATATACATCTAGTTCGGCCTTTAGTTACTGTTGGCTTTATTTCTCTACTGGCTTCACAGTTCAAGCCAGCCATCATGGATCCTATATCCGTCCAGTGTTACAGGTATACACTTCTCTTTGGGATTCTACTTACTGTCGGCTTTAATTTTCTACTGTTCTTAAAGTCAAGGCCAACGACTAATCATCTGATATCCGCCTAGAATTACAGATATAAAAATGTTATTGGGCCGTTACTTATAATTGTTTTTGTTTCTCTAGTGTCCTTGCAGTCAAGGGTAACGAGCAAGAACCCGGTCTCCATATTGGGATATAGTGTTACACATCTCTTTGATTTTTGACTTGCTGCAAACTGTATTTTTTCTCGTGACTTTACAGTCAAATTCAACACTCAAGGATCCGGTTTCCATCAAGTTTTACAGGTATACAAATCTGACAAGTGCTTTTATTTAATGTGTCTTTTTTTTTTGTCAAGTGCCTTTACTGTCTATGCCAATGATTCCGAATCCGAGCCCTATCCAGAGTGACAGGTATACAAATATGTTTGCGTCTTTATAACTTTTAGTTTTATATGTCTAGTGCCTATACGGTTTAGGCTGAAGAACTAGGACTTGATATTCATCCAGACTTGCAGATATATATTTTTCGTTGGGCCGTTGATTATTGGCTTTTTTTATCCGTCTATTGTTTTTACTGTCAAGGGCAACCATCAAGGATTCGATCTCCATCCAGTATGACAGGTATACACTTTTCTTTGGGTTTCTACTTATCGCTTGTTTTTTTTTTGTCTAGTTTTTTCACCGCCCAGGTCGAAGAACAAGGATTTCTTCTTCATCCACGGTTACAGGTATACAATTCTCTTTTAGCCTTTGCATAACGCTTGTTTGATTTTTCTAATTTCATTAATGTCTATGCTAAATAATAAGCATCTACTCTCCATCTAAGGCCATAGGTTTAAAAAATATTTTTAAGTATTATTTTACTATTTATTAATTAATTAATTATTATTTTTTAATTTTACACAGCCAAGGCCAATCGATCCAGGTTTACTGTCCTCTAGGGTAACAAGTATATGTACATACCTGATCGTTTACTTACTGCTTGTTGTTTCGAGTAATTTTTATTTAGTCAAACTGAATTACCAAAGTTTTACTATCTACCTAGTGCCCGAGGTATACAGGTCTCATTTAGTACTCACGTATCACTTATTATTCTGTCTAGCTTTTTTATAGTTTAAGCCAGCAATCGGGTTTTTAATCTCCATTAAGGATTAAAGGTATACATGACTATGTGAACCTTTACTTACTAGCTATTATATTTTCTAGTCTTTTTACAGGAAAGGCCCACAATTAATATGAGTTGTTTATCCGGGGGGGACAGGTATACAAATCTGCCAAAAAATCTACTTACTATATATTTGCATAATGTTTTTACAGCCGAAGCTAACGATCAAAGCTTTGATATTCTTTTGGGCTCACAGGTATAAAAGTCTCTTTGACTTTTTAGGTACTATCAGTTGTTTTGTTCTAGCCCTTTCTTCTCCGTAGCAAGCGTTCAATGCTCAGCTCTACATCAAAGGTCGCAGGTATACAAGAATCTTTAAGCAATTTACTAAAAATTAGATCTTCCTAGCGTTTACATAGTCAAGGCAAAATGATCATGTTCTTTCTATCTATTCAAGGTTCTAGATGCACACGCACATTTTAGCATTTATTCTTCACTGGTTGAATCTTTTTAATCTTTGACAGTCCATGCCGAGAATCAAGGTTGCACTTCAAAAAATAGGGTTAAGGTATACATGCCTTTTTAAGCATTTACTTACTACTAGTTGCTTTATTCAGACTTTATACAGTCGAGACCAAAGATCAAGAGCCCGATTTCCGCATAGATTTACAGGGATACAAGTGGCTTTCTTTACCCATTAACATATTGCTAGCTGTTTGAAGCAGTCTTTTTACAGTTCAATTCAACAGTCAAGGTTCAAATCCCCGTCAAAAATCACTGATATACTGCCACTTTTTAGTATTTACTTACTGCCAATTGTGTTTCTTTAGTCTACTCGCAGAAAAGGCCAACAATCAAGATGCCACTCTCCTTCTTGGATGTTAGGTGTACCAGTATCTTTGGGTATTTACCTATTACCAGCTTTAGTTCGGTAGTCTTTTCACAATTGAGTCCAACACCCAAGATTCCATAGTTCATGCAGGGTTACAGGTATATATACCTCTTTGAGCATTTGCTTGGTGTCTGCTATATTTGTCTAGTCTTTTCATAGTCAAGGCTACTAATTGAGATTCCGCTGCTCATCTGGGGTAAAAGGTATATATGCTTTTTTTTAATAGTTAATTATTGCTTGTTGAAATTGTCTAATAATTTTACAGTCAACGCTGATGATCAAGTTTCTGCTATTCGTCGAGGTAACAGGCGTACACCCTCCTTTGAATATCTTTCTGTCATCCATCATATTTATCTAGTCATACCATAGTCCACACCAAGGTTCAAGATTTTAGTCTCCACCCAGATTCACAGACATTCAAGTATAATTGCCCTTTTAGGACTGCCGGCTGCTATTGCCTATTGCTTTTAATATATAGGTCAAGGGATAAATTTGCTACTCTCAACCATGAGCTACAGGTATCACCGTTTATTTTGAACATTTATTTATTATTGATTACATTTGATTAGTATTTTAAATCCGAGTCCAACGATCAAGCTTCAGCTTTCCGGGAAGGGTTGAAGATATCCATGTATCTTTGATTTTTTTTAATATCGACTGAATTTCTTTGGCGTTTGCACATTCAAGTCCATTGATCAAGTCTTTGGTCATTATCAAGTTTCCACTCAACATTATTGGGTAAAGGTATATAAGATTCTTAGATTACTTTTTTACAGCCAATGTCATTTATCAAGCGTTTTTAGAGTCCTGGTCAACGATCAAGATTCTGCTATTAATTCAACGTCTTAGATATATAAGTGTATTTAAATATTACTTTACTACTGATTCTATCTATTTAATCTTTTTTTTTCTTTTTCTTTTTTACATTCTATGCTAGCCCTCACGGCTCTAGTCTCCATCAAGGCTTATAGACATACAAGGTTTTTTTATTGGAATATGTTCTCACTATCAGTTTTAATTTTTCTAGTAATTTCACAGTTCATACCAACGATTAGGCGTCCGATTTCCATCCAGGGCTACAGGCATACATCTTTATTACACCATTTACTTACAGCCTGTTTTATATGTCCAGAATCTTCACAGCTCATGTCAACAGTCACGGTTTTGACCTACATCTCCAACCATAGGTATATATATATTTCCGAGAATTTACTTACTATTAGGTGTATTTTTCTAGTGTTTTCATAGTAAAGACCAACGATTAATATTCCGACATTTTCCTACAGTCATAGACATACAAGTCTCTTTGAGCCTTTAGTTACTTTAAGCTGTATATTCCCATACTTTTTACAGCAAAGACCAGCGATCAAGGTTTCACTCTCCATAAAAATCCTCAGGTATACAAAGCTCTTTAAATATTTTCTTACTATCAATTAGATTATTCTAGTGTTTACACAGTCAAAGCCAAACTATAAAGCCTCTGTTGCCCGTCCAAGTTCTCCAGTATATATATATATATATATATATATATATATATTGAGCATCTACTTACTGGTTGTTGTTTTTAGTTATCTTGACATAGTCAAAACCAACGATTAAGGTTTCACCATACATCCAGGGTATGAGATACACATGTCTCGTTTAATATTTAGCTATCAACTATTATTTTGTCTAGCTTTTTTTTTTATATATTTTAAGCCAACTATCAAGTTTTGAGTATTTATTCATGATCACAGGTATATATTTCTTTTTGAACATATACTTATTGTTGGCTTTCTTTTTTTAGTCTATTTACCACCAGGGCGAACGATCAATATTCCGCTGCCCATTTTGGGCCATATGTATACATGACTCTTTAAGCAGTTAATACCTGTCGCTTTTATTTGTCTAGTCTTTTAATCGCCAAGTCCAAAATTTTTGGCTCTGCTCTACATCATGGGCCGTAGGTATACAAGTCTCTTTGTAAATCTATTCACTGATGGTTATAAATACTTATAATTTCACAGTTGGTGTCAAAGATCATTGTTTAACTCTTATTAATATGTTACAGGTATACATTGTTTAGTTGCCCATTTTTCTTTGAATGATGCTTGTATTTGCTTATTTTTTTTTCTCTTCGTAGTTTAGGTCAATTATCATGGTTCTATTCTTTATTAAGGATTAAAGACATAGGAGGAGTCTTTAAGATTTTCTCACTGAAAATTGTATTTACTAATTTTTTTACAGCCGATACCAGGTATCAGTATTCTACTCTCTATTGTGGGCCACAGCTATATTTGTCTTTTTTTATTTGTCTTTTTTTATTTGTCTTTTTTTTACTATTTCGACAGCAAAACCCAACGCTAAAAAACTCAATCTCTATCAAGGGTTACAGGTATACCAGTTTCTTTGAATATATTACTACAAATTATTTTTGTATATTATTTTAAACAGACAAGCCCAACGATCAAGATTTCGGGCTCGAGTATCATATACCTGCATATGTATTTGTTTCAATAACTACTTTATGCTGTTTCTATAGGACCTTACAGTCATATTTAATGCTAAACATTAAAACTTTAGTTTTAGGTATGGATTCTAGGTATACAACAATTTTTGACCGCTCAGTATTACTTGCTTTATATAAGAAGTATATGTGTAGTTGAAGCCAAATAATTTAAGCTGGTTAAAGATATAAAAGGCTTTTGAGAAATTCACCGACACCTATATCTTTTTTATGTATTTGATATCAAGGATGAGTAACAAATTTGTGCTCCCCATCATTGTTTAAAGATATAAAAGTATTTTTTAAATTATTTCTTTTATTAATGTTTTCATTTCAGTAGTGTATTTCCAATTGATTTAAAGGATCAAGTTTTTGCCTCCATTATAGACTAAACGTATACAGTGCTATTTGAAAATTTAAATAACGTAATTTGCTTTCGTCTAGTACTCACAGTCAAAACAAGTATCAGGGCTCCACGTTTCCTCATAGGATAGAAGTGAACAAGACTCTCTGAACATTTAATTACTGCCTCTTTTAAATACAGCTTGGCCTTACCGTACTTACATTCGCTACTTATCCTGTGGCTGCAAGGAATCGCATAACACTAGCATAACGTTATTACTGCTCATCATCTATCCCAATTAACAACATTAGCAACTCGGCATACTTTAGCTTATTTGTTAGTTTCGGGTATGTTTAATTCAGCCACTATATTATCCACTGTATTGTATATCGCAGACCTCTGGATATATCCTCACAGTATCCTCCTCATGCTAATATGAGCCACGAAACTGATCCCACTCAATCTCTAATATTCAATCATTATAGCTACCACCATCACTTTTGAAACTCTAGTATCTAAACCAATAGCGTATTAACAGTTGAAGGTCAGCTATACATATGTATATGGCTACTCATGGGGCTATCTTCGTCGTCCTCGTCGCCACCCAGGGAATATTCCCTGAACTAGACACCTTATTCGCCATTTATTTAACCTAATAGATCATACATACGCTCAATCAGCGTATCCAATGCCACACACTAGATATCCATATCGAGCGGCCACTTCCAACTTATTCTTGATATTGAATTTGTCCTTAATCATATAGCAGTTCCATCTACATTAGACATTACAATATTCGAAGCTAAATCAGCTTTGGCTATTCTCTAGCTTTTTCGCCTTTAAATACATTACCTCCAATACATATTACAAAAAAATATTATGAATGGTTTCATTCACTGTGCAAATTTTGATATATTTGTGTTGGTGTTGGTATGCCCAAAAAAAGAATTGAATATAGTGGTTGGCGGTGTCAATCTTGATAGCATTGTGTTGGTGTTGGTACGCCCAAAAAAAAAGAATTAAATATAGTTGTTGTTGGTGTCAATTTTGATAGCGTTTTAAAGTTATGTTGGTACGTGTCAAAAAAAAGAAATATGTTATGGTTGCTGGTGTCAGTTTTGATAGTGTTGTAAAGTTGGTGTCAATTCCAGTAAATTTGTAAAATCAATTTAGGCATGGAGGTTTGACTGAGGATTCCCGAAAGGGATGAGGTATGTAAAAAGAAGATTCAAGGCATCGTTAGAAAGGATTTTTTTCTTTGTTTTTGTTGCGGCTCAGTAACGGTTATTTTTGATAGACAGTTCTCTCTGGACAGTATCAATCTCGAAATTCTGTCTATACCAGAACGAAATTGAATCGAAAATTTATTTAAAAAAAAAGCACCGCATGTGTAACCGTAGCAAAGGGCATGATTCAATAACGCAGCTGGTATGAAAAGGGGGAAAAAACTGGAGGAAGGTACGCTTTTGTTGCGAGAGGGCGAAAAAGTTCTTTTTTGTGGTCAAAAGAGTTGTTGAGCCTATATTACTGCAAAGGAAAAGAGGACGCCACAGCTTTTGTTTTAGATTGTATCTGCTCTATGTTATCCTTGAGGGACAGTGAGAACCCAAGAAAGCGCATCCCGTAGGCATGTCTTCGTAAAGGGATAGAACAGATCTGAAGGATTCTTAGTTCTACCAGAGAGAAATTAACCTAAAGTCAAGTACAGTTGACCAAGAGGGAGGAAGTAGCAGCTCTTACCAAGGCTTGAGCAAAAAAACGTGGACTCAATGTCATGTCTAACGTAATGACAATTGGTTTCGATGGGAGGAAGGCGTCATCATATTCTCATTACCATGGCCCACACCCTGGAAATGAGAGAGAGAGATGGAGGGTCGAGTGGGAACATATTGGAAAATCATTATATATTGCCTACCTTTTCACATTATCTTCCTCGATCAGAGTGAGATAAGTGTAAAATAGCCGTAGTGCGCATTGTATTTTTAAACTGTATAGTATCAAAACATATCGATATCTTGTTGCTTTAGATGTCAAGCTGGTTTGGTTCTATTGATATATCCAAAATTAGATTTAATTATCATAAGGGTATCTTTGGAGTACTAAATGGGCAATATAAAAGTAAGAATAATAGCAGTAATACTTAACGAGTCAGTTATAAGGTCAAGATAGTTTGATGTGCCATGGTAAGGGCAAATCATCAATGAGCATTCAAGCTATATGATTGCGAGCGGGATAAAAATTACTTTTTAATTTTTTTTTATAAAAAATTCCAATACAGCCGTTGCTGCGTCTATTGAAGAAGAAAAAGGGAAAAAAATCAATGGACCCGTTTACTGGCACTCATTTCTCTCCTGTTGACACTCATGCCTGATTCTCGCACTAATCCTGATGTTGACGCTCTTTTTGAAGACGACCCGGGATCGCTCGATGAAGTTGTTGACGATGAAGATGCTGAAGACCTCAAACTAGATAATGCAAACACAAAAGTGTGGCTAGTCAAGGAAAGCATTGAATACATATATCATACATATAAGGATAAACAGGGAATCTAACATTGCATATATAAATATAAAACAAATAGGTTCCGAAATTCCTTGCAAACAAATGGAAAGCGATTGACCAAGACAATGTTAATTTGGGATCAGTCCGGATCTACAGTCAGTAGGTAGATTACTGTGATTAACAAGCAATATATTGACTTTTTTTTGTTTATCCGTTTTCTTCATTTTCGCTCTTTATTTTCTTTAAAAAATAATAATAGGCCACCGCCTGGACGTTCGAGCGCGGTAAATACATAAATGAATTACATATCTTTACATGTATACCATGCATATACATAATTTGATAGTGGAGAGTAGCTGACGCAAGTCTATATCACGTTTAGATCTCCTTGGTATTACCCGAAAATGAAGTGACTGAGAACATCCCTCGTGAATACAGCATTTCGATTTTACCAGGCGAGGTCACCAACAAATTTGTATTTACTGAGAGCGAGCATGGTGGTAAGCAAGAAATAATAATATTTATTTATTTTGCTTACAATGTTTTGTGATTTGTGTAGGTAAATCAATTAGTGGAAGAGTACACCACGAATGCGCAGCCACGCCTACACAATTCGGCACATATCGTGACATCATGCGAAAGCGTGTCATTGATGCTGGTACTCCTCAGCGTACAGTACAGGTTCTTGGACAAGACAATCAGCCTGTATTTGTACCAGGAGCAAGTAGTAGCATGCCAAGTAGCAGCTTCTCTGATTTTGTTGTAAGATTACTCTACATATATTCTTCTTCTTCTTTTAATGCGCTTATGGAGACCTTTGTGCTGATGAGCTATCTATTATTAAATGTCTAGACTGCCAAAAAACCCAGAACAGACAAGGAAAAGGCTACTCGTATGCCTCGCAACGAATTGATGGATTTGCTATTTGCTGCATTTGACAGATATCCCTATTGGTCCTTCAAGGGTATTGTGGAGCACACAAAACAGCCAGCGCAATATCTCAAGGAAATCCTATCTGAAATTTGCATCCTCAACAAGCGTGGACCTTATGCAGGAAACTATCAGCTGAAGCCAGAGTACAAACAACGTTCTGCGGCTGAAAGACCCAATGGTGACAAGGAAGACTCCAAGGATATTTCATCATCAGAAGAAGATGATGAAGAGGAGGAAGCAATGGAAGCTATTCACGTCTAAAGTTCCGATCCATCCTATATTCTATACAATGTAGAAAGAAATCGTCCCCCTCTCACCCTCTATCTCTCTTTCTCTCTTTCTCTTTCTCCAGCAATTAACTCGCATACACCCATACATATACATTAACGCAATCTACACCAAATCACTCAAGAACACATCAACTTACATACAAGCGTATTTAAAAGAAAAATCCCACACACACATATATATATGAAGATATGTCTGAAGAAGCTATAATAGAGAACTGCTATAGATATCAAGGGAACAAAGGATAGTCATCTTTGACGAGCTTGGTATTTTTGATGTCGATTAGTAATAATGGGTATGCTCAAGAGAGTCTATGGAACAGTCTACAGCCTGTCAATAAGATTATCTTATCAAATCTTGATGTAAAAAGCCAATTGTACGACTACTTGTGGAATGAGAGAATGCATGACAAAAAATATAAAAATTCGACAACAATTGAGAATGGCGTACATTATCAAGCCAAATACTATATAACAAAAAGCCGGTTTAGAAGCCATTATTTTTGTTGTCAAGTATGGCTGCTTTTTCGTTTTTAATATTAGGAGTTACCACCATCTGTTAACTCTATCCACTTTCCCTTACTTGATGATATATATATATATATATTAATTTGATCTTAAAGTGATTTGACACCCCACTTTATCTTTGTTTCATATTCAAAAATAGCAGAGGTTGACCTGAATGAAGGTTACCATCGTTTCTGTTTTATTTTACTCTTAGTTCTTTGTGATATTGTCTATTATATAAAGTATTTTTAGACTTCTTCTGGGATGTATTAAAGAGACAAGTAAAATGAAACACTAATTAGAATTATCCAGCTTTAGCGTTCTTTCTGTAGCTGTATTGCTGTCTCAAATCAGCTTAGTCATTCTCAATTGCTTTCTTTTGAGCGGGTCCGTGCGTTCATATTTAGTTTATCTTGGGAATACATATAAAATAAGTATGAGTTTAGGTGTTCATAATTTCTTAGTTTTTAGTTATATTTTATCAATAAGCAAAAGGAAGAGGGACACTAGTTGATAGCCTATATATATATATATATATATATATCTGAGTCATAGTATCAGGTTTATCATTCTCTGACCTTTTCATTAACTCCTCCGCATCTATTTGTTCCCACCGATGTATCTATCCCCGACCACTTCATTGTCTATTCTCAATACAAGCTAAAAAGGTCTTTTATTATTATTAATATTATTAGTATTATTATTCAATAACTTTGATCCCAGCTTTCGCCATTCCCTCTGCATAAGCCTTTGGTTGCATCCCACTAAATATATGTACCAAAAAAAACAGTTAGAAAAATATGTCTTTTCTTTTATATTTCTTGAATTTTGATTCATTTTCTGGCCTATGGTTCAATATTGAGGCAATTTACTTTGAATATAATCGTTCTTTTTTTTTTTCGTCCTCCTCTTCTTCCTCTTCTTCTAATCTAATATTATTTATATAAAACAATATAGTATGGTATAGTATAATACATGGCCTATTTATTTCTTTATTCTTTCTATTTTCTCTCCCCAAAAATACTATGAAGTCTAGGTCAATAGGTCAATAAGTAGGTGCCTAACTCAGGGACAATTAAATGCAATATATTTTATTTTATTTACTCTTTTGTTCGCAGAATCTATTTTTATCTTTATAATATTTTTAAGTGTAGAAATAATGGTAATTTAAATAATTTATAATTTTAGTATAAGAAATATACCTACTATATATTTATTCTTTTATTGCCTTTCTTCTTTAGGGTATAAAAATAAAAATAAAATTGTCAAAGAGAAAACAAGTACAGTTTACTGTAGTTTAAAAGACTTCTTTAAGCCTACACACCTTCTAAAGACTATACATTGGATATTGAACATTAAAGACTTGTTAAGCAAAAAAAACGTGGTATTTGGTCAATGTATTCTATTTTTATCGTTCAACAGGCTCTTAACAGTGCTCCGCTACAAAGGCCTTTTTTTTGTGTGGGTACACATACACACATACACACACACGCACATACGCACATACGCACGCACATACGCACATAAAATTTTAAACCATCTTGTCATCCCCTCTATATTTGTAATATCTATTTTATTTTATTTAATCTTTCTTTATTTTGGCTCCTTCGAGTTTCTGTGGTTTAACGATCGTTGTGACTGAGATTAGGCGGAACAAGGTCCACAGCCGCTCTCCACTTTATTGTTTTTTTTTGTTTTCTTTTTTTTTGTTTTCTTTCTCTTCTTCTCTTTCTTTTCTTTTTCTATTTATTGATCATTAGAAGTAAGGAAACTTATCTCTCCTTCAAGAACAACAACAAAAAAAACACCAAAGAAGAAAGAAACTTCTGCGATCTTTTCATGCCAGCTCATCCCCCACTTCCTCCAATCCTTTCACAGCAATCGCCTGGAATGGACCTCCGAGACATGCCCGAAGCAGAAGGCAATCGCTCACCAGCCATGCATCCAGTCAAACATGAACCTGTCTCACCTCCAAGTCTTAGTCTTGCCTCGCCTAGGGCAACTCACTCTCAACCATGGTCTGTCAGGTCAGATGATGGAGCAAACTCTAATCCAATGGCACTCGATAAAGTCCTGTCAAGCACGAATGGCGCCGGTAGCCATATTCGTCATCTCAGTGAGTAAGTCACAACCATTCAAAGATATCTCATTCGCACATGTATCCTATCTACATGTTACATTTTGTTCACAAGATGTCTTTCTTATTTTCAGACCAGAGGAGCCTAATAAGCGTCCCAAGACAAACTTAGGAGAGCCTAAACGGGATGACAATAAGCCTTTTAGGTTTGCACAGCACCGAAACGTTCTTCCTAGACCACTTCACACTGTTAGTTCCCAATCCCAGTCTCAATCCCAGTCTCAGTCTCAGTCGCATTTGCAGCTACCGACAAGTGCATCGTTGTCGAAAAGACTATCTGCCAAGCATGGCAAAAACACGCGAAACCTAACCATCTTTCCACCCGCATACACAGATCAGCTTGCACTTGGCATACGTTCTGCACCACTTAATTCTGGATTTAGACAGCAGCAGCAGCAACAGCAGCATCAGCAACAACATCAGCAGCAGACACAGCAGCAGCAACCTCACACTGCTTATTTCCACCCCCCACAGCAGCCACCTTCTACAGCCGGGCGCACCAATGGTTCGACGCTTCTCCAGCCCGGGCACACTCTTGCTCCTCTCCTATCTCCTCGAGCACCCGTTCGCTTCCACAAGGATGCAGACAAGACGTTTCCTCCTTCCCCTCGAAAACAGGAATTTGCTATACCACCAATTGTACCATCCCAGCAACAGCCTTCCCATCACACCACTAATTTCCAACATCAATCGCAACCACAATCCCAGCAACAACAGCAATCACAATCACAATCCCAGCAACAACCGCAACCGCAGCCACAACCGCAGCAATATGTCTCTTCACCTTCGCTGTATGGCAGTGGTGGTGGTTATCAGGCAAAGTCTAGCTCTGGATCTGGATCTGGCTCTGGCTCTACCTCGGCCTTACTTCCTACTACTGCCGCTGCTGTCCCTCTTCCACCTCAGACTCCTACCACTACAACATTTGCTGCTCTTCAACGCCAACAGTTTCTCCAACCATTCGAACATTTGTTTGACACGATCGAAACCACTCGCACTCTCAAGACTACCCTAGATGATCAGATTAGACGTTCGTCTAGTCTTATGCAAACCCTCCAAGCATCCTCGACTACCATTGAAGGGCTCATCCGCAATCAAATCAAAGAAGCGCATAAGGAGACAACCAATCGCTTCCATAACACTATTAATGATATCCTTAAAAGGCTTGATGCACTCGAAAATAACTCTGCCGTGCCTGCTACTGCTATTTCTACTGCTAATAACACTGCTTCTAATACAAACACGACTACGCCCACAACCTCTAATGCTAATGCTAATGCTAATACTCCTGCTGCCAGCCACGCAAACAACCATCCTTCGCATTCTCACTCTTCTTCTTCCCCCTCCTCCTCTTCTCCTTTGTCTACTTCAATTAATGAATCCATCGTCGAATCTTCTTCTGAATCCAACCACCATCCTCCTCACGCACACGCGCACGCACACACGCACCCTCACTCTATCTCTCACCCTCACCCTCATGTACACACACATGTACCACCTGAACCAACCACACCTGCCAAGATCAATAGAGAGCATCTCCGGAGTCCTCCTACCATTGTACGTTCTCAGAATGAGATTGGACCTGATGAATACCAAAGCATGCTTAATGCATTACGCGAACGTCTTGACCGTCTTGAACGACAATTAGAGGTTTAATGGGGGGTTTTTTTTTCCTTTTTTGAAATGAAAAGAAAAAAGAGAGAGAGAGAAAAGAGAAAGAGAAAGAGAAGATATTGAAACATAATATTTTATTTCTTTTACTATTACTATTACTGCTTTTACTGCCATCATCATCATCATCATCTTTATAACTTTTTCGAGATACCTCTTCTTATTTATGCTATGTAATTCTTTACTCTTTTTTCTTTCCTTTTGCTTTCTCTCTCTCTCTATTACTACTGCTATTATTATTATTATTATTATTATTTATTATATATCACAAAAGGCCTGTGGCTGTGCTGGATTTATCTATATCTTTTTTTTTGTTTTTTTTTTTAAAAACTTTCTTTTTGGCTTTTCGTTAATTCATTTATTCAACTCACACCAATTTTACTCATTCAATTACTCATTCATTTATTCATTTGTTGTGGCTATTATTATTATTTTTTGTATATGTCTCTCTATCTCTGTCTGCTTTGCCGAATTATAATACTCAGAATCCAATCAGTAGAAATAAAAAATAATAATAATTTGCTCTAGACAGCATTCACACAGACTCGTGTAACAAGCCAATAGGGTTCCAAATATGTAGAATAAACACATGTTAATTTGTAAAAGACAGAGACGGCGACTACGATGAAAAGAGAGAGAGAGAGAGAGAGAAAGGGGAGGGGGAGGGGGAGGGAGAAATGGACAATAAAATTTATTTATAATAATAAAATAAAAATATAAAAAGCTGTTTCCGTGGATAGCCGAGTATTTCCTTAGACACCGAATTAATGGATAAACCAAGCATGAAACTCTCATCTAAGAAAGAAGGTTGGATATTTAACGCTGAAACCTAGAATATTTTTTTCCCTTGAATGTCTAGCATTGACTCATTGACTTTTTTTGGGGGGAGATTTTTTTTTGTTTAGGGAAAGCAAACAAGTCATCCCTTTTTATCTGTATGGTTCTATCTTTCTACATCTTTATCTCATATTCACACACTCGCATATGAGATTTATAGGTAAAAGCGGATCGACGAAGATCAGCTTTTATTTCAAGTCCTTTTGACGTCCAAACTCAAATGAAGTATAAGATACATCAAACTACTATTCATAAAGGCAGTGCAAAACCCCCTATTTTATACAGAAAGAAAGAGTCTATTTTTTATCTGATTTATCTGTACTGTTGTAATTGTAACTCTGGACCTGCGACGATTGTAACAATGATAACCAAAAGGCTGCAATATTCATGCTGGTGCAACAGATAGGTTGCTTATTCTGGTTCGCCTGTAATATCTTCTTTTGTAGTCGCTTCGTACTTTACTCTCAACCTGGCGTGTTAAATAAGTATGCTGTATACGTTATCTGTGCTTTTAGTCTGAATCATTAGAACCTATCAGAAATACCCTCTTAGTTATACTAAAATTGATATTATCCATATTAATCATTAATGTCAATTCCTGGTTCTGTATACACATCTATTTTACCATGCACGGTACGCAACAAGACGCAGGTGCCACGTCGTACAGCCCATGATGATCTCTCCCTTGCAGACAAATAATAATAGAAAGAAAGAAAAAATAACTTGATAATTAAGAACAGTAAGAATTCAATCTACCAAAGAAAGAAAGAAAAGATCACTGAACAAAGTCAATCTATCTCTCAATTCAACCTAGTCTAGTACATTAGCTATTTACATTTACCCACCCTATTTTATTTCTGCTTTTGCTTTTGCTTTTGCTTTTAATTTTGCCTTTTCACCTTTTTTAGGTTTCCGTCTCTCTTTCTTCTATTTTATATTTAAATAATCACATTCATGACAGACACACACCAAAGCACTCAAATACAGCAGTTAGTCAATCCTGATATTCACTGTAAGAAATCCTTTGCTTAATAATCGAATATACATATACATATAAATGTGCACAGGTATAACTGCCGACCTCTATTCAAATGATACTCAAAAACAGCGCCAAGTTCTACGACAACACTTTTCACCCAATGCCTCCTTTGTCTCACCACTACTTCGAACTAGTGGTATAAAAAATATAGGACAGTAAGTTAAAATTATATTTCTATTGATCTATTGATCTATTGAGCTAGATAAATAACAGGAAGAAGTCTAGTTTTGTCTTCTTTTCTTGATTCAATTATTATGACTATGATTACCTTTATATATTTATATAAGAGTATATATGATATCTATTATACACATATGCATATACACACAAACACAAAAGTGTTTTTCTAGTTTGGAAAACGCTCAATAGAGACCCTCCTACAATCGAAAAATCATGTTCCAACCAACACCACTGTGTCATCTTCATGACCCAACATCTCCGTCCACGTTTATTCCCATTACTACATCTCGCACTTCCTGTAATCGTCACCCTCAAATTTCGAGAGTCTGAATCAGGAAAACTAAAGGTCGAACACCTTGAAGAGCACTGGACTGTTGAAGGTATGTGTATATGTGTGTTTATACGTACGTGCATAGAATATATCATTTGTCTACTAGAATACAAATAAATAATGATTATATATATACATATATATATATATTTATAATGTAAGGTTTATTGCAAACTGTACCCCTCATTGCATTCTGGCATGATCGAGTATTGCGTACTGCAATGGGTAAAATTTTGACAGTTACGGGACATGCCATGCACACTGTTATTGTGACATCTCAAAAAATGTCACAGCGTAGTATTGAACTTGAAGGTGACAGAAGGGTACTGGTCGATCAAAATATGGTCAACCAACAATCTGCAATCATAATGTCTGAATGCAACGAATGAAGCTATTTCATTGGAACCTTTCAATATTTTTTTTAAAATTTTTTCTTATTTTTTGCTAGTTGTATTTCTTCTTTTTCTTCTTCTTCTTCTTCTTCTTCTTTTATAATTATCATTATCATTATCATTATCATTATCATTAACATTATTAGCATTATTATTATTATTATTATTATTATTGTAGCAAGTAAATAAAGCAGATATTCATTAAATAAATAAATCAAAAAGAAACAGAGAGATATAGAGAGATAATACGATGAATACATTAATTGATAGTATATTTTACTATTATAGACATTATTAAAAATATAAGTATTAGTACAAGTACAATTACGTATGTACGTACGTATGTACGTACGTATGTATGTGTGTATGTATGTGTGTATGTATGTGTGTATGTGTGTATGTGTGTATGTGTGTATGTGTGTGTGTGTGTGTGTATGTGTGTATGTGTGTATGTGTGTGTGTATGTGTGTATGTGTGTATGTGTGTGTGTATGTGTGTGTGTATGTGTGTATGTGTGTTTTATATATATATATATTAAAGAAAAGGAACAAAGTCTGTTTTGTTTGGTTGTTGGGCTTAAGTGCAGAACCAGTCAACTCCAACTGTGCAACTGGATGGTCGAGTTTGGCCAGGAAAAGCATTATTGAGTTCCAGCTTTCCACTTAGGCTAGACAATGGAACCTCGTGTCGAAGTTGAGGAGCGGTGGCCTTTAGTGCTCTCTTGAGAATCCTATTGCCGTCTACCAAGATGATCGTGATGTGTACGGCTCCACTGTGCGTCACCCAGAGCCAATTTTGTCTAGTTCCACTAGCTTTGAAGAAAATTTGCTTATTTTCATAGTCGATACTGGCTGGCTCCAATTCGTACATAAAAGGGAAGGTGTACGCCGGGTTAGGCGTACGAAAGACGGAAGATACTCGGGCGGCCATGCGAATATCACTGCTGCTTCCAGGAGCTCTGTTGTAGTAGTATTCGGGTACCTCAGACCCGGGTAAGAATTGATTTGGTAGTGTAGGCCTCGAGTAATCTGACAATATGATGAGCAACCGACGTTGGTTGAAGATCTGGTGCTTGATCAGCGCATCGTTAACGAAAGGTTTCATATTCGCTGGAAACTCGGAGTACAGCTTGTATACGTTGATGAATGACATATATGCCAAGATCATCAAGAAAACTTCGGCCGGGAAGATTGGTTGGTTTTCGGCTGTCATTCTGTGGTTATGAGGTTGTGAGATTGGCAAGAAAGTAGAAAGAATAAGAGAGAAGAAAAGAAGAAGGAAGAAGCAAAATTTGACAAAAAAAAAAGAGACTCTTTTTATATTAATTTGAAGGCTGCTTGGTTTTTGTAGAAATTGTCAAAAGATATATATATAAAAAAGATTCTATACCACAAAGTATTACAGTCGGCGGTTTAAAAAGATTCGGTCAAGAGCAATAATTTTGAATAAAAGTTTATGTTAATGTACTTCAATTCGAAAAGATGTGCTATTCGTTCAGACATATCATAAAAAACACCTTTAAGTATTAGAAAAGCATTTATGTAACGCTAATATTAGGGTTACGATATTTTCTGATGGAGCACTACCTTTTCTGACGGGAAATGTTGTTTTGAGTTTACCGGACCACAAATAGTGACTTGTTGTTCGGTATCAAATACTTTTATCTGGTCCCTAAGGATTCATACCTATCATAATAAAAATACTTAAATATAAGGCAGAATAATAGCCTTGGCTAAGTGCAAAAGCATCTTCTTAAATATGTAATCGCTAATTTTAGGTGGACGACGTTTCCTGGCGGGAGACGATATTTTGATTCTACTGGGCTACAAGCCGTGACATGCTTGCCGGCACAAAATACCTCTATCTGGTTCCTAAGGATAAAGAATATTCGTATAAAGACATTCCCTTGTGCTTTGAAAAAAGAGTAGATAGGAATTGCTTACCAGCTGGTGCTGTCATACTCTTGCAATATAAGTATATGAAAGAAAGAGAAAGGCATGAAGCATGTAAGAAGACCAATAAATAGTATAATATCCAACAAGTTTGCGTCACACTCTAATGACAACAGCTCATACTGTTCTGGATTACTGGCTATTGATATGGTGTATTTATGACTAATCATTATTTCTTTATTATCAAGTCTAAATTCAGGACTACGAATTGATTATACAGGCTTTGATTTTTGTATGAGACAGTACTTTATTATAAAGTTGCCCAAATGCAGGCTGTAAATCGTACACGAATGAGAGTTAGGTGCCCGAGGATATATATATAAACACACAAAGTGTGGGGACAAGTTAGTAAGCTAATACGCACAGAGGAAGGAGGAAAAGACAAAATTACAGAGAAACGAAGGAAACAGACTTAAAAGAAGAAACAAAGAGAATGGATAATACAGGAAAGAGTAGAAATTAAAAAGCAGAAAGAGCACAAGAGTTAAAGAGCTAGTCTAGGAGATTGAAGGATTGAAAGAAAAATTGAAGGAATGTGTTCACAGAAACAACTACATTGGCAGGAACGAAAGGTACATTTTCAGGACATACTATTTTACCCTGAAGGATTAAAGATACCGGGTCCCGGGGAGATAGTTGCAATTAATGAGTCCGGTTAGATAGAAACATCGTGCCCCACCAGGAAACACCATCCCCGTAAGATTGCTAATAGATAATAATACAGTGCACGGTTTTATAGCCTGCTTTTCTTTTTATAATATAAAATGGTAGAAACGAGATAGAGCAACATACATACATGCTTATACACGCGCACACAGACTTTGTGAACATTTTGTGGAGTTATTGAAGTTTAGTCGGCGACATATTATCACTAAAAATCTTTAGACTTCGAATTTAGAAAATGGTGGTTTTTTCTTTGAACGAATCAAAGTTAACGCTCAGACAATATGTCTCACCTTTTTTGGATAAAATGAAAATGAAAATCAGATATTTGGAAAATTGAATTTGAACCGAAGGAATGGATTTCTTTTTTCTAGGAAAGAAAAGAAAAAAAATAGAAAGACAATGTAGGTTTATTTGTAATAATTATCATTATGTGCTGAGCCTCGACGCTAAAACTGGAGCGGATATCTGTTGTTGTTTCTCAAAGAAAACAAAAAAGATATAAAGAATGTTTTTAGCAGACATGCTGCCCCAACTCCAAACAATATTGCAACTGTTTTTTTTTGAAACTGTAATATTGAGTTTACTATTTGCTTTGATTCTTTGGCTATTAAATTCTCGGCACTTTTCTTTCCGAACGAGTTCAATACTTGACTTGTTAGATATTCATCTATCTAAGCAAAGAGAAATGTGACAACCAGAATATTTTTTATGAAGGAGGGTATAGTAGATTAGGCATTCTTTTTTATCCCCTTAACACCAGATAATTCCTGCGTATTGTACTTCTTGGTATCGTATGCAAATCGCTTTCAGATTTCGCTTATGACTTTTTGGTTCTTTAATATAATCTTTGAATTTGAGCTTCAATGACATATTCCAGCCGGGTAAAGAAAAAGACGATATTCAGATTGTATACTCATCATAAGTTATCATGATAATGTGAGTGTATATAATCACATTTCTATCATCTTTGTTTACGCCCAGAAATAAAGCTTAGTAAATCGGCGGTCTTCAGCGATCGGAGCTCTGTGATTGCCATGTATACTTCCTGGTAAGTTTCTTGATGCTGCTTACGGATAGACAGAGCACCATTGACACCGAAAAAATCGACGTAGTAAAAGTATATATACCTGAGAGAGAGGTATAAGCCGTCACCACAGTACAAAGTTTTGGGTTAACCAACTCGATACCCTAAAAAGTAAACAAAGTGTGTTCTCGTTATATAAACGTTTTAATACTTGCTTTTCAAAACCTTTGGACTCTTTTTTTTATGGATCTTCAGATGTACTCTCTTGTCTTTGCCACATTGTTGTTAAAAATTATATATCAGAGAGAAAAAAGTAGAATGGCTGCAATAAGTTTAGCCGATGGTAAAGTTGGAATGTAAGCTTCGTTCACTCGGCACAAAAAAACAAAAAATATGGGATGTCTTCCATGTTTCATTGACTTTTGGGGTATTTGACTGTTCGCTCTGAGTCTAGGGTACATATTCATATTGTATTTGTGAACGGCTATTAGTGCCTCTAGTCTTAATACTATATCATTTCCGATTTTTCTCCAATAGCTCATTTTTGTTCTTTTTTTTTTTTGTTATATTGATCACACTCTCCACAAAGTCCTCTTGTGCCTTAGTAGTTACATATTGAGTAGTTTTTACCTGGAACTTCGGGTATCTAATCTGAATTCAATTTTTCAAATCTCTGGTTTTTCATTTTTATTTTATCCAAAAGAAGTGAACTTGTTGTCTAAACTTGAATTCGGATTTGTCAAAAAAAAAGTAACATGTTCTGAGTGTGAAATTTAAAGGGCTGTAAAAATAATAGAGTTGTAGCAGCGATAAATTTAAAGTCAGGATTTTCTGTAAGATTTCCTTTGCTAATATTTTGAAACATAGAATTCTACTTTTCAGTTTGAAGGTTGACCATTATTATTATTTTTTACCTTTAAAAAAGAAATCTACACATGGCATAAAAAACACTGATATTGGGAGTGTATATTCAGTGCTATGAACCAGAAGCCTTGTAATTAAAAAAGAAGATGTGATGCGTAAATATTTTGACAATAAGAACCAGTACTTTTATTAACATTGTATACAGGCACACACACACATATATATATATATATAAACGTATAACACAATTGCTTTTGGGTTTGTGTAAAGTAGATGATGATGTCTTGTGTGGCGGTCAGCACATTGTTCTTTTTTTTACCTCTGTACTGGATATGCCTGTGTGTGTGGTCATGAAAATCATGGGGGCAACTAATTCACATTACTTTCCTTGATTTTTTTTAACAAAAAAAAATAAAGGTAAATATAAAGGCCTTGTAAAGCCTAGCTAATGTCAAGAGCCCTTATCTTGAAGACACTTCTATATTAGTTAATATTTATAATCAAATAAAGAAAAAAGCCCAATTCTCAATATTTCTCGGTGACACCATTCGAAAGTGACCCACGATTCTACACAATCTCTTTCTTCCTTTCCTTTTAGTCTATCTATCTGCTGCCTTTTCTTTGGTACCTTTCTCTCTCTATACATATATTGCCTGGTCCCCCTCTTTTTGTAGCCATTCACCTAAAAATAAATATATAATGTGAATGATTTAAAGATAATACAAGTCTGCGTATCTTGTTCTTTATCCCACTTTATTCTCCTTTTTCCTTTCTATTCCTCTTTTTTCTATTCCATGAACTCAGAATAGTACGTATAAAGTATTATTATTAACATTAATACTTCTTCTACTATTCAAAGTAACGACATGTCTTTTTGTCGTTGTTCTTGTATTGTTCAAAACTAAATATACATATAAAAATTACTTATTCCTCTCACAGCGATTATCTCTTTAAACTACTTCTTATTGGTGACTCTGGTGTAGGAAAATCATGTCTCTTGCTTCGGTTTGCAGACGACATGTTCACCGACAGTTACATTTCCACCATTGGGGTTGATTTTGTAAGCTCATTCCGTTCATCTTTTATTTTTGTTTTTATTTTTATTATTACTTATTTGTTTTCCACAGAAAATTAGAACAATAGAAATTGACGGCAAGGCAATAAAGTTACAAATCGTAAGCTATAAAATATATGCAACATATTATGATAATAAATTTGAGAAGAAAAGAGACTCATAGTATAATATAATATATATTATTATTATTATTATTGGTATGTGTCTATAGTGGGATACAGCTGGACAGGAGCGTTTCAGAACAATCACATCTTCGTATTACCGTGGTGCCCATGGAATAATTATTGTGTACGATGTGACAGATCAAGGCAGTTTTGACAACGTTAAACAGTGGTTACGTGAAATTGATCGTTATTCAGCCGAAGGGGTCAGTAAACTGTTGGTTGGTAATAAGAATGACATGCTTGATCGAAAAGTTGTGTCTACATCAACAGCAAAGGTAAATGATGCTAATGATAATATTCAAGTCAACTGGTCTATATACATATACATATACATATACATATACATATATCGGTTATTGCCTTGATTACTAATCTTCACTATTATTATTATTATTTTTAAAAAATAATAATAAAATAAAAGAGTTTGGCAGAGTCTTTGGGACTACCACTACTGGAAACTTCTGCAAAGAGTGCACTCAATGTAGAACAAGCATTCTCAATTATGGCTAGGCAAATTAAGGATCGTGTGGGTCAATCGGTGGCTCAACCAAATAATTTAAATACTCTCAGAGTTGGTCCAGGAGTATCGATTCAACAGCCAAATCAGACTACTCCAGCAGGATGTTGCTAGTACCAATAAACACAGGCACAAACTCATATATAAATATATACATTTGTGTGGGTACCATATAATACAACATGAACATTCAACTCATCAAACTATATATAAAATATCAAAATATCAAAAAAGTGTCAGAGTCACAATAATACACTCTTTAAATACATACATATATATACATATATATATATTAATAGTATAATTTATTTATTTTTTAATTTTAAAAAAAAATAAAATAATAAAATAAAATAAAATAATAATTGCCTTATTGAACTGCCTTTTTTTTTGCTTAGTTTTTTTTGGGGGGGGAGAGAAGAAATAATGGATGTGTTCTCGATCCTATGGCAGTTCCTGTGCATGTGGGTTGTCATCTATGCATTTGTATTCCTCGTTAAATTCTATACAACCGAGAAAGTAAGAATTTTGTCCACTAAACTTGTTTCTCTTCTTTAATTCCATTGGAAAAGAAGGAGGAATGGGAAAAAGAGAAGAAAAGAGAATAGCATGGTGCTCATCATGCATTAGGATGCCAAACGGAAACCTTATCCCCCATCAGCCATCAGTCTTTTACCAACCTTCTCTACCGGTCATGGAACTGACACCGACACTGACTGCGACTTTGATGACGATCGACGAAATCCAAATACCCCTCTAGTCGAACGAGATCAGTGGTCTATCAAACCATTCCAGATACGCTACACCACCCAAAACTTCAATCGACTTTTTGCAAAAATGACCCGTGCTGCACCACGATTTTGGAACTGGTGGTTTACAATTGGTACTCTGGTGGCCTGTGCTTTAATGGTAGCAGGTGTAGTAGTGATCGGATTAGCAGCATTTAGAATCCTCAGTGGTCTTTACCACGCAATCCTACCTGCACCTGAAACTAGTCATCGAGTAAAAAGAGATTTAGGAGATGATCAAGTGTTTTTACCAATGGTGAGTTTTCTTTCTATTTATTTTTTAACAAGAAAAATAAAAAAGGATTAGAAAATAAGCTTTTATTGATATTATAATTAATCATTGGAAATCAATATATTAGATACCGGGAGTAACACTTCCCATGTCCCATCTTGGATATTACCTGTTTGCATTACTATTCTGTGGTTTAATTCACGAAGCTGGACATGCAATTGCATCTTATAGGTAAGCACACATTGGACTCAAATAGAGATAGAGAGGGAGAGGTTCTTTATCATTATCATCATTTTCTGTTAAAAGAAAAGAGAAAGTTAGAATGGATATAGTGAATATTGTGATTGTTATATATATATATATATTGTATCTAAATAATATATATATATATACAAAAATACATATCCAGTGAGAAAGTTCCTATTCAGAGTGCTGGTGTTTTTGTATATTATCTCTATCCAGGTGCATTTGTCAATGTACCTGACCAGCCCCTTCAATTGCTTTCTCCTTTCCGCCAACTCAAGATTGTGTGTGCCGGTGTGTGGCACAATGCGATTCTATATCTTTTGACACTTTTGTTTTTGTCGGGTGGTCTCAAGGCAGGCCTTCTGCTGTGTGGCTGGAAAACGTTAGAAGGTTTGGGAGGTGTGAGTGTAGTGGATGTCAGAAGTCTGTCTCCACTTGCGACCCACCTATCGACATCTTCTGTAATATATCGACTGGATGATCATCCACTTGACAATAATATAATCGATTGGAACGATTTCTTACTCTTTGATCAAGGAAGGCACAGACCCACTCAGGGATTCTGTACAGAGAAATATCTTGACAATCTTGGTAAGTGTCTTTGTGTTTATTATCACTATTGTCTATTCTTTGGATAGATAGATATTGATTAAACATCTTTTATGTGTTCTCTTTACTTATTTTTTTTTTGTATACAGGCCTTGAGTGTTGTGAAATTAATGATGACACACCCTTTGGAAAATCACCAAACGAAACCCTGTCATGTTTCCAAGACTTTAAATCAGCCTTGGATCTTAAAAAGGTTTGTTAACTACACTTATCTTTATACAATTAATTAATTGAATGTATATTTTTTAAATAAAATAAAATAAAATAAATATATAAATAAATATATAAATTGCTTGTTTTTATTGGGTAAAATCATACAGCCTGAGGATCTTGTATGCTTGCCTGCTCTAGAAATACTTGCTTCTCGGGACAGAAAGAGGTGTACGAGTGACAATGAATGTGAAACCAAATGTATAACACCATATATGCCCTCTACTGGTGGTCAAATTGTACGGATCTATGCCAGGATGCCTAGCTGGGTACAGGGACCTCCTGAAGAACTTGACAAGGTGTTTTTATTTGAGGGTGAATTGGTTGATATATGGGAAAGTGGTAAGTATTATGGGTATGAGTATTATCCTCTATTGATCTATTGATCTATTGATCTAATTATAAAAAATTGCCTAAATCTTATCCTTTCTTCTCCCTCCTTTACTTTTATAGTCAAGGTTGGAATTCTACAGCCTCGATTCTGGATACTGCCTGCATCTATACCTCATATTCTAGAATTATTACTGAGGTAAATATAACTTATACGCATGTCTGTCTGTGACTGAGAGCATGAAATCTTGTGTATCTTTAATATCTAACCTTTTATTTACTTGATGTACGTATGAAAATAATAACAATGAAAATAATAATAATTAGATACGTGTCGTCTTTTACTCTGGCCCTTGCCCTTCTCAATATCTTGCCTGCTTTCCGACTGGACGGAGAATTTGCCTTGGGGCAAATCCTTGTCTTGTTACTGCGCTCAAATCATGGTCCAGTAACGACCCGGACTGGGGACACCCAGCGCTACACCCGGGGTGTTCTTGCAGTAATAGTTAAAGGAACTTCTATTGTAGTTGGATTTGTGATCATTGGTAGTATCATTCTGGGTGTATTCAATGGGCTTTCGGGAGACTTTTAACAATAAGTAAAAAAAAACAATCCACCTTTTCTCTCTCTATATATATATATATTTACAATTTCTCATTTGTGCATGTATCCACTTCTTTTACACTGTTCATCTGGAAACCATTCCTTTTTATTGGCTTCATTTCTTTTTGTCGTTGTTTCTGTTACTGTTATTATTCCTGTTATTGATTCTTATATTCTATATAAATGTTCTGAATCTACCAACTTCATCAATTCATCAATTTCATTAATCTATATATTACAAATTTGTATACAATTATGTCTATTGAATGATAGGCGAGGAAAATGTCGCACAAGGTTGGCTAAATATAGGTTGGCGTACACAAAAATATATAATCATTTCTGACGTGTAATACTGTTACTTGGCATCGATCTTCCTCCCTCTCCCTTATACACAAAAAGATATATATATATATATATATAAGAGTACAATAGAAACCTATTTAGGTTCAAAAAATAACATAACATAAAATAAAATAAAATAAAATAGGATCTTTGCACAACAAGCAAGAGGCCAATCTCTTGAATCACTCTTCTCCCTTTTCTTTATAACATTTCCTTCTCTGTATTATAGAACCCCCAAAAGAAGAACAAGTTTACCCACACCCGTATATACATACATACAATGAACTTGATTCGATTGGTTGCAGACATGATGCATTTGGCATCCATCATCATTCTCTTATTGAAGATTAAGAAATCAAGATCATGTTCAGGCATGTCAATACTTGTTGTTGTTGTTGTTTAAAAGAAAAGAAAAGAAGACAATTAACATACTTTGTTTTATTTAAATACTTCTAGGCATATCCCTAAAATCTCAAGCTCTTTATGCAATCGTCTTTCTCACACGGTACCTAGACCTCTTTACCGACTTTGTCTCAGTCTACAATTCATGCATGAAGGCATTTTTTATTCTGTCTTCACTCTATACGGTTTACCTGATAAAAATCAGATACAAGCCATCATACGACGCGACACTTGATACCTTTAGAATCGAGTATCTTTTGGGTGGATCAATTATTCTTGGACTGGTGTTTACTTCCAAATACACTATAATCGAAGTAATGAAGAACTCTTTATTGATACATGCATGCATTTTTGGTTTACAAATTACAAATTACAAATTAATTAATTAATACTAAAACTTTATTCTTTACAAGGTACTCTGGTCATTCTCTCTTTGGCTGGAATCTGTAGCCATTCTTCCTCAATTGTTCATGTTGCAAAAGACAGGAGAAGCAGAGACGATTACGACACATTATCTGTTTGCACTTGGTGCATACCGCGGTCTTTACACAATAAATTGGATTTATCGTCATTTTTATGAAAAGCACTCCACTGATTGGATTGTGTGGGCAGCTGGTATTCTTCAGACTGCGCTGTACAGTGATTTCTTTTATATTTACTATAATAAGTAAGTACCAAAAAAAATTTAAAAAAAAAATTATGTGAATCTGTATAATAAATACACTTTACATTATACTGATACTTCTATTATCTAGGGTCATCAAAGGTGCCAAGTTTGAATTACCAAAGTATGTATATCATATTGTGCTTTTATTTTTAAATGTTTATTTATATTAAAGAATAGTAATACTAAAGCTTCTTCCTTTTTATATAGAATGGTCTAATTGAAACAAACAAGATATTATATATAAAAAAATACCAATTATACTTTACATACACATTACTTGTATAGTCGTGTATCTATATACACCCACCCGCTCACTCACTCACGCTAATATAAAGTATGTAAATAAAAATCTGGAACAACTGTTTTATAATCACGTCAATAAACGAACAATTCACCAACCAAAAAAAAATCGAGTGGCTTGAACTTATTTTAGACTATCAGGAAAATATGAATTTAAATATTATTTGGCTATATATATACTGAATAGCTTGTATTTTATTTTAGATTTTATAAAGGCCAAAAATGAAATAAATCTTTTGATATCGTCTGGGTAAAGAAGTATTCGAATTAATTGATATTCTTGTTACTTACCAGTTATAAGGGTCCCAAGTTAAGCAGGGATTCATACAATTGAATATAAAATATAAAATATAAAAAATAGTACATCTTTAAATCAAGCGCCTTTTGTAACTAAAAGATGTGTAGCATGAATTAGCAAAAAATCTATCTCAAACATTTTGATTCATTTACTGTAAGAACAATAGAAATAAAAATTATATGCATGTCATTCATAGGTCATTTTTCATACTCATTTTTATTTTATTTTATTTTTCTTTCTTCCATTTGTTCTTCATTCCCATTGCTGTTCTTCAGTGGTCTGATTTTTCCTTTATAGTTACTGTTACTGTTACTGTTATTGTTACTGCTACTGCTACTGCTACTGCTATTATATTTCTTCTTCTTCTTCTACTCCTACTCCTACTTTTTTCTTTTCTTTTCCATTTTTCTTTATATTATATTTCTTATTATAGCTATTATTTTGTTCATACTTCATAAACACTTTCATATTTCTATACTTTATTTTATTGATTGTTGCTATGGAATCCTTCGAAGACCGTCGCCCATCTTCCCCAAGCGCAGAACGTGCAGTGCCCGATGAATACCACACCCTATTAAACGAATTGAATCGACATGTTCATCAAGAACACCCTAAAGATATCATTCAGTTCTGTATAGACTTTTTCAAAGAGAAACTTGAGAAACGTAAAAGAGGATCAATCAGTGGACCTGCATTCGATACACGAGGTAAGATTTTTTTTCAGAATATATGTATGTTTTTAAGTGTATAAACATTTCTTTCTTTCTTTCTTTCTTTTTGTAGAAGCGTCTCCTATCACTACTACCACCAGTGATGAGCTGGGTGGTGGTGAAACCCTAAACGTGCCATTTTCCCGAGGAAGACGTACTTCGGTCAGTGCAGAATCCATCCAACCATCCCAGACTCCTCTAAAGAAGATTGTGATTCCAAAAGACGCCGAACAGCGGAAACAGATCAGAGCCGCGATCCAGAACAACTTTTTGTTCAAAAACATGGACGACGACCAATACAACGACATCGTCAATGCCATGGCCGAAAGAAAGGTTGATGAGGGCCAGATAGTCATCAAACAAGGCGGAGTCGGCGATTATTTCTACATTGTTCAGTCGGGCACCTTTGATTGTCTGATAAACGACCACAAGGTCACCTCATATGGTCCAGGAGGAAGCTTTGGTGAACTGGCCCTGATGTACAACGCACCCCGTGCGGCCACTATCATCGCAACCTCAGACGGCGTGCTATGGGCACTGGACCGAGTGACATTCCGGTCTCTCGTGGTCGAAAACACGGCCAAGAAGAGAATGATGTATGAGCACTTTTTGGAAGAAGTTCCATTATTCAAATCTCTCAACAAGATTGAACGGCACAAGATTGCTGATGCCCTTGAATCAATTCAATACGAAGACAAGGATGTGGTTCTTAATCAAGGCGATTACGGAGACAATTTCTACCTCATCGAAGACGGCGAGGCGACATTTTACAAGAAAGGCAAGGATGGCAAAGAACGTATGGTCAACAAAGCTATCAAGGGAGACTATTTTGGAGGTAAAATTTTAATCGATAAGAAGAAGAGGGATTATCTATATAGCTCTGCTTATGAGACAATAATCATAACAACATACTTTTATGTGCATTCATTAATTTTTTCTTGTATCCGTATGCACATTTAATAGAACTTGCTCTCATCAATGACCGTCCTCGTGCAGCAACTGTGGTTGCAAATGGTAGATTGAGATGTGCTACTCTAGGCAAGAATGCTTTCACAAGACTTCTTGGACCTATCATGGATATTCTCAAGAGAAACTCACCAGAAGATCACCCAGAGCAATAATGTATATATATATATATATACATATATGCATATATAAAAGATTACTAGAAAAATATAAGAAGAATATTATAATTGCCATCTACTTGTACTTGTATTTGTACTTCTTCTACTTTTACTTCTTCTTCATAAGTTATCCCTCTCTCTCTATTTTCCCCCCTTTCCTCTCCCTTTATTATAATTGTATTTGTATTTTCTTTTCTCTTTTCTCTTTCCATTGCTTTCTCTCTCTCTCTCTTTATTTCAAATATATATATATATATATATATATAATAAATCATAATCACTGTAATTTACATATAAATATTATTACTATTTTTTATGAAAGATGTATTACAGACTTTTGTAGCATATTTAAAACAAAAACAAAAAGACACTTGACCAGGAATTCATATTGCCTTGGTTTTTATATTCTTTATGTTTAAAGCAGTGTGATTTTAACTCCAGATAGTTCTTCCTTTTGGATACGAGAAACTATCTACAGATTACGATATATACCCATCTTTTTCTCTCTCTTTCTTAAAGAAGATGGTGCACCATGCCAGATGGTATAAAGAGATAGAGGTATATAGTGAGTCATAAGCTTTGACTTTCTTTCTTTCTTTCTTTCCTTGCTTGTCCAGAGCCCGGATCACAATTCTATTGAGCACATTTATTATTATTATTATGATTGAAAGAAAAAGCAAATGTTATCAATAGCATGGTTTGGATTTTTCTTTTCTTTGTTGGGAAATTTGAAAACCGACCCGTCAACTTGCGTTCGGTAAGTTACACATGCATTTGACGGCAAGGAAACACAAGACTTACGTAACCAAGGCAACGTTTTACTATCTTTTACTTTTTTACTTTTTACTTTACATCTATATTTAGACTTGACCTTTTCCCTTTTTTTTCCCTTCTTTGTCTCAATCTCGTAATTAAGCATCTATAATGGATCTAGTAAAAGACATTCTGTTTGAAAAGGTAAAGAAACAAGAAAAGCATAGTTCTTGTATATAATGAACAAGAGATTCAAGTTTTACATCTTTTCTTTGAAAAATAATCATAATCATAATAATTACTTATCATCAAAATACTAAATTCAATATCATTGTTTGTTTTAGCAAGAAGGAAACCTATGTGCACAGCATGCTCTCAAGTAAAGCTCCTTTTTTTTATTATTTTATTTTTATTGTATTCATTGTGAATCAAAACCATTGTGCTTATAAGCGTGCGTACACATATATACATACATACATATATTTGAATATTGATATTAATAATGACAATAATATTGAAAGCACAGTGCTCTCTTGCAAGGTAAGAAATAATAGATATGAAAGATTGACCTGCATGATTATTAGTATTAGTATTATTATTTTATTGATTTATTCTGTTTCCATTTTCTCTCTCTCTTTATGTATTCATGTGTAAAAAACCAAAAAACCAAAAAAAAAAAGGCAATTATTTCACAGCAGTCGATTTGGCTACTATTGGACAAGAACTCGATCGTGAAGAAAGTAGAGTAACTGGAGTGAATGTTAGTGGTAGAACAAGTCAGAATTACGATGATTCTGGATTCTTTTCTATTCAGGTAATAGCAATCATATATACAACATATTGTATGCGTTTATAATTAATGAATTAATTAAATACTGTCTTTGTCAGGTTATCCAAAATGCACTTTGTATTTGGAACCTAAGCTTAGTACCATGGCTTTCTGAAGAAGCAAGTGATGCAAGGGAACATCCAGAGTAGGTCAAGAATAATAAGAAGAGAAAAGACAGATTATGGCGGTGAATATGATGTATTATTGAAAATATAAGACAAGATGAGATAAAGAAAAAAAAAGGGATAGTACAGCTATATGGTCTCAGGGACAAGGAAATAATTTACGGGCGCTGTGTGTGTGTGTGTGTGTTTTCTTTTTAGAAAGGAAGCTGCCTACATTTGTAACTTGAATCAACACTGGTAAGCTCAAAATCCCTGTTTTACTACTGCCTTTATCTTGAACATGGTTTGAAAATCCAAATATGTAAATATTTATATTTTGTGTACAAAGGTTTACATTACGCAAATTCTCTGTGCCTTGGAGATGGTACAATCTAAACTCTACGCAATCTGCACCTATACATCTCAGTGAGACATATCTTGGTTTATTGCTACAACAAATTCAGAATGAAGGTAAGCAGCCCAAATAATAATAATACTAATACTAATAATAATTCTGATAATCTCTTGTGAAAAAAAAAAGGTTATTCTGTGTTTGTTGTGAGAGGATCACTTCCAGATTGTGTAGCTGATAGACTTGCAATTACGTTACCACGCCCACAGAAATCAACCCAAGACAAGAAAAAGACATTAGAAGCCTTCTCAGGACAAGGTTACTCACTCAATGGTCCCACAACCATTCCAGGCCTCCCAGAGGGCGAAGACGAAGACGAAGAAGTCCAATTGGCCAAAGCAATTGAGGCCAGTCTACAAACCTCTCAAACCCAGTCTGTGGATGAGCTTCGAAAGAAACGACTAGCACGATTTGGTGGATAGACTGGGATACTTTTAACTCATTAAATATTATTATTATTATTTCCCTGTAAGCTATAGGAGTAGATTTAACTCATGATCTAGAAAGAATTGTTTTTGGATCACTATTTATATTCCCAAGAACCATAGAGCATTAGAAATCATCAAGTCAATACACACTTACATACATGTTTTACTATAAAAGGTTGCCTTAATTGCAAGCATTTATGCTGTAAGAAAAAGCTTGGACCATCCGAGGTAAAGGGATGATAGATTGCACTGGTAGTTTTTGCAATTAGTCTAATATAAGCACGTACATACATACAGAAGTATAGAAGAAAACAAGATTGTATCCCCTTGAATAACCCAACATTATCGTTCAATTACTGCTTGTCACTTTACCCTATCATATTCTATAGAGTCTTTCCTTGCACCATTTCATTAAGCAAACTCATCAAACAATTAAAAATGCACAAAGACAATTTTTTTAAAAACGGTGACTTTAATGATGAAGAAAAAAAATGCTATGATTAAAACCTAGGACAGCTATGCATTTGATGATAAACAAAAAGGGGGACCATATCATGACTATGCTAAGTATTATGCTGGAGGATGAAATGAAAGCAACTGGGTGCGGCTTTGTTATTTTAGTGGCCAGAGTTCTGGGAGACACTGTTCTTGACACTGTTGTCGCTGGCAATACCACCCTTGAAGAAGTTGTTGAGTGCACCGCTGACATTACCCTCATTTCCGACATCCTTGACGGACTGCTTGGAGTCGTGGTGCTTGGACTCGTGGTGCTCGGGCTCGTGGTGCTCGGGCTCGTGGTGCTCAGGCTCATGGTGGACGGGAGGAGGAGGAGAGTGGTGAACTGGAGGAGGAGCAGGGTGGGAGACACCCTTGTCATGGGCATGGGCCTTTTGCCATCCGGGACCCCAGGGAGCAGCTTGGGCGGTGGCAGCGAAGATGGCAACAGCAGCGAGGATAGAGGTGAACTTCATGGTTGATGATTAAGTAAGTAACTTTTAGGGGTTTATTTTGTTTTTCCTTTTGGATTGGAAGTGGGTTTTCGACTTGTGAGAAGAAGAGAGTAAGAGAGAAGAGAGAGAGAGAAAGAGATGCTTGAGTGGATGAGGATAGAAAGAAGAAGGCAGATGTTGGTCTTTATATACCATTTGAAATATCAACCCCCCTTTCTTTTTCTTTTTTTTTCTTTTGACTTGCTTACTTTCTTGCTTGCTTAAAGTTCTTGAATATTAACCACAGTGCTCAACTTTAGACTTTCTTAGTTTTATTTTTATTTTATTTTTACTAGCCAAACTTAATCTAACCGTTAAAGCTCTAGAACTCCTTATTAGATAAAAACAGCAACAGCAATGATAATAATATTGAGAGATTCGAATAAAATAAGAAAATTCCCCTATAAACCTCCCTTTAGTCTGCAAATTTGGCCATCTGTTTGAATAGAATATCTCCTTGGCAAAATGAGTTTTTTTTGTTTAATTCGATTTTGCTTGGGTTTTGCCACGATATTTACACAATTGATTATATCTCAATGTTTCTATACTTTCACTTCTTTGTTTTTGTTTGGCTTCAGTAGATTATCTCTGTAGTACATATAAAGCTTTTACACAAATACAGGGATGTGATATCTTTATTTTATTTTATTTTTATTTTGTTAGGGGTTCTCAATGTCATTCTGCTCAGCATAAAATAGCACTAATACTAATCCTAATCCTAATCCTAATGCTGATACTAACATTGGTAATCCCTTGCTACCAATTTCAATTTTTTTTTCTTTTTCTTCTTTCTTATTTAGCCCCCCCCCCCCCACCCCCCCCTTCTAATCCTCCATCACTTTAACTCCTCAGGTTTACTCTCCAATTAAACACCTCCTCTTATTTCCAAAAATAAAGACCACAACGAGGTAAGAAAGAAAGAAAAAAGACTTTGTATTTGTGACCTGGACCTACTATTGATCTGTTCCTATCGATCACAAAAGGAGAATTGATCTCCAAATACTATAGAGTATGGCATAGGAGATACTTGGCGTCTATGATTTTATTTTTATTTTGAATTTGATGTGTAGAACGATAAACTAGCTGTGGGGTATAGAATGTTTCTTTTGGATATGTATATGTACAGTCGCATAAAACAGAAATATATTTGTAGACACATAGAGAGATGCACAGGGATAGAAGGTGGAGTATAATGAGCTCTGATTGCATGATAACTGCACCCACAAACTATGCTTTATTTCTTAAACTACCAAAGAAGTATGTATATATACTTTCTTTAGAAAACAAATACATGTCATTAGGCCATACTACAGAATTGTCTACAAAACGGTCCCAAAATTGAGTACAACTAGAGTAAACCAAAGGTAATGATGTACTTTGCTTTGTATTCCAAATATTAGCTACAAGATTTCTTCTTTAAAGAAAAGAAATACGATGATTTACAAGGTTTGTTAGTTTCTGCACACATCTTCTTTCTAGATCTAAGTAAATAAATAAATAAAACAAGGAATTGGATAGGTTGAGGGAATATCATTTAGTCCAACGAATGCTTTTTATTTATTTAGATCTGCAAGTCAAAATAAAAGAAGAATCTATTGAACATTAGTGATCTTCCTTAGTAATAATATCTACTGCCAATCTAATTATCACGACTCTAATCTTTGTCACTTTCTCTTTATTAAAATAAAGTGAACAAAAGGTAGCAATAAGAAGAATTAGAAAAATAGGGGGAATAGAGAGACAGACAAAGTGAACCAGACTTGCGAATATAGGGCGATTATTACCAGAGCCTATTACCAAAAGTCACTCTTTCTTTACACCTTTCAATTGAGCGTGCAAAGTACATACATGTGTGCGTGTGTCTATATAGTCTGTTATTTTTTTATATAAAAGAAAATAAATAAGAAAGACACAATATACTGCAGTCTATGCTATTTAGTAAGATCTACATCTATTTCTTTAACCTCAAATTGCTTATTGTTTTTTTTGTGTTTTTGATCCAAGGACTACAAAACGCCTGTACTTTATTTTCTTATTCACAATAATTCTGATATTCCTATCGATCAGCAGCTCGCATCGATCTTTTATCTGAGATATTCTGCTGTCAATTAAAGGGGAACAAACTTTATTTGACCAAAAAAATAAAAAATATTTATGAAAATAAGAGACTCCTCTCACTTAAGAAGTGGCCTGTATAGGACTACCAGTCAAAACACATTTACAATTATATTAATGAATGTGTATGAGGGAGAAATAACATATTAATATTTCTATATATATAGTGTGTAATGTCCAATGTCTACCGCTAATGTACAAATATTTCTTACCTTGAATACTTGATACAAAACAAAACAAACTTCTTTTATTATTATTTTGGTGGCCTAAACGCACAGCAGATTTTCTTTTTCTTTTTTTTCTTTGGTGCCTGGTTTTGCCGCGCTTATGTATTATGCTCTACAAATGACATTATCTTGTACATGAATCTCAAAAAAGATACTAGATAATTGTGCACACACCTGTAGCGTATATACTTTTTATATATAATAACTAACTTTAGTCTCCTTAATCAGTCTGTAAAAAATAGAAACTTTAATTACTCCTTTTGATTTGAGCCTTTCACTTGTTTCTTCGTGGTCGTAAGTGTCACCCAGGATCATTATTTGATTTTGTATAATTTTTGTTCTCCTTGGGTCACGGAAAATATTGTTCCGATTTTGTACCCTTTTTTTTTTCTTTTTTTTTTTGTACACATTCTCTGCCCTTTGTACAGTTGTGGCTTGTTAAGCCTGTCCCACCCCCCCTGGTCCTACACAATCAGGAGCGGTTGCGAGAAAGACAATGGTAGACAAAGTACATTGTACATTAGGGTCCAATCTTCACATTAAATAGCACAGTTGGTCATTTGTTTGATTTCAAACAAGTCTACAGGTTCTTGGCGTCTAACAGAATCTTAAGATTCCTTTGACCTTAACAACCAACCCATCACAAAATCATATATACATATATAATTCTTTATTATAATTTTTCCCTTCTTTTCTCTCACATTATAATTATTGTTACTATTTATGCGCCCCTTATTCTTCCTTCGTCCTGGCCGGCTAGTCAAACTGGGTTCAGTAACGGCTTCTGCAAGTGTCGCCTATTACGTGCTTAAGAAACATGCAGAAGATACTAAGAACCCTGCTGTTGGTGGTGGTAGTGATGGTGGTACTACTACTGGTGCTGCAGCACTAACCGCAGACTATATACCGCCACCTTTTTACTGGGAAACCATACCAGGATTTATCAAAAAAAAGTTTGAGCCACCTTACCCTGCCAATTCGTCAGCCTGGAATTTTATGAGTAGTCTGGTTATGGGCGGTGTGGGTTCGTTTGGAAAGTTCTTTATTTACTGTCTCAATGACACACACACACACAATATGCAACCTACTTTGGATATCATCGATCAGGAAAATCGCGCAAGAGGCCTAATTACTGGTATTGAAATATAAATATGTATCTTATCTATGCATGTGTGTATGTGTATATATGTATAAACGCAACCGCAAATGCAAATGCGAAAAGAAAGCATATACATATGCACACAAGACAAGAAAAGACAAGACAAGACAAGACAAGAATTTTGTATATATTACTATTATTATAGGACGAGAATAACCAAATGACAGCTAACTTTTTGTAGTATCCAACCATGCATCAGTCTGGGACGATCCTTTTCTCTGGGGTGTGCTTCCAACTAAAACGTTGTTTTCTGTCGACAAGATGCGTTGGGTGTTGGGTGCTGCAGACATTTGCTATACAAGTCTGTAAGTGTGTGTGTGTCTATACTTCTTCTTCTTCTTCTTTTGATAGTACTAGTGCTAGCACTACTGCTAATAATACTATTTGATATAAACCTCTCTGGATTAAATTAAATTGAATTAAATTAAATTGAATTAAATTAAATTAAATTGAATTGAATTAAATTAAATTAAATTGAATTGAATTGAATTAAATTATTTTAAATTGAATTGAATTGAATTGAATTGAATTGAATTGAATTGAATTGAATTGAATTAAACCATTAGTTTCAAATCCCTCTTCTTCTCACTCGGGCAAGGTATCCCAACCATTCGAGGAGCAGGTGTTTATCAACCAGCAATTGATTTTGCTATTCACAAAATGGACCAGCACCAATGGATCCACATATTTCCCGAAGCCCGTGTTAATCAAGGGGATGATCTAATTCGATTCAAATGGGGTATTGGCCGTATTGTAATGGAAGCAAAGGAGTGCCCAATTATCATTCCTGTTTGGCACAAAGGCAAGTACTTATTTTTATTTATTTATATTGGTTCATATTTATTTATATACACATAAAGAAGAAGAAGAAGGGGGGAAAGGGGAAAGGGAAATTATAGAGAGAAAAAGAAAAGGATTAGTAAATAGATAGATAGATATCAAGAATCAATGAGTCCTGACTTTGGACTCATTATACAACCTACACCTATACACACAATTTATACATACAATTTATCAATCTATTCATTTACCAATCAACAACCAAAAACCAAACAAAACAAAACCAACAACAAAAAAAAAGGAATGGAAATTGTTCGACCATTAAAGGGGCCATTTGTTCAACTGTTCAATCCAATTACTGTGGTTTTTGGTGAACCCATTGATGTCCAGGATGTATTGAATGAGTGGCAACAAGGCAAGCTAAGTGAGGAAGAAGCCAGAATAAGAATCACATCAATTGTCTATGAAGCCTTGAAGAAGTTAAAAGAAGATGCCGAAAACAATAGACTGAAAAACTAAACGATAGACTCCATCTGTAACACTAAACAAGACATATATATATATATTTGTATTTGTATTTGTATTTATTCAATCAATCAATCTATAGAAGCAACATTTAATACTGATACTAATTATAATAATAATTTAATAAACATTATATTTTTGATATTGAATATATTAATTGATAATAACTGTGTATTGCTTTTATTTTAAAAATACTAATAGAGAAAAAGGTGATGTATGCTATTTGACAAGATGTGTGTAGTGTATAGTATGTATGAGAGTGAGAGAGCGCGTGATTTTAGGTAATAAAGATGTTGAATTGGAATGATATTTAGTTGTTTTGAAGTGGTGTGGGAGTCTTTGCCGATGAATAGCTTTCTTCTTCGTCTTGAGCTTGTTGCATTGTAAGATCTTCCATCACCTCTGTCTTGTAAGTGTGTCTTGCACTGAGATCTTTTAATGCCTTTTTTGATATCCCACTGGGTTCATCCATATTGACTTCTTGAACGTTTGTCAACGAATCATCCATTTTTAAGAAAACTTCGCTGCCACTCTTGACAACCACGGGTGGCCGTTTATACTTCTTACGGTATTCTTCTAATTTCTCCAAACTGATGTCACTTCCGCCTGTCACAAGTACAACCACATCACTTTCGGGTGAAAGAGACGGCAGGATATCTCGAATGATCTGGGTGTAGCAAAGTGAAAGTCCAGCACCAGCTGCTGCTTCCACTAATGTCTTGTTGTCATCTTGAAATACCGATATCAATATCAACATAACCTTCAAAAGACTTGCTTGTTTAAATCTAAATTAATATTCTTACCAGCAAAGAGTCTTGCTGCATCGGCTGCCATTGCATCGCTAACTGCAAACGGAACTACTGGATGGACCAGACTTAGTTCAAGAGACTTTGAGCTGACAGACTTGACTGCTAAACTTGATGCAATTGTGGTTAACCTTGGCAGGGTCACCATTTTTCCTGCAACTACTGCAGACTGGAACGAGTTGCTCCCATGGGTCTCCACTGCAATCACTGGGACTTGTTTCCAACCAATTTCTTGGAGTCCCATAATAACCCCATTCAATAATCCTCCACCTCCAACAGGGCAAATTATAGCTGCAGGCGGGTTATTCTGTAGCTGGGATTTCAATTCATGAATAAGTGTAGAATGTCCTTGCCATATGTGCGCATGGTCTGAAGAAGGAACATAGACACTATACATTCTGTCAGAATTGACATGTTCTTTTTTTTCGCTCCCCTCTTTTCACACCCTATGCTATCCCATCTTCTTCTCCCTCCATATCTATTACTATTATTTTAATATACACACATACACACACATGTATATTACATATGCATATATCCCTTACTCATTACGCTTTAGCAGTTTACGAGCATGTGATTCAGACGCAGTAAAGTCCTATTCAAGAATAACATTTTGATTAGAACTCTATCTAGCTTCCAATCCTTTAAAACTACACGCTCCACATTACACACACAAAATATATGCTAATCATTTCGCTTTCTTTTCTTTTCTTTTCTTTTCTTTTCTTTATCGTTTTACCACTTACATCACCAAATAGAATAAGATGTGCTCCTTCTAATCGAACACCGTCGCATATACTCTCATTTGTATTTTTTGGGAGTACAATCACAGCATCCACACCGAGCTGTCTTGCACAATAAGCAACAGCAAGAGCAGTATTGATCCCAACACCACATATAAATCGGATATCTGTGCCTCGTAATTGAACAGTTCGATAACAGAAATTACCGATTCCTCTAAAAGAAATAATAAAAATAAACAGCTATTTCTTCATATACATATATGTCGCTATTATCCTTGCTTTAGTACCTCATCTTGACTGAGCCTGAAGGTTGAATATTCTCCATTTTGAGAAATATATTGCTGCTCATTTTCGACTTTTTTTGTGAGAAATTGAGTTTTACCATTACGAATAGAAGGGAATTGGGGCATTATATATATATATTTCTCTCTCTTTTTTTTTCATAAAGAAAAAAATATGGAGAATGAGAATAAAGGGTTGGTTATTACAAACCTATTGAGTTTCACACTTAGACGAGAAGAATGAAGTAGGGGAGTTCCAACATGCATCGTTTGTGATTCATCAAGTAATTGATTCTCTTCATCAGAAGAATCTTCAATCATTTCCATATATATATATATATGTATGTATTGATATATATGTCCAAGTATGTCTATATGTTTATATATATATATATATATAATACAGTGCAAAGAAGAATAGAATAGAGCAAAATTAAAAAAAAGAGGATATACTTCTTTTATCTGACAGAAGAATCTATCATGTACTCATCACGTGGTTTGCATACAAACGCGTCCCAAAAATATATTACCGCGTTTAAGCTTATTTCTCGCGTTACGTGTGTCTCGAGGATTCTTACTTCCACATTAAGTACAAATGTCAACCATGGTCTTTGTAGAGATTCTTCAAAAAGCTGGTTGTACTTTGGATCTTGACAAATCGTCAGTTACATTTCGTATGTCCTTTTGACTTTTTGTTTTTATTACTAGCATTACTACTATTTGTACACAGATCTATCATGCACATGTACATGTACACACACATTTACATTTAGACATTTCATTGGATTACATTACCTCATCTTCTTATTATTCTTATTCTTGCCAAACTTACATTCTTTTCCCCCGAAATATCACAGAGGTCGAGCCTATTCTGTTTCGCAGACAATTAGGACGAATTTTGCGCAGCCATGCGAATTACCCAGACATTGTCGATGAGTTTATAGAGAATCTTCAAACGGTTACTGAAGACGTAGAAATCTTTAGAAGATGTCTGTTACCTTCAACGGTATCAGAACAAGTATCAAGATCAAGCCGGTAAGGAGAAGAAAAGAAAAGAAAAGAAAGAAATAAAGACTTGCATTAGTTTGAGTATATTTCTTTATTTTGTTAAAAATTAAATTAAAGTAGAGCAAAAGACTTTTCTGCATAATTTAGTATTATTCTTATAATTTAAGTAAAAGACCAAAAGACAAAGAGTATATGGATATGTATATACATAAAGTATGTAGGCATAGACATAAGAAATATAAATATATGTATGTATATTTTTTCTTCTTCTTGTTTGTAGAGCCACATTAAATTCAACTAGTCTTTTCAAGACCCTTTTGGCAGTGGATGTTGTTCAACCAAAGATAATCACCTATCTTCTTGAGAGACTTCCTGAGTTTTACACTGAATTGGAGAATGAGTAAATACTTGAGAATGATAGTAATAGTAATAGTAATAGTAATAGTAATAGTAATATGCGTTTCATACATATGTATGTAAAGGAGTCTGACAAAGTAATTCACAAAAATATTTCTATACTTCTTTTCTTCTTTTCTTTCGTTCAATACCTCTCTCTCTCTTTTTTTTTAGCAACTCAAGCTCATCTACTCCTCGTCTCATCCTTCAACAACTTCGCTGGTTGGATTATATTGTTGAACCAGAAGTACTGACAGACAAACTTATTGAGGTTAAATATAAACTTTCTTTTCTATTTCTTCTTTGATTTATGAATATAAAGAGAGTGATAGAATATGTATATTTCTTTAAGAAGAAGAGTAAAAAACAAACAAAAAACAAAAAGTTTTGATACTATTATTATTATTATTATTATTAGTATATTGTGTATCTGTATATATTAATTGTGCTGTGTTGTGTTGTAGATTATTGATATTACACCACCTATAATCCAGCATGAGATCATTACTTCTTTACCAGAGATTATTAATGACTCTGAACACAAAGTAAAGTATTTGTTCTTGTAAATTGATATACAAAAGTGCACAGAAAGTAATACTAATACTAATTTTGAAATGAATTTCACTATTGATAGCCTATTGTCGTCTATCTGAAAGAATTGATGATGATCAATACTGTCTTGACTGTTCCAATCCTAGATGCTCTCTCCAATTTGACACTTCATTCAGAAAGCTTGGTAAATAAAACCAAAGTGTATACTTGTTTGTATCAATTAACTCATGCTATAATCTATTTTTTTCTATTAAGGATGATGTACGAGATGTTGTACTAGAAAGACTTGATTCTGCAGAACTGGATGATCTTCCAGTCATTGTTAAATTCTTGCTTCACACCGTCTCTCCAACCACAGTTGATATTGTAAGTTTTTCTTTTCTTTTTTAATATACAAATATATCTATATATATTATCTAATGTTACAATGAATTAATGGATTATTGTGTAGGTGATTTCTGGTATTCGTCAAAATCTAGACTTTAGAACCCTGGGGAAAGTACAGCAGGCCGAAATTTCACATTCTGTTGCTGGCCATAAATCCAAACTACAGAAAGAGGATTCTAATAAGCACTATCCAGAGGCCTTGATTTTAGGTACAGACAGATAGACACATGTATACATTCCCTCACACTCACACTTGTATACCCAATGTACAGAATCCATCAAACTTGGCTTACAAGTTCACAAGTTTGTCTGTGATGGCTGGATTAAGGCAATCTCGGCACTCAATGGACCAGTAAGTACAATAACCTTTTTTATATAACCAGGTTTAGATACCTAACCAATCCTTTTTTTTCCATTTTATTTACTTATTTAGCGTGAACATAAAGTATTGGATGTCTTGATCCTATTCACTTTACACTCTATGCCTTCCACAAAGAAAAAGGCAGAATCCATATTTAAGAAAAAGATTCTTTGTGGTGGGATTACTGGTGCTCTTCTTGAAGAAACAATACTCTGTCATGCAAATGGATTGACAAGGTACATTATATATTTTTATTATTATGATTACTATGTGATGGCTCTATCTAAACAACTTTATATACATCGTTTCAAGTTACTGGAATACAATCCTTTCTCTGACAGAATTTGTATTGCGCTCCAATCAAAAGAGTACCGCAGTCGCTCAATGTGCAGGTGCACTTTATGCTAGTGCATTCAAATCATGCGATGCTTATTATAGACAGGTATAAAAGAAGAGAAAAACAAGTTTTGACTTGGACTTCTGCAACCCTACAGAGCCACCAACATATATATATATATATATTTACTTATATCCCATAGCTAACAAATTATTTGCCTCGATCATGTGTATAGGAAATCGTTGGTTTACTTGTAACCCACATTGGCAGTGGTGAAATATCCTTTATGTATATAATGTTAATGATCGAATAGCTCAACTTTGGACTTGATCTTTTATTACCTTGACCATCCTTTTTTCTTTCTTTCTTTCTTTATTCACGTAGTTGAAATGAATGTAGCACTCAGTGTTCTGCTCAAGCTAGTTAGGTCGGATGCCAAAAGCATGGCAGTGTATGCAGACTTTGTAAAAGGAATCTTGGATTACCTCGATAATCTTTCACTTTTCCAGATCCGTACACTCTTTAACATCTTTAGTGTCCTTGCATTGATGGTGAGTGTCTTTCTCTTTTATTTTATCTTTTTAAAAAGAAATATACGCACACATAAATTATTATGATTAAATATATGTATACATGATTTTCTTTATAGGTGGAAGACCATTGTGATGGAAGAGATTCTAGTCTCTGGTCTGATATCCAGATTGTTATTCGCAAACAGCTATCAAACCCACGAGAGAAATATAAAAAGATTGGTATTATAGCGTGTATTGCTGCTATTGAGGTTCTTGGATCAAAACAAACTTGTTCTGAAGCAGCGACCGGTTCAAGCACACAAGGTAACTCGGATTCGTACACCGCAGAACAGGCTCTGCGACATCCGGTACTCAAACAGGCCATTGATTTGGTTGATATGGTACTTCGGCATTGTAAGCAGTATCCCGTAAGTTTTACTTTTTAACTCTTTAGATAAATAAATAGAAAAATTGGTGTAAAGTCAAAAGAAATATTGTTCTTATTGCTGCTGCTTTTTATATATATTGGTTTTGGTTTTGGTTTTTGTAGTTATGCTTGGCATTAGTCTATGATGAACTTTCTCACTCGGTGAAGAGTGGTTGCTTAGACAGGCGGTTTGAACTTTGGGTTCGGGACAAGATGACAAATGATTTCCTTGAAAGCTACATGATGGATCTAGAGGAAGCTACTCAGAAAGTTGAATCTGCACAAAACAACCATGAGATATCGTTTAAGCCAGAACTGTGGATGAATCTGGACAAAGAGGTAAATACATATATAAAGAAAGAAAGATGAATACTTACAGAGCAATTCTATATAGGAATCACAAGTTGTCATTAACCTTTACGACTTGGTTCATGGAGTAGAAGAATCCAAAAGAAGATCGCTTGTGATCCCGCTTTGTTCAATCTTTAACCTCATGCAGAGCTGCGAAAAAAGAATTACGGACGGGAAACTTGACGATGTGGATGCTGTATTGGGTTGTGGAATTGTTCTTTTTCAAGTGGATGATATTGATGTAAGTTAAGAAGAATACATTCATGGATAAATAAGATTCAATCATTTGAAACAACTCAAGATTTGTATTCAAATTAATCCCTTCTTCTTTTATTATCATTATATATAGAATATGGTTCGTGAACTTCATCCAGAAGAGTTTGAAGAAGCTTGCGATCTCTTGTTTTATGCAGTCAATTGGTAATATTGATCGATTGATTGATTGATGGGTTATTTATTAAATCTACAACTACATCAATTGACTGTTTTATGCTGGTCTTTCTATAAACCATTAGGTACAGAGAACTTATCAAGGCATTTTCTACGCTTGAGGATGCAGAAACACGCGAAAAACTTGCTTTACGTTTGAAAAACATCATCACGCTCGAAAGTGTACTTGAGAAACTCTTGAAACATGTACCAGGCTTTGTGCCCCTTGAATTCCATGCGTCTTCTTCAGCCCCAAACACAAGAGACAGCACAAAGGCCCACGTATTAAATGCTGTAAAGTTATTAAACTTTATTTTCTTTTCTTTTCTTTTCTTTTACCATTATGATTGATAACAATAATGTGTTTCTTTCTTTAGCCTGGTACACAAAACAGTCAAATGATTAAATCTGATCCTACTTCTGGTCAAGATTCCCAATTTGAGATTTTCAAAGCTCCTTTCAAGAAAGACGCCGGGCCTCGAGCATATTTACCACAATTCGAGACTATTAATGATTTGAGAAAGTACATGCGTGCTTTAGATGTAAGTAAACCAAAGAAAGAAAGAATGAAAGATACAAATAAAGGAACATTGAGCTTGGAATTTATATTTAATTATTTTTTGATTATTAGATTAATGCACTACGTCTACTAAAGCCTGTCGAAACTTCTAGTGGAGAAATCATTAAATTTGATGTAAGAATAAAACAAAACAAAAAAAAAACTCAAAGAAGTTTGCTTATACTGGATTTGTATTAGTACAAAGAAAACAATTATCTCTTGAAGGATCTAAACCAGAAGCTTGACATAAAGCTTGGACAGACAGTAAAAAAGAAGATCAATGAAGATAGATTTCCTACAAGCAATGCCATACTTTTAGAGAAAATAAGCGCAGCCCGGTTTGTAAAAGAGGTAAGGCGATTAACAACAACAAAATAAAACTATTTTTTGTGTGTATGTATGTTTATTTATTTATTCATATAAAAATATAAAAAAAAAAGGTGGTTCAATATTTGCCTTTGATCCTTCAAACGCTAGAAAATCTATATGAAGATGCACAACTTCAGGTAAGTCTTTTTCTTTTGTTTAGAAATCTACCTATGAATATCAAATATATGTATATCTTATGGCAGACTATGATTATTAAATATTTTACTTTTCATTAGGAAAATGAACCTGGAAGAGTAGAAGAGGGAGGAAGAGAAATGGCATTGAGTATTAAGTTGTGTGTCAATATTCTTTCAAAACTGTTCTTGTGGCCTGATCTTGAGAATATTGAAAACAGTTTTATTCTACAAGTAAGACAAAGTTTTTTTTTTAAAAAAAAAAAAAAAATTGTGATAATCATATATTTAAATATCCTACTGTCAATTAGAGCCTCGTGAGTTGTTTGGCTGACCGGATATCCGAGATATCCACCAAAAAAAACGCGCTCAATTCAATTATCCAAGACGCATTTACGTATCTATCCCGCTTTGGTGACAATATGATGGAAGCCAGACCTTCAGTAGATCTGTCCAAGATTCTGATTCGCATGATGGCACTTTCTGACAATCCATCCTCCATGAAACCAGGTGCACTGGCGGCAATAAATCGTATCTTGTCTACAAACTGGCTCGATAGAATAACCATAAAGGTAATATATATATATATATATAAAGGGCGGGCAGTCATAAATTAATCTTATTGGCTAAGCCTATTTCAAACTTGTTTTGAACCTTTTGGTCTGTCCACACCAATTGCAATCACCATATTTTTTATTTTTCACCTTGAACATTGACTTATTCTTCACTTTTTTTTTTAAAAAAAAAGAAAGATATTCTTTTCTTGGTAGAAAAATCGATTGAATTAAGTGAGGATCCTCTCCAAGTTATGTATGAGTACATGACATTTGTGTTACCCACTTACGAGAGAGACAGCTGTGATGAAAGAGATCGAGTTGTTGAAGACTACCCTTTACTCAGACCAGACACAGTATTATATTACTATCAAGTAAGTGTGTTTTGAATCCTATTGTATTTCTTCTTCTTAAAAAAAATTATATAACTTGTACATATATTTCTCTCTATCTCCTTAGGCTGTGTTGAACCAAATAGTCAGTAACCTACAGTCTTCTCAAAGATCTGGTATGGAATTCGAAGACATGGTTCTTTACTATTCAAAGATTGTCAAGCTCTTTGAGCGCACTACAAATAATATCAAAATCAAGAGCCAGCGTGAACTCTTTATTCATTTGCTCAAGACCGGCCGAGTCTTTATCAAACTCTTTACGGTGATCTGTATTCCGTTTTTTACCAATGTGTTCAAGGCTTACAGAGAAACAATCCTTTCGACATTCAAGGATTTCCAGACAAGTACTCGAATTCTTCAAGTAAATAATGGATCTATAATGATTAAGTTGGATAACTAACATTGTACACATATTATTTTTTGTGTCTTTTTATATAAACATTTATATGTTGTGTAGACAATTTGCTCTCATGTAAAGGCAGTCAAGGATAATAATCTAGCTTCACATGTGCCAGCTCTAAAAATGGCCTTGGAGAATGTCCTTTATCAAGTGAAGATTCTGTTGAATGAAAACAATGTGCCGTCTGATGCATTTGTATTGGGTAAGATCTTGTAGAAAAAAAGAAATGGCAATAATATATATATATATATATATATATATATATAGTATTCACAATCTCGACTTATTCTATGTTCTTGTTGCATATTTTGTATGCGTGTGTTTTTATCAATAGGTGCATTGAAACATAGAGATATTCGGGGTGTTGAAGTATCTTCTCAGGTATAATATATACATAGCCATACACATACACATATGTCCCGCTTTTCTTTTTGTGTAAAATACAACCACTAATACTTTTGCGCTTAAAAAAAAACATTCGTATATCTATTTGTTAATATCTAGCTTCCACGAGATGATGTGTCTGATGATGAAGATGAAGAAGAACAAGTGATGGAATTACAAGAGGGATCTGATAATGAGGAAGAAGGAGAAGAAGGAGAGGAGGAGGAGGAGAGTGAAGGTGGTCATCTGGGTCCTGCTACAAAGAGACGTTTGGAAGCAAAGAAAGCATATCAAAAGTCTCGTATGGGAAATTCGACGTATTCTATTCGAACAACCAGTCAGATCCCAGCCAGTTCAGATGAAGAAGATTCGTTGCAGTTTTCAGAAAATGGGTCTGAAGATGAATCAGAAACCTCTAGTCCTACCGCCCCTTTATCCTACAGCCCAGAGAGTATTTCAAAGTCGTCCAAGATATCTGCTGCTGTGCATGAACGACCAAAACTCTCGGAGCCTCCTAACAAGAAAGGGCGGTTTGCAAAGAATCATCGGGATGCGAGTGGGAAAGACAAGGTCTTTTCTCTCACACGACTAAAGACTGAAAGCGAAGAAGAATGAAGTGCTTTACATGATACTATAATACAATACACTGTTACTGTATTTTTTGTGAAGATCAACATTGCTTTACTAGCTGTACATAATCTACATATGGATATCAATTATACAAATAAAACATGGCTTATAATTCAATTTACTACACAACAAGAAGAAGAAGAAGAAGAACAAGGCATTTATATTGACTATATATAAATGACATTTGCTAGCTTACTAACCAACCCTCTTTACAGCTTTGAACCTACAAATCTATAGATCTATTCTGATCTGAGATGTAATTAAACATCAATAAATTAAAGCAAAGGAAATAAAATGTGGTCTGATATCAGTACAGCCATTGTTTAAAAATAAAATATTTTTTTGGGTTAAAATGGTTTCTTGCTGTTTTGCATAATTGGTTGCTTTTATTGTATTATCTGACGATTAAATATAAAAGGGTGAGAGGGAAGGCTGAGATCAAGTATCACAGGTACTCATTATAATTAGTTTGAGAAACAAAATACAAAATACAAAATACAAAAAGCATGCGGTATTTTGGTATCTACCACGTCAATAACAAAGTATCCTGTGTCAGAAATATAAATATTTTGCTAGGGAATTGAAAGAATCATATATTACTATTATTTTGAATACAAATCAGTGTAATACAGAATATTTATCTAAAGTTATCGTGCATGAAACACTAACAGACAACTTATTTCACACGCACAGTGAAAGAGAGAAAGAGATACCTTGTAAGTATTTAGTATCAATTAATGTCACAAAACAAATGGATTAAAACGCATGTTTTTTTTTCCTTTTCTTTAGTTGGTGGTTTCTTTGAAATGATATGATATGATATGATATGAAGAAATACAATGGATCTTATTGTTAATGTTATTACTTTTTGTTTGCTTGTTTAATTGATCAACTGATCCGAATTGGTTCGAATTGGTTCAAATTGGTTCAAATTGGTTCAAATTTTAATTAATTATTTATTTATTTTCACTGCGTTATTAATAATATTGAACCATTATGCAAAAATGTTCAAGATAAAAAAAATGTATTTACAAAGTTTAATGTAACAAAAAAAAATGAAAATGAAAATGAAGGTGAAAAACTAGAGAAAGGAGATAAGGAATATATAAAGATAGATTTGATTGGAGTGTTAAATGGTAAGATGGTAATATGGTGGTATAGTAAGGGATATAGTGAATATATTGAATGGCGATTATGATGGTGGTGGTGGTGGTTTATCCACAGTATGAGAATAAAAATACAAAAAAAAATGGTATAAAATATAAAATGATGGTATGAAATGAAATCCATACTTGTAAAATAAAATTAACATAAAAGTGAAAAGAATTATAAATAGGTATGCAAAATAAAAAACAAATAAAAAATTGATAAAGATTAGACAAGTCAAGCTAGTCCCAATCTTTTTCTTTGGCTCTTTTTTGCTCTTTTTTTTTTATGACTGAAGCCACTTTAAGGGTTGATAGCCTACAGTTTTAGGGTCTTGTTCGGTTTCACTGCCTTCCTTGACTTTCTTGGTCTTGGTGCGAGCCAAGCGTCTCTGGCGATGGTTCACACGTCTGATGCGGAATAGGCGACCAAGGAATGGTAATACGAGGTAATAAATGACAAGCATACAGAATAAAGAAATACGAATGGTCGACCTAATTGTTTGTATTTTTTATTAACAATATAATCACTAAAAATGTGAGCTGGTGTTTTTTCTTTGTTTTATTTTGTACATACCACAGGTCAATACCAGGCGAGGAAATCAAATTAATTTGAGGAGTAGAGGTAGCCTGACCATAATAAGCTGAGAATATTTGTGATCGTGGGTAGTTGTCACGGTGACGAGGGGATGTAAAAGTAGATGAAGGCTTTGTGGGAGCAGCAGCAAAGAATGCAAGGCAGACAAACATGGCCATAAACACTCTATTATCTGATTGACCAATTCCATTACTATTGATACTGATATTGATATTATCGCCATTTCCACTGCCACTCTGATTATCGTTATCGTTATTATTATCATGCTCGTGCTCATGATCGTGTTCGTGTTCATGCTCATGCTCATGCTCATGCTCATGTTCATGATCGTTATGGTTACTATTATTGTTGTTGGTATGGCTATAGTCTGCATCAGACTGCTGTCTCTGTCGTTTTATCTGACGACGATATGGCTTGCGTTCTTTTTTTGGAATCAATTCTGCAACAGCAGCACGTTGAGCGGCACGTTCTTTGAGCTTCTGCTGTCTCTCGGCACGTTCTCTTTCCTGGGCATCTTTGCGTTCACGCATAAGACGTTCTTCTTTGGACTGTTTGCACTTTTGTTTCTGGGTCTGGAATCTGTTTAGAACCGTGTTTCCGCCCGGTAGCTGAGAAAGAAGCTGCTGTAGAATCAGGTTCTCCTGGTCAATTGTGTCGTTGCTGTGTTTAAGGAACGAGATGTATTCGGTTGCCTTGTGTAAGATGGTTGCCTTGTTGAGTTTGTGGGCAACCTCGACACCGTCAATGATCTCGCCCGTGCCTTCTTCATCTTCCATATCTTCGTCGTCGCTGCGCTTGCCTGGTCCAGGCTCGCGGATGTGGGCCTTGTAAAGAGCAGGCACGACATTCTTGAGGTCCTGGATGCGGTCATTGATATTGTTTCGATACCGACGCTCGATCGCATTGTGTGCCACTTTCTTTAGCTTTTGTTCGGGCTCAATAACGCCGTTAAATTGACGGTGGAATGACTCCAGGGATGGTAAGGTAGGGGAGTGGTGAGGGGGTGTTCTGATAGGGCTCCAGTGATCGTGTTCATCGTGAGAGTCTACAGGAAGGTTCAATTGTTTGTTAGATAAATAATTTAAAATGAGATTAATTTTGCACATATCCAAGGGGTTAAAATAACAACAATAATAATAATAATAATAATAAATGTATTAGTTGATTGATTGTACCTGATTCCGCACAGGCATTTTGGCTCCATTGATCTATAGCAGCAAATGCAGAAATCAGCGGGCGTTCATCAGTATAGGGGTAGTCTGGAATTGGAGACACCGAGACTCCCATATCTGCAGACTCAGGACCATATGAAGATGTGTTCTGGGAGGAGATACTATGAGGACCGAGTGTAGAGTAATTGTTGTTATTGTTGTTGTTTTGATCTGTTCGTTTGTCGTGGCCCATCATGATATTTTGTTGCTGTTGCTGCTGTTGCTGTCGTTGCTGCTGCTGTACCATGATGGAGGCAAAGGCGGACTTTTGGTCGGAGGGCATCCGTGAGTGGGATGCTGGGATGGTTATGGAGGGAAAATGTGGAGAAGATGGTGAAGATAGGGGTGAGCTGAGACCAGATGAGATTATAGCCTCTTGGTGAGGAGGAGATGAATGAGCTAGTTGTTGCTGCTGCTGTTGCTGACGATTTGCTTCGTGGTTCTTGAAGAGCCAGGCATAGACTTCGTACTCGTTACCAGTCGAAAGGATGTATTCAGGAACGCTTTCTTGAGGATAACCAAGCGAAGGCCGGGCAAGTTCTTGGTTCATTCTTAGACCAAGTGAGGCTGCACCAAATGAGTTGTGTTGAGGTTGAGACATGGATTGTGTAGAACGAGACTGTTGTTGTTGTTGTTGTTGCAATAATAATTGATTATGATGATTATGAAGTTGTTGCTGTTGCTGTTGCTGTTGCTGTTGGTGTTGGTGGTTGTGGGGTACTGGACGCTGCATGGTATCAATATAAGTGTCAAAGTCAAGTTCGTTGGTTTCTTGCAGCATATTTATGTGAATGAGTTTCGATCAAGGGACTTGGGTTTTTTCGAATAAGCTCAGCTAGACTATATATCGAAGTTTAATTAACATGCCACTTTTTTTTTTACTCTAAAATTTTTTGTTTTTTTTTTTTTCTTTTACTTCATCAGGCGGAAGTGTAAATCAATGGGCCCATTCGATTCCGCTAGAACCAAAGCGACGCTCACGCCACTTTAAAGAAGCAATATATATATATATATATGAGAAAACTTGGCAATTGACGGTACACAACACAATACACCTTCTTTATATTTTATATTGTATTGCTTATGTATATAATATCTTACATTGAACTAAAAAATAATTAGGTAGTTAGATAGTCTGATAGATAATCTGATATACTGATAGTGTATATAGTTACCTGTTCGCTGGTAAATATATTTCGGTTGTATTGAATGAAATTGAATGAAATTGAACGTTTTGTTTTTGAATAATAAATCAATAATTCATCAAGATATAATATATATATATTTCTTGTATCTGTATCTGTGTGTATTCTTTGTAGGATTTGCGGAGTATCCGGGCCTGTCTTCCGTTTTTTACGCTCCTTAATTTTGTACTTTTGTACTTTTGTACTTTTGTACTTTTTACTTTTTTTCGTATCCGAAATACCTGGCGTCATAACCTTATGTGGTGGTGATCCGGGGTGAAGGAATTGACAAGTCAGCCCAGCATTTACATTTTACTTTCCCTTATCTAACTATCTACTTCTATTCTATTATGTTTTGTTTAGGTCTAGATTTTGCTACCATTCGATTAAAATATCTTATTTTTCTGCTCTTTCTTATTTCAGTAATAATAAAATATAACCATATCCGTCGTATTCATATATATACATTTATCGATTTCAGTAGGACGAGAATAATTGATATTTTTTATTTTATTTTATTTTATTTCAATTAGCATACAATTTACAACATGGCTCTAAATATATATATATATATATATTCTCTTATTTTCGATCAACATATACATAATGCAATACTTTATATGTATTAAAATTCATTATATAAAAAAAAAGATTCCAAATGATTTTCAAGATCAAAAAATAATAATAAGAAAAAAAACCGGTGTGATTTTCTTTAAGTTTTTTTTTTTTTTAAAAAAAAAAGAAAGCAAGGCACAAATCACAAGCTCTCTTTTTATTTGTAACCATGTTGCAGCACATGTGCCCTCTTTATTTCTAATTTAAATTACAGATACACACATAAAACAAATGCTCTGTTGTGACCGTTTCAACAAATATCCCAAATGCCAGTCTTTTTGAACTTTTTGGATGATATATCAATTCAATTGAATCAAGTATAGTATGATATGATACAATAGAATAGAATACAGTTTATAGTTCAATTCAGTTCAAACCCCCCCCCCCCCCTTTTTTTTTTTTTTCTTTTCTTTTCTTTTCATCCTCCTTCCTCTTTCAATTATTTATTTTATTTTATTTTATTTTATTTTATTTTAATCAATTAATTTAAAATAAATAAATAATTTAAAAATATTTTTTTTTTAAAAAAAAAAAAAGAGAAAGGAGAAAAGAAAGTTATGCCACGTATCTCATTACAGAATCCACTCGCATCGCTGGAACAGCTTAGTTGCTCTCCTTCAGTAAGAGATGGAATTCCAAGTGATCTCGAAGATGACCTTCGGAATCTAGGCGGCGAGTTGATTCAAAGTGCCGGTATCTTACTCAAACTGCAAGTCATCAAAAAAAAAAGAACAACAATAGAACAAGCAAAGAGAAAGAGAAAGAAATCGATACTATTATTATTAATATCTCATTTCAATTCATTTCATTTAGACCACAAGTAGCAATGGCAACAGCTCAAGTGCTCTTCCAACGCTTCTTTTATATGGCTAGTATGAGACATCACGGTATTGTGGTACGTACAATATTTATATCTTTTATATGTATGTATGTATGTATGTATGTATGTATATATGCGTACGTATTTACTTACTCGCACATGTCTATATAAATATATGTATGTATGTGCGTAGGATATAGGCATGGGTGCATTGTTCTTGGCTGCAAAGGTCGAAGAGAACTCTGTTCGTCTTACTCACCTTGTCACTGTGTATGACTACCTTATCAAATATTCGCGAGATCAACCAACATTTCCTCCATTGGATTCATTTTCACAGGTATTATATAAAAATTAATAAAAAAAAATATCTATGAAAAATTATATATAAAAAACTCACATGTTCTATGCTGAGAGAAAGCCTACGATATGAAGAACTCGCTGATCACTGCAGAAATGCAAATATTGAAGCAACTTGGATTTAATGTCCATGTTGAGCTGCCTTATGGTCTAATGATCAACTATTTACGAATCCTCAGTCTGGAAGAGCATCCCACAGTACCTGGCAGAGCATGGAATTATCTCAACGACGGGTAAAGCAATATATACACATACAGATTTGATTTGATTTGATTTGAATTGTTATTTGTTATTATCATACTGGTTCTTTAGTATTAACATCTATATAATCCACTCTCACATATACACTATACGCACAATACAATAACGACAACAAACAATGTATACATAGGCTACGAACAAATATCTATGTGACCCACCCACCATCAACGATTGCCTGTGCAGCCATCTGGTTGGCGTGCAGAGATCAGCAAGTTAAACTGCCAGTATCACCTGGTAGTGAGTGGTGGCTTCTTTTTGATACTCGACTCGAAGATTTCAAGAATGCAGCTGGGCAGATCCGACGTCTCTATTATCGAAAGTTGAATCGTCGTCTTTTACCACTCAATCCAAAAGAAATTAAAACGATAACCTATGTATAATACAATCAACAACGGCACCAATGATAAAATAGGATAATGTATATATATATATATATATATATAATAAAGAGAGAGAAAAAAAAAGGTAAAGAAGAAGAAAACAATATATATATATATATATACCAGTAGTAGATTTTCTCTCTTTTGATCTTTATTTTTTGGATTTATCTTTAAATGCTTATATTTACTTCCTACTATTATTATTCTAAAGAAACTTTTACTGTACTTGCAAGTGCACCCTGCTTTACCGGAAAAAAACCCCCAAGCAGGAAAACAAACAAGCAAACAAACAAGCAAGGAAGCACCCAATCACTCAATCAATCAATCAATTCATCAACAGATGTGCAAGAGTAAGACGCGAGATAGAGAGATAGATAAGGATTATAATGGCTTTATAAATAAATAAAGAATTTTATATATAAATAAAAAGAAAGATAGAAAGAAAGAATACAAATCATCAAAGAGAGATATATTTAAAATACTGGAAGAAAGAATGCTGGAGGAATAAGAAGAAGAAGAAGAGAAGGAGGAGTAGGAGTGGGAGGGGTATAGAGGGAGGTAGGAGAGAAGGGGAGTTGTCTGGTAGGACAGAAAAAAATAAGCAGATAGAAAGACAGGCAGGCAGGCAGGCAGGCAGGCAGGCAGGCAAACAAGCAGCTAAACTGGCTGGCTAGTTAAACACAAAGACACACACAATATTTATAAACTTCTTCTTCTTCTTCTTATATATATATATATATATATTATTTTCTTTGGAATGTTTTATTGGGATTATTGACAGGATGTTCGGTTGAGCGAGCGGATATCATAAAGGAAGACCAGGCCGGAGCTACGTGAAGGAGGGATTCACTACTGAACCGATCTCCCATAGCGCTGGGGCTGAAGGCTAATTGGGGTGTGTATTGGTTTTTGGAAGACAGCGAGTTTTGTCGAAAGGGAGTTAGATCCACGAGTGTATTTGTTCCTGTTATTGATTTTGTTTTTGTTTTTGTTTGTGTTTGTATTTGTGATTGTGATTTTACTGCTCCTACTGTTAGTGGTGGTTGATATTGTTGTGATGATAGTTGGGCATCCGGAGTGGCTGTGTTTAATGTGGTGTCTGTGGCCGTCATGGATGTTAGGGTTGTATTGGTCAGTCGTCGGGTATCCTTGGGTGTGTAGACAGGGGGCGGAGGACATGCAGAAAAGGCACTGCTTGAAGATCCAAGTGTAGACCAGCTGTGTGTCATTGTGGTTCCCCAACCCTGGCGTGTTTTGCTTTCGTTGGTTTCCTGAAAGGTGTGGAAGACCTTTTGAGTCCTCGAGAACGGACGTCTTCGTCGGACCAGACATAGCACAAACCCGGCCAGGACGATTAGACCTGCGAATGCCCCCAGAATTGGACCCAGTAGATGTGTTGGGGCTCCTGATCCTGTTTGTCGGTGGGGGTGTAGTATTGAGGGCGGTCGGTTGTAGCCTGCGCCATATCTGGTTGGTGGTATTGAAGATTGTTGAGATGGTTGTATAAGAGTCGCTGAGGATGATTGGAGTCTAATTGTGGGTGCAGAAGATGCGGAGAATAAAGAGGATGGTCTGTATGTATTTTTATCATTGGCGAGTACAAATGGAGGAGCGCCAGAATTGTTGTTAATGACACGATTCTTTACTCGGTCGATGTAACTGTCCATGTGAAGTATCTATGATGTAAAGCTATAGAAGAGCTCTCTATACCAAGAATATCAAGAGAAGAAAGAAAGAGAGGGTAAGAAGAGGAGATCGTCTTTAAATAATTTATAATTATTTAGAAAAATTAAAGGGGGGGAAATAGAATAGGAATAGGAATAAGAATATCAAAATTGTATAATCAAAAGGACATAAAGGTGGTGGGTAAAAATACAGGGCACCAAAAGAATGGCTTATATAAGATGAACCTTCTTTATTCCCCTTCCCTCTCTATAGATCAACCTTCCCCCCCTTTTTATATATATAATCATTTTCTTTAGGTACACTGTCAATTGATTCTGATGATACTAAAGCTCGCACCAATGATTGTCTTTAAAGCATGTGTATGTATGTATCTATCTATATAATTAAGCAAATCAAAACAAAGATTAATATTTAAAAAAAATAGAAGTAGAAAGGCTATTTCTCACACTCTGATATATACACAACTACACATATACATGCTTGTTTATTTAGCCGTTTGTGTCTATAATGTAATGTAATGCAATATAATATAAAGTGTAGCTACAAACTTACATACATTTCAAAAAACAAAAAAAAGTCTTGCAAAATTATGTATCTATTATCTATGTGTGTCCAAAATGTAAGAAATAAGAATACATATATATATATATAGTAGTTTTTGTTTCTTGAATTATTATTGGCTGTTCTTATGATTACTATCGATGTTCGGTTATTGTTGTTTATGGTAGTCAAAACAAAAAACAAGATTAATACTAAATCCTGATCCTTCTACTGTTGGACATTGGACATTACTTTCTTTTTTCTCAAACAACAAATAATAATATTTTCACTATGATCATTATTCTGCTTATTAGACCAAAGCTTAGAGGCCTTGTTACTCTCGTCTTGTCTTATATTAAAGAAGAAATCATAATAGTTCTCTTATTATATATGAAAAATATAATTGTGGATAATGTACAAGTATTGAGGATTCTAAAGAAAGACAACTACAAAAATTGTCAATGTCATTACAGATAATTATATACATTTTTTATTCTTATTTTACTTGGGGAATTCAATAAAATGAGGGTTTGACACTTTGAATGGGATTCCAAGGGGGGGGGCGAGAAGAATCTTTCTATTTGATTTCTTTCCTTCTTTATTTTACTCTTATAAAAATACATGTACAAATGTACAAATGCACAAATGTATATGTGTGTGTTCAAGTGAAAAGATATAAAGGTGAGTCAAATAGATAGCAGTTTTTTATATTGTTCAAAAATGGATAAAGTATCACTATCTGTGCACCCAAAAAAACAATTGCTGCCTTTTAATCAACCAAAAGAATACATGGATATCAGGCACAATATTTCAGTGGCTTATTCCTGTAAACTACATTCATATACACTTTTACCTTTTTGTCACCTCCTGAGCTCAGATATATCCACGGCTTTATTGTCTACACTACAGACTATACTCAAAGTGATTTATACAAGCTGTTTACTATAGCCTGTATAAAGAATGCTGAATCAAATCCATTCAGGCTGAAAAACGATAAAACATAGTAGTGTCTTTATAATCGAGTAATCTAAAAGGATACATATTTGATCAAGTCATACACATTCACTAGAAATCATTCCAAGCAAATCCATATACACACATAAATATATATATTGGGATAAAAGTCTAGGTTTATTCAAAGTAAAAACGGCAGAAAGAGATACTTTAACCACTCTTTCTAGTCTCAGTAATACTAACAATGATTTTAGGTCAAGTTCAAGAAATGTCTTGACTCTAATGACTATATACGCCATTTATAATATACAGCAAGTATATAATTCTTGTCTGAAATTACATAGAAGCTTTAATGAATAAGCTGATGGTCATCATTACAATAAGACAGCATTGTCTATAGCATTAATTGTTTATTCGCGTCTGTGAAGTCCAGTAAATGACAATCCACTTTTGTGTATTCCAATTAGGATTCAATTCATTTTTCTATAATACTGTTCTAGAGTTTTTCGTTGTACTTTAATATATGTATACTATCTATTGAGTATATATTGTGCCACCCAATAGAAAACACTATAAGAAAGAAAGAAGTATAAAGTATAGTTTATTATAAAATAAAGGGAGGGTAGGAGTAGGAGGTAGAGAACGAGAGAGAGAGAAATATAGACAAACAGATAGAGTCTCAAGTTTTTTTTTCTTTTTTTTCTTTTTTAGTTGGACGCGTTCCTGTGTTAGAATAGAGAGTCACATGACGGTTGATTGTGACAGTACGTTTCCTTTCTTCCTTTGAACCAAATACCCTATAATGGGACTAACTGAAGAAGAACAACAGCACCAGCAGCTATTGCAAACATATGCACAGGCCACTCGACAGGACCTAGCAAATCTCACAGCGTCGTCCTTAGCGCAGGCTATGGTGTCGCCAATGACAGTGTCAGGGCTGGCTTCTAGCCTGCTTCAACAATTGCATGCCGGCATCATCATCACTGCCTTGCCTGGACCGACTCCCACAACACACATCACACCTACACCCACACCTATGGATGACACTGCGTCTGACGATGAAGATCCCAAACGAGGCAGCACACGGAGCATGAGTAACGATGAACGGCGACAGAGGAGACTTTTACGCAATCGGGTGGCAGCCAAAGAGTGCCGAAAGAAAAAAAAGCAATATATCCAGGAAATGGAAGACAAAATTCGCCGGCTTGAAGAAGAGAATGTGCGGCTGCACAAGCAGGTTGCAGAGATCCACGCAAAACTAACGCTTGGGTCTCTGCACACAAACGAAGGCTATCGACTGATGAAGGAAGTCGAGGAACTCAACGCAAAACTCGGCATGGCTCACTTACCATCCACCAGTGCACTCACGGCTGCAGTGGTGGCGGCTGCTCAGCAGGCATTAAAATCAGAACCTCCATTATTACTAGGACTGCCAGAAAAGGACCTTAGTCGGGCACGGATGAAAGAACTCAAGTCAAACTGTGCGGAACTAGAAATCTCTCAACACACAGAAGCTGAATGAATCAATCAATCAATCAATCAATCAATGAACCAGTCAATCAATCAATGAAAATCAAAAATCAAATAAAAAATCAATCAAACAAAAAAAAAATCAATAGTAGGCTGCGAAAGAAAAAAAACTAAAAAAAAAACAACAACAATGAAAAAAAAAAATTACATGTAAAAAATTGTTTTTTTTTTTAAAAAAAAAAAAAAAAGACCAAAAAAAAAACAGCGCCAAAAAACAAGAACAAGAACAAGAACAGCAACAGCAGCAACAGAAACAACATCGGCAACAACAGCAAGATTGCTTTACCTTTAGTTTGTTTTTTCCTTCTCTAACTCTATTTTCATTCCTACCTATTCATTGCTATTTTCATTTTCTTATTCTAGTCTATCGATCTCACAACTCTTCCAGTCAAATCTATCCCTCTCTCCCCTTCCCCTTCCCCTTCTCCGTCTCTCTTTAGGTATTTACTTATATTCCTTTCATTCGAACCCACCTATCCATAAAATCAATCAATCAATCAATCAATTTAATTCAAATGAAATCATATCAATTCAATTCAATTCAATTCAATTCAATTCAATTCAATTCAATTCAATTCAATTCAATTCAATATTTAATCTTGTTCAAAAGTATGGGTTCATTTAAATTCAACAATAAGAGAATCACATTAATCAAGAAACAAACAAGATATACAGCACATATATAGATATAATACTCTGGGTGAATGTTTGATGTAGTAAATAAAAGTATATACTATAATAAGAAAGATGGAAATCATTGGATTCTTTGATTTGTACAGCCAAAGTTAAAATATATCCTCAATTTATTAATATTAATATTAATTTTATTTATTTGTATGTTTATATATATCTCAAATAATAATGAAGCTTAAAGCTCTATATAGTGCAAATAAAGGATCACAAAGTAATAACAGTAACAGTAACAGTAAAAAATACAAAGAAGAAGAAGTAAGGGCTAATCCCAAAGTTCGGATGGTTCGATTACCGTTTTGCTACAATTTTTTTTTTTACTTAAAATTCCGATAGGTTTAGTTTTTTTTTCTCTCTCTTTTTTTCTGGACGAATCAAAATTACAATTGAGACAATATATTTACCTCTTTTGGATAAAAGAAAATATATACTAAAGTAGAAAGAATTTATTTAGTTTAAAACGAATAAGAAGGCAGTTTTGGTGTGGTCAGACCAAAAAGTTTAAACAAAACAAAAATGTAAGAACGTCGACCAATCAAAATCAATTCTGGTATCTCAGGAATGGAAGTCGTTCTTGTGAGATGTTGGATTTTGACTTGCGACAGTATCAAACTGTAAGCCAGCTTACCACTTGTCTTGCGCACCTTTTCTTTTTTCCACCCTGTAGGAAAGTGTGTGTGTGTGTGTCTGTGTGAGCGAGAGAGAGAGATAAGCACAAAAAATGAGTGAAGCACAGACTGCACAATCCAGAACAAATACTATAGTCGCTAATGAACCTGGCAGGGTCACATCCCCAGGAATGTAACACACTGCTTCAGTGACAACCCATTAATCAACGGAAACCTTTAAATCATCAAACCAAATATATATATATAAATATCTGTGATCTTCTTTCTTACATGAAGCAACACTCTCATAGTACCTATTTTTCTACTTTATAAGTCTATTCGTCTGCCTTTATAGTGTTGGTGAGGAAGGGGGCGTGTCGGGATATCTTTGGTACGTAGAAAGATCGCGTTCGACAACGTGTTTCCGAACAGCAATAGGTCTATATTATTATTTTTTGATCTCGGCAATTATGTACACCACTTGAACAATCTCTATAATAATGGCTTTGTATTTCAACTTGTTTGATTCGGCAATTGCTTCTCCTAATATGGCACACGATTTCCTACAGCTTGATGATGAACAAGCTACATGTCGGTAATAGAAGGAAAGTGTGATGGTTGAAAACTAAAAAAGAAAAAAAAAAGAAAAAGACGGTGAATTTAACAGATTAAATCAGACAACATTATATAATGTAGATTTTAGCCACACCGGGAATCGAATAAGGATCAAAGAACATGTAGCCAAATTGTGGTTACATTATAAAAGAACAATTTGAATTTTCTTCTTTTTGTTGTTTTTTTTTTTTTCACTGGCGATAGTACATTATATATAATGTTTTCTGAAATGTAACCGCTACAAAAGTTCTTATGTACAGCAACTCTGTGCCCTACTTTTATGTTTCATTGCAAGCATATTTTAAAGTTATCACTATTGGTAAATACGTAGAGATGACAAAAGTGGTTTACCAATGAGTTTCAAGTTTTTTTTTAAAAAAAAGAACCTTGAGTAACATGGACATTTGAGACGGAGTTACCTAGATTTAGCAAGTTTGGAAAATAATTAATAAACGTGTATGTGTCTATGAGAGAAAGAGATAAGTACACCATATAGTGCAGTATATTGTACTACTCCTATTGCATAGGAAATACATATTATATATAAACAAGTTTAAGTAAGACTTTCGCAGTAGGTCTTGTGGTAAATCACAAGAAAAGACTTGAATGCCAAGGCTTTTTCAATATAATTTATTTCTTGTTTCAAAATAAGACATATTAAACTAATATATCTACATAATACTATGATGTTGCTTAATGAAGCTTAAAAGAAACAAACAACTAAAGGTTTATTTGTTTGTTTTGCTTAATTTTTGACTAGGAAAATAAAGGTCAAATATATTAAGGCTTGGCTACACTGATAGCATAAGCCTTAAAAAAAATAACAATAGAAGAAATGACTAAATGATGAGCAGTATACATAACAGATCTATTACATTTGAATCAACAGAATAAAATCTATACATAGGCGTTATATTGTATATATCTATTTGGTTATAAAGTATCAGATAGGTAGATAGATAGGCAAGCTAATAGACAAAGAACCAGCATTATATATAAATAAAGAGAAAGGTATATGGGTGAATATTATCAAGTCAAAATATCAAGTGCACAAAATAAAGAAATAGTTGGAAATTGTAATGGAAATGTGCATTATAGGACATTGAGCTTTTTATAACATATTCCAGATTGTGTAACTTGTTTTTGTTGTTGTTTTTGGAACACAATCTATAAGGATTATGGTGCGACAATCAAATGGTAGCGAGAATATAAATAAAATAAACTAAAATTGGTTCTTTTTTTTATTTTATAAAAGGCTCAAAAAATATTCAAATATTGTACAACTAAAGACAGACGCACATAAAAAAAAATGTTACACTGTAGATGACTTCGAACGGGTTCCCTTTTTATTTATATATAATTATATATATGTGACAGATACTATTTTTTCTCCTTTATAATTGTACATTTATATTTTTTTTAATAAAACAAAAAAGCTAAGAAAAATAGCCTAATCTCCCATTATTTTCCAATCTCTTCTTTCTCTCTTCTTTTACTCATTTACTACTTTACTACTTTACTTCTTTACGTGATAGATAAGCACCTACTTGATCAGCCCAAAACTAGTAGTAAATGTATCACCCAACTCGCACAGTCAAGACATGGGCTGTCGGAATATCAGTTATCTTTGTGTGCAGTTTAGTTAGTCTAATGTATGTCTCGCAACAATCATCGATTGACATCATCACCGAACAATATATCCCTCAGCGCGACTCAGACGAAAAGTACATTTCGTTTCTGCCACACTCTGGCCTCCACAACCAGCTTTCGTCGCTGACCAATGCACTCGTCCTGGCTAGTCTGATCAACCGTACGCTCATTGTACCCGAGCTCAATCTCGGCAGTGGAACCTACTGGCGATACACACCAGTGCTTGCCGATCGCCTGGAAATATGCTTACCCCGCCTGCTCGAACACGCCCCCGAATCAGTCGAGTGCTGGGATTACAAAAAGTACGTTCCGGTCGCAGTAGAGAGCATTGTCGACCTTTCGGAAATCCATGCCCTTGGCATAAAGACCTACCAACGCGAGTCGCTCCAGCGTGACTATTTCCAGACTTACTGGTCTGTCCCAAACGATGAGCGAAACAGGTCTCTGGCAATCGAGTATACCGACAGGGTCCGGTATTCCTACCAGTTTCATGACACCCTCGGCCTGGGTAAAAGAGCCGATATGCCAGGTGCATATGACAGTTATATTAATATCCCAGATCTTATCCTCCGCCAAGAAAAGTTCCTTGTCTTTAACTCAATGTTTGGTGCCAACCGATTGCTGCTAACCAAAAAAAAGAACATCGCCTTACGACGACTGGTCAGAAACAAACTCGTCTTCTCCCACCCCGACATCCTAAAGTACTCCAAAACCCTAGTAGACCGGCTCGGTGGTCCAGGCAATTTCGCAAGCGCCCATGTTCGGCAAGGCGATGGTGCCTTCAAGGCATCAGTCCAGGACACTATGCAGGAAGTCAGGATTGCCTTGGAAGGAACCAATAGAAGCAAAAATAAGAACGGAGGGTCTGTAAATGCAACCCAAGCCAGTGAGGATCAAAAACTCATTCAACGGCTCTCAAAGATTCCCAAAAAGGGACTCGCTCTACTTGACGAATGCAAAAGGATCCAAGAGACAGATAACAAAACCAACAACCTTCACCCTCGCCTGCGTCTGATTTACATGGCCACAGATGCCAAGAAGCCGCGTGAACGGTTTGACGAGCTTTACAACGAGTTTGTGTGCATGTTCTGTCTCAGCGATTTCCCTGACATTATTTCGAGCGTGTTGTTGAATTCAACAGTCGACACAATGGGGGCCGGGGTGTACGAAAACCAGGGCAAACTTCTGCTGCCTCCAGTCGATGCTTCTGTAGCTTCCTTTGGCTCAATTTTCTTTGGTACACACGGCAGCACGTTCTCAAGTTATATAAGAAACCAGAATCGACTGTTCCACAAGCTCAAAAAGTCTGGATGATCCCTTTCTTTTACCTCTTTACACGTGCTGGCTTGTTCTTCTCTTTCTTTATATTCCATCTTCAAAATAAGTACAAGAGACAAGCAGCAAGTGGGCAAGTGGAAAAATACAGGTCCAATTATTGTCATTTTCTTTTTATATATTTTATATTTTCTATATTCCATTACATTTTTCATTCCGTTCAATTTGATCGATCGACGCTTCAAATTTATATTCTTACTTGTTATTTTGTCTTTTTGTCCCTTTTTTTTTTGCTTTTATTTTCTTCCTTTACATATATAAATTCTAGATTATATATATATATATATTCTATCTTTATTTTACTCTTCATTTTACATCATCTAAATCCCAGTTATACATATTTTCACTATCTTTCTTTTTAATATATATATACTGATTGTTCATTTTTTATAATAGCCAAAAACAAATCAACCAACCCCTCTCCAAGAAAAAAAGCTACATTTACATACATAGTGTCTATTATTTTTGACTTGAAAATAATAATAAAAAAGTACAATTTTTTATAACAAAAAAAACAAGTCAATGTTGTTGTCCTACCTTGTATGGCTCTAGTCTAGTCCTATTCAGCGATTCTGATAAATGACCCTTTTATGGATTAATTTTATAAAAAGGTTCTTTCTGTGTTACTCTCAAGTTGATTTTAATTTATAATATATAAATACATTTCTTTCTTTCTTTTTAGTCTCGTGATTTCTCTCTTTTTCTATTTTGGTTGCTTTTATAAAAAGACCAAACAAATAAGCAAGCAGAAAATCATTATTGGCTATTACAGGTCAAGTACATTAAATAAAATATATGTATATAGTTTAGCTATTCTTTAAGAAATTTGTTTCAAATATAGAATTGTTTAAAGAGAAAAGATGAAATAAAATAATGAATTATTCCCCTCGTATATATTGTGTATATCAGTACGAATTATAAGACAGCTCATCTTCAGAAGACTATAGAGATATATATATAAATAAATAATTATACAAGAGAGAGAAAAAACAGTTAACATTGTGAACATCAAAATAAATCATTAATCTTTATCATTCTTCACAATAGACATAATGTATGTATATCATATATACATCTTAATCATCACTTACATCTTCCTCATAATTACTAAGATAAATTTTGTTCAAAAAAAAAAAAAAAGAAAAAAAAAAAAGAGTTAAAGATACAATATATACAAAATAAAAGAAAGACAAGACAGGATCATGTAAAAACTTACGCCTCTCCTAGAATATTTTGAAGGTCACGAATTTGATCCTTGAGATCGTTCTTTACAGAAATGAGTTGCTTGATGTGATCAACAGCTAAAAGAGAACCCAACAACAGAAAACAGACGTTTGTTACTCTCATCTTTTTTTAAAGTACTAATTGATTATAATTATTCAACTAATTTGACTGGACTTACATTTTTGTAAAATAAGTGCTTCACTTCGATTACCATTATGAAGCGACGGAACAATCTCAATCAACTGGTCGAATCCAAGTCTGATGTTCTGTCTTCTTTTCTGTTCAGAGGCAATGTGATTTGCCTTTTTTTCAGCATCAGTCAATAATTCATGAACTGCCTTTCGACATTTGCGTTCTCGGCCAGACTTGTCCAGTTGAGATTCACTTTCGTCAGCATCTGCCTCGCACACTCGTTTGTGTCCATTCAGTCCTGGAGAATGTTGAGTCGGGCTAGTGGTAGAAGAAGAACTGGTAGTAGTAGAAGAAGAAGAACCATTTGTCGTCGTCATTGTTGTTGCTGTTGTCGATATTGTTATTCCAGCTGTTGGTGATGGTGTTGGCACTGTTACATTGGTTCGATTGGAGGGTAAACCGGTTGGCCTACCTACATATAATCTTTTTTTGTTAGTCTGAATTGAGGTTGTTTTTCTTCTTCTCTTGAATATAGCTAAACTATCTGAAGTTGTGTACTTTTTTCAGTAATGTCAGTTGCAGTGGACATGATGTACAGATTAATGAGAGAGTAAAAAAAAAAAGGAAGAAAAAGAAAAGGACAAGTACAAAGTCAAAGACAGAGTCAAGCACAAGCACAAGCACAAGCACAAGGACAAGGAAAGATGTTTTGGAAATGTCTGGTTGGTTTCGAATGAATTTAAATCTCAAGACAAGAAATATTCTGGTATGTTTTTTTCTTTCTTTTCTTCGTTCTTCTCAAGGTATATTCTTGGTTTTTGTTCGATGGCTCCTTTGTTTGGTTTCTTGGTGGAAACTTGTTATTAAATATTGTTATTAATTTATTTATTTATTTTTTTAAAAAAAAATCTCGCCTTTTAACAAGGGTAAAGAAGTTACTTACCAAATAAAGAGTAAATAAATAAATATATATATATATATATATATATAAAGGAGAGGAAGGATTGTGGATTACGAGATTTATTTACATGATTGGATAGAACACAACCAATGAACAGGCTTTGTTCATCCACTTTTAAGAGTGTGTGAGACTAAAAGTTATTCAATAAAACACATCTTTGGATAAATAAGAACGGTTACCAAGCAAAAGAATAATAAAGAAAACACTAATACAAATATATATATTTGACTATTTAAATGCATTATTTTATCATTCAAATATATTGTACATATATATATAAGTCTTTGTGTGTGTGCTGGTTCCAATAGTAATTTCTTATAAAAGAGCAATCAAGAATTGCTGTCCAGCATCTTGAATTGCACTCTCTATGGGCGAATTTACTTTTATAATAGCAGGTTTGTTTAGTCCATGGGCAACAAGTTTTTCGATTAACCTAGTAAATAAGCCATGAGTATTCTATACAAATAAAATAATGATAATAATAAAGATGATGGTTTTCTTTTTTATTTCTTACTTGCTATCAAGATCGTGAGAATCTGAAGGTGTAGGTCCATCAAAAGTGGTCTTATCGGTCAAGAGCACACCAAATTTCTTGCCTTTGAGTGGCTTTTCATGACTAGGGGATTCTTCACTGAAAAAATGCTTTTCAAACAAAGACAATACACCTCTAACAATCCCATCAACAAATAAAATAAAAGTAAGCATCAAATGTCAATTCTTGTATATATCTATATCTATTAGGCTGGGTTCTACATACGTTGTTGGAAACAAGTAAATGTCAGCATTTAAAGCATCCTTATCAAAATTAGAGGCATCTATATGTTCAAAATCGGTTTGGCTGGCTCCTTTTTATTTTTGAAAACAAAAACAAAAAATAGATAGATAGATGGTCAAATGTTAATTAAAACAATAAACAAAAAACATATATTGCTTACTTCTGACAGAACAAGCCAAGTTCTTGACATGTACAACAGGGGCTGGAACAGCAGCTTTGATCCCATTGAACAACAGAACTGAAGATCTATCGGCTACTGGAGAATTGTCTGTGAAAATGTGAATCTTTACGTCGCTCATTGTTTATTTTTATTTTATTTTTAAGAAAGAAGTAGAAGTAAAGAAAATATTTTATTCTATTTTATATCATGAAATCAATTTGCATAAATATCTTCATCATTTTGACGTAGGCTAAATTCCCCACACACACATAGACACAGATAGATTATTAATTAATCTTATCAGTACTATTAGTATTATAAATATATATATATATATATAGATCTAAGTATGCTACTGTGCTTCAATTTAGCATATATTTGAGCTCTTACTGTTACTACTACTGCTTCTACTGCTACTACTGTTTTGTAGAAAGCGGCAGGATTTGTAACTCCGGACTCGTAGAAAATATACGCGCGCGTATATTATACTTGGTCCATAGAATGATAGCTTTTATGATATTAACTTCGCTTTATTAGCGAATGGAAGTTATAGCATTTTGGATCAATTTCTTTATTCTTTTGACAAAATTACATTTTCATTTGAAACAAAGTGAAGATGACAGGCAAATAGCCTATATATATATATATGTAGCTCTTGACTTTTTTTCTATTCCTGAATAATTTGGTTCATGAGCTAATAAACATCATAATTAAAAAAAAAAGAGATGTCACCAAAGAAAAGCTAGGCTTGTTCGGATTATACTTCAAATGTATATTTAGTTGGGTAACTACTATCTAAATCAATCACCTTTTCTCTTATTTAAATATGTGTGTGTGGGTGTGTGTTTTTTAAGATAAACTTTATTAAATCGCCGATTGGTATAAATAAACTCAACTTTACTCGGAATATTATCGGAATGAAAACGCATCTAATGTATTAAAAGCACGCTATATTTTTTTATAGAAAAAATTGGGAGGGAGAGTAGGGGAAAGGAGAAGGGAAAAGGGGGTTGCTAAGGTAAGGTAAGGTTTTATATATATATATGTGTGTGTATATATATACTTTTGACAGATACAGCCATTTAATCTAACCCACATTTTGTTCTTCTTTACCAAAAACTTAACGCTGCTTTTCTTTTTACCTGAATACACCCTTCTTTACCCCCCTTTCTCACCTTTACTATACTCTATCATAGTGTCCTATATATTTACCAAACTATTACTCAATTCCACTGAAATACTTCAGTACGTGTGTAATATATATTCTATTATTAATTACATTATTATTACTTCTTAAAAAAATAGCTTTAATATTTGTAATAAAAAGAAGAAAAAAAAAGATAATTCATATGATAAAAGGTATCAAAAGAAAAAAGAGAGAAAATGAAGATCAAGGTATGCTAAATACTCTCAAAATTATATATATATATATATATAAAAGAGTTTAGAGATCAAGGAAAAGGATTTCTCTTTTAAAGATAAAATAATAAAAATAATAAAAATGCCGGCACTTTTTTGTTGTTGTTGTTGTTGCTATGTTCTATTTTTTTTTTGGTATATTTCTTATTCTTATTCTTATTCTTATTCTTGCAGAAAGGGCTAGGTTTAAGAAAGCAAGAGAGCTGCAGTGGCAATTACCCAACCAAGCACCCAGGAAGATTGTGAATAGATATTGATAGAAGCACCACTTGACACATTGGACACATTGGACACAGTGGCAGATGTGAGTAAGTTTGTGTCCGAAACCGAAGCACTTGTTGCATTGACAGACGTGACATTGGCACTGACGGCCGCGATCTTCCCTACGATAACTGCCTGAGCTTCCAGGCCATCTTCACCACCAAGAATCTCGTGGGGCTTGGCGTCTCCAGCACAATCAGCAGCTGTGGTAAATATAAACCCTTTGGAAAGTAGGCTTTGGATAATGTCAGGAACTTGATCAATTGACTGTTGATAAAGATCTACATATATGTGAATTGTTAGGTGACTCTTGTAAAATAAATAGATTCTTTCATTTAATTGTATCTAATTTCTATACTATAATAACAACAATGTATTGAAAATCGATGTGTGAAAACAAAAACAAAGATTACCGTGTTGAAGACTGATGAACCCTGGATCTTCATTAGCATTGAGTCCGGTGTCCTGCCCTACCGCAGCCATACGGAAGGCCCCTTGGATCTTGTTGGATACGTCAGGCAGCATATAGACATCATAATCAGTAGGATCTACGTTCCACATCAGAACACGGTAACCCATGGTGCGCAACAACCCCTTGACACGGTCATCGGCCTCACCAAACGGTGGCCGGATGTATTTGGGCTTGATACCAATGGCGTCCCGGATGGCTTCCTCGGTAGCCTTGATCTCGTAAATAATTTCTTCGTTCGTGAGGCTCATGAGATGTGGATGGGAATATGTGTGAGAGGCGATCTGGTGGCCAGATTGAAAGATCCTTTGAAGGACCTGCGGGTATCTCTTGACATTCGAACCCAGGACACAGAATGTGGCCTTGATGCGGTACTCGTCAAGGATGTCCAAAAGTTCGGAGGTGTAATTGCTCGGGCCGTCGTCAAAGGTTAAGGCCCAGTGGTGGGCACTGGGGCAGCCGTAAAGATCTTCCGGAGACGCAACATTACCACAGCTCTCGAAACATCGGTCATTGTCAGTTCCATCACAAAGAGAGTCTTCGCATATACCGGATCCAACCGGACGTACAGGTATATTCGGAACCTTGGTTAGGTCCACAGCCGAGAGCCACTGAGAGTTGCGAGGAACCTGTATGTCCTGGGAGTCACCCTGAGCCTGTACTTGAGAGCCATGGGAGAGCAGTAAAAGTGACGTTAAGGCCAGAATAGCCAGTCCCGAGGGAAGTTTTGGTGAGGATAGATAAGCAGAAAAAGGTCGCATAGATAAAAGGAATATAAATGAAATTACTATTGATTGTTGATAACTTTTTTTTTGTATATAATTTGTTTGTCTCTTTCTTTCTCTTTATCCCTGTCTTGATTTATTTGAATAAAAAAGAAGGGTCCAAAAGAAGAAGAAGAATAATAATAATGAATGCAATGAAGAAGAGGAAAAGAGAGCTAAAAAAAAGAGAGAGGTAAAGACAAAGACGAAGAACGAATCTTTAAATACTATGGCCTTTTCGTCTTCTTCTTATTTTAATTATTTTAATTATTATCGTTTTGAAAGATGATTATGATCTGGCCAAGGATTAAATGCTTACAAGAAAACAAACAAATGTTGATTTCATATTATTACGTTTCCTTACCGTCTTGATCAAAATAACTTATGGTGGCAACAGCAGAAGAGAGATTTAGTTGATTGAGGTAGAAAGACAGTGATTTCCCAATGACTTTCATACATCGATATAATTCTATTGGATGAAGCTATACATTCTTGCACTAGATTATTAATATCAATATCAATATCGTTGTTTTCATTTAAAGGAAAAGGTTGGAACCAAACAATCAATTACCGCATTCCATGCTAATCTAGTCTTCTTTTAATTTGCTTTCTATTATATTCAATATTAGTATTAGTATTAGTATTATTTTTTGTTGACGGAGGATTCCTAGCCTGTAATTCTTTCTGTCTCTTTCAAAGAGATGAAAAAAAATATCAGCTCATTACTATCCGAGGGTAACTATTACTTCTTGTGAATATTGAATTGAATAGTCAAGATATCAATCCAACTTCTTTATCCTATCTCTCTTTCTCTTGTATTTTCTTTTTCTTTTTTCTTTTTTCTTTTTTGAGCTGTGCATGTTATTCAGGAGTGACTACTACTTGGGTCTGTAGTGAAGGGATTGTCACACAGCATTTTGAGGAATCAAGGATTTCCTACCCTTTTTTTTCTTCTTTCTTTTTCTTTTTACTTGTTTGGTTCTTCTGGAGACAGAGTTTGTTGGAGGTTCATGGGTTCATTTGCTACGCTTAAGAAAGAACAGTTGGATGATCAAGTGGTGGCTGTCAAAACATATACTCGATACCATGGCCATCTTGTCCGGCGACATTGTGAGCGTGAACTACGAGCAGTCGAACATCTCGGTCTTAGATCTCCAGAGAGTTTGAAGTATTATGCAAGTTTTTATTTTTATTTCTATCTTTGTTGTTGGTGAATAAGGATGAAGAATAGAGGATTGAGGATAGTAGATAATGATGATAATGATGATAATGAGAATGAAAAGACAAGAAAAATAAAAAATAAAAGAGGATTCGATTACCAAATGAAATTATTAGTAATGATAATAATAATTCTTACATTACTTTTCTTCATTGCTATCATTATCATCATCACTCTTTTTATTTTAATTGTTGTTAGTTGATGCATGTGATTGATGTGGTGACGACAGACCAGATCATCAGTTTGACAATGCCGTTTTATGAACATACGCTTGCAAGTGTGTCCTTGAGTTTGACAGAGGCTAGACGAGCTGTTTATCAGATGGCAAAAGCACTGTCTTATATCCATGCTCAAGGAATGGTTCATTGTGACGTGAGTCCTAGTAATGTGTTAGTGAATAGTGCAGGACAGTGTGCGTTGAGTGATTTTGGGTGTGCCCATTTGCAAAAATTTATGCCAGATCCAAGGGAAGTAGATGAAATCGGCACAAGGTGAGGCAAACAGAAGCAAGAGACGTAAAGAGAGATGTAAAGAGAAGAGGGAGTGTTGGGTAAAGGGTAAAGGGTAAAAGGTATTTTACTGTCATTTTCATAATAAAAAATAAATAAATACATATATATATATTATATATTGTGTATATACATATTGTGTGTGTGTGTGTGTGTGTGTGTACATATATTGCTAGTATTGTTGTGCTAAACTGAAATAGATATTACAAGGCTCCAGAACACTTGTTTGGTTACCGTGTCTATCGCCCTTCAACTGACATATGGTCTCTTGGCACATTGTTCTGTCAATTGTTGTTGGGTTTTCCATTGTTTGCAGGTGAAAATGACCTGGAACAGATTGGCAGCATTGTTAGACGGCTTGGTTCACCGAATGAATCAGAACGTGAGGTAAATTATATATATATATATATAATATCTTTTTAGATCTTCGAATTAAATAAGAAGAAGAAGAAGAATTGTTATAATTATGTATAGTGATTAGAGTTTCTTGTGAATAAAGTTTTGATGTAAAGAATATACCTATATAAATATATTAGGAGATGAATTGTTGCCCCGATGCAACCAAACTGTTCTTTTTTATGCCGCCTTCCGAGTGCGACTCTGAGGATGATTCTGAAACCGAATTGTCTGAAGACCAAGAAGAAGAAGAAGAAGAAGAAGAAGAAGAAGACGCCTTGTCCGAATGTTCAGATATAATAACTCTGGATGCGGCTATGGAGAACTATTCTATTGAAGAAAGAGACAGAGTTATCCTACGGAAAATGCTGACCTGGTCAATGAAGACGCGTGGTTCAGTAGAAGAGGTAAATTATATTATTCAAGACAATCAACTTTACTATCGATTGATTGGTTGGTTGGTTGATTGATTGATTGACATTTGTGTGTGTCTTTCTTTTTTCTATTCTGGTTTTGTACGTTTTAGATACTTGACATTAACGTGTCGGAGAACGATTGGGTAGCTTAACTTGGCTGCCCTCATTTCTTTTTTCTAGTTCAACAAACTCTTTATCTTTCCTTGGTTTTAGCTTGCTCTTTTATTTTCCCTCTTTCTCCCCTTTTTTTTTGTTTGTTAAAATAATTCCTTTCGTTTTTCTGTTTATCTAAATTGATACATTAATATAAGAATATAAGAATATAGGAATATATCTTTTGACACGCTGTGATGTACACTATTACACCAAGAATGACTCTGCTGTGTAGTAGTACATGGTACAAGGCCCAAGATTTGCTAAAGATTGTGATACGTGTCCGCAAAACACTTTATGAACATCGACTTGGGCCACAGGGTATCAGTCAACTGAAAGCAATATATGTCGAGCTGGGAAAGACACAAACGGGCTGCCCATTATCAGCCACTGCGCGTTTTCCGGCCAATTTGTGTTATGTGTGCGAGGCAAACGGAGAGTGGCCGTCACTGATGCAACAGCTACGGTTGGCTGTCTGTCGGCTGACAGTGGACCAACCAACCACGGCGTGTGTAGATGTAGCATTTAGTTTCAGGGATCCTGAGCAGTCCTTGTGGGAGGCCACCTCAAATGTTATGAATGCTATTGGAAATATGCGGGATGTGTTTGTGAGAGAGACAGTTGAATCAGAAATGATTTGGCGCAAAGATAAAAAGGGCTAACGATTGTTACTCTTTACTATGATTACATAGAGCATATCTATATATCTATATCTATCTTTTATACTTCTTTTGTCTTTCTTTCATGTTTAAATGACATATACATCTGTGTCTATGTATGTATATATTTGTATGTATATGTATATGTGCTTGTGCCTGTTGCTTGTGCTTGTGCTTGTGCGTGCTTTTGTTGTTTAAAATACATATATATATATAATCTACATATCTATCTATAATAATAAAAATCTTGGGGTTCATATTTTTTTTTGAATATTTTATTTTTATTAATTGACAGGTCAAAAGAGAGAGAAATAAAAAATAAATTCTAAAAAATTCTAGTATAGAAATTTGGGTTCGTTGGGTTGCAGGTCAGTGAGTAAAATGGGGGATAATAAATTAAGAGGATAAGAGGTCAAGATAAAGAAGGGAGGAAGAGCAAAAGAGTGTGAAAAGAGGGGTGGAAATCATATAATATTGATTGGATGGGGCAAACCCAATTTCAGATTTGTCTGTATAGAGATACCAAAAACCCAGTGCTGGTTTTTCATTTGTGGGTTACTTTTGTCCTAGTTTAGGAATTCGATTTAATTCATATATCTTTTTGGTTGACAAGCGGACTCTATAGTTGGGTCTGATTTTTTTTTTATGATTGCTTGAACCCCATCAAATATATTTTTATTGTATTTTTTCTGATGTATTTATATATATAAAAAAAAAAGTAATATAAAAATTTAGGGAAACCTCTTGCTGAATTATTAAATAAAAATAAAAATAAAACAAAATACATATTAATTCTTTTGGAACTCTCTTTTATTCGTCTTACTTCTTTTCTCATCTTTGCTTACCTCTTTCTCACTCGTTATATCATCTAATAGCCAATTATCATATCATGGCTAGTTTTGCAGAAAACTTAGTCAAGAACCTCAACTACCCTCTTTCTCTCGGTCTCTCCGATCGTCTCAGCCACCTCAGTACATCACTCGCTCAGTCCCTTAACCTCAAACCCCAACAACCACAAGTCCCACCAACAGAACCTGTAGATATCCGCCGTCTTGCACCACCTGCACCAGAACAAACAAAAGGCACCTTTGAAATCAATCTTATCGACGCAAAACACCTAGCCATTCATGATTCTCTCAAGGCACAAGTTTACTGTCTAGTCTATTATCAGGGCAATGTACTATCCACTCTCGATACAATCCAAAACCCCGTCACCACAACCGCAAACGCAACAAATGCTTCATACTCTCCTTTCGATTTACTCAACATGGTCTCGAGACAAGCAAACCCAACCTGGAATACCACAGCCACATTGTACGTTTACTACATTAAATTCATCATAACCATAGATCGGATAATAGAAACCTTGTTAACCACAATACTCTATAGTGATGTAAGCTCTGAACAGGGCGAATTGACACTCTTTGTGTACGATCGAGGCAATCCACTAGAATCAGGCGAAGACCGATGCCTTGGCACTGCTACTTTACAACCCAGGCTGCAGCACGAGAAGACGATCGAATTGAGATTGGAATTACAACCCCCCATTCCTTTGGCTACTTGCTCTCAATCCACAACGTCTGTCTCGGGCCATGTCCGTCTCCAGCTAACCTACATGGATGCCGAAGCACGCGTTAGTATTTCATTTTATTTCATTGTCCTTTTCTTTTTTCTTTTGCTGTTATCAATTTCTGGATATTAACAAACCAACACACACACATATATATATATTTATATTTATATTTATATACGATTTACATTCTTCTAGATCAAACTTACACCTGACTCTTTTCACATTGTCCGGTTACTAGGTCGTGGTTCATTTGGCAAGGTGTATCAGGTCATAAAGCGCAACACTAAACAGACATATGCAATGAAAGTGCTTTCAAAGCGACTACTGGTGGCCGAGAATGAGATTGCACATACCCTATCCGAACGCAATGTCCTCATTGGAACGTTCACAAATCCCTTTATAGTCTCACTCAAGTTTAGTTTCCAGACTCCCGAACACTTGTTTCTGGTGATGGAGTATATTCCGGGCGGTGACCTCTTCGAACACCTCCAGAGACAAACGTTCGTATCAGATCAAGTGGCTCGCTTTTTTATCTCTGAAATCATCTGCGCCTTCCAAGACATTCACGCCCAGAACGTCGTCTACCGTGACCTCAAGCCAGAAAACATCATGCTCGACAGTCTGGGCCATATTGCTCTCACAGACTTTGGTCTCTGCAAAGAGTTGGGCCAAAGCCAGACAACAGCCACCTTTTGTGGAACAGGCGAATACCTGGCTCCAGAAATGGTGCTCCACAAACCATACGGCCAGCAGGTCGACTGGTGGAGTCTGGGCATCTTGCTCTACGAACTGCTGGTCGGAAGACCTCCCTTCCAGGCCGTCAATCGCAACACTCTCTATGACCGCATCTGCCGTGCAAAACTCTCCTTCCCGTCCCACGTCTCTGCGCAGTCCAAGGATCTCATCCGCAGCTTACTCGAACGAGACCCTCTCAAACGACTGGGTGCCAAGGGCGCCGAACAGGTCAAGGCCCACCCTTGGTTTGATGCCGTCCAGTGGGATCTTGTGGCATCCAAACGTGTACAGCCTCCACCACTTCTTGCCTCTAAACCACCACCAAAGCCAATCTGTATCCCTACTTCCAAAAAGCGAGATACCCATGCATCATTTCTCTCTTCACTTCAAGACAATTCTCCACTCAGTCCCACAATCCAATCTGCCTTTCATGGTTTTAGTTATGTCAACGAGACTAGCCAAGCTAGTCTTCGCTCTTCCATTATCTCGTTCGATGACGATGATTTCTAGTATAAATACTTTTTTTTTCTATATATGATTTTCTCAATTCACTTGTACATACCCCCCAAATTCATTTAATAAATACATCAATACATCAATACATCAATACAATACTTGTGGTTTATTATTTCTTAGTCGGTGACTGGGTCTTGGAATTGGCTTGAGCTTCTAACATCGTAATTTTCATATTATTTTCAATACCAGTTCAAATAAGGAAATGTTGGAATGTAAATTTACAACATACGGTTCCACCTTTCTTTACTCTTTCTTTCTTTCTTTCTCTCTCTCTTTCTTCTCTTACTATATATATATATACATCTTTATCTCTTCTTGATTATCTACTTATAGTATCCATTGTATAACAATAACAACAATAATAATACATACACAAACACAAACACAAACATACCATATAAAACATATTTATAAAAAATAATGAGCACTTCGTCACCCCAACCAAAAGAAACTCCCAAAAGTAACCCCGAATATCCTTTTCCCACAGAAGAACCTATCCGCCGCCCATGGTTAAAAGAAGAGTTGGACGATATAAATACCGTTGACGATGAGAGTTCGAGTTCCAAAACATCTCCTACTTCATCAGAAGAAGGAATCGTCTTGCAGAATGTTCTGCCGAGCCATCAAGATTTCAGTCAGGTGGACATGCTTTGGGATGAGATGACTGACATCCAGGCCAGACAGCGTTCGGACTCTGATTCGACTGATGAAAGCGACTGGGACGAAGAAGACGAGGAACTCCTAAAACGCACAGAATCTAACCGGGTGATCCCGCCCGAAGAAGGAGAAGAAACAACAGGTCCTACCGCAGACCTCAAGCGAATTGTGTCTGTCCGGCAGCGATTGCTGTCAGAACAACGTCATCTACTAGTCTTTACAGATCCCGAGATCGTGGTTGAACCCAGCCGGGCGACATTCACTTTATACTATGGTGTTCGACCTGCAGGCTCGGGCACTAATTCACGTAAACCTCGATCTTACTTTGTTGCATGTGATTTTAGTGAGGAGAGTTTTTATGCTATCGAGTGGACAATTGGTACTATGATGCGTGACGGAGATCGTCTTTATGTGACAACAGTGGTGAACAGAGAAGACAACCCAGATGCAGCTCAAATCGATGGCATGACACCTAGTGGAGAAGTAAGGGATCTTATATAGAAATCATATGCGTGTGTTGTATAAACCCCTTTCTTTTCCCTTTTTCCTTTCTCCCCTTGTTTTCTTTTTCTTTTTATATGTACTTAAAAAAGCAACTGCTTGTGATATTAATGTTTTTGTGTGTGTGTGTGTGCGTAGTTGGAATCAGCGGCTGGAATAGTCACTGAAAAGGTCAAGGGTTATATGGCCAAGATGTTACTGTTTGATATCAAAGTATCTGTGTTTGCTGTATCTGGTCGGGTCAAGGATGTTCTAAAACAAATGGTAAGTTAATATATATATATATATTGCTTAATTTGTTTTAAAAAACAATAATAATAACAGTAATAACAATTATGCTTTTGTTTGATTGGCTGGTATTGTTGGTTTAGATCCGAGAATTGACCTTGACCATGGTTGTATGCGGTAGTAGAGGAAGAAGTACTATGAAAGGGTAAGAATATATCTATATACATTATATTTCTTTTAAAAATAAATAAAATGGGTAATATTTTACTTGTTTAACTTTTCTTTCTATATCTATTTGTGTGTATAGTCTTTTGATGGGATCTATATCAACTTATCTGGTTCACAAATCCCCTGTGCCGGTCACTGTGATTAGACCTCAAAAATTCAAGCAAAAGCAAAAGAAGCACCATGTAGCTGCGGCTTCTCTGAGCGAAAGTAAGTTTGTTGAGTTACACAAATCAATACAATAGATTGATATCGATATTAATTAATTTCTTCTTCTTTTTTGGTTGTTGGTATAGGTGTAAAGACTGGTCATTTACATGTTGATGAACTTGCTAATTAATATCTATATCTATATACTATACATGTAAAATTATATATGAAATTTGTATTGTGATTATCACACCATTGTAAATCCCAATAAACTATAGCTAACTAATAATATATAGTAGTCATGGAGATAAATTAGATATGATTTCTACAATTCACACTGTGCATAAAAGGGTTTTGATATAATTTCTAATAATGATTTACCGACACAACTTGGATCAAAAAAATATTACTACTACCATTTGCACTATCATTATAACGATTATATTCTAATCATAAGTTATTACTGCTGTCTTATTGTCTCTTCATTATGTCTTTAAAGTGTGTGGGCGTGTACTCAACATGGATCATATGACGGCATAAATATAAATATTATTTTCCTTGGGTTTGTGTTGTACTCTCTCAACCAACCCACAAATGGCAAGTACAATGAGAAATAATGAGTTTTGCAAAGTGGCGATTTTTCCCTCCTTCTTTTTTTTTCTTCTTCCATTATTTGAACCTATTTTGGAGTTTACTTTTTCCTTGGTCCCCCTTCTTTTCCTTTTGTGGTAGGGTGTTAATGGGTGCCAAACTATCCAGTGCCAAGTCACATTCCCGTCGTACATCATCCACCAAGAGCAAAACCGACAGTGTATCCTCGAACACGGCTTACAACGTTCCGATGCTTTTCCCAAAACAAAAGACTTACGACCGAGGAGATTCTGACTATTGGTACCCCATTGACGATGATGAGATTGATCGCCTAGTTGGCGTAAGTTTACTCAACCACACTCCATTTCATAAATATCAATTCCAAAAAAAAAACTCATTCAACTCATTCGACTTTATATATATATATATATATATATCATTCAGCTCCATTTCGCTGTCAAGACATTATTTGGTGGAAATATACCCTACCATGAACAACTTCTTTCCCAGTATCCTTCAAATAAAGGTGCCAAAGTACTAGATCTCGGCTGCGGTCCCGGTACATGGGTGATGGTAATTCACATTACACTACACTAAACTGCAATGCACACCAAAAGAAGAAGAATAATTGACTACGCTCAAAAATCCCAGTTTTGCTTATCATTCTAACTATTACTATTACTATTACTATTACTATTATTTTCTTTATTATTTGACAGGAACTTGCAACAGAATATCCATCGAGTGAATTTGTAGGAATAGACATTTGCGATGTGTTTCCTACCAATATACGCCCTCCTAATGCGACTTTTCAACTTGGAAATGTGACCCACAAACTTCCGTTCGAAGATAACACTTTTGACTTTATCCAACTACGTCTATTTATCATCTCTATTCAGAGGGATCAGTGGACCAAAGTCATGGCAGAAGTGATACGAGTTCTCAAACCAGGTGGATTTATTCAGTGTATTGAACCCACCATCATGGTAAAGCAATAATATATATATACATATATGACTTGAGGGACATCTAGAGATTTATAGCAGTAACCATATATAATTTATAATAGACTCAAGGAACGCCTTTGGTACGCCAAGTAGCCGATATTTGTAAGTAACAACAAGTTTTTTCTTTGTTGATTATTAAACGATTGGTGACATTTACTTCTTACTAGTCAGGGACATGATTACAAGTCAGGGACAGGAGCCGTCTATTGCCGATAAGCTGGATGAATACCTTGCCGAATCCGGGTTCCGTGTTTTGCACGACGAGACAAAATCAGTGTTCCTGGGTAAGATAAATGGGATTAGAAGTATAGTAAAAAAAAAAGAAGTTATTCTCAGATATCTAATATTCACACTTACCTTTCAACTCAGGTCGCCCGGGTGGAGTTAACGATGAATTCATATGGGTCCTTCGTAGCATGCTTCAGAGCGGCGAGGCTTTTTTTCTGGACCGCATGGGAATGAACTCTGAAGATTACCCAGCATTTGTAGACTCCTTCTGCGAACAACTTCACTTTCCTCACGAAGAAACCGAGTGGTCTTTTGTGTATGTCCTTGGCCAGAAGCCTCCTATTTTATAAACCCCGTTACATTTTGTCATCCCATATACCTCTATATTCATCACCACAACCAAAAAAGAAAAAGAAAAAGTTTAAAAAATAATAATAATACAATTATTACCTCGCATGACTTTACAGAACTACAAACAAACGGCAAAGAGCAGTAAATGCTCCAAAAAAGAAAACCAGATCTTCTGTTTCAATATTTTCACTACTTTTCTTGACGCCTTGAACTATTATACATTCACACTCACACTCAGAAAAACACAGATTCCTTATACATATATAAAGGTCCCAGTTAATGATAATAATCTTTTTTTTTAAAAAAAAAATATAAAATAAAAATAAAATAAACAGTGCTTATTTCGTTAGTATATAATTGGCATGTTTCTTGTTATAATTCAGGTATATCTCTACTGTAATACATCTTTAGATTCTTCCGCTGTCATTTACACACAAACACATTTATATTGAGAATTGCTGAACATGTAATAAACTCAAAATCGGTATGGCTTGAGTCTTAACTTCCAACCTTAAAGATAACAGGCTTCATTGGTAGTACCAGAAATCCGTAAAGTAAACTTTTTTTTTCTTTTCTTTTCTTTTCCTTATTTCGTTCAATAGAAAAATCTTTGAGCAAAATTCTAGCAGTTTCTTTATATAAAGAAATGCTAATTATTTGAGCTCAATATTTTTCACTCTTAAAAACCAAAAAAAAAAGTCTTGTGGTATGGAATTCAGCAGCAATTCTATTTGGTATCCTAGCCGTCCAGAGTAGTTTCTATTATTGAGATCAATTTATTAAAAGATAAAAAGAAAATCGAGTTGATAAATAAAGTACTCTGTCACGTATAGACGTATATGTGTAGTGGATTTATTATACTATCATTATCATTATGCTTATATGCAATATACAGCAATTATACAAGCTGTAAATGTCGTGTCCCAAAATATGAAGTAGAAGAAAGATTATGTTTTATATTATTTATTGATAGTAAAGCTCATATAAGCATTTATATATGGTTCTTTAAAATTTTGTTTGATATGTAGAAAAGTAAATTTAGATTTAAAATATATTTAGAGTTTTTGTAGCTGTCATGCAATATTATGTATCTGCTGGCAGGTAATACTTGCTTGTCTATACCGATGTGGGTGATAGTCACCTCATTGAATTCATAGACGCCAGTTCCAACATAATTGTGAGCGATATTATGGAGATTTTAATTGGGAGAGTTGAGGTGTAGAATGTCTAGCTCTTAACTCAAATATCATTTAAAGACAACTTATGGCTTACCATAAAGAAAAAAAACCCCCTTTTTAAAGTAGAAGCAATAAGCTTTAAATAAAATTTACAATAAAAACAAAGATTTGAATGATTTATACAGTGAAAATATTCTGGTCTCGACTTTACAAGAAATTGCATCTTCATAAATGAGACCAGCTTTCATATTAATATATGGCTTAGTTATAAAATATCTTCTGCTGGAATCCATGCTCATGTAAAAGCAAAAACAAAAAAAAAACAAAGAATTACCAAACCAACAAGCATCTAAAAGGAAACGAAAAACGAAAAAGGCCGTAAAAAGAGCTGCTTCACCTCTATCAGAGATCTAAACTAATAATGTAACAAGAAATTCTTTAATATGAAATATTGAAAAATGTGGATCTCCAAAAAACCTTTCTTTTTTGCGACCATAAATATATCATGCTTTTTCACTTCATAAAAACTCTTTAAATCACTAAACCAAGGATGAAGAATAATAGTGACGATGCTTTAGATATCAAACGGCATATTTATTTGCAACTTAGCCTTCATATTAGGAAACCAGGTTTTTCTCGTCCAGTGTACTTCTGTTCCAATATCACCGTCATTTGACGGTGACCGTTGGTAGGAGGAACTCTTTTTCCTTCTTCTATCTTTTTTGATGGCATCATGCAGTAGACGACCATTCTTGATTGCATAGTGCTAATGTTTTTTTTTTCAAGTTAATATAATGGAGGAATAAAAGATATACATTATTTACCTTCATATACAGCAATCTAGGAATGGCCTTTATTTTTAGCAAGGGGAGGTCATTCACAAGGTAAGGGAGGTTAACCGATCCTAGATATTTGGAGCTATACAGACCAGGGGCCACAAGCTTCATCAGGTTTATTTTGCTTTCCGAGCCGTTTGTTCGGAAGCTAGGAACTATAACCCATCTAACATCTTTGGGTTGCATAAACTTGTTGTTTGCCAGGTCATCCAATATCACCTTGGACTCCTGTAAAATTTTCAGGTGGTCATCATTAAGTTTTACCAGGCCAAGCTTGTCATTTGCGAATTTGCAATTGATCAAGTCATGGTACGTGCCATCCACTCTTGTCAAGACACAAGTCCACCCGATCACCCATAGCATGATTTACTTGAAGAGCTCTTTTCTTCACTAAGCTAGACGACCCAGATATTGAGTCGCCCTTTTTTAAACATTAGAAGCTTTATATACTACAACATTGATATATAACCTTACCATCTTAAAAAGAGAGACCTGTCGTTGAATATGCTAGCAAAAGTTTGAGTCCATGCCTCCCCTACAAAATCCTGCTCTGTTGCTGTTGCTGGCTTCTTCTTCAACACACTATTCTCTCGACCCAACAAATGGATGCTAATAGATATCATCAGTAACGTAAAACAAATATACTATTATAATAATTACATGTGCAAATAAATTTTAAAGTAGTTCTCATCGAAAGTAAAAGCGTACTTGTATTGGCAGTCCAAAGAGAGCTTGTATGCTTCCTTTAAATCTGATTGAGCTTTCTATAAATACAGAAGGTTAAAACACCAATAATTGGGATCGTCAATAGTAAATAAACTTTTTCAATTTTTTCCAGATGAACAGTGATATTCTTGGACAACAGAGGTATATCTTTCGGCTCATAAAACAAGTTTTTCAGCTGTTATCATTCTTCACTCGAGAAAAATAGACGCTGAGAGCCTCAATCGATATTTTGTGCTGTCAAATCCACAATGAAATTGAATCCCAAGAATATACTGTTTTTGGCCTCTCCTGCTAGGTTGGCATGCAATTCTGCTGCTTTTGCTATCTTAACTGCCTCGGTCTGGACAATAGATCTAGCACTTCATGAAATACCATCCAAGACACTGCCGTCCGCCTCGTAAACATCTTATCTTTCTGCAACACTTGGTGGCCGTGATTTTGAGCATATACGGGGACCTTCAGCTCGTGTCACTGTTGGCTGTAGTCGTGAATTGGCATGTTATTTTACAGACAGGACACCTGAACGCAAAGTTTCTAAAAGGCTCAGGTTGCTCCAAAAAGTGTTTGTACATTGACAGTAGAACATCGTAAGAAAACATTAATACAATGATATATCATTGAAACGGACAATTACTCACGCAAAAATTGCTGATATCAATGGATAATGCCAGTCTTCTTAGCTTTGTGATACATCTTTTGTCTTCAAAAATCTTGTTAACGGCCTTTTTGATCCCTTGTTCAATTATGTCACAATCTGATGTCTCAGGTTCGAGCATTTTCAAAAGCTTAACAAAGTCAAAGCTATTGTCTCACTTGTGAGCACAAAAGAACTCTTTAACAGTACAGTCAAAGCTCGATATAGTGATATGGATGGTGAACAGAAATTTTATCACTATCACTATATTGAGCGTAATTTTTTTCTTACTCAGCACATTTTTTAGTTATATTTCTAATGCTGCTGTAAGTGACTACTATTCTCTAATAGGATTCATTTTTTTTGTTTGTTTGTATGGAGCTGTGACAGGCTCAGATTTATTAAAGTTCTCAGAATGAGTAGGGCAAAAGAGAAAATTACAACATTTGTTTTGAGGGTTTATGGAGGTTATTTGATGTTTTTGGCTTTTTGGTTTTTGACTTGTTTTTGTGTGATTTAAACTTTTTTTTTTTGTTAAAATGTTAGTGTGGTGTTATGCAAGGGAAGAGTCAGCAGAGTCAAGCTCGAGCTCTGAGTAGATGCGGGAGATTGATTTCCTAGCAGTGGCAAGAACCAAGGAAGGTAAAAAAGGAGCAGAGTTAAAGTGGAGTGCCCAATGGTGGTCCCAGATAGCAAGGATGGTCGGTCTGAAAACCGAGGCGGCTGGAATACTGGGGTTCAGCGTGGGAGGGAAGAGAAAGGATGTGAATGCCAAGGAAAGTGCAGAAGGTGGTGGGATGGTGCCGAAAAATTCTAACCAAATGCCTAACCACACCGCAGATTTCAAAGGACAAGAAAGAAGAAAATGCTCTTGCGTCTCGATTGACATCTGGCAGATATTGCAGAGAGGGGAAAAAACAGTGAAGGGCATAATGTGGTGCAGAAGAGCTCGGCAAGATAGTTTGTTGTGTAAGCTGCGAAACCAAACATTACGGGCCCAGTGAGGAAGTGCGAAAGACCAGAAAGAGTGCAGTTGGCGAGGGCTAAGATGGGGGCTAAGTAGTTGAGCATTAGCATGATGATGAGAGCAGGTCAGCCGGTAAGAGCGCGTGGACAAGCGTGACCAAGGTTTGCCGAGGACCAGAGCAGAGATGAAGGGATCAAAGTCAAAGGGGGACCCATCTCGAGGAGGCATATCCAAATGTCACGATTCTAGGATGAATTTAGGAATACAAGCTCTGAAAAGGATAGGGTGAGCCACAAGTGAACGGTCGAGAAGTCTTTGTAGGATACAATTAAGAGTGATAAATCGAGGAAGAGGTCTAGCAGGGGCAATGGGCATCAGGACGTCCAAATTATGATCAATTTGGTATAGGTGGTTAACCTTCAGGTCTCACCAAGATTGTCGGTAGGGCGGATGAGAGGGAGGGCTATTAACCATGGAGGACAAGGGCAACATAAGGCACGTGGATAGATTCGTGAGGACGTCGTCAAACTTGTGCAGGAGGTGGTCCATGGCCTTCAGGACAAGATGAAGAGGCGAATCCAGTGAGCGATGGGTGCGAGGTCTAGAGTCTGGGAAGATCCAAAGTAGAAGGGGATAACAATCCGTATTCTCAGTGCGAAGGAGAGAAGCCATCCATTTAGGGACCAAACCACGGGGACCCAATGGGTTCTGGATTATTGGCTTGAGCCAACGAAGCTGAAGAGCGCATTGCTGTGTAATCGGGTTGAGGATGCCAAGACCACCTTGAAATCGAGGAAGGCAGAGGGTGTCCAAAGCAATGGGGGGGGGGGGAACGAACAGAAGTGGAAGAAATGGCGTATCAGAGTGCGTATTTTTTTGAGAAAAGAGACAGGGAAGGATACTATGCGCAAGACATGCCAAAGTTGGGCGAGAATGAGAGAGTTCATGACAGTGGCACGGCCGTGGAAGGACAGGGTGCGTGAGCCGTGTAGAATACAGCTATTCTCAATCTTAGAAAGAAGGGCCTGGCCAAATGAGTCTCGTTGGGCAATGGAGGAGAAAATTTGATATCCCAGATAGCGAAGAGAAGAGGAGGAGGTCTGGTCATGCCAATCCGTAATATTGTGAGTCCGTAGATGTGAGGACCAGTCTGGCGGGGGTGAGCCCGAAAGTGAAAATGCCTGCATCTTGTGAAGATTTACGCGGGCGTTGGAAGCCGCAGCATAGGTGTTGAGGTGGGTGTGGAGGCAAGACAACTGCCCTGTGTCAGAAAGAAAAACAAGTAAATCATCAGTGTACGCAAGGAGTTTAATCGGTGACAGAGGAGAAAGACCAGCAGGAACAGATGGTTGAAAGCCCGAGAAGGACTGGTCATGGATCACTCGTCGTAGTAGAGGCTCAAAAACTAGATTGAACAGTATAGGGGAGAGAGGGTCCCCTTGGCATAGTCCCTGAGATTGAGGCAAAGGGCGCGAGAGGAAGCCATTCACATTTATTTGCAATTTAGTAGAAAAGAAGAGGTTAGAGATCGAGGTGACAAGAGAGGAGGGAAATTGAAAGTGTGTCAGTACTTGGCAAAAATATTCCGGATGTACTCTATCATATACTTTCTCCTGATTGAGGAGAAGTCCAACACCAGCTGATCCGTCCTTGGCAGCTTGTGCCATAACCAGCCTGGTCAGCATTCCATTATTGGCGATGAAGCAACCCTGAACGAACCCTGTCTGGTAAGGAGAGACAAGTGAAGTGACCATGGGAATCATGCAAGTATTCAGCAATCGGGTAAATACCTTGGCATCGGTGTTGATCAAGGCAATTGGGCACCAGTTCTTCAAAGAGGTGAGATCGCCCTTTTTTGGGAGCAGGCAAACGCAGGTGGATTGCCAGGATTCCGGAAAAATGCCTTTTGATAGGGCGTCGTTATAGACTTCCGAAACCAGATCACCACAGACTGGGTGGTCTAGTATCAAGCGAAGGATCTCGTAGGGTAGGCCATCGGGACCAGGACTGCTAGAGGTTGGAGTGCGCGATGCACCAGAGCGAATAGTAGACAATGACAGAGAATGAGTGAGGGCAGTCTGCCGACTTTCTGACAGACCAAGGTCAGAAGGCAGGTGAGAGAGCAGGTCGTCCAGAGCAGATTGGTCGATAGGGTCCGGGGTATACAAGCCTTCATAAAAGGCGGCAGCTGCTTCGGTCATCTTTTTGGGGGTGGAACATATTTCGTTTGTTGCAGGGTGGCAAAGGCTGGCAATTGACTTGCGTGACTGACGAGTGGCAATGGTGCGCTTGAGATATCCAGCAGAGGTCTCACCTTGTTCCTGCCAGTGTTTCCCAGCCCTAAGGGATATGATCTCCACTCGTTCAAGTTGGACTTGCTGCAGAAGCCGCTCAACAATAGGCAGCTGAAAATTCTGTGCAGGCTGGTGTTGAAAATGGTGTATTAGTCTGTCTCTCCGTTGTTGCAGGCTTGCTTCCAGGTCGGTGAGAGAGGGTCGGAGGTGGCGAGAGAAACACTTGATAAAGCGTATGACTTCGCTCTTTATCAAGCCCCATCGTGCTTGAGGAGAGAGGTTTGCGGGAAGGGCAGGGATGAGGGTGGATAGAAGAGTGTTGAGGTCAGTGCAGAAAGATGTCAACCTGGCAAGTTGGGGGTTAGCACGCCAAAGTCCCTTACCAGAGGATTGGGTGGAAGGGAGAGCCAAGCGGACGGTCAACAGGCAATGATCGGACCAGTTTTGGTGAATATATCTCACCTGGGAGTCAGTAGTGCGAGGGTAAAGATCAGGAGAGGCAAGAATATAGTCGATTGTAGTGGAAGACAAGGCGCGATGGAAGGTGGGTTGTGGGTTCTGGCCAGGAGGAGTGACACAGTCAACCATATGGTTGTCCAGAAACTGGAGCCATGCTAGTGGGGCACGACGTCCGAGAGCGTAGTTAGAGTGAATGGCATGGTTAAAATCACCTAATAAAATGAAGTTGGAAGGATTGGATGGAATGAGGTCAGGTGTCAACAGTAAGGAAGAAAGAAAATCATAGCGGGGAGTTTGAGAGGCGGGAGCATAGATGACACCCATCTTGAATGGAGAAAATTTATTGTCAGTATGAGTGACAGTTGTAATGATGCACCTGCCGCAAGGACTAAATAAAGGGTCTGTGAGAATAATATGGGGGGAGAGGCATACAACACCACAGTGTGGCGACCATAAAGATGAAGATGACCGAAATTGTTGGTCAAAAGTGTCTTGAAGCATAGAAGGGGAGGCATGGGTTTCTTGCAGGGCTAGTATATCAATTCCCTGAGAGTGTAGGTGGCGTATAAAAAAGGAGCGTGATTCAGGGTGTCCAACTTTGGGTAGACCCCTACAGTTCATTGTGCCTATTTTTATCATTGGTTAATCTTGGCCTCTGCATCGAGGGCTTTCTTGCTATGTGGGGGAGTGAAGTGAGGAGGTGAGAGGGATGTGTTGCGGCCTATTGGATGTACTATCCAAGAAAACCAGAGATGAGGGAGGCGAGAGGCATTCTGAAGATGGAGAGTCCAAGCCTCAACTCTATCTGTGAAGTCAGTGATCATGTCGTTGTCTATCTCATCGTCCCAGCCCTTCACAGGAGTGTCAACAGAACGACTTCGGGGACGAGGGCTGGAGGACGTGGTTGTCGCAGATGTTGTCGTGATGGCAGGGAGGGTTGCCGGTAGGGTTAGTTCTGCAGACTCAAGCAAAGCAGGTTTGTGCGGATTGTGCTTGGAAGCCTTGGATCCTCCGTAGGTGAGCGAGAGTGCAGTCGGAATCAGAGGCTTAGGCTTGTGGATAGGTCGATCGAGCTTAACATTGCAGTGGGGGTGATGGGAGCGCTTGTTTGAGATCTTAGAAGTCTTGGATGGATCGGAGGAGTGCGGGCAATTGGCTTGCAGGTGGCCAATCTTGTTGCATCCAAAGCACATTTGGGTTTCGGCTGGGTGCTTAGTGCACTGGGTGACTTCGTGTCCCATTTCCTTGCAATAAGTGCAGTGGGAGCCCATCAAAGGCCACTTACCGAGTATCTTTTGCATAGCATCATATGCTATTTGGTACATCAGGGAATCGGATGGCACCTCGTCAGTGGGGGTGTTGGCAAGGACAACATATCCAGAGCCATCAAAAAACCCATACGTTTTGTGAATGGCGATCTCACGCACTTTACCAAAAGGAGACATACATTTCGTGAGCTGTGTAGCAAGTTCCGGATAGGGGACATGAGGAAGCTTGGTCAGGAAAACACGGCAAACAAATGTGCCAATGGGAACAGCCGGTTGAGCGGGAAAAGATGAAACGCCGACTACCAAAGGATGAGAGCATGCTCTCTCACAGTCAGCACTGGTAGCCAGGTGGAGCTCGCATGTATCAGGGGAAAAGCGAGATCCAAGAGTGATTCCCATGTTAACTTTGCGAGGGTAAGCTGTGAGAAGGGCTCTCCAGAAAGGGTCGAAGTTGGGTGACGTTTTTAGTGGGGCAGTAAAGAATACAGAGAACTTAGAGGACCCTACACGCCAGGTACGTGGGGTTGTGTTATTTGTGGAGCTAAAGATAACATGTGGTTGCTTTTCAGTGAGTGGAGGTGCATTCTGTGTAGCTACTTGTGAGTATAGTGGTGTCAGAGTAGATGAGATTGGTGTGAATGAGGTTGCCAATGGTGGAGATGAGCCAGTGGTAGAGGGGCTTTTGACCTCTGGTGGTTCTGGAGTGTTAGTGGAAAGAGCCATGTTTGTCTAATAGGATTCATAGTATTTTGTCTAAGAAAGTGGGCTTGCTTTAAAATGCTAAATAAAATATATACTACATTTATTTTTTATATTATAAAAATAAACTCAGAGCTCGATATAGTGATAATAAGCAGGCATGGACCTAAATTTTCCAAAAAATTATCACTATATTGTGATTATCACTATATCGAATATCACTATATTGAGCTTTGACTGTAAACGACCTACTAAGAGTTAAAATTGTTTTTTTGTAGCATTTATGACTTACTTTGTATTGGTTGTATGCAAAGTTATAAGAAAAATTTGAAAAACAAGAAGTAGGCATAAAAATTTCAAATTCTGGTAAAGATTATATATAAGTCTGAAGATACTTTATCAGAAAGAAGACTAATTTCATTGAAATGGGTGTTGTCACAATTATATAAGTGTTGCCATTAGTTTTTCTGACAGAAGTTTAGTATGTGTGATGACGCGAAGTTGCACACTGATCCCCTTGCTGCAGCAGTTCTGGACCTGATGGGATGCCTAGTAAAATCCTTTATCTTCTCTTTGACTACCCTGTCTGTGCCTGTATTTTGGAGACAGTGTACAATTATCTAAATACTTTTGGAAAATTTCCTGTCTCATAGACATCATGGCTATCATTGCTTCTCAAAAAAAGAGATTTTACCTGTATTAAGATCTGGTAACTGATTGCTTCAATTAACACCCATGACAAGATTTTAAATTCACTACTCAATGCCCACATAATTCCCACCGTCAGTTCCCTTGCATCTCTATATCAGACAGGGTTTGTGAAGTAAAATGGATTGCTGAAAATGACATGCTTGTCAAGGCTGTTATGGAACATACTCAACTTACACAATCCACAAGTAACAGTCAGCTCCTTAACTAAGAAAAAGCATACACCAATCCTAGACGTATGACGTTTTAAGATGACAGATGACGTTTTGATTTTACTGGACTTACAAATTGTATCTTTCTGTCTGGCATCAAATAATTATATCTGATCCTTAAAGAATCATATTTATGTTAATAAAGCTACATTAACACTAGGCAGAATAATAGCTTTGGCCAAGTGTAAGATCATCCTCAGTCTACTTTAACTCTACCTTTACTTTAATCATTATGATCTTTTCCATATCTATAAAAAGAAAGGGAGATACTCTGCACATGACATACATTCGGACTTTTAATACGATTATAAAGAAAGAAAGATATCTCTGTGCATGACTTACATTTGGCTCTTCTATATTTTCAAAGCAAGCTTATAAATTACTCTTGTACTGATAACTCACAATATAAGTGTGTTCCCAGTTGAGTTGAGTAATTGGAACATGTAAACAATTAGCTATGAATAGAAGCTTTAGATCTTGCCCATACTAGAGGGTTTCACAAGCGTTGGATGCTTGACTGTTCACTATGGGAAAAAACAAGGTGGCTCTGGGGGTTCTCTGAGGGGTTTTTTCATTACCCTCCTTTTTCATCTCCTTTCTGTTATGGATTATTGTATTGTTATTTAAGATCAAGACATTGAACCTCCAATAGAATGTGCTACTTGCAATAGTAAAGGACTACTGCAAGTAGGTACATATGATTGCATAAAATTCTTCTCTATTATCTTCTGTCTGTATCTCTGCCCATCTTCTACTCATATAAATACCCGTCACCTCTTCTCAATAAAAGATTATCTTTTTTAAGCTCAAACTTCTGTCTCATCACCTAGTTGCCTAAACTAGTCTTTAATTCAAACCCATTCACCAATAGTCATGAAACCCTTTAATTTCTCAAAACTGGGAGCAGTCACGTAGACAGCTGAACTTTGTTAAATCTGGGTCGAACAGAAAAAAAGCAGTTTTACAAAGCACTTTGATTTTTTTTTCAAGAGTATCAAAAAAAAGTCAATAATTTTATTTTTTTATTACTATGTTTCCATCAAAAAAGTTATAAAATAATATCAGAAAACTATATTTAAATGATTCTATTATTTTTTTTATTGCTTTTTATACTTTTGCTGAGGAGCAACTCCAGTTTCTTCTATCAGAGACAAGCAATCTCTCAAAATCTGGGGTGTTACGTCCATCCCAGAACCACTCTTCAAGTTTTCTGCTTTCCGTTTTTCTGAAAGCTTGTTCAAAAAACTTGAACAAGCTTTCAGAAACTTCATTAAACTTAAGCAAATGCAACTCATTTTGTGCTTCAGTACTCTCCTCACTTCTCTCAACTACCTGAACTTCTGGGTTCTGAACGATATGAAGCTCTTTAATTAAAGAGTATTGAAGTCCCATTATTCTGCAGACCAAAAAATATGTTTGCACAAATAATTAGAGTCTGGACAAGAGCAGACTGACAGAACTTCCTCTTTAACCAAGAGCTCATACTAAACAGAATCATCAGTAAAGGAGCAACACTTGTATACCTATAAAAAAAATAAAAGTTGATATTAATATGATTGAACTCAATACACTATTAGTTATATACTTTTACCAAATTGTCTTCTACAGTTTCAATCATGTGAAGAGCATCCTCGTGATCAATGTCAAAAGCCCCCTTCTTCTTAGCCTTCTCAACATGAATGAGAACAAATTTCTTGAACTCATACATAATCTTGAGACACTCTTATCTATAGTCAGGCTCAACTACTTGGCAGAGCATGTAAACCAACTGGTCAACCTGGAAGTTTCTTGATCTTCCCAAGTAGTAAGCTTTCAAGATATGTTGGTAGGATTCAATAAGATTGTTTGTGTAAAATCTGGCATCCTAATAAAAAAACAATAAAAACAGCTCATAAATAAAACATTATGATTGTATTAGCTTTACCAATCCCCAGGCCATCAGTCAAAGGTCACGCTTAGTATTCCAGTACGTGGCAAAGTATCCCACAAATTTCCCATAGCCAGCAAACTTGGAAACAAATTTCTTGTATTGCTGATCAAACGCCTCCTTGATCTTGGCATGCATCATTAAGTTGAGGGCCACCCGAACTGCATTTTGCTTATGCTAGCTTTCATGGGTGGCTCCAGTAATTTTTATCTACAGCATTAGTTAATTATAAATAATTATTAGTAAAATTTAAGAATAAGTGTATTAAAATAATTTACATCTTTTTTGATGTGCATCTCCCATGCTCTCTTGATGTGCTTGTGACACAAAAGAATCTGAATGGACTGGCCAAAGACTTCCTTCAGGGCATCAATCTCAACTGGGTTGCAGTTAATTATCACGCGCTTGACACGCAGACTACAGTTGGATTTAACTCAACTGAGCCATTGTGACAAGATTGTGATTAATTCTTCATTAGTCACAAGGTAACAGACTGGGACACCCTTGTTTGGAACGTTACTTCTCACAACAATCGTATACAGATATGAGTGCTTGTTGGAATCCACCAAGAATTTGCAAGTCTTGTGAATGGAGTCAATGTACCAATCGTCTGTCAACTCAAGAGTCTGCTTAGTAGTTAGTAATATTATATTACAGCTTTATGTTAAATAAAATAATATATCTTCTCCTGCCAAGAAGAGATTCACGAAAAAAGATATGACCTATTACCTTGATGAAAGACAATGTGAACCAGATAGTTCTTTTCTTTTTCCAAGAACTCAATCCATTGCTCAACACTTGCCTTATCAATGACGTTTTTTCTTGAAAGCTTGTTCAAACGAGCATTGATGACATTCTGCACATCATGATAATTGATGCGCAGAGACATCAGGAAACTGGAAATGCCAAGACCGGCTTCAAGCTACAACACAATTTAGTTAGCAAGTTAGATAAAAAGAAAGACTATTTAATACCTCTTCCAAGCGCTGATGATCGATGCAAAGGAGCATCTTGATGGCCTTCCAATGCATGTTATTGTCCACATGGGACAGAATCCACTGCTTTAACTCAACAGGTAGTCTTGAATAGACTATGTTTTGGACTTTTTCAGGCTGATGGGTGGCATGCTGCCACAAGTAGCCTACAACAACGTTACCATTTTGCAAGGTCTTCTTGATGATTTTGGCCTTGCAGCCATCCTTGATTAATTTGGTTTGAACCATTTTAGCTTTCTGGTTGCCAGTGCCTTCGACCACTTTGACCTTCTTGGGCAAACCCTGGTGGTCACAGACAAAGTACATGGTTGCTACAACGTCTTTGGGACTGGCAGTGCTGGTGGCCTGGGATATATGAGTGTTGGTCATGTTCCAGTTTAAGTGTCTTTTGGCCGAGTTCTCAAACTAAAAAGAAAAGATCTCTTCATTAGCAAAAGTCTCAGTTGCTTTGGGGTTAGCACTCTTGTAATTGGGCACAATGCGGATTATGTGGTCATCATTGATCTTGTTGATGCTGAAGTTAGTGCGGTTGGAGCTCATTATGAGTATAAACATTTTATTTTTAGGTAAAAGTATAGGGTAAGGGAAAGATTTACAAAAAAAACAATAATAATAACAATAGAATGTGCTGGACCAAAAACAATCCGAGAAGTCTGATAAATACAAGACTATTGTTGTGGGGAGAAAATAAAGCAAAATATAATATAGACAAAAGAATTCATGAGAACTTGTGTAGGTTGTTTATTTCAAAAGAAAAGTAAAGAATAATAAAATTCGATTGTTTTTCTACACGGAACTATCTACTGATATTTATATATTTTTATAATTTATAATTCAGTGTATGCTTAAGTAATCTTTATCACGATAACTCATCTTCCAAGAGTGTTGTTCTTCTGGAAAGATCCAGAAAGACCAATTGATATGATACTTCTCCAGTCAGATCAGTCCAAGAGTTTTGGTAAAGAAGAGCATTTATGCTATTGGTAACATTTTAGTATTCCGATCCAGATACTCAGGTAATGTTTCATAATATTAAATAGTTGTAGTTGTAGTCTCTCAATTAAGTATTTGTATAATAAAAGAAATATATAGATGTAATATAATGATGCCATATATATAGTGTGTATGTATTTGTATATCCCATGTCATGGTGATAATAATAAATAATCAATTATGTGTATGATGATCTGTGTATTAGATAATATTATAAAGGGAGATCCATTTGACTGGAATAGCTGAGGATATTATTTTATCCTTCAGTCTTACTCTCAGATTCAGCAGTAATCAATACTTATTCACAACAACTACTTTCAGTTTTGAGAATTTAAACTTATTGCATAGTCATTATATGGTAGAAAAGCTTGCCTTTCTCTAACTACTTTCGTCTCTATCTCTATCACCTCATCTCCTTTGGTTCTTTATCTCTTCACCCTCATGACTGAGCATAGCCAACACAACCCTCTGTCTTGGACCAAATCCAATGATTAGACCATCCCTCCCCAACTTTCTTTATCTTCTGTGGATGTCAATGCTGCAGAAATGCTCACCACTCTGTACCTCACCTTTGCTGCCAAGGCATTGCTGGTTCCCCAATTCTGCCCAGGAATATATATCAACTCTTGGCTCTCACTCTACAAGACAGAAACTACTCTTGTTGGAGTCTCTTTGGATCTTTTGGACAAGTTCTTGCCTAACTACCTCCCTCCAGATATTGGGGAATGGATCTGCATATCTGGAACCTACCACAACTGGGCCACCCTGACTGAACTTCTTATGAGCACATAAGGGTTGGACCCCGAAATTGGGAAGTTGCAATGGCACCGTGCCCTCCAGACCACAAAACAGGGCACATTGCCCATCCGTATGTTCCATATAAAGTTTGCCACGTTGGCCAATGACATTCCCTTCACCTGCCGGCTGTCTGACTGTCCTATTTTGGCCATTTTTATGAAAAACATAAAATCACAGCTCCACCAACTGGTGAAATCCACTTTGACCAAGTACAACGACTGGGAACTGGCCTATGCCACTGCCATGAAGCACAAGAATTGATGGGGCGAGTATGCACCACCACCAGCCTTTGCTCCTCTCTCTAGATTTGGCCCACAACCCATGAACTGTTCAGCTGCCATTTCCTCTTCACAACCATGTAGTAATGGGCCTCTGGATGGAGTCTCTCGCCTCTGGAGACCAGATGTAAAACCCATCTGTGGTTATTGTAAGGGAGCCTACTGTAATAAGGATTGCTAGGGCACTCTTCAATCTGCTGCTGTCTCATCCCCACGGGATTCAAATGACACCCCTCCTCCCGCACTCTCAGCTGTTATCAGTGTGTCATTAGCTGATCAGCCCCATAGTTCCCTGTTGCCTTCGCCCTCTGGGCCCTCTGTACCTTGTGTGATGCAAGACTGTGCTTTCTCTGCCTTGGTAGACACTGGGTCCACTACTACTGCCATCTGTGCTTCTTCCCTTGACAGACTGAACGCAATTGTCAACAGCAACCAGGCCATCACTTTCATAATGACGGCTGGTGCACTTGCACGATCCCATGGCACCACCACTCTGGCTGTTGGTCTTCTGGGTCGACCCTTCACCCTCATATTCCAGGTGGTCAAACACCTAGCTCACGATATCATACTAGGATATCCAGACTTGAAACGGTTGTCTGCTGTCATTGACACCTTAGCTAATAACATTCTGTTTGACACATGTGCAACAATATCTCAACTATCTACACACGTCTCCTGCCCTGTGAGAGCGACTGGTCACATTTGTCTCCCTGCCCTGTCACACTGCCATCATACTATACAAGGTCTTGCCAACTGCTTGGCTTATGTGAATACTGGTCTGGAGATGCTCTTTTCTTGTCTGTGTACTGTGGCTGCTGGCCTGATAAAATTTGATCACAGGGATTTGCCATCATCAAGGTCACAAACTTGGGGAACACATGTTATATTTGTATGTGGAAAGATGGAACGATAAGTACTTTGAGACTCTTTTTTATTGTGTTTATTAAAAGTTCAAGTCAAATCGGATTGTCTTAATAAAAGTTATTTTATCTATGGTATTTATATTTATTGAGATATATCTAGTCACTCTGGATATGAGTCATCGTAACAGCTTTGCCATAACAGTTTAATTACTTCTTGAAGATGATCCAATGATGGATCTGACACATTGCTCTTATGTTTCAGATAGGACTTCATACTCAATAATCATTTATAACAACCTCTTTGACAGGTACTTCTGTCTGGGTTTGTATATGATATCAGATATTAAAGTATTCCAAATACAACAACACAACTGTGCAGTTACAATCAGAGTGCCAATTGGCAACTTCTGAAGATTTGGGAAGTATTAATTTCATTGATATAAAGAACAGCACTAATGCTTTGTTGACCCCTACACCTAGAACCCACCAGGCACTATTCACTAAGGAGGACCTGCCCATAGATGCAGCACTGCAGGATGCACAGAAAGACCAGATTGTCTACTTGCTTAACCAATTCTGTAGCATGTTTGCCATCAAGGCCTTAACTGTCACATTACAGATTCAACACCACATTGACACAGGTCAACAATCCCCTCTCTCTGGCCCATCCCATTGTGTGTTGGCCGCCAAGAATGAAAAGATCAATGACATGATCAATGAGATGTTACAAGACGGAATTGTGGTACCCTCCCACTTACTGTGGAGTTCCACTGCTGTCATCGTGGCCAAAAAGGATGGTTCCCTGTGTTTCTATATCAATTATCACCAACTAAATGGAGTAACGACTAGGAACGTCTACCCCCTTCCACGTATCAACAATACCTTGCATGTTCTGGGCAATTCCACCATCTTCTTCACACTCGACCTCACCGCCTTGTACTGGCAAATTGAGCTGGATGCTGAGTCGCGTCCCTGCTCTGCATTCATGTGCCAAAAAGGACTATTCGAATTTGTGCACATGCCCTTCAGCCTCTCCAATGTACCTGCAATCATGCAGCAACTAATAGATGGTGTTCTGGCTGGCCTCAAGTGGCAACTCTGTCTTGTCTACTTAGATAATATCATCATCTTCTCTTCGTCCTTTGCGCAACATCTCAAGGATCTGGATGTCGTCTTCAACTGTCTGCAAACTGCATATCTCATGGTTAACCTCAAGAAGTGCAGCTTTGTCTGCCTGGAAGTCAAGTACCTTGGGTATCTGATCACTGCCACAGGTCTGCGCACCAATCCTGATAAGATAAAGGTTGTCACTTCCTTTGCCACTCCAGTGGACGTTGATAGCTTATGTGGTTACTATAGGAGCTTCATACCTCAACTCTCTGTTCTCTCAGCTCCCCTGAACTGCTTACTCACCAAGGATCCTCCTTGGATATGGGATGAGACACACTCTCAGGCAACTACCCAACTCTGGAAGCCACTCCTCATCGCCCTCACACTTTGATTTCTGGATTTTAAGCAACTCTTTAAGCTGCACACAAATAGTGTGTGCACTTCTGGAATTGGGGTCATTCTTTCTCAATGCGAAACCCCCTCACATCGCCCACATGTCATATCATTTGCATCCTGCTCACTCAGCCCAGCAGATCGTAATTATGACATTACTGAGATCAAAGCCCTGGTCATAGTGTGGGGGATAAAGAAGTTTGTCTATTACTTGACTAGCACACATTTCACTGTAGTGACTGATCACCAAGCCTTCCAATACCTGTTGAAAACCTCTGATCTTCATGGGCGGCTGACTCATTGGGTCCTTCTACTACAAAGACACAGCTTTATCATTGTATATTGGTCAGGCAAAAAGAATTTGAGCCCAGATGATTTGTCACAATTTCTGATGATCAATGCCATTGGCATAGACAAACTTGTGACAGGGCAGGCTGGCAACCCCTTTTGCAAGAAAATAAAAGACATGCCTGAACTTTCTGCCAACTTTCTGTATTCTTGTTCACTACTGATGCACCGCTCCCAACTGGTCTTGTCTGTTGCCATATGCAAAGAGCTTTTCAAACTCCTACACTGTACCTTGCAATGATTTCAACAACATGTTTGCTTCAAGGACCTCTGACCCTGAGTCTCTCAGAAGGTGTTGTCTTGTGTAAACTGCCAGCAGTCAAAGTTCCCTCATCTCACACTAAGATTAATAGAGTCAGTCTCTCAAGAACCACTAGTGGCCCCATTTGACACCATTGCCATTGATGCATTTGGGCTACTACCTCTCAGCCTGCAAGACCATAGGTATATCTTAGCAATACAATATTTATTCTCACAGTACGACATCTTAGTATCTTTGACAAGCTTCAACAAGTTCACCGTTATGGCTGCAATCTGCTTCAAAGTGTTCACTGAACATGGGCTACCAAGAATTATTCTCTCTGACAATAGCCAACCCTTCTTATCTGACCTATTGCTCACACTAGTCAGCCAACCTGCCATCATGCAAAGGTTTGCACCAGCATATCACCCCCAATCTAATAGAGAAGTAGAACATTTTATGACTATACTAAGAAATATAATCGTCTGTAACATACATCAAAGCACTATACACTCCACTTAGGACCACTATCTGAAACTGTTTCAGCTTGCATACAACTTATCTTCCCACTTGTCTATACAATTCTTGTCCTTCTTCCTGATCCACAGCCGTGAAGCTAGAATTCTAGCTACCACAGCACAAGATTCTTAGCAGACAACTCCAACTGACTAAATCTCTGATATCATGACTGCTTTGTCTTTAGCTCTGGACTTGGTTCAACTAATCAATTTATAATCACATGTCTTAAACATGTTTATACCCAGCCAGCTCTGGAAGCCACCTGGCTTTCAGATGGGGCAAGAAGTTCTTCTAATCTCCAATCTCCTCTTCAGATCTCAAAAGGCTGGCAAACTCACTTGTACCTAGAAAGGGTCTTATCGCATCACCCTGGTCTTTGGCAACCATTACTCTCTGCTTCCCCTCCACGTCTCCACTAATAGGAACCTCTACAATGTTCATGCCCACAGGCTCAAGCTCTTCCATGCACCCACAGCTCCATTATCAATTGAAGATACTTGTCTCTAAACTCCCAGTTGTTGTGTAAAGATCAAGATATTGTATCTCTGATAGAATGTACTGCTTGCAGTAGTTCTTTACTACTGCAAGTAGATACATGCAATTGCATAACACTTTTCTTTATTATCTTCTGTCTGTATCTCTGCCCATCTTCTACTCATATAAATACACATCATCTCTTCTCAATAAAAGATTATCTTTCTTAAGCTCAAACTTCTGTCTCATTGTCAAATTTTCTAAACTAGTCTTGAATTCAAACTTATTCACCTATAGTCATTACTGTATACCTCCACAATCTAACACACTAGAGGTGTTCTCAGAATTATTTTTTGATAAAGAATTCTTTATCAATAAACAATAATATTTCTTTTTTAGAAGATTAATATGTGTCAAATATAGATGTCACTACGGGAAAAAATGGCGGTTTTTTGCTTTTGTGACATTGTTTTTGGCCTATAATAATTAAAAAATCACTAAAAATCCAATTTGAAACTAGAAAATCTCTGTTTTTTGAAAAGGTTGACAAAAAGCAAATTGACCACCTAAAATTAAATCTCCTGATAGACAAAAGTAAGCTTTAACTACAGACTTTACATTTTTAGTAAATGTAGATTGCATTTGATGACTATTAAAAGTCAGAAGAAAAAGAGAAGAAAATATCTAAACTTTCTGCTGAGAAAATAAAATATGTTAAGACAATTTGAAAAAAAAAATGTATTACAAAAAAAAACAAATTATAGGTCTGCAAGAGAACCAAGTGACAATTTTGGGCCGCGGTTAAGCTCTGACCACACTATGTATGTTGTTGTTGTTGTTGTTGTTGTTGTATTTATAGTCGCGTCCGACTTCACCAAACCAACCAATTCTTTGACATCTGCCAGGTGAACTACCTTTGGCTTCATTTGCCCATTGTTAATAACTGGTATACCATTTACCAAACGGACTGCCACAATCTCTACAAGAGCAAGCGGCCATCTCTTGTTGTTGAGCTTGTGCTCAAAGAAGACAACAACTTTTCCGAAGAAATCCTTGTAAACCGGGGAGTATGCAGAATTTATGTTGCGGTTTTCATCAACCTGAATCTGTAATCTGATGTTATGTGCCTCCCTTACACAATTTTGGTCGAGTGCAGAGTCAATCACACAACCATTGACAAATGCCTTGTGGCTAGTTTGTATAGCTGCTTCAATCATACTACACTCTTTCCCCTTTGATTCGTAGAAGTCTTCAAGAAGTTTCGAAAGACAAGAAATGCCTTCAAAACTATCTCGGATAGTTCTATTCCTCAAAGGCCCCCAGAACTCAATATCAGACCCAGCACCAACACGCTCACCCTCATCTGTTAACGGCCAACCAGCAGTGGAATCTTCATATTGTAAGTGTCATGCTGTTCTTGCTTCTGTAATCATGACAGTGGCTCCGGCCTCTGCTTGTCGTATTTGTGCTAAGCCAAGCATTATATTGCCAGCATTAACATTTATAGCAGAATTACTCTTGATAGCCCTTGAGTATTCACTGATTGCCCGTTCCACGGATCTGGCGCTATATGCATGAGGTGGGCCGTATGCGTCAATCGTGAGAGGATAGTGCTGAAGAAGATGCTGGTTTATAGTGAAAATATTGATTTTGATTTTTCCACTTGTAAGCAGCGATTCCAGGTACATGTTCCATATTTCAAGTTTACTGAAGAAAAATAGTTAGAATAAATAATAGAATAACACATAGCTTTTACTAAAATATACCTTTTGATAGAGGTTTGTTCCTCTGCTGATAACTCCCAGCTCATGAGTAGGTTACATGCTTGAACCAAGCCAAGTAACGCGTTCCGGGCAGTTGCATCTCCAATACACTCTGCCACCAGCGTAGGGACGACGAACAGAAGAAAGTCTGCCCAATCGACGGCCTTGAACGACCCGGGGTTCTTGTATACATCCCTCCAATCGCCATGGAAGGATGTAGGGATGGTATTTCTTGTTTTGTACATTGCTGTACCGATCTCCTTCCAAACACCAGAAGAAAGAGCAAAACAATGGTCTGTTCCGTAGGTACCAGAAACCAAACCCCAGACCTGCTTGCTTATTCCATGGCAAAGTCCATGCATCTCATCGAGGGCAAAAAACAATGGTCCAGAGAATACCTTCAATGTTGCCAGGGGGGATTGTCCATTTAACCCTTTGCGGCTGGATGCACTGGCCTGGGAAAAATTCTGGAAACTTTCCAGCGTATGGATATTGGTGCTGGGCAAAGTTCTGAAGTATTGTCCGTGCTTGGGACATTGGCCGACAACATGACAGATACGGCAACCGTCTTTGCTCATATGTCCAGAATGACATGCCAACTTTGCTAAGGCGAGAATGTCACCAGTGACCATTAAGACATGTACCTTGGCACTAATGGTCTCGTTTGGTGTCTTGATGACCATCCCTTTGCTCTCCAACACCAGGAGCTCTTTCATCGTTGGTTCCATGAACGACCAGAAATTGGCAGGTGCACCTGGATCTGGGATCATTGCGATCTGGAGTATTCTGCTTCTCTCATACCGGACCATGGGATTCAGGTTAAGAATGGTGGCATGGAGGATTGTTACAGAACCAGGAACATTGTGTGGCATGAATCCATCAACAGACAACGAAATTGCAATGTCATCTTTTCCGGAAAACAGATGTTTTGCTTGCTGGTAAACCTGGCCATCAAACACATCGGTTTTACTTCCATCCGAGCTTGACTCATGATTATGGCGGTAATGTATATCTGCTCTTGTATCCTCGTTGGCTAACGCAAGAGCAAGTTGTCTCGCCAATGGAAGCTGTATCATTGTGGCAGTAGCAACCAGATCACCACCCTCAGTTTCTCCACGTCTTGTTTTGTACCGGCTTTGTCCACAGTTGGAGCACTCAGTCTGGGATAGACTGGTAAAGAGCATACATCCCCTCTAACAGATATCATGGACTGTCTCTTCAACACCAGAGAAACGCTTCAAAAGCTTTTTGCTGAGATGAGAAGTACATGCTCTGTATGTAATACAAGTCGACGTTTCCAAAATGCTGTTGAAATGCTTGACTATCATTTCATGGGCATTGCGGAAGATACCAAAATCCTTAATGATCTTGAGGAACTCAAGGTTCTTTGCGTCGTCTTTGTCAGGGGTAGGTGCAGGCTGACTGAAGTCAAAAACCAAAGGAGATGTTTCGTTTTCAATGATATCCATGTCGTTGCCAAGTTCCGCATCATACTTTAACAAGGTAGATAATAATTAGCATTATATAATAAGACATGTATATCTATATATATATATATCTTACCATAGACTCATCATTATCATCATTACTAAAGATATTCATAATTGGATCATCATTATCTTCGCTGTTGAGTGTATCCATGATCTGATCTTTGATTGCATCAGCACGTTCTCTGCTTGTTTATGAAGGTAACAATATAATTAATTACACTTTCTAATAGTATGTATGTGATTTGTAGATTTACTCGATAGTGTCATTTGAGACAGTGTTCAAAACAACACTGACTTGTCCAGGAACAAGCGTGGTCTGTGAAGTCTGGATATCATTGTGTCTTCTATGATGGTTCTTAAAGCATTGAGCTCTACAACTCTTGGCTTTTTTTAAATTGGTGTGGCGCTCTTTGCATTGATTGCATTGGTAACTATCAAGGATTGAATTTGAAGACATTTTTTAGGTTGGAAATAAACACTTAAGAATAAAGGTATGAATATTGATAATTCCTTTTAAATAATATGCCTTTATACTTAATAGCGTTGAGATTTGTATAGACTTAATGACTACAAGTAGGCAATGACATAGATGATACAAATATAAACTCAGGAACAGAAGCTAAAACATTGCGTAATAGCTGTTATTAGAACTACAGTAGCCCAATAATAATATTGGCTGGACCAATAGGTTAAACTCATTTATATGAAACTAATAATAGACAATAGAAAATTTTTTTGGCCTTTATCTTTCTTTCACAACAATCCTTTTTCTCAGGTAAACCAAACTCTCAACATGAATAACACAGATAACAATTCCATCTCTTTGCTACACGCCATGTACAATGAGATACTATCTTTGAAGGCAGGCCAAGAAAAGGCCAAACTTGAAATGAAGGCACAGATCGAAGAGTTGAAGCTCGAAATGAAGACAAGCATTGAAGATTTGAATTTGGAGATTACTGCTCTCCAGAGCCAACTGGAGAATAGAAACATTTCCAACCAACACACTTCGCCTTCTGTCTCTGCCATTGTAAGACAAAAAATAAACGAGTTGAATATATATTAATATGTCATTTAATAGTCTAGTGCTAATACCATCCGCAAACCGGTGAGCATATTCCATGAAATAACTTTAAAGCATATCTTCAAGATGATAAGTGAAGACCTTGGCATTGAAGTAACAAGTAACGAAAAGGCCACACTCGATATGTGTACAAAGCTTATATGTGATGATATGGCTGCCCATCCTTCGGTGATCGCTCTTGGTCCTAATCCTATCTGGGGGTCTATACCAGTAGCACTTAAGAAAGAAATGTGTGCCAGGCACGCAAATATAATGAAGGATTCTAGTATAGACTTCACTAGATGTCTCGGAAACTGGGCATCAACTGCAAGAGTTGCACATCTCTGGAGGGACCGCCATAAAATATTACAGTCTTGTAAGTAATCCAGTGTAGTGGAATTGAATAGGATATTTTACTATGAAAACCTAGAATATTAAATAGTAAATAGCCAATAAAATGTATCTATAGATTTTTTTATGCTTCAACAGCCAATAAAATAAACAATATTATTTATTTTTCTGTCATAATAACCAGTAAAATGAACAATATGATTTTTTTTCTGTCATAACAACCAATAAAAATGATTAATAAAAATGATCTTCTATTGTAATAACCAATAAAAATTTGTATTTATTAAAATGATCAAACATTTACATGTATATTATCCAATAAAAAACTGTTTTCATAAAAGTAACATTAAAAAAAAATTACTAGTGTCCAATAGAATTCCTTTCTAAGCTAAAATATTAAAGTAATAAATGACATTTAAGAGAGTACCCAATAAAAGTAATCGATTATATAATATACTTTATACAATAAAGAATGAAACGCTGTCCAATAGAAGAGCCAACAAAGGAGAATCAGAAAGCGGAGATCTGTAATATGTATTTAAACTCCAGGGGGGCAAAGTGGATATTTGGCAAAAAACCGCCACAAAGTCGCCCTGTCAAACCGCCATAAAGCAGCCATAAAACCACACTTTTTTTTCCCGTAGTGTGTAGTGTAGTAAATAATATGTCAGTATTATACAGTACTATACTCCAAAGATATAAACTTATTTGAAAGCATATTAAAGGAATGCTTTTTCTTGCAGCTTTATCACTATGAGGAAGCATATAATATTCGACTTTAAGCAAAGCACTTGGTGCAAGCTAGCATATCATGTATTATTTTGAGTAGAAATTACTGGTTTGTATAGCAAAGAAGACTGAAAATAATATGTAGCAGCAAGATAAAAGTGACTCTCAAATGATGTTCTGATAGTAATAAATATATACTTCTATATTTGGATATTAAATTGTTTTATCCCTGCTAGAGAGCAAGTATAGACATTATGATCTTTAAAAATATTATTCCTTTTTTGAAAAAAAAAATACTTCTAAAATAGAAATATTATTGTTTTTTAATAAATAATTCTTTATCAAAAACCAATTCCAAAAGCACCTTTAAGGTCTAATCAATTAGAATATATCTTCTATATTTAGAGCATATCTTCTATAGTTAGAAGATTATAATATTAGATATGATAATTTATGCTTAATGTCTGTGGATTTTATCTCTGCTGTCTGCAAGGTATAAAGTGGTTTTTATTGCTATCAAAATCCCTTTCAAAAGACATTTTATCTTACAGCTATATCTCATTTTCTGCTTTTCTGTTTACTTTAGATTATAGCATATTTTTACTTCAAATAATATGTATAATACTTTATTTTGTTAACAGTTTACTTAAAATGAACTTATTTTATGTTTTTTCTAATTCATACAATCAAAGTAAAAAACAATCATTCAATATGATTTTAAGCAGAATTCTTTCTACTGAGTATAATATTTATTATAGCACTGCTATATAAATATGTATACTATGGTTTTTTTGTTTGTATGGAGCGGATCTCTGGTTTATTGGTGGGACTCTTGTCCAAAAGGCTTAAGAGGCGCCACAGCTTGTTTTTGGTTTTTCTATTATTTAAATGTTTTTGGGGATTTTGTGTTTTAAGTTGTAAATGTAATGTAAAAAAAAAAGTGGAAAGGAAGAAACGCGATGAACTTAGACAGAAAAAGGGCGTTGATCAAGGTTTTCTTCGGATTGTAAACAGGAAAGCAGGGAGTTGGCAGTGGTAGTGGCATTAGCGGCAACAAAAGGTGATTGATCGAATATGAAAGCCCAGTGATGTCTCCACAAGGCTAAAAGAACAGAGCCAAGGATTGAGGCAGGATGTGAAGTGGGATCAAGGGGGGGAGGGAAGGAAAACTTGTATAGTGCATTGTGAATGTCAGAGGATTGGGGGGAAAATCCGAAATGCGCAAGCCAGAGTGTGTGTCAGAGAGGAAGCTTGAGTGGGCATGCGTAGAGAAAATGGTCTTGAGAGTCAATTTCCATTCCACACAGCGAACAATTAGGGGAGGGAAATGAGATGGGAATACGGTTATGCAGCACGGATTGACATGAGATCTTGTGGTGAAGCAGCCGGAACCAAATGTTGCGAGAGGCATACGGAAGGATAAAAGACCCAAATTGACGCCATTTGATGGCTCGTATGTTGTGCGGTACATCCTCGATAGAAGAAGTGACGACTTCACAGGAGGAACGGAATTGGCGTGTAGACAAGCGTTTCCAAGGAAAGGTAGGAGAGAGGGCCGACAGGAGTGTGGAAGGGTCAACCTCAGTGCCCGTGTGAGCCATCAAGTCAGGGAATTGTTCGGTCAAGATACTTTGAGGCAGGCAAGCACGAATGACGAATGCGTGAAGGAAAAGAGAGTGATCATCCACCCACTGAAGGACTTTGCAGAGGATGCGTGGTGAACGAGGAAAGGAAGAAGGTAAGCAGCGAGAAAGGATATCCAAAGTGGTGTTGATCTTGTAGGCATCCCGGATCCGGAGGTGATGCCAAGAAGCAGGAAAAGCAGGGAGACCATGTGGAACCACAACTGCAGAGGCGAGAGGAATGTCCAGACAAGTCGGTAGATTTATCACAGTAGAGTCAAAATCGTGAGGCAAGAGATTGCAGGCAGCAAAAAGGTTAAAGAAAGGACTGGTATAAGTTCGGAATCGAGGGTGTCTGAGGTCAGGAAAAATGAAAGGAAGATGGGGATGGACATCAGGTAGATAATGCCGAAGAAGATATAGCAGCCAAGGCAACACCAGACCAGAAGGAGACGAAGTGGATTGGAATAGAGGTCGAAGCCAACGGAGCTGAAGGGCACCTTGTTGCAGTTTTGGATTCAAAACCCCTAAACCGCTTATTTTTGTGGGGAGACATAGAGTGTCAAGTCTAATTGGTGGGAAGCTTCGATGCTGAAGAAAGCGACCCATGAGAGAGCGAACTTTTGTAAAGAATGTGCCGGGAACAGATACAACACAAAGAACATGCCAGAGCTTTGACAATATAAGAGAGTTTAGGACAGTAGCATGGCCACGGAAGGACAAGGCGCGGGAGAGGTGGATATGTGAAGCTTGCTCTATCTTAGACAAGATTTGTGAGCAGAAGGAGTTGCGTTGGGTGAGGGAGGAGATGATCGGAAAGCCAAGGTAGCGGAGAGGTTCTGGAGAGCGACTATCATGCCAATCGACAATCTGCAAGCTGTGAAGGGTGTCCGCCCAGTGAGGATGAGGTCTGCCTGACAGAGAGAAAGCTTGGGTCTTGTGAAGGTTGATGCGTGCGTTGGAAGCAGAGGCATAGGTGGCGAGGTGGTGCTGCAATCGGGACATGTCCTGGATCTGCGGGAGGAAAACCAGAAGATCGTCGGCATAAGTGAGTAGCTTTATGGGTGGAGGTGCGGGATGTTCAGGCATACTTTGGATCTCAAATCCAGGAAACTGAGGGTCGTGTATGAGTCGGCGCAAAAGTGGTTCAAAGGTCAGGTTAAACAGAACAGGGGACATGGGGTCACCCTGTCTGAGTCCACGTGCTTGACAAAGAGGACGAGAGAGAAAACCGTTCACATTAATCTTAAGGTGGGAAGAGAAGAAAAGATTAGTGGTGCAGGTTATAATTGAAGGAGGAAAACCGAATTTAACAAGAACTTGTTGAAGATAGTCAGGGTGAACCCGATCGTAAGCCTTTTCCTGATCCAAGAGAAGACCGATTCCAGAGTGACCAGTAGAATTGGCATGATCCATAACCAGCTTCGTAAGTATACTGTTATCAGCAATGAAGCAACCACGGACAAATCCTGTTTGATACGGAGATACAAGCACTCCAGCAGCTTTGACCATTCGAGCATTGAGAAGCCAAGTGAAAATCTTGGCATCGGCGTTGATCAGAGCAATCGGTTGCCAATTCTTCAGGGATGAGAGATCGCCTTTCTTGGGCAACAGAGAAACACATGTTGTTTGCCAGGATGAAGGGAGTTGGCCACTACTAAGAGCATCATTGTACACTTGTGTCAGCAACTGGGAGCAAGAATGGTGATGAAAAATGAGTTGGAGGATCTCATAAGGGAGGCCGTCCAGTCCTGGGCTACTTGTTTGTGGAGAGCGAGACACGCCTTCTCGTATGTCTTCAATGCAAAGTTCAGCAGTCAGAGAGGAACATACGGTATCAGAGAGGCAGAGATCGTTGGGAAGGTGGCGAAGTAAATCGTCTATAGCTAGTTGATCTATTGGTTCAGGTGTATACAGGCCTTCGTAGAAAGAAGCGGCAGCTTCAGTCATGCCATCAGGCTCAGTGTGTAAGTGGTCAGTGATGGGATGGCATAGTTTGGTGATGTTCTTTCAGGCTTGGCGTTCTGCAACTGTTCGCTTGAGGTATCCTGCAGAGATCTCTCCATTCTCTCGCCAATGTTTGCCTGCACGCAGGGCAAGAATTTCCACTCTCTCCAGCTGGACTTGTTGCAACTGTCTTTCAATAATGGGCAATTGGAAGTTTTGGGCGGGTTGTTGTCTGAACTTGTGGATTAACTTGTCACGTTTACTTTGAAGTCTGGCCTCCAGTGTAGTGAGTGTTTGTGTGCGGCGCCTAGTAAAGGACTTAATGAATTTTGTAAGCATATGTTTTAATCTATCCCATTGGTCTTGTGGGGACATATAGGGAGAAAGTAGAAATACGGAGGTAGAAATATAGGCGTCAAATTCAGTGCAAAAAGTGGGGTTGCGGGCAAGACGAGGGTTGGCGTGCCACATTCCCTTTCCTGTTGCATGTTTGGCAGTAAACTTAAAAGTAGTGGCTACTAGACAATGATCAGACCAATTCGGATGTATATAGGACACAGAAGAGGACTGACGGCATGGGGCAAGGTCGGAAGAAGCAAATACATAATCTATGGAGGAGGAGCAAAGTTGTCGGTGGAAAGTTGGGGCAGGGACTTCACCACTCAATGTGACACAATCCACGAAATGGTTAGAAATAAAGTTGAGCCATTCGGGAGGGGCCTGGCAAGGGTTAGAAGAAGTAGTGCGGTAGGTATAATTGAAGTTGCCCAAAAGTATGCATGAGGATGGGAGACGAGGAAGTAGTGCTGGAGAGTTGAGAAGAGAGCGGAGGAAAGAAAAGCGGTCCCGGTAGGAAGCTGGGGCATAAACAACGCATATACGGAAAGAGGGAATGGAATTATTAGTATGTATGACTGTAGTAGAGATGCAACGGCCACAAGGGCTGAATAGAGGGTTAATGAAAGATAGGTGCAGAGAAAGAGAAACAAGACCGCAGTGCGGAGACCATAAGGAATCTTGGGCATGGAATTGTGTATGGAACATCTGTTGGAGAGGTTCAGTATTGGCATGAGTTTCTTGAAGGGCAAGTAAATCGATCCCGCAGGATCGAAGGTGTCTTATAAATAGGGAGCGCGTTTGTGGGTGGTTAGTTTTAGCTAATCCACGGCAATTCATAGATGCAATTTTTATCATAATTATTATTGGGGGATAGTTTCTTCAATACCCTTCATAGGGTCGTCTTCGCAGTTTTTCTCAAAATATGCCTCCACCTCTGCCAAGTCGTCATCGGTGTTGTAAATGAGTATTGACTACTGCTGTAATTGAGAATAAGTCTGAAGGAAATAATATAAGGCCTCAGCTATTCCAGTCAAAGGTGTCTACCAATTACTTTATTATTTAACACACAGGTTTAGCATGCATGATAGTGATTATATTTCATATGATGATATCACCATAATATGGGATACATCAGTGGATTATTATAAGCATAATTATAACTCATAAACACATTTACTTTCGATGTTAATACTTCATTGGGACTACACACATTTATATAATTAATCATACATTAATTATCTCAAGATCACGTTGCTCTGATTAAGGCTCAGATAGGATCGATTACCTGACCCCAGTCATATAATTTTCCCAATCCAAAACAATATAAATAGCAGTAGTAGTTCAGTGTAGGAACCTGGTCAAACTTTGATACAAAATCTTTCTCAATAAACAAAACCTACACAAGTTCTCACGAATCTTCATTCCTAATTTCAAATCTTGAATTCTTCCTCTTAAAAACTTCTTCAACTTCAACCACCACAACAATTGGTGAGCGTGGGATCATCAGCAGGGAGTGTTTCCCTATCAACTAAGTTCGCCTCAAAAGGGAGTGGAGGTGTTTTTGGTGACTTGGTGCGTGAATCGGTGGGTACAGCTTTGGTGGTGTTGGCGGGGTTGTGTTGAGACCCGGCAGAAGAGAGGGAAGGGTCAAGTAGGGCATAAGGGTTGGCTGTGGTGAAGGAGGGGGGGAGGGTCTTCTTCATATGTGAGCCAGAGTGAGTGACAGTGGGTCGGTTGGTGGTGTTGCAGGTGGCAGTGGTGCGATGGGGGCCATGCGGTTCAGGAACCTTGCAATCCCGTTTGTATGAGTTGTCCACTTCGGCAGCACGAGGGCATTTAGAGCGAAGATGGCCGACCTGATGGCAGCCATAGCACGAGCGAGTTTCTTTTGGTCAAGTGGGGCAGTTGTCGCGGTCATGGCCCATGGTTTGACATAGAGCGCAATGGGCTCCCATATTGAGCCAAGTGGCCAAGAACGTCGTGTTATCATCGAAATCCATTTTAAAGCGTAGTGGAAGGAGGGCACCTTCCTCATATAGAGGACGCTTCACATATGCGTGTCCACTTCCATCCATAAACCCAAACGTGTTAATGGAGATATCGTGCACATAGCCATATTTCATGAGAGCATTATGAAGTTTGGTATCCAAGGTAGCGTACTCTTGAGGAGGGAATTGTGGGAGCTTTGACAAAGTCAGCTTAAACAATTTGGATGAGCTAGCAATGGCAGGGGAGGCAAGAACAGTTTCGTTGTTGTACCAAAAGCCTACACGACAAGCATGAGCACAAACATCTTTGGAGCTCAAGTGGAGCTCAAAGAGGGTACCAGCTTTATTGGAAGGGTTCAGGCCAAAGATTTCGCCAGGCAAAAAGGACTGGAGCAGAGCATCAAAGAAAACAATGAATTTGGGAGAGGTTTCCGGGGGAGTAGTGTAGTAAACGGAGAACTGGCTAGTACTTTCTCACCAAGTGCGAGGTTTTGTCAGGGGGTCATTAGACCCAAGTACGATGGCATGGCAGAATGTCGGTGCGGTGTTTGTTAGGGCAGTCAAGTAGGTGAGAGGGAGTCCGGGTGTGGGTGTTGTGATAGTGGGTGAATTGTCTGTATGGCCGTTTATGAGGTGTTCCCCTGTGGGGGGGTCCGGTTGTATAGCGGAGGAAGTCATGAATATGTATACTATGGGAAAAAAGAGGCGTTTTTTGTAATTGTGACTTTGTTTTTGGCCTATAATAATTAAAAAATCATCAAAAAATCAAAATGAAACAAAAAACTCTCTATTTTTTGAAATAGCTGACAAAAAGTAAATTGACTATCTAGAATTAAATCTCAGAAGAGATAAACATTCATTTTGATTATAGATTTTACATTTTTAGCAAGTGTAGCTTGCAATTGATAGCTATTAAAAGTCAGAAGTAAAAAGAGAAAAAAATATCTAAACTTTTTGCAGAGGGCAAAATATATTAAGACAATTTGAAATAATATGCAAAAGTTAAGATAATTTGAAAAAAATATATATTACAAAAAAAACACAAATTATATGTCTCTGTATTGACCAAGATTTAGTTTTTGCTCATGGTTTAGCTCCGGCCAGACAATATATTTTGTTGTTGTTGTTGTTGTGCTGCTTGTTGCATCTGAAACTACCAGGCCATCCAACTCCTTGACATCTGCTAGGTGGACTACCTTTGGCTTCATTTGTCCATTTTTTGCCACTAGCACACCATTGTATTCTTCAACAGAATAAACCTGCACTAAAGCAAGTGGCTATCTTTTTCCAGAATTCTCATGCTCAAAAAAGAGAACAACCTTACCAAAAAAATCCTTTATGATAGAAGTATACCTCTGACATACATTACAAAACAGGTCAATCTGGACCTGTAGACAAACGTGATGGGCCTCTCTTAACAGGGTTTGGGCAAATGAAGAGGCAATCACACAGCCATTAACAAAAGCCTTGCAGCTTGTTGTCATGACAGGTTCAATTCTGCTACATTCAACCCCCTTCGATTTGTAGAAAGCTTGAATCAGAATTGGAAGGCAAGAGATGCCTTCGAAACTTTCATCAATCAATCTACATCTCAAAGGCCCCCAGAACTCAATGTCTGATTTGGCACCAACACGCTCGCCTCCCTCTGTCAATGGCCAACCAGCCAAGGAGTCATCATCAGAGAGCACCCAGGACTTTGGCTGTTCTGTGTTTTGTTTTGCCAAGCTTCCAATTTGCCTCGTCCATGCCAAGCCAAGGATTATATTGCCAGCATTGGTTCCTATTGCCAACTTACTCTTTATTGCTTTAGAGTATTCTCCGATAACTCTCTCTACAGATCTTGTACTGTATCCTCTTGGAGGCCCATACTCTATTATCATTGCTGGATAATGTTGGAGAAGGTGTTGGTTGATGGTGAAGATAGTAATATCTACATCTCAATTGGCAACCAAGGTTTCCAGGTAAGTGTTCCAAGCAATGATGTTTCTAAAAAAAAAGAGAAGTTAAGTTAGTATATGTGATAAAGTAACTATACCAGCTACTATCAAAGCTTACTTTTTAATCGAGGTTTGCTCCTCTACTGATAACTCCCAGCTCATGAGTAGGCTGTACGCCTTCACTAAGCCAAGCAGTGCATTCTGAGCAACTTGGTCATGAACACACTCTGCCACTAGCATAGGAACAACAAACAAGAAAAAATCGGTCTAGTCTACAGCCCTAGAGTATCCAAACCTTGTTGACACATTGATCCATGCACCATGAAATGAAGTGGAGATTGTGCTTCTTGTCATTGCCATGGCAGCACCAATTTCCCTTTGTGCAACAAGAGAAAGGACCAGAGAATTCTTCTCTCCATATTTACCACAAACGAGTCCCCAGATCTGCTTTGCAATACCATGGAATAAGCCATGCATCTCATCCAATGCAAAAAACAGTGGATTAGAAAAGGAAGAGAGTTTGGCAAGAGGCAATTGTCCATTTAACCCGGTTCTGTCAGACGAACTTGATTCATCATAGTTTTGGAAACTTTCCTTTGTGCGGATGGTAGTCGCAAGGGAGGTGCGGAAGTACTGGCCATGCCCAGGTGTCTGCCCAACAACGTTACAAATTCTGCAACCAGACTTAGTCATGTGTCCAACATGGCAGGCCAACTTTGCCAAGGCTGGGATGTCACTTGTGGTCATCAAGACATGTACCTTTGCTCGAATTGTTTTGGTTTGTATCTTAATTACCATTCCTGCATGCTGCAACACAAAAAGATTGTCAAATGCTGGCTTTATATATGACCAGAAGTCAGCAGGTGTGCCTGGTTTAGGGATCATCACAATCTGGATCATACAACTGCGTCCATAATAGATCATTGGCGAAAGGTTCAAGATTGTAGCATGAACAATTGTCACAGAACCAGAGGTGTTGTGAGGTGCAAAACCATCAACTGACAATGAGATTGCTATGTCATCCTCCCCAGAAAAAAGATGCTTCATCTGCTAATATGCCTGCCCATCAAAGACATCGGACACAGCACCATCTTGGCTTGGTTGGTGGAGGTAACAGTATTGCATATCTGCTCTTGTGGTTTTGTTTGTTAGAGCAAGAGCAAGCTGACCAGCCAAAGGTAATTGTATCATTGTCATGACTGGAACCAGTTTGTTGGCATGGCCTTGATCGTCACTGTCCTCTTTATATCTGGGCTCACTGCAGTTAGAACATGCAGTGATGTTTGCCTCGTTGAACAGCCTGCATCCCTTATGACAGATGTCATACTTCTTTTTCTCAATGCTTGAGAAACGCTTCAAGAGTTCGCTGGTGTAGTATGGTATTGATGCTCTGTAAGTGAGATCAACAGATCTTTCTAATATACTGTTGAAATGGGCGGCAATCTTCTTATGAGCATTGTAGGAAATGTTAAATTTCTTGATGATTTTGATAAACTCTAAATTCATTAATTCATTATTTGTAGAAATAGATGCAGGCTTGGAAAAATTGAAAACCAAAGGAGAGATACCACTTTCATTGTCATTCACAACAGCAGGTTCTTCAATGTTATTTTCATATTTAATATTATACTTTAATAACACAAAAACAAATTAGTATGATACATTTGTATATGTATATATATCTTACTGTGAGATCATTGATGTCAGTGTTATTGTTACCACTAGTGCTTTCAACATTAATTGTGTTTGAAGCATTAATATTGTTAATATATAACTTGTCTTTTTTATTATTTGTTTTTCTCAAACTCATTTAATTATCAAGCTAGGGATCATAACTGAAGCAGGCTGGCTAGATACCAAAAATGAAGTGACTTCAGGTACTTCTTCATTGTTCATATTTTCCAGTTGATTTTTCAGACATAGATTTCGGCACAACTTAGCTTTTTGTCTACTACTACAAGATTTTTTGCAAAAACGGCATTTATAGGAGAAGGTTTTTTTAATTGATGCCATTTTTAAATAGATAAATTGAGTAACTTTGGTAAGAGTGAAGACAATTATTTTCTCAATACGCATCTTTAAACTTAATCCATTGAAGGCAACAATGATAAAGACAATTCGAATTCCTTCAAGAGACTCAAAAGACATAATAACACGTGGTATGTAGTTATTGCAGCTATTATAATAATAACAATAAACCCCGTTAAACCAATAGATTTTCCAAAATAAATCTGATCGTAATCAGAAAAAAAATTTCTTTCTCTTTTTTTCTTTTTTTCATCAAAAACCCATATTTCTGATTTTTTTAACATCATGAACAATACTGATTATACAGTTATCCAAGTACTTCAGGGTATGCAAGAAACACTTTGGGATGTGCAAGAAACACTTCTTGCTTTGCAAAAAGGACAAGAAGCACTCCAAAAGGAACAAGTATTGCTCAGACTCAAGATTGCCAATATTTATAAAGACATGAATGACTGAGAAAGCCCAGAGTTAACAATGGTGCATAACGTAAAAAATAATAAAACGAAGTAAAGTATACAACCTAACATAAAACCACACAGAATCTCGGTGGGGCAATTCCAAGATCTGTACTAAATATCAAAGATATAACACTGGTACACATCTACAGAATGGTGAGTCGTGATCTTGGAGTTGAACTGGATAAGAAAACCAAGGCAATTATCAATACTTGTACACGTCTTGTCTGCAATGAACTGGCCTCCATTCCTTCTATGTAAGCTCTAGGACCAAATCCAAACTGGAGTGCAATCTCTCAAGAAGACAAGAACTTGGTGTGCACCAGACATGCGTGTCTACTCGGAAACAATGGTATAGACTTTACCAGATGCCATAAGAACTGGGCGTCTGTTGCAAAAGTCAGCCAATTACAGAAAAACCGTAAGAAGCAACAATAGATCATAAGTCTGTGTCTGGTAGGTACTATAGCATAGTATATCAATTATCAATAAAATATATAGTGAATAAAATGATATCTAGCCAGTATGATTTATATGTAATAAACTATTCTTTGTTATAACAACCAATAAAACATTTTTTATAAGATTTACTTCTATTACAACAATTAATAAAACATTGTTTATAAGATTTACTTCTATTACAGCAACTAATAAAACATTTCTTATAAGATTTACTTCTGTTACAACAGCCAATAAAATACTCTTTTATAAGAATCTTCATTGAAAAATATATTTTTGAACCAATTAAAATGATTAATAATCTAAGCTCTACAAAAATAAAATCTAATTAAGTGGATATTATTTGCAAAGTGGCCAATGATTTTAGATATAAGATTAAGCTGAAAATTATAACACCCAATAAAAGTGAATTTTAAATCAAAGCTTATATATACATCACAAAAGAAATCAGAAACCAAATATGGTTATGTATGGAACCCTAGCAATATGATTAGTCTAGAAAATTTTCTGTGTAATATCGCGAATTAAAAAAAAACATCCAAATAGAGAAGAAAATAAAGTTCAAGTGAGACGAACTATTTGTTAAGGAAATTTTGGAGTTGTTTGGAGTAACCAAGAAATGACTTTGCAAAAATTTAAAAAAAAGACCGTGATTTTTAGAAAAAAAAATATGATATGGAATAAATTCCAAATCACTCAAAAAAAACGTAAAAATTTTATTAACTATACTAAATTATACTAAGAAATAATAATACTAAACTATGCTAAATTATACTAAGAGATAATAATAATAAAATCTATGCTAATCCATGCTGCAGGTAGAACCAATATGAACTAAATTTACTCAAGTTAACCATGTAAATAGTATCATTAACCTTCATTAAAGCAATCTTACACAGAGGCTTGAGAGAATCGAGAGGCATACAGTCATCAGTCATTTCTAATTTAAGGTAGTTATTTTTCATCTCCTCACTCGTGCAAGCAGTGGGCTGAAGAAAAGTAACCATTGAGCCAGAGATCAGTCCAATGCTGGGAGTCGTGCCAATACTGTTCTTGATAACAAAAGCGGCAAAGGAATTATCTTTTAAAGTAGTTATGTTGCCGGTGTCATTGTTGTCTGCAAGCACTTGAGATCCTCCAAGAAATAGGTTGCAGAAAGTTTTATCTTTATTATTGTTGGGCTTGATAAATTCTGCAATTCTGGGTCCAGGGTACTCTTGTTATCTGTTGCTGTTAATCCATGATCCATTGGCAAAGATATGTTGCATAACCATCTGCTTTGCAAACTTGTGGCAGACATCTCTCGAGGTGTTCAGTCAGTCGGTATGAATGAGATGCTCTCGAATATACTTGTTGAACTGTTTGTCTTTTTCTGTCTCAAAGTTCAGGGCAGATCCAAATCGTCTGATATCTTCTGTCAAATGGGTCATGTTGTGGGTCTTTGGCTTGGTAGATAAGGGTGAGTATTTCAGGTTTACAACATTTGCCATATCAAATTCATGAAGTTTGGCAATCGATGATACTGGGGAATTAGATTTCTACACATATGCGATAGTATGGGAAATTCTGAGTGACAGAATAATTAAATTCTGGAATTTGGCATTTATAGATTCTGTTTGCAATATGTTATGTTACCTGTGAGTTGTCCATGTAACTTCTGAACTTATAATGATCCATATAGAGATGTAAGGTTCTTTTAAACTATTTAATCGCAGAGAGAATAATCAAATTATGGTATCTTTTTTTTTTGGATGTTACATTAAATTAAACTTGATTTGAAACAGAGATTCCAATAAAAAATCTATTTTTGATAGAAAACTGTCTACTGAAATAGTAGAATTATATTGAATTACTTTACAGAGAAAACTGTCTACTGAAATAATGATATTCTATTGGATCATTTAACAGAAGAAACAGAATTTATGTATACTGTTTTCCGAATCTAAACACTTTTATTGGACAATTATGCATGGCTAAACTATAGGATTCACACATGCCATACTACTGCAATACTTCTTGCACTTCATTTCAAATACTTTTATAGGGATTGTTTTGGAAAAATTGTTTTTATTTTAAAAAAAGCTTCTTGCTTATAATATGTACGACTTGACAGTATATAGTCTAATCTAATATATAGGCTACTATATAATTAATATAATAACAAACCCTTTCATATATTATAATATATAAATACTTCCAATACAATAGAATCCTAAAAAGAAACGCGTGTTTACGGTATTTCACTAGTAAGAGAAGGCTAAAAAATTATTCAATTATATTAGATTATATAAATATTTATTTTTCTTTAATTTAAATAGTATGGTTACTTACTAGTACTTTCGTCAGAACCAGACATAGTGCACATTGACTGTTGTTCTGAAAGGTTTAATAAAACGCATTAGTAAAGATCATGGAATAAAGTTTGGCTTTATTACTTACCAAAGAAAATCGGTTTTCAAAGACAAGCCATTCAATCAGGTACATAGAAATGTTGGCAGTACTAACAGAGATAGAAAATAAACAAAATTAGATATAAGAATAAAATAAATAAATACATTATTCAGACTTACCAGATAAATTTCTGCTGTTGGTATGTCTTTATGATGAGCTGAGGAGTTAATGAGCTGAGGAGCTAATGAGCTGAGAAGAGAGAAAAAATTAATAAAGAAACACATACACAATAACCGCGTTTTACCTTTTTGTTCTTGTCCATTAATCAACATGGCAAAGACTTGTAATACTATCAGCAACCACAATAATAATAAAAGAAAAAACATTAAGAATAAATATAACAATAGAATAATAAAAACAAATTGCTTACCAGGGTGTGAACTCAAATACATCAACCAGAATAAAAGTAAATAAAGCGGAAAAGAAACAGGAAAAAAAGAAATAAGAAAAAAATAAAGAAAAAGAAGAAAAAAAAGTGGGCTTTCAAACAGAAGACAGTTTAGATGAAAATTGACTCTAGTAAAATACAATAGTAATAAAATGAATAATCCGAAATTATATTGTAACACTAAGTTCTATGTTGAATATTAAAGAAGTTGTTCAAGGTTATAAAGGATTTTATAGAAAATAATATATAATCCCTTCCTTTTCTCAGCTATTTCATAAATCTACTTTATATTAACTTATTTTGTATGTATATCTTTGATTAAACAAAAATAAATATATTTCAACCCATACATTTATTTTATTTTACTAATTTATTAATGTATAAAACTTTAATAAAAATACAATAAAGAAAAAATGCCTTCTAATAGCAGCAGAAAAACAGACCGTAAAGGAAAAGGAAAAGCATCTGCAAGTATATCTACCTCTGCAAACCGTGTTTTGGCTGGCCGTGTTGGACCTCGAGAAATTGCCCCCAGTTTCTCATCCGCAACTATCCAAGATCAGCAATACGCGGAAATTGTTGAAATGTTTAACAAAGTAAACAACAGTATCAACGGTGTCAAGGATGACATTGCTGCTGTCAATAGCAACATGACAGCCTTTAAAAACAGGATGGGTGTTGTTGTTGACACGTCTGGAAAGACACATATGGCATTTGCAGACTTTGCAACTGCCTATGCCAACGATCAGACTTGTATGGCTAGTCTAGGACCATCTCTGATGCCATCCTATGTCCCCCAGACCTCCCTCAGTGATGCCGAGATTTCTGTCATTATCTCGGTAATTAATATTAATATATATTAGTATCAACAACTTATTAAACAACCTGTATTTAGGAAATCTTCGCAGAAAAGTTGTGGGACTGGAAGTTCGAGTCTGACGACCCTGCTCTTGTTGCTGAGAACGAGAGTAAGAAGAAGTGGAACTTGAACAAGAAGATTAACCACTGTGATAACGTAGCTGTTATCAACTACTTGAAGAGCTACATTAGTTCCCAGACTCGTCTAGCTGGTACTCATCCACGGGTGATAAGTGATAAAATAAAGAACAGGTACAAGCACAGTCATCATACTTTTCACGAGTCTCCTGAGCAGAAGTCCAAGAAAAACAGCAAGGGGAGAGCAAACAGTCGTACTCTTCAGTTTTGTATATACTATATAAAAAATTAATTGGTATATTACTATTTTCTCAAGCTACAATCTATATAACCAGATGTCTATCCAACGCAAGTTGACATACATGGACAACTGGGTAGCCATTGATGCTGCAATGGGATATAAGACTGGAAACCCTGTTGAGAGGACCTATCTCAAACTCTTTCAGAAGGATGACATGTCTGATGGTGAGTCGGATATTGAGATTGTGGACAATCTTCCATGACGGTGTTTGCATGTGGCTTGCCCCACTTGGAGAAGTGAAGAGGTAAATAATATTTAGAATAAATAAATAAGTTTTATAACAAGAAAAATAAAGAACTAATAAAAATAAATACAGTTCAACAGATTGTTGACAATGGTTGACTACATTGATCGTACCCATCATGTGTCAAATGCGGGCGTGGGAACAAAGCCAAGAATGAACAGATATCCAGCAACATTGTTGCCTTGCTCTGTTCCTGCCACCCTGTCCCAGTCATTGCCTCATTGGGCAATCAACGATGAATAAACATTTTTTTTTACTATGTTCTGTTGTAGGGCCAAATAGTAATAATTGAAATTGAATTGATTAAAGAAAATAATAATAATAGAGGATAAATATATAAGTAAGTGTGTGTATGAGAATTAATAGTAAATTTTTTTTGGTAAAGGAATCGCAAGTTTTTTGTTGATGTTTTTTGTAGTTTTGTAATCTACTATTGCAACTGTTAGGAGAATCTGATGTACTGGCAGGATGCTTTGAAAATCTTGCTTATAGAATTCATCCTGTAACAACTCAACTCCTTCTAATTCTCTTGTTTTGTCCAAAGTGGATTTGAACCATTTGACAAATGCAAATACATGCTGACTACTATGGGGATTTCTGTATGTTAGAAAACAAACAGTTGGCCTAAAATTGTGAACAAAAAGGTACTGAATCTCTCCAACATATGCATGTTCCGACCCAGTTTGTTCAGTGAAATAGGCTTGTATGTATGATCCGCAGCCATTCGTGCCAATGCACCCTTTGTAGCTTTGGCCAAGAAGATCAACGGACTTCAACATTTTGATCCAGTCATTGACGAAAAGTGAGTCATCAATTACATCTTTGCAACCTGAGATCTGTAGATTCTTGCACTGCAAAAAAATGCCCGATTCCCATACGTGATAGGATGTAAAATTCTGTGTGATTTTTGAAATACATTCCGAATATTATACAACAATTCTCAGAATGATAGGAAAACTAGCTACTAAATATTAAACACCTAGATTCTATGGATAGAATGGGTCTGTGCGCGGTCATAGAGTTCTGTTATATCTCATTATATCTGAAACCTTAATTGAATTCCGAGTTTTTTTTTCTAGTAAAACATTACATTTATTTTGTGTATTGCCTATTTATTCTTGTTTCGGACTCATTCAAGAAGGTGTATATTTCAACAATCTTCTGATGATAGCTCAACTATCTTCTGGCAAGTATCAATCTTATTGGACGGGTACTCCATTTACAATTTGAATTTCATTATTTGATTGATCAAAAAATATACTTCTTGTACTTTTATTTAAAAATAGTTCATGGGAAATAGTTTACAAATGGGTTTTTATTTTATTTTATTAAAAAAATCTCAAAATAGGTTCTCTAATAATCGGCCTTGGATAGTTGGCATTTGGTCTGGGCATTTGATCCAGACATTTGACATTGGGTCTTTGTTTTGCATTCTCGGTTTTGGGTTCTTGATTTTGGGTACTGTGATTCTACTTTGATCATTAATAATATCTCTTACCTTTCGGGATAAATAAATGGGAATACTGCAATACCTCTTTGAATATTAAGGGAAGGGGCAGAATCTTGGGATGACCAAAATCGATTTTGTCATTTTCAAAACATGTGTGTACAGACCAGATTTATTCTTTGGAAATAGAGGATCATATTGCTACGGATAGCATTTATATAATTGTTGGTGTACTCCAAGTATTCCTAATAGAAAGGGAAAAAAATATGATTAGTATGAGAGAATAATAATTATAAAGTCTTGCTTACCAGAAAAAGTGATTCTTTGGCATCCTTTTAATGCGTGCGTGCAAAAGAGAGATAGAGAAAATCTAATAAATTCAAAATGATAATGAAGAAAGTATAACGTTAATATAAGTGATTAGAAGATATTCTATTAAAGCTTACCATGTTTATTTCCATCATTAGCTTTTGATGGTTGTCATCATCATCGTTTTGCATCTAAAGATTAATAAGCTGATGATTAGCATCGCGCAATAAAAGTTGTTTGCTTTCTTATTCACCTTTGTAAGCCAGTGTGTTATGTTAACTCGTGCAGGAAGCCCTACATAATAAAGACGATAGAAGTTTTTTAGTGTTAATAATCATGTAAAATAAAGTAAAAAGAAAATATTAAGTATTTACCATAGTGTAGAAAAAGAAGCAAAAGTAAACAGTATAAGAGAAAGAGAGAGAACAAAAAAAAAGAAAATAAAAAAAAAGAAAAATAAAAAAACAAATTGTAAGAGTAGTGAATAAGCTCATTCTGTTCTCAGAATTTATTAGGGTCTATTATAATTTAAAACGTGTGTCCCTATAATTTTTTCTTTTGTTGCTGTACACCCAAGAAGTATTGGGACATATAAATACTACTTCTATTTGCCAGATTATTATATCCTCCCTCACATTTTATTAGAAACCTCACATACTATTACTGTGCTTTACCATGTATGTTTGTATAATTAAAATAATATTTCATAATATTCTTCTATATATGCTTTATTTATTTATATTTATTTATTTTTTAAAAAATATGTAAATATCTGTAGCATGCCTTCCAATGCCACTAGAAAATCAGGACGCACAGGCAAACAGAATGCCCGAGGAACACTTAGCCGTGTTGCTGCCGGCCGGATTGAGCAACGTGAGATTGCTCCAAGAGTATCGCCACTTGCAGCTGGTCCAAGTGGGGCAGAGGCTCCTGGAATGACTGTCGAGTCCCTAACGCAGGTTATGGCAGCCATCAACATGATGTACGATCGTACTGTCGAAGCCAACACTGGAATTCGTTTTCTGGTCGATGCTCACAACCAAGCCATTGCCCAGCAAGCTCTTGTTGCATCTTCTGTAACTCAGGGAGTAACTGCCGCCAATGTGTCTACAAATAGACACACCAAAGGCGAAATGCGTGCAATTGTTCTGGTATGATTTTTTCTGACTTCATGCTTTAACACACTACCTAAATAATAATAATAATAATCATATAGAATCTCATCAATGGGAGAATGTGGGCGAGAAACTTCCGTTCGAATGATCCTGAGCTTGTTGCTGAAAACGAAAGCCGCAGGCGATGGAACACGGATGAGAGGATCGATCATCCTGACAATGTTGAGGTGATTAATTACCTCCGACAGTATATCGTTGCCCAGCCTCGCACAGCTGGGTTCTGGGAGGATATGATAGTGCAGAAAATAAAAAACAATTACAAGACATGTTTTCGTGCTGTCAACGCAACCCCTGAGCAAGCGTCTTCCAAAAGGCGCAATAATCGTATCAACAGCTGTCGCATTGAGGTAAAATTACAAACAAAAAAAAGAAATTAAATATTTTGCATTCTGTTCTAATCATTTTAAAATATATCTAGATTCACTTGCGTCGTGTTGATACCTACATTAACAATTGGCTAGCAATTGACACTAAGATGGGATACAAGCCAGGTAACTCTGATGAGATGGCATACTTGCATCTCCTCAAGAAGAGTGTGATGTCTGATGGTGAATCGGAAGATGAGGACGTCACTCCTATAATCCGTGTGTGGGTTTTGCAGGTTGCTCGTCCTAGTTGGAGAAGTGCTGAGGTAATTTTTTTTAAAGGTGTACACTATAATATATTTCTATAAAAAGATGACTGTACAGAAATAAACTAACTAATTATACATAGCTGAATAGGCTTATTCAGTTCATTGATTTCTTGGCAGCAGAGAATGACAAGAAGATTGCAACACCACAATCAAAGCAAAGAATGCCCAGATACCTAAAAACCATTGCGGTCACTCCTGTCCCCGGTCACCTGACCGCGATCCTTCCTGTCTGGGCAATTCAAAACCAATAAAAACAAACAATTTGCTCTTTTTTTTTTCACTGTCATATTAAAAAAATTGAATAATATTATTAGAAAGAAAAGAAGGGATAATTATATATTTTAAAAGTAAAGTTTTCTAGGCAAAGGAACAATAAGTTTTTTGCTGATATTTCGTAATGTTGTATGGTCAACAATTGCAACAGGAAGGAGAATTCGGTGCACTGGCAAGATGCTTTGAAAGTCAGGCAAAGAAAACGCGACATCCCATATTTCTACGCCTGCAATTTTTCTACTTGTCTCCTTGGAAGCCTTGTACCATTTTACATAAGCAAATGTATGTTGGCTACTTTGGGGTGTTCTGTGATGTGGAGTAGAAACAAGTGGACTAAATGAATGAACAAATAGGTACTGAATCTCTCCGACATATGCATACTTTGCTCCGTTTCGACCTTCTATGAACATTGCTTGTATATATAATCCTCTTCCATTCGTACCTCTACTTCCCTTGAATGTCTGTCCAAGGAGGTTGACAGATTTGAGCATTTCGATCCAGTCATTGACGAAAGCTGTATCTTGAATCACGTCTTTGCAACTGGAGATGGTGGGATCGTTGTAAACAGCTTGGTAATATCCTACCAAACAATCATACTCCTGTCTTAGCATCATCTCATATGCTTTTTTTTGCAAGGGCAGCGCTGATGGCGGCAAAGGCTCGTTACCACGAATTGACAAGTTCGGATTTTCGGCAGCATCAAGAAAGTCTGGTAGAGAGAACCAATTGTACAAGGCGGTGCTAGTTGTAGAATCAGCAGGACTATAACCAGTTACCAATTTATCGAAGATGCCGGAGAAATTGAATGGACCAGATGTCTTCAAGAAATTGCGAACAAAATCGCCTTTATGGGTATCTTCAATGAATGTTTTCATGTATGTCATTTCAAAGCCGCTCCTTCTGTTGGTATTGATATTCTTTAGGACGCTGTTGTATCGCTCGAAACTAAAGAGCCAGTACCCATAAACAGGCCCAAAGTCCTTGATTGTGTCGCGAAGATGAAGATGGAGATGCATGTTTGGAGATAACAGATCCTTGCTATACAGCCTTTCACAACCTTTACCGAACTTCTCAAGTGCTATGTGTGCTGACTGTACATCATCTTCGGAAACATTTGGCTTGGTAAGGAAACGGCAGGCATTCACAAAAAACATCCAATTCTCAAACTTTTGCTTTGGTAGTACGCCTTGTAGAACCACTGGAGAGTATACCAGACACCACGATTTCCACTCGTCTGCCTTCATAAAGGGAAATCCCTTTGAAATCTTTGATCTTAGCATGGTGTAATCAGGCGGCAATGTCATGTTTTCAACGATTTTCTACATGGCAACGAGTTTTTTATTGTCAATTAGACCATCTGCAACCCATTTCTCCATCATCCTCTTGGCTGTGCCTAAGAAGAGATTGTGCATTGGATCAATGATCGTGCAGCGGACAACGTCAAAGTACTGGAGACGATGCAGTTCGGACCAGCGAACACCATTTTCAACTTCAAGACGATGTCTCTCAGCTTCAGTGGTTGCATTCCTCCAGACCTCAGCATCCTTACAATTATCATTCTTAGTGCGAAGGAGCCACTTTGAGAAATCAAATCCAGAATAATCGACAGAGCTCGTTCCAGCTAATCGGGAGAATTGGCGATTACATTTGTGGCATGCGTTTGTACTGGTATGGGACGTGAATCCACACACTTTTCAGGCAGCAGGGATGTCGCAGGCAACCATAAACAGAGCAGCGCGGATGGTGGTACCATTTGGGCATTGATATGTCTGGACTCTGACTCCCTTGTACAACTTTTCTAATTCGTCAACCAGAGGTCTGAGGTACGAATTTATCTCGGATGTTTTTGCTTCTTTTGGACCTGGCATTAACCCAACGAGAATGACATTTTCTTTCTTGAATCTTACACTTCGAGGAAGATTGTTTACAGCCAGGTAAATTGCACCACACGAATATGTCACACCGTCGAATGGCTGGAACCAGTCAATGTTTAAGGTCAACATCAGTGAGCGGTTGCCATGAACAAAGGGAATTCCATTGGTGTCTTTCAAATCCTTCCACATCAAGCCATCATACACATCGAACATAGTATTCTCAGCCTTCGGGCTACGGTTCCACGAGTCGATTTGGGTTTCAAAATCAGGCCGAGAAAAGAGAGCTTTGATCGAATTCTGAACAGAGTGATACACATATGTTCTTTTTGGAATGGACGACTGATTTCCCGACTTGAACAAACTATTACCGCACATTGAGTTATTCCCAAATTTATCAAAGATACAGAAGCGGGGTGTTGATTCATTGTTCTCATATATGCTGTGACATTCGCTACAAGAAACATATTTCTTTATACCGTCTGTAAAGGTATTGAATCCTGCCATGCTTTTGAGACCAGGGATGCTAACTGGGAGACGGAATGGATCTCTGAAAAGCTCGAGTATTTTGTTCATGATGGCAATGAGAAGAATGGCGCCTTCATCGACGACGTACAAGGATACAAATAGTGCAAGGACCTGTACAATAAAACGATGGATGAAACTCAATTCTGAGTTGAATTCAGGAAAGTTGTCTTTTTTAAAAAAAATTAATTTCTATTATTTTATACAGCAGAACCCAATATCCATTATGAAAGTGTGCAAACCTTCACTATCAAGCATGTCATCCTCACTGGAATCGTCTTCGCAACCGTCAGAATCAAGATCAGAGTTAAACTCTTCATTCTCATAACCAAAGACAGCATCGGATTCTGAGAGAGGTAAGACTCGAATAGGCTCTTGTGTCTCCATGTCTACTTCTATACTGGTGTCCATTTCTACCGGAACCATAAAAGAAGTTAGAGCAAATAAAAATAAAAATAAAAATATATATTTTTACCATCAAAGTCATAATCCATATCATAATCATTGTCTATGGCCACCGAGTTCTGTTCATCATTGTTGATAACTTCAGGAACATAGCTTACAGTAGTTTCGACTGATCTCTTAATAATCACTACATTACATATGTTATTAAATCGAAAATATAAATGTAAATATAATTAAAACATAAAAGAAAATTCCCTACATCTATTACGAAAGATGTTCATTCCAGCATCGTCTCTTCTTTTATGAAAATTAAATGTCTGTACAGACACTGTATCTGATCCTCCAAATCTTGTCTTGCAAACAGAACATTTGCATTCTTTTGTTTTGTTTGATTTACGGGTTGGTGCCATTGCTTAATAATTATTAAAATAATATTATTTTTTAAACAGTAAAGAAGATAAATATATATTCAGGTACAGTTTATTTCATTCAATTTAAGTTTATTATTGTATTTTTTTATGCTACTCGGTGCTCTATGACCAATAGAATCGTTTTAAAAAAATTGCAATGTTTATTCTACAAAAAAAAATCCTGCACTACAAATTTGGGTTTTCTGTCCACCGAATTTTACATCCCATCACGTATGGGAATCGGGCATTTTTTTGCAGTGTTGTACGCAGCTTGATAGTATCCTACAAGACAATCATATTCATGTTTTGGCATAAATGATAATGGTCTTGTTTTCAATGGCAAGGCGGATGATGGCAGGGGCTTGTTTCCACGAATTGTCATTGAAAGATTCTGTGAAGCTTCAAGATATTTGGAAATTGAGAAAGAGTGAGAGAGGTAGGTGTTGGTGTTGGTGTTGTTGTTGGTGGTGAACTTATTGAAAATTTCAAAACATGCAAGTGCATGCATAGGTTTCAGAAGTCAACAAACAAAATCTCCCTCCCACAACTCTTCAATGAACTGTCTCATAAATGTCAATTCAAACCCGTTTCTTCAATTGGTTTTGATATTTTTCAGGACACTATTGTACCTTTCAAAGCTGAAAAGCCAATAGCCATAGACGGGCCCAAAGTCAATCATTGTTTGGCGTAAGTGCAGATGCAGGTGCATGTTGGGAGAGAGAAGGTCCAGGTAGTAGAATGTCTCACACCCTTTACAGAATTCTTCTAAGCATTTGTGTCCTTTCTCAATGTCTTCTTCAGAAACACTAGGCTTGGTGAAGTATCTGCATGAGTTAACAAACTCTATCCAGTTCTTGAACTCTGGCAACGGCAACACATCCCTTAGAACCACAGGAGAGTACACAAGGCACCAAGACTTCCACTCATCAGCCTTCATATAGGAAAATCCCTTGGCAATCTTTGTCCCAAGTGACGTGTAATCGGGTGGCAACACTACCTTCTCAACAACCTTTTGCATGGCAACGAGTTTTTTATTGTCGATTAATCCATCTGCAACCCATCTCTCCAGCATTCTTTTGGCAGTGCCTAAGAAAAGATTGTGCATGGGATCAATGATTGTGCAGCGGACAATGTCAAAGTACTGAAGACGATGCAGTTCAGACCAGCAAACATCATGTGCAACTTCAAGACGCTGTCTCTCAGTTGGTTTGATTGCATTTCTCCAGATCTCTGCATCCTTACAATTGTCATTCTTAGTGCGAAGGAGCCACTTTGAGAAATCGAATTCAGAATAATCAACGGAACTCGTTCCAGCCAACCTCAAAAATTGATGCTTACACTTGTGGCATGCATTTGTACTTGTATGGGATGTGAACCCACATACTTTCCTTGCAGCAGGTATATCACAGGCAACCATGAGAAGGGCTGCTCAGATAGACGTACCATTTGGACATTGGTGAGTCTTAATCTTAATACCTTTGTACAGCTCCATCAACTCATCCACAAGCAGTTTCAAATAGTTATTTATGTCAGAAGTGCTTGCTTCTTTAGGCCCTGGCATTAACCCAACAAAAATCATGTTCTCCTTCTTGAACCACTCACTGCGTGGAAGATGATTGATTGCAAGATATATGGCACCACAGGAGTAGATAACAATATCGAATGGCTGAAACCAGTCAATGTTCAGCATGAGCATGAGTGATTGCTCAGTATCAACAAAAGGTATACCATCTACATCTACTATCTCATTCCACATCACACCATTGTACATGTCAAACAAAGTGCTATCCATTTTCAGGCCGCAGTTCCATGAGTTGATCTTGTTTTCAAAATCCGGGCATTGAAAAAACGTCTTTAGAGCTTTCTTGACAGAGTGGAATACATATGTTTTTTTGGGTGCTTTTGACCCGGAATCAGGCTTAAACAAGCTGTTGCCACACAAGGAGATTTTACCAAAATTGGGTGATGTACAACACAAAGGGGCGGCTTCATTATCATATATGGCATGGCATTTGCTACATGCAACATACTTCTTGACACCACTTGTCAACACTTCAAATCCGGCCAAACGTTTGAGGCCAGCAACACTCATGGGAAGGCGGAATAGGTCAAACAAAAACTGCAGGATCTTGTTGATTATGACAATCAGGATTATAGCTCCTTCATCCACGACGTATAGTGAGACAAAAAGAGCAACTAAAATAACAATGAATCGGTGAATCAAATTCAATTCCGAGATTGATTCCAATGAAGAATCTTTGATTTGATTTTTTTTAAAGAACGTTGATTAACTCTCTATTTTCTAGAATATAATATTATCTAAAGCTGTGTACCTACCTTCATCATTGTCCATCTCAACATCGGATTCATCTTCATATTCTTCTTCTTCTTCGTAAGTGTCACTTATATACTGGACATTATCTTCAGGGCCAAACACACAATTCATTTCAGAGAAAGGTTGGTTTCTTGTCCGTATATCCAAAATGTCATTTGTGTCATTTAGGTCTACAAAAGCAGAATGTTAGACCCAAATAAATCAATGTAATAAAATAAGTTTTCTTACTTCTAAACTCAGAATTCATTTCAGCATTTTCCTGTTCAAATTCAAAACTATCTTCCTCTTGATTTACAGGCTCAGAAACAGCACTACTAATTGTATCGCATGTGTCTTCATGGGCTACACATTTATTATTATTAGTGTTAGTATTATTATTATTATTATTATTATTATATAAAATAATAAAAAAGGAAATGATATAAAATAAAATAAAATATAGTAAAGTAAAGCAAATGTATTAACCATACGTGTTTGAACATGTGTAATATCATAATTATCTTTTTCTCGATGACATTTAAATGTTTTAATAGATACATGATCAAATTCTAGTGTCTTGCTTTTACAGATAGAGCATTGACACTTTTTTCTAACAGTTGGTTTACGAATAGGAGCTATTTTAAAATGAAAAGAAAGGTTTACAATAGTATTTAATAGTAAAGAAAGAGACTAAAGAAAACACACATTTATTTTATTTGAGTTTGATGTTGCATTCTAATGCTACACAGCTGCCAGTAGTCAATAGAGTAGCTTAAAATACTATTCAAATACTTTATTCACAAAAGTGAGCTGAACTACAATTTTACCTATTCTGTCTATCAGAACTTAGGTATAATTTACATATGCAAAATTGATCTGTTTTTGCAGTGGATGAGGCATCATATCGAATAAGACCTCAAGACAAACATTCCTGTTGTAAATGAGTATTGACTACTGCTGTAATTGAGAATAAGTCTGAAGGAAATAATATAAGGCCTCAGCTATTCCAGTCAAAGGTGTCTACCAATTACTTTATTATTTAACACACAGGTTTAGCATGCATGATAGTGATTATATTTCATATGATGATATCACCATAATATGGGATACATCAGTGGATTATTATAAGCATAATTATAACTCATAAACACATTTACTTTCGATGTTAATACTTCATTTGGACTACACACATTTATATAATTAATCATACATTAATTATCCCAAGATCACGTTGCTCTGATTAAGGCTCAGATAGGATCGATTACCTGACCTCAGTCATATAATTTTCCCAATCCAAAACAATATAAATAGCAGTAGTAGTTCAGTGTAGGAACCTGGTCAAACTTTGATATAAAATCCTTTCTCAATAAACAAAACCTACACAAGTTCTTACAAATCTTCATTCCTAATCTCAAATCTTCAATTCTTCCTCTTAAAAACTTCTTCAACTTCAACCACCACAACAATTCCAAATAATTAGTATAAATATCAATAGCAATTGTTCATAATAAAATCATCTTTTATCTACTATATTAATTTGTCTGTTTGATTGTACTTCTTTATTATCAAGTATACTTCTTTGCCTGTTTTTATATTATCTGGTCATTGATTTATTAGCTAAGCACAATTTGATATAATATAACATATGATATATTTGTTTGTTATGGATTGTAACAGTATCATTTGGCAAATAAATATAATGTGAATTACAAAATATAAGAAGAAGAATACAATAAGAATGAAAAAGAATGTGTAATTTGACAGGTAAGAATTGGTGACAGACAGGTAGAAAAAATAGGGAGAAGAGTAAAATGGAAATTATGACAATGACAAAGTCTGAGAAAGACAGAAAAGGGAAAATAGAGAAATGAAATATATCAAAGTTGACAGAACACTCCAAAGAACAAGGACACTGTGTATGAATAAAGAATAATGATAATAATGGACAAAAATAAATAAGATCAAGGATAGAATAATGATTTTATTGATTGAAAAGATTATTCCTTTTATAAACAAAAATATTTAGTTAAAATAATTTTTTGAGGAAAAGAAAAGAAAGTCAAGTGAAAAATTTTACTACATGTAACTGGTGTTGATAGTAGAAGTAGAATAGAAAATTATAGAGAAAGTAAAATAAAAGTATAGTAAAAATATAATAATTGAATAAAGATAAAGTAAAAATATAGTGAGATAGAATAGAAGTAAAGTAATAATATAATAATAATGTAGTAAAGTAAAGTAAAAAATATAATAATAGTATAATAATGGAATCTAATAAAATGTAATAAAAAATAGTGCAAAATAAATGTCGGTGATAAAGAAGTGTATAAAATTAGGGGAAAGAGATATAATGTTTTTAGTGAGTGACAGGTGTTTCTGAGATGACGATGTAGATGGATATTTTAATTTTAAGGAACGGGATTATATTGGAGGGTTTGGATATAGGGGTATCGGGAGCAAGATTTCCCAAGAAACCTGGGGGGACCACTCTTGTCCCTCGAGATACGTCACTCGGTCGACTCACTGTTGACATCAACGCCCACGAGTCCAGTACTACCCGTCATGGCTCACCGCCAGACCAAATCACCAAAGGAATCCACCGTCCAGTATCCCTCACCAGAAATTAATTAAAGCTCAAGTTTTTTGTAACATACATGATAAATATAAAATGCGCGGATGGTTAAGTGGTATAATCTTCGCCTGCCACGCGAAGGGCCCGGGTTCGATTCCCGGTCCGCGCATCACTTTTTGTCTCTTTGTCAGACATTATTTTGATGAATCTGTAAAATCTGAAGATAGTTAACCGCAGTACTTCTTTATGCGCAGTAATATCTTCCTGAGCATTAACCGCAGTATAATGACTATTTCTTTAATTAAATATAAATAATAACTACTGTGGATAATGTGCAGTATTAGTTTAGAAAACTATATAAGACAATTCAATTCATATCAATAAAAAGTATCTTTTATCCTCTCTTTGATTTTACGTATACTCCTTGATCCCCAGTGGGTTTGACCTTTTGACTTTGTTATAGTAAAAGGAAGACCAACCCAGATCAGGAACAACACATTGCTGAACAAAATTGGTTGTCAAGTTGTCAAGTCTCGATCTGGTATTTCTTTTCTGGCACTTGTAACTAAGTCGCAGAATCAATACCACTGGGGATCGTCAAGTTTATGAATAGTTTTTAGATAAGAATAAAGATGCTTTTTATTAAATGTATTTCTTGACTGTTTATACAAAATGATAATTGATTTCTGGCTAAAAGAATAGCTATGATAATATGTCTTAGATGCTTGTTGTCCAGTGATATCTTCTACAAGTATATTTACCATCTTAAACATCTAAAACATATGTGAAAGTCCAATCGGCGAAGTCAAGATCTTTTATCCTAAAAAGTCAACCATTACTGCTTGCTTGTAAATCCCGATTTTGGTTACCAATGTCAACTCTGACATTACCCCCCTCCTGGCTTTGTGATCGTCCACAAGCACCAACATCATCAGGTGAAGCCACAGAATCAACTGCATCATTCAGAATTTCGGTGTCAAGGAGTCTCATGGCAGCACACCAGGCTGAGCAAGAGGTGGTTGGATTGTACCAAGTGTCATTAGGGGCATCACCATTTGTCTTGTATAACTGATCAACGTGAACCCATGACGCAAGAGGTTTTCCTTCCATGGTTTTGAGCTGATATGTACCATATTTGTTGTTCTTGTTCATCACAATAAATGGATGCTTGAACTGTGGCTCCAAACCAAAACGACCTTCATGTGTGAGCTTGACGTGATCACGAATTTCAAACAATACTTTCTTGATCACTGCGTCCCATTTTTCTTTGTCCTTTGAGCTCATGACACTTATGCGCAACTCGGCAGCTTCCCTGGCCCTACCAACATTTTCCAGTTAGTCTGCTGTCTGGTCGGCTATGGCACATGGGTCTTCCGAGATAGTCTTGTCGAGGTAAGGCTGTTGGGGATCTCCAGGAAGAACAGGATGTTGGCCATAAGTAAGGAAAAAAGAGCTATACCCCATAGTAGAATGGGTGCGGATATGGCAGGCCCAGAGTGCAGCAAACAGAAACTCATCCCAACAATGGAGGGCACCGTTTGTGTATTTACACAACATTTGTTTCAATGTGCCGTTTAAATGCTCACACTTGCCATTCGTGCGTGGGTGAAATGCAGAGGTTAACCAGTGGTTAAACTTGATACGGCTGAGATAGGCAACCACCAGTTTACTGGTGAAGTTAGCACCATAGTCTGTTAATATCTCGGCAGGACAACCAAAACGCATGACAATCTCTTTATATATGAAATTGGCTACAGCTTCTGCAGATGCGATGGGGACAGTGCGGGCAATGGGCCAATTGGTTGTACAATCAACGGCAACAAGGATCCAACAATTTCCTTTTAGCATCATGGGGAGCCTACCAATGAAATCGAGGTGCCATCTCTGAAATGCTACTGGGATCTTCAATGGATGCATCTCGTCATGGTGTTGTCCATCCTTTCTTGCGTTCAGCTGGCATTTGTGGCATGTGCTCAAACATTCCTTGATATCATTACAGAGGGTGGGCCACCAGTGATGGGGCTTCAGTATGTCGACCATAGTAGAAAATCCCGAATGTCCAAAACCCTTATGGTAAGTCTGGACTGTATCGGCATGCTGAGAAAATGGCAGAAACGGAACTTTGCGAACTTCATCCTCACTCAATGTCACCTTACGATATACCTTCCGGCTTCTCACTATGAAATGTTCTCTGTTCTTCTCCACAATTCCTTTGGCATCGGCTGGTACTTGGTCGGGTCAGAACATATAATAATTGGGCCAATCTGTGGAGTGGGTCAGTGGTGTGGCATACAAGTAATCTGGCTCAATTGCGTCTTTAGCACTCTGGCTTTCCAGACCTCTGACATGAGACAATGCATCTGGTACATCGTTCTCTTTTCCTGGCTTGTACTGAATGTCTGGTGCGTATAGTTCTAATTTGGCAATCCATCTTACAAGGCGTGGAGTTGGTGTCACCTGAGAATGGAAATAATTCAAGGGCAAATGGTCCGAGAACACTGTGTATGGTCGGCCATCAACAAGGCAACACCAGGTTCTAAGAGCGTGCACAATTCCTAGCAACTCTCTTTCTTGAGCAGGATAGGCTTGCTCTACATTATTGAATTTCTTTGACTTGTATGCGAGGGGGTGCCATAAACCATCTTCACCTTCTTGTAGCAGGACTGCACCAACACCAAAATTGGAGGCATCAGTTTCAATGCAATATGGCTTGTGCACATCCAGGGCTTGCAGAACAGGAGGTGATTTCAACTTTTCTTTGATGAGATCGAAGCTGATTTGGCACTCCTTTGTCCATATGATCAGTCTTCATTTAGCACCAGTACCACAGGTCAGGTCTGTTAATGGGGATGCTATGCTTGCGTAACCTGGGATGAATCTTTGGTAGTGCTGGGCAAGACCACAAAACTGACGGACTTCTTGTACGTTTGTCGGAGCAGGCCATTCCTTGACAGCTTTAACCTTTCCAGGTGCAGGTAGAATGCCTCATGCTGAGATATGGAATCCAACGAAGATAAGCTCTTTCTTGTTAAATTCACATTTCTTCAGATTGGCCACAAGCTTCTCCTCTTGCAACCTTTTCAGGACGTGCCAGATATGGCAGTGGTGGTCTTCCTCAGTCTTGCTGAAGATGAGTATATCATCTAGATACACCAGAGCGAAATTGTTGAGACAATCACCAAGGACACAGTTCATCAGGCTCTGAAATGTCGGAGGTGCATTGGTCAGACCAAAGGGAAGAACAAGGAACTCATACTGGCCATATCTGGTGTTGAATGCTGTTTTGGGGACATCACTAGGGTGGATCTTCACTTGATGATATCTGCTTTTTAAGTCCAGGCTAGTGAAGTGTGCGGACCCACAGAGTCGTTCCAGGCATTCATCAATTCTTGGTAACAGGTGGTTGTTTCTCACAGTAATCTTATTTAAAGTGCAATAATCTATGCACATTCTCATCGTTCCATCTTTTTTCTTCACAAACAGGATGGGCGCTCCCCAAGGCGATGCACTAGACCTGATTAGCCCAAGGTCCAGGAGTTCTTTGAGTTGTTGTTTCAGTTCGTCCAACTCCAGGGGACTCATCTTGAAAGGAGGTCGGCTGATCGGTCTTGCCTCTCCAGTGTCAATAACATGTTGTACATCTCGGTTTGGGGGAACACCAGAGAGCTCTTCTTTAAAAACGTCTGGGAAGTCCTTGGCCAGGTTACTCCAATCAGAATTGTTGATTTATTTTGCCTGGTCTTCTTTGACATACAACAGGAAACTATCTGCATCGGCCTTCTTTATCAGTTTCTTTACTTGCTTATGGGATACAAGATAGTTCAGGTGATGTTTGGCTGTTCTTGTGTTGCATGGTTCTATGATGAATTCTTTGTTATGTTTTTGTAATTTCCAGCTGTCATTGAGCCAATCAGGGACAGGTTCTGCCTGTTGGAGCCAAGTACGACCTAAGATCAAGTCGAACTTCATTGGGAACACATATGCTTCTACAGAGTCCTTGTATCCATTGAGGGAAATAGGTATGGTGATCTTCTTGGTAATTGCAATGCGATGTCCACCAGCTGTCTCTACTTGTCTGTCATTAACGTGTACCACATTGCTTGCTAGTCTTGAAATCTCTGGGGTGACATAATTTGCGCTTACCCCACTGTTGATCAGTACTGAGATAACTTTATCTTCATAAACGGCCTCATATAATAGTAAGTCTGTATTGACAGTAGAGTTGAGTTGCTCTAAATGCATCAAATCTTCATTGCAAGTAGTAGGGACATCGAAATATTGGTAAGACAAAGCTTTATTATCATGTTCTTCATAATTACCACTATTGTAATCTTTTACATCCCTGTTAGGGTGGGGGTCTTGGTCCTCACACAACTGATTCCCCTTTAGCTCAGTTGTATGGAATGAGAATTCCTTGCGGCCTTGTGCCTTGGCTTGTCCTTCGTCTAACTGGCAGATGGCAGCAGTACGTTCTGAACAGAAACGGCAGAGGTGTCCAATCTGGCCACACCAGAAACACTCGCGGTTATCTCTACCTCCTTGTTGGTGTGGTCTCACGTTGGAACGGCTGGCGGAGCTTCAGTTACTGTGCTGGCCTGAGCGTCCCTGGTAGTTGGTCCGCATTGACCCCCTCCCCTCCATAGCATCAAGGTCCATAGGGGTGGGACCATCATCGCGAACATACTGCGGAACAACCTCTGGGCGGGAAGTGGGGACAGGGCGGTGGCCATTCTCAAAAGCTAGGGCAGTGCGGGCAGCTTCGGCAAGGTCCAAGGGTTCCTGGAAGCGGACTTGGCTGCGAGTTTCAGGACGCAAACCACTAACAAATCTGTCTAGAGCCTCGTCCTCAGTCATGGATGGAATATCCATACATAGATCTTGAAAAGTGTTGATATATGATTCAACAGAACCAGTCTGGCACAGGGAGCAAATGCGATCTTATGCATTTTGAACAGAGTGGACAGGATGGAAATTGTCATTGAGCAAATGAGTAAAAGTGCACCAGTCCAAGGTTCTGGTACCATTATCTTCCAGACGACGCCACCAGACATCAGCACGGTCACAGAGCAAAGTTATGGCATACAACGTTCAGCTGTCATAATCCATGCAGTGGAGCTCAGCAAAATGTTCCATGGAACAAACCCAACCATCGATTGCATTGGCAGAGCGGGCCCCATGATAAAAATCTGGCCGTTCTATCTGGACCAAGGGAGGCAAAGATACTGGAGCAGGAACAGAGTTCGGGCCAGTATAAGCAGCAGGTGGTTGAGAGCTATGGAGAGCAGTGGTAAAAGCCGCAATCAACTCGGGCATGGTCATGGCAGCTGGGGCAGCAAGAGCAGCAGGGTCGACTGGAGCAGGAGGAGTACTCATGGGCAAAGAGCTGGGAACAGGTATGTGGACCGGAGAGTTGGGAACAAGAGGTGTAGAAACAGGTACACCAGATAGTTTGGCAACTATGTTTTGGGCTTGAGTGTCCCAAAAAGATACACGGGAAGGAGAGGAATGGAGACGCTGGTCTTCAGGAAGTGAAGGCACAGTATGGGAAGCAGCAAAAGAACTAGCAAGTTCAGCGGGAAGCAAGATCTGAACTCGTTCTTCGATTTCAAATTTTTTCTTCTGGGCGTTGGTAAACTAGACACTGTTCTGGTCAGAGGAACTATTCATTCAGCTACCAATTGTCAAGTCTCGATCTGATATTTCTTTTCTGGCACTTGTAACTAAGTTGCAGAATCAATACCACTGGGGATCATCAAGTTTATGAATAGTTTTTAGATAAGAATAAAGATACTTTTTATTAATTATATTTCTTTACTATTTATACAAAATAATATATGATTTCTAATTAAAAAAATAACTACAATAATATGTCTTAGATGCATGTTGTTTAGTAATAGAGAGCTGTTTAAATTTGAGACATATCCTTTCATCTGATGCAAGCCCCCTTTTATTTTCTTTTTTGAATTAATTTATGCAAAACCATCTGAAACATCTGTTTTTAGTAAGTTGAATATCTTGATTTTTCTTGTTTGAATAAGAAATATTGATGATATCTTGCAAGCATAATCATTAAGCTATATAAAGCCCAGTTTTTTCAGAATTCTAATATTTTTTCACTTTTCTTGCATATATATATTCTAATACAATAATGCCTCCAAAAAGAACCTCTAAGAACGCTGAGAACAGCAACAAGAAACTGCGAATCAAGCAGTATAAACTTTCTGGATTTGAGGAAGAGAAGAAGTCAAAGAAGGCACATGGTTTCTGGAACAATACCAAAGAGTTGGTGCTCTTACAGGAATACGCGCACCTTTTCCCCCCTTCTTTGAAGAAAGGTGCACACAAGAAGGCATGGCGGGACATTGTTAAAAGTGTCAATGACGTGACACCTGGCAAGACAGAGCTGTCTTACAACACTTGCCGTCGCAAAATGTTGAAACTTGTAGACATCTACAAGAATGCCTTTGAGGAGAGGACTGTTGCTGATACCTTGGGTGCAAATAGAAACAGGCCAGAGGTAGAGAAGGCTGTCCGAAAGATCCTTGACAAGGTAGAGTCAAATTTATATTTAGTTTCCTTTCAGTTTTCTAATTACATACATATATTTAATTAAATGTAGAAAGAGCAGCACAAGGCGTTCAAGGTTTTTGGTCATAATAAGGAGATTGCCAGACAGGACTTTAAGCTTGGCCTTGAAGGCCGTGTACGGGCAATTGCGTCAGGAGCTCCTGACCAGATCACAAATCTCAGGCAAAAATACCAAGATTTTATCAAAAAGATCAATGCAGAAATGCATGAAAATTTCCCAGCAGAGAGCTCTGCTATGGCTGCGGCCCAACCAGTTGGCAGTCAAGCTAGCTCAGCTAGCATTGAGGATGAGGAGGGCAAGGAGGGCGGGGAGAATGAGAACGCAGATAAGGAGAATGAGAACGTGGATGAGGACGTGGATGAGTACGTGGATGAGGTCGAGGATGAGGATCATCTGAAGGTGGGAAATGAAGTCCCAGAGTCCCAGGCTACCCACCATGCTGAAGTCATGGGGGTGCTGAAGCAGATACTTCAGAAGATGTGCAATATCAAAGAGGAATTAAAAAAAACAAGAAAATAATGATAAAAGCATAAAAATTTAAGTATTAAATTATTTAAAATAATATATCATCTTCATCTTCTCTGTCTATTTTATCACGTCTTAATCCAGAGATATACTCCTCAAGAGTCGGTGGCTCTAAACCAAAATATAAACTTGTTGGCAATCTATTGTGACCAGTACAGTGGATCATATTTTTGAATACTGTGGATAGCATGTACACAGTTGCTGGACTTGTTTCCCCTGTTTTCATGGCATACTTATACTTGAAATACTTAAAGTACTTCTGTACTTCCCCAAATTCCCACTCTACTGCCACTCGCACTTTTGACATACTCTTGTTAATTTTTTTTATCTAAATCTATTGTACATGGTTAATATATTATACAATCTTTGTCGACAATCTTTTATGGTTACTATACCACTAAGAGATACGCCTTCAAATAGTGAGTATAGGCACTTGGAAACCATGTAAGCTGGATTGCCGTACAAGGCAAATGGCAATTCGACATCTGGTACAATATCCAAGTATTTTTCCACTCTTGCTTCTGTTTTGGACATGGTATATATGTACTGATCATGTCTAGAGCCAACATATGGTCCAAGCAAGCTGCTTGTGATCCCATCAGAAGTAACAATAGACTGGTACTTCAAAGCATGCATGTGCTTCCAACTATTGTAAAAAGCTTTTTGAACTTTATTACCTTGGCTTGGTCTTGATATTGCTTGCATAGTACCATCAATGAAACTAACAATGTTTGGCAGTGCTACACCTTTGTCGTAGATTGCACTTGCAAACCTTTCCAAGTTTTCCAGGTGAAATTACTTAATATTGAATTGAAGTCCCCATTTAATCTGGCTCATAACAATGCTTTCAAATCCTTGGCAAACTACAGATACATTGCTTTCACTCATTTCAAAAAGTATAGACATATCACCTAAGTGTCTTGGAAAGCTGTACTGATTGAGTAACATTGCAAAGCCAAGGTTCTTACGGACTTGTATACTTGAAAAACGGTACACATGATCCAATCTGAGTGCTGTTGTTATTCTCTCAATTTCACCCAAAGTGAAACAAAATAGATATATACAAGTATTGTTACTCAAGAGATTTAGGTTTAGTTTGCTATATCTAGCTCTCCTGGCTCTTCTAATCTCTTGAGATATGGTTTCTTCTTCATTCTGCTGTTGCTCTTGCTGCTGTTGCTCTTGCTGCTGTTGCTGTTCTTGATGTTGTTGTTGTTGTTGTCTTTGTTGTTGTTGTTGTTGCCTTTGTTGCCTTTGTTGATGAACTTGGGCGTGATTGCTAATGTTATATTCGGAATGATTGGTTATTTTATTTTGAATTTAGATGATCAATTTGAGTATAAAGAAGTTGTTAAAGAATGAAGCTCATGCATAATATTTTCACAAGCTATATTGTTGATGCAACATGATGGTACACATATGGTGTATTAGAGAATAAATTTTAAAAAAATGTTCCAACTTAAGTACCTTTTTTGGGCGTAGATACAAGGCAACTTTAAACAGCTCTCTAATATTTTCTACAAATATATTTATTATCTTAAATATCTAAAACATATACAAAAAACCAATTGGCAATGACAAGATATTTTACTATAAAAGTCAATCATTATTGATTGTTTATGAATTTTAATTTTGATTGTCACTGTCAATTGTGACAGTTTTATGTTGCAAGAAGCTTTAAATTATAAGAATATATAGAAGCAGTGACAAGCCTTTACTTTTGTTATTTTTTTTGGAATCTTAATATTTTTTATATACACTATAGTGGAGAGAATGATAACATATTATCACTTTGGTAACATAACTGCCTTTTTTTACTTAATAAAAAATGGCAGTTATGACTCTATATATAATCAAAACAGGCACTGTGGATTTCTGAAGGTTTATGGGGTTTTAAAGCTCCGAATTCAAACTCTGCCCTTTGCTTACAGTGTCATAAAGCAATCTGTAGATCACTAGTTCAATTCTCACAAAAGACATATAACATATTTAGTGAAATATAACATATTTAAATCATTATTATTAATTTTTTTAAAGTTTGTTTTCTCTATCAATTTGTGACGTGTTGTGACGTGCATATACTTAAAACAATGCCGTGAATGTAAGCTATATAGATTCAGTTTGAGCGTCACATAACGTCACAAATTGATAGAGAAAATATAATTATAAAATTTATAGTATCTATTTTAAGTGTTATAATCTTATAAATAATATAGTTTGTGTGGCTTAGTCACGTGCCACGTCACAGAAAAGTTTTTTTGACAGCTTTTATTTTGTTTAAATATTATGTTCATTTTTTTTTGCTTTCTTTTCTTTTATTTCTATTTTATTTATTTTCAAATGGATAATCAATCTTCTTTATCAATTTGTCCATTATCTATTCCTTCTTTGAGCTATGTAATGGCGTCAACATATACATCTGAAGTTGCAAAACAGTAAGTAAAAAGGTTATTTTTAATTATTATATACTAATATTTAATATATATAAAGATATTTGATTGCACAAGGTGCTTTATATCCAAGAAATCATATTATTTTTACTTGTTCTGGTGGCAGTTCTATGGACTATATATTTGAAAAAGACAGAGGCTACAGTTACAGATGCAGTAGAGTAAACAGCATGGGAGCAACATGTTGTAAAAGAGAAAGAAAATCTGAAAGATTGGATTCTTTCTTTGCACAAAGACATTTTTCCTATGATGTTGTTATGTAAGGAATATATTACTGGTTAAACTGGATTCCTAGAATGACAATGGGAGTTATGCTTGGTGTTTCTCCAGAAACTATGAGACATCTCATTGTTAGTATTCACCAATTGATTCAAATGGATTTAACGAACAATGACATAAGAATTGGTAAGTTTATAAGAGTTAAATATATATAGATATATTAAATATTTTTATAGGAGGTATTGATGCCAATGGTCAATTCATTATTGTTGAAATTGATGAAAGCAAATTTGGAAAGAGGAAATATCACTGAGGACATCGAGTAGAAGGTGTTTGGGTTCAGGGGGGTATTGAGAAAATAGCAGAACGAAAAACATTTTTGGTGACAGTTCCTCAGAGAGATGCTGCAACTCTCCTTCAAGTGATAAAGCAGTATGTAAAGCCTAATAGCATTATTCACACAGATTGCTGGGCTGCATATGGGGGATTGACATCAGTGGTTGATATGAACTATACTCATAGAACAGTCAATCACAATGTTGAGTATGTTATATCTGATGGTATTCATACCAATACTATAGAAGGTAAAATATTATAAAAGATAAAATTATTTTATTAACTTTTATTACATAGGTCTGTGGAACAGAATAAAAATGAACTGCAATGCCAGATTGCAAACAAAACAAATGGTGCCATGGATGTTGATGGAATTCATATGGAGAAAAAAATATGAGAACAGATTGTGGCAAGTAATGCTAAAGATATTAGCTGAGGTTTCTTTTGGAAGCATTGTTGAAAACCCAATATTTACAAATTATGAATATTTAGAAGATGATGAAGATAAAGAATATATTGATTCTACAATGTTTTAATAAAAATATAAGAAATATAGATTTAAATTAATTTGTATTAATAATATTAAAATGATAATATAAAAAAAAACATAAATACATTTTAATTCAAATATATCAAAAGAACAACATCATTCAACATCTATTAATAGGTATGTCATTTCCGATCTGATTGGTCTTCCTTTTACTATAACAAAGCCAAAAGATCAAACCCACTGGGAATCAAGGAGTATATGTAAAATCAAAGAGAGAATAAAAGATACTTTTTATTGATATGAATTGAATTGTCTTATATAGTTTTCTAGACTAATACTGCGCATTATCTGCAGTAGCTATTATATTATATTTAAATGAAAGAAGAGTCATTATACTGCGGTTAATGCTCAGAAAGATGTTACTGCGCATAAAGAGATACTGCAGTTAACCATCTTCAGATTTTACGGATTCGTCAAAATAATGTCCGACAGGTATAAGATAAGCTTTATATCTTAAAAAAATCAAATAAAAAATACAGTGCAAAATGAATCCAGTCAGAATCAAACCAGAGTCTCTGCATCACCAAACCATAACTGTAACAAGTAGGCCACAAGTATATGTAGTTGAAAAACATTTATTATGTTAAATCTATAGCCCCTAATTTAAAAACATATCTGTTAACTTTCTTACATAAACTTTGAAACTGCATTATCTTCACAACAAAAAACAGTACCAAAATGTGACGACTATTGATTAATATTTACAAAATTCAGGCTATCCAAATCCGGTTTTGCTGTTATTATAGAACAAATATTCGTAGAGTAATTTTAAAAAAAAGATATTAAAACACAGATATATAGAACACAAAAAGGATTGGTTTTTAGCTTAAGAACATTGATCTGATTTTGAAAACTCATAGAGATATTATCTATATCGGTAGTTTAAATCTGGCTTTAAAAAACCTGTAAACCTTCATTCAACCACACATTGTTGCTGCTGCTACAGCTGGTCTATCATCATACTAAAAAGTATGTTGTGGCTGTCTACGGCATTTTAACTGCTTTATCTTTGATGTTGCTTTGCTGAAGTCACATTCTATAGACTGACAAAAGACATGCCAAGACTGACATTTTGTTTGCTGAACATAGAATCAAAATTCAGCCTGTGCATGCTTGTGTTTAGTCCACAAAACAACTTTGTCAATACCTATTGCTAGGCATCATTTTTTGTAACATTGGTTACAACGATCCACTGCTGTTTGCAAAGCCACATTCCAAAAGGATTTCCAATGATTTGGGCAAGAGGGTCGATGTCCAATTGAGCTATTTAATGAGTCATAAATGAGTGAATTGAACTTATCAGTGATAGCATCAATGTTGGGTCTAGTGAGTGGCGGATTCTGTACAATGTCTTGCAAGGTGGAAAGGAGGGAGGTCAAGTTTTGATTGAAGGTATGAGCATAAAGAGCATGGACATCAGGTTCATTGAGGCGTGAGAGGTTCCATGTCTTGCGTAATGGTAGTGGCATATTGGTAGAGTGCTGTAGATCATAGGTAAAGGAAAGTGATAAAAGGCGATGATCTGATCCAAGAGACAAGTCAGTAGCAATATGAAGAGAAGAATTGATGAGAGGCATATTAGTTATAAAGAGATCAATAATACTGCTGATTTCATAGTTGTTGTGGAATAAAATATATGTCGGTATGCAAGGTGCAAGATCTGCATTTACAACTGATAGAGATCTCTCTTCTATCCAAGAACATAGTGCCAGTCCATGAGAATTTGATGCATAGTCACCAGTAACAGAGCCAAGTCTTGCATTGAAGTCACCACAAAGAATGATATCATGTGTTAAAGGAATGGAAGAGAGTACATATAGGACATCATAAGTGGGCATAGTTGGTGGAAGATATAAGCATACAATTCTGAGTGAGCCAATTTTGACAGCCAGAGCATATTTTGAGGGCATAGATATTTGAGTGACAGCATAAGGACAGTGAGGTGAGATTAGAACGGAAACACCCATAGAGCCCCTATAGGTGCCAGCTACAGGAGAACCATACAAGTGAATTTGTGACCATGATGTGGGAAGACGTGAGGGGGAGAGGAGCCATGTTTCTGTAATGAAGAGCATATGTAATGATTGACAGTGTTGAAGGGTATCTTGAATGGCTCTGGGTTGCAGGCCATTGGCATTCCATAATCCGATATTGAGATTACTCATTCAGACATAGTGACTGATGAGCTGCGCTGACATTTGAACAATGACCTACCAGTGGCATTAGTAAGAGTGGTGCGTGTAGGTATTTTATCTTCACTGATCCACCCTTCCTCACAAAAGAAGTGACCAACTGGGATAGCAACGTGTGGGTGCAAGAACTGAAGGGCTTAAAGACATCTATCATGGTGAAGCATGGCAGCAGTGTTGGCAAGTTCATGAGTGGACAGAGATGCATACTTGGGATCAGCAACATTATCAGGGTCAAGTGGATCAAATGCGTCCAAAATCTCAACAGAAGCAGTTGTCAGTTTGGCCTTAAATGTATCAGCATACTGGACATGAACAAGGATGCCAATGACACCTCTGGCTGGGAAGTTAATGTCCAAAAGTCGAGAAGAATCCACACCAAGAGTGCGGAGAGAGGAACGGACTTCTTTGTGTTTAAGGCGTCTTGATCTTGGAATATAAACATATTCATAACCTGAAGGACCAGAGGGAAGAGCAAACATATGAACAGAAGCTGCAATACGGCGAGCAGAGGGAACAGTAGACATTTTTGGGGCAGTTACAGGAAGAGAAACACTGGCTTTCGTAGCCCAAGTGGAGGCTTCCAGACCTGGTTCTTTGTTTTTGTCAGGAGCACCTACTGCGCCGGCTGGGTTCGAAAGTGAAATTTCTGAAAAGTTTTTTTCAGATGCACTCTGAGATCCTAATTGCTTCTGCAGATTAGCAATTGTTGTTCTAGCATGGTCTAATTCAGTAGTTAGTCTTGCATTCTCTGCTGCAAGTCGCTCCAACTGGTCGGTTCTGTTTTGCACATTCATGATTTGTGCCTGCAATGTTGTCAGGAATGAGGTAAGCTCGGTTGGCAATCCCTGCATGTTGCCGATTTGCAAATTGGCCATTGGGATTGAGAATGCAGATGGCGTGATGTTGTCTGATTGAGCTGAAATTTTTTTTGCTGACAGCTGGGATACCAAGGACAAGGACTGCACTACTTTTGGCAATGGGAGGTACGTTTTTCGTGATGGATGGATCGTTTTGCGTAAAGATGTTGATGGATGGATACACTTTATATGTGGATTCGTCAAAAATAAAATTTTGGAACCAGGCAAATAAAATGCTTAAGCGAAAGAGCAGTGCCTTCTTGGCTCAGGTTAAAGATTATATTTTATTAAAGGAGATAATGCTGGCGATCTATAGATCATATAGCCTCCAAAGTACAAAAAGAAGATATAAAAAAGTCTCAAGGGATCACAAAAGACAAAAAAAAGAGAGGGGAAAGAGAAGATCAAATCATACTAGCTTCAATGGCTGAATCTGCTCTCCACTTTGCAGCTGTGAAAATAGTTGTAACAGTGAAAGGGAGGAGACAGAATTGCAGAACAAAGAACTTTTCAGACAGCAAAGGACAAAAGAGAAAAAAGAGAGATAAAGGGAGTAAAGAACAATGAAAAGTGAAGAGCTATGAAAGAAAAGAAAAAGTCTAAATTATATCCAAAGAGCACCATGTTCAGTCTCATGTGAATAGTCACCATCAGGATTACATATAACATCTATGTGCCAGAGAATAGTCAGCAGTGGTATCCAGTAAGCAGGTCGCGGTTCTTGAGATGACAAAGGCAAGGATGTGATAGCAAAATCAATTCTGTGTATCTGATCTTGGTCAGGTTGAGGCAACTGTTCAAATAGTGCCATAGGAACAAGTGGGCAATCCAACAAATGGCGGCGTGAGGTGTGATCTGATCCACAAGGACATTCCTTTGGTTTGCCTGGTAACCACCCCATTCTCCAACGAATCAAACGGCTACGTTCCACACGTGAGGCTGGCAAAAACAAGATTGGATCAACTCCAAGAACTGGGCGGCATGCTTGAATGAGAACTTGCGTATTAGACTGGAGAAAGGTTGCAAATCCAGCTTCTCTAATGCTTTCAAAATGATTTTTTACAGCACTAGGGCTTCGAAGTTTGAGTGTTGGAGGGAGATTGGACAGAAGATGGGTTTTTCCCAAGGAGACAAGTGAAGAATAGATGGTATGATGACGGTGCAAAAGAGACAGAAGGCACTGGGCTGGCAAAAAGCGTGATCTTATACAGAACTTGGCCGTAAGAGCATCAGCACGAAACTTCATACTTGGCAGATTGCAGATGTGCTTTAACACAATTGTAGAGGACGTGGCATGCCCCCCAACAATCATGCAAAGACACTTATCTTGAATGGACTCCAGCACTTTGATATCCTGTTTCAGTAGAGTGGAGATCGCCAAACCATATTCAAACTTTGGGCGGACAAAGGTCTTATACAGTCGTGAACTGAGCAGCAGAGAAAAACCAGAACGACAAGCACCAACAGAGTTTAGGGTTGCCATTGTAGCAAGTGTACCAGAACGTCTATGAGTGGCAATGGACTTGGAAGAAATACCCTTATTGGCAAAAGGAACACCCAGATAAATAAACAGGTCAGTGGCAGGGAGAACTTGACCATATAAAAGAAGAGAAACTGGCGAGCTTGCACGTGTTTTGGGATATATAACTTCACATTTGGTGGGGCTCCATCGATATCCAAGAGTAAGAGAGTGGTCTGCAGCAAGGTCTAGCATGGCCTGAACGTCTGAAAGAGAACCAAAAATAGCTACATCGTCGGCAAAGAGCAGAGAATTGATGGGTGTTGAGAAATGAATATGTCCAAAGCCATCTACACCTGAAGGAGCAAGAAGAGCATTATATGCATCCAATGAGGTAGGAGAGGGTGATGGAACATGGGTTGTAGTTTGTGAGTGAGCAACTGTGCGGAGCAATGGGGGCAGGGAGTTGATATATATTGAATACAGATGTGGACTGAGGACAGAACCTTGGAGAACCCCAGTGGCAGGTGAGAACGAGTGTGAAGAAAAGTTACCCAAAAGGACACAGATAGAGACATTGTCAAACATGTTAACCAAGAGACCCAAAAGTGCCGGTGGAGTGCAACGTTTTTGTAAAGCATGCCAGATGATTCGTCGATCCACTGTATCATAGGCAGCCTTGATATCCAGAAATGCAACAACAGGGTAGTGCTTATGACGGTGATAATAGGCTTTCATCAGATCATGGAGACAGAGAGCTTGATCCAAAGCACCACGGTGAGGACGAAAACCACCTTGAGCCACATCCAAAGGAGGAGAGTACTTGTGCAACTGGGGGGCTATACACATCTCAAAAAGCTTACGCAGTACAGAGGTCAAGGAGATTGGTCTGTAGTTTGCCGGGTCAGTTGGACTACCCTTCTTGAAGATTGGGAAGACCTGGGCTTGGCGCCACAAACTTGGAACATATGACCATTGCCAGCAAACTGTAAATAATAAAGTAAGAATGGGTGAGACATGTGTTTTTACAGGTTTTAGCATTTCAGCTCTGATATGGTCTGGTCCTGGTGCCTTGCAGTTAGGCATAAATTGCATGAATTCCTCTACAATTGGTGAGGTAAAGGGAGAGTCATCAGAGGCAAAAGGCACACTGTTACAAGTGGTCATTGGTGCTGGTGGTCGGGTTGCTGGAAGTATATGTCCACTATATACTGTTGCCAAATAGTCACACATTGTTGCTGCTGCTACGGCTGGTCCATCATCGTGCTGGAAAGTATGTTGCGGCTGTCTACGGCGTTTTAACTGCTTTATCTTTGATGTTGCTTTGCTGAAGTCACGTTCCATAGACTGACAAAAGACATGCCAAGACTGACGTTTTGCTTGCTGAACCTGAGATCGGAATTCGGCCTGTGCATGCTTGTGTTTAGTCCACCAAACAACTTTGTCAATACCTATTGCTAGGCGCCATTTTTTGTAACATTGGTTACGACGATCTGCTGCTGTTTGCAAAGCTACATTCCAGAAGGATTTCCAATGATTTGGGCGAGAGGGTCGATGTCCAATTGAGCTATTTAATGAGTCATAAATGAGTAAATTGAACTCATCAGTGATAGCATCAATGTTGGGTCTAGTGAGTGGTGGATTCTGTACAATGTCTTGCAAGGTGGAAAGGAGGGAGGTCGAGTTTTGATTGAAGGTATGAGCATAAAGAGCATGGACATCAGGTTCATTGAGGCGTGAGAGGTTCCATGTCTTGCGTAATGGTGGTGGCATATTGGTAGAGTGCTGTAGATCATAGGTAAAGGAAAGTGATAAAAGGCGATGATCTGATCCAAGAGACAAGTCAGTAGCAATATGAAGAGAAGGATTGATGAGTGGCATATTAGTTATAAAGAGGTCAATAATACTGCTGATTTCATAGTTGTTGCGGAAAGAAATATATGTTGGTATGCAAGGTGCAAGATCTGCATTTACAACTGATAGAGATCTCTCTTCTATCCAAGAACATAGTGCCAGTCCACGAGAATTTGATGCATAGTCACCAGTAACAGAGCCAAGTCTTGCATTGAAGTCACCACAAAGAATGGTATCATATGTTAAAGGAATGGAAGAGAGTACATGTAGGACATCATGAGTGGGCATATTTGGTGGAAGATATAAGCATACAATTCTGAGTGAGCCAATTTTGACAGCCAGAGCATATTTGGAGGGCATAGGTATTTGAGTGACGGCATAAGGACAGTGAGGTGATATGAGAACAGAAACACCCATAGAGCCCCTATAGGTGCCAGCTACAGGAGACCCATACAAGTGAATTTGTGACCATGATGTGGGAAGATGTGAGGGAGAGAGAAGCCATGTTTCTGTAATGAAGAGCATATGTAAGGACTGACAGTGTTGAAGGGTATCTTGAATGGCTCTGGGTTGCAGGCCATTGGCATTCCATAATCCGATATTGAGATTACTCATTCAGACATAGTGACTGATGAGCTGCGCTGACGTTTGAACAAAGACCCGCCAGTAGCATTGGTAAGAGTAGTACGTGTTGGTATTTCATCTTCACTGATCCACCCTTCCTCACAAAAGAAGTGACCAACTGGGATAGCAACGTGTGGGCGCAAGAACTGTAGGGCTTGGAGACATCTATCATGGTGAAGCATGGCAGCAGTGTTGGCAAGTTCATGAGTGGACAGAGATGCATACTTGGGATCAGCAACATTATCAGGATCAAGTGGATCAAATGCGTCCAAAATCTCAACAGAAGCAGTTGTCAGTTTGGCCTTAAATGTATCAGCATACTGGACATGAACAAGGATGCCAATGACACCTCTGGCTGGGAAGTTAATGTCCAAAAGTCGAGAAGAATCCACACCAAGAGTGCGGAGAGAGGAACGGACTTCTTTGTGCTTAAGGCGTCTTGATCTTGGAATATAAACATATTCATAACCTGAAGGACCAGAGGGAAGAGCAAACATATGAACAGAAGCTGCAATACGGCGAGCAGAGGGAACAGTAGACATTTTTGGGGCAGTTACAGGAAGAGAAACACTGGCTTTCGTAGCCCAAGTGGAGGCTTCCAGACCTGGTTCTTTGTTTTTGTCAGGAGCACCTACTGCGCCGGCTGGGTTCGAAAGTGAAATTTCTGAAAAGTTTTTTTCAGATGCACTCTGAGATCCTAATTGCTTCTGCAGATTAGCAATTGTTGTTCTAGCATGGTCTAATTCAGTAGTTAGTCTTGCATTCTCTGCTGCAAGTCGCTCCAACTGGTCGGTTCTGTTTTGCACATTCATGATTTGTGCCTGCAATGTTGTCAGGAATGAGGTAAGCTCGGTTGGCAATCCCTGCATGTTGCCGATTTGCAAATTGGCCATTGGGATTGAGAATGCAGATGGCGTGATGTTGTCTGATTGAGCTGAAATTTTTTTTGCTGACAGCTGGGATACCAAGGACAAGGACTGCACTACTTTTGGCAATGGGAGGTACGTTTTTCGTGATGGATGGATCGTTTTGCGTAAAGATGTTGATGGATGGATACACTTTATATGTGGATTCGTCAAAAATAAAATTTTGGAACCAGGCAAATAAAATGCTTAAGCGAAAGAGCAGTGCCTTCTTGGCTCAGTTGGCAGAGCGTCTGCCTAGTAAGCAGAAGGTCGCCAGTTCAATTCTGGCAGAAGGCAATTTTTTGGCGTTGTTCTAATTTTTGTCGTTTCTGATCTAGGATGTTGTTGTGTCAGAGTTGACTTTTTAGGATAAAAGATCTTGACTTTGCCAATTGGTCTTTCATATATGTTTTAGATGTTTAAGATGGTGAATATACTTGTAGAAGATATTACTGGACAACAGACATCTAAGACATATTATCGTAGCTATTCTTTTAGCCGGAAATCAATTATCATTTTGTATAGATAGTCAAGAAATATATTTAATAAAAAGCATCTTGATTCTTATCTAAAAACTATTCATAAACTTGACGATCCCCAGTGGTATTGATTCTGCGACTTAGTTACAAGTGCCATAAAAGAAATACCAGATCAAGACTTGACAGTTGTGCCCAAATTCTTATCAGCCAATCAGGAAGACGATTACACAGAATTCTCTTTTGAGAACGACGACCAAAGTGATTTCCTTTTGCTTACAAAAGAATTAGAAAGCACATGAGGTGCTCACGGAGTGTCTAATTGATTAGAATATACCTTCCATAGTTTGAAGGTTACACTGTCAGATATAGTAATTTATTTTTAACATCTGTGGATTTTATCCCTGCTGTCTACAAGGTATAAAATATTTTTTATTGCTATCAACACCCCTTTTGAGAGTCATTTTATTTTGCAACCATATCATATTTTCACTCTCTTGTTCTTTACATAACTCTTTTTTATTAATGTCATGCAACAAAATTCGATTTGTTTCAGTTAACCCTGCTCAGCCTGCAACAGAGGATAGTTAATCTCTCCCAGAAACTTCAAATAAGACCGTGTTTGACCTCATTCCCAGATGTTGTTTCTGCTGAAGCAACTGGAAATAGTGAACTGGAAGACGCCATTGACAAAGAAGACGTTTTGCATTCCAAAGACAATGAGGATGCAGAACAAGCTGCTAGTATGGAAGATATCTCTGAGGTCAGTACTAGTCAATTCTGGTCTATAGATGTGACCTGTCTTCTCTTGAAAGTTATTTTGCAAACAGACCATCATAACTTGGTTAAAGCTGCAGGTGGAAACAAGAAGAAAATTGATCATCTTTGAAATATTCTTATGAAAGCTTTCAAGGCTGAAACTGACTTTGAAAACTTGTCATTATCCTTCAAGTTGACAGTGGATAGCAACAAATGCAACACGAAGTTCAAGTTGTTGAAAACTAGTTTCAAAGTAAATTTGGACAGAGTATATGCTCAAACAGGCCATAATGCATACCTACCTCATATGTGCTGGTTCAACAAAATGCGTGAGATTATGTTGAACAATCTCACGTACAGTATTCCGTGCTTGGTTTTGACTGGAACTATGTCCCAAGGAGCAACAATCACGCGTACATCAATGACTGGAAGAATAACCAGAGAGCATGTTGAAACTTTCCAGCCTTTGGAAATTCTTGAGGAAGAACAAGTGGTAGCTGAGGAGCCAGCAACAGAGGAACCTATAGCCAAGGAGCCAGTAACTGAGGAGCCAGCAACAGAGGAACCTATAGTCAAGGAGCCAGTAACTGAGGAGCCTGCAGCTGAGGATCTAGTAGCCAACAGCTATAGTTCCCTCCCGCCTAATGTGCTCTTGCATGTAGCACCTGCACATGATCGATTGCCTGCTGGTGATTGTTATGATTCCATGTTGGAGCTTATGGGCTCAGCATATGCAGCAATGAGAGAAGATATCCGTGTATCTACACAGGAGCTTACAGAAGTATTTCTTGGTACAGCTGAAGAAAGAGAAGAAAAGAAAAGAGGAGTAGCCTTGGAGTTAGAGTTGAGAACGATAGAGATGAATTCATTTGTGAAGGAGAATGAGGAGAAATCACTGGAGCATGCAAGACGGGCAAGACTAGATGAGAAGAGAGCAGTGGAGCACAAAAGAAAGACAAGAAGAGACAACAAGTTCCTTGCTGATCACAAAAGGATTACAGACCTTCTGTCTAAGTTTGTTAATAGAAACATTGTAGACAGTAGCACCCAAAGCAATGACAATGGTGAAGCATAAAATAAAACTGTACATGTTTTCACCATTTTATATATTAGAATTTAAAAAAAGTCAAGCAGTTTTGTTGGAAGTATGAGCTTTACAAGCTGCTCATAACTTCATTTCTTTTTATTACTTCCTGATCCTTGAGTCGTCTCAAGCGAGAAGTAAGGCTAGTTCTAGTGCCAAATTCATTGACTGTAGTGATATCAGTCTCCATATCTCTACTCATTGGTTCCATTAAAAGCTCCACACTATCAACATTATTTTCTAGAAATCTGCGCATCTCGACATCCTCTTCAGCATCCACAATGATGGAATCACCATTGTCAATACATCAATTATGAAGAACACAGTAAGAAGTGATTATCAATGCCATGTTATTAGTTTTTAAGACAAAGAGGTGTTTGTACATAAATTGCCATCAAAGTACAAGTAAAAAAAAGATGTTTTCAATTTTTTGTTGAGTAGAGGACTGCACGCTGTTATATTTCTTACAGGCTGCTATTTCTTAGTTAGTAAGTAAGGTTTCTGTGCTGTTTCTTTCTGTGAAAGAAGCCATCATTTGTGGGAGAAGAGGATATGCCAAATCTATTAGATGAATATTGAGCATAAACAATGAGACATAATGATATAAAACAGATACAAAAACTGTTTAACTTTAAATTGTTTATACCTCTAATAATATAGATACCATTAAGACATGGTCTCCTTCCTTCAGCTTCTGAGATCATATCCTGATATATCTGACTAAGTTTAAAAATTCTTGCATTGTGAAAACTCTCTGAAGAGATTTGGTTAATATATAAGGATTCAAGTAGTATAGTCGGGTTATATAGATTTATTACCTGGTGCACCAATACAGATATTCAGAAACTTTTTATTGTGATCACAAATTGCCATCAGGTTCATTGACGTATGGTTTTTGCGATCAACATATCAATTTCCATCTACTCTTGGCTTTTCTATCTGTATGAGTTTTCCATCAATGGCACCAACAACGTCTTTCAAGTGGTCATGGCCATGGATATTGATACTTGTATGAGTAGCAAAACCATTGGCAATTTCTCTCTGCTTTTGAATGGTTGATGACCATACAATGACCTTATTGGCAATTTCTTTTGTCATTGTATTGATAAAACATACTGTAAACTCATTGTAGGAGCCCTGGCCAACACCAAGTGTTGCCTTAGCAATTCTATAACCAAAGTGTGTGTTACAGAATCTTCATAAAACAACATCAACCTGTTGGGCAACATTCCAAGTGCTTCTTTGTTCATCATTGAACCTTGAGTATGCAGCTATGTTTTTTAGAAGATTCACAAGGTTCTCAAAAGTTGATCACATAATCCAATAATGGGTCTTAAAGGCACACTCTTCAGTCTCTTTGTCAGTAAGGTTTGGATAATTGATTGTTCACCAACGGTATGTATCTTGGTTAGCTCATCTACGAATCACTACCTGTTCCTAAATCATAGACACACTGCCAATGTAGATCAAGAAGAAGATGTTTTGGTTGATCAATTTAATTGCTTTCAAGGTCTGTTGCAAATAGAACTCATTGATAGCTGAAATAAATTCTACTTTTTCTTGTTGAGCAGAATTATTGCTTTTGTTGCGCTTTTGTAGCAATATTTGATTGTTTATGAGCTCTTTGTCAAGTTCTTTATCAAATTCCTCGTCCTCAAACTCATCTGACTTGGATGCTTCTTTGAATATATCATCAGACTTCTTAACAATAAGGCTTATCAGTGTCATGTCCACTTCAGAGAGATCTATAGGGGAAAGTGTATTTGTTGTTGAAGACATTTTTGAGAGTAGTATACTTTATTTATTGAGAGTAAAAGCAAAAGAAGAAACTTTTAATTATTATGTATTCAAAGTTATACTTTTCAGTATAGTATTTATTATAACACCGACTTATTATTATGTATACAGTACTAAATTTGTATTTTGAAAAGTTATCAAAAAGAAATTTAAAATCTAATTGATTAGAATAATTCTAATCAATTAGACACTCCGTGAGCACCTATAGCTTAACAAAAATAGAATAAAAACCAAAACAGACATTTATAATGGTTGAGTAGGCTTAGAAAAGATATAAAAGAGAGCATTATTTCATTCAATAAAAGTTATCTATCTTTCTATCCTCTTTTTATTCTTTTATCTTTGTTTACAATTCCCAGTGAGTTTGATCAATTTTGGCTGTATTATAGCATTGGAAGAACAACCCAGATCGAAAATGATACTATCTTCCAATTCACTGTAAACGTATTGTTCTCAATCTGGGTTGGTCTTCCTTTTACTATAACAAAGTCAAAAGGTCAAACCCACTGGGAATCAAGGAGTATATGTAAAATCAAAGAGAGAATAAAAGATACTTTTTATTGATATGAATTGAATTGTCTTATATAGTTTTCTAGACTAATACTGCGCATTATCTGCAGTAGTTATTATATTATATTTAAATGAAAGAAGAGTCATTATACTGCGGTTAATGCTCAGGAAGATGTTACTGCACATAAAGAGATACTGCAGTTAATCATCTTCAGATTTTACGGATTCATCAAAATAATGTCTGAAAAACATAGCCAAATTGGTCAAGCTTTAATAACGCAGGAGTAAGCAAATAAGATAGAAGATAAAAAGATGATTTTTATTATTTGATTTGGGTTATCTTATATAGTTTTTGAAATAATTGTTCACTTTTGACTACACTCAAGTATTGTCTAGTAATATTATAAATTATTATAAACTAATTACAAATTTCTAAAATTATAAACTGATGAATAGTCATTCTAATTCCTACTTCTTTTGTAATAACAAGTTACTAGAAATTGTATCACAAAAGTTAAGCACAACAATCTATGTTGGTTGTCAAGTCTCAATCTGATATTTCTTTTCTGGCACTTATAACTAAGTCACAGAATCAATACTACTAGGGATTGATAAGTTTTTAAGAATAGTTTTTAGATAAGAATCAAGATCCTTTTTATTAAATATATTTCTTGACTATTTATACAAAATAATTGTTGTAAATGAGTATTAACTACTGCTGTAATTGAGAATAAGTCTGAAGGAAATAATATAAGGCCTCAGCTATTCCAGTCAAAGGTGTCTACCAATTACTTTATTATTTAACACACAGGTTTAGCATGCATGATAGTGATTATATTTCATATGATAATATCACCATAATATGGGATACATCAGTGGATTATTATAAGCATAATTATAACTCATAAATATATTTACTTTTGATATTAATACTTCATTGAGACTACACACATTTATATAATTAATCATACATTAATTATCCTAAGATCACGTTGCTCTGATCAAGGCTCAGATAGGATCGATTACCTGACCCCATTCATATAATTTTCCTGATCTAAAATAATATAAATAGCAGTAGTAGTTCAGTGTAGGAACCTGGTCAAACTTTGATACAAAATCTTTTCTCAATAAACAAAACCTACACAAGTTCTCACAAATCTTTGTTTCTAATCTCAAATCTTTAATTCTTCCTCTTAAAAACTTCTTCAACTTCAACCACCACAACAGTGAACATGTTTATTCTCTACCCAACCAAACTCCAAACCAAGCTATCTGTTTCCAACAAGGCAAGAGATAGAGAGAGAACAAATACTTACAGCAGCCAATGCTTACTATCAGTAAGGTTGACCTCTGGGCTAGTGATGTGATAAAGATGAAGACTGCTGTGCCAAATGAACAATTCTTGATTAAAATTTTTTTGCAAGATGATATTGGATTGGAATCATTGATACTGTTTACTATCTGGAACCAGAAACAATAGACGTTAAAGTTGAAGACTTGGACTGTATTGATACACTGGCAAAGGATGTAATTTTCTACTCTTGCCTAACTACCTCTGTTACTGGTTTGGACAAAAAACATTATGATCTTTTGTATATATCTCACTGCTTGAAGAAAGCTGTTTCTGGTGAAAGTAATGTTGGCACGTTTTATAAAGTGATTATTGCTCCCATATATCTTTTTACAGATGACACTTCTGGCAGTTGGTCAAAACAGTACAACCTGTACAAAAGCTGGTCCATGTTTCTCACAGCAATGTCTTATGCAGAACGCTCTTCTACCAAGAATATTTTCTTTCTGTCTGCTGTCTCAAAGAAGAAAGGTGTTAGTGATCTGTCTCTCTTACCAATGATTGCCAAAAATCTTATGAAACTTGAAAGTGTCATTCTCATGTACTCTGCTAAACACAAGAAATATGTTTTGGTTGTTGCTCTTTTGCTCTTTATTGAAGCTGACACTCCTTGTCACTCAGAACTCTGTGGCATACTTGGTGTTGTGGTGGTTGAAGTTGAAGAAGTTTTTAAGAGGAAGAATTGAAGATTTGAGATTAGGAACGAAGATTCATAAGAACTTGTGTAGGTTTTGTTTATTGAGAAAGGATTTTGTATCAAAGTTTGACCAGGTTCCTACACTGAACTACTACTGCTATTTATATTGTTTTGGATTGGGAAAATTATATAACTGGGGTCAGGTAATCGATCCTATCTGAGCCTTGATCAGAGCAACGTGATCTTAGGATAATTAATGTATGATTAATTATATAAATGTGTGTAGTCCCAATGAAGTATTAACATCGAAAGTAAATGTGTTTATGAGTTATAATTATGCTTATAATAATCCACTGATGTATCCCATATTATGATGATATCATCATATGAAATATAATCACTATCATGCATGCTAAATCTGTGTGTTAAATAATAAAGTAATTGGTAGACACCTTTGACTGGAATAGCTAAGGCCTTATATTATTTCCTTCAGACTTATTCTCAATTACAGCAGTAGTCAATACTCATTTACAACACTTGGTCTTGCAACTTTGCTCCCATGTTGTAAATGTTATTATATGCTTCAAAGAAATGTTCCTTTGCAAATCAAGGAATATTACCTCAAGAAGCATACACCAAGAACTCAGAAACAATATGTGATGGCTAATTCTACTGACAAACGTGATACAATCATGCCTGATGTTTTAGAAACTAATAAGTTTGTGACCGCAAGGGCACTTAGTTTTATTAACCATTCTACAGGATGCTTGCTTGAATTGAAAGCATTTGACCCAGAAAAGGTCACACTGATTGAGATTTTTCATGCGATTCTGCTTGGTATTGCAAAATACTTAAGCAGTGAATTAGTAAAGAAAATTCTCAAGATGAACCCTGAAAAACTGAAGAGATTGGCCAATAGTCTGAAGGAACATGTTATCTCAACTGGACTTTCTCACAAGTTTATCCGACTCTTAAAACACTCTGAAGCTTTTCTTGGCCTAGACTTTAAGATGCTACTGCAGATTTTTGCTGTTGCTCTACTTAGAGACTTTTCTGATGATCAGATAATTGGAACAATTTTGCCTTGCTTTGTTGAACTTGGTCATCTATTTTCATTAGTATTTGTTAGACAGATTGAATCCAGATTTGAAGAGTATCTTGCCTAGGTTGACAGTGCTGTGAACACATTGACTGCCAAGCTTCATGCCTTTGATGAGGCAAATGTGGACAGCCCAAAGCACACATCTTTATGTAACAAGCCAAAAGCCCACAAAATGACCCATTTGACGGAAGATATTAGACGATTTGGACCTGCCCTCAACTTTGAAATGGAAAAAGACAATCAGTTTAACAAACATATTTGCGAGCATCTGATTTACACCAATTGACTAAACACCTCAAGAGATGTCTGCCTCAAGTTTGCGAAGCAGACAATCATGTAACACATTTTTGATAATGGCTCCTGGATTAACTATAATGGACAGTGCGAGTACCCTGGAAGTAAAATTGCAGAATGTATAAAATGCAATGATGATACAGCTTTCCAGCACTTATTCCTTGGTGGATCACGCAATTTTGCAGACAACAATGACACCAACAACGTTCAACTTTAAAGGACAATTCCTTTGCTGCTTTTGTTATCAAGAACAGTATTTGAATGACTCCCAGCATTGGACTGATCTCTGGTTCAATAGTTACTTTTCTTTGGCTCACTGCTCACACAAGTGAGGAGATAAAAAATAATTACCTTAAAGTAGAAATGACGAGATTGTATATCTCTCAATTCTCTCAAGCCTCTGTGTAAGATTAATTTAATGAAAGTTAATGATACTACTTACATGATTAACTTGAGTAAATTTGGTTTATATTAGTTTTATTTGCAATATGAATTAGCATAGATTTTTCAATTATTATTTCTTAGTATAATTTTGTATAGTTAATGAAATTTTTAGATTTTTTTTCTAAAAATCACAGTTTTTTTTTCAAATTTTTGCTAAGTCATTTCTTTGTTACTCCAAACAACTCCCAAATTTTTTTAATAAACATTTTGTCTTACTTCAACTCATTTTCCGCTTCATTGAACTTTATTTTTTTTATTTGGATGTTGTTTTTTTTCAATTCACAATATTATACAAAAAAGTTTTCTATGCCAATCATATTGCTTAAGTATAATAAGTAACCCTATTTGGTTTCTAATATCTGTGGTGGTAAAATTTTTAGAGCATCTGTAGGAGTAGCATTTTAATTAGCACTAAATTGAGTGCTCATAAGTCATATTTGAGATTAAAAGAAGTAAAAAAATTGAAGATAAAATATCAGTTAAATAATAAAAAGAAACATCTATATTTTCTAGTAGATAGTAAAGTATTAGCCAAAATTGAGGCTTATCTACCAGAAAATAAGACAAAAAAATAAAACTACCAGAAAATAGAAAACGCAAAAATTTACTAAGTCATTTTGAAAGTTGTTTCAATTTACAAAACATTTCTTTAAGAAAAAAACTAGATATAATTTTATATTTGTATATGAGATCTGCGAAGATAAACTTCATATTTGTTTTTTATAGACTGAAATACTTGTAGAGAGCATTGATATACATCAAACAAAGTCTGACAGTCATCTTCAGTCATATATTGTTGCATAGTCAGTAGATTTTGGCTTGCATACCAAAGCATTTGATTGATGTCAATACATTGCTGTATAAAAGCAGATGTATGACTGATAGTTGATGTGATTGTGACTGTTTCAGAGGTAGAGACTGGCTGTATTATATTTGTACTTGTAACAGAAGGTAGAGAGAAGTAGAAAGATTAGTTTATATGCATTTTAAGCAAATACATATGCTTTCAAGGTTTATATCTTTGCTGATAATCGAAGCAGATGCAGGAAATAATCAAGTTTGGCTCTGCAATCTGAACAAAATATGCTGTATTTTCATTTACAAATAGTCAAACTTGCCAATTTATATCTTCTGCAGTACCAGGAGTAACAATCATCATTTCTCTGTCATCATCATCGACTTTTTCAGCTTTCATCTCATGTATTCTTTGTTGTCTAGTAAAAGAAGGGGAAGCTTACAGACAGCCTGGCGGGACAGCCTGAAAGTGTATTACGTCACCTAGTCACGTGTTTAGGCAAATGCTATATTGACGGGACAGCCTGGACAGCCTGGAAATATGTTACTAAACTTACTTCACGTATTTAGGCAAATGTTCATTTTTTTGAGGCAGTCAGATTTTTGATATATGTTTAATGATTCAAAAAATAAAATAAAAAACATTGAAAATAAAGATAAATAAATAAATAAATAATAATATGAATAATAATAATAAAACTTGATAAGAGATAAAGAGATAAATATAAAAACAAGGAAATAGAATAAAAAAGAAAAAGAAAATAAAAAGATCTACAAAATAAGATAAATATTAATATTATTGAATGGAATTCCGTTATGAAATCCATATCTTGGTAGTTAATACAGAATGGAAAAGTCCTCTAGGTTATGTTTTTTTACTATGGTTTTGTGAAATGGGGTTATCTGCGGCCAATTGAAGTTTCTGGTTGGTTTACGTTTTGCGAGGAGAAAGTGGTTGATGTCTAAAATAAGTATAATAGGTTCGAATCTGTCTGGTGTGGTAGTGAATGGTACAAATAGACAGTTGCCAGTTTCTCTTGGAGTATTCCAATATATGGCTACGGTTCTGTTATATGCATTTGCTACGAGTTGTGGATAGTCAATTGTACCAAACCAATGCTGTTGAGGGAGGGGCGAGTGTTTGTCTTGTAGACTGATGATTAATGAGTTTGTGGATGCAGGCATATGGCCATGCTCCATTCTTCCTCGGTAATGAGTATGTTGATATTTTAAATAGTTTTCTAACATTTTGTCTTTGATTTCAGGCCATCACTCCTGGTTCTGATATACTTCCATTACTATTGCTCTATAGCCACAATTGCCATCTGCTTCCGGAGAGAATATCTGAGATATTTGGTGTGGGGCGATTATAAGATTAGTCAGAAGTGTATGGTCACATGGTGAACCTAGGTTAATAATTTTTTTAAATGCTTTTTGTTGTTTTTCTAAAGATAATTCATGTCTAGAAAATCGAAAAAAGTCGAATGAGTTAAATCTGAACAATATGTTATAATAAAGACTTACTTTTTTTGTTTTTTTTCAGTTTTTCTTTTTTTTTATTGTTTCTTCTTTTTCTGCTTCAAGACAGTGCTCTAGGGCAATCATTTTTCTTTTTGTATTTTTAGGTCTGCCTTTGATGGCTTCCACTACTGTTGGATCATTAAGGTTCTCAAGTTTCTGCTTGGAGTCTAGTTCTATTATTTTGTCAATGTATTCTTCGAAATATATTTGCTGTTGTTTGTTTTGGGCGTTGATAAGTATTTGAGTAATCCGTTCAAGCTTATATGCAAGTTGGGATGTTATTGTGGTGATTTTAGTGGTGTTTTTAGGTACAGATAGTGCATTGTGAAGAATTGAGTGGTCTGTACATAATTATATATAAAAAAAGAAAATAGTTTAATAACATATATGTATATATATATACATTACCTTCTCCTTCTAAGTAGTTTATTCTCCATTGTCTGGGAATGCAAGAAATTGGGATTTTTTTATACTGCGCAAGTTGATGGTAGCAGGGCAAGAGATAGTTGTAGTTAATGAGGCATTCGCACTCTTTTGTGAGTTTTTCAGGTATAATTGATTTGGCAAGTTCAAGTTTGATGTGGTCCATTGCAAAACGACAAACTTTGTGGCGAATATCATTCAGCCTGGAAGAATTGATTTTATCAAACACAACAGTATTGCTCTCTCCGAGACACTCCATTGTCAATCTGCACTTTCGATCATCAATCTGTAAAATTTACAAAAACATTTCAATTAGTTATTGTTATTATAAAGTTTAATCAATTGATATTTAAGATAACAAAGCATAGACGTACCAACGCTTCATACCACTTGACAACTTTCATGGTAACTGTCTTCAGTTTACCGGAAGAAGTTCCAAGGGCATGCTTCAGAGAAGCATATGAACTTTCTGCATGGTTGGAAGTGCGATTTCCAAAGTGAGAATGCTTAAAAACATAGGTGTTTACCCAGTTCTCTTTGTCATGCATTTTTCTGATAACGTATATAAAAAATAATGTTATTATTTATTGTTAACAAACTGTTTCCAGCAAATATAACAGCACTTTGCATATATCTCAAGGAAAGCTTTGGCACTTTTTCCTTGATCTTTACAATTGTCTTTTGCAAACCTGAGATATGCATCAATCTCTTTTTTCTCTTCTTTGGAAGTGGTGCACTTCAACGCAATTTGGTCAAGATGTCCAGCTAACTCATCCAAGAAGCCTCTCTTGTCCACATTTTCGTCTTCCTTCATCATTGGCAATAGCTGCTTCTTAAAATTATCCTTAATGTGCTTATAGCACAGCAGCTGTTTATGTGGTGATCCAGACACTCGGATGTTGGATTTATCACATATAAGAACATATTCATATTGGGATAGCGTAGTAGCTATCATCTTGTCAGTATAAAATTTATATAAATGATTAAGTAATCAACCCAATAATTATTACAGTTAGTACTGTAGATAATATCTTAAAGATTGTTAAGATAATTATATCATACTGCCGGGTAAACTGTGTCAGATCGATATGGAGCTAATTTAGTAGGAAGTTCTAAAGCTCTAGTATAAAAGAGAAAAGAATAGCTAAGAGCTAAAGAAGTACGATTTATGACTTGATGTCATAATTGTAACACCAACACTAGTTAAGCAGTAAATACACTCTAATAACCAAATATAGTAAAGGAAGAAAGCCTTAAGAAACTAAGACGTAATGACAAGAGCAGATTGTGTTTTCTTATAAAAAATGATACTTTTTATTTATGAATAAAGACAACTTATATACAGTCTCAAAGTATTTCTATACGTCTCTATTATCAAATATTTTATTTTTCTATTGTTTCGTACCTGAAATACCACAGTTTACACTCAGGGAAAGCATTTGTAATTGCATTCCTTAATGCTTTCTCATTGTCAGTGATAAACACACTTGGAAGTAGAGGTGTTGTGGTGATTTTGTTGCTGCTGCTGCTATCATTAACATCTGGCCAGACAGAATCGCGCAGACAGCAAAGTACCCATAGATAGTTGTCTATCGTTTCGTGATCCACCCAAGCTCCAGCAATTGGGAAAGTCTTCAAAGTCGTATGGGGGGTTCCACTTACATTGCTGGTACCAACAATGTTGACATATGTCATTCAGTGACTATTCATCTTGTATGTAGCATCTATTACAATGGTTTCTGACATTCTTCTTGCTTCGTCAATGGCATCCTTATGGATGAAAAACACCATGTTGATTTTGTTTTTCTTATCATCACCAACATTGTACCAGACATAAAAGTCCAATTCTTGCAATGCAGTAATGAAACTAAACATTTCTCTTCCTTCTTCTGACTTTCCGAATTGTTGTTTGATATTTTCGATATCTTGACAGATAACATTGGTGTACCCACTTCTCTTCAAGTTATTGAAGATGGTGGATACATCATTGTTTTCCTCAAGGTGTCGGACAACAAGAGCCATGGCTTCAGGTTCAAGCTTTTGATGCATGGCATATGCTCTGTGGTCTTCCACAATCTGATGATTGTGTTTTGCCTCGCGGGAGTGGACTACAATCTTTCCATCTTTCTTTTTTGAGGCATACACAAAGCAAGAACAGCCACTCTTTTGGGTATCCTTTACGCATTGTCTTTCCTACTCAAGAATAGGGGTTTCTTGGTTGACAGAGACTTCTGAAACAATTTTTTTGGTCTTTCTAGTATCTCTATATTCCCTGTAGTGCTTACAGATCATTCTTATATGGGTGCTTGAGGAAGAATAAGTAGTGAATGCAATATTATGCTTAGTACCATATGCTTTGGTGGCTTTACAAACAGCTACAGTTGAAGAGAGTTCTCTTCCAACAAGAAATATTGAGTTGAACTTGGTCAGGGCAGCATTGTATTTCTTTGAAGAAGTCTCACTAACAATGACATGGTCATTGGTGTTGTTGATGCTGCTCATCTTAGAATGTCAAAAAAATTATACGCTGATGTTGTAGTAAAAAAGGGCAGTGATTTTATTGGCAAACTAAAGAACACTTCATATAGTTCCCCCTCCCCCCCTCTACTCAAAAAAATGAAAATTTGCCTAAATACATGAAGTAAGTTTAGTAGTATATTTCTAGGCTGCCCAGGCTGTCCAGGCTGTTCCACCAATATGACATTTGCCCAAACACATGACTAGGTGACGTAATATACTTTCAGGCTGTCCTTTCAGGCTGTCCCGCCAGGCTGTCTGTAAGCTTCCTCTAAAAGAACTCATTGGACCATTGTTTGACATGCCGTGTTCATATTCTTGGATAAGATAATACTCAACATCATGTACTAAAACAAAAACAAGCTTATCAACTCTCTTGTTTCTATTTCTTTTCATGAAAGCTATTTTTAATTGATTGTGCCAGAACTCAATATAGTTATTTGTGAATATATGGGAGAATTGTCGTTCATAGTATGCTCTACTTCAGACCTTAAACTTTGTTTCTGTGCACCAGTTTCTCTCAAAGTAACCCAAGAAGCTTTCTTGGTTGTCAAAGTCTTCTATAAACTGTACAATTTTATGATGAAACTCATTTATGTCTTCTTTATAAATGATCTCTTGTAAAGACTTCATCATCACACCATGTAAAATACGTGCCTCTATTGATAAGGATTCAGGAATCTTCACACTGTCAGATAACTTTTGGTTCCATGCTTAAGTAACATGAAAGATGTAAAATTGAATGAGTGTTGCAGAAAAAGTTGTCTGAATGGTGTGAACTTCTGCTGCACAACAATCAATAGTAGAGAGCTGTTTAAAGTTGCTTTATATCTACGCCCAAAAAAGGCACTTAAGTTGGAATATTTTTTTAAAATTTTTTCTCTGATATATCATACATGTACCATCATGTTGCGTTAACAATATAGCTTGTGAAAATATTATGCATGAGCTTCATTCTTTAACAACTTCTTTATACTCAAATTGATCATCTAAATTCAAAATAAAATAACCGATCATTCCAAATATAACATTAGCAATCACGCCCAAGTTTATCAACAAAGGCAACAAAGGCAACAAAGGCAACAACAACAACAACAACAACATCAAGAACAGCAACAGCAGCAAGAGCAACAGCAGAATGAAGAAGAAACCATATCTCAAGAGATTAGAAGAGCCAGGAGAGCTAGATATAGCAAACTAAACCTAAATCTCTTGAGTGACAGTACTTGTATATATCTATTTTGTTTCACTTTAGATGAAATTGAGAGAATAACAACAGCACTCGGATTGGATCATGTGTACCGTTTTTCAAGTATACAAGTCTGTAAGAACCTTGGCTTTGCAATGTTGCTCAATTGGTACAGCTTTCCAAGATGCTTAGGTGACGTGTCTATACTTTTTGGAATGAGTGAAAGCAATGTACACTGGAAAAATAGGGTAATTTCATCTGGATCAAATGTACCAAAAATGTAGATGATTGAGCCAATATCATCACAATTTTTGTGATATATCATTTTGAGCAATGGTACAATATCATCTATAGTGCTGATGCGTATCATCATAACAACGGATACACAAAAACCCAATGTAGAATGATTGTCAATCCGCAAACTATGGAAACTGAATAAATATTATAGTTACGCTTTACTCCTATTGAGTCTACCTCTTTATGTGTTATATTTTGAGGTCTATAAAGAGCTAGCGTCCCATATTATTATTTTTACCGGGTTTTTTTATTGGCTGCAGAAATGCTTTAAAAACTATCAAAGAGATGATTGTAGGTTTTTTACAATATAAAAAAATGATGATAGTTGGTTTTTTATACATGCTCAAAGTGATTAAACTAGATTTTTTATATACACAAAAGCAATGAAACTAGGTTTTTTTACAATGGAAAAGAGAAACAAAGCATGGGTAGATTTTTATAAACAAGCCTCTTCGGTTTGTTTATTTATTTTACTTTTATTTATTTATTTTTTGGAAAAACATTGAGTTATACATTTTTTGTTCAATTTTGTTTTATTTGATAGAAAAATCTTTTCTAGATAAAAATCCTAATTTCGCAACAGTTTTGATACTATAGCTATTATAATCACTAATATTTCTTGCTTGCTATATATAATTTAAAGCCTTCCAGAAGTAGACATGGAATACATACTTTAATAGCAGGAATACTATTAAAAAATGATTAATAGAAAAGAAGAACTAGTAAATGATTTAAATTGAAATTTCTTCATAAATACTTACAAGACGAAGAAGACTTGATATAAAATTGATATAAACATATTCTTCAGAATTATCAAGACAATACCAGTAGTCTTTGAATAGAGATACATTCTAAAAATGAATAATTATTAATATTGTGCATAGTAAAAACGTATTTATTAAATATATTATAGTTAACTTACCAAATATTACTGATTATACGTCTTCCTGCATAATATCAGACATAACTAATAAATCGTAATAGAAATAAATATATATTTATGAGGAAGACAAAACAATAATTTGAATTTTTTTTAAGAAAAAAACTTACCATCATGTTTGATTAAGAGATGATGAGACTCAATGGAAATGAGTAGCAATGGATAGACAAACAATATGATGAGTAACAAAGATCTGTAAGAGAATGATATCTTACCTTGATATATCAGACAGAGTATAGCCAAACAAAGAGACACATATTTGGTATTGAGCTATAAAAGAAAGAAAAAATTATTAGTGAAATTGTAAAAACATAAGCAAAAGAGAAACAAAGAAAATATCAATAATTAATGTTGTTAAAAGAAAAAAGGAAAAAAAAGACTTGTTTTAAAATCCAGTTTGACCGTGACAAAATGTGGGCTGTAAAAAGTAATACTCCAAAAGAAGATGACCATTGTCATCTTGAAATACTACTTTGTGCCTCATTGAGTTAGAAAAGAAGTTGTCTAAATGTGGATCAAGTGGTTAGGAGATGTGCTTAAATATCAAATGAAAGGTAGAGAGTTAATCTGCACTGCTTATCCTCTTTACTAGTATGTGAATTTTAAATATGATATAATGAGTGTAGCAAATTGTATAATATTAGTTGAAAATTATTAATATTTATTTTATTAACAGAAAATGACAAAGTGTATTCCTACTGCTCCTCGCCGACCCAACCTATGCATGAATGCTGTTCTTAATAGCACAATTGCAGGTGTTGTTACTCCAATTGACACACCAACGCCAGAAGTAGCAGTTGACACAGCCCCTGAAGTTCAAGTCGCTGTGACCCCAATAGATCACGTCCTTACCTTGTTGGCAGCCAACAATGTGTCGATGCAATCCTTGCAAGAAAATGCAAAAGGAGTGACTGATGCAATAAGTCATTTGAAGAATGGCCTGGATTTGTTCAACAAGACAAATGAATTTTTGAAGAACTCGGTACTTCAGCTCATGACTGAAAATGCCAAAATAAAAAAGGTAATGACCAGCCAAAATTCCGTGATGTTTTCTGCTGTACCAGCGGATTCTTCTTCTTTCATGGATGATGATCTTGACCTTGGAGCAAAACATCATCCCTTGATTTCTGTAAGTAAACTGATAATAATAACATTACTGATTAATATATCTAATACTGTTTTTATAGCAACTTATCAATAGCTACATCAAGAAACCAAACTTTGTTAGCACAGACCCACTCAAAGTTGCTGAGAATAATAATAGATCAGCATGATCAATGACTGGCACGTATGGCAATAAGTACAACAAGACACTTACACTGGCTCTCTTCAAGTACCTAAGACCTTAAAGATGTTGCACAAATGTGTCAAAGAGTGTTATTATGAATATAATAAAGAATCACTACCAAAATCAAGTGCAAGTCTTCCGGACCTCAGCAGAGAAGATTATGGCTAGAAATAAAGCTGGAAGAAGACGCAACAGAAAGAAGACCATAAGTTTTAAAATAAAGTTAATTTACTATTGATTTAATGTTTTAATACAATATTCTTTGGTAGCTTCTTGACCATCGTATTATCACGTACCAGACATACACAGAGGCTATTCATGAGGGTATGAACCAATATGATTGCGGAAATATTCTTTCTATTGACGTGATGTCTGATGGCGAGTCGGATGGAGATAACAAAGTGCGGGCATATCGTCCCAGTTGGAGAACTGATGAGGTAATGTTAAACATCTATTTATGTTTTAAAAAAAATAATAATACTTTATTAATACTATTTATTCTTTAAACCAGCTCCAGACGTTTATTAGTACTATTGATAAACTTACTGTTATCCATTTGAAGAAAAATTCAGAAAGCTTGAAAAAGCGCATCCCTTATGAGAAAGAAGTGAGCATTCCCAAGAATTTAGCAGTCACTTTACCAGATTGGTGCTTTTCAAAATAAATCATTTTTTTCTTGCCAACTATTTTAGAGTCTTTTTTCTACTTGTTTATGTTTATGGATTAGCATGATTTATACAGATGCATGTATAGCATGCCAAGTACAAATAAAAATTTATAGAAATAATAAAAAATAAACGTGCAACTATATATATTAGTCTGTATTAACTAATATTTCTTTTTTATACGTGTTTTATTTTTGTATTTGAATCTAAATATATATTTTTTGTGGCAAAGAAACTACACACATCTGAACTTTGCCTTCTAGACCAAGGTGCTCGCCTACTGCGACTGGATAGCAGATTCTATGCACTGGGAGAATGCTGTTCATGCTGTCATCTTCGAACCCCACCTCATTCACCTCAACTCCTTCTCCTGCTCTGGGCTGAAGTAAAACTTCCTTGTACCATTGTACATATGCAAATACATGCTGGCTTGCATGACCAGCAAACGAGTTTACAGCAGTATTAACAAAGAGGTACTTAATTTGGCCTGTGTATGGCTTGGTACTTCTATTATCACTTGTCTCAAACAAGGCTTGCATGAACGACCTGCACTGATTCTTCATTTTGCTCTTGTAGATTTGCCTGAGAAGATCGATTGATTCAAACATCTGTATCCGATTATTAACAAAATTATCAGAATGACCAGCCTGACAATAATGAACAAGAGTTTGGTCATTGTATGTCTTGCAATAGTATTCTAACAAATACTCATACTCGGATTCATCCATGGAAATCTCCCCCTTTAGAGCTAAAGGAAGTGCAGAAGGGGGCAAAGGCTCATTTCCCTTGACAATATCAAAGTTGATCTCAGAAGAATCAAGAAAAGTATTGATATCGAATTGGATTGAGGTGGCAGTGGAAGTGGAAGTGGCTATGGAATTGGCAGTAGATGCAGTGAGCTCAAGGATGATTGCTGAATGCTCAGGTCGAATTATTGGCAAAGTTTGGCAAATAAGATCTCCCTGATAAGCTTCTTCAAGATACTTCTTCATATAGGTTCTCTTAAACCCGTCTTTTTTATTTGTTGCATAGTTTTTCAAGATATCATTGCATCTTTTGAAACTAAAAAGCCAATAGCCATAAACCGGGCCAAAGCTCAGTACAGTCTCTCGCAGATGAAGATGGAGATGCATGTTTGGCAAAAGGAACAGGGCTTTATACAACTTCTCACACTCTCTGCAGAAAGCCTCCAAAGATTGATGGGCTTCATCAAGGTGAGCCATGGATATGCTTGGCATTGAGAGGTACTAGTATGCATTGACAAACGTTGTCCAGTTACCAAGATGAGCTTCAGGTAGATGACCATGCAGGAGAACAGGAGAGTACACCAAGCACCAAGACTTCCACTCATCAGCCTTCATGAATGGGAAGCCACACCCAATCTTTGTCCCTAATGGCATGTAGTCCTTTGGCAGTACAAGCTTGTCAGCATCCAACTGCATTTCGGCCAAGTGTGCATCTGTGATGAGACCTGAAGATCTTCATTTCTCCATTATCCTCTTTGCTGTTCTGAGGTACAGGTTGTGCATCAGATCGATGACAGTGCACTCCACAAGGTTAAAGTGAATCAGGTCATGCAATTCTGACCATTGGACAACATTTTCCTTCTCCAATCTCTTTCTCTGTGCATCACTGCTGGCCATTCTCCACAACTCGGCATCATGGTGGTTTTTGGCATCAGTGCGAGGCACCCACTCAGAAAACATGAACCCAGAGTAGTTCACAGCATTGGAGTCTGGAAGGCGAGGGAACTGTTGGTTGCACTTATTGCATGCATATGTGCTTGAATGAGAGGTCAACCCACAAGTCTTATGGGCAGCAGGAATGTCGCAGGCAACAAGAAGAAGGGCAGCATGGACAAGAGCACCAGATGGGCACTGTACGGTAGGCATCACCACACCACCATACAACTGGTTGAGTTCTGCAACAAGGGGACGGAGGTAGTGATTGATCTCACTTGTCTTTGCTTCCTTAGGCCCTGGCATGAGACCAACAAGAACAACATTCTCCTTCTTGTACTGTTCCAATCTTGGCAAGTTGTTGATGCAAAGGTATATCGCACTACAGGAGTAAGTGACCCCATCGAAAGGTTGAAACCAATTGATGTTCATGGTAAGCATTATGGAGTGCTCATGATTCACAAATGGTAAACCATTGCTATCCTTCAGACTGTTCCACTTCGTACCGTTGTAAATGTCAAACATCATGCCTGGAACTTGCACTCTGGTTCTCCAATGGTTGATGGTGTCTTCAAATTCAGGGCAGCAAAAAAGAATAGACAATGTTTTGATTATGGAGTTATACATGTGGATCTTTTTGGGGATAGTCAAGGCTCTTGATGTTGCAAAGAAAAGAGCATTTCCACATTCTCTACCAGAGAGTCTCTCGAAATTACAGCACTCTAGAACAACATCGGACTCTTCATATACTTTGTTACAATTGCCACATGCAACAAACCGCTGGACATCTCGAGTCACATTGCTGAGACCGGTCATAGAGTTGACACCATTTATACTGAGGGGAAGATGGAAAGACTGTCCAAAGTGTGCCAATACTTCGTTAAGAAACTTCAACAGAACAGCACCACCAAAATTGACAACATATTTGGATATGAAGAAGGCAGCAAAAGAAGTAATGAAAGCATGAGTAGGATTGACTGGCATATTAGATAAAGAAAAGTACTCTATTTGAAAAAAAAATCAATACTTGTTGACTTTATTGATTTATATGTGCTTTTTGTACTAATCTCTAACATCATCAGATTCATTGTCAAAAATATCCAAAATGGTTGCTTCAATGACACCCTCATCTTAGCTTTCAGAATCAAACAAGGAATCAATGTCAAAAAGAGGTAAGTCTTCGGCTGTTTTGTTAGGTAAAAAAGAATCAAATTATTAAATATTATAAATGATTGTAAAACTTTAATAAAAATACTATGCATACCTTCAACTTGATCTTTGGCATCAACATTGTCTTCAAAGTCAATCTCCATGTCATTGTCATTCAACATTACTTCTACAACTGAGGCTATATTATATGAAAATAAATATTTAATTAAAATTGTCTCAATAATAATTTTCTTAAATTTGAACTTACAAGAAGATTCTGACTGATATTGTCTCACGATATCCTGTTGTGCATGTCTTCTGAGTGTTTGGGTAGACACCAAAACAAATCCCATGCTATTGGAAGAGCATTTAGAGCACTTGTAGTCTGAATTGTTGTTGTTGTTTGACATATTGTGTGCATATGTTTTATTTTTTAAGTCTTTAGAATTGACAAGAATAGAGAATTGTTCAGGAACACAATTTAATATATATCTTTCCAAATTACACCAGCTTCCAAAATGATATAGTTTATTCCGGTTGTTAAAATGGGCAGTTCTCTAAACAGTAATTGATTGCCTCATTCTAAAATACAATAATACATACTTTTGTTAAAACATGTTAACATGTACATTTTATTAACTGTAGAGCATATACAACAAAAATATTTGTAGTAATATCATGACCATTAACCTTATCATACTTATAAATAAATATTACAACAATAAAAAGCTTTATTATCTCACTCAAAAGATATCATTTGGTTTAAGTTCCCTACAACTATTGACTCTGCGACATGGCTACAAGTCCCAAAAAGAAATCTTGCAGACATTTTTTACAAAAAAAAGTAAACTCGTTTTTTTATCTAATAAAACAGACCGAGCATTATCATTGCTGTCGAAAATAAAAAAGACAAAAGTGATGGAAATTTAGGCTACCACTCTACAAATAATAGTACCCTATGCCATAGATGAAATTACCCTATTTTTCCAGTGGACGATGTCTCTCAGCATGCGCGGTTGCATTTTTCCAGACCTCTGCATCCTTACAATTGTCATTCTTAGTGCAAAGAAGCCACTTTGAGAAATCGAATCCAGAATAATCAACAGAACTTGTTTCAGCCAACCTCGAAAATTGATGCTTACACTTGTGACATGCATTTGTACTAGTATGAGATGTGAATCCACATACTTTCCTTGCAGCAGGTATATCACAGGCAATCATGAGAAGGGCTGCTCGGATAGTAGTACCATTTGGACATTGATGAGTTTTGATCTTAATACCTGTATACAGCTCTGTCAACCTCATCAACCAAAGGCTTCAAATAGTTGTTGATGTCAGACGTGCTTGCTTCCTTGGGCCCTGGCATCAATCCAACAAGGATGACGTTTTCTTTTTTAAACCAAATGTCACACGGAAGGTTGTTGACAGCAAGGTATATGGCTTCACATGAGTGTGTCACCCCGCAAATGGCTGAAACCAGTCGATATTCAGTGTGAACATGATAGAGCGCTCACTATATATGAAAGGGATCTCACGAACATTCAACATATTTTGCCATATTTTGCCATTATATACATCAAACATCATCTCATTCACCTTGGGGCCACGGTTCCAAGAATCGATGTCGTTTTCAAAATCAGGGCAACGGAAAAATATTTTCAAAGACGATATGACTGAATGGTAACACTGGGGAATTAGATTTCTACACATATGCGATAGTATGGGAAATTCTGAGTGACAGAATAATTAAATTCTGGAATTTGGCATTTATAGATTCCGTTCGCAATATGTTATGTTATCTGTGAGTTGTCCATATAACTTCTGAACTTATAATGATCCATATAGAGATGTAAGGTTCTTTTAAACTATTTAATCGCAGAGAGAATAATCAAATTATGGCATCTTTTTTTTTTGGATGTTACATTAAATTAAACTTGATTTGAAACAGAGATTCCAATAAAAAATCTATTTTTGATAGAAAACTGTCTACTGAAATAGTAGAATTCTATTGGATTACTTTACAGAGAAAACTGTCTACTGAAATAATGATATTCTATTGGATCATTTAACAGAAGAAACAGGATTTATGTATACTGTCTTCCGAATCTAAACACTTTTATTGGACAATTATACACGGCTAAACTATAGGATTCACACATGCCATGCTACTGCAATACTTCTTGTACTTCATTTCAAATATTTTTATAGGGATTGTTTTGGAAAAATTATTTTTATTTAAAAAAAAAAGCTTCTTGCTTATAATATGTACGGCTTGACAATATATAGTCTAATCTAATATATAAGCTACTACATAATTAATATAATAACAAACCCTTTCATATATTATAATATATAAATACTTCCAATACAATAGAATCCTAAAAAGAAATGCGTGTTTACGGTATTTCACTAGTAAGAGAAGGCTAAAAAATTATTCAATTATATTAGATTATATAAATATTTATTTTTCTTTAATTTAAATAATATGGTTACTTACCAGTACTTTCGTCAGAACCAGGCATAGTGCACATTGACTGTTGTTCTGAAAGGTTTAATAAAACGCATTAGTAAAGATCATGGAATAAAGTTTGGCTTTATTACTTACCAAAGAAAACCGGTTTTCAAAGACAAGTCATTCAATCAGGTACATAGAAATGTTGGCAGTACTAACAGAGATAGAAAATAAACAAAATTAGATATAAGAATAAAACAAATAAATACATTATTCAGACTTACCGGATAAATTTCTGCTGTTGGTATGTCTTTATGATGAGCTGAGGAGAGAAAAAGAAAATAATTAATAAAGAAGCACATACACAATAACCGCGTTTTACCTTTTTGTTCTTGTCCATTAATCAACATGGCAAAGACTTGTAATACTATCAGCAACCACAATAATAATAAAAGAAAAAACATTAAGAATAAATATAACAGTAGAATAATAAAAACAAATTGCTTACCAGGGTGTGAACTCAAATACATCAACCAGAATAAAAGTAAATAAAGCAGAAAAGAAACAGGAAAAAAATAAATAAGAAAAAAATAAAGAAAAAGAAAAAAAAGTGGGCTTTCAAACAGAAGGCAGTTTAGATGAGAATTGACTCTAGTAAAATACAATAGTAATAAAATGAATAGTCCGAAATTATATTGTAACACTAAGTTCTATGTTGAATATTAAAGAAGTTGTTCAAGGTTATAAAGGATTTTATAGAAAATAATATATAATCCCTTCCTTTTCTCAGCTATTTCATAAATCTACTTTATATTAACATATTTTGTATGTATATCTTTGATTAAACAAAAATAAATATATTTCAACCCATACATTTATTTTATTTTAATAATTTATTAATGTATAAAACTTTAATAAAAATACAATAAAGAAAAAATGCCTTCCAATAGCAGCAGAAAAACAGACCGTAAAGGAAAAGGAAAAGCATCTGCAAGTATATCTACCTCTGCAAACCGTGTTTTGGCTGGCCGTGTTGGACCTCAAGAAATTGCCCCCAGTTTCTCATCCACAACTATCCAAGATCAGCGATACGCGGAAATTGTTGAAATGTTTAACAAAGTAAACAACAATATCAATGGTGTCAAGGATGACATTGCTGCTGTCAATAGCAACATGGCAGCCTTTAAAAACAGGATGGGCGTTGTTGTTGACACGTCTGGAAAGACACATATGGCATTTGCAGACTTTGCAACTGCCTATGCCAACAATCAGACTCGTATGGCTAGTCTAGGACCATCTCTGATGCCATCCTATGTCCCCCAGACCTCCCTCAGTGATGCCGAGGTTTCTGTCATTATCTTGGTAATTAATATTAATATATGTTAGTATCAACAACTTATTAAACAACCTGTATTTAGGAAATCTTCGCGGAAAAGTTGTGGGACTGGAAGTTCGAGTCTGACGACCCTGCTCTTGTTGCTGAGAACGAGAGTAAGAAGAAGTGGAACTTGAACGAGAAGATTAACCACTGCGATAACGTAGCTGTTATCAACTACTTGAAGAGCTACATTAGCGCCCAGACTCGTCTAGCTGGTACTCACCCACGGGTGATAAGTGATAAAATAAAGAACAGGTACAAGCACAGTCATCGTACTTTTCACGAGTCTCCTGAGCAGAAGGCCAAGAAAAACAGCAAGGGGAGAGCAAACAGTCATACTCTTCAGGTTTGTATATACTATATAAAAAATTAATTGGTATATTACTATTTTCTCAAGCTACAATCTATATAACCAGATGTCTATCCGATGCAAGTCGACATACATGGACAACTGGGTAGCCATTGATGCTGCAATGGGATATAAGACTGGAAACCCTGTTGAGAAGGCCTATCTCAAACTCTTTCAGAAGGATGCCATGTCTGATGGTGAGTCGGATATTGAGATCGTGGACAATCTTCCACGACGGTGTTTGCATGTGGCTCGCCCCACTTGGAGAAGTGAAGAGGTAAATAATATTTAGAATAAATAAATAAGTTTTATAACAAGAAAAATAAAGAACTAATAAAAATAAATACAGTTCAACAGATTGTTGACAATGGTTGACGACATTGATCATACCCATCACGTGTTAAATGCGGGCGTGGGAACAAAGCCAAGAATGAACAGATATCCAGCAACATTGTTGCCTTGCTCTGTTCCTGCCACTCTGTCCCAGTCATTGCCTCGTTGGGCAATCAACGATGAATAAACATTTTCTTTTTTACTATGTTCTGTTGTAGGGCCAAATAGTAATAATTGAAATTGAATTGATTAAAGGAAATAATAATAATAGAGGATAAATATATAAGTAAGTGTGTATATGAGAATTAATAGTAAGTTTTTTTTGGTAAAGGAATCGCGAGTTTTTTGTTGACGTTTTTTGTAGTTTTATAATCTACTATTGCAACTGTTAGGAGAATCCGATGTACTGGCAGGATGCTTTGAAAATCTTGCTTGTAGAATTCATCCTGTAACAACTCAACTCCTTCTAATTCTCTTGTTTTGTCCGAAGTGGATTTGAACCATTTGACAAATGCAAATACATGCTGACTACTATGGGGATTTCTGTATGTTAGAGAAGAAACAGTTGGCCTAAAATTGTGAACAAAAAGGTACTGAATCTCTCCAACATACGCATGTTCCGACCCAGTTCGTTCAGTGAAATATGCTTGTATGTATGATCCGCGGCCATTCGTGCCAATGCACCCTTTGTAGCTTTGCCCAAGAAGATCAACGGACTTCACCATTTCAATCCAGTCATTGACGAAAGGTGAGTCATCAATTACATCTTTGCAACCTGAGATCTGTGGATTCTTGTACGCAGCTTGATAGTATTCTACAAGACAATCATATTCATGTTTTGGCATAAATGATAATGGTCTTGTTTTCAATGGCAAGGCGGATAGTGTCAGGGGCTCGTTTCCACGAATTATCATTGAAAGATTCTGTGAAGCTTCAAGATATTCGGAAATTGAGAAATAGTGAGAGAGGTAGGTGTTGGTGTTGGTGTTGTTGTTGTTGGTGGTGAACTTATCGAAAATTTCAAAACATGCAAGTGCATGCATAGGTTTCAGAAGTCGACGCACAAAATCTCCCTTCCACGACTCTTCAATAAACTGTCTCATAAATGTCAATTCGAACCCGTTTCTTCAATTGGTCTTGATATTTTTCAGGACACTATTGTACCTTTCAAAGCTGAAAAGCCAATAGCCATAGACGGGCCCAAAGTCAATCATTGTTTGGCGTAAGTGCAGATGCAGGTGCATGTTGGGAGAGAGAAGGTCCAGGTTGTACAATGTCTCACACCCTTTACAGAATTCTTCTAAGCATTTGTGTCCTTTCTCAATGTCTTCTTCAGAAACACTAGGCTTGATGAAGTATCTGCATGCGTTAACAAACTCTATCCAGTTCTTGAACTCTGGCAACGGCAACACATCCCTTAGAACTACAGGAGAGTACACAAGGCACCAAGACTTCCACTCATCAGCCTTCATATAGGGAAATCCCTTGGCAATCTTTGTCCCAAGTGACGTGTAATCGGGCGGCAACACTACCTTCTCAACAGCCTTTTGCATGGCAACGAGTTTTTTATCATCGATTAATCCATCCGCAACCCATCTCTCCAGCATTCTTTTGGCAGTGCCTAAGAAAAGATTGTGCATGGGATCGATGATCGTGCAGTGGACGATGTCAAAGTACTGAAGACGATGCAGTTCGGACCAGCGAACACCATGTGCAACTTCAAGACGCTGTCTCTCAGTTGGTTTGGTCGCATTTCTCCAGATCTCTGCATCCTTACAATTGTCATTCTTAGTGCGAAGGAGCCACTTTGAGAAATCAAATCCAGAATAATCAATGGAACTCGTTCCAGCCAGCCTCGAAAATTGACGCTTACACTTGTGGCATGCATTTGTACTTGTATGGGATGTGAACCCACATACTTTCCTTGCAGCAGGTATATCACAGGCAACCATGAGAAGGGCTGCTCGGATAGAAGTACCATTTGGACATTGGTGAGTCTTAATCTTAATACCTTTGTACAGCTCCATCAACTCATCCACAAGCGGTTTCAGATAGTTATTTATGTCAGAAGTGCTTGCTTCTTTAGGCCCTGGCATTAACCCAACAAGAATCACGTTCTCCTTCTTGAACTGCTCACTGCGTGGAAGATTATTGATTGCAAGATATATGGCACCACAGGAGTAGGTAACACCATCAAATGGCTGAAACCAGTCAATGTTCAGCGTGAGCATGAGTGATCGCTCGGTATCAACAAAAGGTATATCATCTACGTCTACTATCTCATTCCACATCACACCATCGTACACGTCAAACAAAGTGCTATCCATTTTCGGGCCGTGGTTCCATGAGTTGATGTTGTTTTCAAAATCCGGGCGTTGAAAAAACGTCTTTAGGGCTTTCTTGACGGAGTGGAATACATATGTCTTTTTGGGTGCTTTTGACCCGGGACCAGACTTAAACAAGCTGTTGCCACACAAGGAGTTTTTACTAAAATTGGGTGATGTACAACACAAAGGGGCGGCTTCATTATCATATATGGCATGGCATTCGCTACATGCAACATACTTCTTGACACCACTTGTCAACGCTTCAAATCCGGCCAAACGTTTGAGGCCAGCAACACTCACTGGAAGGCGGAATGGGTCAAACAAAAACTGCAGTATCTTGTTGATTATGGCAATCAGGCTTACAGCTCCTTCATCCACGACGTATAGCGAGACAAAAAGAGCAACTGAAATAACAATGAATTGGTGAATCAAATTCAATTCCGAGATTGATTCCAATGAAGAATCTTTAATTTGATTTTTTTTAAAGAACGTTGATTAACTCTCTATTTTCTAGGATATAATATTATCTAAAGCTGTGTACCTACCTTCATCATTGTCCATCTCAACATCAGATTCATCTTCATATTCTTCTTCGTAAGTGTCACTTGTATACTGGACATTATCTTCAGGGCCAAACACGCAATCCGTTTCAGAGAAAGGTTGGTTTCTTGTCCGTATATCCAAAATGTCATTTGTGTCATTTAGGTCTACAAAAGCGGAATGTTAGACCCAAATAAATCAATGTAATAAAACAAGTTTTCTTACTTCTAAGCTCAGAATTCATTTCAACATCTTCCTGTTCAAATTCAAAACTATCTTCCTCTTGATTTACAGGCTCAGAAACAACACTACTAATTGTATCGCATGTGTCTTCATGGGCTACACATTTATTATTATTAGTGTTAATATTATTATTATTATTATTATTATTATATAAAATAATAAAAAAGGAAATGATATAAAATAAAATAAAATAAAGTAAAGTAAAGCAAATGTATTAACCATATGCGTTTGAACATGTGTAATATCATGATTATCTTTTTCTTGATGATGTTTAAATGTTTTAACAGATACACGATCGAATCCTAGTGTCTTGCTTTTACAGATAGAGCAGCGACACTCTTTTCTAACAGTTGGTTTGCGAATAGGAGCCATTTTAAAATGAAAAGAAAGGTTTACAATAGTATTTAATAGTAAAGAAAGAGACTTCAAAGAAAACACACTTTTATTTTATTTGAGTTTGATGTTGCATTCTAATGCTACACAGCTGCCAGTAGCCAATAGAGTAGCTTAAAATACTATTCAAATACTTTACTCACAAAAGTGAGCTGAACTATAATTTTACCTATTCTGACTATCAGAACTTAGGTATACTTTACATATGCGAAATTGATCTGTTTTTGCAGTGTGAATATATGTCTTTTTTGGAATTCTTGACTTGGATCCAGCTTTGAACAGCGTTGTGAAACACAGAGAGCTACCATCAAACTTAGGCGATGTACAGCATAATGAAACAGATTCATTATTATCATAAATCGTATGACATTTACCACATTCAGTATACTTCTTAATTCCTTTTGTTAAACCACCAAATCCAGCCAGTTGCTTTAGTCCAGAAACACTCAATGGAAGATGGAATGAATCATTAAACAATTCTAATATCTTGTTGACAATCAAAATCAATATTACCACACCTTCATCAATGACATACAATGAGACAAATAAGGTAATTGCAACTATAATGAAACGGTAGACAAAATCTAATTTGGAAACACACTCAAAAAAAAACTATAATAAAAAAAAGAGGAATTAATTGGTATTTTTTTTTAACTTCTAAGATACTCATATTCTTTAAAATACTGTATGCACCTTCATTGTCACTCATTTCACCATCAGTTTCATATTCTTCATTGTTGAAATTGTTTCTTCCAGTGTATTCATTATCTTCAATACCAAACACAACATCAACCTCAGAAAGAGATAGGTCCCTGGTCAGAGTGGGTGTTTCTACTTCTTCATTGTCATTCGATTCTGCCAAAATATTAATATTAGGCCAAAATAGTAAGAAAACAAAAAAAAATAGTTTTCTTTATCAAAGATATAATCCATAGTATCTTCATTGCTCTCGATCTCAAATGTCTCTTCAATTATCTTGTTTTCTATAGTTAAATAAATTTATTCTATTAATTTTTGCTATACTAAAATAAATAAAAATATAATTATATTGCATGCAGATAATGTTCTGCATAAGCTCTACAATTTTTTTGGCTTTTTCATGACGCTTTAATGTCTGGGCAGATACAGTGTTATATCCTCCATATCAAACTCTGTATACTAAGCAGTAGCATTTGTATTTGTTGTCTGCATTGCAGTTGGGGGTCATTTTTCAAAATATATATATATGTGTTTAACAATAAAGAAAAGGAATGTAAATCAGTTTATTCTATGATTTATTTAGGTTTTGTGTATTTTCAAATGATACACAAGTTTCTTTAGCCAATTATATTGCATAAACTTCTTTTTGAATACTTTACTCACAAAAACTGACTGAGATGGAATTTTACTCTATTCTTTCACACATAATTAATTTAATTTCTCTGTATAAAAGAGGATCATTTTTGCAGTGAAGAGAGAAAAAGACAAACTCAAAAGAGAATATAGAATTAAAGATAATAAAATCAATAAGAGAAAAATAAGAGAAAAGCAGTGCTATTGATCAATCTCAATAGACTTGATTCAATATACTTGGATAATCAAACAAGTAAAATAGCAACAGCGTTAAATATTAAGAGAACTTGTTGTCAGAAAATAAGACAAAAAAATCAATGTTTATTAAATGCAAGTATTGCAATATTTATTGTTTTGCAATTGACTTGTTGAATAATTAAATAAATAAAATTATAAAAAAAATATAATAAAAGTTGTATAATTGACAATCTATTAAATGTGATTTGTTCTTTACTATCATTAAGTACAAATAAAATAATATAATTATTAAGTAATAATCATGAAGATAATTATACTTGTAAGAATATATAATAAAAATAATATTAATTCCAAGTTGATTCGTTCATGTGGTGATCCAGACACTCAGATGTTGGATTTATCACATATAAGAACATATTCATATTGGGATAGCGTAGTAGCTATCATCTTGTCAGTATAAAATTTATATAAATGATTAAGTAATCAACCCAATAATTATTACAGTTAGTACTGTAGATAATATCTTAAAGATTGTTAAGATAATTATATCATACTGCCGGGTAAACTGTGTCAGATCGATATGGAGCTAATTTAGTAGGAAGTTTTAAAGCTCTAGTATAAAAGAGAAAAGAATAGCTAAAAGCTAAAGAAATACGATTTATGACTTGATGTCATAATTGTAACACCAACACTAGTTAAGCAGTAAATACACTCTAATAACCAAATATAGTAAAGGAAGAAAGCCTTAAGAAACTAAGACGTAATGACAAGAGCAGATTGTGTTTTCTTATAAAAAATGATACTTTTTATTTATGAATAAAGACAACTTATATACAGTCTCAAAGTATTTCTATATGCCTCTATTATCAAATATTTTATTTTTCTATTGTTTTGTATCTGAAATATCATAGTTCAGTTAAATATAGTAAGAAAATAAGATATAATGTGTGGTTGTTTGAAGTTGTTGTTGACAGGATGATGCTTTTTCATTGTACTTATTGGTGTTTTGCTCTACAAATAAAAAAATTGCTTTCTATTCAGTCTTGGCTGCCGTTAGAAAATCAAAAAATAATAATAATAGAATATAATTTTTCTAGAATTACAAAGAATTCTGCAATGTCACCGCACTGCTGGACAACCAAAAATTTTATTGACAGCTGACCATTTTTACAATACTCTGTGTTAATACTGACGTATGATGTGTTAGGTTTGTTGTAGATTGTAACGGATCACTTGGCAAATAAAATACAATGATAATAGAATAGAACAGAAGACAGATACAGTAAAAGGCGGCAAGCAGCAATAGTTGATAGGTAAGAAAAGAGAGAACAACTAATAAAATCATTATTAAAATCAAAAGAGAGAAAAAGATATATGAAAAGAGAATGACAAAACAGAAAAGTAATAACCAACTAGGAAACCAAAACCAACAAACAATCTTTCTAAAATCAATGAACCGATATGTTATGTCACAAAATAGTATAGACCACAAAGAGAAGAAAACAAGAAAAAGATATTGAAACTGAACAAAGGATTGATTGATTTATTGAGTTGAGTTTGCTTCTCTTTTTATAGTTGACAAGATTTTAAGTTGATAATAGAAGTTTGGAAAAATAAAGATAGTAAAAATAGAATGATGAATAATCGATACAGCAAGAATAAAATATATAAATAAAAATATTGTAAAAATATAATAATAAAGGTACTGATGTTGCGCAGAGATGTCGGCAAGATGAATTATGTGTATTGTAAAAGAGAAATGTTATTAGCATGGGGGACCATGATTTTGAATGAGTACAATGTAGATGAATATGTTAACAAGAGAAAAAGAAAAAGTATTGTGTATAAAAAAAACAGGGAACGGAAATGAGCTTTTTCCTGTACACGGAAAAATTCTCCTCTTACCACCGAGGGCACAGCATCACATCAACAAACCGTGAACATCAGCCTCTCATAACCGGGATGACATGTCACAACAAACTGCCAGACAAACCCACCGAGCAGACAGACTTTCCAGTACCAGACACCACGACATGGTCAAATGCTGGACTTAGCTTTTACACACACAAATAATATTGTATTCTCTTCGATAGTATAGTGGTGAGTATCCCCGCCTGTCACGCGGGAGACCCGGGTTCAATTCCCGGTCGGAGAGGTTATATAAATCTTTTCATTTTGTCGTTTTCGATTTGGGTTGTTCTTCCAATTTGCTGTAAACATAGCCAAATTGGTCAAGCTTTAATAACACAGGAGTAAGCAAATAAGAGAGAGGATTAAAAAATGATTTTTATTATTTTCATTTGGGTTATCTTATATACTTTTTGAAATAATTATTCATCTTTGACTATACTCAAGTAGTGTTTAGTAATATTACAAATTAATATAAGCTGATTATAAATTTCTAAAATTACAAACTGATGAATAATTATTCTAATTCCTGCTTCTTTTGTAAGAACAAGTCACTAGAACTTATATCACCAAAATTAAGCACGACACAATGCTATAACACAGTCAATATTGATCAAACCTACTGGGAATCATACACAAAGATAAAAGAATAAAAAGAGAATAGAAAGATAGATAAGTTTTATTGAATAAAATAATATCTTCTTTTATATCTTTTCTAAACCTACTCAGTCATTAAAAATATCTGTTTTGGTTTGTATTCTACTTTTGTTAAGTCATGTGCTTTCTAATTCTTTTGTGAGCAAAAGGAAATCACTTCAGTTGTTGTTCTCAAAAGAGAATTCTGTGTAATCATCATCCTGATTGGCTGATAAGAATTTGGGCACGAGAAATTGTTGTGCCCAAATTGTTGTCTGCCTGTCAGAGTTGACATCGTAGATAGAAATTTTTAAGTCAGATATCCAATTAGTTATTCCTTTTAACATATGTTCTCAATGTTATATCAATTGGTTCCCCTTTTTGTTAACCAAGACATATTATATTGCCTTCCATAAATATAAAACCAATATGTTTTGAGTAAAATAATTAGATTAGATAGTTTCACTTTTAAGAAATCTGTATAAATACTCCAAGATTTATATCAATTAAAAGCATTCAATTCTCTATATTCCTATCTGTTCTTATTTATTCACAATGTCCTAGTTGGTGGAGATCTATTAGCAAAACTTATACAAGTTAAAATAATAGAAAAATATACCCAGTCGAGACTTGACATGCCAATCAGGATGTCAATTACATCGAATTCTTTTTTGAGAATTATGACCAAAGTGATTTCCTTTTGCTCACAAAAGAATTAGAAAACACATAACTTAACAAAAGTAGAATACAAACCAAAACAGATATTTTTAATGACTGAGTAGGTTTAGAAAAGATATAAAAGAAGATATTATTTTATTCAATAAAACTTATCTATCTTTCTATTCTCTTTTTATTCTTTTATCTTTGTTTATAATTCCCAGTGGGTTTGACCAATTTTGGCTGTGTTATAGCATTGGAAGAACAACTGAGATTGAAAACAACAATTGGTAGCTGAAGCAGATGTTTTCCAAATTTATGAACTCTGATGCTGAACAACAAGAGTTCACCAAGAGAGAATTAAGAGACTTTGAAGTCGAAGAGTATATACAAGCAAAACTACTCGCAGAATATACTACAAAAATGATTCTCTTTTATACAGAGAAATTAAATTAATTATGTGTGAAAGAATAGAGTAAAATTCCATCTCAGTCAGTTTTTGTGAGTAAAGTATTCAAAAAGAAGTTTATGCAATATAATTGGCTAAAGAAACTTGTGTATCATTTGAAAATACACAAAACCTAAATAAATCATAGAATAAACTGATTTACATTCCTTTTCTTTATTGTTAAACACATATATATATATTTTGAAAAATGACCCCCAACTGCAATGCAGACAACAAATACAAATGCTACTGCTTAGTATACAGAGTTTGATATGGAGGATATAACACTGTATCTGCCCAGACATTAAAGCGTCATGAAAAAGCCAAAAAAATTGTAGAGCTTATGCAGAACATTATCTGCATGCAATATAATTATATTTTTATTTATTTTAGTATAGCAAAAATTAATAGAATAAATTTATTTAACTATAGAAAACAAGATAATTGAAGAGACATTTGAGATCGAGAGCAATGAAGATACTATGGATTATATCTTTGATAAAGAAAACTATTTTTTTTTGTTTTCTTACTATTTTGGCCTAATATTAATATTTTGGCAGAATCGAATGACAATGAAGAAGTAGAAACACCCACTCTGACCAGGGACCTATCTCTTTCTGAGGTTGATGTTGTGTTTGGTATTGAAGATAATGAATACACTGGAAGAAACAATTTCAACAATGAAGAATATGAAACTGATGGTGAAATGAGTGACAATGAAGGTGCATACAGTATTTTAAAGAATATGAGTATCTTAGAAGTTAAAAAAAAATACCAATTAATTCCTCTTTTTTTTATTATAGTTTTTTTTTGAGTGTGTTTCCAAATTAGATTTTGTCTACCGTTTCATTATAGTTGCAATTACCTTATTTGTCTCATTGTATGTCATTGATGAAGGTGTGGTAATATTGATTTTGATTGTCAACAAGATATTAGAATTGTTTAATGATTCATTCCATCTTCCATTGAGTGTTTCTGGACTAAAGCAACTGGCTGGATTTGGTGGTTTAACAAAAGGAATTAAGAAGTATACTGAATGTGGTAAATGTCATACGATTTATGATAATAATGAATCTGTTTCATTATGCTGTACATCGCCTAAGTTTGATGGTAGCTCTCTGTGTTTCACAACGCTGTTCAAAGCTGGATCCAAGTCAAGAATTCCAAAAAAGACATATATTCACACTGCAAAAACAGATCAATTTCGCATATGTAAAGTATACCTAAGTTCTGATAGTCAGAATAGGTAAAATTATAGTTCAGCTCACTTTTGTGAGTAAAGTATTTGAATAGTATTTTAAGCTACTCTATTGGCTACTGGCAGCTGTGTAGCATTAGAATGCAACATCAAACTCAAATAAAATAAAAGTGTGTTTTCTTTGAAGTCTCTTTCTTTACTATTAAATACTATTGTAAACCTTTCTTTTCATTTTAAAATGGCTCCTATTCGCAAACCAACTGTTAGAAAAGAGTGTCGCTGCTCTATCTGTAAAAGCAAGACACTAGGATTCGATCGTGTATCTGTTAAAACATTTAAACATCATCAAGAAAAAGATAATCATGATATTACACATGTTCAAACGCATATGGTTAATACATTTGCTTTACTTTACTTTATTTTATTTTATTTTATATCATTTCCTTTTTTATTATTTTATATAATAATAATAATAATAATAATAATATTAACACTAATAATAATAAATGTGTAGCCCATGAAGACACATGCGATACAATTAGTAGTGTTGTTTCTGAGCCTGTAAATCAAGAGGAAGATAGTTTTGAATTTGAACAGGAAGATGTTGAAATGAATTCTGAGCTTAGAAGTAAGAAAACTTGTTTTATTACATTGATTTATTTGGGTCTAACATTCCGCTTTTGTAGACCTAAATGACACAAATGACATTTTGGATATACGGACAAGAAACCAACCTTTCTCTGAAACGGATTGCGTGTTTGGCCCTGAAGATAATGTCCAGTATACAAGTGACACTTACGAAGAAGAATATGAAGATGAATCTGATGTTGAGATGGACAATGATGAAGGTAGGTACACAGCTTTAGATAATATTATATCCTAGAAAATAGAGAGTTAATCAACGTTCTTTAAAAAAAATCAAATTAAAGATTCTTCATTGGAATCAATCTCGGAATTGAATTTGATTCACCAATTCATTGTTATTTCAGTTGCTCTTTTTGTCTCGCTATACGTCGTGGATGAAGGAGCTGTAAGCCTGATTGCCATAATCAACAAGATACTGCAGTTTTTGTTTGACCCATTCCGCCTTCCAGTGAGTGTTGCTGGCCTCAAACGTTTGGCCGGATTTGAAGCGTTGACAAGTGGTGTCAAGAAGTATGTTGCATGTAGCGAATGCCATGCCATATATGATAATGAAGCCGCCCCTTTGTGTTGTACATCACCCAATTTTGGTAAAAACTCCTTGTGTGGCAACAGCTTGTTTAAGTCTGGTCCCGGGTCAAAAGCACCCAAAAAGACATATGTATTCCACTCCGTCAAGAAAGCCCTAAAGACGTTTTTTCAACGCCCGGATTTTGAAAACAACATCAACTCATGGAACCACGGCCCGAAAATGGATAGCACTTTGTTTGACGTGTACGATGGTGTGATGTGGAATGAGATAGTAGACGTAGATGATATACCTTTTGTTGATACCGAGCGATCACTCATGCTCACGCTGAACATTGACTGGTTTCAGCCATTTGATGGTGTTACCTACTCCTGTGGTGCCATATATCTTGCAATCAATAATCTTCCACGCAGTGAGCGGTTCAAGAAGGAGAACGTGATTCTTGTTGGGTTAATGCCAGGGCCTAAAGAAGTAAGCACTTCTGACATAAATAACTATCTGAAACCGCTTGTGGATGAGTTGATGGAGCTGTACAAAGATATTAAGATTAAGACTCACCAATGTCCAAATGGTACTTCTATCCGAGCAGCCCTTCTCATGGTTGCCTGTGATATACCTGCTGCAAGGAAAGTATGTGGGTTCACATCCCATACAAGTACAAATGCATGCCACAAGTGTAAGCGTCAATTTTCGAGGCTGGCTGGAACGAGTTCCGTTGATTATTCTGGATTTGATTTCTCAAAGTGGCTCCTTTGCACTAAGAATGACAATTGTAAGGATGCAGAGGTCTGGAAAAATGCAACCGCGCATGCTGAGAGACATCGTCTCGAAGTTGCAAATGGTGTTTGCTGGTCCGAACTGCATCGTCTCGAGTACTTTGATGTTGTCCACTGCACAATCATTGATCCAATGCATAATCTTTTCTTAGGCACTGCCAAAAGAATGATGGAGAGATGGGTTGCAGATGGGATAATTGACGATAAAAAACTTGTTGCCATGCAAAAGGCAGTTGAGAAGATAGTGTTGCTGCCTGATTACATATCACTTGGGACAAAGATTGCAAAGGGGTTTCCCTATATGAAAGCTGATGAGTAGAAGTCTTGGTGTCTTGTATACTCTCCTGTTGTGCTTAAAGATGTTTTGCTGCTGAACAAGTTTAGGAATTGGATGCTTTTCATCAAGGCATGTCGAATCCTGGTCATGCCAAATATATGTGAAAGTGACATTGCAACAGCCCATAAGTATCTAGAGGATTTCTGCAAAAAGTATGAGATATTATACAGCCTAGATCTTCTCTCGCCAAACTTGCACCTACACCTCCACCTCCAAGATATAATTCGCAACTTTGGACCTGTTTATGATTATTGACTGTTCAGTTTTGAACAATACAACAGTATCCTAAAAAATATAAAAACTAACAGAAAAACTAGGTTTGAGTTGACATATATAAGACAATTTGTAGAAGACGTTCATAAGCAAGATATCATCAGCCATATGATGGAATTCACTGATATACATGCATACATGGATATCCTTCAAAAATTTATAAAACACTAAAAATAATCATCTTCATCAATTACCTCATACTCTCAATTCACATTCTTACTAGCCAACTTTATCAGCACCACACTGGACATATCAATATTGATGAAAGACAACGAACCACTCTTACCAACTACATTCCCATTAACAAAGAAACCAATGTCATCAATGTCAACAACATAGTACAATTGCTTCATCAAGCACTATCAGGTTGCCTACAATGATAGAAGGATCTCTAATTGCAAGAATGATATGACAAGTTCAGCATTTGTAAACGACCAGATTGAAGTCATAAAGTCCATTGAAATTTTAGGGCAAGTCTACAAGGGATGTAATGGCAATGGACGTGGTTCCTACATCCAGGCTTTGTTTCAAGAAAATCGCACAAATGCTTGCTATGATTACATTAGTGAGATTCAGTACATCTTTGTTCATTCATTCACACCCACAAAATCTTCCACAACACTCTACAATCACAATCACCAGCATATATTTGCTTTTGTCAAATAGTACAAAACAACATCTGACATCCATAGACAACCTAAAGGCATTGGAATATACTAAAATGACTTCTACTCTTTGGACTTTCAGTCTATTCTCCCAGTCTATCATATCCTTCTGCCAGTCGCAATTATTGACCACAAGACAACAAGAAATGTTAATAAGAAGATGGCAATTCTTTTGCTGCAAAAAATATATGCTTAATTCCTTTTATTTTTATTTATTATTTATTTTCTATACTTTATTATTTATTTATTTATTCTTTATCTTATTCTATTTTACTTTGTTTATTAATATATTTCTCTGTTTTTTATTTCTATTTAATATTATTTTTGCTTTTAGTCTGGTTATATATCAATCAAGCGCAAAAACTGTGTGTGTTTATGAAGCAAAAAAAATATTGTTTAATTGCCTATGGGGGAAGCAACGAAATCAGGTGACAAGGTACAATAAAATTCTTTTCCGCCAATTGAAGTCTAGGCATTTTTGCTCTCGACTTCAACATTGACTTGTTTGAACAAGTTTGTACTGCTACAAAGTCAACAATCTTCAAGAAATGGTTCAGTTATATTTATTTCATTAGATCTTTATTTTATTATTGGTGCATAACCAAAAATAGTTTACCTCATCGCTTCTTCAGCTGGGATGCTTAACTCTAAGCACATGTACAGTTGCAATGTTCATGTCTTTCACGTCAGACTCACCATCCAACATCACATCTTTCTGCAAGAGATGGAGGAATGACATCTCAGAAAGAAGTTCAACTTCAAGACCCATCTCATTGTCAATCAACCTCCAGTTCGTCAGGTATGTATGCGTATGATGGGCAAGAATCTAAAAAATGTAAAGTAAATATAATATATTTTTAATAAAACACTTTTTTTTATAATAATCTCTCTAATGCAATTATTAATGCGTGCATTGCGCCATCTTGTTGTATCTTGTTGCATTGTGGAGTGGGCAGAGCAATGATGTTGCTTGTAGTTGTTTCAGATTTTTGGTACCACCATGCTGGACCAGAAATTTCCCACACATGGTTGTGCAAGAACATACTGACAGAGATAATCAATGAGCGCAGCATTTTTGGGATGGTCAATGCACCCATTGACGTTCTATCTTCTTCTTGCCTCATTCTCAGCAATGACGGAAGAGTCTCTGGACTTCAGGTTCCTTTTCTAGACCTTTCCATTAATCAATGCCTAAATACTATTTATTAGATTATTATTCACTGTATTGGATCAAATATTTACCAAGATCACTGAGCTCATTTCCTGCTCAGACATGGCTGGCACAGGGGAAGGAGACAAAGAGAAAAGGGCTGGCAAGCTTGCTGGCATACTCTCCTGCCAAGCAGCAGCACCAATGTTTCTTTTCTGGCCATCCATCAGCTGGCCTACCTTGCAGTACATTGATGCAAGCTGTGTCATAATGTTTTTTAGATCCAAGGACATCTGATCCAGACACTTATCACTGCTGAAAACAGATACTGGCTGAGGGGCAATTCCACATCATCCAACACAGCCAGCTATAATCTGGGAAAGAGAGGTACTCTCTCCACTGGAGGTAGATCTACGTCTAGTGTTTCTCGGTATATGTAGGGCTATTTTCTATATGAAATATTTTAAAATCGTAATAAATATATTTTCTACATTATTACTATTGTTATTTTCTAGTGGGTTAAATATACTTATACATACAAAGTAAGATAAAAGTGTTGCAAGAGTAAGAAAGGGATTGCTATAAAATATCAAGTGAAAAATGTCTTTTCTTTTATCATTGACAGACTTTTTGCAACTGTGAAAATAATATGTGTTATTATTAGCTTTAGATATCTTGATTTAGCTCTTGGTGTATTTTTATTAGGTTAAATAATACTTGGGTCTTCTGTTTTAATCCTCTATTTCCTTTTTCCATTTTTTCTTCTTTTTTCTATTTTTTTTCTTTTTTTTTTTAGTTTTTTTCTTTTATTTCTTTTGTTTCTTTATTTTTCTTCCTCTTTTTTTCTTCCTTTTTCTTTCCTTTATTATTTTTGTTTTTATTGAAGCACTTGGGTAAGCAGTTAATATGCATTTCTAGTCCTGCTAATAATCTAATATTCTTAAGCATACTTCTTTACTTTTTAATAGTGTTATTTACATGGCTTGGTATATCTCTGTCTTAAACAAAAGATAAAAAAAATTGAAAAGGTTTTGACTCTTTGTTAATTTGCTTTTTATGTTTTAAAAGGTACATGTCTTGCATGCGATTGCAAATGACTACTACAGTAATGTGCTTGATAAGCATGAAAAAGATTATAATATTTGTTTTTACACTAACTTCATTTTTTGTTGATATTATTTGTTTGAATATATTAAAATATTAGTCTAGTTCTTCATTTTGTTTTCAAAATACTATCAATATCGTTTATCTTGGTAAGTTCATTTTTAATACTAATGTTTATTTTTATTATTTGAGACATTCTTTACAGTTATCTTTTATAAAGCAAATATGACGAGCACAATGTTACCACACTTGTTTATAAGTATGCATATTTTCTTAAAATAATAAAACACATCTTCTTTGATATTTTAATTAACTTTTTTTTTCTGTTTAGTCAATGATACAAGACATATTTCCAGCAGTCTGTTCAGCAGTATATCTAAAATACATTCTTAATCTTCATATTATTAGACAATAGCTTCTAGTATATATTTTACTCCTTTATCAAGAATAGCCTAACTAATCTTGTGATAACTGAGAGTTAGCTATAAAGTGTATTATTAAGCAATATAATTCAAGATTTTTTTTATAAAAATAAAAGCCCTGTTTGTAAGCTATTCTCCTGAAACTATTTATAAAGAAGTGTGAGAAGATTATTTTTCAGTCAATCAAATGAATGTATTATACTTTGTCCAAAATATAAGATCCAATAGAATTGCTTATATTTAGAGTAAAGACATGTTTCCTCTGTCATAAAGAAATGTTTCTATCACATCCAAAGACTTTTTACTTGTTTATAATAATTTTTTCCTCGAATTTCAAATAAAGAGCGCTAATTGGTTATAATAAAGTTCAAGTTCAAAAATAAAAAAATATGTAGAGATTTTGAATTTCAGACAATTGCACAAACAAAAATATGTATTTCAATTGGCTAATTGCTTGTAAATAAATAGATAAAAATAAGAAAAGCAGAAGAAAAAATGACTCTAGACTATTTTGGGTGGATTTTACGCAAAAATATTGTATTTGCGACTGAGAAAAAGAAAAAAAAGAAGTTTTGTGACAGAGAGAAAGTAAAAAAAAATATTTTCCGACAAAGCAAATGCAAAAAATAAAAGTGAGAGATTTTATTGGCTAAACATATCCAGAATTAACTAAAGACTTTTGTACTTGTAAATGCTAGCAGCCAAGGAACTTGTTGTGATAAAACATTTCTTGGAAATAGCTTCCTATTCCTTTATTTTATGTTTTTTTTTCCTTTTATATTTATTATAATGCCAAGTGCCCAGTAATTTGTACCGTATCTGACCTATATATACAAAAAATTACTTGCAAAGACCATGATTATGCGAACATTTTAAAATTTGTTGTGCTGTAAAAAAAATGCTAAGTAAAAAACCAAGAAAAAAATTGTCAAGTCGCCAAAAAAAAATAATAACAGATGTCACGAACTTGGCATTTTTTAGTGAAGGGGTACCATTTTCCTTTTATTCCATTTTTCTTTCTATTTATTTTTAGTTCAAGTGAGTACTAGTAAATATAATATGCACTTACTTTGTTTTTAGAAGTCATTTTGCTTTGATACAAGGTGTTTCTCTTAACAGACTACATTTATAAGTTTATAAAGACTTTACTAATGTTTTTTTTTCTAGATTACAGTCATTTTGAGAAACTCCATCATGTTCTGTAGCAAAGATAAATATCTTCATCTTGATAGTTTGAGTTTTATTATATTATTGACTCTTTTCTTCCTTTTGTTTTAGGTAAGTCATAGTGAAATCTAATCTACTACTTTCAAGAGGTAACTTTCAATGATTGAACATGTCATGTTTTATCATGAATACTAATCTTTGTCTTTATTTCAATATTTTTTATATTCTCCATCTGCTGTTGTTTCTTTACTTCCTCTGTTCCCACCACAGTATACTGCCGCTACTATTACACTTTTTGGTCTATTATTACATATATTTTTTTACAATGTTTACATTATTATTTATTATTGCAAGAGTATTTTTGCTCCCATTATATTGCTGCTTTTTTTTGAGCTTTTTTGTTTTCCATTTATTTCTCAAAAATAAAAATTTCAAAGTTTTCAGACTACATTTTACATAATACAGATTCTACAAATAAGAAATCTTTTTTGCATATTTTTCAGAATGGGAAGTGGGGAGTAGGAAGTTCTCATGGTTGCTATGTGTTCTATATTAGGAAGGTAAACCCTCAAGAAAAATTACTGTTTATAGAATAGTATGCTATTCTGAAAACAATATTAAGGTTTACAAGAAAAATCTTTGGATGTGATCTGTCTTCTGTGTTTCTAAAGAAGAAGAAAATGTAATGTTATACACAAAAAATGTTGTATTTTTTTTGCTTTAAGTTTCTGAGATGATATTATAAGGTAGGGCTATATGACTTTATGAGCAAAATTCTTTCCACAGAACGATTGTATTCATTATTTAGGATAAAGAATAAATGCATACTAGACTCAAGATTGTTTAAATTACAGGGGAATTTAATTCTTTATATCAGTATTCTGCTTTCTTTCACATAGGGTAAATCAAGCAATTTTTCTAGTAGATACATTATATAATGAATTTCTTGTGAAATTTGGGAAATACAAGAACTTTATTTTGTACTTTAACAGAATGTGAGTGCCAAAAAAAGAATTATGGTGCAAAGCATAGAGATTAGTATGAAACATTATTGATTATTAGCTAATTTCTAATATGTAATATAAACAATAGACTGAAACCTTTCACATCAATAATTTGATAGAGTCTTATCACAATCAGCAGAAGACTTTCTATCTTGAATGTGCAAGATCTCTTCAAGTAGATAGACTTATTTATCTTCTGGCCAAAGTCTTAACTCTTGACTATAGACAAGAAAATGTTAAGACGTTATATAGATTCCAATCAGTATGCCTTACACGTCAAGAAGAGCAAAAAAGACAAAATATGTACATGTTAGATAGTGATACTACTATGGACATGGTTGAGAAATTGAGTGATACTGCATTCACTTGCAGATCATTCACAGTTGATCTTGTTGTATACAACATTGAGCTACAGAATGACTTTCTGCAAAGCTGCACTTGCTCTGATACTTCCAAGCTTTGCAAGCATATCTTTCTTGTCAATTATATGCTAGATATCTTCTACTCTTTGTGTCACAGTCTTTTTTTCTCCTCTTCTGCTGTCCATGAAAAACCTTTAAAATCTCAAAACTGAGAGCAGCCACCTAGAGAGTCAAACTTTATTAGATCCGGGTCGAACAAAAAAAAAGCAGTATTAAAAAACACTTTGTATTTTTTTTCAAGATTATAAAAAAAACAATTCTTATATTTGATACCATGTTTTTTTCAAAAGATATAAGTGAAAGGCAATTGATCCAATATGTTTTGAATAGTTTTATTATTATTTCTATATATATATTTATTGTTTTCTATACTTCTGCTAGAAAGAAACACCAGATTCTTTCAAAGAAGACAAACAATCTTCCAAAATCTGGCTGGTGATGTCCATTCCAGAGGCAGTATCTCTTGCCACGGCATTTATTTTACCAACAGCTTGAGCAATCTTATTGATCAAGCTGCTATGTCTCTCAACAAACTCCAGAGCACGCAGTCTATTCTGTGCCAAAGAACTCTTCTCACTTTGGTCAACTATCTGAACTTCTCAATTCTGAGCAATAGGAAGCTCTTTGGTCAAAGAATATTGGAGTCCCATCATTCTGCAGACCAAAAATATATGCTTACACAAATGATTAGGGTCTGGACAAGAGCAGACTGACAGTACTTCCTCTTTGACCAAGAGCTTGTACCAAACAGAATTGTCAGTAAAGGAGCAACACTTGTAGATCTAAAATAAATAAATAAAAACCAACATTAATATTATTACATTTAACATATAAAAAGTTATATCTAATGACCAAATTATCTTCTATGATCTTAACCATGCCAAGAGCATCTTCATGAGCAATATCATACGCCTTCTTTTTCTTTGACTTCTCGGTGTATGTCAAAACAAGCTGTTTGAACCTATACATGATCTTGAGACCCTCTTGTCTATAGTCATGCTCAACTACTTGGGAGAGCATGTAAACCAACCAGTCAGTCCAGAAGTTTCTTGATCTACCCAAGTAGTAAGCTTTCAAGATGTGATAGTAGGATTCAATCAGATTGTCCGTGTAGAATCTGGCATCCTAATAATAATAACAAATAGTTCATAAACAATACATTGATATTTATAGTAGTTTTACTACTCTCCAGGCCATTGACCAAAGAGCACACTTAGCATGCTAGTGTGTGATAAAATATACCACAAATTTGACACGGCCAGCAAATCTAGAAACAAATTCCTCGTATTGCTAGTTAAATACCTCCTTACTTCTGGCATGTATCAGCAAGTTGAGAGCCACCCAAACTGCATTCTGTTCACACTTGCTTTTGTGGGTGGCTCCAGTAATTTTTACCTACAGTATTAGTTAAATATAAATAATTATTAGTAATATTTAAAAATAAGTGTATTAACATAATTTACATCTTTTTTGATGTGCATCTCCCATGCTCTCTTGATGTGCCAGTGGCATAAAAGGACCTGGACAGACTGGCCAAAGTCTTCCTCCAAGGCACCAATCTCAACCGGGCTGCAGTCGATCATCATGCACTTGACACACAAGCTACAGTTGGATTTAACCCAATTGAGCCATTGCAACAAGGTTGTGATAAACTCTGCGTTTGTCACAAAGAAGCAAACAGGAACACCCTTGTTGGTAACGTTGCTTCTCACAACTATCGTATACAGATACGAGTGCTTACTAGAATCTACCAAAGATTTACAGGTCTTGTGAGTTGAGTCAATGCACCACTCATCTGCTAACTCAAGAATCTGTTGAACAGTTAGTAATATTATATTTTAAATGATTATTAAATTAAATAATATACTTTCTTCTGCCAAGGAGAGATCCACGAAACAAGGTATGGTCCATTACCTTCATGGAAGACAATGTGAACCAAGTAGTTCTTTTCTTTTTCCAAAAACTCAATCCATTGCTCAACACTTGTCTCGTCAATGGCATTTCATCTTGAAAGGATGTTCAGACATGCATTTATGACATTTTGAACATCATGATAGTTAATGCGAAGAGACATTGGGAAGCTGGCAATATCAATACCTGCTTTGAGCTATAACACAATCAAGTTAGTAATTAAGATAAAAGAAAACAAATTTATTACCTCATCCAATCGCTGAGGGTTGATTCGAAGCAAAGTTTTGATTGCCTTCTAATCCATGTTGTTGTCTACATGGGAGACAATCCACTGCTTGACCTCAGATGGGTGTCTTGACCGTACCACCTCTTAAACATTTTCAGGCTGGTGGGTGGCATGCTGCCACAGGTAATCTACCTGGACACTCTCATCACGCAAGGTTTTCTTGGTAATCTTGGCTTTGCAGCCATTCTTGATGGATTCAGCTCAAACTCTCTTTGCTTTTGGCTTTCCAGCCATTTCTTGAACCTTGGCCTTCTTGAGGAATTCTTGGTGGTCACAGACAAAGTATACAGTCAATACAACGTCTCTAAGACTAGCTGTACTAGTAGCCTGAGAAAAGTGAGTGTTAGTTACATTCCAGTTGGAATGTCTCTTGGCCAAGTTTTCAAACCAAACAGTGAATTTCCCTTCATCAGCAAAAGTCTCAGTGACTTTGGGATTGGCCATCTCGTAATCTGGGGCAATTTGGATCATATGATCATCATTAATGTCATTGATGGATAATTGGGTGTAGTTGGAGTTGCTCATTATGAGTGCAAAGGTTTTGAATACAGGGAAAAGTATAAGTGAAGGAAAAGATGTACCTGAAATAATAAAAACAATAATAATAACAAAAAATGCTGAACCAAAAAAAATCCAGTGAGTCTAGGAAACATAAAACTGCTTCCAGTTTTGAGATTTTAAACTTATTGGCTGTCCATGAGATACTGTAGTTGTCAAAGTTGACATTGGCAATCAATCGGAATTCACAAGCAACCAATAATGGTTGACTTTTAGGGTAAAAGATCTTGTTATTGCCAATTGGTTTTTTGTATATGTTTTAGATGTTTAAGATGGTGAATATACTTGTAGAAGATATTACTGGATAACTAGCATCTAAGACATATTAACGTAGCTATTCTTTTAGCCAGAAATCAAGTATCAATTTGTATAAATAGTCAAGAAATATATTTAATAAAAAATATCTTTATTCTTATTTAAAAACTATTCATAAATTTGATGATTCCCAGTGGTATTGATTCTGCGACTTAGTTACAAGTGCCAGAAAAGAAATACCAGATCGAGACTTGACATAGTGTTGGACATTATTTTAATGAATCCGAGAAATCGGGATAATTGACCGCAGCAGTTCTGTGTGTCAAAGATACCTCATAGATAACGAACTGCAGTAATGTCTTATAAAGATTAACCACAGTAACATCTTCTGAGCATCAACCACAGTAAAAGAACTTCTCTTGTAATTAAATAGAGTATAATAGTTTACTGTGGATAATGCGCAGTATTAGTTTAGAAAACTATATAAGACAATTCAATTCCTATCAATAAAAAGTACCTTTTATCCTCTCTTCGATTTTACATATACTCTCCGATCTCCAGTGGGTTTGACCTTTTGACTTTGCTATAGTAAAAGGAAGATCATCCCAGATCAGGAACGACAATAGTTAACCATCTTCATATTTTATGGATTTATCAAAATAATGCCCAACAATCAAAAAAGAAAAGAAGTTTACAAAACATATAAGCCGCTCCCGGGTGGGCTCGAACCACCAACCTCCTGATTAACAGTCAGACGCGCTGCCAATTGCGCCACGGAAGCTTAGTTGCGTTTAAGACATGTGTAATAACATCTAAGTTAAAAACAAAAACCATATTCTACCAAGTTCAGACATTCTGGTGAAAACTCCTTTTTAATTTTTCTTCAAAATTTTAATTTTAATTTTAATTTCTTTCTTTCATTTTCATAAAATCGCCTTTTTTCAAAAACCAATTTTCTGAAAATTAAAATCTTTTCCCCTTTATTTTTCTCGAAATTGTTTTCTCCTTTTTTTTTGTTTTATTCCTGTGCATTAAATGTGACACTTCCACTAGAAAAATAACAATAAATATACACGGAGAAATTCAGGCATACTATTGTGAATATTCTGCATTTTATAGTGGGGTTTTGTCTATTTCCACTGGTACCAAAGCTGATCTGGTTACATGTGCACAAACCTGCTATATACAGGTGTAAAGTTTGATAGCACTAGTAAAGTTGGGGTCAATAGTAATTTTATATCTTTGTATATAATAGAGTATCAAGAAAACTTTATTTCAAACTTTGTTTTTTGCTGTAATATAATGTTTCCATGTTAAAGATTAATAATCAGAGACTATGTTGCATGTGTATTATTGAACTATTCCTAGGTGAATAGTTAGAACCATGGACATTTTATTGCTTATAAGCCAATCATTAACACTCTTTATTATGAGGTCATAGATTATCTGCTCCCCCAATTACTTGATATTCAATTATTATTGGTTTGAATTATAGTTTATTTTTGTATTTATTAGAAAAAATAGAATGATTCTAGGTTGATAGTATTGGAATAATATTATATGTCTCAGGCTGTCTTCACTGGTATCCTTCATATGACTCAAATCAAGCAGTGCTTTATATATAATGTTTGTAAACCCTCATATTCAGTAGTTATCTTTGGCACAGATACTATTTAACATAATAGAAGAGAAGTTAGATGTGTATTTAAATATTTACATGTTGTGAGTGATATATTAATTTGAGGATACATACAATATAATAACTGAAGAAGATAAAAATAAAACTTTGAGAGTTTGAGACATGATGTCAAGTATAATTTCTTTAACAATGAAAATAATATAGAGAAGTTAGTTTGAGTGAATTGGGTGACAGAATATGTAATGAACGTACCCAAAGAAAGTCAATTTATTTGTAGACCTAGATAGTACTTGTCAAGAGTTGATATAACCTTTAGTAAAAAACATATATTAATATACAATATAAATAATACTATCATACATATTAAGAGAATAAAAGAAGAAGTCTTACCATGTCAATGATGGCGCCAAGAGATAGAGGTTCTTGATTAATTGCGTGTTTGGCAGATGAATATTCATCTGTAATAAAAATTATATTCTGTCAAATAAATATTAAAAGTAAATAAAAAATAAAATATTACCATGTTGATGGTCTTGTTTAATTGTAGGAAATATTTTTGGCAATATTGTCTATAAAAAAGAAGGAGAAAAGTCAGAATAATTTTATAGGATGATGACATGAAGTATAGTTACTAACCTGGACTAATCCGGATAGCCATTGTAAAGAGAATACATCAGAAGGAAAAAACACGCTAGTATCTATGACAACTGAAATAATAATTATTATTTAGTTACATTTGAAGAAAAGAATTGCTTTAAAAAAAAAAGAAGATATGTTACCAAAAAAGTTTGCGAATATAGTAAAACACTAAGAGAGTATATATGTATCTATGACAATAGAATGTGTTAATCTTATTGTTGTCTGTACAGAAGTATTTTTAAGAAGAATGTATCTTACCAGTAAAATTCACAGTTATAACAAAAATCAGAAAGAGAAAGAAAAGAAAAGAAAATGGTTGATAAGGAAAAATATGGAAAAATATGAAAAAATAAAAAAAATAAGTAAATAAAATACAAAAAAAATAAAATAGGTAATTAAAAAAAATGAAACTAAAAAAAAATATCCAAAAAGCATAATAGATATAATGGTGTAGTATCTAAAAGCAATCTTTGTATCAATTTACACAGTGTGTGTACAAGAAGTTACTTTAGATATATTCTTTTAACCAAGATCAATCAAGACTAGACATCCTTTTTTTTGGAAATATAAATGTTGTGAATGAGTATTGATTACTGCTGAATCTGAGAGTAAGACTGAAGGATAAAATAATATCCTCAGCTATTCCAGTCAAAGGGATCTCCCTTTATGATATTATCTAATACACAGATCATCATACACATAATTGATTATTTATTATTATCACCATGACATGGGATATATAAATACATATACATTATATATATGGCATCATTATATTTCATCTACATATTTCTTTTATTATACAAATACTTAATTGAGAGACTACAACTACAACTATTTAATATTATGAAACATTACCCGAGTATCTGGGTCGGAATACTAAAATATTACTAATAGCATAAATGCTCTTCTTTACCAAAACCCTTGGACTGCTCTGACTGGAGAAGTATCATATCAATTGGTCTTTCCGGATCTTTCCAGAAGAACAATACTCCTGGAAGATGACTCATCGTGATAAAGATTACTTAAGCACACACTGAATTACAAATTAGAAAAACATATAAATATCAGTAGATAGTTCCGTGTAGAAAGAGAATCGAATTTTATCATTCTTTACTTTTCTTTTGAAATAAACAACCTACACAAGTTCTCACGAATTCTTTTGTCTATATTATATTTTGCTTTATTTTCTTCCCACAACAATAAATATATGTTTGTGCTACAATCTTACTCACCCTTGCTCATGCACTCTTACAATTATTCTTACTTATACTCACACTTTCTCTCTCTATCTCCCCATTTTTTCTGTCTTTTATTTTGGTATGTTTGATAATAAATATAATTGTAGTGTATAATAGAAATTTATTCAAAGAATATAAAAGCATTAACAGTTAATAAATATTTGAACTTATATTTTTAAATTAATAGAATATGTCTAACTAAAATGAAAGCTATCCCACTTGACGTACTCCTGCTGAGAGAGAGATGACAAACTCTCTTGCCATCTTGCATCGTGACATGACCACTGTCATGAAAGATGTTGCTGATATCAAAGCAAAAACTTCGAACACTCCTGTGTCTGCTGTTTTGCAGAGTCAGCCGATGGCTTTAGTGCATGCTGTTGCTCCTGTGAGCATGGAAATGAATGTAGCTGGTTCTCCCACCATGGCTTCTGATGCAAAATCAGTCAACAAAACAAAAGCCTATGTATGTATCATACATATAGTAAATTATATCTTTAATAACTTACCAAGATTCAATAGAGACTTCTTCGGGAGCATTTGTGGGACCCTAAGTTCAAGTCAAAACATTTGGCTGAAATTCAAGCCAACAATGGCAAGCCAAGGTGGAACACGGCTGTCAACTTCAACCAGTCGCCAAACACTGAGTTGACAGAAAACCTTGTTGCCTACTTGGAAAGAAATTTCGTAGGAGCAGGACTGAGAAAAAGTGATGTTTGTGACTTTGTCTACATGAACTTCACTAGCAGAAAGCGTGCAGCTAATAAGTCTCAGGCTAAAAAGAAGTCAGACAATGCTTGCAACAGAAGGAGTAGCCGCGAAAAGGAGGTAAGTTATACTTTATTTATTTATTATTTGAATAATTCTTATCTAAGTCATTAATTTAAAGCAAAAAAAGAAAACTAATTTAATATTTTCAACAGCACTTGAAACGTCGCAAAACAGTGTACCAGTCTAACAAGACTGCTATTGATGACGAGATGAAAAGAGATTGCTCTGGTCTCATTATAGAAGAGGCTATGTCTGTTGGTGAGTCAGATGATGGCACTTCGCCTCATGTTTCTTATAGTGGGCTTCGTCTTCGCCGTCCAGGTTGGAGAAGTGATGAGGTACTTAGTTTTTTGAAAGTTGAAATATTTAATTTAGTTAATATATTATATTGTATTATACTGAATAAAATATTAATGTCTTTAATATAGTACAACCACTTCATCACACTTGTTGACAACAAAGTGGTAGCTGATTTAGGCTTAAATAGCCATCAATTGCTGTCACGTGCTTTTGGCAAAACTGTTGAAGGACCAGTCCCTGATGCAATTGCGTCAAAGTTTCTTCAGTAAGCTCTTAGAAACGGGCCCTAAATAAAGTTTATATTTTTTGTTCTTTTTTTCTTCATTCATAACGTCTTATACTTTAAATAACCAAAAAAATGCATAAAGAAGCATTACTTGTTCTTTGTTTTTTATTTAATTATTCTCATAAAAAATCATAGTGCATAATTATTCATAAAGGCTTCAGGCATACTATTTTTTTGGCATAGGAATGACCAGCATTCTTTCTTCGTTCATATCAGTTACATCTACAGCAGTTGCAACCTCTAAGTGTATGCGATGTACAGGCAAGATGCTGTGATAATTATCAGCAGAGAATTCTGGCAAGCAGATTGCAATACCTTTATCTCTGTGTTCATTGTCATTTGTTGAATTATACCATCGGATGTATGCAAAAACATGCTGGTCTTGATGTAATGTTGATGCTTGGTGGTTTGGATGAGGAGGCAGAGTAAATGAATGTATAAAAAGATACTGAATTTGTCCGGTATATAGGCTTGAAGTTCGACCATTGCTGCTATGGAAGAAAGCTTGAACGAGTGACCCGCGCTTACCAGAACTGTTGTTCCCAATATATGTTTGGCCAAGGAGATCAATTGATTTCAATTTTGTGATTTGGTTATTTACAAAATATTGTGACAATCTGGCATTGTGATAAGAAATGAGATTGGGCATGACATAGGCGATTTTATAATAATCTAACAATTGAGGATAATCAATATCACTCATTGTTGATTCTTTTAAGGACTGTAAAGGAAAGGTGGATGGGGGGAGTGGTTCATTGCCTTTGATAGGTGCTGCTCGACTTAAGGATGAGTCTACAAATTGTTGCAGTTGGAAAGGTTGTTGGTTGGTTGGAGCATAAGTGACATAGGTCGTTATAGGTGCGGTCGTAGAGATAAGTTTTTCAAAAAAGAGGAAGGAATGGAATGAGGCTTGGACATAATAACGTATTTCGTACGTAATCAGCTTTGTATGCGTCTGCAGTGAATTTTGTCATATAGGTTGTTTCAAACCTGTCTTTTCTGTTTGTCTTGTTATTCTTTAACAAACTATTGTATCTCTCAAAACCAAAGAGCCAATAGCTATACACGGGTCCAAAATCATAAATTGTGTCATGAAGATGAAGGTGCAGGTGCATGTTGCAGGTGAGGACTTTTGGTTCATATGTATCTTCACAAGATTGACAGAATTCTTGTAGATATCTGTGTGCTTGGTCTATTTCAATGAAACTGATTGACAGCTTTACAAGTATACGGCATGCTTTTACATGGTGCATCCAACCATTGAACATATTGGACAGAAGAACTGGTTTTAGAAGCACAGGAGAGTACACAAATACCCAAGACTTCCACTCATCTGCTTTCATGTGGGAAAAGCCCTTTCCTATCTTTGTTTTCAGCTTGGTATAGTTGCTGGGCAATATCATCATTGCTGCAACTGTCTGCATTGCAAGCAGATCATTGTTTTTCATTTTTTTGATTTTTGTCCATGTTTCAATCATTCTCTTTGGTGTTCCCAGAAAAAGATTATGCATGGGATCAATGATCGTTCCACGTACTAGATCAAAGTATCCAAGGCGATACAACTGCAACCATTGAACACCATATTTGACCTCCAGCTGCTGCCTTTCTGAGGGTGTACTCGCACTATTCCACTCCTCAGCATGCACACGGTTTGCTCTATTGCTTCAATGGCGCCACTGGTCACAATCAAATCCACGGAAATTGACAGAAGAAGTGCCTGGTAGACGAGAAAATTGATTGTCGCATTTGTAACAGGCACATGTGCTGTTGTGCATGGTGAACCTACTAGTCTTTCTGGCAGCAGGTATATCACATGCAACCATCAATAAGGCTGCACGAACTGTTGCACCATCTGTTTGCTGGTAGGTGGGTATCTGTATTCCAAGATAGAGCTGTATCATTTCGTCAACTAATGGCTTGAGATAATGATTGATCTCTTCTGATTTTGGCTCTTTTGATCTGGGCATGAGGCCAACAAGGATTGTATTTTCTGCTTTAAACCGCTCACTTCTAGGCAGGTTGTTAATCACCAGGTAGATAGCACCGCAGGAATAGCTAGTACCATTGAAAGGCTGGAACCAGTCGATATTTAATGTCAGCATCAATGAACAAGGATGCTCAACAGAAATTTCATTATCATTGTCCTTCAAATCAGTCCAGGCTTCACCATCGTAAACATCACACAATGTATCAGTGATCTTGAATTCTTGGTTCCAGTGCATGATCTTTTGCTCGAAATTGGGACAGAGGAAAAGAATTTTAAGAGCATGTGTGAGAGACTGATATACATAAGACTTCTTTGCGACCAAACCACCAGACAATGATTGGACCATTAATTTGCAATTACAGGCGGTATGTGCACCAAGCTTTACAAAATCACAATTCAAAGGAGCAGGTACACTTTCCTCATACACCTTGTGGCAATCCTGACACACGACAAATCTCTTAATCCCTTTTGTCATGGCTGAGAATCCTGTCATGCTTTGGAGACCAGAAAGACTCATGGGCAATTGGAAATCCTGCTCGTAAATCGACAAGAGCTTGTTGATGAACTCGATCAAGACAACAGCGCCCTTATTGACCACATAGCGGGAAGCAAACATTACCACAAAAGTAGCAATGAACCTGTGTACTGGATTTTCAGGCATATTTGGGGTGGCAAAAGGATCTATTGTAAAAAAAAACAAAAAAAATTAACACCCCCCCTTTTTTCAGATTTTTATTTTTTGGTTCTTTTCCTTGAATTTTTTTTTGGGTCTTTTTTTTATTAGTTAATTAACATGGACTGACCTTCAGTATCGAATTCTTCGACTTCAATCTCAACAATATTCTCTTCATTGTCTTCACTTTCTTCACTGCCATTGCTTTCTTCGTCATTGTCATTTTCATCACCATCACTGCTTTTGCCATTCAACTCATTGCTAAAAGCAACCTCATCGTCAGAAATTGGGGCTCCTTCCCAAACAGGCGAGTTGGTCTGACCGCCTATTGCTTCCATGGGTCCGGTTTGTTGGTTTGATGTAGCTACATATAGAATTCAATTTTTAGTTTACTTCTCTTTTTATCACAATTAACGTTTCTTACTTTCAAAATCAATATCCATGAGATTTCTTTGAACAGATACATCTATTGAAATAAAACATTATATAAAATAACCAAAATAAAAATGAAAATGAAAAACAAAACATACTTCTTTCACTTCTTTCCATGTCTTCATATCTTGCTCTTTTATTGTGACGCTGGAGGGTTTGTGTAGAAACAAAGCTGTAGCCTTGCTGATTATCACTGCATTTTGTGCAATAGCACTTCTTATTATAAAGTTCAGAAGTAGAGGACATGGTGTTTATTTTGTTATAAATGTTAAGATAAAAGGGAAACAAGTGTTACATTTACTTTATTTGTTCAAACTTTATAATAATAATAATAATAATAAAATAACTTGGATAGTTATTATATCTAAGCCAATAGAAAATTACAACATGAATTTATGAACATGTACACCAAAAAACATGCTGAGATGAAAAATTGCTCTAAATATCCACATGTAACTATGAACCTTCACACAAGGGTATTCAGGGTCATTTCTCCAATGTTGCCTGCCATATTGTCCGCGCCTTTAAGAACAAAAAATTCTTGACGACAACAGAGGCAGCAAGACAACTGTGCAGTGAGGGATTCACTCTACAGCCTCCAGCAATAAGAACATTGTTAAAGGCATCTGGCTTCACCTGTGAACAGGAGCAACCTCTGAAGGTGAAATCAAACCCCGCTATTCATAAGAAGCACGTGGCATTTGCCAGAAACTACATCAATTATACAGTAGAAGACTGAAAGTTGATAATCTTCTCAGATGAGTCCAAGGTAAATCGCTTTGGATCTGATGGAAAGAGGTGGAAGTGGAGACTTAAGAAGACAGTCACCAAAAAAACTAAGAATGGTTTTCCACCTGTCCGTGCTGGAGGACACATCATGGTATAGAGATGTTTTTCATTCAAAGGGCATGGGAAGATAGTGAAGATCGTAGAGAACATGGACAGGCCAAAATATGTGGCTGTTCTTCAGCAGGGCCTTCTGGAAACATTGGAGGAGCAAAATCTGAGCAAGTCAGAAATCGAGTTTTTGCACAATAATACAAAATCCCACACAGCAGCCAATACAAAGAAGTAGTTGAAGAGAGAGGGGATTGAGATCATTAACTTTCCATCATATTTGCCTGACCTCAATCCCTTTGAAAACCTTTGGGCGTACAGTAAGAACAAGCTGTATAAGCATAAGAAGGCTGACAAGTCTATGAGAGAGCTGTGGGCCTGCTTCCAAAAAGAGTAGGATAGTATTCTGGAGAAGGTCTGCCAGAATCTTGTGACATCAATGCAAAGCAGAATGCATTGATGCATTTTGAAGAAAGGGTACCTTATAAATAAAAAATAAAAAAATTATCCCCTACTGAAGAAAATTGGACTCTCAATTCTTCAGAATAACTTGATATAACTTTTTATCAACAACATATTTATAGCTAAAATTATAGTATATTGTACTTTTTTAACAGACGTCTTAGTGTGTTCAAGAAGTATCTTAAAATAATAAGAATTGCAGAAGATACATGGAAAAGAATGAATTTTTTCTTAGCAGAGTCTGGCTTTCTAAGCACACTATAATATTAATCATATTTCAATTATATTTTTCAAAGGTACGGATATGTTATAAAGTTCTTCTCTCATTCTGTCTTTGAAGAGACTAGACTATTTGCTGTAGTTGATTGCTTGCGAGGCATATGTATATATGACGAATTGTTCTTCTCTGTTTGGGAAAGCTAAACAATTGGTGAGATGAAGGTGGTTGAGATTAAGTCCATCAAGGCAATGGCTGGTCTAGTCCATGATATTAATGATATGACTATTCGACATGTAGTGTGGAATTCTTCATGTCACTACCAGTAGTTTTTTTCTTGCCCTTTCCTTTCATTTATTTTACTTTCAAAGTATAAATATAACTATTCTAATTTTTAAATATAACTTGATATCAATATCAATACATCTCTTGATGATTTTAAATAAAGACATAGTCTAGTATAAAAAACTTATACATATCTATATTTAAAGTATAAGTAATCTATAGGCTGTGTTTGTTGTTTTATTTAACTTTTTGAATTGATATGCAGTCCAACATACAATCTTCATCTAAAATGGAATTCAGGATTAAAAATCAAAAAATATATTTGAATTAAATCTCAAAAAACAAAAAACAGCTCAAAGTGTACTATATTTGGTATGGTAGTAGAAGTTTAAACAAAGTTACCGTTTTTTTGACATTCTATATGGAGTTTACGGAGTTAGAAAGCCCAAGTAAAAGGTGAGATCATAACAATTTTTATATGCGGAGTTTGTTACAGCTTTTACTGCTTAAAGATGTAATAATTTTATCAGTAAAAGTGTAAAGGATTTGTCACGTGATTCTGTTTTTTCTTTAAACCTATTTTATTTCTTATGTATCAAAATAAATGGTCAAACCAGAAAATATAAACCAGTGATCTTGGAATATAGAACGCCTGTATAGTCCTAGACTTTAAGTAAATGACTGCTGTTTTATTGAAAGTTGCCATTTTTTGGAATTTATAACAACTTTTTTTCTACAGTATCCCTTACTTAGACCGAATTACTAAAGTCTCAGAAATCAACCAATAGGAAATCTTTATAATAAAAATATTTCTAATTTTGTCCTTTCCTAATTCTGTTAGTGAACCAATAAAGACTATGTAGTTTCTTTGAGTAACGCCAAAAAACCACAATATAAAAGTAATGAAACTTTTGTTTCTGTTGTATTTGACAGTCATATAGATTTTTATAAAACAAGTCCTATCAAAAACACAGCATTAATTTCAGGAGCCAATGATAAATACAGATCTGAGAGTAAAGAAGCCTTATAAAAAGGGTATAACTGTCATAGTTAGAAGACCATCTTAACCAATATCAATTTTATCTTTTTCTCTTTCAATAAAATCACTATACAAAGTCTCACTTTATTTCTTCGTCTCTTCTCTAAAATTAAACCCAAATATAACATTTTTTAAAGTGAATTCTTAAAAAAAAAGAAACAGAACAAAACAAAACAAAACAATACAATACAATACACTACAATACACTACACTGTACTACATCACAACACACTGTGCTATACTACATTATTCTATACTTTACCACTCTATTCTATTCTATACTACACTACTCTATTACACTCCATTCTTCTCAATACAATATACAAGCAACCACTCTCTATGACCAAAAAAACAATCAACCTGGTAGAACTCAATGATCCTCTGGGCAACATCAACAAGGCCACTGGAAACAAACTCAGATCAGAAGACACAGTCATAGAAGACCTGAACGAGGAGGATGCAGAGTATATCAGGCAGAAGGAAACAGCTGCCAATCAGCTAGACCAGCTAATGTCAAAAACGGAAATAAAAATCTTCCAACAAGTAGCTCTTCTGCACAAACAATTTGCAAATAATTGCAAGGCAGAAACGGTCAACAACACCCAGAAGACTATCAGCCAAATGAGCCAGCTCATAGAAAGACTCTCCCACTACTGTACCCGCAAGACCTTCCAAGGAAAGCACAAGAACCATGAAGGAGTGCACATCTCCTTCCGAGACATACCCAAGTTCCAGGTCCAAGGACATAGGGTAAGACACCCCAAGGAGCCCATATTCGAGTCCATCTCACACTACCTGTCAGCAATTCAGAAGGTACTATCAGCAGGAAGAACACCCATCAATCAAGCCTGGAAAACTTGGTTGCTGGTAGCGTTTGACCATGACCACAACACGTGGTATAAACAACACCTTCAAGGACAGGACCTGAACTGGGAGCAAGTAAAGTAAGTAATTTGAAACAAATTCGATTCGTTTGACTGCCAACTGAAGATGGGCTCACTCGTGTTCATCATGGTGATGGAACACGATGAGTCTGTCATGGGTTACAGCACGCGCTTTCAGAAGGCCTGCTGCAAAGGAAATGTCCAAGACAGCAACCATTTGGCAATGTGATTCCTGACTAGTCTCACCCCAGAACTTGTAGCCAATGTCAAGCTAGCCTGGTTTGCCTGCCACAATGACATGTCCCAATCAGTGGAACAATTCTTGTCTTTGGCCAACATCATGGCCATAGGTAACAAATGCTCAAGCAATGAAAGATTTGCATCGAGAAAAGTTTACAACCCCTATAAAAACATCACAAATTCAAACGACAATACAGAAAACAAATTCTTTTGCACCCATCATAAATATAACAACAGCCATAACACAAAAGACTGTAAAATGCTAACTAAAAACAAAGCTAGTCAACAAAACTGCCGCCACTGTGCCAAGCAGTAAAGTTACCAACGCAAATACCAAGAATACTTCAAATCAAAAGAATATCTCCAAAAACAAAATAACATCTCTATCAAAGCCATCAAGCAAAAGCACACAGATCCCATGGAGCACATAACCAGCACACTGGAAAGTGCATTCTTTGGTAAGAACATCGATAAGAATAATCTGGATAAAAAGAATCCATTCTCACTACAAACACCTATCATTCTACAGAATGAACATAAAGTAATTAGGCTCCTGGACACGAGGGCAGAGAGGTTCTGTCTGGACATTCATTTCTACAACAATTCAATAAAATTGCCAATTGTAAAAGTAGAAGGATATTTAGTGTTTGCGGGAAAGAATCAAACTTCTAAGCGTTTAGGACGAACTGTACTGTTAGAAGTGGCTTATGCCAATGGTCATAACTTCGCACATTCTTTCGAATTAATAGAAACAAATGAAAGTGATAATGACCTTATACTTGGACAAGATATAATGCCTAAACTAGGAATAACTTTAGCAGGTGTGGCCATAGATTGGAACACTAAAAGCTTAGATGAAAATAAATAAGATATAGAGGATGAAATAGAACCAAATAATTCACCATATGGTACATAAAAACAACAAGAAGCACTTAGAAAAGCAAATGCATCTTATATAGCAGAACATGAGGCTATCCCTAAGACTTCTTTTTGTATGGTACCAGATTCTATATTAGAACTGAAAACTGCTGAAGGTTCCCAAACTTATCAATGACAGTATCCTTTGCCATATGCACTTAGACCTGTCATTGATGAAGCCGTAAACAACTGGCTGGACGAAGGCACTATCATAAGAGCACCAATAAATACAGTCTGGAACAATCCAATGACCCTGGCGGATAAAAAAGATGCACACGGCAACAAAACAGGAAAAATACCCTGTCTGAATCCACGTCACATAAACAAGCTCTTGCCTGACAACAAATTCCCTCTGCCCCTGATAAGGGATATCTTTGACACCATAACCAGTGCAACAATATTCTCAACACTAGACTTGAAAAGTGCATTTCACCGTTTCATGATTTCAGAACGAGATCAACATAAGACAACATTCACTCATAATAATATGCAATACATATTCTAAGGGTGCCCTTTCAGACTTAAGCCACTCTTGTCTAAGTTTCAAAGAGTTATGTCACTCATCTTCAAGGATATGCCATTTATCCAAACATTTGTAGACGATATCGTAGTCTTCTCCCAAACCTTAGAAGAACACACAAAACATGTATGCCAAGCTATACAAACACTAACCAAAGTGAACCTCATCTTAAATCCACAAAAATGTCATTTTGCACAAAAATCTGTATATCTGCTAGGATTCTCTATTGATGAAAACGGGAGTAAAATTGACAAAAAAAAATTACGACCATTATGACATGTCCTACACCTAAAATAGGTCGCGACATACAAAGCTTTCTAGGTGTAATAAACTACTTCAGAGACTACATACCTATTGTAGCTCACACAACAGCATCACTAGATGCTTTACAATCAGCAAATAACATAGAACACATATGGAATGATAAACATCAACGCTGCTTCGAACAATTAAAAGCTATCATTCAAAGTAATCCTGTACTTCAACATCTGGACTTAACTCAACCATTCCTGGTAGTGACTGACGCCTCCAACCTTGGAATCGGCACCGTGCTATATCAAATAATCAATGAACACAAACATTATATTGGGTTTATGGCTAGGTCTTTGTTCAAATCTGAACGCAATTACTCCACTACAAAAAGAGACTACTTGCCGTAGTCTTTGCATTGAAGAAGTTTCACAAGTTCTTGTGGGGCAACCATTACACCTTGTACACGGATCATAAAGTCTTGACATACATACACACACAGAAAATTGCTAACCCTATGATGATACAATGGCTCGATACCATCTTGGATTACAGCTTCGATGTACTTCACATACCAGGTGTATTAAACAAATTGCCTGATTCACTTTCACGTCTTTTCTCCATAGAAAACACGCTGGAGGGGGGTAATGCAGCAAATAAGCCATCAAAAGAGCACAAAGAGCTCATACAAAACCCCAAGTTCAAACACATAGCATATGAAACAAAAAATAAAAACGAAAAAATATTCAAAGTACAGATACAAAAAGTATCGTTAGACTATATGATACCACCTGAAGAAGAAAGAAAAAAGATCATACAAGATGCACATCTCTTCAGACATTTTGGTGCAGAATATATAGTCGAACTCACCCATAAAAATGGGATGCATTGGACCAACATAATAAATGATGGACTAGAGTGTGTAAAAGAATGTACTGCATGCCAAAAGTAGAATATAATGAGAAAAGAGTATAATCCACTCAGACCTATACATGCATACATACCAGGAGACCATTGGGCTATTGACTTAGCAGGACCATTAATGCCTACTGATAACAGTAATGTTATTATATTTTTAGAAAAGAAAGAAAAACAAAGTGCAGATAAGAAGTACAGTGAGACTTTGTTTATTGATGAAAAGAGAGATGATCTTCTATTGCTATTTGCTATGTGAGTTTATATAGACATTGCATGTGTATTTAGGATAATGATATGAGTATATCATGTGATGTCTGTTTTCTTATATCATAGATAATATATTGTTAAGTTATTACCCACGCTCTTGTTTGAGTGATTAGTGATGTTGGCTAAGGTGTGTGACCTTGTTATCAATATATTCTTTATTTAATGATAGTGTAAGAAATAATGTATAATTGATACTGGTCGCTTATTCAATATGTCTTTGTCTTATTGTCTGTGCGCTCTATTTGAATCTATGATTATGTTGGATACAACAAATGTGCATCTCTTCGTCATGGTCAACGTCTGCACTCGATTCTGCCTACTAAGAGCTATCCCAAACAAACAATTGGATACCATCATAAAAACTCTGGTACAAATATTCGGAGACTTTGGTTTTCCCAGAATCATTCAATATGACAATGGTACAGAATTCAAGAATGAGTTAATGGCGAAGCTCACAGAAAACTCAGGAATAGATCATAGGCTAGTAACGCCATATCATTCTAGAGCAAACGACGTAGCAGAAAGATGGGTACAAACATCTATCCAAGTCATCAGAAAAGTAGTCAAAGGAACTGGAAAAGATTGGGATCATTATCTACCAGCATCACAATTTGCGATCAACAACAAAATATCAAAAAGGCTAAACACAGCACCTTTCTCACTCATGTTCACAAGAAATATAAACGCCTTCAAGGATTACCGCAAGCCTGGAACAAGACCAGCAAGTCCAATGACACATGATGAATTGTTACAACGAATCGACCACATGGCGGAAGTAGTATTCCCCGCAATAAAAGAATGAGCAGAACTCATCACAAAAACGCAAAAAGAAAAGTTTGACAAAACACACACAATGGCAAAAATAAATAACGGCAGTTACATGATGATAAGACTACCAACAAGAAGTAGCAAGCTAGCACCCGCCTACCAAGGTCCATACACAGTCATAAGACAAACCCAAGGAGGATCTTATGTACTTCAGGACGAAACCAGGGCTTTAATGCCTAGAGACTATCCACCATCAGATCTGAAACTCATATCAGTTGATGGAACCGCACTCGCTGATGAACTTGTCAAAGTACAAGCTATCATCAATTACAGAGGCAAAATAGGAAGACGAGAATACCTTGTATGATGGAAAGGACAAGGCCCAGAAGAAGACGAATGGCTCATGCCAGATAAATTCACAGGCTTAAAAACAATCCAAGATTACTGGACACGACGAGAAAAACAAGAACTATCAACAACAGACAAAATTGTACTGATGGCTCCCAAAAGAGGACGACCACCTAAAAAGGTATCCAATAACGAAGCAGCCAACGGCGCTCCCAAACGCAGAGGCCGACCACCTAAACAACCCAAATGGGTAGGTTGTCCACCAAAAAATACACAGCCAATCACTCCAGTCATGCAAAAGCGTAAGGCACCCAGCAGACCTGCAAATACAATGCAGCGTAACAAACGTACTTGCATCTAAATACTATTGTCTGACTATCGTCAATCTGGAGGGGGGTAATGTTATATTTGACAGTCATATAAATTTTCGTAAATCTTAGGGGACAGGGGGTTTTTGGATGATGGGGACAGGGTGTTACACAGGCTTATAGTGAGTAGTCCGGCAGATAATTAGAGGCATGACTACTTTTAACTTGTCCGGCAGTCATCCATCGCTTCTGTGTGTAACATCCTGTTCCCCAAAAAACAGTCACCCCCTGTCCCCATCCAGTATAATTACTTGTCTTTATTCACTAAGAAAAATCATGCAAAAGTGGAAGAACATTTGTCTGTAACTTTTCATTTTCATTTTTATTTATTTTTTAAAAATTCATAACTAGTTCAAAAAAATAGATAGAAATATGAGAGTAAAATGGTTGGTTTTGTTAATTTTTTCGGCATAAATTGAGTATTTGTTTGTTTTGTAATATTTTTTGAATCACGTTTAAAGAGTGAATTACAAAAGTTCTGTACATTTCATTTGTGAAAGATTGAACAAAAAAACAATAATTTGAAAATATTAGTAAAAATCACTTACAAATGCTTTATATCAATAGAAGATAGTAAAAAAACGTTTCAGTAAAAGTTTTAGATCATACTATTATATAGAAAATGTATTTATTAGTAAAAACAATCTATTTCTAATAGTTAAAAACGTGAAAAAAAGTGTATATTTTGCTTGTTTATTCAACCAAAACATAATCAATTAACTTCAAATTTTGGACATAAAGATGTACATATTCTTTCAGAAACACGGCAAAATATCCAAGCTTTAGCATTTGAATTAAGACAGAAATCTATCAAAAGCTATGTGTCGTTTTTGTTTTACATCTTTTACGGTAAAATCCACGTCTGTGATTGGATAAAGATCTTAATCAGATTGCTTATAAATGCACAGACTTTGTACTCCAAAAAATAAAGGCCAATTATATGGTCTTCCAATTAGTTGGATGCCAATAATATTCGTATCTGAGTTTTACATGTAACATTAAAATTAAAGACAGACTGGGTGCAATTGTGTTTGTTAAAAAATTAAAGAAAAAAATAAGAGTAAAGTATATTAAAAGATAGAAAGATAGATAAGTTATATATGTGTGAGGTCAATAATATCAGAAGAATTTACAGGGGAATTTGTAAGAGAGTTAGTGATAGTAGTGGAAGGCAAAAAATAAGATTTGTTCTTTGGGAACTGACCCCAATGATTCCAACTTGTAGAAAAACAGTCAGTGATACTCCCTCTACGGATAGCATCAAAATACAGCGCATTTACCTCAGGCCAGAACCGATGTACATGAGGCTTAACTTTGATTGTTGTCCAGTGGCACCCATGTACATGGTGCAAGACCATCGGCAATGGCTTTCTTTTGAAAAGCTTCCGATCATGGAGGGGAAGGAAAGTTATGGGCAAGACGCTCCGATCGTCTGAGTACACACAAACAGGCTCGTTATAGGTGTCAGCTATTATTTGAGCACAGTCTGGCGCAGAGAACCACATGGAGGAAGGACAGTAAGGGATGTTTTTACCAATGGCTGGGTCAATGTCAGAGCCAAATGCAATGACCTTTGTTACCTCCGCAATATCCATTCCAAAGTTTTGCTCATAGAGCTCACTGTGGGTAGTAATCGTGGCTAACATTTTCTTCTTTACCAAAGGGAACTGATCCTCTCCACCCTCTTTCAGGCGTGCAAATACACGGAAACCGCACCAACCATCGGACTTGGGGTTAAACGTCAACGAAATGGCGGTTTGGTCGATTAGATCTGGCAGAGCAAAGTCGTGCACATTTTTCTTCTGTTTTTTTTGGACTGGGAATATCGTACCAGTAGTCATCTGGGAGGTGGTTAGGTCTTTTAATTCCAGAGGAATACTTTTCAGCTGAGAAGAAACAAAAAACAATGTAAGATTTAGCATTTACTTTCAGTAAAATATTATATCAATTACCTTCTTCGAGAGTCTCTTGCTTTTCTGCGAATTGGGTTTCTTTTTTGATATTTTGAATGGCTGGAAATAGTAAACATTAGATATTATATTGTAACTTTGTAAAAGTCAATAATACATACTTTTTTTAAGAGGTTTCTCCTCTAAATGTTCCTTTATTACATCTATAATTCCTTCTTTTAAGATTTTTCTAATTTCACTCTAGATAAACAAGACAGAATATGTATTAGATTGTGTTATTGTGTGTATGTTATCTCATTACCTTAATTTGTTTTGGACAAGGAGATGCCTGTGCTTGTGACGGACAAAATCCTTTGGGAGAGCAGTTTTTCTTTTGACGTGCTTAGGTCTTCCAGAAGCTTTGTCCTCACTTGACAAAGGAAAGGCAACCTCTGGGTGATCCTTTAAATTATTGGCATTATTTATAAGATCGTTCACCTTTGCCATCAGGTTACAGATTTGTTGTTCTCCTTCACATCGTCTAAACAACTGCTCAAGTTGTGCAATTGATTTCATCCACGGAACTTGTTTCTCAATTGCCACAGTACTTATACTTTCCAATTTTTCTACTTCCTTATTATGGAATGGGAGGGCAGAAGAGAGAACCCATCTTTCAGGAATGTCTGCAAGTGTGAGGGCCCGATTTCGTGGCAGAGTATGGCGGCAAGGGAGACCAAACATAGTCTTTACTCTGCAGTAACAAGCTTCACTAATGATAATCTCTTCAAGAAGTTCAGCGCGAATCGTGAACAATGCCATTCTGGAAACCGAGTGGACCAATCCATGAAGGCGCTCATCAGTAAGGATTCTTGCATTGGTCACCAACTCCTCGTCCAGTCTACGATCTTGGTAGTCACCCTCAAATTGCAAGAGATATGAGCATATTTGCTCAAACGAGGAGTTCAAAGACTGGAGAGCCGAGATACTCCTTTTCAGGGCATGATGGCCACTCTCAACACACTGTGTTATCACACAGTCAAAGTGCTTTAGCTTATTGGTGAGGTAGCCAGCCCACTTCTCTTTGCAGCTCATCCACTCCTTCTCAAAGTACTTCTCAAAACTTTTCACTGCACCGTTTTTACCATCTTCAGACAGTCCTTCAGTCTTGAGATCTTCACAAGAAGCCAACGATCTGAAAAGTTCTCTTTTCTGCATAAACTTGCCAGCATCGTCTCCAAATATCATGCTGTTTATCAAGTTGGTGCACGTATTCCTGTCTTCGCCTGCCTTCATAGTCTTCTTTGCTATCTTGGCAATGTTATTTATCATGTACCAACCACAGAGAAGCTTTTTGTTCACGGGGAACTCGGAATCAAGGGCATTCATCAATGCCTTGCACTTGTCTGTAACAAAGATAGGGCTGTCCTCGATTCCCTCCAACACAATTGATTTCAGCGATCTTGCGAACCAAGCATAGCTTGTCTCTGTCTCATCAGAAACCTACGCAAATGCAACAGGAAAGCTCTTCAATCTTTCTTCACCAAGGTTGCTGACACCCTCTACACATACTAAAGGCATCTTCGCGCAGTTTGTCTTGTAAGTGGCATCCACAATAAGAACCTCAGGAAAACGACGGGCTCTTTTTATCATCGTCTCATTTGTAAAGAAAATGTGCGTGAGGCTTTTTCTCTCATTGAATTGATAAAGGACGGAAAATCCCTTTGCTTCCATAGTTCGTATGAGCCCAGTAGCACCATGAATTGATGATTAACCACCACGAGAAGAGTTATACTTCAGGTTGTTGATATCGCTAATTCTCAGCTTTCTCATTCCCGTGACCTTATCTCTTGTAGCTTTCTGAATATCGCGAGTCTTGGCATGGTTTTCTAGCATTGTCTTTGCGATAATTGCATCTTCCGAAGTCAGGAGAGACATTCTTCCCTGGTGAGAAGACGCCAAGTTGTTTGGGGTGATGGGGTGGTTATGACAATGTTCATTGTCACCGCGGACAGGCAAGGGAAGGTATCTCTGACTCTTATTTTTAAAAGAAAATATCAATAGGAAGGGGCATCCAGTGAGGGAAGAGTTAGGGGCCTTCTTTCTTTTATCCTCGCTGATGTTACGCTTATCACGATAGGCACCAGCCTTTGAACAAGCAAGGTGAAGTGTTAGAAACTTTCCATCCTTAATTTTGATGGTAAAGTTGTTAGAAAGAGCGTACTCGTTTACGGCCTCCAAAACGCTTTGTTTGTTGGGATAACCATTCTCTGGGAATGAGAGGGTTGTTTTAACAGAATATATCTTGTCAATGGGGGTACCGAAGTTGGTGTTCGTATTTAATAAAAGAGCACTGTAGTTATATAAGTATTTTTATTGATTCATGTACGCAATGTATGCAATGTATGCAATGTACACAACGTAAAAAAGACATCATATCTCGTTATTTGGAAATATTATTTTTTATTCTTACAACTAAATGTTAATGACTTTAAAAAAGGGGGTGTTTTTATTTTTCCTGGGAAATTGGAATGATCTAAAGATGGGGACAGGGGTATGCTTATAACTATGGAGCAAGGTGTGCTTATAAAGGATGGGGACGGGGGGTTCTTCAAGACAGGTTATAGCCGGGCCTCAGACCAGAAGTCACCTTAAATTGTGCGGTGCAGTTACCCCCCGTCCCCATAGCCAAAAACTCCCCGTCCCCTAAGATCGCTGATAAATTTTTATAAAACAAGTCCTATCAAAAACACAGCATTAATCTCAGGAGCCAATGATAAATACGGACCTGAGAGTAAAGAAGCCTTATAAAAAGGGCGTAACTGTCATAGTTAGAATACCATCTTAACCGATACCAACTTTATCTTTTTCTCTTTCAATAAAACCACTATACAAAGTCTCACTTTATTTCTTCGTCTCTTCTCTAAAATTAAACCCAAATATAACAGTTTCAATCCACAATACGTTCCTAGCTGATAACAATAAATCTAAGGTATCAATACATTAACCTACTGAAGATGTTCTTGGTTAAGCTTATATTTTGATATAAGTTTTTATCAACAGAATTCAGTATGAACAATCAAAACAACAGCTCTTCTTCTACAAACAATGAATACATTCAGCAAATGATTGACATCAGCACTGCTATGCACCGCAGCAACTAAGTAATTATGGCGAAAAGTATGGGAGCTCGACCATTAACACCCTCAAGGTCTATACCGCTAAGCAGGAGGAATGGAAAGTAAGTATCAAACGTTCGTTGTACATTATTAGAAGATATTTGTTTAAATGATCGAGACTAACAGACTATAAACTAGAACTGGTTCATAGAGAAAAAAATTCAGGATGGATACACTGTATCGGACGAAAAACTCAGTTTCTTCTTGATGGAGTATGTGTCCAATCGCGGCAACAAATGTCGCAAGAATGATGATGATACATCTGTTCCTTTAGGACTTGAGTCAGTCAAAGGTTACGTGAAGGCTATAGCCGACATTTGCAATACACAAAAGGCACTCGGATGGAACAATAATGGCTTAGCAAGAGGGCCATTAGTCAAAGCTTTTATGGATACATTGGAGAAAGAGAAAGTAAAACATAAAAGAACAAACTTTGAAGATTGAGACAAAAACACCTTGAAAGATGGATATTCTAAAGAAGAATTAAAGAAAGTGAGCAGCTTTTTTTTCACCAACAAAAGCAATTCTCGTGGTTTGAAAAACATACTTTGCTTTCTTATAAGCCATGCGATGTTATGCCGTAGTCAAACTGCTCTTGGTATGGAGTTTGCTGATCTCTTTTCTCTGGAAGTGTAAAATCAAGGACTAACCCAGTGTATTGCTTTGGTGGCTACTATATCGCATGGAAAAACAAATCAGCATGGCAAGATTGAGTACGGTTCGCCATTGAGACATCATGCTGTTGAAGTTTGCTCCGTTGGTGCACTAGCCATAGATTTATTCTCTCGCTTTCATTTCGAAAACGAAGAATTCCCGAACTTTGAGAAGAGAGAGAACTGGTACAAGACCGTAGTATTCAAAGGCGATGATCCATTCAAGACAATTCGGTACAAAGCACAGCATTCCACATATGTTGAAGTCTTCAAGAAATTAGGCATTCATACTTCAAAGGTAACTCATGCCAACAGAAAAAGTGCCTTGAATATGATTGCCCAAGAAAACATTTCTGGCGACCAGCAAAGAATGGTCGGGCGTTGAGGTACTGACAGAATGGTTGGTTGCTATGTATCAAGTCTTCCGGTAGAAGCAATGAAGAGACTTGCAGGGTTCAATGCCCAGCAGAATTCAAACTATTTTTTACCCCGGGCAGTAGTAAAAACTTCTGCAGCTCTCCAACAATTGGTTTTCAAGGATATTGAGATGTGGAAAGAGCTCTTTAACAGCAATACAGAAATACAAGAGGACATTGCTGGGCCCAACTTTCTTAACCTGCTGGCAAACCTACGCACAGTGTTTCTCCAGGTAATTTGTTAAAACAAAAATATAAAGCCCAAAAACTCATTCACATTTTTATTCTTATTCCCAGGATTCTGTTGTTTTGAAGGATGTACCCACGGTATTATCTTTGGAATTGTGAGATTTTCGATACGGATTTGTACAAAGATTTTGAAGTAGAGGTGCTTGGATCGATTGAGCAAGAAGAAGAAGCATTTTTGTCAAACCGTAGAATGCAAATGCAAATGCCCGAGCTGGTCTCAACTATACAAGCAGGATTTGAGGCTATGACCGCTGCTATGATGTCCTCCAGAGCTGCAAATGCACCAGATATCCGTAAACTCCAAGACAAGATGTCCGAATTTCTTGCAATGGGTAGCAACCTTTTCTCCTCCAACTCAACTACCGCAACCACCGCAGCCACCTCTTCAGCTCTCCTTTCTACAATAACAACAGCAGCACACATCCAGCTAGGTTCAACTGATCAACAATTCTATAAGATGAATAGAACGTTGGTAAGGGTAACAGACGTATGGCGAGAGTACTCTGTTGGAATCGGAGGAAACCTATCGGTAAGATCGATGGAGCAAATGTACGGGACTGTTTGGAGGAAAGAGAAAAAGGATTGCCACTTCTTTAGCAGAAGAAAGGAGCTCTACATGGCAATTCAAAGAAAGGCTGAAGAAGAGAGAACGTGTTGTGAGGAAGCTGCAAGAAGGCTAGAAGAGTGGAGAGGTCAACTAAAGACGTCTTTAGATAAATTTAGAATACATTTAAAATAAACAAAAAAATCTAATCTTTACATTAAAGAAAAAATTCATATAAGCACTTCTATTTTATACCGTATTTTCTAAAGCTATTTAATGGCCTATGTATTTCAATAAAGTCAATCTATTGCACTGCTCTCAACACTCTGATTTTCTATGCAAAAAGATAAAAACCTATCAAAAATGGTATAAAAATCGCTCTCAAAAATACACAAAACTCAATTTTTTTCCAATTTAAGTATTTCTCCCCCATTCTTAATCCCGCAAAAATCATGAAGTCTGAAACCCAGATAGGCTGTAAACTTCCAGAAATACCCACTCATGCTATTTCTTTAAAAAAGAGTGACTGCCAGTTTTTTGTGGGAACTAAAGGCACATACTGTATCTAGATTTAAAGTAAAAACTGTATTTTCGCTCTATATTTTGTGAAAATATTCAATGCGTGTGTGTGTGCATATTTGTTTTCGAGACGCGAATTGCTATAATTATTATTATTTCTTGGTTTGAACTTATTTCATTTCACATTGCACATGTCTATCTTCGTAACCGTTGGTTCTACCGGTTTCGATGACTTGGTAGAAGCTGCAACTTCAGCCTCATTTCTTTCATTTCTTGAAATGCGAGGATATCGTAATCTTGTAATACAATATGGATCTTCAGAGACAATATATTCTCGGACCACATTCCCCACTATAAGCAATATTACTGTTACAGGATATTCATACAAATCATCTATTGAAGAGGACATGAAACAGGCTGATATTATTGTCAGTCATGCCGGTAAGTTCAGTTTTTTCTTGTTTCCTTTTTTTTTGCTTAAAAAATGGCTGCTGTAATGAATTATGTCCACCCAAAACAAATTACAAAGGCTCTGGAACTCTCCTACAGGCACTTCGGTTAGATAACAAAAAGGTTGTTGTGGTTGTCAATACTTCATTGATGGACAACCACCAGCGTGAAATAGCAGATGTTATGGAGAGTAAGAACTACGTCGTAGCCACAAATCCAAGGTAAGGATAAAATTAGGAGTACGATTATTATTAGAAATAAAAAGAAATAAGGAATCTGTGATATAGTTTTTTTTTGGTGTCTAACACTAAAGCAAACTACAGTAACCTCTCAGACGCTGTTGAAACCATCCAGAAAAGATCAATTGATAAGTTTCCACACGCAAATATAAATCATTTTGGTGATCTTTTGGATGAATTTATGGGATTCCTGTAAAACATGATTGACTGATCTGTCAATCGAAAATCCTACGTAGTAGTAAAGCAACATTGTGCCATTTTCTTTTGGACAATATTTACTCTTGTAAATACTACTACCACCACTTTTAATGCTAATAGCAACAATGTCTGCTTTACTCCCTACCATGATAGTAACTTGTAATATATGCTTTATTAAGCATGTCTAGTTGTAAAAAATAATCCAAGAGAATCTCGTTCCTATTTTTTTCTGTTTATTATTTTGTCGATAAATACAGTGAACCCGTTCTATGAATAATGTTTTGTGGATGGTGTTTTTCTTTCTTTCTTTCTCTTTGTCTTAAACAATGGGTTCTGGTGCTTTGTATGCGTAGTCCCATCCGTGGGGTGATGGTGTTTCTGAAGGAATCTTTGCTTGCTTAGGGTAGGTTGTGTGTCGGCTTTTGACAAGGGCGCCCTTGAACAGACGATCGCTTGTTTTTTCAAGTTCGGTCATGGCCAAGGACATTGCCCGGAATTGACGTTCAAGTGTTCGTTGTCTCTGTTCTCTCTCTCGCATTTTGTGGAGTTTCCATGCTCTTTCAATAGTCTCGTGCTTCTCCAATGCCTCACCTTCCAATTCGATTATGCTTGCGCGAGCTGGAGACTCAAAGAGAACACGGCGAATAACCTCAAGGCGTTGGTCTCCGTGAGAGGTAGATGAATCGGAATTGCTGATAAATCGTACTTGGGTTGTCGAAGGAGTTACACGTCGGAGCACGTTAGACTGAACACGGAGAGCTGACAACATGATTTCTATGTGATGCAGAGACTTCTTGAAGAAGAATAAGAAGAATAAAAAAAACCAAAAAATCTTTTGGCACAGGAAAAAAAAGGTGCCAATAGGCACACTTTACCCCCGGTCCTGAGTATAAGCCACTTATGACTCCGCTCATTTCTTGCAGTCTGCAAGACGAATCCTATGCCTTTTTAGCCTGTGCACACACACACATACTCATAGTTCTTTGAAAGCCAATATGTAATGTCTTGAGGGTTGTAAGGATATATATATTTATGTATATTTATTTATATATTAAACTATGTATATATGTTTATAGATTTATTCAAAATGAGTTTGCTGTAATATCTATCTATCTTATAGTACAACCCAAATGATTTCAGGAATTTTATATTTTATTTTATTAATGGCAATAACAGTCTATACAAAAAAAATGAATCAAAGACCAATATTAGTAACGTATTATTTGCGTATAATATATTTATAGTTATACAAGCTGTATAATTATCATACATCTAACATAATTAAAGCTTGGTTAGTTACTTAATATCCACAAAAAAAAACAACGCAAGATCTTTAGAGTTTTAGTAAATAATTTTTAAGCCTATAAATATAAATATAAATTATATTTGAAAAAGAAAGGTTTTTCAGTAGAGTCGTTTGCACATAGTAAATACATACATATCTCAAACTATATTATAAGACATGACGCTGCAACTGTGAGTATTTTACTCTAAACGTTGCGATTTATATATTCAAATACGGCTGTGCAGTATATTTCCATTTTTCATTTGCCTTTATTTTTCCTTCCTTTCATTCCACAATAGGCACAAAAGAGGTCAAATATATGCAGAGTTTTATTGGACGCAGATATAGCAGTGAGAGTATAGTATTGAGCAAAAGAATATATTTATTTATGAAATAATCAAAACAAACATGAATACAGTGTTTCTACTTAAAATTCGGGCGACGTTACAGTAAAAAACATTTGTAAGTCGCACAACTGGAGAAAATAAGTCGTATAATTCGAAACACGGCTCTTTCGCACATATATCACTTTGGTTGTGGAAGATAGTGTGAAGAGGCAATCAATATGTAACGGTCTCCCTATGTATCTCCACCCATCCCCTTGCTCAAATCTCTACACTATCTCTTCTCGTTTTTCGCTGCACTCCAGCATGTTTTCTCATATATCTCCCCGTTGCTTCCTGTTTGACCTTAGGTCACCTTTCCCCTTGGTAGAACCAAAAAGCCTTCAGATCAGTTCCATCTCTTTGCGAAGACATGCCCACGGGGTGTGCTTTCTTGGGTTCTCACCTTCTCTCATTTTAGAAAACACAAGACTCTGAAAAACATCATATAACAAATAAAATCCAAACCATAATCCGTGATAGCCTCTTTTGCTTTGTAGCAATAGACGCTCGCCAACCCTCTTGAGCACAAATCTCCCAACAAACAAGAATCGCACAATTCGAAAATTCAAGCCGCTAGACTGCGATCCCCTTCTACCTTGGATCTTACCAAACTCTCGACCTCGCACCCATAGCACACTCGGTTCGCCTCTTCATTTTGTCCTAAAGGCCGTGGACCACCTCCCGCATAAGTTTGACGACGTCCTCACGAATCTATCCACATGCCTTCTGTTGCCCTTGTCCTCTATGGTGAATACCCCCGCCCCCTCCCATCCGCTTTGCCGGCCATCTTGGCAAGACCTAAAGGTTAACAATCTTTACCAAATTGATCATAACTTGAACGTCCCGATACCCATTGTCCCCGTACGTCCTCTTCCTCGTTCTATCACTCTTCCTCGTATTCTACAACGACTTCTCGAAAAGTTATTTTTGGCTCACCCCATCGTTTTCAGAGCTTGTATTCCTACTTTCATTCTCGAATCGCGACATTTGAATATGCCTCCTCGAGATGTGTCCCCCATTGACTTTACTCGCTTTCTCTCTGCTCTGGTATTCGGCAAAGCTTGGGCACGCTTATCCACGCGCTCTTACCGCATGACCTGTTCTCATCAACATGTTCATGCTCAATCGTTTAACCCCTATCTTATATTGGAAAAGGTGTCCACTTTCACATATGTCAAGTGAGTTTAATTTCGAGTGAAAGAAAACGTAAAATTTCATCTCTACTGGTTTTTGTGAATTCAATATTTGATAAGAGATGTAGTTGATGTAATTGGCTATAGCAATTTGTGTAGCATCTGCGAAAAATACTAAGCCTAAATAAATAAATAAATAAAACTATTTTGTGTTCCTCTTTACTTTTAAACCCATAAACACATTTACCTTTTTTTTCATAAAAATGCCTCCCATCTGTATCTCAACCAAGAGGTTCAAATGCTACTGTCCAGTATGCAGAATTAAGGCAGGAGGATATAATACCGTATCTGCTCAAACACTTAGACGTCATAAAAGAGATGAACAAATTGCAATCAGAGTGCAAACCAATAGGCGTAGGAAAAACAATTATGTTTTTATTTTTAATATAATAATTTATACGATTTATTAATTAAAATACAGGGAGCAAGGTAGTCGAAGAAACACCTGAGGTTATCGACCGTAATTAAATTCATCTTGAAGGCGAAAGTAACGGATATGACATGGATTATGTTTTTTTGGTAAAATGAAAACTTTCTTTTTTTATTATTCTTTCTTTATGATTGTTTTGGTTTAATATACCCCATTTTGATAGAGCTGAATGACAGCGAGGAAGAGGTAGAAGTATCTGCTCAGACAAGGGACTTACCTCTTTCTGAATCCGATGCCATATTTGGTGTTGAAGGCAATGAGTATGCAGCAAACGATGAAAGTGGCGATGACATGAGTGATGACGAAGGTTTGTATAGTGAATTTTAAATAATATTGTCTTTGAGAAATAAGAAAAAAATCTTTCAAGTCTGTCTCGGAATTGGGTTTCATCCACCGTTTCATTGCAATCGTTGTTGACTTATTCGTATCATTGTATGCCATTGACAAAGGCGCAGTGATTTTGATTTCCATTGTCAACAAGATTCTCGAATTCTTTAACGATTCATTTCGTCTCCCGTTGAGCATTTCTAGGCTCAGCGACTTGCAGGATTCGGAAGTTCAACAAAAGGAATCAAGAAATACACTACCTGCGGTGAATGTCATACGATATATGGTTGTGATGAACTTGTGCTCAACACCATTGTTAAAATCCGGATCAGAGCCAAGAATTCCAAAGAAAACATATGTGTACAATTCCGTTGTTTCGTCATTGAAAACATTTTCCCGTCGCACCGAATTTGAAAATAACATCGATTCTTGGAATCGTGGTCCAAAGGTGAATGGAATGATGTTTGATGTGTACGATGGTGCCATGTGGAAATCGTTTTTGACATCAATAGAATCCCTTTTGTGTACGGCGAACGCTCACTGATACTCACACTGAACATCAACTGGTTTCAGCCGCTTTATGGTGTGTCACACTCATGTGGAGCCATATACCTTGCAATCAATAGCCTTCCTCGTGATATCAGATTTAAGAAGGAAAACGGCATCCTTGCTGGATTGGTTCCAGGGCCCAAGGAAGCAAGCACATCTGACATTAATAATTACCTGAAGCCTCTCGTTGATGAGTTGAAGGATTTGTCTACAGATATTAATATCAAAACACATCAATGTCCAAATGCATGCCACAAGTGTAAGCATCAATTTTCGAGGCTGGCTGGAACGAGTTCCGTTGATTATTCTGGATTCGATTTCTCAAAGTGGCTCCTTCGCACCAAGAATGACAATTGTAAGGATGCAGAGGTTTGGAGAAATGCAACCACACAAGCCGAGAGACATTGTCGCCAGTACTTTGTTATTGTCCGCTGCACAATCGTCGACCCAATGCCCAATCTTTTGTTAAGCACTGTTAAGAGAATAATGGAGAGATGAGATGCAGATGGAGTAATTGACGATAAAAAAACTTGTTGTCATGCAAAAGGCAGTTGAGAAGATAGTGTTGCCGCCTGATTACACGTCATTTGGGACAAAGATTGCAAAGGGTTTTCCTTATATGAAAGCTGATGAGTAGAAGTCCCGGTGCCTTGTATACTCTCTTGTTGTGCTTAAAGATGTTTTGCTGTTGAACAAATTTAGAAACTGGGTGTTATTCGTCAGGGCATATCGAATCTTAGTTATGCCAAATGTCTGTGAAAGTGACATTGCCTCGGCCCACAAGTATCGCGAGAAATTTTGCCAAAATTGTGAGGCACTTCACAATTTGGATCTAATCTCTCCAAACATGCACTTACACTTCCACCTGCAAGACACCATTTGCGACTTTGGACCTGTATACGGTTACTGGTTGTTTAGTTTTGAACGATATAACAGTATCCTGAAAAACATAAAGTCCAACAGGAAAACTGGATTCGAGTTAACATATGCAAGACAATTCGTTGAGGATGTTCATAAACAAGATATAATTAGCCGCATTATGGAATCTTCCGATACTCGTGCATACATGGATATCTTTCAAAAAATCACAAAATATCAACAAAAAATAGCATCAACAATAACTTCATATTCTCACTTCTTCTTTTCACTCGCCAACTTTATCACTGCTACACTGGAAGTATCGATATTGATTAAAGGCAACGAACCTCTCCCATCAACTGCATTTCCTTTGGCAAAGAAGTCCTTGTCACTAATGCCAACGCCTGGATACAACTGCCTCATTGAATACTACCAGGTTGCATAAAACGACGGAATGATCTCTAGTTGCAAGAATGGCATGATGAGTTCGTCATTTGTAAATGATCGTATTGAGATCATAAAAATTAATATTTTAGGGCAAGTTTATAAGGGATGTAATGGCAATGGACGTGGTTCGTACATCCAAGCTTTGTTTCAAGAAAATAGGACCCATGCGCGTTATGGCTATGTCGGTGAAATTCAATACATCTTTGTGCACACATTCTCCCCATCAACAGCCACTCTCCCATCAACTTGCTACAACAACCAACATACCTTTGCTTTCGTCAGATGGTTTAAAGCAACATCAGATACGTGCAGACAACTTTGAGGCATTGAAATCTACCACGACAACTTCTACTAATTAGGTTTCTAAAGTATACTGCCCACCCATCGTATACTTCTGCTAGTAGCAATCGTTGACTACAAAACAAGACGAAATGTCAATAGGAGGATTGCAATTCCCTTGCCACAACAAATATATGCTTAATTTTCTTTTATTTTTATTTATTACTTTATTTATTTCATTTTATTTTACTTTGTTTATCAATATATTTACCTCTTTTCTTATTTCTATTTAATATCATTTTTGCCTTTAGTCTAGTTATGTATCAATCAAGTGTAAAAACGCGCCTGTGTATGTATAAAAAAATTGTTTAATTTCCCATGAAGGCAGTGACAAAATCAGCCGACCTGAGACAGCAACATTCTTTTCTCCTCGCTGGAGCTTGGGCATTTTTGGCGTTGCTGCCCCATTTCCCGCATTGTCAGTTCTCATGCTTTTATCGATTAAGCCCATGAACTTGTTAAACTATATTTATTTTATTAATATATTATTTTACCTTGCTTACATCAACAGAAATAACTTTTCCTGTCACTTCTCAAGATGGGACGAGCAACCTTCAGAATATGCGCCGAGACCCCATGCACAAGATCCTCCATGTAAAACTCATCATCTGACATTACTGTTTGTTGGATAGCACCAAAAAATGCCATCTCTGAATTTTCCCCGATCGTGAGACCCATCTCCTTGTCGATCACCTTCCAGTACTTGGTGTGAATGTCTTGGCGACGGTTATGGATCTAAAAAAGAAAGGGCAAGATAAATACTTTGTATTTTGACTGAATAGCCTGTTTTGTAAAAACCTCTTTTATCCGGCTGGTGATTCTTGATTTCCGGCTCTTATCTATGCGCTGATCGGGCGGCGTATTGGCTCAGCGATGACAGTACCTATAGCTACTTTTTACCGTAGATACCACTATACTGGACCAAAAGCTGACAGCTTAGGGCTGGGCAAGAATGTACTGCCGCAAGTAAGCAATAACGGCAACGTTGTCGGGATAGTCAGCCCGCTCATCCACGCTACATCTTTGGCTTGCCTCATTCTCGGCAATCTCAGCGGGGTCGTTAGACCTGAAGTATTTTTTTTTTCAGATCTTCTCTCTGATAAAGGCCCAAATACTATGTGTTAAATTATTATTTGCTGCATTTGATTTAACATGTTTACCAGAATTGCAGTCTTTGTCTCTGCTTCAGACATTCCGATATAAGATGGAGCAGAAGACGTGGTAACTACTGGAAGAACTTGTCTATTGTTAGATGCCAAAGACATAGCAATTGCAGCAACTGTTTCGTTGCTTCTTCTTTGGATGTCGAAAAATTAACCAAATCGACTGCCCAGAGATCCAAGAAGAGCACCCATGCCATCAAGACGATTTGTCATTTCTGCCATGTGCTGTTCTTGGGTAACAGCAGGTGTGACAGGGCGTTGCTCTACACGACCAGCTGCAACCTGGGTAAGGCTGCTTCCAGCATTAGGTCTAGAGGTTCTGTGATTAACGGGAGCCATTTTCTATACAAACATATGTTTCAAAATAAAACAAAAATACATTAAATTATTTATTCTTACTCTTGTTGTTTGTTTATACATTAAGTATACTTATATCAGATTCTTAACACTACCGTAGATTATTCTCATTTACTGTATTATTCTTATAATTGCTACTATTATATAATCTCTCGTTTTACCAACGGTACTCAAACTGCCTAATCCCACATTAGCCGAGAGCTATATGTATACTATATTATTATGCAGTCTAATTCAAGAGAAAACTTCTTTTACAAAATAAACCAACCCCAGTCGTAAACTATTTCTTAGATACTGTTTTTAAAGAAGTATGAGAAGACTACCTTTTACTCAATCAAATGAGAGTACTGTAGTTTATTCATGAAATAAGATCCAATATAATTGCTCAAAATCTGAGGAAAGTGATTCTTTCCACCAAAAACAGTATCAGCTTCACTTCTTTTTCTTGTCTTTTTAAGAACAATAGAATTCGATGCTGTACAAAAAAAATGATGTACAGTCAAAGCTCGATATAGTGATAATTTTTGGAAATTTTGGGTTTGTGCCTGCTTATTAGACAAAATACTGAAATCTCATACCGAAAAAAAAATCGGTTTTTTTATCCATTAAAGACTTTTTGAAATGCAAATCTTGAGTGTCATATCGAACATCAGGCGTAAAATATGTTTACCTTAGACTACTATATAGACTATATGATACTCTATTGATCAACTCTATTTATTTTTCTCATTTCAACATCTTTTAAAACGACTCGTACGAAATGCATAATTGTGTACAGATGTATATTTATATTAAAATACATCGTAGCTGATAAAGAATAAAGTGAATAGAGAATATGATGAAGGATAGTAACAGATAAGAATAATAAGGAACAGATACATGGTAGTGTATACATCACAGCTTTTAAAAAAAAATCTATTTTTAATTACTAGGCTCGTAGCTAACCCATCTAGCCCTTTTTTTTGGGTTTTGGGTTTCGACAAGACAATGGTAGTTTTGTTAGTATTGACTGGAGGTGGAGCAGCACTTATAGAAATTGGTTGCTGGGTAGGAAGAGGAGTAAAAAGAGTAGTGTAAAGGAAAGTAAAGACTGACATTGAATGAATAGTATAAATAACATGAAAGGTAGGCGGTTGAGACAAGCTGACGTTGGTATTTATGCTTTGAGGAATATTGTTGGTAGCCATGAGTAATTGCATTTGTGAATTTAGACACTGTTGCTGGATCATGAGGATTTTTATGTCCTTAGCCAGTTGCTGTGTCGTGTTCATCAGAAGCCAATTCTGCTGGTTACTTTGTTCAATGAAGTTGTTGAAAGAGTTTTCATTTTTCTCAAATCGGCTGTCTTGTTGTTGCTGCAATTGTATAATCCAATGATTTACTTCTGTCACTCTGCTGGCTACCTCTTTGTTCGTATCAGCAATTTTAGGCACAAGGCTTTCATATTCTTCTAGTCTACCAACGGAAGGACTGGTAATAGCAGCTACAATATCCTCTTGAAACATCTTGAAGCTGTTACTTGTGAATGGAAGTTTTTTTGTGCTGACATGCTTGTTTTCTTTGTTCAAGTACAAGTAAACTGCTGCATCCTGTAAAACAATTCTTCTGCATCTGATTAAGAGTTGCAAAAAGCCTTTCTTTTCTGTGTTGATACTACTTTGAATTGTTTTTTGCTTTCCCTTTCTTTTCTTTTCTTTCGACCGGTTTCTTCCATCTTCCTCCACGAATTCCACTGAATCTGCTTCTTTGTCTATCTCCAGATTTATGATGTTTTCATTAGCTTCATCCATCTCCTTCTCACAGAGAGCTATCCACTCTGTATTCCCAACACCGAAATAGTCTTTGATCTATGGAAAAATCATCTTTTGCAACTCAACTGGTGGTGATACACCATTTCTTGCCAGTAAAAAAGGCTTTTCCCAAAAGCCGGTCATACCTCTCGCAAAAGGAGATGAGAGTTTACCCAAGTAATGGGTCTCCAAACGACCAAATCGATCCTTCCATCCTCCTCCTCCTCACTTGATCGAATGAAAAGGTATCCTTAAACCCTCAGCTTCCATTGACCCATCGTGACGGCCACCAGGTGTTACTCGTGTGGTGTATATCTCCTTATCTGCAAGCGCCTTTTTTGCCGTTTTCCATTGAGAAGCGCCTGTTAAACGCTTCTCAGGGCTGATGCGTCCACGCAATACCTTTCAGCTCTGCCATCTGTGTTCGTTCAAGAAATTACCGCTGGTCTATTATTTTTATCAAGAAAGTTAGCATCCATTCTAAGATGTCCCTTTTTTTAGTTGGTCAGCCTACTTGAAGCAAACGGAACATAAAAAAGACAAATGCACCAAAAGGAGATCTGAATATGTTTTCATGGCGCATGGCACACGCAAATTTGATCTCTCCTTCCTTCAGAGTCTTGCCCTTGTCTAGACTAGAGACCAAAGCGAGAGCCTGTTGTATTGCTTTGTGCTGCTTCTTTGGAATGATCGTACAAAAGCAATTTGCAAAGTTAAGGTTTCTTAAATCTTGATTCTAAAGTAACATATTGTGGCGGGAAGAGATAGAGAACATTTCGCGCAAGCCTGATTAGCTGTCAGGAGTCCAAAGGCTCTTCAGAACTCTAATAAGTACGCCAGACTTATAAGAGTCCCGAATCACACAATGGGCTGCTCTATCTACGTTTGTTTGTACTTGGTCGTAAACAAGGTCGTGTTCATACTTCTTGATCAATTCGATCACTTCTTTAGTCTTCTTGGGAGATGGCCATTCAGCTTCTCGACGCTCGGACCGAAATTCATGCAAGAACATCAAGACTTTCTTGTATTGGTTGACAGCTGCAATACCCAAAGGGACTTCAATTACTTTCTTACTACCGTTCTTGTTAGAAGCAGCATTCTCTGTAACTATAAAAACGGGTTGATGATTAAGTATAATTGACGGATCTTTTATGTATCTCATGCAATTTTGTATTAATTTTGAGAAAAGTTAATTGTCTTTTCTCGTTATCTTCAGTTCTTGGGCCAATCTGTGTTCTAACATCAGTCTCTACTGAAGCAATTTTCATATACGTTCGCTTGAAAACAAATTTTTTGAAGAAGTCAATGACAAAATTGTTGGGCTCAACAGTGTATGGGTACTGAGAGTCAACAGGATATCTGTTTCGGTTTTTTTTCACAAAAGTGTTTCAATTTAAGCAAGATGAAAAAGTGGATACAGTCAATACAATATAAATTAATATTCTTCTGCGTTAGGACATATCTTCCAATGCTCTAAGGGTATTTTGTAAATTGCTGTGGTGCTAGCATGTACTTTCATTGGCAAAAGTCTTAAGTGCAAAATCAAACTCGGGAACATTGCTTGACGAGGTATTCAGAGAAGTAACAATGGTATTTGAGCCAACAGAAGTAGACAAATTTGCGGATCTTGACGATTTAGCCTTTGAATTTTCAACCAGCATAATTCGTTTTGTTGGTCGACCCCTGCAAGCTTTCTTGGGCATATCTTAAAAGACATAATATTAGTAGACAGAGGCGACATGATAAATGAGTTTTTGAAAGAAAAAGAAAGTTTTTGATTTTAAAAGTTAATCAAGCTGTAGGCAAACCAGTGATTTTCAACTTGCAAGCTGATAATACTGTAGCTGATAAAATAAGATATTATTGCCCAAAAGATTAAATGACATTGTCTGAATTTAAATTGGGGCTGTAAGTAAGAGCAAAAGGAGGATGAAGAAGATGAAGATAGGATGAGATGTGGCTTGAAAATGATACATGTTTTGTTTGGTATGTCAATTTTGGATTCACAGCCACACCAAGGTATTATATATATATATATATCGGTGTTAAGATAGCTTTGGTTAACAATGAAACAGGACAGGCCAAGTAAGGCATATATTTAGTTATCTATACTTTGTTGAAGAAGGTTTGGTTACAGTATCTTTGTAAGCTAGAATACCGATCGATTCTTTACTGACTTTTTGGGGTTTTGGTAAGCTCTGTCAAGTACTTGATGAAGGGTGATTTTCAAGATCTTCTCCATTCTCATCACTACGGCCCATATTATCTTTTTTCTTTTCTTTTAGAAAAATTTCTTACATTATATTAATATTGTTTCCATGGAGATAGTAAGTTAAGATTCCTTTTTTTTTATATATAAAAAAGTTTATTTTTCTTGATAGGCATATAGATAGATATTTATGATGAAGATGATGAATTGAACACCAAATATGTTTTTATTATTGGTATCGTATTAAAAGATCGGTGCACTTTAAAGTTGGTTTGATGTCTTGAAACCAAATATTGAAAGGTAGTATCGGTTGTCTAACCAAACCAGTACATGCTTCTTTTTATCATGATACCAAAGCTGTTACTCGATTAGATATATATCTATATATACGTATTTTCTTTATTTCTTTCTCATCAAAGAAAGCCAATCGATTTGAAGATTTGAAGTTACACTGGTATTGACTAGGATTCTTCTTTTTCACACACACAAATATATATATATATATATATATATATAATATGTATGATTCCATAGAAGGTTAATCAAGTTCTACTGTAAGAATGATGTGCTTTCATTGTATCAGAAGCAGCAGGTGTTATTGTTCCTATAATTATTGCTGATCCATTATTCACACAACACTTTTTTTCTTTGAAATTATTGTTGTTTTCTATTCCCTTTTTCGGCCAATGACCGGTTGTATAGAAAGATGCTTATAGGATTTGATATCTACAATTCAAGATTCTATCGATTTATTCGATGTTATGAATCTCTAATAAAATTTAGCATAATCATCACTTTACTATCAAATACCTAGTGTGCTATATTCAATTCTTAATTTTATTTTTATTTTAATTGCATAGAAAAAAAATACGCACGAATGACGCACGATATTAACACAGTAATAGAAATTCTATATAATCATTACAATAGAGAGAAAAAAGAGAGAGGGGAAAAAAAAGGAATTTTTTTATTTTATGAGTGTGTGCGACAATGTAAAAGAAAGAAAGAAATCCTCCAATAGAATTGAATCCCAGGAACTCACGCGTGATGGTTAGAAGAATCATAATCATAATCATAATCTTCTTTTGTGCTGTAATAAGAATGGTTGCTATGAATACAAAGGTGAATATTAAAAGGAAGTATTAACAGGCACTAAAGATAAGGGCCTGGATTTGATACATAAAATAAAGAGCAAATTGGTCTATAGTTATTTTGAATCTTTTATGTAATTATTAATGTTCTTTCAGGTCAGTATGTGCTAATGAATTATAGAATAAAATAAAAAGATCCGGATTTGTGGTCTGTGTATTTTGTATTGACCATCTATAGAAATACATATTGTAAATAAATAGTGTCAATATTAACAGGCAGGTTGTTATTTTCCTGGCCTTTTTTGGCTCTTTCGCACATCGTTTTTGGGCATAAAGAAAAAAAAATTGATATACACTTTTGAATTACAACAAGATATCTTGGGTGGGGGTTTTTTTTCATTTATTTTAGGTGTATGTAAGAGTGTAACATAGAGAAATGATAAATAGATATATTTGTAGATTTGTCTATTATTGTTATTTATTTATTTTATTTAGTACATTTTGAATACCCAAATAAAAAGGAAGGGCTTTTTGAATTTTGCTTTTGTATACACACTTGTATATATAAAGATTTGTTCGTACCATATTCTCCTTTCACTCTCTCTCTCTCTCTCTTTTCTCTTTTATCTTCTTCTGTAATATAAATATAGAAAGACAAAGCTTCTTCTCATTTAGCGATTCAAGAAGCTCTGACCTGCAAGCCCTGCAGCAAAAACAACAACAATAACAGCACCGACCAAAAGAAGAAGAAAGAAGAAAGAAGAATATATTTTTCTTAAAAAAAAAAAGAAAAAAAAGGAACACCTGACTACGACTCTCAAACATTCAATAAAGAACAGACAAAGCAACAGAAGAACAGAAAGCCAAATTGATTACTATACAGCTATAGTCAGTCAAAAGACTTCTTTTATCCTATCAATACAACCATAATCTATTGCCATGGGAAGCAATACAAGCAAACCTTTGGATGCCCAAAACAATGACCCAGCATCATCTCATGCACAGTCACCACAGCGGAGACGAACCAAACTTGGATCAATTCGACAACCAAAAAACAAGATATCAAAAGGAAATCTCGGCAGGCGAGAACCCACCATTCTTTCTCCCGACACTCTTCCCTTGCCAGCTTCATGCACAAGACCAAGTGTACAATCTGCAAAGTCGACTCCGCTAACTGGTGCAACCATTCAACGGTCAGCAGAACAAAATACAGTCGCTTCTAATACCACCACTACATCTACACACCCTATCAACTCAAAGCTCACATCTAGCACCACCCCCCCCTCTGGCCCAGATGGCTTTGCTAATCATAATAATCACAACGACCATACTGTCGGCCTGGATTCAAACAACCTCAATTCTCACAATCTCAACAATCCAAACCACCCTTCTTCTCTACCTAATGCCAGAATTTCTTTGGTTTCCCAGAGCTCCTATGTTGGCATGACCCAATCAAGAGAGCCACGCCAAAGAGTACCCAGAGGTCGCAATCCACAAAACAGATACTCCCAGCGCGTCTATTCAAACATCTCCTGTGCAACAAGCGACAGCGGCCAGAGCAGCTGGATGCTTTCAGGAGGTCTGTTCTCTCAAATCGACTCCACAACATCCTCCATCATCACCACCATCACAGACTACTCTAACATCTCTCGTCGCTCAATGTTTGCTCAAGATTGGCCAAAGGAAGATACCTCCAAAATGGTCATCTCAGCCTCAGAAACCACACCAGCGTCACCAATAAAACCTTTATCTAATTTGCAAGAATCAGCTTTAATCAGTGTACAACCAGAACAAACCAACAACAATCCTAAATCATCACCATCATTGTCATTATCATCATCATCATTATCATTATCATTATTAATATCATCCCAGGCACAAACACTAACACTATCTCTATTGGACCAACTCAATAATTCACCACACCAAGAGTTCTCTATCCTCAAGGCTGCCTTTGCAAAAAGTCAACAGACCGGATATGCTCACCACCAAGAAGAAGCCTTCAGGGCTGCATTCGCCTGGAGCCAGAGAACCAATTCATTGACAGGCCGGGTTTGGGTTGCCCGATGTCAGATCGAAGGTTGGGGTACATCAGCCGATCCGTCCCACGGTTTTAGCACACTCAAGGCAATTGCAGAGACAGATGATTATTGGGAAGCATTCTACCCTCTCGCAATGTGTTACCTCAACGGTGTATCTGCTGTTCGTAACCACCAAGAATTATCATCATCATCATCCTCACCACCACCACCACCACCACCAATAACAACAGCAGCAGTAGTAGCAAAAAGCAGCTCTTCTTCTTCGTCTCCTTCTTCATCTCCATCTTTGGCTTTGTCGGCAAATGTAATCACCCACAATGAACCGTATTCTGTACAACCGATCGACAACCAAACCGCCTTTCGCTGGCTCAAAGCAACGGCTGAAATCGACTATGCTTCCAAAGGAACTGACCCCGAAATCAGGTCTATTGTCGCAAAGGCTCAATACCGAGTTGCTGTAATGCTCTTCAAGGGGGCCGAGAAGATGGCCCAAGACCCTGTTGGTGCACTTCAGTGGTTCATCAAGAGTGCTGATAATGGTGACAAGTAAGTTTTTTTCTTTTACTTAAGAAAAAAATAGTAATAATGCTTTTTATTAACATGTGTATATTTGATACATTTTTTTAAAAAAAAAAAAAAAAAAAAAAAAAAAAAACTTAGATATGCTCAATATATTACTGGTCTCCATTATGAAAGAGGAATGTTCACCGAGAAAGACACTTTGAAAGCTAGATCATACCTGTTGCAGAGTGCCAATCAAGATTTTGGAGATGCTCAGGCTGCTTTAGGAATTGCTTGTATTGAAGAAGGACAAGATAAGGAAGGCATGCAGTGGCTGAAACGCGCCACACAAAAGGCAAGCCACTATATATATATATGTATATATATAAATTTTATAAAAAAAATTGTTTACTAAATTTTATGACATATATTTATTTATTTTTAGGATAATCCAAGAGCTTTATTAAAACTTGGGCTCATGTATGAAACCGGTCAGGGTGTCGAAAAAAACGACGCCATTGCTGTGTCTTACTACAAGTCAGCTGCCAACCGTGATGACGCCCGTGCACAATATGTTCTCGGTCTTGCTTACTACATGGGAAACCTAGGTCTACAAAAGAACTTTGGCAGAGCCGAAAAGTATTTTACATTGTCGGCCAAGGCTGGTTATGCTCCCTCGCAGCGGATTCTGGGACTCATGTGTGCTCAAGACCTTTTGGGCTTTAGCTCCGATTTATCCGAATCCAACAACACCAACGATAATAATAATAATTCTGCTGGTGGTGGTGGTGGTGGTGGTGGTGCTGCTGCTGTATCCAGACGCAAAGATAGAGAACGAGACAAGGACAAGGATATCAAGGCTGCCCTGACCTGGTTCCGCCGCGCTGCTTATCAAGGAGACATCCGTGCCCTAGGTCTGGTGGGATTCTGTTATGAAAATGGCCATGGCGTGGCTGCCAATTTCGAAACCGCGCTAGAGTACTATCGTAAGGCAGCCCGGATCACTGGGCCTTTTCAGGACAGTGCGCAGCTGGCCCTAGCTCATCTCTTACACCGTATGGAACGACATCGGGATGCTCTGAACTGGTTCAACCGGGCCGCTGCGTCTTGGTCGGCCGAACAACCGCCTATTGGGTCCGCTGAATCAGCCAAGTCTGATCCACTACAGCTACTGATGGAACACCGCGTGGCTTCTCGCACAGCCGCCCTGATGGTAGCCCGATACCAGCTCCATGGGTGGACCGGGGCTTCTAAGCGACCAAAGGCAGCGTTTGATATCCTGTTTCACCTGGCCCGCCAATCCGAACTCGACAGTCATGCTCACTACTGGCTGGCAGCCTGCTACGAGGAAGGTGTCCAAGGAAGATGCGAAAAGGATCTTTCAAAGGCGTTTGAGCATTATCTTGTTTCTGCAAAAGCTGGAGATGTCGATGGTGAATTCCAAGTAGGTTTTATTCTTTATATTTTATATCAATAATATCTGTATATCTGTACATATGTATATAGAAGAATAGAATAATAGAAAAGATTTAAGCGTTGTTTACTACATTACATTACATTACATTACATTACATTACACTTACACTTACTTACTATTCTATTTAATTCTTCTTTATCTCATAAAAAAAATAGGTTGCTCTTATGCTTTCCAATGGTCAGGGTGTCGAACAAGACCGTGCGGCTGCATTCTACTGGTACGAAAAGGCAGCCAAGAAAGAACACAAGACTGCCCTCTACAGCCTAGGACTCTACTATGCCAAGGGTATGGCCGGAGTGACCAAAGATCTTTTCAAGGCTCGGTCGTGCTTCAAGAGATCTGCTCGACTCGGCGTCGTGTCTGCCATGACCACCTTGGCGACTCTATACAAGATGACTGCTTCCAGAATCGATCCCAGCCAAGACCCAGATGAAACCGAAACCCAAAGCCAAAGCCAAAGCCAATTCTTGGAAGAGCAGCAGCGTCAGGCTGTCTATTGGTTCGAAAAGGCGGCCCAGTACGGAGACGCAGTTGCCCAACGTGAGCTGGCAATTCTTTATGATGCAGGCATCGGCGTCAACCAAAGCTATGCAAAGGCTCTCAGTTACCTGCAGAAATCTGCTTCCCAAAGAGATACCCAGGCAACTCTATTGCTGGGAAACTATTACCAGAACGGCCATGCTGTTGAAAAGGATCTGTCCCAGGCCATCGAACTCTATCTTGAGGCTGCTGATCTTGGTTCTCCTGTGTACGTACACAAAACAATATTTTATTTTACTTTACTTTACTTTTACTTTTACGATCATTATGATTGACATGCACAAAAAGAAAGAAGTATAGAAAAATAGATAGAGAGATAGATAGATAGACGTAAATTTGTGCATGTTATTGTAATGCAGTATAATGTAGTGTAATGTACATGCGCCTGGTTTAAACAATAGACTGACAAACACACAAACACACAAACACACACACACACATATATATATATATATATATGGATATATTCTTGAAACTTTCTGTCTCTCTTTTTTTCATATCTTCTAGAGCGCCGTTTGCTGCAGCTCAAGTGTACCATGCATTAAAACAATACGAAGAGGCTTATGCGCAGTACAAGATCGCAGCCAACGATCCACGTCTTGCAAATGCACGTGTCAGTAAAGCTTCAAAGTTGATGGTTGCTCGCTATGCCTTGAGCTATGTTCCTCTTTTGAGTTCCGCGGATAGCACCGAAGTAGTATCTCAAGATGTAGAAAAGATGTCCAAGAAAGATGCCTTTCAAATGCTTTACAACCTTGCCACTGAAGACCAATTTGAATCATCGTACTTTTGGCTAGGTAAAGAAGAAGAAGAAGAAAGCTAAAATATAGGTAAATAGATAAACAAAAAAAAATATCTAAATCTTTGTTTGTTTGTTTGTTCGATTGCTTGCTTGCTTAGCGGATTGCTTTTATATGGGAAACGGCGTTGCGATCAATTATCCCCAGGCCCTGATGTGGTACAACCGCTCTGTCGAAGCAACAAGAGACGCAGAAGCAATGGCAAAGATTGGGTCGATATACGAACAAGGTCTGGGTGGTGTCGAGAAGAACGAGAGACTGGCGATTGATTACTACAAACAGAGTGCCGATCAGGGTTCTGCAGAAGGCCAGTACAAGATGGGTTTGGCCAACTGGCGTGGTATGTGTGGTGTGCCGATCAATCTTGGAGATGCAGTACTTTGGTTCACCTGGTCTGCTAAGCAAAAGTATCCAGACAGTCACTGGGCACTTGGCCAGATGGCGCTCGAGAACGGGGACCAAGACGTTGCAACAGAGTGGTGGCACAAGGCTATTGCGCTTGACCACATTCCTTCTATGCGTTCTCTAGCCAGCCTCTTATTACAAACATCTAACCAAACACAACCACAAACACAAGCACAAGCACAAACACAAACACAGTCTCAGACTGGAGTTGTTACACCAAATTCTCATCTTGAGCACGCAATGGAACTATTGGCCAATGCCTTTCGCCACGGTGACGCAGAATCCTTAGTAGACCTTGGAAAACTTCACCAACGAGGCATCGTTACCCAGGCAGACAGTAACAGTAGCAATAATAGTGGTCACCCGACAGTCTTACTTCTTCAGCCTGGGTTCTTGACACCAAAGCAGCAAGAGGAGCAAGAGCTGGCCACGCGGTGTTTTGAAGAAGCCGCAGCAATGGGCCATGTGGAATCGATGTTTCTTGCTGCCGAGTCTTGGCACGCCCGCCAGCAATACGCAGCTGCTCTTGGATTCTATGAAAAGGCGGCTCACAAAGGCCACATCTCATCACGAGCCATGGTAGCCCATTACCGTCTCAAGGGGTTAGGAGGCATAGAAGCCGATCCCAGCTCAGCTTACAAAGTAAGTTATTACATAAAATAAAATAACAACTTGGGTTGAATGTTTCACAGCAACCAAAGATCATAACACACACACACACATATATATATATATTAATTTTATTTTATTTTGATACTCCTAGGATCTTCTTTATTGTGCTGAAAAAGAAAGTTCTTCGGCGGTGTTTAACTTGATCGGACAATGCAATGAACATGGACTTGGAACCCCCAAAAACTACCAGGAAGCTCTGGAGTGGTACCTGCGTTCATCCAGAAAGACCAGAGATCCAGAGGCAATGTTCCGTGTTGGTCAGCTTGTGGCCCGACGACAGGCAGCCATCCAAAGAGACGAAGAAGACCATTTGATTTCTTCATCTCTTCCATCGACAGGCTTAAATCCAGACCTTCAGGCTTTGGAGTGGTATCAGCTTTCGATCGATACGTCTGACCATGGCCAGAGTCACCTTAGGGCTGGCCTGTATTTTTCTCAAGGAATCAAGGACAAGAAAACCGGCAAGATCCTGTTGGCCCCAGATGCCAATCTGGCCATCGAGCACTTTAGAAAGGCAGCAAGTCAGTGTATTCCAGAAGCCATGTTTGAACTCGGCCAGTTCTTTTTGCTGACCACTGGAGCAAGACCAAGCCCAAGAGAAACGACTGTGATGGCTAATGAGGGCGTCAAGTGGCTCGAACGTGCGGCTCAATTGGGGTTGCGGGGGGCTCAACGAGAGCTTGGCAAACTATACCATTCAGGGCATACGGTCATGACGTATCCTCAGGTGCAAGAGAATGAGAATGAGGATGAGGAGTTGGAAGCTATTGATGTCGTAAATCGAGAGCCAAATTTACCGGTGGTTGTGGTTGCGCAAGACTTTGCCAAGGCATTCGATTACTTTTGTAGAGCAGCACAGCAGAAAGATAAGACGGCTAGCCTGTTTCTTGGTATCTATCACGAGAATGGTATTTACGTCCAGACCAATACCGAATTAGCAAAGGAATGGTATAGAATTGCAGTTGTACTTGGAAAACAGCAAGAACAAAAGAGCCGCGGAAGTAGAGAAGATGGAGGAGAGGACGGCTGGTGGCTTGCAGAACTTGCACTTGCCCAGTTGTTACATCAAGAGCCTGTAAATCGACATGAGGCTTACCCATTGTTTGAGGCTGCATATTGCCATGCACCCCTACACCAGAAGCGAACGGCACTGATTATGGTGGCGCGTTACCGGTTGCATGGATGGGGCAATGTGGCCGTAAACCTGGAAGAAGGCGCTTCAATGCTTGTCCGACTTGCAAACGAAGGTGAAGTCAAGGTGTTCCTAGAAGTCGCACAGTGCTATGAGTTTGGGATTGGTGTCGAACAGGATTTCCAAAAGGCATTTGAATGGTACCAACGATTGGTGGTTGGTTTGGACAACATGAAGAACGATGACGATGAAGGTGATAGTGACCAAGTCAGTGCTTGTTTGGATGAAGAAGATGTTGAAGACCAAGCAGAGGCATCCTTTAGACTGGCTGAATTCTACAAGTCCGGGTTGGTTGTTTCGACTGATTTACAAAAGGCCAATCATTATTATCGAGTGGCGGCCAACAAAGGTAAATAAGACTGATTGATTGATTAATAGCAATAATAATAATTATTATGATGATGATGCTAATCTGTCTTCTGTCTAGGGTCTCTGAAGGCGAAAGAATCTTTAAAGCAAAAACTATGAACGAAACCAATAACCCCTCCCTTTACAATCCTACCATTCTATTATCACTATTATTACTATATATCCATATGCTTATTTTATGCTTTTCTTTTTCTTTTTCTTTATCATTATCACTATTATTAGTAATCTTTATTGTACCTCTATGTATATTTATACCCCTCCTATATATTTTACCCCACTCCACTCATATAAGTATGCTTGGTGTGAATTTGCTTGTATATATACTTTATCTACCTCTTTTCTTATTCATATCTTACCAAAAAAAATACTCCTTTCACTTGTATTCTCTTTATTACTATCATTTATACTCTTATACAAAATATCAAATTTCATTAGTGTATTATACTTATTTACCTTGCTTTATTACAACAAGCCAACACATTATATCTATTTAAAAAGACATTTATGAAGCTGGCGTTCTTATTTTTTTCTACTATTTATATAATTCAATAAAATATTCAAGTTGATTAAAAAACAGAGGATTATTATATCTTTGAGGCGATAGTCCTTACAATCAATTATTATTATTATTTGGTGTAGCGAGTAAGATTGGAGTGCATGAGCCCTGCATTAATTCATTGATCTTCAGCACACATTCTTGTTCTCCTCCCCTCCCTTTATATATATATATATATATCTCAATAGCAACAACAAGAAGAACAAGACATTATAAGATTCAAACCCGAGTGAGCAAGCTTTGTTTCCGAAAAGATATAGTATTAATGGCATGATATGATATTATTATTATAATTTGTCTTGTGAGCAACTGTTCCAAGAAGTATTAGAGGATAATAAGAAGGGAGGCGGAGAGCTAAGATGAGACGAGATGCTATGAGAGGAAAGAAAATCTAAAGCCAAAGCCAAAGCCAAATCAAAATCAAAATCAAAATGAATAACTTTAAAGATATCAAATATGGACACTACTTTTGAATGACAAGTTCTCGGGTTTGAGAATATAGGTTTCAGCAAGACATTTCTGCGCAATCTTATATCAATCTGCGGCACTAAAAATTATGGTAATTGTAATAAAGATGATAAACTTGAACATCTCTCATCCCCCCCCCCCCTTCTTCTAGTATTATTATTATTATTTCTTTTGTAAATACCCAAACTTACTCACGCCATGGTTTTGCTACATATATATATATATATCAGTGCTTATTGATTATGCATTTTTACGGTGAGATTCTTTTTCTGTTATTTTGTTTCTTTATTGATATTTACTGAATTGACTAGAATGGACAATCTACATACATAGATATATATATGACTATTCTAATTATAAGAAAAGAAAGGGGAAAATAAATGCAGTCTTCTTTGCGCACATATTAAGTTTTTCTTTATTACAAAATTTATTATAACTTTATGTATGGCGAATTTCTCATGTTTAATGCCTAATGTCTCATGCTCTGAATAAATACCTTTTTGCTCAAATATATATATATTGATTTATTTATTTATTTGAGGAATGGTGGATAGTAATCAAGATACAAGTTGTTAATAAAAATAAAATAAAACATGAGTTTTATCACGTGAATCTATAGAGTGGCAGCACAGACCATGACTGCCAAAAAAGACTGTAGATATTTTATTTTATTTTATTTTATTTTATTTCGACAAATTTGTACAGCTTTTAATTAAAGAAAAATAAACAGACAGGCACACCTTTTTATTATTATTATTATTATTATTATTGGTATTATTTTCAAGTACCTGTACCTGTTACCTGTACCAAATTCAAAATAACGTATGCCAAATGTCAGTCATAATTATAGTCACAGTACCTGCATCTCTCTCTTCTTCTCCTTCTCCTTCTTCTTTTGTTATAAAATACATTGAATTCAATTGTGTATTGTATATTGTGTATCAAAGCTTTAATATAGATATATTTTTTAAAATAAATATATATATAAAAGTGCACACACACACACACACGTCAATGGTCAAAAAAGAAATTATTTAAATGTAACTCTGTGTGTGTGTATTTGCGCGCGCGCGTGTGTGTGTGCGTGTAAGGTGTTCTGGAAAATAAAATAAATATCTTGGTTACAAGACATCCACATTAGGAAAGCCATGTAGCATTCCATTTTTGTAAAAAAGAAAAAAAAAGCGTACCTTTAAACAGGATGTCATGATTACAGGTTACTTTTGTAAGATGAATATAATATAAAATAATATAAATAAAAATAAAAATCATTTTATATTATTTTACATAATTTGATTTTTCTTTCTTTCTTTGCTCTCTATGTTGGCGGACATATCCTGGGGCCAGTTGTACAAACAGAATAAGTACTAGTCGGAAAGAGGACACCGAGGAGATCTTTTTTAAAGGTAACCTAGCAACCAAAAAAAAAACATCATTTTCGTACTTCTTTTTTGTTGTTGTTGTTGAAAGAATTGAAAGAATAAATGTAGGAAAATAAAATGAGAAAATAGGATAGAATGAAATCAATCATTAAAACGGCCCGTGTATTCCGTCAATAGGTTATCTGTATGTATTTGTGTATAAAAATACATATTTTGCTCATATATAGATATATATCCGATTCTTTATTTACCTATTTATTTTTATATATCTATCCATGTACAAAGAAGAGGTTGAAAACTAAAAGTGTTTATATATGTATTTGTGTGTAAGTATCTATGGTTGTTGTTGCTGGCGTTTTTGCTATGTTTTTTTTTTGTATATTATATGTGTGAGAGAGAAAGTGGGAGTTTTTAAATTATAATCTGTTTTTAGCACATGAATTGAGAGCTAGTGATTGTACGCGCACACGTAAATGCAAACCTAAATATCTAATTATATAATAAAGAGGTGTATAAATTGATATAAAATGAGATGATATAATATGTATATAATTTATTCTTGACCCAGACCTTATATGTGTATATATCTACAATGTGTACAATATATTTTTTATAATATAATAATAAGCTCTCCAATTGTGTATTATTTTGGATTACAGTAACAAGAGTTGATAGTTTACACCAAAACCAAAATCCTAAAAAAAAATCTATGCAAAAAGAAATAAATAAATAAACAAAGCATAATGGGTTTGTAAATAGAAATAAAAGAAAAAGAAAAAAAAGTCATAACCAGGATTTATCTCTACCTTATTTGTCTATATATATATATATATATTGAGTGATTTACATTTAAGGGGAGGAGATCATAGTAATAATAAAGTAACAAATTAGGTGGAATGGATATAAAGGTCATAATAATGGTTACCATGGCTACAACGGTTGCCATGGCTGCAATGACCTCAATTGCTGAGGGCGGTGGCAGTGGCAGAGAAAGCTAAAGAAGATAGAGAAGATAAAGAAGGTATATAGATAGAAGCAAGAAATAATAATAGTAAAAAGGGAACCCAGACTATTGAAAGTACAAACCTTATATATATATATATATTATATAATATATATAATATTGGGGGAGAGGGGGAAAGGAAAGGGTGTTTTTTTTCCTACTACTGCTACTACTACTGCTACTACTACTGCTGCTACTACTGCTGCTACTACTAATAATCAATTTAAGGCACCGATATCCATCAAACTAAAAAAAAAAAAAAAAAAAAAGTATAAAGGAAGCCATTAATTCAGTTCAACCGAGGTCAAACTCTCTTGACCTTCTCTTTCTAAATATCTTTTCTTGTTCTCTTTGGATATCATACACTTACATACATAATACTCTCTTGATCTCATTCTTGATCTCATTCTTGATCTAATCATCACTGTCACTGTCACTGTCACTGTTGCTTCTACTTTGTTCTTCTTCATTTTATTTTAATATTATACATATATAAACTCATCTACGTACAATGTCAATTCTCGGCAAACTTGGATTGGGAAAGAAAAAGAGTACCAAAAAACAACAACAACAGCAACAACAACAACAGAGACGTTCTACATCCAATCCTCACTCTCACTCACCTACGTCATCGCTGGCATCGATCTCAACCTCATCTTCATCCTCGTTCTTACCAACCCCACAAGAGACCTCACCCGTCGAAATCCGGGCAATATTCCGAACTCTTGAATTAGCCTGGTACTATCGCACACCGGCCTTACCGGGCCAGTCAGACGACAGTAACCATAGCAACTGGGCACGTTTTGACCAGTCCAATGAAGACCGAATCGAAGCAGCCTACGGAACCAATCCGTCCTGTGTTCTTTCTTCCACTGCAGTCGGACCATGTACGATTTTCTTTTCAGAGCCCTTGCCCAAACCGCCCAAAAGAAGACCGTCGACCCTCATACACTCGTTCTCGGAGCGTCAAAAGGCCCACTTTTCTTCGATGCCTTCATTGAATATCCAAGCCCTGTCCCAAAAGAAAGAACCGACAGATATTATGGCCGCAGCAGCAGCAGTTGGATCGGTTTTGGTTCTCGACAAGGACGTTCGGCGTTCTGTTGCACCAGTCTGGTGGTTTGAACATGATAGTCTGGAAGACGGTTCAAAGGGCATGTACCGATTCGATCATAGAAATCAGGCGCGCCTCGAGGCACTGTCGGATGATCGGACCCGGCTGGTCCTAACGGATACTGTGATTCCTCGACCTTTTACTGTTGTGCTGGAAAACAGCAGTGGCAAATCAAGAGATTCGCCAGAAGAAGTCCGGGGATATCTCTATCAAGAACCGGCCGCATTCTATACACAGGATATGTTTTTACCTGGTGTTGACTATCCTTTCCATGAACAGAAGATGATGATTCACAAGCCAAATTCGTACGATGATTATAATAGTAACAGCATAAACAATCCTAATAGTTTCATTAGAAGTAGTAAAAGCACTAAAAGTAGTAGTGGTAGCGGTAGCGGTAATGGAAATAGCAATGATCTTGACATTGAAATTATTAGCAATAATAATGATATGGATCATCATAATGTTCTTGTTACTGCTCCTACAGCCACACCTATTGTTGCTGAAGGGGGGATTTGGGGAGAAGGTCTTGTACGAAGATTTACATTATAAAAAGAAGAAGAAGGAGACTTTTTTTTTTTAAAAAAAAAAAACACCCCCCCCCCCTTCCTTCCTTCCCTTTGAATTTTTATTTTTTATTTTACTATTAACACAATGTATATTTATTTATTATTCGAATATGTTTTCTTATTTAAATTTTCAAATCTTCAACCTCATTTCTTTCTTTCTTTCTTTTCATTATTATTATTTTATATCCATAATCTCATTAACATATACACACAGGTATTCTGTTGTTGTTTACAAATTCATTACACTACACTACATTGCATTGCATTACATTGCCTTACATTACATTAAATTATATTATATATTTTTTTGCCTCACTGTATATATATACACAATACCATATCTTTTTTTAAAAAAATAATAAAAAATTCAACATATTTTATATACGCAAAATCTTGAACTTTAAAAAATAAAAATAATAAAATAGATTGAGATTGAGATTCTTTAAATTTAAATTTATATATATATATATATATATTGAATTTTCAAAATGGGTAACTATGGTAACAGAAAATAAATAAAATAAGAATCAATAGATAGATGCATGAGAGAAAAAGAAAGATAAGAACAAGTTATTTTTATACTCTTGTTCCCTGCGCCACTACTACTATTATTATTATAAGAACAACAACAACAACATAATTTGAAAGTATGGGTGCGTATATATATATATATATTTGAAGTAGGGATAGTTACACCCGACTAGTGGAACTGCGTATATATAATATAAAAACACATGCTAAAGAATTGACATTTTATCCCCAACACCAGTAACACCAGTGACAATAATGATAATACTATTTAAAGCAAAGAAAGCTGGTTTTGCACACCATCGAATTACCCTTTTGTGTTTAATAAAACCATTGACATTGACATTGACACTGACACTGACATAAGAATTGGGATTCATAATAATTATAACTATAGTAATGGTAAAGAAAAGGTATTGGTGGTGGTAGTGGTAGTGGTAGTGGTAGTGGTAAAGAACGGGTTAATTGGTGAAACATGTTCTGGTTGATTCTTATTCTTATTCTTATTTTTATTTGTTTGGTAAGATGGATAGGGTAACATTGTCAATTGAGTCAGGTCCTTTGCACACACGCACATATATATCCATATACATAAAATACACATGTAAATTGATATAAAGATTGATAAAGAAATATATTCCTGTCTGTATTTCCTAGACTTTTGATGCATGTATGAGATAAGATATATATATGTATATAGTCTTTATTTATTCTGTCAATAATCTTGTGGTACAATTCACAGATCTGTTTATTACAAAGTAAATAAAAAAAAACAAAGAGACAGATCTGATCTGTGTAAAACAAGATTCAAGCGACTCCTTTATATGTATAAATTATTCAATTTTTCATTTAATTCATTATTATTAATTGGTAAATTAGGTGGATCAATTAAGAGAATAAACCATCTATTTAATGATAGTATTAATTAATTAATTAATTAAATAATTAAATATCATCACATAATAATTGAAAAAAGTTCATTCAATGCACGTTGAACTTGCTGCATATATCTAGTCAATGTTTGAACAGACGACAATTGATTTTGATTATCTAAACTTTTCCTCTTGACATTCTCCTCCTTTTTTTACTCTCTCATTATCATTATGATCCTTTTTATGACATCGCTTTAAGGTAGTTGTGGTCAAATAGATGATAAACTTTGCTCTTGTACTAGTGAGACAGCTATGAGTATAACCAGATCATAGGAGTTTATGTCCTGTGAATTAATGGAATTAGTATGAATCTGTATTTCTTTTTACTTTGAAAGCTAGCTGTGGTTTGACCAGAAATGGGTTTTAGAGGTAAGTTATCAACATATCCGTTACCTAGCAACTTCTTTTTTTTTTCTTCTTCTTTCATTGTAGTATATATATATTCTAAAGTTGCGATTGTTTTTGTTTTTATTTTTAGAATGTGCGATATTGTTTCTCTAAAATATTTAACCGTAACAAAAACTCTCCTGCTTTTTGTGCAAAATCACAATTCACACATGACACTACTTTTCTTTTTCTTTTTTATATGTATAAATTTGGAAGACACCAATAACAAACAATCCACAGATAAAAGATAATTGGATTATTAATGATGATGATGTTGTTGGGGTTATAGAAATCTAATATACTTTACCATCTTTGATCTACAGACGATCCATCAAAAAAAAAACAAGAAAGAACAGCAATAGAGACACCGTAGAAAATGATATAGAATTGACTGTTTGCTCATCATTTTAACGTGCTTATTAGATTTCAAATAAAATAATAATAATTTTTCTTTTATGTATATAAATAAAAAGTCATATTATAAAATAATAATAAGTTAAAAATAGAATAAAATAGAATAAAAAAAAAAAAAAACCTCTTTGAAGGAGGGGGGGATCCTAGAGCTGGAAATTTGTTGCGCATCTGTTGCTTATGTGCGTTGTGTGTAGTGTAAAGTGAATGGGTTATTGGTGTTTTATAAGCAATAATATTTATAAGCTTTTTCTATCTTGTTCTTTTTTTTATATATATATATTATATTTTTATTTATTTATTTATATAGGAATTTTTTGTTGTTGTTCTGTACAGAGGACAAATCCAACTCACCTACTCTATAAACATCTTTTGATTTCTTTAAATAGAGTGTGAAAATGTGTGTGTGTGTGTGTGATAGAGGAGGAGGTGGAGGAGGAGGGGGGCGTGGGAGAGAAATGAGAGGAGAGATAGAGAGAATGTATAAAGTGTAAAGTATAGTATAGTATAGTGTGTAAAATGTAAAGTGAGAGAGGTAAGATAAAAGATAAAGATAAATAGATAATAAGTAAATGATGGGAATGGTGTGGTAAGATTTGTTTTTTTTTTTTTTTTTTTTTTTTTGCTTTTTTGGGGGGAGGGGGGCTCATATATTGTTATTAGTTGTTTGGACTTGACTTATGCACTCAACAGGACCGGACTGGATGGAGAGGATGTCGGACCAGCCGACTGTGAGGAAGTATCGATGAGTGGGAAATGAAGCCGGTGGAATTGATTGGTTGGACCAGAACACATGGTTAATATTGACTGGCAGTCTGTGGTGGCTGTTGTGGTAGCTGTTGCTGTAACTGTTGATGTAGCGGTTGTCTGTTCTGACTTGACATCGACCATCATCAGTCTGGGTTTCTTGGAATCTGGCTGGAGAATATCGGACTGGACCAGAATGGCCAGCACTTGACCATCATCCTTGTCCTTTTCACTCTCATATTCACTTTCATACTCTGTCTCTGGCCGTTTCTTTGGTAAGATAGACTGATCATCGTATTCTTCTTGCTGGACTTGCTGGGCTTGAGTCCAGGCAGCCATTCGGTTCTGTTCTTCGGTGATTAAGCGGACAAGAGAAGACAGGTCATCTTCCAACAGACCGGCTTCTAGAGGTGTGATTGATTCCGGAAGATCAAAGGAGTCTGATAGGATTGGTGAGTCGATTTGGGGCTCGAGATGGCCAGAGTAAGAATAGGACGATGGATTTGTTGTATTTAGGGTTGGTTCTGATTTTGATTCTGGTTCTGGTTCTGGCTCTGGTGTTGATGTTGTTAAGAGAGTATTATTATTATTATTATTATTATTATTATTATTATCAGAGACCTCGTGATTGAGGCTTCTAAAGGACTTTGCGTCATCAAGCCATGACCAGTCGCAGGGCGTGAGGACCGAAGATGGTAACGGGGTTACCATGGGATCATCGTCTTGGTTACTGTTGAGCAATTTGTTATGGTGAGAGTAGGAAAGTATTGATGGTTGTGATTGTGATTGTGAGGTAGGATCGATGTGTAGGCCAATATCCGCAGCCGTAGTAGGTGGGGAAATGTGTTTTTGGTGACCAATGATAATACCATCATCATTGAGATCAATGTCGATATCACTTGTGGTCTGGAAGATGAATGAATCAAGTGAAGACGAGATTTGGTCATCTTGTTCTATATGGTGGTCGAGTGTGTTGCTGATTGTATTGGGGTTGGTGTCGTTGACGGTGGAAGTAGCCAGGAGGAACCAATCGTCCAATGCATTTGTAGAGGGGGAGGAAGTCAGAGAGGCGATGGAGGATTCATGAGTCTGGGCAGCAAGATTGATTTCCTCTTGCTGTTCACGGACATTGTTCCAGAGTCTAAAGGTCAAGAGGTTGAGTTAAAATAAAAAGAGAGAGTTTTTGAATTGAATTGAAGTTTGTATGTATGTATTTTATATAATACTATCTCTCTCTCTCTCTTTGTATATGTATTTCTCCTTTTTTTTTTTTTTTTTTTTTTATTGAATATCATGTTTTCATTGGTTTTACAAAGATTTCAAAATATATATATATATAAAAGATGACAATGAAATAATAATAGAAATAATCTTTCTCTTGTTTGGCTTACCTGGTCACCAATAATATCCTTTCCAGAGGAACCTCAGTTTTCACAATGACTGGAGGGTATATCTTGTTGTGACTGGCGTTGGCCAAACGTTTCAAAAGAAATACTTTAGCTGTAGTATCCATCATTGATTATTTGTTTTTTTGGTTTTTTTTTTTTGGTTTTATTTCTTAGGAAAAATATATATATATATAAAAAAGAATTAATCAATTAAATAATTTTATATATAAAAAAATATAAAAGAAAGAAAATTATTCTTATTACTATTAATTGAGAAAAAAATGAAATCGGTTCTTTTTTTTTTTTGTACAAAAAAAAAATAAGAAAGAGAATAGAAATGTTGTATGTATAAAAGGGCCTTTTTGTCCTTTTTTTTTTTTGCTTAAAAAAATAAAATAAAAGAAAACGGATGAAAAGCGAGCAAGCAGGCAAGAAGAGAGAGAGAGAGAAAAAAAAAAGTAAAAAAAAAAATCGAAAAAGAGAGAAAGAAAGAATCAAAAAAAAAGTGGGAAAATGAAAAAAAAGGTCAAAATATATAAATTTTCTAAAAAAAAAAAAAAGAAAAAAAAAAAGGGAGAGAGAGAAAAAGAATAGGGATGGAAAATAGTATAAGCATTAATGTGAGCCAATAGCTTGTAATCGGCGAATGAAATGCATTTTAAAAATAAAAATAAATTATATTATATACGCACACCGTGTGATGCAATCATTTAAGCTCCACGTTCTCTGTTCCTCACTAAGCTTCTTGACTTGTGGTTTACTTATAACAACAGCAACAGCAACAATAACAGCAACAATAACGATTGAATGATAATTGGTTATCAATTATTTATTTATTTATTTTATTAACAATTATCAACTATACATATTGTATATATTATATAATAATAAAATTATCACTATTCATTTCAAAAAAAAAAAATTCTATTAAATCGAATGATTCATTCATACCCTTTACTTACTTATTTAATTTATTTATCTCTTATATAAATAAATAAATAATTATCCAATAAAAATAGGAAATTGATTTTGTACCAGACAAATGTTAAAAAATGATCTTGGATTACAGTTGGACAACCAGCAAGAAAATTATCAATATTGATTGGTCTACATTGATCTACAATAATTTCATATCCTCTATTTCTTATCATGTTGTTAAATGGTACAAAATGATTCCATACCCATAATTCTATGATATTCTATTATAAATTATGTAGTTCTGATCACATACTTTAATTTGATTTGATTTAATTTTATTTGATTTTATTATCATAATGAAAATAATGAAAATAACGAAAAGTATGCTACAAAAATATAAATGATAAATTCACTGGTTCTTGAATTCTTTTGATTATTCAATGATGTGCCAGAACTGATGTACGACTGATCGCCAAAGGGTTCCTTGTCCAACGTTGCATCCAGAACAGGGCCCGTGACAGAGCCGGATGTCCCGACAGCCTGCGCAAAGCCGATCTGATTCTTGCCCATGTCAAATACTAGGTAGGTTGCCCGCAGAATAGAGTCTCCGACCAGAATCATCTCTGACCCACTCAAATTGTTCGTCTGCTTGTCCTTGGCTGGAATCCATGGTGCGATCCCAAACACACACTCTCTTGCCCGCTCCCGCTTCAAGCCTCCCAGAGGAATTACCAGCTCACGCACCGGAACACTCACGACCACCGGCGTGCTGGTCAGCTTCATCGCTCGCTGCGATAACCGGATCTCGACCGCTCTGTCGAGTCGGTACACTCCACACTCGACCCGGTACATCTCAATATCGGCATCGTAGCTCCAGTTGCCGCTCCCAACCGCCGCATCCACAAGCTTTTCGGCTAGGCTGGCATCAACATAGGTCATCGTGGTCCCGGTGTCAATGATCACATTGCGAGGCTTTCCGAGATCATAGTCCAGTATCACCTCTCCACTCTCCTCAGAACCTCTATTCATCTGATAGTCCAGCACTCCAAACGACTGGCCAGTAACCATCCAGTACTTCAAAAGATCCTCTGGTCTGGTCTTGCGGGTCTCCATATACGAAACCGGCACATAGACCAGCTCTCCCTTGTGCCGTGTATGGTCCACTCCGCCAAGAAGAAGCTCGCCAGTCCAGCCAGAGCGCTCCAGGTGGCTCATGAAGATCGAAAACACCGGCTCGTCAATCAGATCTTGCTTATACAGATTGAACACAAACGGATCGTAGCTGCCCAAACCAGTGCCCGAGGCTGATGTCAGGCCAGGATAACCAAGTCCAAGGATCCCGTTTGGATAGACATTAAGGCTGGCTGGCGGATGCTTCGATCCAGTCCCTCCATTGGTAATGATGTCCTTTGTCGTCGATGCCAGGCCAAACTGCTGGCCTTCCACAACCACATCGCCAATCTGAACAGTATCCTTGGCATAGTAACCCTGCGCACTACCCAGCCCATAGTTGATCTGGAACGGGTAGTTTGTGTCGACAAAGCTAGATGATTTCTCGGGGTTGAATCTTGACAGATTGCATTCTTCCTTGGCGCAATCGACAGAGGGTATCCACAGATCAGAGCTATAATAAATTTATTTATTTAGATAAATAAATAAATATATATATAAGTTACCTTCCAGTATCCAAGGCAACAGTAAAGTTTTGTGGAGGTGTACCGATGCTCACTTTGATAATGTATTCAGAACCATCGTTAAAGAGAAAGGCAGAGTCCCTTTTCAAAAGACTCTTTGTAGAGCCGGATATATGTACAGAAGAAGAAGAAGAAGAAGAAGAAGAATATGTAGAGGAAGGTTGTTTCTCAATAGGAAAACGAAGAATACGAGATTGACTAGCATCAGAAGCTTGAATGAATAGAATTATGCCAAAAAGGCAGAGGATTTTAGACTTGAGGTTAAATTGGGATTGCATAGTGATCAAGAAGGAAGATAATAAAGAAGCTTTTTTTTTACGGTTATTGCTTGAGTGATATAGAGAGAGAGATAAATAGATAAATAGAAAATAGAAACAGAAAAAAGAAGAGAGTATCAGTTGCAAGAAATAAAGGCTTTTATATGTATTCAGAATGAAACAAAAAAAAATAGCAGAAAATTCATGCTCTTTTAATATGTTTTGCATAAAGAAAAAATTATGATTATTTATAATGACATGTATACCGATGATGACAAGGGCAGCAAATAATGATAGCAGTAGTGATAATGCTGATGGTGGTGAGACTGAAACTGACAGACAGACAGTGACAGTGATAATCTATATAAATAAAATAAAGTAATCAAAACAAGGCATTCAGTACTCAGATAAAACATGGCCTATTCTCATCAATAATTTGTACTTCTTCTTGGTTCTTCTTGGTTCTAGCTGTACTTTATTTTACATTATGAAAAACATACTTACTTACATACTTACTTACTTGTACACAAAATTCTTAAAAAAATAAAATAAAAAATTATACGGCTAAATAAGGCTATTAATAGACAGTCACAATTAATCTGTGTTGCATAAATACACAAATGCATTGTATATATGTATTGTATAGATTTAAATCTGATAAACTCTATCAACAATAGGCTTTTATATCTATATCTTGCCTTTTCTTTATCATTCTTCTTAGCCATATGGACATGGGTATCTGACTACCCTTTTGCTTATATAAATAAATATTATCTACAAAATTTATGCAGATCTCAAACTAATAAGAATAATGAGAAACAGAGATTTATTTACAGCCAAGTCCGAAACCCGGCTCTTAGAATCGGCAGAACAATACCAAATAAGATATATATACATATATGAAACGTGGAAGATCATCGCTTAATAACACCCCTCCCTAACCTATACAAAAAAGAGAGAGAGAGAGAGAAATAGCTATGGTTGCAAGTCACGCAATTGTTTGCTTGTAATAATCTTTTATATATCGAATTTTTATAGCATTAAATGGAATATCAATAATAATAAATAAAATTAGATTTGAATAGACTGTATTTTGATAGTAGATTAGAGCCAAGTTTTATCATTATCATTGATATTTTAAAAGTTAGTTAGAACCAAGACAAAAAGTCCAAGACCAATAGCCTGGACACACTGTCTCATGTCATGGGTACCAAGTGATCCGGAAGTGTATCCCGACCCACTCTGGTTTGAACTTTCTGTCCCACCTCCTCCGTTTTTACTGCTATCCACACCATTGATACCTCCTCCGACTCCAACCGAAGTAGCCAGTCCGATCTGATTCTGGCCCAGATCAAAGACGAGGTAAGCACTACGCAAGAACGAGTCACCGATCAAGAACATGTTTGATCCAATACCGGCCCCGGTCGTCATGGTGGGCGCGATGCCAAACAGACAGGTCTGGGATGTCTCGACCGTCTCTCCGTCGACCGGAATGACCAGCTCAGATGCCGGGACGCTCAAGACAACAGGGTTCTGAGAGGTCTGGCTGGACGATCTGGACATCAGCAGCTCGACTGTTCCGTTGGAGCTGGCGGCCGAGCACTCGATCAAAATCACGCCCGACTGGCGGTCGACCTTGTATCCATCCTCGCCCGCAAAGGACGACGCAATGTCGGTTGCGATGTTGAGTGGTAGGTAAGTCAAGGTGGTGCCGGTATCCAAGATAAATCCACCGGTGCTCTTGAGCTTCCAATCGTGGTCCTTGATTCCATTGCGTACAGCAATACCTTGTCCATAAACCATCCAATAATAGTAAGAAGAGTCTGCTCCAGGTGTATTGCTGTCATTTTCACTATCACTGCTTCCCACATTTCCACTTCCACTTCCACTTCCGTTGCTGTTGCCGTTCTTTGTGGTCAGGCCAGCTACGGGTAAGTACTGGATATCGCCTTCATACTTTGTAGAGTCTACTCCGCCAAACATCACTTCGCCTGCCCAGCCCTCTGTGGTCGCACTGTTGAGATAGACAGAAAAGATTGGTTTCTGGATGATGTTCTGCTGGACGAGGTTAAAGACAAATGGATTATAGGGTGTTTCGTTTTCGGTTGTGGCTGCGGTCAGGGAAGGATAGCCCATACCCAGGATTCCATTGCCAGAAACCGATGGCGTCGAAGATGAGTTTGCTCCAGAAGGTAAGGCCAGGATTTCCTTTGTTATGGTTGCCAGTCCAAACTGCTGGTTTTTTACTGCTGCTCCGGCCACCGTTACTGTGTCGGTTGCGTAGGTTCCGTTCACACTGCCGATACCGTACTGGATTCCAAACTTTTCGTTCAAGGGTTTGAAAGTAGACGACTTGGCTTCATTGAATCGAGTGAACGGACAAGATCTTGCTGGGCATTTACTTGAGGGAATCCAAAGATCAGCACTGATTTTTTTTAAAAAAATAAAAATAAGAGAGTTAATATTATTTATTTATATATTTATTTATTTATTTTTCTACCTTCCAGTGTCAAAAGTAACTGTGAATTTCTGGGGCGGTGTCCCAACTCCAACTTCGATTAGATATTGTGATGATTGGTCGTTGTAGAGACGTGTATTGGGCGAGTCTCTTTTGGCTATATGTGAATGCCTAAGACGTGCAGCCTCGAGTGGATTTAATTGAACTGGGTTTCTAATCAATGGAAATCGAAGGACTGAGTCAGGGTTGTCTTTGGCAGCTTGGGTTAGTGTAACAGCTGAGGCGGCTACACACAGAATGGAGGCAATGATATGCATCAGGAGGCTCTGTTTGTTTGTTTGTTTGTTTGTTTGTTTGTAAGGCAATAAATAAACAAAATAAAATTAAATAGAAATACAATAGAAATCTTGAGCGGTGAAAAATAATAATAAAAGAAGTAGTAGTAGTAGAAGAAGATGATTATGAGAAAGGTTTGTCAAGGGAAAAGATACAGATTGGTGGAAAAGAAAGAAGAAATAAAAAAAAATAAAAAAATAGAGAGTAATTATGATGATTATGATGATGATGATGGGTGGGTGGAGTTTTATGTCTTCAAGTCTTTCTGTCTATGCGGTGTCTGTCTGTCTTTAATACTTTCTTGATTGTCATTTGTAGTCGATCCTTCCGAGGAACAATAATGATAGCAATAGTAAAGCTTAGTAATAAACACCGCCTATAATCTACTTGCTCGATTCTTTCTGTTGTTTCTTTACCTATTCTCTAGTCAAAATGAGCACATTGCTTCATTACTCCTCTTATTTACTATGAGAAATCTCTTTAAAGTTCAAGTCAATTGGATTGTAGCCTTTTTATTTCATAACCAGCAATTATTACTATTATAATTTTTTTTTGCAGAAATTGAATAGTCATGACATCAACCATGGCTCAATAATCTGTACAATAGACAGGCTGCATAATTTATACACACACTAAATAGTGGTACAAATGTCACACATAGATAATGTACCTTTTATACTAAATACTTTCAGACAACACACACATACAATAAGTGCTTTAAGAGTCCGTTTATCTTTTCTTACACATCAAAAAGTTCTATTTTTTATATTTTTACTATTGCAGAAAAAGCACAAAGCCTAGGCAATCGATAAATAAATATAATTATTTAATTCTATATAGAAACCACTCCATTTTGATCCCTAATGAGACAAGAATCTCTAAATGTAATATAAGATCATAATCGTGTTTTGGGATCCTAACACCAAAGAAAACCACTTTCAATATAAATATCTATTTAATTCTTCTAGCTTTACTGTCCAATCTTATTTTGGATCTGAGGGCTTCATTTTTGTGTGGCAGCCTTTCACTCTCCAGCCACAGTAGGCTCACAGTGTGGCGAGGATCCACCAATAAAATCAAAGAAATAAAATAAAATAAAATTAATTGATTGTTATTGGAATTGATTGTAAAGAGTGAAAGTCTGTTCAATTTTTTTTTTCTTTTGAAAACAGAGATTCCCTAAAATTCAATAGTATCATTAAAGAGATTTACCAACAAAGAATGGCCATTTGATTGACCTTTTTCCATTTAAGAAATATGTAATTTATATATTTATAAAAAAAAAAAGCACAAAAACCCAACAACTATTACAAATATATCACTCTTGGTTCTGTAGCTAAAATAACTATAGCTAAGCAGCGACTGTGCATCAGATATTGGCACAAAACTACTGCCGTTCTTGTTTGGCTGTGTGGTTGTGGTTGTGGTATCAGTATCAGTACCAGTACCAATACTTCCATCAGCACCACCATTGGTAGAATTGGTATTGATAGCCGGTGCAATTCCGATCCGATTTTTGGACATGTCATACACAGTATAGACAGATCGAAGAACCGACTGTCCGATAACCCATGTTTCTTCGGCCGGCACAATCGAGTCCTGGACAGAGGGCGCGATTCCAAACATGCAAAGCTTGGAGTTTGCTAGAGTGGTTCCGTCCAGGGGAATGACGAGATCCACAACAGACACCTTGACTATGACAGGCCTGGTTATGTTTGCCTTGACAGATGTGGACAGATGGAACTCGACAAATTCAGAGGTTGCCTTTTGGCCAAAGTCACACCCGACACGGTAGACGCCGTTGTAAGTGTCAAACACGACCTTGAGAACATCGCCCGAAAGAGAGTGCATGATGCTGTCCGATACGTTGCTGGGTACATATGTTAGGGTGGTTCCGGTGTCAAACGTGAATGGTCGTGGGTCAGACATATTATTTACATATCCACCGTTACTTGTCGCAACACCCTGGCCTGGTACGGACCAATAGAGATAAAGAGAATCGGCAGTCGTATGGGTCGATCCAACGTTTGGGACGAGGATGGTGCTAGTACTGCTGATGTTGGTGTTGATGTTGGTTATGCTATCCGTCTCTAGACGGTAGCTAACCACAGGCACGTATTCAAGAGTTCCATTGTACTTTGTCGGATCTGTTCCACCAAACGTAATCTCGCCAGAGTTGCCATAGTTGAGCAGAGAGTTTAGATAGACAGAAAAGATTGGGTTACTGATGATCTTTGCCTTGACAAGGCTGAAAGCAAACGGAATATCGCCGTCTACTCCACGCACTGTGTTTAGACCGGGGTAGCCGAGACCCAGGATTCCGTTTGATTGTTCACCTGATTTGACGATGCCAAGGATGTTCTTTGTCGTATTGACCAAACCAACCAATTGATTGTCGATTGTCGCATTTCCAATCCGGACCGTTTCGTACACATAGGTTCCGTTTGCTTGTCCGACACTGTACTGGGCCGAAAAGGTCTTTGAGGTGATATTGAGAGAAGAAGATTGGGTTTGATTGAAACGGGAGTAAGGACACATGTCAACAGAGCATTCTGATGAAGGCACCCATAGTTCGCTACTATTGATTGTAAATTATGGCAGATATTTAACAACAACAGTATTTTTGGTTGGTTATCCACTTCAAAACTATCAAGCATAGATATTGATATGTGTGTACCTTCCAGTATCCAAGGTGAGATCGAATTGCTGAGGTGGGGTACCGATTTGGACCTGGATAATGTATTCTCTTCCGCTTGCATTGTAAAGAGAAGCGGTATTGTTATTGTCGCGCTTGTTTAGGACCTGTTCGCCTGCGATTGATCTCTGTACAGCGGCAACATGACCATTTTCGGTACGACTTATGGATACTCTAATTGGATGCTTGGCAAAATGTTGGTCGTACGAAGAAGGGAGAGCTTGGATCAGTGGTAAAATATATAATGTGGCTGCAAATAATGTGCTGATGAAATACATGACCGTGAATTCTGCTCAGGATGAAGATAATGATTGAATGATTGGTTGAGTGAATGAATGTGAGGGGATAAATATGTGTTGAGTTGAATGGCCAGGGCAGGCTGTGAATGTGAATGTGAATGTGAATGTGACTGTGACTGTATATGGGGAGTAGGTATTATGTATAAAAAATGAAAAGAAGAGAAAGGTATAGAAAGGGAAAGAAAGAAGAAGATAAAGAGTTACCTTCTTCTACTGCACTATAATTCAAGATCTGTATTTCAATTCTAATGTACGTGTGTATTTATGTATGTATTTGTTTGGAAAATTAGGATATGCCATAGTTAAATAATAGAATAAAATAAAATAAAAAGCAGCTCTTTAGTGTAATGGTACACAGGAGAGAAATCTGTAATGTAAGGTCGTGTTTTCTTGACACAAGCATCCAATTAGACTACAAATCTGATCTGGGTAACTGAAAATCAATCGATACAATCAATACAATATAAAAGAAAGAAATAATATATATATATATATATATTTGAATTTGATCTCCAATAGAATCGTATATATTGGGCTAATAAAGAACTGTCTGATTACTTCTTTTATTAATAGTTATAATATTCCATATGTTCCATACACACAATTTACAGGCTTGTCAATTATTCAATCAATTCTGGACCATTGGGGCACTGTACCCACAGATACATACAAACTAGATAGCTTCTCTCTTTATTGAGAGAGCGGATTTTCACGAGGCCACATATTACAATGCAAGCAAAGGGAATACACGTGAATCTATTTGATTACCATTATTCTTTGCACAAAATACATACGTTTTATTTATATTTTGTGCTAATAATTAATTATTGTGTTTCTTTTTTCTTTTTTAGTCTGCCCATTAAACCCCGGGTTTACAAAGCTTCTTTATAAATAGACGCACACACAGTAGATATACCAGCCTCAGTTCTATATTATTGTCAATATCTACTACACTTGCCATAGATCAGCATCAACGATCTACAAAGCTCTTACCCACAAATACATACATATATATATATCTCTTTTAGCTTTGATACCAGCATATTATCAAACGTAAATAATATCCTGCAGATGATTTTCTCTCTTTTCTTTTCTTTATTGATACAGACGCAATTGCCAAAAGAAGAAGAAAAAATAGGAAAGTAATATGCAACGTCTAGTATACTTTGTTTAAAAGATTCAAATCCAGTCACAACATCTAAGCGTCACCAATCTTTTTTTTTTTTTCTTACAAGACCAACGTCTTTGTCCTTCATTCCAAGCAATTCAGGCAATTTACGTTCTCAATCAAACCTCCATCTTTCGAATGAGTATGCTTAGAAACCCCAGGTCTCATTCTCATAATTTTTCCTCGAGCAAATGTCTATTAATTAATTCAAGCAACACCTGGTCTCATTTCGATAACTACAAAAGGCATGCTGAGGAAGGCATATTACTTCCATCTCCTACCCAGCAAAATTAGACACACTCCGTCAGACGCTACACCCGAACATCAGTCTTGGAAAATAATTTAAAATACACACATATATACAGTGAGAGCTTGTGATATCAGGAATATCGATAAGCAGAACAAAAAAATAAAAAGGAATGACCATGTAAACAGATGCCAAAAGAAAATTAATGAGGTTGAGCGATGTCTGCCGTCCTTATTACAATATTCCACTGCTACTACAGCGGGTCAGAAAGACAGGAAAGACTGTTTGAAGACAAAGTCTTAGTGAGACCGCCATATTGCATGTGCTGTGATAAGCTACCAATAAGAAGAGGAAAGAGAGAAAAAAAAAAGGCTTGGAGCAGTAACAGAGTACAGACTAAAGCTGTATATATAAAATGTATAAAAATATGAATTCAATATCTCTGGTAGGGCTAATACACAGTTGAGTATTATTTTTGTAAAATAAAATAAAATTTATTTGAGCCCAAATGATTTTTAAAGCCCAGAGAATCTAATCAGATAGTAAATGGTTTTTATTTTTTAAATTGATTTTGATCTTTTGCTGGAGTGCATAGATAGACAGTGTATTTGGGGTAGCAAATAAAATATAAGAAAAAGTAATGAGTTGAGATTATTTGCACTACTGATATATAGCAAATACTTACTGTCTGTTGGGTGTCAATTGTAATAGTAGTAATGGTGGTAATAGGCTTATAGATTACAAAGAAGAAAAAGGTAGTCTCTGTAATACTCTTTTAAATAGCCTCAAAATGAATAAAGTATCCCAATTCACGCCAAGAGAATGACTGTAGCAAACGGAAACAAACCAAAGAAAAAAAAATAGATAATTATAGATATTACAACAGGAACAACCCGGGTTTGTTGCAAATTTGAAACAGCTATTCAAAAAGAAAGGAAGAGAACAAGTTCCTCTAAATAGTCGTATAGATTGTCATTCTAAAGGGTCTTTCTTATAATTAATTGATCTTGATGACGAAAATAAGCTTCCAAGACATGTATGAATTTTGTATAGAGAATCGAAAACCATGTGCAGAAGATTATGTATATTCTGAAAGACAAGTGTAATCTTCTATGATTTGTTCATAATCAAATTTAATCTTTTCTTCTTTGGAAAGTTTGTTTCAATAGATTCAATATAGGCTCCTAAATCCACGTTATGCTTGTGTAGCTGACCACAGCCTTCATTCTTGAGCTGTCCTCAGCCATTGATGTCCAATTACTGATAGGCTCTGTTTTGGAGTTCGTTGGAACAGATCTATGAATAACTAGTCCCCCAGTACACATATAGCCAAGCATACTGACAAGAGGCTTTATACCTCTTGGCTTCTAGCTTACACAAAACCTTGGTCTTTAAAGCATAATATTTGTCTTGTGTATCACAAGCCACATAATCATTACCTAAAAAGAAAGAAGCTCTTGCTCACCCCTACTTAGCCACGTTGTCAATCAGCGAATGCAACCCAGAAAATACCACACACAAAAAAAAGTGCCTTTCTTTTTTGTTTTGTTTTATTTAATACCCATATATATATATATATATATATATATCAATAAAATACAAGCATGAATTAATGAATGTATTTATATAATATTTCTTTGTTCCTTTAACCTTTTTATTATTATTATTTTTTCTTTAAAAATAATGAAGACCATAATTGTATTATTTAATATTCTTGCACTATCAGCCTTGAATTGCTGTGCCCAAACATCGCTTGCTGCTCCTAGCAGAGTGAACCATACTATCCAGTCCAACAGCACCAGAAACAATTCATCTAGCCAAACCTTTCTGACCGTTCCAACAGCACAAACCTCAAGTACAGCTATTGGAACGCCTATAAACTCTTTACCAATCTCATCTAATCGTATGTCAATATCCATATGCACAATACAGAATAATAATTCCTATACAGATACCAACGCAAATCCACAGCAGCATAGATACTAACCTATGTTTTTTTTTTGGTTGCTTAGGGCCAGTTGCTTCTATTGATACCATTTCTGCCCCTCCAATTCCCAATGAAAACAATACAAACGTGTCTCAATCTGTAAACAACTTTTCGACGCGTACAAGTATAGTAAGTTTTGTTTCATATATCCAAACTGTTTTTCTATCGGTCTGTCTACCCCTTTAATTAACTCATCTAAACTAATTACAATATTTTTATACTTCATTAAAACAGGTTTTAGGCATCACACTTGGATCAATCACCCTAGTTTTTCTCCTTTTGGGGGGAGCATTTTTGTTTCTATTATTAAAAAGAAGAAGAAGAGCAAAAGAATACGCCATAAAGAGGGCAAGAGAGCTTGATTATGATGGATCGCTCCCATGGTCTCAGGCATCGATGTCGACCAACAGTCGTTCAGACTTGACCAGAAGCAGTAATAATCACGATCCGCTAGATCATCTCGATGCGGCCAGCCAGAATGAGAAATACACCAAGATATCCCTCATAGATCCGAGCCATCCGTCATTTGTCTATGCAATACGTCAGGCTGAAGCAATTTCCTCTGATCCTACATCACCAATATAAGGCTTATATGGTTTTTATTTATAATCTTTCTGGTTACTAATCCTGTATTAATAGCTTAAATAATAGCAATAGTAATAGTAATAGTAATAGTAATACTGATAACAATAAAAGTCTAAAATAAATAGCGCCCAGGCTTGGGTATGTATATAAAACAATAGCATAAAATAGTATAATTCCAATGTTAATTATCAAGCTCTGTAAGCATATCTATTAAACAAATAAAATTTGAGAATATAACATCTTGTGAATAAGCATCATGTACTTTTTATTATTATTATTATTGTGTCGCACCAAACAGAACTGCCCTGCACTGTACCTGCCCATTTGGTCTGCTTGATTTGATCCGTTAGGTTCATTGCATCTTCAGTCGTCATGCTTTCAAGAGTCAAATCCATGGTATAGTACTTTTCAAATGTGCTTTCGGGTACCAGAGGCATCTGGTGACTGTCGGAATTCTCAGGTGGAAAGACACTCAATCTGGGCCAACAGTGAAGAGAAATGGTTTTCCTGTGACCTTTTGTATTAATCAATAAACCTTTGTTAGACTCTGAGCCTACCAAAGCTAATCCAGGCTTTGGTGCAAGGTAATCATCCTTTTCGACACAAGTATGGACTGAATGTGCAGCTGTTGGGGAAGAAGACTCGGTCGGAAGTCGAGCAGGCTGCCTAAAGGTACGTTGGTGAAGGAGAGTGTCGAGCTGGGATGGTATACGCTTAAGTGTATTACAGCCACCTGGCTCATCAATAACAATCTTAGGAGCATTATCTTTTTTTTTTTATTTTTTTGAGAAAAAAAAAGGGCAAAAATGAGTAATTTTTTTTTGAATTTCCCAAAGTATAGGGTTAATGGTTATCAATATATGCAAAACTCCTTACTGTGGTTGCTGAGATCCATACTTGCGCTGTCGTTGACTAGACTTATTTGAGAAGAATGGGCTGAATGGCTATCTGGACCGTCTTTCCAATTGTCAAATATTCCCACGTCAATGACCTGGGAAACTTGCTTCTCCTGGAGCTTCTGTAGGTATCGCCGGCGTAAAATAAACATGCTAACTAGGTTTTTGATTTTTTCATTGGCGACCATTCTCAAGACTCTTTGTCGCCTTCGAGTCTGGTACACAAGTTTGTCAAACCTGCATAGATACCTAGTGATAAATACATGCATATACACAACAACAAGTTCTATAGTACGTACGTCAATGACCTGTTTATATCCACAAGCCGCAGTGCAAGAATCTCCAGCATATGATGAAACGAGATTCCATTTCGAGTAGAGACCATCATAATTTCCTGTAAAAAAAAAGAAAGTTAAATCTAGTTAAACTATCAAATTTTACTATTATTTATTTATTTATTTTTTGCTTACCTGATATACCAAATTGTATGCCTTTTTTCTTTCTTGAACAGCTTTCATATCCATGGTACCAAGCCTTTGATTTACTTTATAAAAATTGTAGAATTTTTCGCCTAATATATTATTGGCTCCGAAAGAAGATTCCAGTCTGGATTCTGAGAGTGGCACTGATGCCAAATGACTAAGGTCTGCATCCATCTGATCACTTGCTTCCAAAAGACTTTGGATACTATACTCCCTTTTATACATATGAATAGACAAGGTTCCTTTGAGCTCCTACATTAAACAAACAATCAATATATGTATACATTTTTCTCTTAAAAAAATGATCATATTAATATAGTACATACTCGCAAGAAACCAGGGACGTCTTCTTTTCTGATGTACCCAGTTGCTCTTGGATCAAATTCTGCCCAGACTTGTTTGTAACTAAAATAGAATACAAATATATGTAAATGAAACTTATTGTTGATACCATTCATCGGAAACTGTTGTCTGCGTGTGTATGCCAATTAAGGACACATTTACCTTCTCAAGTCTGACCGGGTTATTAGTGTGAATTGATTATGTTTGTCAAATGTAAAGGAGAAATTACTAATAACAATCTTTTATATATATATATATATATATATAAAAGCAGAGAAATTCAAGTGAGATTTAGCTTATTTAATTAGTATTGATAATATTACACTTACCACAGTAAAAATATTTACAAATATATAAGTACAAATGATATAAAAGATTACAAATAGTGTAAATGCTGCTGTAGGTGATCCACAGTCTTTCTCATCTACACAGTTTGGCCATGTTACAGAAAAATCACGCATCAAAAAGTCCTAATTAAAAACGAAATATTTTTTTTATTTATTCGTTTAGTCTTGACCTATCCCTATCTCTTCTTCTTTACTATGACTACTTTGTAACTCAATCTTACCCAGTTTTCTCCTGTTGTCATTCTAAATAATGTTAACATGGCTGTTTTAAGACTACGAAAATTTATATGAGGATTTCCGTATGGACCATATCGAGTAGAAGCAAACACTTCCTGAAAAACCACGGCAAAGCAAACAACAACAATAAAGAATGCTGTTGTCACGTAAATTATGGAAGGTAATGCTTTTCTGTGAATACATAGATAATTAATATATAATAATAATAATAATAATAATCAAAATGTAAGAAATAAAGATAGACATTAATAATTTTTGAAACATATTTACTGTATGGCTTGTAATAATGTATCCAGGGACTCGCTTCTCTTAGCTAAGCGGAAAGCAACTGCGACAAGCAGTAACTTATATGGGATATCCAAAGAAGGCTTTAACAAAAAAAAAATCACAAAAGTTCAATAATAGACATGATGATTAAAGTTGGAAAAAATAAAATAAGATATTACCATATTTCCTGTAAAACGTTTTGCTATCATTGTGATAAAGACTAATGAAAGCCATTTATTATATTAGTTTCTGTAATTCACAAGAACCAGATATTCTTAGCTTGAAATTACTCAAAAAAAGCACATATGCGTCGAATATGTTCCATTTGGTAGAAGCCCACTACGAATAAATAAATAAAAAATTAAATGAAGAAAAGGCTTAGAAAAGTAATATATCTGCTGTTTTAAAAGCATATTAAAGTCGCACAGACACAAGAGCACAACAAGCATTAGCTTACCTTTCTGTATCCAAGTCCAATCAGCTTAATAAGAGCCTCAAACGAGTATAGTACAAAAAATAAAATGTACAATACATCTAAAGTCCAGCAAAAAAATTAAAGAATCAAAAACACTGATCATTGTAATATGGTCGCATACTTTGTAAGTTTGTTAACCAAAGAGGTTGATTCATATGCTCAGAAGCAAATATTACTACAGAAATTATTAATATTTTCTCTCTCTCTCTTTCTTAAACATCTAGAAAACATGCAATGTTTAAAACAAATAATAGCCTTGAATACCCACATATGTTTAGAGTTAGAACACCCGTAGTAAATCTAACAAATCTACCATCCTTTTCAGCAATCAGCTTGTAGCAAAACTCTCGCAGTGATCCTTCCAACGGTGGATCCACCTTTCTCAAGGGTCCCATAAGGGCAAGCTGTCTTTGGAGATCTCTGTATTGCCGTTGTGGGATAGTGAGAGACGATATCCCACTCCTTTGCTTGAATATTTCCAAAAAGACCTGTATTACATAGAGAAAGAAAAGTAAGAATACTTTTGGTTGAATTTACTCAAGTAATACTTTACTCCGATAAACAGCTGGATGGAGCACAGTGAAGCGAGAAACATAAAGCAGATGTAGTAAAGTGAGTACCATATCGAAGGAGAATTCCAGTCAAATCTAGGTTGAGCACCTTTTTCAATAGGCACACTCATGGCCGAAAAGACCGAAGATACCTAGCAAGTATTAGTAGCTTATTACGGTAAAACAAATTATTTCCAGAAACATGTATATATATATATATATATCTTACCCATCCTTCACCAGAGGCACATTCAAACAAGTGTAATAAAGAGTTTCCAAAGTTATCAAACGAGTAGTCATAAGGATTATGCCAGACTCGTGGAAGAGTGATATGCTTTGTGCTTGCATCAACAGATCGATATTCGCCATGACACTCGACCATAAAAGAAACACTGTCATCGTTGCACCTCAAGAAGCGGCCACCAAATATGTATGAGCCATAGATTGCAAATGGAATAAAGACCAGCAGGTTGAGCGTAACTGCATCAAAGAGCTTTGGAAAAACATGTACAAGATCGAGAAAGATTACTCGCATCCCGCTGACATAGTACATGATCCGAATGGAACGAAGGGTACGGAGTATACGCAGACACTTGCCGCGTTTTTCTCCTCTCAGGAAAATCGAGCAAACTGTCTGGCCCAGCAGCATCAAGAGGTCTATTATGTTCCATCCTTTGCGCAAGTAAGCCTCCGGAAGTACAATAAGACTGTCCGCAATCACTTGAACCAAAAAGTCAATCCAAAAGATTCCCAAGAAAATGTGCTGGATTATCTCTACTACAGCGGTAGTTCTAGGTTCATTTTGGCGATAAAATTCATCGGTCCAAACGCTCAAAACGGCACTGGCACAGATAAACCCCATAATAGTCCACTGATACAAGGAGAATGACGAGAGTCGAATACAGGACTTTCGAATGATATTGTCAGAGTCGAATAAGAATAGTGCTTTGAAGGTGTCAAGATTTTCGAGGATAACGTCCTTGTTTTCATTTGCAACATTGATCTCGTATTCATCCCCGTATTTTACCAAAGGCTTTTCGTCCTCATCATCCTCATCATAAGTTGCTCCTAGAAATGGTGCATGGATCTTTGAACTAAGGGTTGATCTATTGGAGTTACATATTATCTAGTTTAGCTTAGCTTAGCTTCATTCTTTTTTTTTTTTACTTGCGGCTTAAATTCTAATAATATGTTTCTAACATGTGTACTATATGCTCTTACACAATCGATGCCTTTCTTTCAACCTCTTTAGCCAGATAGACTTGAGATCTCCTTCTATTCTTAAGTTTTTCAAAGTCATCTAAATTTTCGTCATCTAAATCAGATTTTTGAATGTAATATTTTGTGCAGAACAGCTTAAATCTGTCTTTGTTCAAAGGCAACACAAGAGATTGGGGTAAATTTTTTATGTGGAGCCTTGGGTTCTTTTTCTGGACAAAAAAAGGTAGCAAAAATCTTTTTTTTTCAAAGAAAAGAAGAAGATACATATAAAATAAGCAAGACTTTATTATATCCTTTAAAGCAGCAACAAAAAGCCCATTTGAAAGTAATAACACTGTAAAAGAACTTACCGACTTATTGAATCGATCCGGTAGTATTCTGGTTGCCATCTGTGGTGCCGGATGTATTTCTTGATCTGTATTTCTCTAATTTGATATTCATCTAGCTCAAAGTTCTCGACAATGACTGCAATAAAAAGGTTAAGTACAATATCTTGTTGTTTTATACCAAAAAAAAAAAGAAAAAAGAAGAAGATGGTTAGGAATAATTTGTTGTTGCCGTTACTGTTGATGAGTATTATTGGTATTTTGTTTAGCTTATAAGGTTAGCTCACAATGTACTACAAAGTATACAATTATCATGTACACTGCAGCATATACTATTGAAGAATACGCTTGACTATGCATTGAATCATACAGAATATCCTTTAAAATAGTAATAATAATATTAGTTTTATCAAAATATTTAAGTCCGTGCTTACTGTCCAGTTTTCTCCTGTCATGATCTGCAATCACAAAAGCATAAATGTATATTAGCATAGCATATCCAACATGCTTTCAGCAGATAACTCACCTGGAAAAGAGACAAGAAGGCTTGATAAAAGTTGTCAAATCGCATTCCAGGCTCATCAACCTCTTCGATTGGTACAAAATCACCTCCGAACAATTGCATTGATATCGGACACAGTAGAAATAAAACAAGGAACGTAAAGAACGTCAGGTTCCGGATACCCTGTCCGTCTGAAATTACACTTGCCTGTACAAAATAAATAAAAGAATAAAATGAATACAATCGAAATTAAGTAATAGCTTATTAAAACATATATATGTCTGTACATATTAGCTTACCAGTAACTTTAAGACCCTTGGAAAGATATACACTAGACGATAAGATCGACAAACCGCAAATATGTATACGTACGAATGAAACGGACTATTTTGCACATTGTCAATCTCGTTTATCAGAGTAATTAAGACTATGATGAGATCAGCTCTATTGTGTAGATATTCCCAAGAGCAAAAGTTTCACCGCGTTAAAGAGAAATAGATTGTTATCAATACCGTTCTTTTCCTAAAAGTATTTCTTTGTCTCATATGTATAAGTAAAAAGGATATTGTAATGTTTCCAGAATGACTTGAAACTACTAGAACCTGCTATTCGAAGTATGATCTCGCCAGTGAATACAAAGGTGAATATTCGCCCAACAAAATCTAAACACATGAAAAAAGAAGAAGAAATACTTAACTAATTAACCTTTGACATCTACAAATATGTATATACTGCGTTTAACTTACCAAACAATGCCATATCTGATTTTTCAAGGTGAGTGGTGTATAATGACATTGTTATAACATTAGCCACGACAAGAGTATTACTGATCCATAAAAAGTATCGACTCTCAATAGCACAAGCCAGCCATTTTTTGAAATATGATAATATGTTTGATGGGTTGACCGATACTTCAACATAATCACTGATGTTATGCAATTCAAAGTCATTGGTTTCACCATTCTTTTCAAGCATAGACTTGGATACCGTTTTCGGTGCCTGGTATTGACTTGAGAATATATTTTGACGCATGTTGCATCGAGCATGAGAGAACGAGGTGGTAATAACAGCTATTGCAAATAAACAAATTAATCAATAAATTAATCAATGAATTGATAGATGCACGCACATATATGTTAGTATACCAATGTACGTGATTAAGTATGCCAAGATACTCACCAATAAACATAGGTACTATGACAAATGTCATGAAATAAATACAGCAGCAATAATATAATACTGCACCAGAAGAAGATATCGCATCTTGGCTCATGTACATCAAATCTGTCCAGCCCTCTGTGGAGATCACTGTAAATATATTTAGCATTGTGTAAAATATGTTACTGTAGCTAATGTAGGTCCACCCAGGCCGGTTTTTCTCGTCTTGAAGGCATATCTGTCCAGACTGACATGAATATCCATCCCTTGTAATAACATCAATGAACTCTCCAATATTTATGTCGTAAACGTTCATCCGTCTATTGCCGTCAAGATCATAGTAGCTATTACAAGATGTTCTTGGGTTGACATAGGTAATATCTGTAAATACATATAAAAGTATAAAAGTAAAAGTCAAATGATTGATTGATCGATTGATTAATGTCAAACAACATCTGGTGTGCTTAAATGTTTGTGTGCTTTACTAGTCATATCCTTGCTCAGCCTTCCGTCAGGAATTACAGCACATCTCCGAGAGAAAGAATTGGTAAAAAGAAAGAGTCCCAAGAGAGAAAACAATAGCATGAAAAACGCAAAGAACCCCACAACATTGCAAAGAATATCAAAACTTGTTTGGAGCGACTGCATAATAACCTGTTTAGATCAAATAAACAAATGCACACACACAAAGATACATATATATATATATATATTGTTCATTAACTGTACTTTCAGGGTAAATAATTACAAGCTGTGTACTTACTGATGTGCCTTTAGTAATCACAAGAAATCGTAGGATTCTCAAAGACGAAAGCCCTTGAATCAACGACCAACGTCTCGGAGAAGTAGAAGTTGTTGCACAAACAACCCCAATCCAATAAAATGTCAGAGCTACAAAATCCAAGAAATTTGCGATCCGACGTAGGTATGGAGAGTGGGCCACTTTCAAGTGATCTAAGCCTTCCTTGATTTCTGTATCAAGTTGATCCCTATACTTCAAAGGGACGTATTTGAATCCACGATCTATTTTTCCGGATGTGTGTGTATAAGGATATTTTACGTCGTCAGTTGCTTCAATTACAGAAAATGGCCTTTGGTCACCAGGGGTTTTATCCAGATGACTATAAGAAGAAGGAGGAGGAGAAGGAAAAGAAGAAGATGATGGTGATCTTGGAACTTGAATCCAGGGAGGAACTTGTTCATTGATACAAGACTTTACTGGCGATGGGGAAACACTGGCTTTAGATCTAATATTACTAGTAGTAGTAGTAGTAATGGTATCTCTCGGGGAAGTCAAGTGCCAAGAAAACGCCGGTAATGATGTATGGCTATCAGAGACAGTATTCGTCGAATCTGAAAAGTGTTTTAATTTGTCTGTACGTAAAAACCAGCTGTAGAGTATTTGAAGTTCGGTATGAAAAAACCAGCTTGTTGAATGATGTGTCAGAACAAATCCATAAACAATAATCTTTGCCAAGGCTTCAAAACTTAAAGTTTGATGTAACCATATTAAAATAAGCCATAAATTAGTATAGAAGCATAGATATAGACACACACACACACACATATATATATATATATAAACCTGATAGCGTTTACTCACGTAAATATTATATTAATCAGTAAGAGTAGCTGTTGGCTAGGAATGCTCAATATATTTTTCTCTTCTGGAGTATTAATTGAGGTGATAGACAATATCGTCCATTGCATGAACAACAGTACAAAAATAAACGGATCAAACCACCTAGTAATAAAAGACATATATATATATATATATATATATATATATAAGTAAAAATAAGAAGACGAAGCAGGTAAATAAATGCATAAGTGTATAACATTTTCACAAAAAAAAAAGCAAACCATACCTTGAGCCAATTATTTTCCACAGCCAGGTACGTCCTTTTGATTTCGGACCAAATAGTCCACAAGACCAGCCTTCAAAATGTATGCATATATTAGGATCTACTTCGTCTTGTCTTGGATCAGGTCTTCCACTTTTGTACGACTTGGTTGACAAAGGCTCGGAATAGACTAGAGGCTGTGAGTCCGGTAAATGATTTTCACAATCAAGATTCTGATTATTCGGCAAGGTTCTTAAGGCTATATTAGGTAATATCAGGAATATGCTTGGATTAATATATACATAAGCAACAAAAGTTACTTACCCATTTTGGAATTTCCTATTTCCAATGGATGTACTGGGGTCAATAGGCTCACATTTGCTTTGTCTTTGTCTTTGTCTTTGCCTTTGCATTTGTTTTGAGAGTATATAGATAGTGTGTTTGTTTGTGAATATGTTTTATTTGGCGGTTTAAAGGATATGTTTTCATCTTCACAATTACTGAGATTGTGGATCTCTGGATTGGACAGTCGGGAATCTGAAGAGTCTGAGTCTTTGTTGGTATTATTATTGCTTTTATACAAATTATATCTGGTAATATTCTGGACAAATATTTTTTTGGAATACTCTAACAAAGTCAGCATGTCTTCTGTTGCTGGTCTTGTAGATATTGGCTCACAGCTCCGAGCATCCGAAACCCTTGAGGCTGCCATTGTAATATAGTCAATCAATTTCATCCAGATAGAGCTGCTGGTGGGCGATGGGCGAAATTGACCCATTGAGACCCGGTTTTTTATAAGATGAGAGAATGATATTTCAAGAATCTCAGAGAATCCGCGTGATGGTCTATCGGCAATATCAACACTTCTTTGAAGGTTTTTGTTTTGGTGATCTCCTTTTATACTTTGACGGGTATGGTTATGTGAGCTTTTGGTGCCATCTAGCCAACAAGTGTTGCATTGCTGGTTCGAGACTTCAGTATATGGCTTTTCTCTACAGAAACTACCAAATATTTCTGTATGATCGTCTTGGGTAAGGTGTGAGTCGGTGAATTTTATGGACCGATTTCCTTTTCCTTTTGCTTTTGCTTTATCTTTATCTTTTATTTTCATTTTCCCTTTTCCTCTTTCTTTTTGTCGTTGTCGCTTTTTTTGTTGCTGTTGGAGTTTCAATTGCTTCTGTTCTCGCTCTCGCTCTTGCTCTTGCTCTTGCTCTTGCTCTTCTATTGCTGTTGCAGAATTTAATGGCAAAATTGATGTGTCTGAATCTGACATATCAAGACTACTCTCTTGATCAGTTATCCGGTTGGTTATAATGATAGGTGTATTATCATCGTTGTATAATCGACGGGATATATTTCCGTTTGATATACTCCGTCTACGAGAGACCTGTGGAGCTTCTAGATTATTATTTTTGTGTAAAAGAGTATCTAGCATATTCTTTTTTTTTAGCCTGTCTCGAGTCAGAGGTGGATATTGAGCATGAAGAAAGGAAGACGGCTTGTTGAAGCTTTGGGGGTCATTGGAGAAAGAAGAGCTTGCTCGATTGTTCCATACTGTTGCTGTATCGACAGTCAGCAACTGATTCGATTCAGGCACACTTTCTGAAGGATTCATCTTTTAACCAGAAAGAAAGATAGGATATTAATTCAAGGAATGAGCTGCATTAATTAATTATTTATATATGTATATATATAAAGATAAAAAAGGAAATAAGTGCAGTAGGGTTGAAGGGACTACTTTTGTGACGTTTTTATTTAAGGAAAAGAAAAAAGAGAGGAGTGAATGAAAGAATGGCCTTTAGACTAAGTTTGACAGGAACACGACATCCTTTTCATAATTTATAATTTATAATTGTTCTCGTCATCAAGAAATCATGAATTTCTCGTGTGGTTGTCTATTTGATAAAAAGGTCAAAGAGCCCCACTTTAAAAAGACGAAACATTTTGAGGATCTTGCAGCAAGTTTCGCTATCAATGCCAAAAATGAACAACTTGGAGCACAGTAAGTTTTCTTTCTTTCTTTCTTTTTCCTATATTCATTTACAAAAAAAATCAAAATCAAAAGTGTCTAATGATAATGATAATGATAATGATAATGATAATGATAATGATAATGATAATGATATTATAATAATAATAATAATTTTTGCTCTTGCTCTTGCTCTTGCTCTTGCTCTTGCTCTTGCTCTTGGTTACATGTACTATGTAGTTACTCTTGGTTGGTTCAAATGCATCGTCCTGTAGGGACTCCAGAACCTTATATTGAGGCAAAATTGGAAAACCCAGGCGAAAAGTCAAGTCCAATTGTTGTACCTGCAGTCCAGCTTAAGAACACAGAGCCAGGTTCAAGTTTTGCTCATCCGCGTTACTACTTCTTGTCTCCTGCAATGGCCTCATTGGATTGTGGATTGTACAAGATGGAATTAACTGCCTATGCAGACAAGTCAAAGAAAATGGTGCTTGCACAGCATGACAATAACTTGCTGTCTCGTGTCAATACTGACACATGCGCAAAAACGGAATTCATGGAACAAATGGAGACAGCTGCCCGTCATGCTAAGAATGAATGGGAGACTCAACAATAGAAACTACCTCTTTATTCCGAATATTCATATATAGAGCGTGTAAAAAAATGATATGTGATATAGTGAATATATATAGCATGTTTTTTTTTGCTGTGTAGTGGTTCGTGTTCCTCCTGACAAAGACAACAAAAAAAAGACCAAAAATTATATAAAGCCGTGTTTTTCAATTTGAAAGATGTTATACAGTCACAAACAATAAGGTTAAATAAAACCCAAAAAAGAGAAAATTGTATGCTCATTTCACAATACGAATCCTTATTGCTCAAAAATTCATTAATCAAACCAGCATTCCTATTCGAAAATTCCGAAAGAGCTCTCGTCGCTCTTATCGTCCACGAAAAGGAGAGAAATATTGGGGGTTTTTCTATTTTCTAAAGACAGACATTACACTCCGTGAGATTGCAGCGATTGTTGAGATGAAATTGCGAAGTGTACAAACAATCAAGAAACGCATACAGGTTTATGGAAATTCACTGCCTCATAAATCAACTGGCGCACCCAGAAAATTTGATGAGAGAACCGAAAGGCATCTAGAAAGGATTATACGAGAGGATCCATTTACCTCGTATAATCAACTCAGAAAGGCATTAGCATCAATGTCAATCAACGTTTGCAGAAACACTGTAATTGACTACGTCAAGCGTCTTGATTTCAAATCTTGTATTGCTGCACACAAGCCTCGCTTGATAGAAGAACAGAAGAAGGCCAGATTTCATTGGGCCAAGTTACGGGTGAATTGGTCCAATGAACAATGGTCTAGTGTGGTATGGTCTGACGAGTCTCGTTTCTGCTTGGAGGGCAACGACGGATCAAAGCTCGTCTTCCGAAAGGCTGGATAAAGGTACGAAGAAAGACATATCATTGCTACGGCGAAGTGGGGTGGTGGTGTAATGGTTTGGAGCTGTTTTTGGAGTGGAGGATTTGGATTGTTAAAGGTCATCAAGAACGAAACCGTGAACCAGGATAAATACATTGATATCCTGGCATAAGCCTTTCATCCTTGGTTCACAGCAATTACCGAAAGTCAAAGAAGGTGTTTCATCCTTCGGGAGGATGGAGCAAGCTGCCACACAGGGGCATATTCTCAATGGTGGAAGAGAACCCACCAGATTGGTGGGTTTGACTTCTGGTCTGCCCAAAGCCCAGATTTAAATCCCATCGAGAATATATGGAGTACTCTTAATAAGCGAATTGACAAGAGAAGAGTCTCCATCAACTCTTTGAACGATTTGGAGGTGGCTCTACAAGAAGAATGGGCCACATTGGATAGGGAGTCTGCAGGACGCTTGGTTGAGAGCATGCAGAGAAGATGCCAAGCTGTGATTGATGCCCATAGAGGTCCCACAGATTATTAGCAATTTATTTGTATTTATTTATTTTAAATAAATATCTCAACCTTTGTTCCTACAAAATTTACAGCTGCTGGCTACATTATGCGTGGAGTAATTGCTTTTTGAATAATGACCATGTGCGTTTGTAAATTTTATGTAATTTAATTTTGTTTCAAGTTACGATACTGTATTCTCATACTTCTCTCTTCTTTTTTCTTCTTTTCTTCTTTTCTTCTATTTCTTCTTATTTATTCTTATTTATTGTTTTTGGTTATTATTGTTACAGAAAAAAATAAATCAGGGAAAAGTTGAGGCTAAAAATTGACCGCATGTAACCAAGAAAATAAAATAAAAAACATATTCAAATCCAAAAAGGTTAAAATTAAATCTTTGATTTTTTATTTGTGGACTAAACTTGCCGTAATTCCGGCAACTTATTTCACCCACAAATAATAAGGAGATATATATATATTATTTATTTAGGTGATCAGATCAATTAGTTTTACTATTGAGCTGAAGGGACGCGTGTTATGATGTTATGTTTCTATGGTGATATTATAATATGCTGCTATGGTAATATTGTAATAAGTTGCTATGACAACAATGTGATGTCCCATATACCTTACTTCAGATCAGATTAGATATTTGAGGTCTTTGATACCAAAACTTACACACACACACACACACACACACACACATACACACACATATATATTGTTTCACTCAAACTAGCATTCATGAAAAATGGTTTACTAAAACACGACTGGGTACGTTGTTAGGGTAGAATTTGCAGTAAGAGAACAAAAAAAAAAGAAAAGGAAAGAAAAGCAGCTCAAGATATTTCGTCTTGAAGGAGAGAGAAGTTCTTTTTATTTATTTATTTTATTTTAGAAGATCCTACAAGTTAATGCCCAGTACACACATAATTAGCCTTCGTACGACTCATGCACACACACATACACGCGCGCAAGGTACGGAAAATCAGATAAAGTCAAGAGAGCTGACTTTCCAGAAGATCTCTCGCACTTTTTACATGGCTAAATGGATCATCCTGTGGAGGAACTATGATCGGCATCAGAAATATATATATATATATATAAAAGACATGCTGCAAAATGCTACTGATAAGTTTATCGCTAGCCTTGTTTGCTTTGCTTGCTTGCACTTGCTACATGATGTTGATCATCATTATCATTGTCTAGTATTGCTGTATATTATGGATCCATAAACAGATCGCCCGGATTTCTAAAGAAATTTTTTTGTATCGATCTTCATTGATTTTGTAGTATTCGATTTATTAGTTTCCAATTGATTTGTTTAAATAATAATGAGTTATCATTCGTGAATAATTGTCAAAGTTAGACAAAAGGTGAAGTTTTTGTCTAGCCAATCAGACTCATTTGCGAATGATGGCCTACAAAAAATATATATAAAAAGATTAAATCTTGGTGAACTTTTATATAAAATAATGCAGAATACTGTATCCTATTAACTACACCAGTAGTATGTCAGTGTAATGTTAGAAAGCATAATGAATGCTAATAATATTAGTATTTTTATTGATAACATTGATGAAAAGAACTAATACCTATCATTTTTATGATATAAGCCAATCACAGCGACGTATTTTCATATCTCTTCAACTTCACCTTTTGTCTAACTACGACGACTATTCACAAATGCTGACCCCTAATAACTACGTTTTTGTTTGATAAAGAACTTCCGTTCAAAAGACAAATCAAAATGTAAACCAAAATGAACATTTTACATTTATTTATTTATTTTAAAGTAAGGTAAGGATTAAATTTTTATGCATAAATTATGTATATAAATTAAATTATATATTAAAATTAAAAACAACTAGATGACATATGGTAAGATCATGTTTCAAAAAATAAAAAAAAAGATCTTCAGTTAATTATTATTATTTTTTAACAAATAAATATATCCTTGTTAAATTCCTAATCCTTATGGTCATTTTGATAGCAACAGATTTTTTGTATATATATATATTTATTATTATTTTTGAAACAAATAAAATAAAAAGAGAGAAAATAAATAGATAAATAATATTTTTTTATATATAATTATATATACATATTGTTTGTTCGTTTGTGAATGAATGAATGAAATATGTAAAAATTTGATAAAAAGAGGAGGATAAGGGATAAAGGATAAAGAAAATAGAAAGATGCAAGGTCTAAGAAAATATGAAAAAGCACTTGGCTTGGACCTAGAAAGAGGTTCGTTGAAGCACTTGTGTAGGCAATATGTACATCATAATAGTAACAAAAAAAGGGTAACACGTGTAATGCCAGGATAATATGTGTGTAATAGAAAAGAGAGAGAGAGCGGTGTGTGCACTTGCTTGTACTTGTACATGTGGCTGTGGTGGTTGTACTTGCGATTGTATTTGTGTATTTGTGTAGTGTATGTAATGTATGTAATGTAATGTAATGTAATGTAATGTAATGTAATGTACGAGTATATGTGCGTGTGTAGCGTATGCTTCTTCCTTTCTTCTTCTTTCTTTGTCTCTTAGTATTCGATCACCTTATAGGGCCGGCCTGTCTTATCAAGGAGAGCATTCCAGTATGGCTCAACTTCGTATGAGAAGTGGTATTCTCCTCCAAAATCTGTTTCGAGCTGGTTAGAGGAAATGTAATCCTTCAGATGAACCCATTCGTTGGTGGTGCCCTTGGTATCGGTTTTGCCTTCTCTGTCGTACACGAATTTGATCTTTTGCTTTGTAATAGGGTCCATAAAGGGTGAGATTAACTTGAAGGTGGCAAAGAAGAACCAGGGTGCTACAATGTCATGGAAGAAGAATACAATAGAATTGCGATTGTATTAGTCACCATTACTAATAATTATAGTACAATATATAATATACATATATAATTATTATATAATACTTACATTTCACAACAAATGCAATGCCTGAGTTAACCAAAAAAAATATTTAAAAAACAGAAAGAAAAGGTTAAAAGTTGAAGCCACAATGATCAATTGACTGTATTTTACTTAATAAAGAATTTACCTAATCTTTCTGGGTAATGATTGCCAAGAATATCCAAGAATTTCTTGCATGTTGCAACGCTTGGGTTGTGTGAAGCAGAAGAATCCTTAAAGTCTACAACGATCGCGATGTTCTCGACCATGTCAGGCATAAGACGAATCCCACGTTCCAAGCTGTAAACAACATGTTTGATTTGTCGTTCTGCGTCCTTTGAATTCTCGAGTCTAGGGCGCATAATCCAGACAGGACGGCCACATTTATCGAAGCCATTGAAATACATCTTGCCAGTCTCAGCCTATACATATATATATATATATTTATTAATTTATATAGTCGCGTGGCCAAAACACATGGGTAGAACAAAATACAGAATATATACATATATTGTTTCAAAGAAAGAAAGAAAGAAAGAAAGAAAAATTACTCACCTCAGGTCTGATATAATCTGGGTCCAAGAGGTCTGGCTTATATCCACGGCGCCACTTTACAGTGTTGTCGAGCATATTCTTTGCAGCCTATATAAATCAAAATAAATTAGTATTTAATTTTTTTTATTATACTTTAAAAAGTGAAAAAAAAACACATATAAGCATTTGCAGTTATTGTGACACCTTACCTCAAAATCCCACTTGCGAGCACGCAAATAGCGCTTCAATGTAGCATCTGTCAGAAATCCCTTCTCATTGGGATAGTAGGAGTCTGACTCGGGCAGCATGTTTTTGATAAAGTAGGCACGCAAATCGCCCAACTTCTTCACTTGGGTTTCATCAAGAGGAGGGGGGGTCACAGGAGTATATTCGCCAGGAGGTGAAAGAATTGGTGTGTGAGTTACAGGACCCTTGTTTTCAACTGGGACCTTCTCGGGTGTAGTTGTAACAGCCTTTGAGCGAAAGATGTTCATCGTTTGAATTTCAAGTGGTTTACAATAAAATAGAAAGTGAAAAGTAGAAGTAAAAGATGCAGAAAAAAAAATTATGAGAAATAAGCGATTGAAATATAGAAAAAAAAAAAAGTCTTTCCGGGTAAATTATATCCTTTTATTTACTATAGCTGGCAATCTAGCCCTCTTTTGTTTGACAAGACGGTTTGCCAAACAAGAACCAAAAAAAAAAAAAAACAAAAAAAAAACTCAAAATAAAAACAAAATAAAAATCCATTGGCCGGATGTGCGGGTTCACAGGAGGGGAAGGGACAATAAGATTTCCCGTATGTCCGCTAAACCTGATGAAAGATCATAGCTTCGTAATAATTGCTCGGGGTAAACTTAACTTTTTGGTTATTTTATATTTTATTATGAATTCAATTCAATTCAGGTCAATTCAGGTCAATTCAGTTCAATTCAGTTCAATTCAGTTCAATTCAGTTCATTTTGATTCATTTTGGCCCAATTTTATTATCATTGCTATTTATTTTGCCTATGTATAATACAGTTATAGAATGTAATGCACAAGAGAATAAGTATATCAATGAATTATACTAAAGTAATTCAAGCTGGTACAAAAGAAAAATGCCAATATTAAATACAATAAAACCACAGGAATTATATATATCATACACACACACACATATATATTATTTCTATTATGTATCTTATGTTATTTTTTATATATGTGGTCTCTGGCTTTTCTGACAGCTTGTTTCACGCAGGGGGTTAAAGAGAGGGGTTGGGGAATGATTAGGATTGAAGGTTTTTTTTTTTTGGTCAAGAGAGAAAGAGAGATTACATGCAGGCCGGGGGGCCGGATAGCAGTCACTTAGTAAACATCCCCGGCCGATCACTTTTTTTTTGGACTACCTTTGAAAAAACATCCGCCGGCAACCTCTCCACCAAACTCACCCTATATACTAACCCCTCTCCATTTACCTCCCCCTTTGCGACACCTGTTCATAATGTTGAGAAACGCTGCTCGCGTCGCACGCCCCGCACTTGCTGTCTTTTCCAAGGCCACTCCCGCTGTGAGTAATTTCACGCAATCTTCATTCGTTCCTAGACGTAGCATAAACGACCCAACGACCACGACACACTATAGATAATACAATACAAAAACCAAAGAAGCAAAGAGGCTTTCTTGTGTACATTCCACGACCGTTATAAATATATCTATATCTTGAACTGGCCTTCTTTTTTCTCATTTTTTTTGTTTGTTTGCTTGGTACCTCTTCCCTCCATTGCTACCGACCTCACAGATCCGCGTCAATGTCGGTGCCGCCACTGTCGCTGCCCGCTTTGCCTCCTCCAAGCCCTCTACCGCCGAGGTTTCTTCTATCCTCGAACAGCGCATTCTCGGTGCTTCTGCCGAGGCTGACCTCCAGGAGACTGGTCGCGTCTTGTCCATTGGTGACGGTATTGCCCGTGTCTATGGTTTGAAGAACGTTCAGGCCGAAGAGATGGTTGAGTTCTCCAGCGGTCTTAAGGTAAATAATTAAATTAATTATAAAAATAAAATAAAATAAAATAAAATAGAAGAGAAGAGAAAAGAAAGCACAACTATTGTGCACACATATATGCTAAATATAAATATTAACCTTGTAATTAATTCATAATCTTTTAGGGTATGGCCCTCAACTTGGAAGCTGACAACGTCGGTATTGTCGTCTTTGGTAACGATCGCTTGATCAAGGAAGGTGATACCGTCAAGCGTACTGGTGCCATTGTCGACGTTCCCGTTGGTCCTGGTATCTTGGGTCGTGTTGTCGATGCCCTCGGTAACCCCATTGATGGTAAGGGTCCCCTTGAGACCGTTGGCCGTTCGCGTGTCCAGGTCAAGGCTCCCGGTATTTTGCCCCGTCACTCTGTCAACGAGCCTATGCAGACTGGTATCAAGTCTGTTGATTCCATGGTTCCCATCGGTCGTGGTCAGCGTGAGTTGATCATTGGTGATCGTCAGACCGGTAAGACTGCTGTCGCTCTTGACACCATTCTTAACCAGAAGAACTGGAACAACGGCTCCGATGAGTCGAAGAAGCTTTACTGCATCTACGTTGCCGTAGGCCAGAAGCGTTCCACTGTTGCCCAGTTGGTCCGTACCCTCGAGGAGAACGACGCCATGAAGTACACCATCGTCGTTGCTGCCACTGCCTCTGAGGCCGCCCCTCTCCAGTACCTCGCTCCCTTCTCTGGTGCTGCCTTTGGTGAATGGTTCCGTGACAACGGTCGCCACTCTCTTATTATTTATGATGATTTGTCCAAGCAGGCTGTTGCCTACCGTCAGATGTCCCTCTTGCTTCGTCGTCCCCCCGGTCGTGAGGCCTACCCCGGTGATGTCTTCTACCTCCACTCCCGTCTTTTGGAGCGTGCCGCCAAGATGAACAAGGCTTTCGGTTACGGTTCCATGACCGCCCTTCCCATCATTGAGACCCAGGGTGGTGATGTGTCTGCCTACATTCCTACCAACGTCATTTCCATCACTGATGGACAGATTTTCTTGGAAGCCGAGCTCTTCTTCAAGGGTGTCCGTCCCGCCATTAACGTCGGTCTTTCCGTCTCCCGTGTCGGTTCTGCTGCCCAGACCAAGGCCATGAAGCAGGTCGCTGGTTCTCTCAAGCTTTTCTTGGCCCAGTACCGTGAAGTTGCTGCCTTTGCCCAGTTCGGTTCCGATCTCGATGCCTCCACCCAGTTCTTGCTCAACCGTGGTGCTCGTCTCACTGAGCTCCTCAAGCAGCCCCAGTACACTCCTCTCTCCATTGAGGTCCAGGTCCCCATTGTCTTTGCCGGTGTCAACGGTTTCCTCGATAAGTTGCCCGTCGGTAAGGTTGTCGACTGGGAGAAGGACTTTGTCAGCTACGTCAAGACCCAGCACCAGGCCGAGCTCGATGAGATCCGCACCAAGGGTGTTATCTCCAAGGAGTTGGATGCCAAGCTCCGCAACATCTGCGAGACCCACGTCAAGACCTTCTTGTAAATTCTTAATGTTTTTTTTTTCACAAGTTTAATAAACTCAAACAACTGTAAAAAATAATAATAAAAATAAATAAATAAGTACATGTGTCCATTCTTTCTATCTCTCTTTCACACATACAAACACACAACTATTGAATTTAATCATGTTGCTTATAATGCCACGAGTTTTTATTCAATTGATTTTATGCGCATAGTACTCTTAGTATTGTTTTTTTTTAAGTGTACACTAATATATATATACACAATAAAAGGTGTACAGAGATGTATGCTGCGGATCTGTGTACCCATTGTGTGCACGTAGAGTATGTATTTAGTGTGTGAAACACGATTGGTAAATTAAAAGCAAAAAGAAAAAAAAAACGCCAAAAAGGCTTGAAGGCATAAACTATAAACCCTCCCTCCCTCCTTCGCTCTCTACCCAACTATCTCTTTGGAATTTTTTTTTTAGCTTAAAATATATTTTTTTTTTGGATTATTAATTATACATTTAAAATCTGATGTGATGGATCATGATGACGATACCTTTTTGTAAAGTTGATATTTCAATGATGACATAGATAGCTAAATAGATAGTAATAGTAGTAATAATCCAGACTTTAATTCCTTGAGCATGTGCAAATGAATCATAGTATTATAGAGTTTTGTTTAAACTCCCATTTGTACCCATCTTCCTTATTGTTTTCTTTTCAACATATATACACACACACATATATATACAATATCCTTTTTAGCAAATCATCATAATGTGTCAGCAAAGATTCTATATAAAGATAGGTACTATACAAATTCCAGGTAAAATTTATTATTTTATTTATCTATTGTTTATAAGAACTGACTACCCCCTCTTTGTACTCTTTTTTTTTTATTATTATTAAAAAAAACATGCCAGCGAGAAATATTAATACTTTAGCTATGTGTCTAGTTTGAACGACTTGTATATATTTTCTATCTTATTACAGCTTCTGTTGCTGCTATATGTAATATATTTATATTTATTTATTTATTTATTTATTTATGTAGATATCTTTTTAGGATGCAATCTAAAATAAGAATTTATTGTATTATTCTTTCTATTTTTATATAGTATAAAGATAATGGTCAATTATCAGTTAAAGAAAGCAAATCGAGGTAATTTATATATCTAATAATTATCTATATATTTATCTTGTTCTGTTCTTTATATATTTAGATATTTTCTCATAAATGAAACTCGCCTTATTGCTTTACACGCTAATCAATATAAGCACCTGTCTGCTTGTAATCAGTCTCAACTGTGCATGTCTACCATTAACGGTTCTGAGTTGTCTAAAGTCACTAGCTATCAAAATACTATACCCAAAAAAGCCAATGGTTCCATCTGTAATAGCCATCTTTGGAGCAAAGTAAAGATATATCTATATTGCAGTTATCTCGTGTTGTCTGATACTTTGGCTTTGTTTTCGATCTATTTAGCCAAGCATTAGCAGAAGCACTTGCTTATGAATACTCAAGAAACAATTCTTCCTTGATTCTGGTCGGATACAGACAAGGTAGACGAATACATTATTACTCCATATGCCTAACAAAAAAAAACAAAAATCATATCAGAATATTCTGCCTATCACTTTGGAATCAATCAACTCGATCGAATCGCACAAAAATGTCACGCTCTTGGTAGTCCATCAGTCATGACACAAATAGTCGACATTACTGACAAGGAAGCCGTATCAGACTTCTTCAAATCCAAACTGTCCCAGTGGTCTGTCGATTTGGTCATTCTTGATGTCGTGGATGGCTCTTACTTAAGTGCTGATTTACTACACCGTCAAAAGGTGTTGCCAACCAAGATAATGTATGACGCGTTGTGTGTCGTAAACCTGATGTTTTCAAGTGTTAAAGAACATGGCAAGGGTGCCCAGATATCAGGTATTAATTTTAATATTATTCAAAGAAAACAAATATCTTTTATATTGAAAATATTAAATACAGAAAGAAATAATAATAATGATAAAAAAAAAGCTAATTTCATTTAATTTTATATATCAAGTAATTCTACCTACTCCAGGAAAGTAACATAAGCATCACCTCCCAAAGTCCTAAAATATAAAGATATTGCTCTAATTGCTTCTGCTACTATACAGACTTTGTCAGCTATGTTGGATCTCTTCATTGCTGTGATGTATATTCGACAATCATGGCAAACTACGCGTGTGACATACGAACTATTGGAAAAATCCATGATTTTCATTTCAATGCCATCTTGGCCGGGGATATATCAGGCAATACTCCATTGTGGACACCTTTATTAAGTTGGTTTTATCCAACTCTGGAGGCATTCTCTACAAAAGTGAAGGTTGGAATTGAATGCGATAATCCAATCATTGCCGTCCCTAGCAGTCAATATGCCCTTTTATTTATATTTTCATGTCTACCTCTTTACGTCAGACAGCTATTGAGCAAAGCTCTGTATAGGACATTGATACAAGTGGCATCAATGCATTAGTTCAATTAAAGAATTATAATCATAGCAAAAAACAATAATAATAAAAAATCAGGATTATATGAATTCAATTCAATTGAATCAAATAAAAATACATGGTCCTTTTTGTCTTAATATTATTATATATATATATTTATTTTTTAATACTCAAGAAACAAAGCAAGATCTATTCTGGCTTTAAGATACAATGCTTATTCATCATCATCCGAATCATCAATAACTCGCTTGCTTCGAAATCGCTATATATAAAAGAAAATTATATGCATGAGTTAAAGATCTTTAAACTTCTCACTAGACTCACCTTTCGATCTTTCTGTTTCTTATCACTTTCATCTTCATCATCCGATAATCTACGCATCCTGTCTTCATCAGATCCTCTTGGAATCTCATCCTCATCTTCGTCCTCATTAATCTCCTTTCTCTTTCGTACACGCTTCTTCGACTTTCTCTCTACTTCAGCATCATCCTCATCCTGTTCTCTTGCTGCCATTTGCATATTCTCTTCTCGCACACGTCGCATCAGTGCCTGTCGCTCCTCTTCTATTCTGATCTTCTCGCGAGCCTCATTCCGCTGCTTCTGCTCTTCTTCTGCCATCTTCTTAGCATGCTCCTGATCACGCTTGGTTCGGACCTCGTCCATCTTGCGCTGCTTGTCTTCTTCATATTGGATCTGCTCCAACAACTTACGTTCCAACTGTGTACGCAGAGTCTCTCCATAACGCTCACGCTGGCCGGTAATCTTGCGATCATAAAGAACAAACTCTTCGGCTGGAACTTGGATGAGCATTCTGAAAATACTTTGACTGCTGTCCAGTCCATTCATCGCACGGCGCATCTCACGCGATGTGCGTTGGTCTTTGGAAAGTTCGGAAATCAGCTGTGCGTACAGTTGCTGAACTAGCGCAATGTTGTACAGTGTCGATTTGTCAGACGGAGCGATGTGAAGAGCCTTTTGGGTGTTTTGGAGAGAATTAAAGACAACTTCGGGATCTTTCTCGGCTTTTGCATAGATGTATTGAGCCCGTGCGAGACAAAGGAGGAGATTGGCATCTGTGTTGTTGAAGAATTTCTTGGAAGTGTTTTCATACTATTGTTTCATACAAAAATAATAATTATAATATAATATAGTGTATGAGCAAGAACATTAATCTTGGGATAAATGCGAAAAATCAATTATATGTATATGACTTACCATAACAATAGCTTGTTTGTATTGTTTTAACTCTACAAATGCGTGCGCAAGATTGACCCAGACACATGGGTTATTAACAGTAGCCTCGCGTACTTGAATGAAAATATCCTTGGCATGCTCAAGATGGCCATTTTCTGCCAAAGTTATAGCAAGTCCATTTGTAGCATATGCATTTTGAGGATCTCTCTTTAATGCCTGCTGGTAAAAGTTGACAGCTAACTTGTATGATTCAATGCGCTAAAGATAAAATATCTTAATATTTCTGTTTTTTTTTAAAAAAAAAAGAATGAATAAATTATTATATACCTGGTTGCGAACTTTATCGGTTTTCATCTCTCTGGCTGCATTTGCGTGGAAGTTTCCAAGAGCAATATGTGTATAAATGTCATCTCTATCACAAACTTTGAGCACCTTTTCAAAAGATCGTTTACAGAGCTTCTCGTTGATTGTGGCCTGTGCCTGTCCAATCATAATCCATCCAACGGCATCATTGGGATCAGTATCAAATACTTCTTTATAATGTTCTTGGGCATCTGTAGCGCGTCCCAAGGCCTGTTCAATAGCACCCAGGCGTAAGTGGGCTAATTTGTTTTTTATATAAAAAAAAAGATTCAAGATTGTATTTAGTTTTTTGTTTTTTGTTTTAAATCAACATTATATACCCCATATATATATATATATATAATCTTACCATCATTATAAGTAGGATATTCTTTTGTAATCTTTTTGTAGATTGCAGATGCTTTGTCAGTATCCATACGTTCTTCATATAGTCTAGCAAGGTTGTAAGTAATTGTCAATCTCATTCCTGCGGCATATTCCTTGCTGTCTATGCTGGAATCCTCGGCATTTGAGATTGTCTCAGATTCTTGGATAGCTAGACCGTAATAACGTTGAGCATCATCCAAATGGCCTAAAAATGAATTATTGTTAGAATTATACATTCTATTTATTAGCAATAACACTACTACTACTACTACTACTACTACTACTAAACATGACTGATATTTTACCAAGGGTGTGGTGCATTGCTGCAATATTATTCAAAACTTCCACTTTATGGCTCGAGACCCCCTTTTCTTTATTAGCTTCATTATCAAGCAAAGTAAGGGCTTGCTCATAATCTACAAAAAAAACATATGTACATACAATTAGCATTTTTATTTATAAGCTAGATTAGTTTTTGGCTTACACTTTAATGCGCGCGCACTGTCAGTGTCATCATGTAATTGAGCCATCTCAATAGCAAGTGATGCATCACTATCGTCATTTTCCAATGCCTTGTTGAAAAGTGCTAATGCCTGGGGTTTCTTGCCTTCCATAGCATATAATGATCCAAGTACCTATAACCCATTAAGCTTTTTAGATTTTCTCTTTTCTCTTTCCTTCTTAAGTAAAACATCTTTTTTTTTAAATATATATATATATATATATCGCTGCTATTATTATTGTTATGTTTACTAATTCTACCTTCATCACTTCAACGCACTGGGGTTCAGTTTCATATAACTTTTCGTAAAGCTGAATAGCAAGATCGTATTCGCCTGAAAAATATAGATAAGTACATATATATATATATATATTATAAGAATAGTTTCCTGGCCTATATTACCTCTCTTCAAATGCATCTGACCCAGTCCATATTGTCCAAGTATATGATCTGGATTGAGTTCAAGACATTGGCGATAGAATTTGAATGCATCGTTGTATTCTTCCTAAGCACTTTAATATATAAATACAAACTCTAACAGCCTCCAATAACATTCCCTAAAACCCCCCTAAAACAAAAGAAAGAAACAAAACAAAATACCATTTGATGATGTGCTCTAGCAATTTGATAAGAAGATTCTGCTTTGATCACATTGTTAGATGCATTCCCCATTGCCTTGGAAGCAGATTTGACTGTCTATTGAACACATTAAACAAGAGAAAAAGTTAAAATTATTGTTACTATTGCTATTGCTATTTCTTCTTCTATTTTCCATGCTTATTATTGCTATTATTACTATTATTATTATTTCGGTTTGTACCTTTTCAAAGTCGCGTGTTAAAAAGAAGTGGTTTGCGAGCATATTGAGTACAACAGGATGTTTTTTGTCAGACTTGTGAGCCTGCTGCATGTATTGAAGACCGTTTCTCAGCGAGGTTTCTTGTTGTAAAGCTCCATGTTCATGTTTCTTGGACTCGTTCAATTCAATGATAGCGAGCATAATCAATGCTGTAGGATTGGGTTTTTCACTCTAGATATTTACCCAAAAATTTGAATATACATTATTATGTTATATTAATATTAATATGAATTATTATTATTTTTAACCTGCATATACATCTAGATCAATTCAGAAAACTGACTGTCTTACCAATTCAATAGTGCGTCGTAAAGCAACCTTGGCTTCATCATACATGCCTAACTGCCCAAAGCATTGGGCGATACCCAAACGAATCTCGACATTTGCAAATTTCCCGCGAGAGTACATTAGCGCTGTCTGATAAATCTTTAATGCCTGTTTGTAATTCTTGATGTGGTAGTGAATCTTGGCTTGTCCAAGTAATGCAGGAATGCAGTTTGGTCTTTTGTCGAGCAACATGGAGAATACACGCGATGCTTCGCTGATATCGCGACGAAGGAGATGGTAGTTTCCTTTTACAACAAAGGTTTGCTCGTACTGGTTATGGATCCGATCGGCTTCGTTGATGAATTGGGTTGCTTCACTCATATATTTCTGTTTTTCGCTACCGTCGGCTTTTCTTGCCAATCGCATGTTGAGTGTGGCAATAAGTGTCAGGAGAGGAAGCTTCTGGCGAGGCTGTGTGTGTGGGGAACGGCTGGCTACGTTGTTGAGGATGAGATGAAATCTATACATCTATATACATATATATATCGCGTTGGAATACAAGCGGCCAGCAAGGTGTTTACCTGTGGTAAGAGCTGCCTGAATCACAGAGATTGCTTGCTCGATCTTGTTTTGTTCATAATATTCGATCTATAGATGATTTCGAAAATGAGAATCAGCGATGCGGAGAGAAGGATGAGTAGAAAAAGGAAAGAATGGCGAAGGAAAATGTATGAAATAAAGAAAGAAAGAAAATAAGAGAGAGAGAAAGAGAAGAGAAGGGTATAAATATTTATTGGCGTTTCATACAGCAAGCATTCTGTAGTATGGCAAGGCGACACCTTCTTGCCCAAAGATGTCAGTGAGCTCGATTGGATTACTAGGCAAGTCATTGCATACAACTTCTAACACTTGCTCATGTTGAAGAGGTACTTCAATTGTATTTGATCTCGTCGAATATGAATTTCCAAAGCTCGCAGCAGTAGCCATGATGTCGAATATTGAAGAGTCGGTGAACCAAGATGTCAATAAGCTTCGGTTTTCTCGAATAAGATAGCGGAGGGATGCGCAACTATTGCCCTAATTGGTGACGTCGCTGCCATTATACAGTATTCTTCACCCAATAAATGGAAACAGATATTATTCAATCATTGATTAATAAATGATATAGAGCTATTCCTTTGGGATTAGGTTGAAGTGTGATACACGTCTTTATTATTTCAATTATATATATATTTATTGTTCAATTATTATTATTATTATTATTATTATCTATCTATTTTTATATTATTTTTAAATGGTATAAAATTAGGAAAAAGACAATAGAAGTATTGAAACAAGTGGTATAAATTTACTATTATAATAATAATAAGAAATGCTTATTTTATTTGCCTAAATAAAATAAGGTTAATAGTAAATACAACAAAGCAGCTTTGAAGAGGAAGGAGGAGGAGAATTTAGGCTAGTAAAGTGAGAAATGATTTTTTTAATCTTCCCACTGCAAAGGATGCTAGTTTATTAGCATACCTACACTATTAACCCTACATGCTACTAAATCCACGAAGGATACTCTACTTCAATGGCTTCTCTACTGCAGAATCCAGACAGAATATTTATCAAGATGTTCTACGAGTAAGAAAATTGACGGCCAGCATTCTTATTAATATAGGGAAAAATAGAGTAAGACCAATTGTAATAATACCAAGAAAAGCAAGAGAGAGAAAACATAGAAGAGGAAGACAAGATCAATTGCTGCTTCTGCTTCTGCTACTAATTTTGCTAATGCAGAAAAAGGGTGATACTTATAGATCTACCAATTATTATAATACCTTCTAATACATAAACAGTAATAGAAGGCGCTGTATATCCTCTATGTCAACTTATGACAAGACCAAGCTGCGTACCATTTGCTTTCGTAGCGGCATGTTTGGGAAGGATGCTATATCTTTTCGCTATCATCGAACATGCGTAGCTGGTGTCATTTACCAACAATTGAAATACAGACAAAATTGTGAAGATCTACTGTTGGTAACAGTAGACGAGATTCGCCCTTCCAAGGTAGCATCTCATATATATTTTAGTTTTGTGTTAATATCTTACTGTTATTTAATATAGCTTTGACATCCTCGCAAAGAAGCTAACTTTACTCATGCTATTAATATGCTCTACCCTTTACTCGTTCCCCAGAGATCGGGAATAGTACGATAGCGTGATGTAAATGCAATAAAAAAAAGTATCTTTGGCATTACAAAGCAGGGAGTAAATGAGCAAGGACAACAAGCAACCTTTACAAAGAGTCGTTGAAATAATATATATATATCGTCGTATCGAACACGGTTTTCCGTATAAGCTATTTAGATCTGTACATGTAAATAGTCTACAAATTAATCCTTATTTACCTAAAGGCTAACAGCGACTAATTTTTTTTATCACTCTGTCTACAACCAAATCTTAACTGATCTAAAGAAAATCCTAACTCACCTCAATTTCAAGCTTAAATAATGTGCTACTACTATGAGGGAAAATGGGTGTTTAGGGTGTATTTTTTTATGTTCCCCGGGTTGTGCTTAGAGGTATATCTTGCAAAAATCTCTTATGAAAATCACCCTTTTTTTTTTACCATAGTGTATGAATAAACTGACATATTAAAATTGGTTAAAGAAAAATAAAGATAATACATATAATTGTTTTCAAATATATATATATATATATATATATATATCTCCACATAGACACACATACTTTCTCTCTATCTCTCTTTCTCTATCATAGTGCAAAATAAGCAAATAGTAATCGTTTAAACTGACCTATGTGACTTGTTATTGACGAAGACAAAGAGAGCGTCTTTGGAAAATGAAAGATTCCCTTGTCTACAGTCTACATCATGTCTGAGCGAAAGGTCCTCAACAAGTATTTCCCACCTAATTTCGATCCTTCGCAGATCCCAAGGCAGTAAGTAATCGAGTATTATGAGATGAATAAAGAAAAAAGAAAAAGGGCATTAGACTGATTAATGACTTCAGGAAGAAGCCAAAGGATCTTCAGCACAAGGTTAGACTGATGGCCCCTTTCTCCATGCGATGTGAGAGCTGTGGCGAGTACATTTACAAAGGAAAGAAATTCAATGCAAGAAAAGAAACTGTCGAGGGCGAAGCATATCTTGGCATCAAAATCTTTCGATTTTACATTAGGTGAGTGTTTGAGTGTAATGTACTGCGCATACATAGATTCACATACATACACACAGAGAGAGAAAGAGAAAGCTCGCATATAAAATAATTCTAATGTGTATAATTTTTTCTATTTTTTTTTTTGGGTAGATGTCCCCGTTGCTCGGCTGAAATTACGTTCAAAACAGATCCAAAGAATACCGATTATCTTGCAGAGAATGGTGCAAGTCGTAACTTCGAGCCATGGCGTGGAGAGGGCGGAGAGGATGATAAGGGAGGTGTCGATGAAGAAGAAGAGGAAAGAGAAGATCCAATGCAGGCGCTAGAGAATCGAACACTGGACTCAAAAAGAGAAATGGAAATTATGGATGCTCTAGATGAAATCCGAACAAGAAATGCTCGAAGTGAGCGTGTAGATGTAGATGACGTATTGGATAAGTTTTCAGAAGAAGATCGGGAGCAAATCCAGTTAAGACTGACTGCAGAAGAACAAGAGGATGAAGAAGTCACAATATCATACTTCAAGTCAGGGGATGGTGAACGTGTGCGAAAGCTGTCAGATACAATAGAGCCGGATGCAATTACACTTGTCAACCAGTCTGAGGCAGCGAAGGCACTGACTTCATTTAAGGCATCATCATTCTCACAGCAAGCTAAACGAAAGAAGGAGACTGAGAAACATAGTCTTGGGCTTGTGGTGAAAAAGAAGAAAACGGAAGAAAAGCCAAAAACAGTAACAGCAGCGACTGCAGCAACTGCTCCTAATGCATTGTCGATGCTGGCATCTTACGATGACTTGAGCGATGATTCGAGTGAAGACTAGAATGATATACATCTAACATGGAATTTTTCTTTTTTCTTTTTTCTTTTACCCACGGATGCGATGACGTGACTGCATAATGTACCCCACATTCTGATCTACACACAACAGAGAATGAAATGAAAAAAAAGGGAGGGAATATTATGAAATGTATGTATGTTATTGAGTGATGGAGTAAGTGCAAGAAAGACAAAGGCAAAAAAAAGTATACACGATGAAGAATTAGAAGATTGGATTGGCAATAGGTGCGGGTGGTATAGTTGGGGTCAGGATGAGTTTGTATTCTGTAAGCAAAAGAGCTTGATCTAATTTGATTTCAACCTCTGCAAGTTCAGGGCCATCCACATTAGGTAGTGGTGGCTGTGGTTGGGTTGGCTCAAGCTCTGTGATAACTAGCGAGCGTAGTGGTGAATGAAGTTCTTTTGGTGAAGGCGCATGTTGCTTTAAGTCTTCTAGATCTTCCTCAGCATCCATTACTCTTCGATTGGTGCGTCGAGTGCGTTTATTGAGTACTTCCTCTGCGTTACTTATTGTTATACAGAGTAAGAGACGCTCTCGAATGCTGTATTTTGGTTTTCTACGACGGTCGTCACGATCGAGCTTCTTGCAGCCTAGGGTGAGGGCTTTTGTGGCAATTTGGCGTGGTGAGAGTGTGGCGACAAAGACTGTGGTGGGAGCCTTGCTACGGTTTGACCAGAGGGCAGCCATGTGTATAAACTGACAGCAAAGATAAGGCGTGGAGAGGTACTTTAACTGCGAAGAGAGTCGATATAGACACAAATATTACTATGCACTAAGAGGAGCATTGAGCGGCCAGCAGGAACAAATGCGAGCACAAAAGATCCTGCAACAACAAAGGAAAGGGGGGCAATGAAGAACATCAGCCACTGTATTGACCCCCCATCATTTTATATCACACTTCACGGCCAATTTCGGAAGGACTCCCACATGTCAATACAAACCCCATTTTAGATGCGGGGGACACATTTCAGTTCCGATACCTCTTTGAAATACAAGCTCTTTAGTATCAAAAGTAAATCGTCATGGTTCCCATATACTAAACAGAAACAAGCTTTTATTGTATTGCCACCACAATACCTACTTTTACCAGCAGCGTATTATCTATATGTTAATTCTTATACTTGGAAAACAATTCCATAGAAATTCGGGACATCTTCTTTTAATAATACTATTATTCTTAGGACCAACCTAAACAGCCATTATCTTTCTTACACAAAAGAAAAACATATAAAGTAAGAATGGTAACTTTTGTCACTTTGAGAAAATTGAATGTCCTTAATAGCATTTGTTTTTTGGAAAGTAACATATATGTTTTGGTTTAGGACATTCAATTTTCTCACAGAGACAAAATTTACCGTTCTTACTGTATTCGCAACATCTTAACCAATTATTTCAATTGCTTTAAATAATCGTATATCTTATAGGTTAGTTGAATCGTTTTCTTATTATTGACCATCCCAAAACTGACAAGGCGAGATACTGTTTAACGGTGATCTCCATTGGATCATTAGACTTCGCGTTGCTTATCACTTGATTAGAGTCTGAGTCTTATAAGCTCAACAATTAGTTACATGTCAAAAATCTGCCGATGCAAGCAACCTTTTATTACAATTATTAGTAATTTTCAAAGATAGAATTATAAGTCTTTATTAATTTTATGGCTTTTAGGCTTTGGCCCATGGTTTATTAGTATGAGTTTGTTGTTGTTGTTGTTGTAAGGACAGAAAAGAGAGAAAGAAATAGAGGCAAAAACATCTACAATTCAGTCGGTTATTTCACAGTTTAACTATATAGTTAAATGTAGTATATACAGCCATTATAGCAGACTTGTCGGCTATCTTTTATTGCTCAAGATTCACTGCATCATTGCTTTAGTCATTACACTTCTTCCATTCACATTGATAACTTTCTTTTTGTAAAAAGAAAAAAAAAGCAGTCTAGTGAAACACTGCCGAAATATATACTGTCCGACAAAGTCCGAGCCGAATCCAGCGCACAATCTAGGCGGTCATTTAAATATATTTCTCGAGTTTTTTTTTTAAAAAGGGGAAAAAAAAAGAAATAGAATTTTGTGACGAGGGTCAGCGGTAAAGCCATATGATACTACCATATTTGGACACTTCTACAAAACTACCAAAAGGTATATTTCAATAAACTCAGTCTTGTTAATAAATAATGAAAAGCCTTTCGCATACCATTAAGATAAAACTATCACTAAAATTACTCCCGTATTGATCGTTAGATCACAAGTCTATTAATCTCATCAGTATTTCATAACCCCAAATTCAAAAGGTCAAAAGAGAGACTTACAATATCATAATCTATAAAACTCTTTGTGTATATATATTCCAAAGCTCCATAAAGGTACCTGAAAATAAGCATACGCAACATGGCCAGGACTAAATTTCTCAGCCACCTTTCGTATTCTTCCATACTTTCTAGAAAAGTATTGTTTTTTAGTAATAGCAGCAGATCTTGCAAGATGTAACCAAAAGGTATGAACTAGGTGGATTTCCAGAGAAAGAAATAGGAAATAATTTTAAGAAAAAAATCAAGATAAAATCATGTACTTTAAAATTGGTTGACTTGCATAAGGAATATTGATATAATTGAGGTGGTGATTGGCACCTGCCACCTCTTGAATAGATACATCCGTTAGGATAATAGTAAATATATAATATAAATGTATATATGTAGATTCAGAGTAAGTTAAGCTACTAATAAAACATCTGTCTCAAGAAGACCCAGCCCCAAAGAAGAATATAGATTATTAGCTAGCTTGTAAACGCTTTGTTTCTTTATTGGTGTTTATAAAGGAATGTTCATGAAAAGAAAAAAAGAAAGATAATTATGGTCATTTGGGGACTCTCTAGTTATAGCCATTTGGCTCGTATAGCTCATTAAAAACAAATAAAAGAATACTTTAAGAAAGAAAAATAGGTGTATTGTTTACAGCCTATCCCTCTCTCCTTATTTCATATCAGAAACTACTTTGGTTTACTTGAGCCCCCTTTCTTAGTTCTTAACGTCTGTCCTGATCCGGAAAATACATGTGTCTTTTTGACATCGCTTTCTTCTTCTGTGCTCTTTGGAGGAACAACCTTGTACCCAAAGAACAGTTGGCCAAATGGAAGATTGAGCGGTCCATCGTCGTTAGGATCAAATCGGCTTTCCTCTCCAAAGTCTGTATCCACATCCATAGGATTTTCGGTTCTTATTGGTCTTTTTTTTTGGTTGGAAAATAATGAAGTGTATATCAACATCTTGTAAAATACCAATACCAAGCTGTTACCACAATACCCCAGGCTCATACACCATACACTTACTCTTTTCCTTTTCCTCTCAAACTTTGTCCGCTTCCACTAAATGCAGACGTTTCGGTTTTTTTTGGTGTTTCTGGAACATCAATAACCATCTGACTCTTCTGCAAACACGATACAAAGTACATAATTAGCCAAAATACACGAAAACACAATGTATCATATATTTATTTATTTACCATTGAAGGTGTAGGTGTAGGTCTGCTTGGCTCAACATAACCAACAGGTGGCGCAAAATCGACCTATTTATTTTTACGTATACATATATAAGTAAAAGTATAAAAGCGTCAACAACCTATCCAAAATTTCTACTCGGGACTTAGTCTACCTCCAAATCGGTCTCAACGATAGATATACCACCATGATCTTCGTGATTAGGCTTGACTTCCAGTACTTTAATTTCGTATACTTTACTATTGTAGTTGATCTGAATCATATCTCCGGCCGTCAGTGTTGAAAAGTTGCGCAGAGCATTCTCAAGCCTATGATCGATAATTAATAATTAATAAATATATTCATTGTATTTAATTAATTAACCTATTTTTTTTCCTTCGTTATATTTACACTGCTCTATGATCACTGATATCTAAAAAGTCTGTCGACTGAGGTTGAATCTTCACAAAAGATCCAAGTGGGAGGGTAATATTTTTAACTTCGATAAGGTTTCCAGGTTCGACCTTGAGAGATTCCATCATCTACGTAATTAAATTATGTGTAAGATAAAAAAATAAATCTTCGCAGGTCCCAGTATCAGCACTATAGCCTACCCATTGTGGAAAATATGCTCGTCCTTCCTCTGCGATAAACTCAAGTACACCTGCATGTGTATGCTTCTTCTCTTGCCCATTATTCAAACGGAAAAGCATAGGATATGATATATTCAGCTGAGCTAGATGTAATAAGAACATACGCATTAAATTAATTCTCTGTTATTACTCATATATCTACTTTTTATATGCTTTTAAGAAATAAATAAAAACAGAAAAACTCGACTTACATAATTTCTCTAATGCTGACTGCGGAAGAATGACTAAAATCACACATTGGTTTATTAATGATCGTGTGTTTGAAGGATTGCTTTTATATATAAGAAAAATATAGTTTACTTTTTCCACCATAATTGACGTTTTCTCTTTCGCTTCCGTGTTGCATCATTGCAATAGGATAGCATCGATATAGTTCGAGAAAGCCTCTATTGGGGTTCAAAATACCAGCTAGAGGATTACGCATGTTAAAGTAAGCGGCCCCAAATGGGTTCTCATCGTCAAATCCTTCTCCGTTGAACTAAATTTAGAGTGTTTAATGAAGGTTGCCAAGTTACGACCGAAATTGGCTTACCATGGGTGCTTAATAAGGTTTTATATGAAAGAAAACGTCTCTTGGTGACGTTTATTCAGCAAACCTCACTTCTTTAGTTGCTCGCTCGCTTTTTTTTAAAAGAGCGCAGATCGGACAGATAGGTCTTACCAGCCCGTCACAAATGACGCAGCTAATGGCTGCGAAACGGGGAGAGAGAAATACCGATGGCCAATCAGGCATGTTGCAGGATCGTGTTTAATACAATCGTGATCTTTTCATGATTTAATGAATTGCTTATGATTCATTACATTTACAGAGAAAACTCAAGGTAGAGATGTATTTTGTAAGGCTCCTTCTTAATGAGTAATGATCAAAAAGGGATATATAAATATATCAGATAACCTTAGTAAATAGCCAGACGAAAAGCCTTAAAAACTTTAATCATCCCTAAGTTGAAACCTTTTGAAAGATTTATCTTACATATTATTCTTAAATATTTTGAAATGTCTCCTAAGCTCAAGCTGTAATTATGAAAAGTGGTATTATAACTGTGATATTGAGATATATTCAGGCCTATTTTACTTTAAAGAAAAAAAGACTACTGTGCATTGAGATATTCATAGGTGTTGGCAGTGAACCTTTAGCCTTTTCTTTGTAATTTGGAAAATACGAGTATATATATATATATATGAATTAAACTCAACAGGAACAGTACAGAATTGTATCTGTGTGCAGCTGTATGCATAGCTAGAGGTTGTTTGTCTGATAAAGTTGCTGCAGAATATATGCTGGTCTTTGTTGGTCTGCAGATTTATTCAGACAAAACATGTGTACCTGACATCTATCTGAAGACATTATCACACTAAAGATAAAGATCCCGCTTTAAAGTACAATATTGTATACCTATTATTTAAAGTATATATATATAAAAGACGTAAAGCTATGTATCTCTTATATGTATACCTTATTTTTGGGTAGTAAAGGTAGCGGATAACCAGCTTTTTGGTAATTTCAAAAGGTCCACTTAATACTTGGCCATGAAAGATAAAATGCAAGAGTGTTTATTGATAGATGATAATAATAAGTGATCTACAATAATATGGCTATTATTGTGCGAAATAAGATGCGTGGATATTCTTAGATGCTTCTTAGAAATAAACCATAATTAGCTATGAGTATTTACGTTCAAGTCTTGTCCAAATGAATAAAGCAAAACGCAGTCTATGCTACCATTGTTTACTTTTGAATTATTTGCTACAAAATATAATATATATGTTAAGCCATATCAACAATTGGTATCGTTTTTTATCGATACGTAAGGAAGAAGAGTATATATATATGTAAATAATATTCATTTGCAAAAGACAAACATTAAGGTATAGACACATGCTTGTACAGAAGAATATCCTTTAAATAATTTTAACACACATGCAGAAAGACAAATACAAGGAAAGCCAAAGAAGGGAAAGAAAGTGAGAGAATCAACAAGAAGAAATATGATTAAGATATGCAGTGAATAAGAAGGGGATGTGGTGATGTGGTGATGTGTATATGAGTGAGTGAGTGAGTGAGTGAGTGAGTGAGAGACTTTAGCATGGTGGAGGACTAGTGCGAGTGGGTAAGCGACTTTGAGGACGAAGTGAGGTTCTGTTGTTTTTCTTGTCAAGTACAGAAACTGCAGGCCGGATAGGAATGCGGCTAGGAACGGTAGGAGCGGTAGGTACACCAGGCTGATTAATTTCGGCCTTAATCGTGGGGCTTGTTTTTTTAGTCTTGGAAGCAACCGGGGGACGCATGCACGGCTGCTTAGGCATGTTGGTTGGAAGTGCATGATTTCGTGCAGTGGCTTTAGTAGGGGGTAAACGTCCGCCAGTATGGAGTCTATTCAGGGTTGTTGGCTCTGGTGCTTTGCGTTGAGTAGTTAATACACCTCCACGAGATCCAATGCGAGAAATTGGTCGAACGAGGGAGTTCTTGGGTGATAGTGCAGCTTTAGACGCCACCTGCTTGGCAGGAGGGGTTTGAACAGTAGGCGTGTTGTGGTGTTGAAGGTGGCTGCGCGGTATGAAAGACTGGCTTGCCTTTCGAGAACGCGAATTGACAGTTGTGATATTGCCTGAGCTAATTCGGGGCGCATCCTTTACCTCTTCCTTCACATAAGGCAGACGTTGCTCTTTTGTTTGTCCAGGACAGCTTGTCTCCGCAAACTCAAAGGTGGGTGAGTGCAGGGAGGGAATGGGAGACTGAGGTGACTCTGACGAGAATATATGTATATCCAAATATGTCTGTACAGCTACGTCCCTAGACAGAGAATGATTCACCTGATTTTCATGCACAATACACTCCATTAGGGCCTCATTTTCCATATTTGTAGGGGTTACTTCTACAGAATTGCACAGAGGAACCTGTAGGTCGACAAGAGGCTCGTCAATGTGTACAAAGTTTACCACATCTGGTTCCTTGTCTGCTTGATCCAAGCTGGGTTCTTCTTGAGTAACAATTGTGCAAGCCTTATCGCCGTCTAATAAAACATTTGATGGGATCTCTGTAATTTGAGAACTGTTAGTGGTTACACCCCAGTACTCAGAAATTGGCTCTTTGGCGGGAGAAGAAATAGGGTGCTCAACAAGTTGATCGTTCTCTTTGTTTTCTTCAGCTAGCAGCAGCTCATCCACAGTAATAACTTCAACATTTTTTACTTCTGGGTTTGTTTCCTTCGGAAGCAGAATATCTTTAGGTGTAATGAAGTTAGTGGTATCACCCAAGTTTTCTTCATCTTCTACAGCTGATAATAATTCTTCTTCGGCTGAAAATGATTTTATCACGGGTAGATCGCTGTTATCGTCTTTTGATTCCTTATGCACTGCTTCTTCAAGTGGTAGGGCAGCATCAGCATGGCTTACACAAGCATTCTCTATTGTCTCTGTCTTGTGTGACACTTGTTCTGTGTATACTTCATCAGGAGTAATGATAGGCCAAGCACTTTCTTTAGTCTCTTTTTCGTGCAACATTCCTTTCTCTGGTGATTCTCCAGATGCGGTAATTGCACAAGAGTCTTCCATCTGGTGCAACGCAGCTTCCTCTGGCAATTCTTCCGTGGCAGTAATGGCAAATGTGGTGTGTTCATCATTCAGTGGCTCTTCAGATGGCAATTCTTCTTTTGCAGGAATTATGCACTCGGATTCTTCTGCCTTTACAATATTTTCTTCTCTGAGTAGTGATTCTTCAATGGTAGTACTTGTACGAGTAGCATAGTTATCATCGTGTAACGCATATTTGTGCGACTCTGTGATTGCTGTCAATGTACAAGCGCTATCCTCTATTCTGCTGACTTCATTTGCTGGATGCAGTAAGTCGTTTGTAGATATTTCTTCTTCAGGAGTTTCTTCAACTGCCTCAGTCCCATCTTCGTCGTTTTCATGTTCCAAGGCATCTTCGATCACGATAACCTCAGTTTTGGAAGATGTGCAGGCACTGCTTTCTGCTTCTTTGTGCGGTTCTTTCATCAATGCCCCCTCGACAGCAGGGATGGTGTGAATTAATTCTTGCTTTTCCTCTTTAGTCTTTGATTCAATTTTTGACTCAATCTCTGATTCAACCTCTGGTTCAGCCTCTGGCTCAACCTTTGGTTCAACTTCTGGCTCAACCTCTGGTCCAACCTCTGGTCCAAGCTCTGGATCAACCTCTGGATCAACCTCTGGATCAACCTCTGGATCAACCTCTGGATCAACCTCTGGATCAACCTCTGGATCTGCCTTTTCTTCTTCTTTAGTTGTTAATTCTATGTTTGATGTTTGGGTTTCTCCTTGACATGATACATCTTCAGGCACAGACTGTTTAGCAGTGGTACACGTGTTGTTTTCTACAACATATTGTTCGAATAAATCTTCAACAGGAAAATCTATGGGCGTGGTATGACTGAAAATATTTTGTTTGGTCTCATTTTCTGTTGCTGACTCTTCAATATGCGCTTCTGCGAGTACACATGTTATTTGTTTATTATCCGGTGGCGTAACTTGTATAATAGACTCCAAAACAGCCTCCTCTCCTGCCTCTACGTCTGCTATCAGTGATATTTCAGGGATAATTGGGTCAGGCTCTGCCTCTGCCTCTGGTTCTATTGCTGTCGTTTCTGCTTCTGCTTCTGCATTTGCATTTGCATTTGAATCTGCAACTTCAACTGCAACTGCCTCTATCGCTGCATACACCTCTGTATCTGCATACACCTCTGTATCTGCATACACCTCTGTCTGTACCTCTGCTTCTGGCTCAGTATATGGTTTTAGATCTGTCTCCGTTTCTGCCTCTGCCTCTGCTTCTGCTTCTGCTTCTGCTTCTGCTTCTGCTTCTGCTTCTGCTTCTGCTTCTGCTTCTGCTTCTGCTTCTGCTTCTGCTTCTGCTTCTGCTTCTGCTTCTGCTTCTGCTTCTGTTTTTATTTTTGTTTCTGCCTCTGCCTCTGCCTCTGTCTTTGTTTCTGTTTCTTTGATAGATGGTTGTTTCAGTATTGTTACGTCGTTTTCCTGAAAATGTGTAAAGATAGATTCCATATAAGCCTTAATCAGCGCGTCTGCCTCTGTGTGCACAAAAAAAGTTGTCGCTTTGACTTACTGCACTAGAAACACTCCATACATCTGTCTTATCCGCCTGTTTCAGAGAGCTAATGCTACTATGATTTTCTTCTGGTCGGGATGGTTCTGCCACCAAGACAGGTGGATATGTTCGTTTTTCCAACACGGACCAATTTGGTTGCGGACTTGGCAAGGATTCACTTGGTATCCAATCAGCCTTGTTTTCATCTTTATATTCCGTCTTTCCCTTGGGATTTTCTTCTGTTGGCGCTGTTGACCTTGGAAGGGACAGAAGAGTATCTCTAGAAGAAGAAGAAGATAGTGATTCTCTATGTCCAATTCGACTGTGCCTATAATTTTTCTAATTGTGTCAAAAAAAATTTGATTTTTTTTTATGAAATAAAAAAAAAGAAAAACTTTTCTTGGTTTTGCCATACCGAATCTCGGTTTCCAAAGGTGGAATAGAGGCTTGAGAGATAAATTCGGGCTTGTTGGTTCGTTGAATTATCGTACTCAAGACCTGTTCACTTTGTCGCGTGCTCAGCTCTCGGGTCTCAGGGTATTTTTGGCTAGCTTCTGAATCTGTCGCACTGAAGGAAGTCTTGGGACTTGGGCGAATGACATTATTTGATACTTTAACATGATCTGGGATTAGGTGATTAGGCAAAGCAATGGCACTCGTAAAATCGTCTGGTAAACTGAGTTTCAACCATTTTTTTTCGTTCTCTTGCTTCTTGGACTGGCTTTGCGGTGGTTGTGGTGGTGATGGTGGTAGTGGGTTAGCCAAAGGAGCGACAGACGCTGTCGCAAGTTTTTCTTGGGCAGCCTTTTTTGCAGCAGCCTTTTTGCCTTTCTTTTTAAAGAAGAACATATAGGGTAAAGTAGTTACAAGAGTAAGAAGTAAAGAAAGAAGGTTTTTTTTTAGAGTTGAATATGTGTATAAAAGACGGAGTATAAGAAGGAAGGATAAACGTGTTGCAAGGCGATGTTGCTCAAGAAAAAGTAATATATATATATATATATACATGCCGCCTGCAAGTGACTTGTATTCAAAATGACATGCTATTAAGGGGTGTGGGGGAAAAGACCCACTAGTAATTATGTGCCTGGCACAACTAGAAGAGATACATCCGAGCAGTGGTGGTTAAGATCGCCGAGAAACAACAGATAGTTCTTATTTCAATGGTCTGTAATCCTCGTTCGATATATAAAAGAGTATATGTGTATTATATATGTAATATATAATATATGATGGCATATCTTTATAAGTTATAACATACGCAGTGGTTGCATAAACAAAGCTTAAAAAGCTAATGGCGGGCGTGATTTGATCGAACTGATAGTAGCATTATAGACATAGGTGACTGCAAGAGTATCGGCTTTTATACCTACTCCCAAACAAATTCTTGAACCGGGGACAATAGGAGCTGTAGGCTCAATCCCAAGGCTTAAAAGATGGTCATCAATGTCACCCCCAGATAATCCAAAACTCTCGGCAAGGATCCGACTGGTCACAGTACGTAGCAACAAGAAGGTTTGCCCACGGCATTCCAATGGCTCATGCAACGAGGCAATTTTGTGGCTGATTGGTACCATCAGAGGCATCATTGTATCCTTGTAGATGCTGGCAGTATCAAGGGCCAGAAGAGGCATCCAAATGTCGTCAGTACGTGAAAGGAACTGCAGATACTCTGCGACTGCTTGTCCGTAATGGATTCCGTTAAGGTAGGACACAGGATTACTGAATGCATAGCGTGCGTCCCACATCATCACACCACCAAATGTTTCTTTTGGCTCAATCGTATCCAGAATCTCTGTAAGCTTTTCATAATTTACATAGCCTGTATCCATATGGTTCTCCTTGCCCATCAAGCCCAAATAAATTTTGGTCCGTCCGTTTGTATTCTTAAGAGACCAATTTTCCCATTCATCAAAGTTGAATTTTGCTGGTCCTTTTGTATCAAAAGTATTGGCCGAGCAATAGTTGTTGTAGAACTGAACAAATACCAAATCCGGGTATGCGTTGTATTTAGGGTCGGGATGAAGTAAAGGGTACATGGCATTCATGGAATACATGTCGAGGTCTGGACATTGAGGTGCGGCTGTAATAAGGTAATTTCGAGGAGGATATGCTGTCTTGAATAATTTCCGGAGAGTATCGACAAGTTTATCATAGCCTTCGCCATTAGTGCCTTGTAGAACATATCATATTCACAAATACATATATACCAATATGTAAATCCTTCTTGTCTTTTTTTTATACTCTTTTTTTTTTCTTGATATACTTTTTCTTGGCTTACCTTCTGGATCAAAATCAATGCCGTCCAAGAGTACATCACCAAACGGTCTCTTTAGGGTACGGTCGTCCCCTCCTAAAAATTTATTCCAGATCCACCAGGCCAAAACTTCTGGATCCCATTTTTGCTTATGGTATGGGCCAGCAGAACCACCCATGGATAAGAAAACTTTAATGCCCTTTCTTTGACAAGATTTGATATCATGCGCCACCTGTTCGCAGTTCTCGACATTGTTGCAGTTGCTTGATAGGTTGAGTATAGGAGAAGATCGTTTGCCACCAGTGTAGTCTGCAATAAAACCCATCACAACTGCACTCACGCCTGGTTGGTTGCAGTAGTATGACAATCTTTTTTCTGTGTTGTCTCCTTGACCCCAGTAAATTACCAGGTTGGTTTTTTGACGTGTCTATGAATATAGAAAATCAAGGTGTCAAATCAGATATCTTCTTCTTTTTGCAATTATTCGACTATGTTTTGTTTTTAGACAATATTCATATAATCTACTTGCATCAAAGGAGCTGGCATGGAAATCTATGGCTCTATTGATGTTCCTTAAGGTATCCAGTTTTCCATAATTGGGATTTTCTTCAGCGTTATGTTCTAATGCAGACTGAGGTTCGTTGATTAGCACGCGCGCGGTTGCCTTTGTAGTCGATCCGATCTGCTGGGCATCCGCAATAGAGGAAATGGTGACTAGTAGTGTGCACTGGATAGCGATGAACCAGTAAATAGCTTGGGTAATGAGCATTCTAGATGGATATATTTCTTGGGCTGACCCAAGTTAAAACAGTGACAAAAATAAATTAGTGATTAAAAGAAAGGATAAGAAGAGATGGGTTTTAAGTACTCTCGGTGCTGACTATAGAATATAGAACCAAAAAAGGGGTATACTGCTTGGAATGTCAAATCTCTCTTTCTCTCTCCTCTTTCTCTCTTTCTTCCTTTCTCTTTGTTTGTATGCAATTTGAGATTTTATCATCATAGAATTTCATTGGGATTCCATCCTTTCTTTTTTAGGCTGCTGATTATTCTTTAGTCAAGTAGTATTTGAGGTTATTTAGTTTTGTTTTTGTTTTTTGTTTTGGGGGAGGAAAACAAGGTGAGTAAAGGTCTAGTTGTGATTGATATAATAGCTCTTGGCTACTAGGTATTTGAATTCCAAATAGAAAGAATTAAATACTGTGAGTATCAACCCCAGGTGTCATGAATTAAAATACCATCAAGCAAGCATTTGTACTGCTGCATTTAGGTTGTAATGGATTGAATATCTCAGTATTTTCAATATGAATAAGAATAGGAATCTAGGGATATCAGTAAGGGTACGGAAGATCTTATAATAGAATTATATATGCATGTATTCCAGCCTCAAGCTCTTTTAGATTGATCTCTTAATGACGTCTAGGAGGCAGAAATCAATGACTACCTTTTATTTGCTTTTATCTTGCACTTATATAGACACCGTATTTTTATTGCGACCATGACATCAAAATATCTCAAATCAGATAATCTCTTTGGCAGAAAACATGAGCCAAATACCACACAATAATTTGCTATTTCTATACTTTTTGTATTATCAATAAATTAGCCGCTTCTTCTTTTTTTAGGGGGCTTGATAGTAGGGAATTTAGCCAAACAAAGTCCATATCTCGTCTTGTAAGTGCGTTTTCTTTATTGTATTGCACATTGTCGATCACACACCTCCAAATCCTCGGATTCACTTAATCGAACGACAAGAAGCACGTAATGGTTTTCATAAGCTCCATACATATCCCCACCCTAAATAATCGAATTACTAAACGTACTCGACTCATCGTACAGAGGTAGTTTTACAGATACACAAAAGAATTTTAGAATTTTATATATAAAGAAAAGTAAGCTGACAAGAAAATAGCCTTTGTAACCGAAAATTCGGATTAATGACGATCTCTTGCCTTAAATCATATAGGGTTTATTTAGCTGCATCAAAGTTCTTTATAATACAGTATAGCATATATACATATATATCGTTTATAACCAGTTAACCAGTTGTTTAGAAGAGGTAAGAGCAGGTTATTAACATTTTAATTAAACAAAATAAATCTGAATCTTTTATACCATCACGTTACTTATTACGCTTATTATAGAGTGTAAAATATATTCATTTCAGCTGTCAAACACACCGTTTTGTGATGTATTATCTTGTTATTGTCACCTTTTATATTTTGATCTTAAAAACAAAGAATATCTACTCTATAGCTTTATCTAGATATAATTGAAGTACTGTACAAAAATTTGGTCTTTTTGGAATACTTGATAGTAAAAATATAGCTGCTCCTTGCTCAGTAGTCATTAGTATAGACACTAGAATTATCATTTATGAATTAAAATGGTCTATTGGAAGTTTACATGATAATTTGCCTATGGTTTATTTATAAACTAATTATTCTGGACTTTTGTTTGACTCCATAGCCTCCAAAGGTTTGTTGCAAAAAGCGTCTTGCGTCTAGGCGTTGATTTTCACAATTGTTCTGTAAGATCCAAAACTAAAATTATAGTTCAATTACCAGAGAAAAACATAAAAAGAAAATAAACCGGAATGGACCCCCTCTCCACCCCCTTAAGATGTCTTTAGCTAAATATACTATCCGGGCCTCTGATCCGGATGATTCATATTTTATGGTTATGTGGAAAAGTAATTTTACCGAGTGTTTAACCGTAGCAAGTGAATGACTAGTGCCTTGTTACCTACCCCTAGAGGTAAATTATAGATCAGTATTCTGGGGTAGATTTATTAATTCTTAATATAGCTCATTACAGCTTATTAGTTGTTTCAAATAAAACAAGAATACGTGTCATTTATAGAAAGCTGTTGTTCACAGACTGAGTTGGTTGGTTTAAGAATTTCGATTTAAGTATTAAAGAGGAAGCTTTTTTGTGTGTATTATGAGTATAGCTTCCATTACGAAGTGAAAAACAGAAAACAGTTTGTTTTTTTACTTGTTGTTGATATATACATATATCTGTATAAAAGTCTTGATCTATAAAGTGTCAATAGCTTTTATGGACATGTTTTATCAAAGAAAGAAAGTAGGTCAGTGTCCCATGAGTATTTTTTGGGTTCATTCACGTGCTTTTGATATATACATATACATTTTAATGCTTAATACTGACCCACAGAAGCAAGATGAGCTCTTTAGGGTCAGTACTAAGAGTAAAACAGAGGCTCTTTAATGGCTGAGCATTTTTGGATCGAGAACTCTCTATTTTTATCATATACTTCGTTGTTTATGTACAGCATTATCTCTATTCTATTTAAAAAAAATGGCTCTCTCTCTCTATATATATATACACACTTGCAGCTTTACAAAGTATACCGCAGTAATTCGCACATATATATATATATTAATTGATGGGCCACGTAGAATTTTCAAGGGGTTGGACTTCGGGTACCTGACAGGAGCTTGTCTTGTTATCGGCTAAATCACTTGCCAGACCTCCTTGTATGATACATGACCATCGTTTACACCCCTTTATAGCACACACACATATAGATCATTTTGATCTGGTTAGTTTATTGTAATAAATAACTCAATATTACAATACTGTATAATTTATACTTCTACTACTGATATAATATCTTGAACAAACAGCTGCCTATCTTGTTCCGGTTTAATAAAGGCCAACAATTGGACAGGTTAAACAAGTCAATACAATTCAGTTAGTTCTTGGAATGAGACATTCTAAAACTGACGTATGGCTATAAAAAAAATCCATTCATTGGGTAATTCAAATAAAGATCTGTCGCGCATTCGGCGGCCGAGTCCCAATTAAAGAAAACTTAACAGCATCTACCCCGTAAAAAAAACCAGACATTTGTCTCATTGGCGGCCTATTTTACCCGAACTCTCCTGCATACATTGTACTGGTTGAGTATATAAAGGTAATTTTTGACTGACAAGACTTTAATTTGATAGCTTCATTCTTTTCATCTAAATCACTCTCTAAGCACTCGTACTATTATACAGAAAAAAGCATGATCGAATACCTGAAAGAATTTGTTGACAGAATCGATAGTAAAACATTGGAAAATGTCAAGAGTCTTGCCTTTTCAAAAGAGGGAGCTATTGGGATCAGTACAGCAATAATTCTGAGCTCTGCTTACAATTACCACAAGTGGTCCAGTCGTACAGTAAGAACAAATCTACCAAAGTAAATTCGATTTGACCTTTTCTTTTGCTCTCTGTAGATCAGTAATGGCTGTCCCCGTGTTCCACACACACTACCTTTTGTTGGATTGACAAGGGTATATCGTAAAGACTCAAAGGCATTCTGTGAGGAATGGCATGCAAAGTTAGGTCCTGTCTTCCGTGCCCATTTGTTTGGAAAGGTATGATTTAATTGGCACTGCACCAAGTTAAACGGGCAACTTTCCTAACTTATGAATACAGGAAGTAACTGTAGTATCAGGCCATTATGTTCGGGAGGTCTTTCTTAATAAACACTTTGACTTTGTCAAGGGCGTTGCAAAAGTAAGCTCGAGATCAAATTCTAGATGGAGATCTAACATGAACACAGGTTTTTGACACTAGGCTATTGACAGACAGTGGATCTAGAGAGGATTTTACCCCAGAAGACTTGCGTGAGATTATTACAAAGTATTTGACACCAAAGCTTAACTTTTACACTAAGCGAGTAATAAAGCGGGTAATATAAAGAAAATCAACAAATCCAAGCTGTGTTAACAAATTAATTAATACAATATTTACAACAATTATGATAGTTGAAACAAGGTGTTGAGAGTAGTCTTGGTGATAAAGGTCAGTAGTAGTATAAAAACACTAATAGAGAATAATTAATATTAACGTTTTGCAACTGTTTGTTTTTTTAATAGATTCGATAGAACTTGATAATTTGTATCCATTTGTCCAACACTTGGTTGTCAATGCAAGCGCCTCTATTTTTGTGGGAGAGGAACTTAGTCAAAACAAACTTCTCATTGATTCCTTCAAGAATATGGTCCGTGATGTTGGCAAAGAAATTAAGCAAAATCCCTGGTTTGAGCCTTTCCCAACTATCAACAAATTTCGGATGTGGTGAGTGAAAAATAAAAGCTTTGGTTATAAATTTATGAATAAAATCTAAAAAAAAAACTGCTCCAAAAAAAAAGGCTTATAGGAAAAACTTCCCCTGTCATCAAAAACCACAAGGAGCAGCTACTAAATGCCATAAAGCCAGAAGTTGAATATAGACTATCACAAGCAAGGAGCAATCCAGACTGGAAGAAACCGGTAAGTTTTTGTTTTTTAGTCTAGACTAATTTCTTACTTAGCTCTTTCTCACTCACACATATACAATATAATTTTTAGACCGATATGCTTCAAGATCTTTTGGAAAATTCAAAGCCACCTGCACATCTAGATCTTATGGATCACCTTGTACATATCATTACTTTCCTCATATTTGTAGCTTTGCACACTACCAGTGAGAATACTACCGTCTTACTTTATCGTATGCTAGAGAATCCTGCAATTGTGGATGAACTAGTCATAGAACAGCAAGAGGTTCTTGAACAAGAAGGACTAGATGCAAACTGTGGGTCTGAAGTATTTACACGAGACATCCTCAAGAAATTTGTCAAGCTTGACAGTGTGTGTCGCGAAACCTTCCGAATGAAGAATCAGTATATTTCATTACCACATGAGTACGATGGAAAGGTTCCACTTACATTGAGCAATGGAGCAGTTATAAATCCAGGTATGATTTTTTGTCTATCAAAAAAACACTCACAAAAAATGAAATAAATTAATGTGTTTGGATTTTAGGTGAAGATGTATTGATTGATGTATGGACAAATCACCAGTACACAGAAGACGCCAACGACGTGGAGGATGCGGATCAATTCAAAGCCTTTCGCTTTGTTGACCAAGATAAACAGTCAACAAAGGTCGGAGAAGATTATCTGTTCTTTGGTATGGGAAGACGTGCTTGCCCAGGACGTTGGTTTGCTATACAAGAGGTACAGACCATATTGGCTATGCTAGTTCGTGAATATAAGTTTATGCCCAAAGGCCCTATTGTCTTTCCTACAGAGGAAAGATCTCCTATACCTACCGGAAAATGTATAATTCAAAGAAAGTAGATGAAGTGTATATTTTATGTTTATTAAACCTGTAGTTACCTATTTCTCCCTCCATTACTTTTGGATATATATCTCTCTCATTTTTGAACCATACGTATGAATAATTTGAGTAGCAAATTAATGAGCTGTTTTATTTTAAGCCACGTAGTCTACCTTTAATCTCGACAGTTTGTTATCAATGGCTTATGTAAATATTATAATATTTATATATTATTTACATATGTAAAGCTGTAAATGAGTATATTTGGTTTACTAGGAACTCATAGTAGAAAAAAAAACAGGCTGTTTTGAATGTTCCCTTGGAGTTCGACACCTTTCAAAAAATATTTTAAATGGACGCTTCATATATCACCTCATCCCTAATCATTTTTGACATCCTATATGGAGTTTACAGAGTTAGAAAGACCTCAAGAAAAGACGAGACTTATAACAGCTTTAAGCAGGTAGAGCGTATAGCAATGCTAAACATTGAAAGTTTAAGCGTTTTATTACTAGACTTGCTTTCTACTCATGTAATATATCCTCTTTAATATAAACTTTTGCCTAAGCCGAAATGGTTTTATTACGTGGATATGTCCTAGTACTTCTTCTTTTTAATTTAATTGTAAACAACCTTAAACAGTATTATTGGTTGAGTAGATATTAGACCTATTTAAGAATTTTATGTCTGTCTACAGCTATTATTGATCTTTGATCGAGCTCAAAAGAGATTAGCTTTTTGAAGAAGCATATAGACCAAAATATCGAACCACTTGCAACAGAGTACTTACTCAGAACTCTTAAATATTTCTGTCGCTAATCCTCTGTTCAAGCTTGAAGACTGTTTTGAATAACAAACCAATTGTAGGATTTTTGCACACTTTATCAACTAAAAGAAAAAAAGGGAAGTTTGATTGGTATGCTCTTTTAGTATGAAATTTATTATTATTATTATTTTTATGTACGAAACATTAGTGAAAATAATGTATTTAATGCTATCTTAAATGGCATTTAACCTACCATTTATCTTATTGTGAAAAAAAAGGATGAGCAAGAATCTCTTGTATAGTCAGTCGATCTTTTGGTTTGCGCTGAAGACAGCCATCCAGTAGATTCCTTAACTCTTCACTAACTGGTACATGTAGCTCATGATTTGTATGATTTGATGGGTCGAGTTGTACAACTAGGGCTATATCCGGGTACTTGATTGGATAATTCGGATTCGGTATACATTGTATCTTTTGCCACATATTTAAATGCTGAAATGGTGTGTGGCCATACACCATTTGATATAAAATGCACCCTAATGACCACACATCGCTTGGTTTTCCGATCTATAATAAATAGAGGTATCCGTAAGGTTCTATGACATTACAATAAAACAAACTGATCTATTACCACTGTTGGTCTTCCCGAGCCAGGACCACCTCCTGGATCCAATAATGCCTCTGGTGAAATGTAGTTCGGTGTTCCCATCTAAAATCAAGTTCTTAGATCGTGATAAATAAACTCTACAAGTCCTTCAAACTAACATTGTGATCACGGTGGACATTTGTGGTATCGTTCGCAATTTTGTTGGCAATTCCAAAATCAATCAATCTCAGTTCGCCTTTAACAATCATAAAGTTTGCTGGTTTCAAGTCAGAGTGAATAATCCTCGAATTATGCAATACATTAACTGCTTGCAACATCTGTCACAACCATTTGTTAAGCGAGCATACAAAAACAACACAAGATTATCACAATCTAAATGACGCAAGAACTAAATCCATTTTTGGGTTTCTTTATTTACCTTTTTCCAATAAAATCTAATAAAGTGCAGGTTGAGCGAGCTTTTCCTTTCTTTTGCCATAAGACAGGCCATGTCAACTTCCCCGAATTCCATTACCTTTTATATATATATATATATTAATATAAAAACCCCCTAAATTAGTTTATTTCAAGTCTCTCCGGTGACATGATCTCTTACAAGATATATAAGATTAAATGTTGCATTAATCTCATGGTCGTACATCTTTACTATCAGTTCGCTGTCACTCAAAGCTTGAAGGAGGTTGATCTCATTGAGATACATTTGATATGTCTGTACATCAGCATTCTCAAACGAGATTTGTTTTATGGCATACATTTTGTTATCTTCGGATAATACACAAAAAACTTTACTGGTGCCTCCTGCTCCAACTTGGGACAATATACTATATCTCACGTCATTTACCTAGAGTAAATAAAGTATTGTGAATAAACAAAAGTTGCTTGCGCAATTTCTTACATAGATTGCGTCTAATGGTCGTGAAGAGGTGGTTGATTGTAAGGGTGGAGATGTTTTGGATGGTGAAGGTCGGGATGGCGATTGTGATAATAGAGGATTGGCTGTTTGTTGAGCCATTCTTTTCGGAGCAGTATAAGGTATCGAAGACTTTGCATACAAATGGTTGGTTTTATTATGCTCAGTACTTTGAATTCTTTCAAAGTTTTTTTGTATTTGTTCAATTGATTTTCTTACATTCTTATTCTTGCTTAAGGATGGCGAGGGTTCTGGGCTACTGAATGGTGGTATTTCCTATATACCATACACTTGTCAATATTTAACTAAATCCTATGTTACATATATATATATTTACCGGCACCGTGTACTTGTTTACTAGACACGCAGACTTTTGTCTAAATTATCATGCATTAAATACCAATTGACATGTATAATATCCAGGTATCCTACCACAAACCTGATTATTTTATCGTCTGATTCTTCCCGTCGTCTCTTTGGTGACCGAACATCAGACTCCATATTAATACCATGGAGCATCTCTATAGATTTGTTACTGCCCTCTTCTTTTTGAATTGGAGAATTTATTGAATAACCTATGCATTGAGATGTAAAAAAAATTGTCAATAGAATAATAAAAATAATAATATTTCCTATTAGACACACCCACCCACGCATATATATATACATATATATATATATTTACCCGTAACATATAATTTACTAGAAGATGGTTTATCGGTTGATTGGTATTGCATTGATCCTTTTGTGAGAGAAGTATCACTGCACAAACAAGGTAAGTACATTTACTACTTTCAACTATTTAAAAAATATCCATAAAAGTAATAATATTAATACCCAATATTCATTTTAGAAAACTTATTCGTTGGTACATGGTCTTTAGATGAGGAGCTTTTTGTCGTCTAGATTGTAATTTGGTCAATAAATGCATCTGAATTCAACTATTCCCATACTATTATTATGTTGCTTAGATCTGCAGAGCGGCTGTGCGATAACGTTTTTGTTTCATTATTTGCGGCAGTTTCTTGGTGGTATTCCTATGTAAATTATTTCCAATTAATGAGCTTCATTTTGTGTGTGTAATGATAACAAAAAAAATAGAAAAAAAATATGGTTTGATTAATTCTGTTAGTGAATTAATTGGTCGAGAAATACTTACTTGAGATAATGAATACGAAGTCATCTGTGAATTCATTGGTCGGTCATCATCAAAGATCTCATCGAGACTATTAATGTAGCGCTTCACTTTATGAAATGCATTATTGGATTCGTCTTGTACAAGTTAGTTTTATACTTTCTTGTGAGTAATTTGTTTAATTATCTCAGGTGAATCAAGGAATTCTATTTACTTTCTGAATCTGAGACGTCTCTTTGCATCTTTATGGTATTGAAGGAATTTAATCTTTGCCAGGAAAAGAAAAATAAAGAGGGTCTGAATCACGTATGTAAGTTGTCCTTATTGACGTCAAATATATCGCGGTGTTTCAAGTGTGGCGTATGAGAGCAACTACAGAGCAGCTTCAGCAGTTTCTTTATACAAAATCTTTACATCCAAATATAGAAATAAAGTGAAGATTTCCCAAAAAATCGTCTCCAACAGCTTCATCACAAAAAATCTTTATACTCAAAACAGTCTTACGATCTTAATATTTTGGGTTATACTATAAAATTTAAAGTGACTCCAGAAGCTTATAAGAAATCAACAACTATTGCATTTCGTATTTTTTCTTCTAAATTTTGAACTGTCTTTTTGTATACTGTGACTTAGAATTATTGACTGTAAAGCAATGTAGATGATAAAAACTTTAAGAATTCTAAGATGTAGTGTGATCCAAAATCTTTATATTTAAAACGGTCTTGAGATCTTAATTTCTTTGTAAAAAAAACTGCTGGAGTTTCTTTAACTTAAGACATATTAATGAGGTTGTGAAGTTCGGTTAAAAATTGGCAAATATTACACTGGTCATTAAGAAACTCAAATTGAAAATAAATATACTTTGGATTCGATACTTCTCGGTACATCGTATATAAATACATCAATATAACTATATGAAAATAAGCTAAATAACCATCACCATTGAATTTTAATATATCACAATTTGAGGATCGGTTATATACGGATAACTCCTTATTATTGGTTAGAATCACTCTCCTTTTGCTTTAGAATTAAACCCTCCTCCTAGTAGTATTTATGTAGATTGAGTTGCTTGACAGAATACTTATATTAGAGTTTATAGAATTCCTGCAAAAAACGTTTAATTTACGATCAGTTACACACTTTGTACGTTTTTTTTTGGTACTATTAGGGACGTTTATGAACCTGAGTCAAGTTGATCTATTTTTTTTCTTAGAAAAAACAAGGTCTCTTTTTTTTGTCTATCCCAGGTCCATTGATTAACCCTTAACGATATATTGGACAACATTGAGCGAAAAGACAAAGGACCTGTGGGTTCTTAAATTTGTTTTTGCAAGATGTTACAAGGTTCTTGATACCGTACTATAGAGTGTTTTATATGATAGCTTTAATTAATATGTTTACTGCAAGTATGTAAAAAGAAACTTTGATTGAGTACGAAATATATTTTTTGGGCGTTAACTAACGGATAGGGTAAAACTATTATTTGTAACAAAAATCGCGAGGTGAAATGAGAGCTTCTCCCAGCTTTCCACCTGCAAAGTCTAACTAGAATCATTTAATATCGGGACAATTTGAACAGTAAGAAAAATGTCCCTGGTTGTCTTGGGAGTTGCTTTTGAAAACAACCACATTTCTTATTGTACTCCTTTCCTTATCTGGTACGCTTTGACTGCCTTCAATTGGAATGACCACCATTTCACTTTGGTACTTACTATTAAGCTTATTGAGATGGAACGAGGTTTTCTTATATAATCTACACATGGTGTGAGTTGTCATTATTCTTGCTTGATAAATTTTTCTTTTTGAAAAGAGTTAATGCGATTAACTAATTAAAAACGTGTAAACTGGTATTGTGTTTGTTTATTTATTTTTATTGATCTAAGCATATTTAGATATTCTGCTTTATTGTGTAAGTTGATATGACTATTGACGTGAATTCAACATCTTCTTGATCCATAAATATAAGCTGTATATATCACATGTATACTCACTTAGCTCTAGTATCACCGATACAAAATCTCAGATACATATCTTGAACGGTAACCTGTTTCTATACACCAGTTCTAAAATAGAGCCCTCCTCCTAATAATAACCGTGCTACATGTTTGGACCCTTTATCTTTTACATTTTCTTTTTGGAACTATATATTATCAGTCTGTTACAGCTGTTGTGCGATAGACATACAACGGGATATAGTACTTTATAATTATCGATTTTTTTTGTTGAAAATAGAAAATAATATATATGTATATCTTTTAGATTCAGAATCAAAGAAATATACTTAAGCTTTGACTTAGTTTACAAGTAGTATATACTTGGTCATATAATAAATATCAACTGTCATTTATTACCGAGCAAACAATTTTTCGTATTATAAGCAAAATTTATATCATTATTAATACTGGTATGATTGATATTGATTTCTAAAATATTGCATCTTATGGGATAAATTGTTACAATTGCTTCAAGTATAATTATACTGCATTTATGTATGTATGTATAAGTAGCTCATAAAAATCTATCACTTTAAATCTTTGTTTTCTTGATCCATTCTTACTCTGTTCTTTTTACATCAATGTACATAAAGAAAAAAGAGCCTGTTTTACTTAAGCAACGTCACGTATTTATATTTATATTTTTATATACACATATAATTTATACATATTAAAAAAATCATTTCTTTATATATATATTCCGTCCTATCAAACATTGTCTTCTTCTTCTAGCTCGACTTTACTCCAAAAACTTCTCGGAAACCTTTCATCTCACAATGAGAAAAGAAGAAAACTATCCAATTAAACCAATTGAGGTAATTATCCTCTTGGGAATGACCGCCACAAAGATCAAACCATCGGCTTATACATCATTAGATCACTCTAAATGAACTTGACAGAGAGATGAAGCGGGTAGAACTTGTTTTTAAAAGAAAAGAATCGGAAGAGACTTGGGAGATGCACAACGCTGCTCTAAGAAATATGACTACATGGATTCTTAAACTTGACGCCCATAAACAAACATATTTTATCGAACGCATAAAGAAACTAAAGGCACCAATCATTATATCAGTAAGCATTTCTTTTTTTTTAAAAAAAAATTATTCCACAACAAAGCTGCGTATACAAAAAAATCTTATTTTGTGAGCATGTGTCGTTAATAGCTTCTGTCCGAACGTAGTCGTCTCTCAGGCACTGCTATGGAAATGCTCAAAGCACTTTCAAAAGCCATGAAAACCGACTATCAAGACATACACGAACTATTTGCAACAGCATTATTCTCTTTATTCAGTAAATCTAGCAAAGTTACACACACAAGAGCACTTGAATGCTACAAGTCTATTGTTAATAACTCAAGCATCCCAAAAGGAATTCGTCACCTTTGTTTAGCCTTAAAAAAACCTCCAATCCCCAACAAATCCGCGCGCGAATGTGCACTTGAATGCTTAAATACACTGATCCAAGTTAATGATCCTACTAAAATAACGCAATACATCCTAAGTATTGAAGAGACTATAAAAATCTCTGCAAAGGACCCCAGCTCGGAAGTAAGATCCAAGGCTCGTGTATGCTACAAAGCTTATCACGATAAGTTTACAGAAGAAGCAGAAAGGTAAAAAGAGAGAGAGAAATAAATGGATTTTTCTGTTTTTAGTTGAAAGAATGTGTGTATATAATAAAGAATCCCTTTGTAGATTTATCTCCAAGCTTCCCGATGATGTGAAGAGATACTTAATACCCACACTCAGTGCTTCCTCTAGTACAAGTATGTCGCATTCAGTTTCATCCTTGGGGCGCCGTGCTTCCAACCAGAGCATTAGATCAGTACCCACAAAATCAGCATCAATTGGGACCAGAAGAATACTTGGAAATTCTACACTCACCAGTAAAGCCTCAAAGTCTCCAGTAAATCCAATAAAAAATGAAATAACGAAAGAAACTCCCACTAAAAAGCACAAACCCACATCAGAACCACTTTCTGAAGAACCGTCTAAAAAAATCTTGGTAATCGAACCTTTGATAACAGACCATGAAGCACAACCTACAAACGAAGACCCACTATCACCTACCCCTAGTCTTCGAACACCTACACAAGCCCCTGAAGAAACGTTTGTACAATCTAAGTCGGAGAACGCTCTAAATGAACTGGAGAATGAAGAGTCTCCGAAGGTCACACCCTCGCCAACTCTTCATCATAAAGTCTTAAACGACCAAGTGACTAAGCTTGCTGAAACACAACCTGACAAACAACCTGAAGAACAGCCTGAAGAACAACCCAAAAAACCACAACTTAATGCTTCACCTTCACCGACTACCCATCGTGGACTTAAACGTATTGCAAATACAGAGGCTGATGAAGCACGCTCTACAAAACGTATTAATGGGAGACAAATGAAACGCCCAGTAGCAACTCGACTTTCTACTGCTCGTCAAAGTGCAGTTCGTTCGTCCATGTCATTACCAGATACCCCTCAACCTGTACGTCGATCTCCAAAGCCAACAACTCCACCACAAAGGCTTACTACATATCATAAACTTCCTCGAGTAGCCACACTTGGTAGCAAATCAACTCCTTTAATTGGTAGATCATCAACTGAGTCCACCAATATAAACAAATCTCCCACTCAAATGTCACCAAAATCTGTCTTGTCACGAAGATCATCTACAGGGCTACCATCAACGGTGACCTCTTCTGGGTCTTCCGAAACAGCCATGTCTTCTACACCCAATCCTTCATCCAGCTCGCCGAAAACTTTAAAGTCTAGTCCTTTAATTCGTAGAAAACGTATGATTGCTCGTATGGATTTGGGTCAATTTGATATAAATGAGTGTCTAAGTCCAAAAACATGTATGTATTTGTCGAATGTTTACAAAATTAAAATATTACTTATCTAACCATTTATTTCGCGTATACTTTCTAAAGATACTACCTTTAAAAAGCCACACTGTACTTCTGGAACTCCCATACGTAAAAAGCGAGTGAAGACTACACAAACTCAAGACAATGAGCCACGAGCGCTTCGACGTGATGTAAAGAGATCTTGATTACTATTATCTTTGTCTCAAGCACGATACCTTTTTGATTCATTCCTTTGCATACTTTCAAAAATCCCTTTAAGAGAGATAAAAGAGAGAAAGATAAAAAAGAAGTATATTGGAAATTAATATCCCTCTTTGTATAGCATAAACTCATTTAAATTATATTCTCTAATAGACAGTCATATGTTTACTTGTATTTATAAAAGAATACGACATAATAAAAGTAATTTCTTAATAAAAAATTGTAGTGTGGTGCAATTGGGGAGGTTTATTACTTATTATCATTTTATGAAAAATGCCGGGACAATGATCAGAGCTGCGATTACTCTTATATAACAATCGTGCGAATCAAAAGAGCTACTTCTTGCCTGGCTGGTTTAATAGGTTTTCTTGATTGATGTAGTCTTAATGTTAAAAATATTAACTGTAGCTATGGGCTACTAATTAGTTTGAAGAATATAAAAATCCCTTTGTACTGCAAGAAAATTCGAAGCACAAACCATCTGGAAAAAATTCAAGTTATTATTTTTCTAATATAATGTATACAATATTTTGGTTGGTTTTTCTTATTGAAGATATCAGCTCTTTATATCAAAAACCTGAATACCTCGATAATAATATATATCTAATTAGTGCTTCTGTCTCTTCCAATCTGAAATAAAATAAATGAAATATTGGCTATTGGCTATTGTCTCTGTTGTATACGAATATTCAAGAGTGCTATATGTCTGTCAATATTTGCAGTAATTAACGTGTTTTAATATTATTCAAATGCAAAATAGTATACCTTAAAAATCTGTACTTTACCCATACCTTTGATATATGTGCTGTTATTTCCTGGGATATTTAACTTATACTACATAGTCCGGAATGGCTGGGCTTGTTTGTATCAGTTTTACCCTCGAATAAAAGGATAAAGTTCGAACTTTTCAGTAGTATTCATTTAGTGATTGCTTTCATTTTTATTAATATATAGCTAATATTGAGCGTCTAGAGCTCTTAAAAATTAACGTATATCATGTTTCACGCTATCATCACCAAACATATGATGACAATCACTCATTCTCTTGGGAAATCGTCTTGACACTTTCAACTATTGGTTTAACCTCATTTCAATAAAACTCAACCTGGAATTCAAAATTTCGTCAACTATCGTATTGTAATGAGATTTAGTTAGTATATACATATATATATATTCTACTTTTTACTTATTGCTTAATTTCATTTGGGAATATACGTGGGTTTATTTCTTAGTGGCTACTTGGTCCCTTTTGTGTCTACTTGTCCAAACAAAATAAAAAACTTTCTCTTGTACCCTTAAACAAAAGTGCACAGACCACTTTAGAGTAACCTACAAATCGCCGCTATAGAAACCTGTACTCCACCTTTAGTTATTTTGCCACGCCGATCAAGATTAAACCTTTCATTACTTCATTAATTCTTTGCTTTACTTCCCAAATTCATTTTCTGTAGCAATTTGATTAAATATTATTAGCTATATATTCTGCTGTAGAACAGTTACACAACCCCAATAAAAGAATATACAGCTATATCACGTTTACTCTGACGTGGACATCTAAGACTGACAAAAAGCGCAGTCCTAATCTTTAATCTCAGATGCAAAATTTTCTGTTACATATAGAACCCCTCCAACGCGCATCGTTTGTTTTCTCCTTGAGCAACAACAGTCCTGGTTTCATAGTGAGGCGTCTCTTGCGACCGTTGCAGGGAGATTCTTCCATGCTACAAGCATCGGAAAGTGAAAGTTGTTACTCGCCAGCTCAGTTAATTCTGAGAAGTCGTGGGGCATGGTCTCTTTTCTTTTGGAAAGACTACTGTGTACATCGCATCGCCAATGTGGAATCATGATGCTGGGGGGAGGGAGGTCTAACCTGTGGTGAGATGTGCTGGCTCTTCACTGCTAACCTGACTGAACTCTTTAACGGCTGACGGTGAAGCTACTGGTAGTCGAATGAGCTGGACCTTATCACCTAGTGGTAAGTTCTCTGGCGAGTTCGCACCCACATTACTCGGTGACGAGATGTGGGGCTGGATGAACGGGTGCTTTCCGTTGGTTTGCCACCATTCCAGCACCTCCTTCGCTACCAAGTCAGGTTTACGTCCTGAAGGAGATTGAGCCGCGTAATGCGGGGACAAAGAACTTGGTGTCATGCTTTTTATTCTTTTACTCATGTAAAAGAACATTAAGTGAAATTTAATCAAATAGAATAGTTTCTTTACATGTATCTTTAAATAAATAAATAAAGTCTTTCTTATCTATTGTCAGCTTTAATAAAAAAAAACACGCTTTTAAACATTTTTTTTTTACTTGATTGAAGTCAATGTTGTAATTAGGAGGGCTCATTTATAAGAAGAAATTAATTAGTCAAATAAATCTGAAAAGAAATAAAATAATGTTTGTATATTTTGACGTGGTATCGTCAATCTTCTTTAACTACAGATGCTGTTTTTGTCTATAAAGTATATAAATTGCAGAACAATGTTTGAGGATGCCGATGCCGTGAATTTTATAATATTGAATTTGGCTAGTGCGGATGGAGATTGTAAAGAGGATTTATTGGAATGAGAGAAAATTCAAGAGAAATGAAGAGAAATGAGAGATGAGAAAGAATATAGGCATGTGTTTGACAGAGAGACAGAAAAAACGTGATGAAGAATGAATACACACTAAGGCCCTCATTTTATTTACACAGATTGTGTGCAAGAAGTTTAATATTGACCTCTCTATAAACCAATGACCATTATCTACAAGCATTTTTTGTATTAAAGCCAATCCATTGATACAATTATTTGTATGATGCTGCCTTTATGTTTTTCTTAGGTACAAGTGTTCAAAAGACTATTGTTTTATCATTTCAATATCGTCAATTTTTCTTTAAGCTACCACCAAAATTTATTTATTTTTCAATTAACCTTTGAAGAGATTTCAGAAAATATTTCCTGTCCAGAAAAAGACAAAATATTAATTTAGATTGATAGAGAACACTCTTGTACATCTTGTCATATTCGAGCGACTTAATGAAAGACTTAAAAAAGTGTTTCAATGTTTTTAAAAAGCATCTCATCTCGGTAATACTGCAAATCGCATTGTAAGTAGTCAATTAACTGAATTAAAAAATATACAATCTTACCCAATTTCTTAGTATATCGTCCCTATCAATTGGCACATTTGATAGCACCAAGCAAGTAAGCTTCACATATCTATCTTGTTGTGAGTTGGAAGATAGTAAACATCATTACCCCATTCAGAGTCCTAACTGTGAAGACATCACTACAAAAAATCAGCTTGGGGGAGTGCCACAGTTCTTTGAATATATACAAGGCCTGGTTTTTAAAGCCCATACAGTTACCATACACACGTACACACTCAGCAGATACATCTTTCGTCCCGAGTTAGCACGCAAGCCATCCTTCGACATTAACGGATGAATTAAACAAGATATTTTTGTCAATGTCTCTTTATTGTTGCTCGGTTTTCATACTACTTCCTACTATATAACAGAAACGACAAGGTAAACTTGTAAGTTCATTTATCGCTACGACGGTGCTTATATTACGATGAGTTTTTCCATCCTCAGCTCCTCTTGCACAAATACCAAAAGTCAAAAAAATCGTCAATATTTAATCCGCACACTTCGTCCCTCTTCTTATAATAAGCAATCCAAAGCCAATAAATGTATGTATGTCAAGAAATAACAGTGCTTAATTTGGTTGGTCTTCTATATGGATAGTGAAAAACTAGTCTGTACCTCACAACCAATACCATAAACGAATTAAAGATGCAATAATGAGATGTCTACTTCGCAAGCATGGATTTAATGCTTGTTTGTTTGATGAACTTAGTACTCCCGAGCATTGTTTTTCATGCTCTCAACCTTCCCTTTGAACCTTCAAGTAAGTCGAAAACTAGCCAATATTGCCACACTTAAACGCCAGCTATAGCATGCCATAGTCTTCCAAGACAAATATTACAACCAGTCATCACTGCTTTGTTATTCATATTTCTTATAAATCTACGCATATTTACCAAATCAAAATTGTTTGAAGGTCATGGCTTCGTTAAAGTTTGAACATCGCTTGCGGAATAAAGATCTTGCTGCTGTCCTGAACTTCCGATATATACTTAACCAATTGAGACATATTTGTAGTATGCCTGAAGTATTCGCCCGTGTCATTCAGGTCGGCAATACTAAAATGTGAACGGAAGAAGATGTTTGGGAGGGTCATCCTGTGAGATGAGGACTGGCAAGAGTTCAAAGAAGATAACTGTTTTCTCCTAATATCCCTAGAATTCACCCAAAGTACCAATGGCAAACTATTACATTCTTTGAATAATTTTATCACCTTTATTTTTGTATTGGGTTGAAGAAGTGGGTAAAGATGCTTTGGATTGATTCCAAAAACATAGTATGTAAAAGTGGGCTATTTTAAAAATATGACATTACTTTTAAAATGCGATAATAGTAAAAACAGAGAGAGAGAGAATGAAATTGAAACGTATTTATGTTTATATATTTATAAACTTATATTAAAAAGAGAAGAAAAATTAGTGCTTAATCGAAATTCCACTATAGAATACACTTTTAACCTCGGAAAAGCTTGCGAAAATCTCACTAAAATCGTCTTTTTTAACCAGTGTATGAAACAATTCAAATTGTCTTCACATTTCTTCAAGAACAATAACAGGGTTTCAAAGTGCATACTGTGCCAATATTTCCACATATAAATATGACAGCGATTTAACTGTATCTAGATTTTAGCATCATGTAGGAAATAAGACCTTTCTTACAATAATGAAGGGTATACAAATATTTTTTGTAGCTAGTCTTTTAACCATTTAATTTTTCTTAACCTTAAAATAAGATACTATACTGGATTTCTATTTGTTTAAATATGCCAGACATGTAAATACAACATCTTTTTTGTTAATATAATGTTAGAATATTTAGCATAGAATCTAATATTATTTATTTAAAGTATCGCATGCTATATGTGAAGCGGGTGTATATTATGGAAGCTTCTTCAGTTGTTTGTATATGCATGTTGGAGAAAGTATTTGATTTTTCTATAGAGCAGGTAAAGGTAATAAACGATCTCTAAATACTATATATTTATATGTATATATATATTAAACAATGAAAAAAGAAAGCAAGCAACTTGATTGTTACTATGATTATATGGGTATAGACTACTTAACAAAATTGTGGATTATACATCTTCTGGGATTATATATCCTTGAAGTCCATGAGCGGTGGTGATGATAGAATAAAGAAGCTCCAATTTTTGCCGTAACCAGAAAAGTCGCTTGACAATGTATACAACATACCTCCAGTCCTCGGGATGACCCTCCAAGTCTAGAAAGACTGCTTTGAGTTTAACAATCACATCATCTTTTGGTCCAACTTCCACAGAAGATTTTGTCAGCATCTCATGAATAATCGGACACTGTTCATCAATTGTTTCATTGAGAAGTTTGACTTCTTCTTGAGCCTTTTTGTGTTCCAAGCAGAGTTTACTGAATTGAGTTTGGCTGTTGACGATTGGAGCCCGGTATGGTTGTGGAAAGCAATTTGATGATACATCGTAATTAGAAGTATCTATGTATCCACATTTAACTTTGCATTCAAAGTAAATTACGGTTTTAAAGCTTTTTTAAAAAAAAAATACCTTCGTTGGGTGGTTTTTCCCATCCAACTACACTTTTTGAAGAATATCTTGGTGTCGTGGTTGTATTTGATGGTTGGGGTGGTGTTACGTTTGTAGCCATAGGTAATGGTACTGCCGATGGTGTAAGTGTAGGAACTATAGAAGGAGATTGGGATACTTGATTTTTTGATGGTGGGGTTGGAGCTCGAACTGATAACTTTGCCGGTTTTTTGGAAGGTACTTTGACCAGTTCCTTTACAGGCGAAGCCATTTTGCTTGACATTGGTATTTTTTGTGATGGCAAAGTTTTTGTAAATTCTGTAAATTTAGTTGGTGTTATTACTTTTGTAGGAGTTGGTGTATTTCCCGGTGTCTTTGTCGGAATGGGTATTTTTGCAGATATTTTTGAGGATGACTTTAAGTGGAGATTTTCTGATACTGTCAATTTTGTCGGTGATGGAGATAATATTATTGATGATTGTGCAGGTGTAGGAGTAAGCGTAAGAGTAGGTGTGGGGGTAGGCGTAAGTGTGGGGGTTTCTAACTTCGGCTCTGATATTTTTGTACTTGTAAGTGCCGTGGATTTTAGTTTGCTAGGTTTTGATTGCTTTGGCATGGATGCAGGGGAAACTGAGCGGGTCGAAACTTCGCGAGATTCCTTTGTAGCCTTAATGCCGCCCAATGAAGATTTTGTACTAGCAGATTTTTTTGGATCAACTCTCTCTTCAATTTTTTTACTTGACTTCTGACGTTCGTTTCCATTACTGTATCCTGGTTGATCCGAACGTCGTCGCACAGAGCCCATCAACCCTTGTTTTCCATAATTTTCGTCTTTACTGTGGTCTCTCTTTTTAGGAATAGTAAGTAAGTTTTTATCTTTTAGTGGGGATGAATTGTTGCTGGTATTCTGCTGCCCTGAGTTTGGTCGTGAAGAACGAGGTGTAGTTGGAAATATTAGGTTTGCACGTTCTGGCGCGTCTGGTGAAAGCTTCATGGCTTTATCATACATATTTTTGGTGTTTTGGATTACTGTACGCCGATTTTTCTCACTGTATCCCGGCCATTCCCAAATATTCAGTTCGGTGTGTACAATCGGATATAGATGCCATTGATCCTCAACAGGTAACGCAACCTAAGAAAACAATGGAAATAGAGTTAATGTCAATCAGCTTTGGCCAAAATACAAGCAAAATGCCTGACTATGATTTTTATTACTTCATTTAGGATTGGCATAATACTCTGACTTTCTACATTTAGCTTTCGGCACAATACTCTAGTGCTGGCAGAGTTTAGCGCGAGCATATGGATAACCTCTTTTCTGAGACTATCTTTGGATGTCCGTGAGTCGGTGCTGGTTGACCTTTTGAGAGTTGTATCTACATTACTTGGTCTCCTTGTTTGGAGATCTGTGCCATGTTTCCTTTTTGGCGAAGGCTCTATACTGTCATGTCTTCTCGAAAGGGTATTTGTGTTGCTAGATCGTCCGGATCCTTGATCTAAACTACTTGGTCTTTTACCCGACACCTCAGAGTTCTTCACCTTTCTAAGAGGTGCGTCTACACTGCTTGTCTTTTTGATAGAAATATCAGAACTGCTGAGTTTCTCAAAAGAATTCTTGATCTTTGACTGGGATGGTCCTGAAGATACGGCGGTTGAATGCTGCTGAGTCTGAGTCGAGTGAGATGCAGATGCAGGTACAGATCGAACAACAGGCTGTAATTTTTCAGAATTATTATTTTTTGTGGGACTCTCGGTGTTCACATTATATGTCTCGCGCACAGTAGTAGATTGAAGCTGATTGTGAGCAGATACGGCTGATGCTACGGAAGCTGGCCGTTTCGATGCCGGTTTCTTCAGTTTTTTTGTGTCTGGGAAGTCTCTTTTATCTTCTTCATCTAATAGTCTCTCTCTCTTCTGCTGCTGCTGCTGGATGTTCTCATTTGTTTTTGCACTCGGCAGTTTGCGAGTAGGCTCCTTGATCATAGAAGGTTCTCCAAGTGTACCTTCGTGGCTAATATCGCATGTATGGTACATGATATTGCTACTTCCAGTATTTTTGTACATATGAGATGCAGTGTCTACTTTTTTTACGTTTATAGGATATACTTTATTGCCAATGACAATAGTCTGATTGAATTAAACGCCATGAGTTGACTGATACAGACAAGAAACATTAAATGCATCTTAAAGCACGTATGACTTACTATACCATTGCCAGTGACATTTATTTTGATGTTTCTACGACCTTCCTGGCCATGATGAAGGTATGCTAATGCATCTGATGGTAGACGCAAAGAAATTGCTTTTGAGAATTCGTTCTTCATGACGAACAAGCTTAATATAAAACAGAGAAGAATATATACATATATTATATTATAATATATTATAATATATTATATATTTTACGCTTGAAATTAAAACGATTCTTTTTTTTTTTACTTTCTTTGTATTATAATAAAATTATATAAATTTTGAAATTATTTTTGATCTTCTCCTTCTTCTTTAAGGAGAATATATTGTCTCTAAAGTACTTTGGGCAGGTCTCGAAGTGTCTTCTCAAGAAGACAAAGTATTATCATTAAGAGAAGAAGAAGAAAAATGAAAAGTCTTGATTGTAATAACTCGATTTTTATTTGTATAATAGTCCCATATTTGAAACAGAATACCCTTTCTTTCTCATTTCTAATTATAACCCTGAATTAATCGGGAGTCACTTTTACCGTTCTTTTGTGATATCGCAAGTCACAATTTCTGGTGGCCACAGTCATGCGTCGCTTGTGTGTGTGCCATAAATTTGAGCAGAAGTCAGGTAATACAGCGACATTTTGTCATCAATTGTCTTGACAATTCGCCTTGAATGTCTTAATTTTAAAATCCAAAAAAGGGGTTTCCCAAAAGCAAGCCTCAAATTTTATCTGTATACCACTCTAATTCTTTTTGGAAAACTCCCACACCGTGTCCCGCAAAATGTCAACAAGCTTACTATCGTCTTGAATATCATAAACATATACGATATAATCGCAGTGATATTCTGAAACCTTATATGTGTGTGCCAAGTATCGTTAAAGATTGTCAGGAAATATTGTATGAAAATAACGAGCGCAAAAAGTGATAATGAAATAATATCAGCACGCCCAGCCCAGCATTATTTTTTTTTATCGATAGCTAACAACAAAAAGTAGATTAGCTCAAAAGCTAACACAGCCAAAACCAGAATGCTTTTGTAGGAGTAAGACACGATTCTTCTTTGTGCCAAAAACTTGTCCAGAAATGGTGCCCAGACTCATGTACTACGTTTGAGAGTCTATGAATAACTCAAGTTCTCTTTCAATAGCAATGACAGATAAATATGAATTTGTTTCTTTCTTTATCAAGACTCGCAAAAATAGGGGCTTTGTAGAGCTTAGCTACCAACAGTGCTGAAGGAACAGAGATATCCCTCACATTTGACTGCCTTGAAAGTCACTGATCTTTTCATTTTAAGCACATTATATTTCAATTGCAGATGTAAATATCAAAACTGTTTCAAGAGTTTTTATCTGAAGAAAATATAAAGTATCTTTGATTTTTGTATAATTTTTATACAAAATAATATGTTTAAACTGAAAGTGGTTATTATAATAGACGAACTCTTTTATATATATATATATAAAAGATTGACTAAACATAATGATAGCTTTCCTTGCTGGTAATTCAATAAGACTATATTCTAATAAAACAACATCTAATAAATTCTACCTCTACTGAAATTGCAACCAAAATGTTATTTATAGTTGTAAAAATTTGTATTTACATATCTACTATTAAAGTGTTTTAAAATGATCATTACAGTATAATGTAACGATTATGTGAATACAAGTACACGCACATACATGTATACATGTGTGTGTATAAGCATCATAAAAATACAAAAGTTCAATTCAATTCTAACTATAAAAAGCCGTTTTTTTTGTTCTTGTTCTATAATTTCACTTACATTATTATTGTACTTTTGCAATTATGTGATTAAGAAATGAAGAGGGGATAGGGATGGGGTTTTTAAACTGACTTGTTTACAAATGCAAATCATAAAAGAAAACAACAGCGACAATAATATGCTGTGAAGTAATGAAAGTATATGTATATAAATTAAAAGTAAAAAGAAGTATGTCATGGCAATTTTACATAAAACCCCTTGGTAAACTAAGGTGAGCATGTAAATTTGTAATGTCAAATAGTTTGTGTGTGTAAGTGTGTATAGATTTGGTGGATGATTTTCTTTTCTTTTCCTTTGTTTATGTTTGTAAATTAGATACCGTCTGGGATGGTAAATTCTTTCTTGGAACAAGTATTTTCGATGAATGGATATAAAAGCTTGATCTTTTGGCTCAACCAAAAGAAACGCTTGGTCATGTACACAACATAGATCCAGTCTCTTGAATCTCCACCGAGATTCTCAAATGCCTCTCTAACCTTGTCAGATATATTATCACTTGGGCCGAGATTCAAAAGATTCTTCTTGAATAATTCATGAACAACAGGACATTGCGTATCGATTGTGTGTTTTAGTGCCCACGCCTCTTCCTGTGCATGTTTGTGTTCGATACACAGCTTATTGAAATGTGCTTGTGATGTAACGTTTGGAAGACGATATGGTTTAGGGAATCCATCCGGAGATTCGGAAGAGCTCCTTGCTAATATATCTACACCAAAGCATGTGTTTAATAACATGCAGAGAACATACACATACACATTTCTACGTTTATTCTAGTAATTTAATACCTTCTGCTTTTTTTATACGTCTAATTTCCCTCTTGGAGTCGTGGGTTGATGTTTTTGATGGAATTGATGATAATGGTGGAGGTGGGGGCGGAGGTGGAGGTTGGATTGGCGCAGGAACTGTTGGAGGTGGTGGTGGAGAGGAATGATCTTTTGGGGCCAATTGTGGTGGAGGCGGTGGCAGTGGCGGTAATGGTGATTTAATTGGAAGTCTTTGTGGAGTATGGTTACTAGAAGATACTGGAACCGATTTCTTTGATTCGGCGTGTTTTGGCCGAGAATTAGGATGAATAGGTGGAGCGATCTTCTTGTCTTTCTGATCCATGATCCTATCGATGGGAGAAATTGAATGAACGGATCGAAGGTCTGTTTCTTTCGATTTACTAATGATATTTGATGGTTGTGGTTGTAGTGGTGGGGTAGACTTCCCCTTTGTCGACTTGACATCCAAAAGTTCCCGTTTTCTTTGGTGCACGGAGGTTGATAACGTATCGTAGTTTTCTGAAACACGCCGAGAAGTGACAGAAGGCGATCGCTTACGAGGTCTATCTTCCAAGCTTAAATCTCTTTTTTTATTAAGTCCGTCTCGATCTATTACTGGAGATAAATGGCTGCCTTGTTTGTGAATTGTTGGTTGGGATGGCAGTTTTGGTTGAACTGGGGGGATAAGATTAGCACGTTCAGGTGCATCTGGAGCATATTTCATCCGTTTGAACATTTCTTCTGCTTCTCTCGCAACAGCGCGTCTAGTCTTGTCATCGTATTCAGACCATGTCCATATTTTGACCTCAGGATATATTTCAGGCATAAGATACCAAATTCCATTTGTTGACAAGGCTACCTGAAGCAAAACAAAATAAGTTGTACCTTTTTTTAGAGTATGGATTTTACACACAGAGACATAGACACACACATATGAACAAGCAAACACACATGAAAATGTTATCCATTGAAATGATATCTACCTTTTTAAGGATTGGCATAAATGTCGAAGTACTAACACCCAATTTTCGTGATAGTGTTTGAGGACTAAGGGATTCAGCAGCAAGTATGTGAATGAGTTTTTCGCGGATAGCATTTGTAGCAGCAGAAGGTCTGCTGGATTCAACACTTTTCCGCCGTTTTGTTGATCTGTCTGTACTAGATGTTCTACGACTAGTGTTGGAACTAGATGACTTTTGAGTAGGGGTGTTTGGTTTAGAGTGAGCTGATCCGATCGACGAAGATCCAGATACCCGTAAGAGCTGGTTTGTGAGAGGAGTTGTGGCATGGGACTGAGATTGATGTTTTTCTGTAGGCCTACGACTACCGGTACTACTGCGGCGTGCAATCGATTGATCTGTCGGAAGACTGGGAGACTGGGAGGTAGGTACGGTGCGTCTGGACGACGGTTTCTTTAACTTTTTCGGTGCCGGTGTCTCTGTTCTGTCTGCGTCATCAATAGTGCGATCTCTCTTTGTGGGTGTTCGATGTTCAATTGCTATAGGGGCTTCTTTGACAGTACCGGTGTAGGTAATGTCCCCGGAATGAATCATAGAGATTGCATGACTGGCTTGACGGTACAGATGAGCGGGATCATTGGATTTTGTTAGGGTTACAGTGTAAGTTTTATCGTCTAGGATGATGTTCTAATGATATGATTCAATGTACTGATGAGAAGAAGAAACAAAAATAAAATAAAGAGAGAGGGAGAGAGAAAAAAAAAGAAAGAAAGAATGAGAGATATTGTAGAATAGGATCACTTACGACACCATTACTGGTGACATCGAGCTTAAAATTTTTGTGCCCGTCTTGAGCACTGCGGAGACGAGCTAATACTTCAATGGGTAGACGTAACGAAATAGCCTTTGGGGCAGTGTTCTTCATAACTAATGGATTTATGAGAGGACAAGGATGCAAGTGTACCGGAGTTTATGTGCTTTATATATGTTAAAGATGGTCACATAAAGTGATTGGCAATATCCTGCAATGTCCAAGGTGCCACATGTACAGCTTGTCTTTATTCTTCAGATACACATAGAAGTACTGATGTGTGTATTCTTATTTTTAATATTAAAAAAAAATATTTATGTATTCATCATTTAATTGCTTTTGTTTAAAATCATGTTTATTTGACACCAGTCCATGATATTTACTGCATATTTATTTATTACAGCCCATAATCATTGAGGATTAATAATAGTTTAACAGCAATAACCACAACAACAACAAAGGTAAATTATATAGATACCGTGCGTATTTTTTATAGGTATTTCATTATTCATTTTTGGTAAAGGTAATAAACTAAAATAATATACTTCTTTTGTCGTGTATATATTGCAATAATTTGTTTTATGGCAAAGTCTTTGAGATATAAAGTACGCGTGTTCTCAAAATATTTAATTCCTGTAGCTGATCGCGTCTATCCAGTGCGTATTAATGAGTAAATCTTATGGCTCATTAAATACGGATTACTTTAACTCAATAGATATAAACAATACATTTGTTCAGTCCTTTTTTTTTACTGTAAAGACGATCGATCTGCACATATTTGCTCTTTGCATCAAATCTTGTAAGCCAGGACCATACATATGCACTCTTTGACAGCACTGTCATACTTGTCACAGAATATGAATATGAATATTATTAGACAATTAGAAAATAAAATATTTAAATAAATATAAATAAATATAAAGAAAAAATAGCCCCGCCTTATCAGTGCATTTAACACATTTCTATAGTATTCACTATGATAAATAAATGGTTAATCAACAAGGAGCTAAGAGTGTTATGAAAAATTCGATTGTGAACTTCCTACAGTCTTTCCAGTTTTAATACCTCACACGCATGCTCTACAAAACAACTAGTAAAGTCATATATTTAACATTTTACTGTAATAACAATGTCATGTTTCTGTCTATTAAGGTGTCCAAGTAAATTCTTTGCACTCTAATATCTTTAAATTGAACTTCGGCTATATATTAACTTGAGTATTTTGGATCATTTAATATATCAAATTTACCAAGTAATTTCTTCAATATATACCAAATATCAAGGTATCCAAGGTGCGACAAAGCTTTATTTCACTATACTGATATTTAACAATCAGATCTATACCTGTATAAAACTAGAAAGTTTATTATTTTAATATTGGATTTGTACGATATATATATATATATATATATAGCTTTTGTTTTTCTTTCGTTTACTTGTTTCCCGATAGTAAATTTGTAGCAGACACTAATAAACCTTGACGCGCCAAATGTTTTTCAAACTGCCATTCATAACTTTATACATAGACACCGACAGAGATCGATGTGAAAATAGTACCAAATCCGAGAAAAAGAGCTGCAATAAGAGAAGTCTGGACTTGTTTTGCAAGCAATGTATTCTTTTCTTGGCTGATAATATAATTGAAGATAATGGTAAGGATTGCCATTAGAATGAGAGAATGAAGCCAAAAAATAAGTAACTTGATGACTTACACGACGAACATGCCGGTTGCCAAGAGACCAGCGGACAGACTAATATAAGCCAATAGAGGGTAAAGAATAGGAGGGACTGGTGCTGTGACCGGTGCAGAATTCATCCATTCTTCCTAAGATGCATTGTTAGATTAAGTATTCTTCTTGAGGTAGGCCCGATGGAAAAGCTTACGAGTCCAGACATGGTTTTAAAAAAAAGTGTGTTGGAGAGGTCTAACTGGCTAGCTTGATTATTTTTTGTTCCTTAAGTTGGCTACTTTTGGCACACATAAAATGATGTTTTAGTGTCCGACTGTGAAGAGAGAGAGGGAGAGAGAAAATAGAAAAAGCGTGCTGACGTAGAATAAGCGTCTAAAGCCAAAAAGGGTCGTGTTTGTTTTCTTGCCAATATTTATTATACCAATGGCATCCAACGACAAAGTCTCACTTACAAAACAATCTGATGGAATAATCATAACGCAATCGTGGTATCGTAACCCGACCTTTGTCTGGATGCTAAAATCTACCGCCATCAATTTTATACTTCCCTTCTTCAACGGTGTCATGCTCGGTCTGGGTGAAATTTTGGCAAACGAGTTGGTGTTTAAGTTTGGCTGGTTTGGAGCCTCTCGCCTCTCACCCGTTTCACTTGGTATCCGTACTGGTGTTTCGCCAACTGCCACCGCAGAGTACAAAAAAGCACTACAAACTGAGGTTAAGAGATTGGACAAGCAGAACGAGCGGTAGACAAAGAAAATAACAGTAACAGAACCACAAGTACCGCCGCCATCGTCATGACTATTACGAACAACAACAACAACAAAAAGAACAAGAAAAAACCCCAAACAACATAAAGAACGTATGTTATTTTACGTGAGGATAATTTAGACGTCATTATTAGCTTCCTTTCCATGTTGACATGAAAAGAAATCTGGATTTGCAAAGGCACCTTTCTGTTGACAATATATATATATAAAAAAAAACACAATTTTACTGTTGAATGCAAATACTCTATATCTCCCTTCTGTTTCCCTCCTTTCATTTAGGTCCATAATCTCAATGAACCATCGGCACCTGATGAGAAGATCCATGGCTGGGTAGGATGGAATTCGATATTCAATACACCTAAAATACACAATGTTAGAAAAATAATTTATTTCCATGACAAACAAATCATTGGGCTTACCCAATCCGTCCTTTTCTGTGTGACCTCTGAGGATCTTCACAGGAACAATAAGAGGGTTCTGGAGAAGATCATTGTAAACCATTCCGTAGAAGATCTGAATAGTGCCATCATCTGAAGCTGAGGCAAATAGTGGGTATCTCTTGTGATACATGACCTGACGAACAGCCTTGGCATGGAATCTATAAAAAGCAAAGGAAGAAAAGGTCAATTACACCTATTCATTCATATTTTCTATAAAGGAAAGACAGTTTTTGTTTTGCTTTTGTTTTACCTCAAAGACTTGTACGGCCGTGAGCTAAGATCCATATCGAACCAGCACACCTTCTTATCGTAACTACCAATAATAACGTTATCACCTGCAGGGTGAATATCGATGCTAGAGATCCACTTGACACTTGGTTGGAGTGTCTTGACCAGCTCTTGCCGCATGAGATCGTAGACACGGACGTATATTTGTGTTGCAACGAAGAAGATAGGCTTGATGGGATGGAATGCAACCTTTTGAATGAGACCCTTGAGGCGTTTGAAGGGAGTTTGGGTAGAGTGTTTTGTGGTTTGGTGAATAAGGACAGCAAAGTTTTTGGCATCCGGTGCAACAGTAGCAAAGTAATCTCCCTTACGATGCCATGTAACTTGCTTGACAGCCTGGGTATGGACCAGCCTGACCTTATAACCGTACTTCTCTTCTTCATCATCAGTAGGGCGAGTCCAGGAGACAGCCTTACTCTTTTCTTCGTCATTAACATTTGCAAAGCCTCCCTTCACAAATACGTCAACAGTCATCATCTGCTCAGGACTACACAACTTGGGGGGAGCAATCAAAAGAACCTCACCCTCGCCAATAGAAACAGCAAAGAGCCACATATCAGCGTTGGTGTTCCATGCGATAGAGTGAATAACTGCATCAAAGTTCCACAGGAAGAGACAACGACCGGTCGACACTTCCCAGAGACGGACAGTTTTATCATCTGCACCAGATACGGCATAAAGACCTGCAGGATGTACAGACAGACAACGAATACGTGCAGTGTGACCTTCATATGAAATTGATTGATGAGTAGGGAAGGGTTGGAGATCTTTAGGACTGGGAAGCTTGGGAACAAGTGATTCTGGGTCAATATTAAGCTATAAGGTAGAAGAAAAAAAGATAGAAAAGCGGTGGGTAAGTTTTAAAGGTTATATGGTTCTTTAATATTTCTCTTTAAGTAAATCATTGACTTACTCTGTTCTTTCTGACACGTGGTGCGAGGTAAAGATCAAGGCAGCGCTGGAATCGCTCCTGAATGAAACGGTCGTAGGCAGGTACCTGACGCAGACTTGCATATCTAAAAACAAGCCAAGTGATCAATTTCCCCGTTCCTTCTGTATACTCTAAGTAGCAAAATATTTACTTTTTGGGAAGGTAGTTCTTGGGGCGTTCTTCATCCTCCATCTCATTCCATTGCTTAATCTCCTCCTCGTCAGGCAGATATTCGGCAGGAGGATTGTAACTCTCGTCGTGTTCTGGCAATTTCATCTTTGGTGCAGCAACGTGCATAACATGCTCTTCACGATCCTTATCATCATCACCCCACAGGTTGTAAAAACGGGGTTTCTCATCCTTGGGCTTACGGGGTACAATGCGACCTTCACGAATAGCACGTACAATTTTCATCACCTATAAAAGCAAAGTCAGTATACAGGAGACCCATATGCTCTTAAGTGAATATTGATTTCCGATTTTTTTAGGTTATACTTCTTGTAAATAAATAAATAATCATACCTTCTTTGCTTCCCACTTGGATGGTACAAAACGTCTCTTAGGCTCAGGGCGGGCAGAGAGAGGCATAACCTCAGTCTTACTAGTAAACCACTCGACAGTAGGCTCGTAAGGGTTATAATCAGCATCAGGAATATTTCCACCCTGGAGACGTTGAATGATATCCATTTCCTCGTCGTTCAAGACAATATCACGTCCTTCTCTATCGCTTCGTACGGTCTTCCATGAATCAGGATCTTCCATAGTGGCCAAGAACTTCTCGAGCTCATCTGCAGTAGCGGGTTTGAGGATCTTCTTGCCGTCGATGTCATAACCAATGTGAGGAAGGTCTTTGTACCATTCAAGAGGTACATTTCCAATGGTATTCTCAGTCTATTAATTTTCCATGCGTTTATATTAGTAAATTACCCTTATTTTATTTTTATAATAAATTCTAAAAAAAAAAAGTACCTCTTCGGTAGATGAATCACTGTCATAATCGGCTTCAATATCAGGAAGTCTGTGCTTGGGCATCTTTCCGTTGGCCATTTTAGGACTTATGCACAAATTCAAATTCATTAGTTTCAATTCTATTTTTTTTTTCAATTATGCGAACTTAAATAATCTTTTTTTTTCCTATTTTTTTTAAAAAAAGAGAGAAAGAAAAAGGAGCAAAAAAGAGTGTAAGCTTACCCGACATAAGGCAAACCTTCTTCTTCTTCCAAGTCTGCTTCGTCCAAGCTATCGCCACCCAAGTAATCATCGGTATCACTATCTCCCTCGATTGCCTCTCCCTCAATTTCGTCGTCGTCTTCTTCTTCCTCATCCTCGAATGCCTTTAATGCCTCGGGATCTTCTTCGTCGTCGCTCAAAGTCAATTCAGGGAATTCCTCAATCTCACTACCCGATCCGTTCATGTCGTCGTCCTGTTCCTCATCAGAGGAACCCATGTCGATCTCAACGGCTCCAAAATCTTCTTCTTCCTCTTCTTCATCGCTGCTTTCTTCCACAACTACTTGTCTCTTGCGAGAAGGTTTTGTAGCAGCAACAGGCTTTTCTGCCTTGGCAGCCTTTGCTGTAGAAGATCTAGTGGATACAGAGCTTGTTGGCTTTGTTTCCTTTGATTTCGGCGCGTTCTTAGTGGGTGTACGTTTGGGCATGACTGTGGAAATATGTAGTCAAAGAGAACAAGTCTATCGACCAGGAAAAAATCGAAAAGGCACAAAGAAGGAAAAACGAGAAGCGTGGCTTTGCGGACCCACCAAAGCTGCTTTACAGTCACATTATTTCCTGCTTACTTTTCTTTTTTGAGTGCCCGATCCATTAGTTAAAGAGGGAGAAAAAGAAAAAAGAAAAAAGGAAAGGGCATGAAAGTATAAGGCTAAGAATTAATAAAGGACAAGAGAGGAATATAATGAAGAGTAGAAATTATATCACAATTTTTGTAGCCTAAATTTCTATTAGTAGCTTTATATGTATATGTGTATACGTACGTATGTATGTTTGTTTGTTTGTAAACAGAAGAAGAAAACATTTCTTACAAGTAATAAAATAAAATAAAAATAAAAATAAAAATAAAATCAAGATATCAGGAAACAGGAGGAGGATTATTCTTTGTCAAGTCACACCAAAGAGAATTGAACAAGGAAATAAAAGTGTTACTCATCTCTTTCCCAATCCACAATATGAAACCACCAATCCATCCCGGAAATCCTGTGTGGAAAACTCGTTCAGAATGGCTCAAGATGAAGGAATCCACTGCTGTCGATATCATTATTACGAAAGAACAATCACGAGATGACCTGTTAAAGAAGTTTAGACTCAAAGACGAAATCACAAACCAGGGGTGGGGCGATGAACCCGTCGAAGCAGAAAGTGGTTGGGGAGAACCAAAAGCAAGCAGTGGATGGTGAAAAAAAAAACGAGCTTTTGTGGGGGTGTTTTTATTTTATTTTTATTGAATAAAAGGAAAGAGACGTGGGAGTATGCGCTTGTGTATGTGTGTATGAAGAGATAAAAGAGATAAAAAAATAAAGAAAAAGAGAGATAAAGAGGGATTGATAGAGACAGATAGAGACAGAGAGAAGAAGGGAATTTATATACACGAGGAAAGAAAAAGGGAGACTGGCATTAGACATGGTCTTTACCATGATCAAGTCGTCTTCGCTTGGTATTTGGGTCGGTGTCATAGATAGGTAATGCAGTTGGAGGAGGAGGAGCAGCCCATCTGAGCTTACCGTCGGCTGAAGTTATGATGGTAGGCCCGTCGTTGGAAGGAGGAAGCACTTCTGGTTGATCCTGAGAGATCCAAAAGGTAGTGGGTGATCCTGCAGGGGCACTGTAGGGTGAATGGCTAAACCCAACCATCGTTGTTGGATAGGGGTACACAAACGAGGACGATGATGAAGACGATGATGAAGCGACAGATGTTTCACTGTATTGTCCATTGTTGTTGTTGCTGCTGCTGCTGCTGCTGCTGCTGCTGCTGTTTGAAGTTGTGGATGTAGTGTTATTTGCGGGTTCTAGTTGCATTGCATTAGGGGTAAGGCATTGGAGAGGAAGGCCGAGGTTACCCAGTCCGCGCTGGACAGCTGATATTTGGTCTGCACTGCCCTGACCACGTTGAATAGCTCTCAAATGAGCGCAATACTTCTCAAGCATGTTGTAAAGTGTTCGTTTCGAAAATGGTTTGGGCAATATATCTGTCATTCCACTGCCAATATATTGCATAATATCATTATCTGTAAAATTGGATGTCATTGAGATAATTGGCGTCAAGGCGTCGTATTGGCGAATATTGCGAGTGGCCGAGATACCATCGAGATTAGGCATCATAATATCCTAAAAACGTACATATATATAATTGTATAATAAGAATTCTGTAGGATTCAAATCCACTGCATAATATTACCATAAGAATAAGGTCATATTTCTCTGCTCCCATCTTTCCGATAGCCTCTACGCCATCTTTAGCAAGGTCTATAGTGCATCCAATTACTTGCAATAATTTTCCACTGAGGTCACGATAGACAGAGTCATCGTCGACTAAAAGTACACGCGGTGGAACAGTCCAGCTAAATGTTGCTTTTTTAGTATTGTCAATGGTTGGCATAGTGAGTTCAATGCCAGGTTTGTTGTCACGAATGGCAACATGGGGTGACACTCTTCCCAAGGTAACAAAGGCCACTCCTTCGGCTGTTTTGAGTGGCGATCCGACCAAACTCCCTGCATTCATTGAAACCGCTGCCGTGGCTGAGCATATGGGAGGTGGACTGGTGCTAGTACTTGAAGGGGCGTTTGTAGAAGTGGTCATATCTGGTTGGGTGGTATTGTTAAGTGATTGTGGGGTGTCGTCCGGGTAACATTCGCGTTTAACTGGTTTTTTATCGGGTTCATCTATCCACGTATAGTGTTGTGAAGCCTGCAATTGTTGAGTAATACGTTGCATTTGTTCTGCGTTTACTCGTGCAGCCTCCGAATAGCAAGTTAACAAAGAATGTGTACTGTCCCTCGAATTTACACGCAAAGGATTTGTCTCTATTTAGATATATAAACACAGAAAAAAAACTGGTCAGTGCTTGTGTGTCATAGATAAGGCGTACAAAACTTTACCTTTTTCTCGTTGGGCCGATTGTTGGAGGAAGTCTTTTATGAGGTTATCTTTGGCTACCATGTTTTTGTTAAACATCAATAGTTCATTTAAAACTGTTCCGTCAAGTCGAATTCGTTTCTCAAACGTCTTTTCCAATTCAGCGCGTGATTGCTGCAACTGTTCGATTTGCGACTGTAGTCCTGCAACAATGTGTCGGACGTCTTTGATAGAGTCTGCTACAGCAGAGTTGGGTGATTGTTGCTGGGGCTGAGTTTGCTGTTGAGACTGAGACTGTTGTTGGGTTTGCGTTTGATTTTGTTGATGTGGTTGCTGCTGTTGTTGGTTTTTTGTTTGATGCGGTTGCTGCTGTTGCTGCTGCTGCTGTTGCTGCTGTTGCTGCTGCTGTTGCTGTTGCTGTTGTTGCTGCTGTTGTATTTGTTGTTGCTGTATTTGTTGTTGTTCAGGTACCAAAGTACGAGTAGAGTTGGTGTCTGACTCGTTGTTAGTTTCGTCCTTCTTCTGCTTTCCAGGTGTCTTTCGTCGAATTTCCTCCAATAGATCTTTACGGTCTCTAATGAACTTTGGGTGGACAAACTCCCACGCCTTTTAGGGTAACTTTTTTTTGTTAAAATAAGGTCCAGTAAAATAGCAGTACTTTACTTGCCTGGTCTCCATAGGATTTTGGGGCATCCTCGGCATTACGGACCTTGTGAAAGTCGTATTTATTTAGTTGACGAACAAAACTAGCGAAATTACAATGCTTAAAATGTTTTGGGAGAATTGTCTTTGAGAATTCGTTTGTATCCTTGACAATAAATGTCTTGCCGTTGGGACCCCAACAAAAGGTGTTTCGGAAAGCTTTATTTTCTAGCATTCTAATAAATGTTTACATGAGATGGGATAAAGAAGACTACGAATGTATTACCGAAACAGTTTCTGGATGAACTCAGGCACAGAGCCTGCGCCATCGGCTGTTTTCCCAGTAGGTTTCACTGGTGTTTTTCGGGGTGTGGGATTCATAATGTCTTTTCGGGTGATTGTCGATGGTGGTGAGGGGTATCCCTTGATGGTGGGTCGTTCCATGAAGGGGAGAGGTTTTTTGTTTTTTTTTTGTTTTTTGTTTTTTTTTTGTTGAGTTGAATTGTAAGCAGAATAACACAGGCACAGGCACAGGCACACACACACAAAACAGAAAGAAAAATAAAAGAAGAAGAAGAAAAATAAAAATAAAAATAAAAATAAAAATAAAAAATAAAGTGTGGGTGATTAGGGGGATGAAGTTGGAAAAGAGAAAGACGGTATTTTTTTGGGCAGAGTTAGCTTTTTATAAATGCACCAGTCACACGTCTCGCCCAACTAACAACCGAAACTAACTAAGCTACCAGCCAAACTGCGGCTGCCCGGGATAGCCCATTGCCGGTGGTCGTCCATAGGCTGGCATGGGAGGGGGTGGAGGGGGCCTAAAACCAGGTGTTTGTGGATAGGCCATCATTGGTTGGCCTGGTGCAAACCCTGGTTGCTGCTGCATTTGTTGCATCGGCTGCATTTGTTGGTGTTGGTGTTGGTGTTGGTGTTGGAGCTGGTGCTGGAGCTGGTGCTGGTGTTGTTGTTGGTGTTGTTGCTGGTGTTGTTGCTGAAGAAGTTGTGGTGGTGCACCAGGAACACCAGCCGTTCCGTTGGCAAATAATCGGTTTGGAAGCTGAACATTCTTGCGACCCTCGGCTGCTAAAAGACGTTCGGCTGCTGATCCATGACGTTCTCCGCGACCATCCTTCTTGAATGCATATGAAACAGAAACCTGCTTGTTCATCAAATATTGGTTGTCCATCGCATCGATTGCCGCATCGGCAGACTCGAAGTTGTCGAAACTGACAAAACCAAACCCCTTGAAATTTCCGGTCTCTGGGTCGCGCGCAATTTTGGGTGTTTGTACAATTATACCAAATGCACTAAATGTGTCATAAAGAAGCTTCTCATCAATATCCGGATCCAGGTTACCAATGAATAGAGTTGCGCCAACATCCAGATTCTTCTTGTCTGAGGTTGCCTATATTATTGTTGTTGTTATAATCATTATTAATAATAATAATAATATTTTTATCATTGTTGTTTTGTTGTTATCAATATTATGATTATGGTTGTGTTATAAGGATATTAGAGTTATCGTTTTATGTTTTTTTTGTTTCATTTTGTTTGTACTCTACGATTCTTTGTTACTTTACCTTGTTAACGCGAATAGGTTTGCCGTAAAGTCTGATCTGATTCATAATCTTAATTGCATAGTCGGCATCCTCTTCTGTAAGAAACTCGCAAAAACCATAGCCCTGATGCGATTGTGTTACTCGGTCCTTTGGTAAATGGACATTCACTGCATGATTTTAGTACAATTATGCTTTATCGAGTCCTTTGTGGTCTATTTATCTACAATATGTAAAAAGAGAACGAGAAAGAAAAAAAGAAATGGAGTCTTACCAACAGGTCCTGCCTGGAGCATCAATTCCCACACAAGGGAATCGCTGCATCGTTCATCGAGATTTCCTACGTATACCGTAGCTTCCTGGTTACGTTCGATCTGCTGGTGTGCCATCGTGATGAAACTGAGATCGCTTTTTCGTTTTGGGCACAGAAGTGTGCTCTTCTACAAGACAACGTCACTTGTGACTTGTTTGAAGATGAAGTTCACTTTCAACCATTTCTGACAGCTACCATTAAGAGTCTTACTCAGTCTTAGTTTTTATTGATTCATTTATATATATTTATATATTGATAAAATACTGGGTATTTATTGTTCATTCATATGTCAAAATATAAGCCTTTATTTTATTTTATTTATTTTTTGGTTGGTCTGTTTAGGCAATAAAGGGAAAGATACTAATAGAGCCGCAAGGAACAATAAAATAAAATAAGGGGATCGATACAACTAGTATTTTAGCAAATGAATAAACGAATAAGCGAGTGAAAGCTTCCAAGTATACTAGGCGTGAGCTGTTACTGAGCCGCTTTAAGCTTAGTTGTGAACAATCTTGCCGTTGTTATTGAGAATACCCTCCTTTAAGATACCACCCTTGAGGAGGTTGTTAAGGACGCCGTTATCATTTTTCTGCTCGGTATTTTGCTTGACTTCAATGTTCTGGTTGTTTCCATAGGTAGGAACAGCCGAAGAAACCATGGCAACGGCAGCAAAGATGGCGATGAAAAGAGTAGACTTCATGATGATTAGAAAAAGGCTGGTTGGTTGGTTTATAAGTATGTAAGATGAGGATGATGTTGTTTTTTGATATCGAAACAAACGGTGTTGTTGACGTTCCTTTTTATATGGAATAAGATGCAAGAAAATGAATTGATTGTCTATATTGCTTTTTTTGCAAAGATGCTTCAATTTCTCTATTGATTATTCGTGAATATGATCTTCTATCCAATCTTTTGGCTGTTCACACATTTAATGGCACATCTTTATTTATTCCTTCTTATTTCATCCCTTTGATAAATAATATAGCAGACCTCCTTGAATGAAAGTAAAAATACGACTTTAAATTATTGGCTGGAAGCTCCTCTTTTTTATTTTATTTTTTAATAATAATATTACTTATGTATTTTATGCATTTTATGCATTTGATTGTTGCCTAGATACACAGCAGTAAAAGACGTTCCGATTGCTTAACGATACCAATAAGCATAAAATGTATATATGTACTGGTTACGCGGATAGGACGTATTTACATAATTATAAACACTTTACTGAACACAAAACTAAGCAGTTCTTATGTCTTGAATACTTATAATCGATGTAGTAAATGTAATCAAAGACTATTAAATACAATACAATGGTGATACGGTATAGATACTTTCTGCAAAGAACCAAATAAGAAATAAGGGGAGGAAAGTAGGAGGGGGGTTTACAATACAATACATATCTATCTATTTTTATATATTGAAGAGTTGATCTCACTTGTCTTAATAAGACAATAATAATAATAATAATAATAATAATAATAATAATAATGAGTAATTAATGATTTCTACTGACTATACACCACAGGAAAATGTAGCTATTAGCTAATTATTGATAGGTCTGTTGTTTATGTTAGACTGAATACTAAAATAATAATAACTTTGGATCCAACTGAAACCAAAGATTTGCATGGATTTTTTTTAAATAATAAAAAACACACCCACACCCACACCCACATTCATATATGTATCAAACTTTTACAAAAGATGTATCTCATTAATTAGCTAATTTATCCCGGGCCGAAATGCAATTGAAACTTTTTGTCTTCATTATCCTCTTCTTCACCTGATATCACGTCAATATATAAATAAAAAAAAATAGTAAGTAAAATATAGAGAGAAACTGTTTCTAGGAATCGACAAAAAATCTGCACATGGTAAATCCAGTTTTTTTTGGGTTTTTTTTTGAGATTCAATACAGATAAGCTCAAGGCCAATACAATTAACGGATCTTAACTCGATAATACAACTACACTATTGGTGGGCTGAACTCTAATGTAATTACAGAATCCCCTATACGTGACGCCTTTTCTTTTTGACTCACTCTGAATCCACTTTTGCTATTATCAAAAGCCGGGCTTTGATTTATTTTCCTATCCACTTCTTTATACACAAATTCCACAAAATATGAGTACTAGCAGGGCACCGTTGGAGCCAAACGTCTCCAAGGTCTCTATTCTCGGATCAGAGTCTATTATACTCGGTTTCCACCTCACAGAATACATCGTACGCGACGTCTTGGCCAATATCACAGCCTCAAACTACGTTCTCATCACAGACACCAACCTCGCCCCTCTATACCTCGACCGTTATGTCGCTGCTTTCGAAGCCGCCCTCGCTAAACTTCCTCAACCACCACGTCTCTTCACACGCATCCTTCCTCCCGGAGAACTCACAAAGTCTCGCAAGGTAAAGGCCGAAATCGAAGACTGGCTGCTCTCAAACCATGTTACCCGCGATACCTGTTTCTTGGCCATGGGTGGAGGTGTTATTGGTGACCTTATTGGATTTGTTGCCGCAACTTTCATGCGTGGTGCTGCCTTTGTTCAAATTCCCACCACACTTTTGGCAATGGTCGACTCTTCGATTGGTGGAAAAACTGCAATCGATACTCCAGCCGGAAAGAACTTGATTGGCGCTTTCTGGCAACCCAAGCGAATCTTTATGGATCTCGCCTTCCTCCAGACCTTGCCAGAACGCGAATTCTCAAACGGTATGGCCGAAGTTGTAAAGGTAATAAATAAAAAAAGCTGTGAGATGTTACAAAATACCTTTTCTCTCTCTCTCTCTTTTATGTGATATTAAATATAAAGTGGATTGTTCACGCATGTTATATATAAATATATATTTTATAGACTGCAGCCATTTGGAGTGAACCTGATTTTGTGAAGCTTGAGAATGGTGTTGAGGCTGTCAGAGAGGCTGTTCTCAACGGTAACACTGGCATTCCTTTCCAAGGTAAGAAGATAAAGAATTAAGAAAAAGGCCAATAATTGGTTAAACCCAAATTTATTGTCAATTTCTACTTGTATATAATAAATGTGTAAATAAATTTATATAAATACATTAAATGATATCTTATGCTATTTGTAGGTGCCACTTTGGACACAAGAACAGAAGCTCAGGGCCTTTTATTGGATGTCATTCTGGCTTCAGCAAGAGTAAAAGCACATGTGGTCACAAACGATGAGCGTGAAGGTGGTTTGCGTGGTCTGTTGAACTTTGGCCACTCTATTGGCCACGGTATCGAGGCCTTGGTGTCGCCTATGATGCTCCACGGAGAGTGCGTGTCAATTGGTGTCATAAAGGAAGCAGAGCTAGCACGTAACCTTGGTCACCTCAACCAGGTAGCTGTTGGAAGATTGGCCCGCTGTTTGTCATCATACGGTCTTCCCATCAGTCTGGATGAGAAGAAGGTGAAGGACAGAATCGGTAATCTCTATTGCCATGTGGATGATATCATGGAAGTCATGAAGGTCGACAAGAAGAATCAGGGTGACAAGAAGCGTATTGTTCTACTGTCTGCTATCGGAAAGACCCTTGAACAACGTGCTTCGATTGTACCTGATTCTGCTATCCACAAGGTTTTGGCACCCGAGCAACTCGTTTTGCCAGTCACCGAATCTGCTACTGGACCCAAGAAACAGGTTAGCCTCACAACCCCAGGATCAAAGTCTATCTCCAACCGTGCCCTCTTGATGGCCGCATTGGGTTCCGGAACTGTCCGCGTCAAGAATCTTCTGCACTCGGATGACACTCAATACATGTTGGCTGCTCTCAAGAGCCTCGGTGCTGCCGACTTTGAATGGGAAGACAATGGCGAGTGTTTGGTGGTCTATGGTAAAGGTGGACAATTACGGGTGCCTGAAAAGGAACTCTTTGTTGGAAATGCTGGAACAGCCTCGCGCTTCCTTGCCACAGTTCTCACTCTCATCAAAACTGTCGATGACCCCAAACATACCCAGGCAGTTCTGACCGGAAATGCCCGCATGAAGCAAAGACCTATTGCACCTCTTCTTACTGCCCTCAAGGCTAACGGTGCCAAGCTTACTTCGGTCGAGAAGGAAGGTTTCTTGCCTATCGCAGTCACACCCAATGGTGGTTTCAAGGGTGGTCGCATCGAATTAGCTGCTTCAATCTCATCTCAATATGTATCATCTATCCTCATCTGTGCTCCATATGCTCAAAATGAAGTTGAATTGGTTCTCACTGGCGGACAAGTTATTTCCCAACCTTATATTGATATGACCATTGCAATGATGGAATCTTTCGGTGCCGTTGTTAAACGCCTTCCCAATAACACATATCGCATCCAAAAGTCTGTTTACAAGAACCCTGATCACTATCTCGTCGAATCGGATGCTAGTTCCGCTACATATCCTCTCGCTATAGCTGCCATCACTGGCACTACATGCACTGTTACCAGTATTGGATCCAAGTCTCTGCAAGGTGATGCTACCTTTGCCATTAATGTCCTCCGCCCCATGGGATGCACCGTCGTCCAAACCGAAACTGCCACTACAGTCACTGGCCCCCCTCTTGGCCAGCTGCGCCCCCTCGCTTCTGTCGACATGGAAACAATGACCGACGCTTTCTTGACCGCCTCTGTATTGGCCGCTGTGACCTCAAACCCCAAGGGAGAGAATATCACACGTATCACTGGTATTGCCAATCAGCGTGTTAAGGAGTGCAACCGTATTGCGGCCATGGTCCACGAGCTTACCAAGTTTGGTGTCACTGCCTCTGAACTCCCTGACGGTATCCAGATCCATGGTAAGCCTATCAAGGATCTCAGAGCACCCAAGGAAGGCGTCCACTGTTACGATGACCATCGTATTGCTATGAGCTTCTCGGTCTTGGCTAGTGTTGTTCCCAGCGGAACAATCATCCAGGAAAAGAAGTGTGTCGAAAAGACCTGGCCAACCTGGTGGGACGATCTTGAACATCGCCTGGGCGTCCGTCTGAATGGTGTCGATCAGGGTCTTAAGCTCCAAGACCAGAAGCCTAGTTCTTCCTATGGCAGAGTTAAGAAGGTAAAGGCCTCTACAATGGATCACGGCAAGTCTATCGTAATTATCGGTATGCGTGGTGCAGGAAAGACCACCCTTGGTCAGTATGCTGCCGAGACCCTTGGCTTTGATTTTGTTGATGTCGATCAATACTTTGAGGTCGTTGAAAAGACTACCGTTTTCGATTTTATCAACACATGGGGATGGGAACAGTTCCGTATCAAGGAATCTCAGGCTATCAAGAACCTTTTGGCCAAAGACTCTAAATACGCACGCAACTATGTTATTTCATGTGGTGGCGGTATCATTGAGACCCAGGAGTCGCGCGATATTCTCAAGGAACATACCCGTCAGGGCGGTAAGGTGCTCCACCTTGTGCGTGATCTTGACCAGATCGTCCGCTACCTTAACCGTGACACCACTCGGCCCATGTTTGGTGAAGACATGATGAGCGTCTGGCGCCGTCGTCGCCCCTGGTACCGTCAGGTGTGCAACTATGAGTTTGTAGCATATGCAGACTCTCTTGTGGATGATGGTTGGGTCTCCCCTACTGAGTGGCAGGCTATTAAGAAGGATTTCCAGCGTTTCTTGTTCTTTATCCTCGGCAAGGACACTAACCAGGTCGACCTTTCCCCAACCCGCATCGGTATTCCCACCACCTTTGTTTCTCTGACTATGAAGGATCTTCGGTCTTATGCAGACAGACTAGTTCAGGTCTGCGAGGGTTCTGATGCTGTAGAAATCCGTATCGACCTTTTACAACAACCCGAAGAAGATGAAAAAACCTTTATTGAGTACGTTGGAGAACAGGTCGCCATTCTCCGTCGCCACGTCAATCTGCCAGTTATCTTTACTGTCCGCAGCAAGGGCCAGGCAGGAGCCTTTTCGGACAAGGACGAAAGCGGAATGTTTGAATTGCTGCAGTGGGGTCAAAGATGGGGCTGCGAGTACATTGATATTGAGATTTGCTGGTCCACAACTGCCATTTCTTCACTTTTGAGCACACAAGGATACAGTCTGTCGCTTGCCTCGTGGCACGACATCCACCGCCTGACACCTTGGGATAGCAAGGAACTCGAAGCAAAGTACGAACTTGCCTTCCAGTATGGTGATATTGTAAAGTTGGTCGGTGTCGCAGAAAGCCTCGAAGACAACATCAAGCTCGAAAATTTCCGTGCCACCAAAACGGAAAAACCTATGATTGCCATCAATATGGCTGGTGCCGGTCAGCTCTCGCGTGTCATCAACAACTGCCTCACACCCATTACCCACCCTGCCCTTCCCCATAAGGCTGCTCCCGGACAGCTTTCGCTTGCTGAGATCAACAAGGCTCGCCACCTCTTGGGCCTTTTGCCCACTCAACACTTTTGGCTTATCGGCACTCCTATCCAACACTCCATGTCCCCCACACTCCACAACACTGGCTTCAATGCACTCGGTCTTCCTCACAACTATGGTCTCCTTGAGTGCCATATGTTGGAGTATGCTGAACACGCATTGAATGATCCCAGCTTTGGGGGTGCTTCAGTTACTATTCCTCACAAGGTTGCAGTCATGAAGTACCTTGATGAGGTTACTGAAAACGCAAAGGTTATTGGTGCCGTCAACACAGTCTATGTTCGATACGCAACCGTCAATGGACAAAAGGTCCGTAGACTGATTGGTGAAAATACTGACTTTTTGGGTATCCAGCGCCGTGTTCAGCCACTGATGCTTGATGCTTCAAACCCTCCCGCCGAGGGTCTTGTGATTGGAAGTGGTGGAACTGCCCGGGCTGGTCTGTACGCTCTTCATAAGATGGGTATTAAGAAGATTTACCTGTGGAACCGCACAATAAGCAAGGCCTATGAGCTCAAGAAAGTGTTTGAGGGCATGTTTGAGGTCACGGTTGTAGAATCACTCGAAAGCCCAATGGAGCCTGGTGTGATTGTGTCTACTGTGCCAGCCGACAGTGGTATCTTGCTGCCCGAGAAGGTTTATGGTGGTATCCGCGGTATCATCTGTGACATGGCCTACAAGCCCAGACGTACTAAGCTTTTGTTGCAAGCCGAGCGCAAGGGATGGTCATGTGTTGAGGGTATTGAGGTTCTTATTTCACAGGGCATTGCTCAGTTTGAGATTTGGACTGGAAAGCGTGCTCCGGTTGAAACAATTGAAGCAGAAGTAATGAAGAAGTACGAGTTGTAAAGAAGTACACATGTATATATATATATATATATATGGCTTATCATTTAGAATTCCCCGTCTATCTATATTTATCTCCCTATGTGTGTATTCACATCAACAACAAAAGCATATATAAATAAATAAATAAACACAATCTTGATATACATCATTACTTGTAAAAGTAAACTATTTACTGATTATCCTTTGAAATTAATTGCAATCAAATATACGATATTAGCGATTTTATAAGCAAAAATATCGTTTTTCGTGTAATTAAATGAATATAAAGTATGGAATATATATATACTTGTGCCGTACGTGTTTGATTATTTATTTCTTTACTCTTGGATAATATGATAGCCATTAGAGGGTTACATGTACAATGAATTAACAAATAGGCAAAACAAAGACAATCTTTTCTTATGCTGTAACAATATTAAGATATATATTTATTTCGTAAAGTTAATAATAATGATAGTGATGATGATAGCCTTTCAGCACAACACCGTGTTCTGGCTGTGAGGGAGGTGGCAAGAATGATGGTAGCGTCAAACGTACGCGTACAGAAACTTGGTACCTCCCCGCGTAAGGGTGGGAATTAGAATTATATAACCAAGATATAAAACAAAACTACCACATTCGAATTGTGATACCTTTTGTCTACATGGCAGACTTTTTTTTTTGGTTTTAATCTCTTGGTGACATGACTGATTGAGTTGTAAGAAAAGGCTATGAAAAAGGAAAGCAAATGAGGTATGGTCAAAAGAAGGTTATAATTCTGGTGAATTGGCTGTGTTTTATTATGTGAAAGTCTATATTTTTTGTAGTTTATTGAAAGCTTTGTAATATTGGAGCAAAAGGGTAGTATTAAGAGTTTTAAGAACGATGCATATGTAGTTGACCAGCTAAATTAGAAAATTAAAGAAAACGTAATTTTTTTTTGTAAATTTGATAGAGTGGGAAGTAGTAGAGAGTTTCTTGTGGGTTTTTCAAAGTTGATTAAGATTGTTGGTTACCTTTGTTCTTATCCTACGGACAGGCTGCTCAGGTCCGAGCCGAAAAATAATATTGAAATAGATAGATATATATATAAAAGTGTGGGGGAAACCTTATTGATTTGGTACACAACTCTTGTTGTTGTTGCTGTCATTTATGGCCGCAAAGGTACAAAAACAACAAAAGACGGCTTTTTGTTTTTGTTTTTGTTTTTGTTTTTGTTTTTTTTTTGTAATTTGGCTTCTGGATAGCACAACCCGTCAGCGTTTATTATCATTATCTTTATTGTTATCAAAAATGTGTGGGGTTTAGCTCTGTATTTCAAAGTCTTTCAAGTAGAAGAAATTAACATATTGAATATTAATAAATTACAATTAAGTTTATTAAAATATTATTATTAAGATTTATTAGGCCCTCTTCAAACGATAACTGTTCACCTTCTTGCTTTTCGCAGTACTCTCTTATACGAGTTAAAGTTTTTAAATGGAAAGGGGCGGCTTCCTCAAACTAGTGCATGGCATATTTCCTTGCTCATCAATCATTCTACCTTGACCATCTTCATAATAAAAACGAATAGTCATCTTATTTCCTATAAAAAACCGACTTTTGAGAAAATGAAAATAGCCCTTTGGCATTGGAACGACTGTATATATATCTTTGTATACTTTTAAAGATCAAAGTTAAATATATTGCTAAAAAAGCTGCTTTAAATAACCCCAAAAAAAAAACTTTGATTAGATGTGTGGAAGCCAGAAAAAATAAAGGTGCGCTTGTAAATAAGTATGTGGTTGTTGCCATGGTTTCTGCCGATCTATCTTTATTCTAAATTTATTTATATGTCTGTACATGCATATACTGGGCTTCAATTAATAGATCTATACAATTATGGGTGCAATAAATCAAAAACAACAATAATAAAATTCTTCAATAAAGTACTGAATTTGTCAGGCTGATTTCCAAGCACCAATATAACATGAATGGATGCGTTAAATTGTAACAATAGATAGATTGCAAATTTCAAAACGCTTGCCTTACTATGCTTATTATACAAATGCATCTTACATCTCACGGATTCTATTTTATTACTACGGGCATACGGTATTATTTCTCAGGTGTATACCAAATTAATATACGTACTACAATTGTAGGATGTCTTTTTTTTATAATTAAAGAGAAATAGCTATCATATATTTCATGATTTATTTATTTATATTGTAAATTAGCTACTCATATTTGATAACGATGTGATTAAACTTGGTTAGCTATAACGTGAGTTTTATGCTTCAGATAAGATCAGAGTAGAACGTACTGGGGGAGTACTCTTCAAAGATGAGCAAACAAAGCTCTGTTTGGGATATAATAATATGAAAATAAAACAATTGGTACTCTGAAATTGTTTTTATTTATTTAAGAAAGAAAGACATTTGCTTGGTTATATTTAGATGTTTGATTCCCTGGTTATTACTATTATTATTATTATTTTAAAAAAAGATATTCGCTGTTTAATGGCTGGTTGGCTGTCATTGAAGCGATGAAAACTGTATACGAGTACTTGGTGTGTGTATGTGTGTATATGTCTGCTATGTTTCTGGGATGTGAGTGAGCCTCCCTGCACAGATTCATTAACAGTTATGATAACTGTTTAAAATTATGGGATTTGCATCACATTCAATTGTGGTGCGTATATTACTTTTTCACTTCCAGACTTTGGTTGAATTATCCAGAGGTTACAGATAAAACATTTCCAAGTAGTAAAAAACCAGGCGCGACATAATTAAGCTTTATTCAAACATTCTGCAACCTCTCAATTACCATTCTCTTCAATGCAACATGATAACATTTTCTGTATACTTTTGGCAACGAAAGAGTAAAGCATCAAGAAATGTAACTCGTACTATTGGTATAGAAGGAGGGTCAAGAAGAAATTAAGAAAGATCAAAATGAAAAGAAAGAAAAAGGGGGTGTTTGGCAGCCCCAAAAAATTATTATTTTGGTTGAACACAAAGAGCTCTTGAAAAACGTGTACGACAGTGAACTTTATGACAGCCTTGGATGAAGTAGTTTTGAGAATAGTTATTACAGAGTTTTAAGGACTGAAAATTTTACCAAGACTTGCTGTGCATAACTTTGTGTCAAAATGAGTATCCTTTTTTTCATTTAAGAAAGGCAGGCTTTGAGCTCAAGGACAGAAACTCGGAAAATAAAAAGAAAAGTTCTGCAATGTATGACTGAAGGGGGGAGGGGGGGCTGTCAGGCCTATGGAAATCGATGTGGACTTCCAAATCAATTGGATTTTTGTCGATGAATTTGGTCTGTTAAAGGAGCCAGAGCTGTTGCTACACAAGACAAGACAAGAGAATACAAGAGCTAAAACAACGACAATCCTAGGAGCAATTTTTGATCAGTAGCCACAGTCAATATTAAAGTTTGACTGCCTTGTGAAGAGAAGTTCCAATAAAAGAAAGGTTACAGGTGAAAGAGAAACAAGAAAAAAGGCTAGGAAGAAGACAATAGGTACTGTTACAAATCACTATACTTTAACTTTTATGAAATTTCTCAAAGGATGATTATCTTGTGAATAATGCTCCTAATCCACAACTCTGGTGATATAAATGTATTTACCTTCTGGTCTACTCTCCTGAGCTCAAACCCCCGCAATTGAACAATATTTCTTGGTCTATGATTTAAGAAGCAGGATAATTAAGAAAAAATGCTATTAGAGGAAATTGTGACCCTAAGAAGTTACTTAAGCATGCTACAACAAAGTATGAATTGTTAAAAGGATCTTCTCTTTTAATGTTATTATTTTATCTTTTTGCCTTTATTCCTCCACTCTAAATCTATAAGTATGCTTGAACAAAGAACCTCTTTAATAAATTGTAGGCCTGTAAATTTATATTTATTATTATTAAAAAAAGCTAGTAAGTTTTCAAAAAAAAGTGAACAATTTGATAAAGATCAAAATTTGAATCTGAATATGAGCACCAAGCCTGGGTTAGGGTCCCTTTGTGAATGCGTATGTATAATTTTTTCTTTAATATATATATATATATATATATATATATTTGAGTAATCTATTTCCGGGAATATTGTATAAATGTATGTAAAGGGATTTTCTGCCTTTATTCGGCAAGCACGGTAATACACATGCTTATGCCTGACAGTGCATCCTTCCAAAAGATCTATTTAAGGTGATTGGCATGTCATTTGTTAAGGATCCCTATACCTTTCTATTTCAAGCATGAGCATTTATTCTTTTGATAAACAAAACACGTGTTCTTTCAACTGAATTGAATCAAACCCATATACAAGTATATATATATATATATATATATATATATTTGTGTGTGTGTGTGTATTATAAAGAGTGACACCAGCACTCTTTATTTTATATATAGTATATTGTAGGTATAAGTATAGGTATAAGTATAGGTATAGGTATAGGTATAGGTGTAGGTGTAGGTGTAGGTATCTATATCTATATCTATATCTATATCTATTTTTATAATATGATTTATATAGAAAGATGTGTAAGGAGAGTAATAAAGAAAATAAATGGAGGAGTATATGAAATCTCCTTACAAAGTCGATCCTCTTTATCTGTCTCTATCTATTTAGCTATCTAGCTCTTTCTCTTTCTCTCTCTGTGTGTGTGTGCGTGTGCGTGTGTGTGTGCGTGTGTGTGTGTGTGTGCGTGTGCGTGTGTGTGTGCGTGTGCGTGTGTGTGTGCGTGTGCGTGTGTGTGTGCGTGTTTGGGTGTGTTTATATGTATACAAATGTAAGTATACATATAAAATATACATGTACATATAGTTGAGCGTGTGTGTATGCGTTTGTGTTTGTGTTTGTGTTTGTGTTTGCGTGTATGTTTGTAAAGCAAGAATATATATACATATATATAATTCTTATTTGTCTCTAGTCTTCCGACTTTGTACCTTCCTTTTCACACCCAAAATCCATTTGACAGTGGCTCATGGCTTTCCTTAGTTTGGATCGCTGTGTTGCATTGGCATTCGCAAGCTGTCTGCCACTCATTTCTATCTCTTGACTTCGTTGGGCCATTATTTGGGCAGTTTCTGTGGCTAGATAAAGAATCTCTCCGGTTGTACTCATAAATTTGCCCATCATGACTCGTAGAACACGGTCATACCAGAATGACAAAAGAGGGACAGATGAAAAGAGGCCTAAAGAACATGTTAATACAAGAAAAATATAATTATTATTATTTTGTATATAAATATATAAAATAGATATAATAAAAACTTGCCTTCTACAGTCCAACTCTCCTCATGACGCTCGATTTTCAATAAACCACTATCAACCTCGGTTTCTTTAAAGGACAAGGTGACCATCACCTGAAGATCTAGCGATAAAAACGGTACAAGCCGGGGAGAAAGATGCTGGGTCAAGTACACAACGCAGGTCTGACCATTAAAACAAACATTCTTGATGGTCGGTTCACGCTTGTTGAGTGTTTTCCAGAGTAATAGAACACTATAATAACAATAAATAATAAATTAAATTTAAATGAAATGAAATGAAATGAAATAATATTATAGATACTACACACTAAAGAGAAGAAATAGAAAATTAAAGTGGGAGATAGTTGCTGGTGATTATATAGTGATATATTCGTTTACATACTGTCGAATATTGAATACACCTCTAGTAGTTAAAAGAGGCGAAACAAAGTCTGCTTCAGGAAAGTAGTAGTAGTCAAGAATACGTTTCTGTCGAGTGTTGCTAAACGAAAAAAGATCCTTTACGACGCCTAGAGATAAAGATAGATAGAGAAAAGTATTACTGTCTGCCAAACGGCTCCAATCAAAATAAATGATATTTACGATTAATGAGTTTATCGCATGGATCAGCTTTTGATTCGTACTCAAGATTCATGATTATCAAAAAAAAAAAAATTAATGAATGAATGTAAAAAAAAAGGGTAATGTGCTTTGGATTCCTTTTGTGTTGGGTATTATTTTTATTTGAATATAAAGTATCAATTACAAAAGAAATAAGGGAAAGGAGAAATAAGAAGAAGAAGCAGAAGAAGAGGAAGGAAAGATAGAATTAGTAAAAAGAAGTATATATATATATATATATATACGTGTGTAGCTGTGGATATGTATATATATGGTAATAAAATAAATTCAAAGAGAGAGAGAAAAGAGTGTGGGGTAAAGAAAATAGTATATATATATTTTATTATTGTAAATACATATATGTGTATGTGTATGTGTATATAAATGTATGCAGTATATACGTACAAATGTAACAAATAGTGTACAAAGTATGTGTGACGCCTATGTATTATTTATTTATTTTATTCTTGTTTTGTAGATTTTGTTTTTTTTTTTAATAATTCACATTCAAAATGAACAATGAAGAAAAGGCAGACTTGGGTAAATATATATATATATATCTTTACTTCTTTAATACCATTCGATCACTTCAAGCTTATGCTCAATCAGTGGGGATTGTCAACAAAACCTTTAAATTGTATCGATCGACTCCACTGTGCAACTATAGTGCCGACCGACGCAAACAGAAACGTCTTGAGAAATCACTTTTACAAACCCTGTCATCTCGACTCTGGTTCGATCCTGGAGATCAGTCTGGAATGGACATTCCAAGCATGACAAACTCAAATATCACGACATATAAGGGCATCATTCGGTCTGTCAGTTATCGCCAACTCCTGATTCCAGACTGGCCAAGTGGTAAGGATAGTAAAAGAAAAGGAAAACAGGCGTATATATAGACAATTAGCTAGTTAGATAGTTAGATAGATCAATTGACTAAATATATACATGTACATGTACATATATTTAGATGGCCACAGAGAACCTATTGAACTCAGGGTTGAGCTAATGTCATATGGTAAATAATTTTAGATTGAATTACAAGCCAAACCAGCCCTGTAAATATATAGATATATATATCTTTATATATCTATACATACAATATTGTAGACAAGAATATCCAACCTGTTCATCAAGTCATTTTCTTTCCACCTCACAGATCCGAACCTCCTGTAGCAGGTATAATTCATTATTCGTTTAATTAATTAATTAATTTATTAATTTATTAATTTATTTATTGAAATTTGTTTGACAAGAGGGCTTGACGTCTTTTCCACTACTGTTGGTCAAGGCAACCAGTGGAATTGGAGAAATTATTATCAAATGGTTACAAGGTGTACACGACTGCGTGATCAATCCTTTCAATGTGGCTAATAAGGATCTCGAGGAATTTGTTAATACTTGGACATCCTCACTCCTAAATAGGCCAGCCCCTCCAGAGGAGAGAATTGAAGGTTAATATTATATACAATAATCAAGAATAAAGGGAGGAAAAGAATGTGAATTTGATGTAATACATACATACATACACACATATATATATAATTCTATTATTATTTGATATTTGCTTGTTTTAGTGGCCGGTACACGCATGAACCAACCCCGGCCCCTAGAATTGGTGTATGGACTTCCTGGTGTATTCCATTTGACATCCATTACCATATCACTTGAACCGAGCGAACTTCGGCATATGTTGAGAGTGTAGGTCAATTTACAAACCTACATACACATACATACTTATATATTTATATAGTGCTCTTGCAAGTCGAGTAACAATGATGGACGCCATCAAAGGCCATATTTTACATACTATGAGTCTAGATGTTCAGGCTCTGAACCTAGTAAGACTTGGGACACATGTTGCCTACTTGACTAATGATGGAAAAATAAAGGTAAATAATGATACTAATATTCAATGGGTATAATAGACATGTGCGTATAATAATTTTGATATTTAATTTAATAAGCTTTCTTCTTCTACTTCTACTTCTTCTTCTTCTTACTGTTTAACCCTCTCCTTTATCTAATTATATAGCTTATTCCTAATGCCGAGAGAAGACAGACCATTGAGATCATTCGCCGTTTGACTGACCTAGCTAGCTAGCTAGTTAGCTAGTTAGCTAGCTAGTCTGATACTTTGAGAACCAAACCCAATAAATAAAGAAGAAGAAGAAGAAGAAATATACATGCATAATAAGATATATAAATAATATCAATCACTACAAAACAAGGAACTAAGAATAAAATACGCAAAACAGGCTCATTCTTGCCAATACAACCTTTGAAATACCCTTTGGTTTTGTTTTTTACATTTACTGTTTGATATCGATATTATATATACAAATAAAATATGCATATTTGAAAAGGAGTTGAATACCTGTAACATCGTTCAAGGCTACTTTATATGGCATCATGATCGCTTGTATTTTATTTCATTTTTATTCGTTCTTTTTTTTAATAATTTTTAAAATACAATTTCATTTATTATTTTTCATTATTTTCCTTTTTTTATTTATTTATTTATTTATTTATTTATTTATTTATTTTATTTCTTAAACACAATTCGACCCTTATATATTTGTTTCTTTCTCTATCTCTTACAACTCATTCTAAATGGCAAAAGAATCCACACAGCCAAAGGCAGTCAACATACTGAGGCCTAGTGCCGGAATGACTAGGTCTTCTTCAGTACACTCAAGCTCCTCCTCTCTTACTCCTTCCTATGTCTCTCAAACACCTACCTATGTCTCCCAGCCACCTTCGTATGTATCCCAACCACCGCCACCCTCTCTTCCTCATTCGGCAACCCGTAAACCAAAAATCGCAATGGCTAAAGTCATCCAAGAACCCACAAAACCAGTAATCAATCTCTACCATCCTCCTCCACGCCCAGCTGTCTACAAATCGTCTAGTGTATCGGATTACCAACCCCGGTCCCATCCGTCTCTTCCACTAAAGGAAACTCGCCCTCAGATTGAGATTTACAAACCCATCAAACGACAGAATTCATCACAACAACTCAAGCTAGAGCAACAAACACATCACCAACAACAGCAACAACAACAAGTATATCAGCAACAGCAGCAACAGCAGCAACAGCAGCAACAATTACATCACCAAAAAGTTTCTGTGGCTAGTCATCGTTCTGTTCTAGGACCAATCACTGCGCCAGTATCCTCCCACGCAACTATCAAAAGCCATTCAAGTGAACGAACTCACGGAGAACGAAAACCATCGTTGGAAGTGATCGACAGTTTTTATGTCAATAGTAATAGTAATAATAATACTAGTCATCATCATCATAAAAATAACAATAAATCCACGCTGCTGGGCAGTAGGATTAATACAGAATATGATGTTGAAGATGAAGATGATAATGAAAGCGAAGAAGGGGGTGAAGAGGACTTTGATGATGATGATGATGATAACGAAAACGACGACACCTCAGATGACGATGAAATAGACTACGATGATACTGAGGAGCAAAAACAAAAAGAAAAATATAAAAAAGACAATGATATCTATAGTGATGATGATGAGGATGGTGAACCAATAATGAGTGAAGCCAGAGTAAATCGTAAGGCAAGTTGACAAAAGAGGAAGATATATATATATAAAACAAATCGAATCCAATGCAATCGAACCGAATAGATTAAATACTAGTGGCTTCTAAATAAATATATACATGGTTTGTGCGTATAAATACATATATCCATTTTGACAGATCGCAGACCTTGAAATTGCAAATCAATCATTTATGGCCGTCAATGCAATGCTGGAGGCCACCGTACGAAGGCAGGCTTCACAGGTGGCTCAACTGAAGAAACAATTAAAACTGTACGAACTTCTTTTTATTTATTTTTTCTTTGCTATTATTTTATTCTATTTTTTTTTGGATAACGATGATTTGAAATATATCAACTGATTTTTTTTTATTGTTAGTAACCAAGCTAATGGACATGAAGAGATTGCCTTACTGGTAGAACCTCAAAAACAAGAGGTAAAAGCTTATATACATATATATACACAACATTTTATTTTATTGTATTATATTATATTGCATTGGATTTTATATCTACTACATATATTAAAACATACGTTATCTTATCATCAGTTGGCAGATTTGTCAGAGGATGAATGGGAAAAGGATAAGGTGTTTCAACGCCTGTGTCATTTGACAGACAAGATGCTAGAACAGGCACAAGCAGCTGTGGTCTTTGAATTCAAAAGTCTGGGACGTGTGATAACTCATTATGAGGGTAAGAATAAATGAGAGTAACTATAAACAAAGAAAGGACAAAACAACAAAGTGGCTTACATATATATATATATATACATTTGTGTGTGTGTGCGTGTGTTATGTGTAGATGTAGATATAGATATAGATGTAGATAAAGAACAATCCGATATACCTGAATACGATGATGTTAATGGCAATACCAATACCAATACCAATACCAGTGTCGATGCTGATGATGATATTGATAATGAATACAAGCAAGAACCAGACACGCCGGTTGTAGATAAGCCCTGTACAGATAAACCTCGAATTGATATACCACCCATTCTACTCACAGAGAGTCCAACCACTGTAAAGTCAAGTCATTCTAAAGAGCGCAACGGCCGTGCTCCAAGACTCCCAAGCAACAGCAGCTCATTTCACAAAGATAGTAACACACTTGATCCTCGCAAACCTCATTCTTCATCAACATCTTCCCTCACTCTTTCATCTGCACCTACTAAAAAGAAGATCCCTACTCTTAAGAAACGGCCAGGGACATTAAAATAAAATACTAAATAAAAATAAAGCATAAAAAGAGAGTCAAAGTGCACAGCACATAGTACATACAGCAAACCAAATAAAAAAAAAGAAGAAAACCTTGGCTCTTTGGGTTACACAGCTTAATTCAAGCCTGTAAATTCCAATATTATATATATATAATAAAGGGAACCAAAGGAAAACATTGCTATTTATATATCTATTATTACAAGTAGTATTGATTAAACATTGTGGGGTCTATGCATATATAGTGTTTGAACTTGAGGTTGAGAGAAATCATTGTTGGCTTTATATATATATATATGTAGAATATTTTTACCTGTAAAAACTTAAATTTCTTTGAAGAAAACCGTGTTCGATACGGCGATATAAGTAGTTGAGAAAAGGCTATTCGTCTCGAGAGAACAGAGCTGGTAGATGACGGTTGTTCAAGGTCTCTTTTGCAATTTGGTAATTATCTTTTTTGGAAGCATTCACATCTCTATTACATATCATCTCGCTACTTTGTGCAAGCGAGTATTGCTTGTGAAATCAATTAAAATATCTATGAGGTTGCTTTGATTACAAAAGGTGGCAAATCTTTATAGCAAAAAGTAAAATAAATTAAAAGCATTGTTAGCCAAGTGTTAAAAATATGCTAACCTTACTATGTTTACCTTTGAGGTTCTAAACTCGTCAACATCTGGCACAAGAGGGGTCTCTACTATTTTGTCTTTTTCTTCAATGCTCAGTACAGAACACCTAAAGCTCCTACACGATGGCCTTTAAACTTTATAGCATCTTTGTCTTTCACGCCGGTACCAAAAGCAATGGTAGAAAATTTAGAGGGATCGTGGTTGAAATGTTTTGGTCGCCAATACCCTTTTTCACTAATACAAATCATTAGTTCTCTTAAGGTGTATTAATGTACTATGTATGTACGTATGTATGTATGTATGTATGTATTACCCTAGATTGTGTATCTTTTACTTGCCTTTATCTTTCGTCGGGTGATCTTTCTTTTTCTTCCGCTTTCTTCTATTTCGTCTTATGTGTGTATGAGTACGTGTTTTCTGCCGCGATTCCCTGATATGTTTATCATTTCTCCTCTCCTCTTTGTTTTTGATTGTTTCTAAAGTGCTTATGTAACATTGATATCAACGTCTTGCTATTTCTATCTTGACTTGTAGAGTTAAGTGGTTTTTTTATTACTAAAAGATATCTTAGACACCAATACTGTTTATCTAATAAAAGAATTATAACGTCTAAAAATTAATATTTCATTTGTCCAAGTTTTTTCGAGAATAGTCTCAATCCCAAGTAAACCCTCATAGTACCTTCAACTCCATGTGACGGAGTTTGGTTGTTTATCGGGATATAAAATAAATATAATAGCGGTTTTGAAATTTCAAGAAAGACTCAAAGTGATTTATGATGCCGATGATCTAATTTAAACAACGCAATTTTGAAGATTAGAGGTTACTGTATTCTACTGTATGTTATATACATTACAAATAAATTAAATTATTTATATATATACATTTGTGTGTGTGTCTGTGTAGGTAAGCATACTAATTAATCATAGATGTAGTCATGGATATAACCCATGAATAACTTAGCACAGCTCTGGCTAGCATATATAAATGTATATATATAAATCATAGCCATGAAAGCTATTTCCAGATATGCTATATATAATTATATATTTTCATATAAATTAAATATAAAATATAAATAAATAATAAATATAAATAAATAATAAATAATAAACCTATTTTATTTATTTTTTAACCTTGAAATGAATTTGCCCAAGAGTGGGACCACGCGTGATAATACTTTTATACGCCTGCACGTGCTTGTGTCCTATTTCCCTTTCGAATTGCTTGGATTTCTTTTTTCTCTCCATCTCTCTCATCCACTTTCTTTCTCATCATGAACCCCGAATAGTAAGTGGTCAATCAGCCTTCCTTAACCCATCCTCCTCCCAAGCACAACCAAAGCCCCCAACTATCATACCACACCAGACACCTCTTCTCTACTTTTTTTTTTTTTTACTTCTCTGGTTATCGTTCTCGCTCTAGTTTTCGCTTTGCTCTGCTCTGCTCTGCCCACTATCTAGCCTCCCTTTCTTCCTTTCCAACCACCCTTCATGCACAAACACATATTATATATAAAAGAAAATAAGCATTTACTTAAACAATATTCTTCATCTCTTTTAGCGACTATCTCTTCAAGCTACTCCTTATTGGTGACTCGGGTGTAGGAAAGTCTTGCCTTTTGCTCCGTTTTGCTGATGATACCTACACTGAGAGTTACATCTCTACAATTGGTGTTGATTTTGTAAGAATGGGGGGTTTTTTTTTAAACCTATTATTGATTCTTAATTACCATTGTTCTTGATGATTAACAACAAAACCTCAATACACTATGCTACGTTGTAGAAAATCAGAACTATTGAATTGGAAGGAAAGACTGTGAAGCTCCAGATTGTAAGTACCATTTCTCTTCCTTTCTGTTATATTATATTCAGTCCAAATCCATCCGCAGTTTGATTAAATTAAATTAAATTAAATTAAATTAAATTAAATTATAAGAAAATACACAAATAACATATATACATATATACATAAATGTATACAAATATTTTTGTATATATATATAATAAAATTAACCTTGTCTATTGTCATAAATTTTATTTTTATTTCATTTTACAGTGGGACACAGCTGGCCAAGAACGTTTCCGCACCATCACGTCATCGTATTATCGTGGTGCGCACGGCATTATTGTTGTTTATGATGTTACAGACCAAGACAGTTTCAACAATGTTAAGCAGTGGATGCGTGAAATCGACCGTTATGCTGCTGAGGGTGTCAACAAATTGTTGGTAGGCAACAAGAACGACTTGACAGAGAAGAAGGTTGTTGATTACACAGCTGCAAAGGTAATTACTATTATTAAATAAATATATATATATATGTGTGTGTGTGTGCGTAAATCACATATATAGAGATTACATATAAAAAATAAAGAGCTGCCAAGATAAAGAGGGATTATTATTATTTTACTTATTTTACTTATTATAATAATTATCTTTGAAACAGGAATTCGCTGATTCCTTGTCGATTCCTCTTCTCGAAACTTCTGCCAAGAGTGCCACCAATGTCGAACAAGCCTTTTTGACAATGGCAAAGCAAATTAAGGATAGAATGGGCAGTGCGTCCGTTCAACCCCAGCAACAGAGTACAGTCAGAGTCGGTCCTGGTGCATCTGTCCAACCCGCAGCTGGTGGTGGATGTTGTTAAACTCATTTAATATTTTTTTTCCTTTCTTCTTCTCCTTCTCCTTCTTCTTCTTTTTGCATATGGTTTAGTGTGTGCTAATGCTAATGCTAATGTGTGTAGTGCGTGCAATATGTGCAGTGTGTGTAGTGTGTGTAGTATGTGTATAGCTTTTCCAAGCTCTTATTTATATTCCAATAAATTGAATCGATAAACAGTATATACATACTTCCAAGACCATGTATATATATATATATATATATATATATATACGTGTAGGTGGTGGTGGTGGTGGTGGTGTACAACCTCATTAAATTGACATATTCATTTCTGTCTTTATTCATGCCATCCAAAACTAATTAATAAAATTTAAAATAAAATAGAATAGAATAAAATAAAATAAAAACTCCATTCTATTCTATTCCCAAACAGTCACACCGGCCGGGCTAAGGAGCGATGTGGCAGAACAAGAGTGGGCTTTTATTTCATTCTAATGAATTATTAGCCTCATCCCCCCCCCCCCCCCCCCCCTCCTACCCACCCCCTTCCTTCTCTCCTCCCCTTTTTTGTAAAAAAAGAAAAAAAAATTAATAATTTATTGGTTATAATATAATATATTGTAAATTCGATTGTCTTGTCTTCTTCTCTTGTCCCCTACAACTTCTTTAATTAATAATGAACTTATTTCGTTTTGTGGCGGACCTGATGCATCTTGCATCTGTGGTCATTCTCCTACTGAAGATTAGAAGCACGCGGTCTTGTGTTGGTAAAGTATTTCGCTAATCAGTACCAATTACATCCACTTGCATACATACGTTAATGGATCATTATTCATGTATTCATAATATATACATGTACATATACATATACATATTTATATTTATATTTATATTTATATATCTGTATCTGTATCTGTATCTGTATAGGAATATCATTCAAATCCCAACTTCTTTACACCGTTGTTTTCTTGACGCGCTACCTTGACCTTGCAACCAAATATATCTCTTTATACAACACTTGCATGAAGATATTCTTCATCGGAACCTCGTTTTATGTTCTTTATCTGATGAAATTTAGATTCAAAGCAACCTATGATGCTGGTCTTGATACATTTCGTATCTGGTATTTGCTTGTTCCCTGTGCTATTCTGGCAGGTTTATCTACCAGAGAATATTCTGTACTAGAGGTAAATAAGGAGGCCTTGAATTGGTTAAGGATGAGAAGAGAAGATAGAGAAAAACAGAAAAGGTGATAAGATGTAAAAGGAAAAAAAAAGTAATAACAACAAGAACTTTGCTGCAAACAAAACAAAGAAAAATAAAACATTAGGAATGGAATCTAAATATTTATCTATAAACCTCTTTACATATTTTACAAATCTATATACAAATCTATACACACACGCACAAAAAAAAAAGACTCTTTGGACTTTCTCTCTTTGGTTGGAATCTGTAGCTATTCTTCCTCAGTTATTCATGCTACAGAGAACAGGAGAAGCTGAGACGATCACAACTCATTACTTGTTTGCATTGGGAGCGTACCGTGCACTTTATCTTTTCAACTGGATATACCGTTATGTTACAGAAGCACACATTGAATGGGTTGCACTTGTCGCAGGATTGCTCCAAACTGCATTGTACAGTGATTTCTTCTATATCTATTACACAAAGTAAGTTGTTTGGCTATCTGATCTGGCTTTGTGCGTGGATCTTTTATGCACATATATATGTATATATATTCTTTAATTGGATATTTTTATTATTCTTTATTTGTTGACTGTTTTGTGCGCATGTATATTATAGGGTTATGCGAGGAAAGAAGTTTGAACTGCCAAAGTAAGTTGAACAATAAATTTGATGCTTTCCATTTATGGAACATTCAAGAAGTACAAAAATATTAATTTACATATATATATATACATTTTAGGATGGTTTAATAGATCCCCCCTTCCTTTTTTTTTCTTTCTTTTTTGTTGGTTCCTAAAATCTGGAGCGGTTTAAAATATATACAAATATACAATACAATATGTATATCATATATCCATATACTATCAGTAGATTTCGATAGATAAAGATATTCAAATGTGTGGTAAATAATGAGGATATCGTTGGTTTGGTTTGGTTTTTAGAAATTGGCTGGTGGTTGTGGTTTATGGTTGGATAAAGAAGACCTTTTTTTAAAAAGTAATAATAATAATTCATTGTTGATTATAGCGGTAGAAGAACGTTGGTCTCGTCAATGTACTAAATAAAATACGAAGAACAAGAGAGGCTTTTGATAGAAAAGAGGTTCTGCTGTTTTGCTGTTTTGTTTTGTTTTTACAAGTATAGAAAATGTACAGAATATGAGTGAGCGAGTGAATTTGTAGATATACATAGATAATGGTTGTGATATTGGTGGTAATTGTGATGGTTATGATGGTTATGATGGTGATGATAATGCTGTAGTTTAGATAGCTTTCCCTGCCCCTTCTTCTTCAATCTTTTGCTTCTTTCTTGCTAAATATCTATCTCTTGCACTCATTGCAGATTCATCTGTGGTGCGTTTTGCTGTTGCCTTGGCTTCTAATTCCTTTTGTTTCTTCTCTTCCTCTTCCTTCTCTCGTTCTTGCTGCTCAATCATCTGGCGCTCAATCTCTCGGCTCAGTCGTTCTCGCTCATCGTGTTGTCCATGTCCGTGCTTGCGTGCCTCATACTCGGCTACCTTTTTACGCTTGTACTCCTCGTATTCGTTTTGTCTCTCGCGCACACGTTCATCTGTAGAGGCGAGCGATCCAAAGCTACCGAACTTGGGCTTGACGTTAAGACCAGCTCCCAGCAATTCTCGCTTGTCGACAATCTCATTGTTGTCATTGAGCATGACAGATTTACCCTCTCGTCGAGCCTCTTCAGCCAGTTTCACATCCCCCTCGGTATCCAATGCAGCCTTGTCAGCACCGGCCGCAGCACTACGGCTACCGCTTGACTTCTTTGCCATTGCATCCATCATATGTTTGTGGGCAGCTTCCTTTTTGTCCAAGACTTGTTTGTAAAAAGATGACATGGTTTTTGATTTCTGCATTTGTTCTACAAATCACAATAGCAATAAATAAATAAATAAAGCAAAAGATAAAAACAATATATGTTGTGCTGATCTTATTTACCTTCGCGTTCTTTTTCTTCGGCTTCAATACGCATCAATTCTTCCTTTTGCTTCTTATAACTAATTTGTTTTTTTTTATGATTCATCAAAATATGGTTACATTTTATACCAAGTCAATCTACACTGATACAGGTGCGTTCTTTAACTTACGTTTCTGTTTGAAATGCCTCCTTGTCTGCAAACTCATCTCCCTCAGCTTCTCTCTCACGTGCCACTTTTTTCTCTTCTGCCAATAATCGATCGCGTTTACGAATCTCTGCCATCTCCAATAGATTGTTGATATATCTAGCTTTCTTGGTGTCGGTTGACTTCATTGCTTCCTTTTGCTGTTTCTCGGCTTCTTTAAGATCATCATATACCGCATCATAATCAAAGATGTTTGGATCTTCTTCTAGTGCCTTTTGGTGTTCTTCTGCAATCTTTTTAGTGATCGTCTTGTAGCCCGACAACTGCTGGTTAATCGTTGTCAGATGCTGTTTTTTTTGTTGATTCTTTTTGTTTTTTGCATTACTGCCAGCCCCACGGCCCTGTTGTTCTTGTCCTTCTTCCTCGTCGTCTTCCTCATCATGCTGCGAAAACATTAAGGCTTTGTTTATAACTGGAGCAACCTTTTTTTTTGTTGTATTGAGACCGAATTTCATCTTTTGCATTGTGAATCTTTTTTTTTTGGTGTTGGGAATCTTCTTTGGTTAAAGTAAAAAAAAAAAAAATTCAAAATAAGTCTATGATATAGTTATATATATATATGATATATATATATATATGATATTAATTTTAAAAGAAAAAAAATTATAATAAAAATAATAGAAAATAATAAAAATGTGACGTTTGCATTAGGAGAGACTACTGATATCTTTCTCTTTCTCTTTGTTTCAAAACAAGATATAAGTAATAATGGCTTTTTATATTCTGCTTGTATTGTTTCAATTTTATGGATCTAATTTTGTGGTTGAATACAACAAAATTCGATTCCTTTCCTTTTCATTTGCAGTCTCTTTTAAAAAGCAACTCCAGGTTCATTCTTTATCTATAAGTCTATGATAGCTATATTCTGATTGAAAAATTGAGTGGTATTGAATGGTTGTTGGATAAATACATGTATACACATATCTTTACTCTTAAATTTATGCATATGTCTATATGTATAAGCGTGTGTTAGAAACCAAATTTTATTTGATAAAAAAAGTTTGTGCATTTGGTATGGACAGACTAAAAAGTTGAAAAAACAAAAGTGTGGACAACCATAAATCAATATGATTGGCTAATTTCATATTGAACTTTGTTTTTGAACCTTTTAGTCTGACCATACCAATGTATGGCTAGTTTAATAGTTCTGCCATAATTATATATATGTTGTATTGTATAATTCCAAGAATTTTTTATGCTACAAGTATGGAAGCTGTGATAGTACGCGTAATTACTATATATAGATAAAGCTTCTAGTCCGATTCGGGTGTTCAATTAGTTTTTTTTTTTTTTAAAAAAAAATCCCTTTTTTGTTGGACTCGTCCGAGAAGGTTTTTTTTTTTTAATTGTTTTGTCCTCCCCATCACTACTCTACACTATTTCCGGAAATTTTTGGTGCACTAACAAAAATCAGTTTAGTGCACACTCCGAAATGTAGTTTGATGCATTTTTAATTCTTTTTTCATCATAAGTTTTCTTTATTCTATGGACCATGATATATTTTATAGAATTTAGACGATATGAGTTCGTTAAAGGTCTTGAAAAGAAACTTATTGTTTTTATTGGAGATTTGTAACTGGTGGGTATGTAAATATAAGCGATCCTTATAATGATGAGAGAGAGAGAGAGCGTATAATAATACTCGTGGATAAAGTAGGTAATTGGCAGGGTGATAACCCTGGCATTAAAATGACAAGATAAAAGACTTAGTGCGTCCACTCTCAAATCGAACATTTCTTGAATTAATTTGGAACAACCCTTCAAACTTCAATTGGAACAACCCTTCAAACTTCAATTGGAACAGATTGTGAATTCAATTCAAACACTTTTTTGAAGTTAGGATAAAATATTTTGTTTAAGTAGTTCCCAAAATGATTTTTAGAGCGTTGAGTAATGTCGACAAGGTGAGATAAAAGGACATCCTTACATGCTTCAGTTGATATTTGTGCGAGCGTTTCAGACTCCACAAACTAGGTACGCTTAATTATATCCCAGAATTGTTCAATTGGAGAGTATGGAGGAAGATGTACGCATTTATAGTCTTTGTTTCTATTTTCTACCATCTGGTTTACTTTACTCGATGAATGGATTTGAAGCGTGATCCATGGTAAGGTAAAAAAAACTTTCATTTCAAGATATCTGTCCATGATGTCCAACGTCTCTTTGATAAAATGAAGATAATGGTCAGTTTTCGTACCTTTCTTTTGGGGAGCTTTAGCTGAGACAGCTTTTCTTTTTTCTTTTTTTTTACCATCTTGGATCTTATTTTTTTAGGTGGCATAGGTACTCTCATAGTTATATTAACAACACCTATGGTCGAAATTGCTGCAATCACATTATGAAATGGTGCTCCAGTACTTGCAGTAGGGATTATAGCTTCGGTGCCCTATTGTTATTATTTCTAATACTAATATCAATCAATGCATTTATTTATGTGAAAAGTATGGTGGCCTAACATTATCTTTTTTTTTTATTTGTTTTGGCTTTATAGGTTATTGTAGGTATTTTTTAGACTTTGAGCATTTGTATAGTTTTTCTTTTTTTTTAAAAAAAACAGCCTCTTGTCTTTTACCAAAACAAATTTTCCGATTCATCCTTTTGTTTTCAGTCGTGTATTTTTCAATGAACTTCTTTGTCCATTCCATGTCTGTCATTCTTTTTTTCCGGCTCAATTTCTCTAAGAGGATTTTTATGACTGCTACTACTACTACTATTACTTACTTCTACCACTTCTTGTAGTAAAGCCAACGGCTCCGGCATAGTTGAGCTTGATGGTTGTGAGTAAAGTAAACCATTATCAGCGTACAAACGTGCTCGCTTTACATCGCCATCTTTTTCTAAAGCGTCTAATATTCGTTTAAACTGGTCGCGGTTATTGTTACAAACACTTAATAATACGTCAACAGTTGTTTTTTTCGTTGTGGACTTCATGGTCAAGGGTTCCTTTCATAATACTGTATACCATTTGAACAGTTGGATCGTTTCTATGTTCTAAGCCAAGTAGGAATATTTGTTGTTTAGTCAATACATAAGATAATGCAACCATTGGCAGTAAAGGCGTTTCAAGGGAAGATGCAATAGTTGCTTCCTTAATAAACTAATGAGCTTGAGCTCATTCGTCGCTTGGTAACCTTTTTATGAATGGTACTTTGTCTGTTTCAGTGAGCTTTTTTGTTTTTTTAGTTATTTCTCTCCTTGCTGTATTGAGGCATATTGTTAAAGCAATTGGCTCAACCTGGTATTTGTCAAAGATGTACCCACAATATTTAATAAGGCGACGGACGGACGGTTTGTCCATAACATTTTGTATTTCAATTATTACAGATGGGAAATCGTCTGTTGATGAAGTAACTGGGGTATACAGAACGTCGGCATGACGACCATCAATCCATTCGCACAGACTAGAAATGTAATGGTCAATCGCATCTTCACCAATGAGTGTTGTGAGTATTAAGTTCATAACTCTTGAGCTTTGGAGTATTGACTTGGTCATTAAATTTGTGCCGGGTCGATGATTTTATGGAGTGTGAGCCTGGTATACAGTGGAAGGAGGTTTTGGAAAAATTCCTTGGCCATCTGCTTCCATTTATTTTATTTTAACAAAACGATTTAAAACAATTAGTTACACATCGATGTATAATATTTATTCTTACCTCGGCAGCCGGGTTGATTTTATTGTAAAAATCGGCCAACCCCTGATCTGAGGTGGCCAGAACATCTCTCATATCCATCATGAACTGGAGTTCAAAATGAATTGCATATTGCATGTCGTTCAAGGAAGCAGGGAGCATACCCATCTCAACCATCTACTCAGGGATGGATTTTCATCTGCAAAAAAAAACAACCTCAAATGTTCTTCAGGCTGTGCACACATATAGGAAGTTAATATATTAAGCTAAGCGCATTTTTTTTTTGAAAAAAAAATTAACAAAAATTGTTTACAATGCAAAAAAAAACACATATAAATGTTTTTCTTAAAAAACTTTGCACACGAACAAAGTGGAGGAGACAAAGGAGCAGTAACATGTTTATCCGGGCAGCCACCCTTGCATCTTACAAGGTAGCGCAGGAAGGAATCGGCCAACTGGGGAACAAAATCTACTCACTTGTTGTAAAGAGTTCTTTGCTTTGACCCATTTACTTCGTAGGTGCCATGCTCGAAATGGCCATCCAAGTCACGACGATAAGCAGCATTACTCTCAAAATGGTTCGATGTAGAAGCTGCGTCTGTGGTTTTTGCTCGCTTTGTACGTAGGTAGATGTAGCTTACGTTTGGGATGACACGTTCAGGCTCAGGAATAGGGGTCCTTTCGATTTCTGTGAAAGCCAAACCCCCTGACTGAAGTTTCAGAAGCAAAGGGTACTAATCTGCTTCCTGCTGCCATTCGTTTTTTTCATCCTGCGAATAGTGTGTTTGCTATGTCTATACATGTTTAGTTTGCTTGTTAAATTTAATAAGAATAGAGAGTGAAGGATTATGAAGCACTAGATGCAATCTAATATTGTTAACTAATTGCGTCACTAAAGTAAGTGAGCTGCTTTGTAGAGCTCATGAGCTCTTAATAGCTGTAGAGAATCACATGATAACACTAAAAAGACTGCCTTTTCAATTCGAAAAAAGAAAAAAAAAACAAAAACCTATACAATTCACAAATGTGTCCTACTAATTTGGCAGAGGAATTTTACATTTTGTGAAAATCTATGGTTCTTCCAGATTTGTGTGGTGTTTGTAGGGCATGTTTTAACAAAACCGTGGTTTTAAGATTTTCTTATGATTTTAGCGCCGCTTCGAGTTATACCGAGTGGTTTCCCCTGCAAATTCGCGCGTAAAACTACTTGGTAGAATTAACATTTTTCGGAAAGTAATTCATGATTTTTTGGTGTATAATTGCTATATTTAGATAAAACTTTTTTATCACATAATTTTGAATTATACCGAGACTGCTGAAGAGCACCTTAAAAGTCCAGTATAAATAAATAAATAAATAAATATTTGTGTGCGTGTGATAGAGAGAGAGCTAGTGCATATATATATACACACACTGTCTAAATATTTAAATTATATTTTGATATATTTTGTGCTTCCTATACACAGAAACACAATTCAATAAATTTATATATAAAAAGGCATGTTGTTCCAGAATTCACAGAAAGAATAAAAATGAATATCCACGAAGAGGTTAAATTTGATGATAATTATTATATATAAATAAATAAATATAAAATCGAAACAAGGTTTTATCTAGTGTTACATGGACTGCCTTGTACAATCGATTGGCGAGGACGTGCTCTACCCACCGTGGTTTTCATTTGCGGGACCACCAGAAATAAATAAATAAGTAAAAAAAAATGAATGCAAAAAGTTGAATAGATTTACCATTTTGCCCATCATCATCGGCATCGGCATTTGTATACCAATCACTCGATATTAATACTTATATAAATCAAGAGAGGTAAAAGCGCAATAGACAAGTGTTTTAAAAAAAAAACTCGAAATTCAATTGAATTCAATTATAGAGAGGAGATTAAATAATTATATAGTGCAAAAAAAAAGAAAAAAAAAGTTACATATTGTGGAAATCGAGTTTAAAGAAGCTCCATTCCTTTCCGATCATTAGTTAGCTAACTAGTAAGTTATATTGACAAGTATTTATTCAAGTCAATAAATTACCAGGGATTTTTACAATAATTTGAAATAGAATCTGGTATCAAAATATTTTAGCTTCTTTTCTATACAATATTCTAAACAAAAAGGTACTTCTTTGGTACATGTGAAGGAAAATAAGCTAAAGCTATTCTTAGATTCCCATTTTTTATTTTATATTTTATTTTATTTGAGATCAAGAATGTAGGGCAAGATGCATGTATATATATTATTTCTAGTCTACATAGGACTGTTTAATATTCACTGTATTTACTGTATTCATTCAGCTTAATCATAGTCGGACAGAAAGGATATTAATAATATAAACGTGTATGTGTTCATTTCCTTTAAAAATATATAATAATTACTATTACTGTTGGTATTAGTATCAGTATTTTTATATTATTATTCAGAAGCACGCTATCCTTGGACAACTTTGGCCATGTCCAATCGGCTAACGAAAACACGGCTTCGTTTTGTCCTTTTTTTTTCTGACAGGGTTCAAAAAAAAAAGGATATTCGAAATTATTTTATATGTAGTATAAATTAAACATGTTACACTAATGTTCTCGACAACTGGGAAAGAAAATTTCCTCATAATTGACTGGTTCCAAAAATATATATATATAAAAAAAAATTGAAGACGAAAGAACCGAAAAAGAAACGAAGTTAAGATCATCTTTAATTGCACATGTAATATAATATAATATTTTATATTGTGAAGAAATAAAAACAACTATAAAGAACGAAGAAGAAAAGCTAAATAAATTTAACTAGTAAAATCATATTTCTCTCTCTTTCTTCTCTCTTTCTTATCCACCCCCCCCCCCCCTACTCTATCAATTAACATAATATGGCCGGCCTTCCTGATTTCATGACAAACCCCAACGCTGTCCTCAACGACAAGGACCACGAATGGCGTTACAACCGTGTACCTGACTACACAAAGGTCAACGCTGCCTTTGAAGCCGGTAAGAATCATTTTCTTGGCAATTAGACTTTTTCAACAAAGTTTATATACAGCATATAATTGCATATCCAGAACTATTCTTTTCTTTCTTATTAAATGGTATATAAAACTTTAATTAATCACCTTTTGGTATTTTACTTTTCTCTTCTGTAAAATAGAAAAGTCAAAGGAGCATCCCGAAGGATCCCTCGAGAGCCTTGTCTCCAACCTCGTAAAGGTAAAAATTATTTGAATAATTAGTCTTAAAAAGTAAAGAAAAAAATAAAACAAGTAGTTGACATGTAATATTTGTCTGTAGAACTGGGAAAAGGAAGTTTCTTACAAGCTTCGTGCCGACCAAATCCGCACCATTGATCACACCAAGTACAGATTCTCTGTCAACGGAAAGGAATGGCACGATGTTGAAGACATGCTCAAGGTAAATAAATAAGTGCAGTGTTATCTATCAACCAATTACTTTTTTGTATTAAATCCTTTTGTTATATAAAGATTGGTACCTACAACGCTCTTATTGGTGACACTGAGCTTTACAAGGCTAGCGAGAGTGACTTTAGCGATTCCCACAAGCTTTTCAAGCGTTGTCTCCGCACCTTTTCCTGGGAAGTTCTCGAGGTTTACAGTGGTCCTCCCACTGTTGCCTTCAAGTGGCGGTAATTATTTTTTTTTCTTTTTTCTTTTATTTTACTTTAATTGATTAATATAATATATTGTCACAAAGAGCAATAACACCAAAATAGATAAATAGATAAATAGATAGATAGATAGATGTTTGGAATAAAATTTGGTTTCATAAAGCTCACGATTGATATACTTGATAACCATTGCTCACTATCATTCTCATTATTTATAGCCACTGGGGTACTATGACTGGTGATCTGTCAGTCAAGCTTGGTAATGGAAAGAAGCTTGAGGCTCCTGCTTCCAACGAGGTTGTCCAGACCTTTGGTATTACCGTTGCCAAAGTCAATGACAAATTCGAGATTGAACAGGTAAAAATAAATAAAGAATAGTAAATTACCTTGTGGTTGGGTTGGGATACAATTTTCTTATATATTTATTTATTTATTTTTACTTGATTTCTGATACACACAAATGCACGATTACTAATTTTCTATCTATAAATTCATTCATAAATTATTATTATTACTACTTTTGACAGCTCGAGACCTTCTATGATCCCAACGACTTGATGAAGCAGTTGGCTAAGAACAAAAAGACCGAAGAGGGAGAGCAGGCTGTCCAGTCATCCGGTTCAAAGTGTCCTTTTGCTGCCTAAAAGTAGAAAAAGAGAGATAGAGAAGAAACAAAATAAAGCTCTGTGCTCAATATCATTCATTGATGAGCCTCTATGTATCAATACCAAAATATCTTGCAATATATATTACACACTTATTTGAAAAATATACTTGTATTCAAAATGTGCTTATCTCTCTAGTATCTGTGCACACTTTTCTGTGCGACTATGGGTTATAGTTTGAAGAAGGTTCTTACAAATAGAATATAAAGAATATATATATATATATATAAATAAAAAGAGTATAAATAGGCTAAACTGTACATATTAGCACTATGCGCTGGTATGAGTATGAGTATGAGCATGAGTATGAGCATGAGCATGAGTATGGGTATGAGTATGTATATGAATGTGAATGTGAATGTGGGTTTGGATTTGTGCCTTTGAGTACCTGTATTTCTTTTTCTCTATATGTTTTACAGAGACAGATATTTATATATGTATGTATGTATGTATGTATGTATGTATTTTATTTTATTTTATTTTATTTAACGCTTTTTAAAACGGTACAATATATAACGTCTTATCAATGCTTCAAGCCTAAATATTTGTCTCGTTCAATTTGTGCTGGGGTCTTATTATTATCATTAGTATTATTGTTATAGTTTATATTATTGTTATTCACATTCGTAGTCGAAGTAGCATTAATAGTAGTAGTAGTAGTAGTGGGAATGGGAGTTGTCGCCGTATTCGTATTCGTATTCGTATTCGTGTTCGTGTTCGTGTTCGCAGTCCAAGGAGCTGATCCGCGCGGCTGTCGTCGTTGATTGCGTAAATTTTCTTCATCATTGGCCACGCCAGTCTTTTTTCCAGCTTCTTGTATCCTTGCCCGTTCAGCAAGAACTAACCCGCTAGGTTTGATTTCTTCAAATCTTTTTACCACAGATGGTTGAACAATCTGCTTCTTTTTTTCCGGCACTTTTACGGGTGGATCATCACAAGCTGGTATCATTGTTTGGACTGTAGATGACGAAAATGACACGGTTGGTGTCGGTCCTTGCACAACCACATCTTCATCCATAAAACCTATTGGCATCAATGGTCGCCGTCTTGGCTGATGTAGCTGCTGCTGCTGTGGTTGCTGCTGCTGCTGTGGTTGCTGCCCTCTCAAAGAAAGCGATACAAGATGTTGGTTCTGTAACCGAGGATTGATACTTCCAACAGGGGAAAATCCTGGGCGGAATGTGCTGCCTGTGTCTGAAGAGTTTAGGCTGGACAATGAACCACTTTCTTTTACGTTACTTGCGTTCCAGGTGGCCTGAAGCATTCTTCGGATAGTGTCTACATTACCACTGACTGGTCTTGCAGTCGTGCCCGGGGACAGACTTCCAAATGGACTTGTGTTGTTGCTTGTTTCGGTACGGTTATTTCCACGTATAAGAATATTACGTGATACCGGCAAAGTACTCGAGGCCAGCTCATTACTGCTTCGGTTTGTATTGTTGTTGCTAGTGGTCGTATTTATGGCGGTAGTGATGTTGTTACCATTTGTGCTGCAGTTGCCGCTCATGCCTTGAGACCCAGTCTGATCGCCAAGTCTGGTCTGTTCTTCAGATGCAGGGGTGTTGGTGTGGGTATAGGTGGGAGCAGGGGTTATAGCTGTAGATTGGTCTGGAGATTGGGCTAGAGATGGGGCCGAGGATAGACGAGCAGCGGCCATGTGAGTTTGTATCGACACCGAAGGTGACAGTTCTATCTTTTGGCTTTCTTGCTCAACAGTGTCAAAGATAGCCTTCAGAGAACGTACACCCTGGACTGATGTGTGCGCTGTAGTGGGAATCTGACTGGTGCGACCAAGTGTGGCTCGTTTTGAGAGCCGGCGACATGGTACGGCTATTGGAAGAGGAATCTTGGGTTTTTCCTCTGTATGGAAAGTAGAAGACCTTCCAGAGACTGTGGCTGACCCAGAGTGAACATATCGACGTCCTAGTAGTTGTGGTGGTGATGGTGTTGAGGATGACGATTTATATTGCTGCTGTTGCTGCTGTTGTTGAGCTAAGCTGGCGCCAAACATCACATGACTGATGTTCGAGAGCTCTCCAGAACTAGACGAACTACGAGATGAGACACTAGCGGCTGAAGAATATCCAAAGTCTTGGGAGTGGAACAGAGCAGAGTCGGGGGCGTGTAACTGTGATTGTGATTGGAATTGGGATTGTGCGTGTGAGTGGGATCCTACACTTCCACGATGTTTGGCTGCACTTGCTGCTGCAGAGTGGCGATCGTCAGCTACGATACTATCTCTCACTAGTCTGTGGGCAGACCCGGGTGTGATGGGAATATTGTCCAGAGCATGGGTCGTTCTGCTCCGTACACTAAAATAATCCATGTCACTTCCTGTTCTGTACATTGATTGAGTTAAAGACGCTGCGTGGTTTGAGGCCTCTGTGGGGGTTGTGTGGACCGCAGCATAGAGAACGTCTCGGTTTGTCACGATAGAGTGAGGCTTCACTTTTCGCGTTGCATGTCTGGAAACGTTGTGTGCACTAGTGATCGATGGTCCAGGCCCACTTTGGGCTGCATTGTTGCTGGCTGAAATACTTTGTAGTGGATGGTGGAGTCCAGATCCACCACCACCGCTACCATTGATACTGATACTAAGACTATTGCTACTTCCTTTGGACCAATCAGGTACTGTGAGTTTGAATCCATCGGAAATTGGTGAAGTGCTAGGAGAATAATAAGGGACAGTCGGCAGGTTGAAAATACTTGTTTCACTCAAGAGAGTGCATGCTTCAGGGCTGCCGATTATTAAAGAGTGAGTGTCGGCGTGAATTTGATTGTCGCACATTGATTCTCCTGAAGACTGAAAGCTTCTTGCTGTTGAAGGACGTGGCAATCGACTATGGCGAGCTGGTGGGACAGTATCTTTCTTTGTTATTGATGCTAATGTAGTTGCTGTTCCTACAGCTGTAGCTGTTGACGTTGATGTTGCTATTGCTGACGATGATGATGATGCCGTGGATGTTGACGAGGATGATGATGATGCATCAAATAATTGACTGACAGGGATAGAAGACGCTTTGGTAGATTTTTTACGACGCAGGGATTGACGCAGTGTGGATCGAAGGGTTGCGGTTTTTTGCTGAAATGTAGAATAAAAGAATTGCTGCTGCTGTTGTTTTTGCTGTTTCTTTTCTTCTACGGTGATTGATACAAACCCTTGCGCTGGCTTTATTGCCAAAGGCGACGATGGTGATGGCGATAATGATAGTGAATGTTCGGTGTGGATAATGTATTTTGCAAACATATCATTAGCTTCATCAGAATTTAATTCCATTTTATCTGAGAAAAAGGAAGTTGCCGGAGGTGGGAAGGGGAGGGCGATCATGTTGTCTTTTGATATTTTTTCCATCTTTGATTGTTGTGATAGTGATGGCAATGGTGCGACTGTTGTAGTTGATGTTGTTTCTTTTTCTACTGGTAGTGGTGGCAGTGGTGCTTCTACTTCTACTTTTTCTGCCGACTGTTGTGCTGTTTTTGCTGCTGTGGATACTATTATAATTGCATTTGGATCTTCCTCTTCCACTCTGGACACAATGCTTGCAGATTTTTTGGTTATTTCAAGGAATGATCCTGAGGCATTCAAGGTTGGTGAGAGTACAGAAGAAGACATTGTGATGTTGTTTCGATATTTTTCTGGGTAAGCATCACTTGTACGAATGTCTCTTGGGCTGTTGGAGGCTGTGGACGACTCTATTGAAGTTTGTTTTTCGAACGACATGTCCGCTCCCACGGCTCTTGGTCTTCTAAGTCGTTTTCGAATGACATAGTATCCAAATGAAAAGGCCACGAGAGACAGTATTATTGTCAATAGAAGGATTGTCCAAATCGGAAAGCTTGATTTGGACATTATTGATTGATCTGGTTGTAAGTTTCTAATGAGCTTGATTTTAGTTAGTTTTTTTTTGCTTTTTTTTTTTGCTTTTTAGCTTTTTGTTTTGTTTTGTAGTAGAAGAGATGAAAAGAATTTAATTTAATTTTAATACCTACAAGGATAAGTAAGGTCGATATCTTGGTGTGCTGGTGTGCTGTTGTGTTGGTGTGTTGGCGTATTGGTATGTGGGCTAATAAGCTTGTAGACAGATATGTAGGTATGTATATATGTATATATGTAGATAGATGGGGTAGATCTGTCGATGAGAACAAAGGTAAAGCTATTGTGAAATATAATATTATTATTTTTTGAGATCTAAAGATTGATTTTTAGTTGCATTCGCTCATAAATTGATGAAAATAGGTTGATAAGAGAGAAAGGACGCATTCAAAAGTCAAATCAAGGGGCATTTTAAAAAAACTAGTAGGGACCTCAGGAGGTAGGGATAGAGTAGCGTCGTAAATTGGCAGCAATGCAGAATCTCAAAAACGACATTAACACACACACACACAGAGAGAGGAAGAAAGGCAGAAAAAGAAAAATAGACTATTAGGCCACTGGGGGTTGTCTTTTTCTTTTTTACAATAGGAGTCAGATTACAATTGTTCTCAAGGAGTTGCTTACAATATTTCTTCTTCTTCTTCTTAGTTCTGAGTGATTGTACAAGATACGTTATGTTTTGTTAAGATTGGTTTGTAGATACAGTATAATATAGTATATATATACAATTTGCACTCATTTACACACACATACAGAGAGAGAGAGATTAACCTTTATTTATTTATATATTGTATTGTATTTTATTATGATGTACTGCCTTGTGTCTAACTTTGGCGGATAGTATTTTTACAATCGTCCACCTATATTAATGACGTGCATGCTTGTAAAACAAATAGGAGAGGATGTGTTAAAATAATAAGAAAGTATATCTCATTAACACAAAATATCTAGAAATGAACTGCTGGCTATGATAAAGAGTTCATAAGAAATACATATCTTTTATAATCTCACAAGACAGCCATTTGATACTAAACCTTTTCTTTCTCTCTCTCTCTCTCTTTCTCTCTTTTTCTTTTGATCTACAAAGTGCAATATTGGCCAATAACTCATTACATACTTTATACTAAAATAATTTAATTTACGTTGCCATAGGTTAGCATTCGTTGCTACAGGTTACTTTAATTTACCAGTAAACATTGATTTGTTTTTGTCAAATATAATATAATACAATACAGGGTAAATGCTTTATTGCTTATTAATTAACTATTTTTATTTGGATGATCTGTAGAAGCTCAACATTTTGCGCAATTGATTTCTTTAAGTCATTCAAGATGGACTGCAGAATTATGCAGTATACATATGTATATATATGTGTGTGTCTGTGTGTATCTGTGTGTACATATGTACATTAGACGATAAATAGATGGCAAGAATGACTGTATGGTATATCAGTGGTGGCAAAGCCGAAAAAAAACCAGACCAAACAAAATTAAACCAAACTAAAACAAAGCAAAACACAGTACAATACAATACAGTTGAATAGAATAGAATAGAATAGAATAAAATAGCAAATATGTATATATTTGATTCGATATTATTCCAAATAGCCTTTTTAACGATATATATACTTATTAAGTCTAGAAAAAAGAATCTAGAGGAGGGAAATTCCATATGTAAATAAAAAATCCAAAGAATAAGGCTATTTTATTCTTATTTATTTGATTATTTGTGTGTATACCTAATATATATATATATATACATACAAGTGTAGCTATATTGACATGTTGTCAGTGCGAGAACACGACTATGGTGTGTTTAGGTATTCAAATCTAAATCCAAATCCAAATACTTTATTTTGATTGGCCCGTCCTGACCAGTTTTGGATTAATTTCTATGTAAAAAGAAAAAGAAACAAAGGCACGGAATTGTGTGAGTCTAATAAATACTAATGTTCTCATTTTAGTGCCAATATATATATATATATATATATATGTGTGTGTGTGTGTGTGTGTGTTGTCCATTGTTCGATCATTTTGTTTGATCTAAATACCATCAAGTCAAATATCAAATGATTTACTTTGAGAATTCAAGGTGATGACGGTTAAGCTACAAAAGGTAATATGAAATAAACCCTGATTTGTGGCTATATTTTGTTTTTTAGCGAAACAAAGAAAGTTTTGTTATAAAACCAACCCTAACAATAAAATATTAAAATAATAATGAAAAAATAATATGTACATATATATATATCTTTATCTATATACATGCATGCAAGTAGTTACATATACATATATGCTTGTTGTTGTTATGGTTACAGCAATATCAGACTCAAATAAATAAATAAATAAATAAATATATTCGATAGATAAATATCTCCTTAAAAATAAGTATCTATGGTGATTCTTTTATTTTATTTTATTTTATTCACAATTCAAAATGCAAAATCAATTATCATTTAAGACTTTCTTTATGATATCGTTTATTTTTTGTAAAAAAAAAAAGGGGGGCTTGGATTATGGTAATTGATATTTGACTTTGATACATTTTGTATATACATTCAAGCAATCTTTCTTCAAGACATCTTCCCACAATATACATATATACACGACAGACACATAAAGAGAAAATACTTCAATTTGATATATATATAATGACAATTAACCAAAAGACAAATTCTTTTTATCCTCCCTGAAACGGCAAACAAAAAAAAAAACAGGGAAAATATGATTTCACCCTGCTGTTGTCAATCAAAGACATTCTATTATTTTGCTTTCGTCCCAACTATACCGTACATTGAGACCCAAAACAGTGGATCAACAATAAGATAGGCTAATTCGTATTATTAATACATATATATATATGATTTCTCTAAACCTTGAGTGAATTGACTATTTTTTTTTAAATAGACGAATAGAGATGAGCGAATCAAATGAGTTTTTAATATTTTTTTTTTACAAAGAGCGATTGTGTGAAAGAGAGAAAAAATTATTATTATTTTTAATGAGCGAAAAAAAAATTAATCCAAAAATCAGAGTCATAATAAGGAGTAACAATAACCGTAATCAGCTATCAATGTAAAAGAGAAAAAAAGGTGTAGAAAAGAGTATAGGGCAGATAAAAGCAACAGCTATATGAATTTTTCAATAATATTTGACTGTAGGCTCTTATAATCTATAAACTTTTAGCTTCATACCACTAAAAAAAAAACAATGAAACCCGATATTAAATAAATAATGGCGTTAATTTGTCAGGTCGCTAATCCCTGTACTGTAAGTTTAAATTCAAAACAAAAAATAGAAGATAAATATATGCCATGATATTTGTAGTAGCTTATTATTATTTTTTTAAAGAAATAAGGAAACATTCAATACATTCATATCACTCGAGCAAATACCACAAGTTCTTCTAATAAATAATATTAAATATATTGCTCCGATAAAACCATCTTTGTCTCACCATTATGTGATCAATATCGGAAATGTTTAAGCGGACATTAAGTTCGTAGCTTACGCAGTCTATCGTATCCTACGCGTTCCCGTCCTCAAGATCTAAGTATCTTATTTTTTTAATCATTTAATAAAAATGAAAATAAAGTAATAATTTTAATGTGATGTTATTGTAAAATGTCAATTTTATCATCGTATTATTTCACAAATGAAATTTTGTAAAGTCTATTTCTTGTAATGATATTTTAATTGCTGGATTTTGTTACATGGTTTTGTGATATTGCTGACTATATTATATGCTGGTAGAGTATATGTGTTTAGTGTAATGTAGTGCGTGAGTATTTTGTTGTATAAATGTAAATATAGACCAACATGTACATGTACATATGTATGCACGCAGGTATGTCGATATGTGCTTATTGTGTATAATTCTATCTTCTCAGGCCTTTCCCACCCAATTTCCGCCTGTTCACTTTGAAAAGCATGCAATAATATTATACACATATATTTGGTTATTGTAAAGAAAAAACCTTTTTTTTTTTACCAACCAAAATAATAATAATCAGATTTGCAAATCATTTGAAAAGATCCAAGAATCGTAATTCTTTCAAAAGTGAGTAGATTTTTCTTTTATCTACATCGATCTACTTGTCCTAAAAGGGTGGTCCAGATCTTCAATCTAATACGATATAGATACATACAAATGTTATATATATATATATGTCAAGACAGGCAATTTTCAAATTCACAAGACAATATATATATATCACATCATATACATATATATTTTGGAATGACAGTTTACAAAATAAATATATGGGTTTTTAATACAAAATGCAGATAATGTACAAAAAAATATTTGACAAGTATTGTTAAAATCTTGTATGTATAAGCCATAGTAATGTGTGCTGCGGGCTATTCGCTTTACAAAGTAGAACAAGAAGTTAAAATGAAAGAAAGGCTGACACAATTTTTTTTTACATTCTATACTTTTATAGATCTATTTATTTATTTATTTATTTATGTACTTGTATATTTTTATACTTTTATATGGACAATGATAGAGGAGGTAGACCTAACCTACAAGTGAGTCTTTATATTATTAAGCCAAGAAATAGACAACCTCTGCCTTTTTGGGTTACTACTACTATTGCTATTATTACTGCCACAACCACTGCCACCACATCTACCACTGACACTTCGACTATCACTACATTTACCACTACCACTGCGATTACCACAGCTATTACTTTCTGAATTCAATGACTGTGTGGGTTGATTCGATACTGGCTCCATCATTTGATCTTCACACTCGCTCTTGGAATATGTATCAGTCACACTACCTGTCACATAGTGAGGTTCTGATTTTCTCGTTTTCTTGATAATTCGATTTTTTATACGTGTCCACATTGGATTGTCTTGAGTAGTAGGAATTGGGCGTGAGGAAGAAGGAAAAGGAGAAAGAGATGTCGAGGCATTATTGGCGTATTCAAACTCTGGATTGGGAATCATTAAGGCATCTTGATTAGAATGAGACTGTGTTGTTAGAGTTGTGGATGGATTGATGGGATCAACGGTCTGAGTCGACCTGTTGTCGTTGGTATTCCGCCTATGTCGTGACACACCGGCCACGATAGAAGGGATGTATGGGCTAGAGGAGAATTCATCGGTTGAGACAACCGTAATAATCGAAAATGGTGACGAATGGGGAGCTGTTGGAGAGGCATCCAATGGGGTTGACACACTGAATGAATCTGTACTATCATTTGTCACACAGGACGATAAGGAACAATGTACTGGCCTAACTAGTGGGTCTTTTGATGCCATTCTTATGCTGCTGCTGTTGATGATGATGAAGGCTGTGGTTGTTATATAAAAAGTAAAATCAAATAAAAAGAATATGATAGGAAGAAGAAAGTTTAGAAAGCAAGACTTTACTGATGGTCTTTTTGTATCTATTTTCTCTCTCTCTCTCTCTTTGTATTCTTCTTCTTTAGTCATGTATATATATTTAAATAAATAAAAAAAGGTCTATTTTATCTCTGACCAAGCGATCTACCTGTAGATTTCTTTTCTTCTTCTTTCATATTTTATACATAAATATATATTAATGAGAAATGCTTTTGAAATTTTCGATCATCCTTTTACCTTGTTGTTTATAAATCATATCGTGAGTAAAGGCCACTTAAAAATACAAGGACAAGTACAAATATAGATATAGATATAGATACCGTATATGTATATAATAATAAAATAAAATGACCATTACTTGAACGGGGTGTTCGCGTAACAAACACTGTTGTCCGTACATCCCCCAATTCATATATATATATATACTTTTGGTTTTCTTTTTTTTTCTCGGCCTACATCATGGCCCTTGGACTATTTGTCATTGTCATTCGAAGATGGAATTCAACAAAATTGATTCACGGTCCATATCAATCCTATAACCAACTTGCAGAATACGTATGTGTAAAAAAAAGAAAGGAGGAAGAAAGGGAAACAAATAAAATAAAGAGATAAAGGCTGTTCAAGGTCATTCAGTTTCAAACCTCATTGCTACTCGCGCTCATTTATTTCAATATATATAAATGTGCGCGTGCGTATGTGTATGTGTATGTGTATGTGTATGTGTATAATAGCTTCCCGAAGAAACATTTAATGAACGTATGGCAGTTATTCAAGAACTCACCCACAGAACGTATCCGCATTTGTGGCCGAATACTTTACTGTTTGCCGGGTCAGTAGCACTAGTAGTATTCGCTGCTGTGTTTGCCGTGGTTGCAAATGCTATTAGACTTTCATTGTGGTATCCGCTTCTTATTCTTATTGTCCCCGGGATTATGGGATTTTGGTCCTCCCGTAGAAGATCAAGACATCCTGAAAGAGTTGAACAGGTATAAAAAAAAAGGAAATTAAAAATTTACTCCTTATTATTCGAGCTTAATTATCATGTATACACACACACATGCATATATTATCAATTAAGAATCATCATTTCCTTATTCTTTTTCTTATCTAGTACCATAATGAACTTAAAGACTGCCTAAAGATTATGTCTTTTGAAGACTATGGCCGACAGATAAAGTGGGGATTCCGGCGTTTGCGAGAAAGTGACAACATACAGGAGTTGTGCCTTGGAACATCACCCAAGACTTGGAACATTGATTTAGTAATTGAGGTAATTCAAATCGACCCAGAAGCAACTGTGAATCAGGATATTGGCGAAGCACTTCCCCTCTACGGTTTAGTTGCTCAGGATGTTGTTCTGGAGATTGGTCCTGCAATGCAAGAATATGGCCCTGGTAGTGGACCCATCGATGCCTTACCGGACTATCATCCCGGCGAGACCCATGTTTCTCTTCCCAACCAGAGACAACGCCAAGTAGATGACAGCGAAGGACCAGACAATGTCTTACCAATGTCCATAATACCATCCGAAGCACCACCAGACTATAGTCACCAAAACCAGAATCATAATAATGATAGCAATAACAATAGCAATAGTAGTAGCAATAGTAATCACAATAATAATTATAATCATAATCATCGAGAAAACAATATCAGAATGGAGGAAATGGCTTCACGGGCATCTTCATATGACAGTAGACAACCGCTACGAGCACATACTACCAGAGAAAATAGCGACAGATCTGAATGAATAATCCTACTGGGCCTTGACTTGGTTTGGCTTGGTTGTTTTGTTCATTATAATGTATCCCTTATTTCTTATCTCTAATCTCTTCATCCTTATTACGTATTCCTTATTCTACACTTAATAGCTTTATCTTGTATTTCTATTTTCTTAAGCCCAAAAAACAAACAAACAAAACGCCAAAAAATAGCATTACCTTATAGAGTACTTATAACATTACTCTTTGCTTCAAAATCCCCTGTTGCTGGTTTTTATTGCTATAATTGTAAACACTGTATCATATCGTTTCTGCTCAGAATATTGTTAAAGAGAATAACAATAACTAATTAATTAATAATAATAATATTATACCTTTATTTTTCTTATAGTAATATGTGCATTACAGAAGACATATTCTCGCCTGTACAAAAGCTCATACTCTTATTGGATAGAGCACGTTTGGGATTAATTGAAAATATGTACTGAAATCAATAGATATCAAAAAATAGAAAAAAAATTCATTGATTGAAAACAATCCTTCATGATAAGTGATATCATATACCTTCATTATTCTTATAAGGTTTGGCAAGAGATTTGTATATATATATATTCTTAAAGCAAGTATATCAAAACCCAGTATTACAAATCTAGTGAGATTTTTACAACATTTTATTAATGAGCTGGTTCACCAAAGAAACATTACAAAGTTGTCAAAGAGAGTTTTATAGAGCACCAAGCTCCTTCATTTCGTAAAAACATCCATGCTTTTATAAGTTTCAACGGCTACTAATAATAGTCCACCTAAGAAGTGTCTAAATTGCACTTCGGCGATCTCGATTCATAAAGATAATTGTGTAATTGGATATATTTCAAACTTTAAAAGATAATAGGAATACTGGAATAAGTAACCTTCATCTCTATTACTCGCTTATTCGGTCCAATTCTTTCTTCTTCTTCCAGGTTTACAAATGACTGATGGGTATATACAAAAATCTCAATAAGGACAATGTTTGTGACATACTATATACATCGGCCCTCTTATTTAAGTGGGCTTCCTTTAAACCTCCACGGAAAACCTCTAAATGATCAGTTTAAAGATGTCATTTAAAAAGTCTGCATTTTTGTCTAAAAAAAAAAGTAAGTTGAGAATCTGAAAATTAACTTTGATTCATCCAGAAGAGAGAGAAAATACAGTAAAACACATTCGTAAGTCACACAATTCGAGAAAAGAGTGTCGTGCCTTTTTTTTTTGAAAAAAAAAGGTGTAGCATATATAATTGTCTATTAAATAGGTTGGCCAGCAAAGTAGTCCTCAAAACGTGTAGCGGAATAGTGTGAAGATCCTTCAAAATATGACTGGGCCGCTTGGCTGCTAGCATCTGAAATTATTTGATGTGAATATATTTTTTTAAAATAAAATCTCTCTATACACTGCTCTTAACAACAGGCCAAAATTGTTCTATTGGGTTGAGTTCTGGAGAGTAAGACGACAAGTTAGAAAATGCGAAACTCGAAGGAGCATTATTTGATGAGTGGGAGCTAAAACTCAATAGAGCTAATTTCTTTTCGCTTGACGACGCAAGGCCACCATCCTTTGGTCAAGGGCATATTTGGTACTTTTCTGGTGACAGAAAATATTATCATCAAGTTCAATGAACTTTTTCACAAATTAGAAAAAGCATTTATTGCATGTGCAAATGTCAGTTCGCAATAAATATATTCTAAGTATTTTAAAAAAGTAAATTCAATAATAAATTATATAAGGGTAATCATATGAGGGGTAATACTTTTTGTATTATGAATTTAAAATGTATAAGAGCAATAATATTGAACATATCGTAGGTATAATGATTGTAGATATTGGTTAATAATAATCAATAAGTAAAAGTGTTTAAAAAAAAGCATCAGCTTATGCAGAAGAGGTCTTTCTTTTTTTTTTGGCTTACCATTGATAATGAATGACACAATTTTAAATTTTGTTTGCTTTAATCTTGTATTAGTCAATCATCTGATCGCAAAAGCTTTGCATCATTTTGGAATTTTTTAACTTCGATTCTTGCAACTCTTTTGTCCTATTTGCTACATGGTCACCCAAACCAGTTTTTACACAACCTAGCTCCAAAGAAACGTGCTTGAAGTTAAGATCGGAAAAATCTCTATTGGCATGACATACTAATTGTTGGTTGGTACCAAGGTCTTGTTGTGAATTTTTATTGCTATTGGAGGCACTACTTTGACAGCCACTGTAGAGAAGCTATGTTAGTGTTCAGAAGCTGAAAAGAAATGTGTAAAAGCTTATGTTTCTGTTGTGGTTCTGCTCATGTTATTGGCACTTCTTAAAAATCCGCGCACCTCGTTCAGAAGATCCTTCCCAGTGACAAAAGGAGTAAAATCATCACTTTCAATAAATAAAGGGGAACCTTACGGACAGTCTGGGCGCTAATTTTAGGGGCATGGCGTTTTCTGGTAGAAGACAACATTTTGATTCTAACCGACCACCAATGGTAATCTTTTTGCTGACATAAAATAACTCTATCTGGCCCCTAAGAATCCATTCTTATTAAAATAATTAGTACTGGCCAGGATACAAAACATTCATAAAAAAATTCTTATATGCTTTGTAAAAAAAAGAGTGGATGAGGATTACTTACCAGCTGGTACTGTTGAACTATGGGAATATGTAGGTGAAAAAAAGAAAAAGGTGTGCTACATGTAAGAAGACCAATAAATAGTAAAATATTTGACAAGATTATGTCACAATCTAAGGACAACAAATCTTTATAACCTTCTGCATAACTAGCTATTGATACAACGTATTTGTGACAGGTGCTCACAGAGTAAAGTGGCAAACAACCAAAAAGTATCAATTAATCAATTTGAAAATGATAGAAAAATACAAATTTAGATATTATTCATATAATAAAATGTTGTCAGAACCAGATTATAATTAATACTCAGTCTCAGTATTAGCCAATCATAAGTAACTATCTTATTAAAAGCGTTAATAAGCAATGACAAAGAAGTAGTTAGTAGCAACCTTTATACATTTTGAGAAAACCAAAAAAAAATATTTTATAAGGATATTGAAGGCTTTTTTTTCAAATTTTAATCTTAAATTAAGTGTAACAAAACAAAAGAAATTTGAAAAAAGAAGTATCTTATTTTTCAAATTTTCAATTAATTAGAGCATCTGCAGCAGTAGCATTTATGTAAATCTTAGGGGACAGGGGGTTTTTGGATGATGGGGACAGAGTGTTACACAAGCTTATAGTGAGTAGTCTGGCAGATAGTTAGAGGCATGACTACTTTTAACTTGTCCAGCAGACATCCATTGTTTCTGTGTGTAACACCCTGTCCCCCAAAAAACAGCCACCCCCTGCCCCCATCCAGTATAATCACTTGTTCTTATTCATTAAGAAAAATCATGTAAAAGTGGAAGAACATTTTTCTGTAACTTTTCATTTTCATTTTTATTTATTTTTAAAAATTCATAACTCGTTCAAAAAAATAGATAGAAATATGAGAGCAAAATGATTGGTTTCGTTGATTTTTTCTGCATAAAGTGAGTATTTTTTTGTTTTGTAATATTTTTTGAATCACGTTTAAGGTGCTCTCCAGCGTCCTCAGTGTATTACCTAAAAAATCGTCCATTGATTTAATTGACAAATATAGGAATGTCAGCTATTATTATAGTATTATTATGATAATAGATGATTTTTTTTTTGTTTGTAAGAAGCATTTTATTAGGCTTGGGGGGTCTGGTGATACTCTGATAATAGATGATAATAAATATCCAATAATTTAGTGAAAAATGAGCATTTATCTAAGCAAGAACATAGTAATTACTGAGCTAGATCAATTCGCGAAGAAATAATAGAGTAATATTAAGAATAAAGGATACTAAATCCAGCCTCTAAAATGACAAGAGCTATATTACTTATTATTATATGAATATTTAAATTTGACTTTATAAATGATTGGGTTTTTTTGTGGCATTTTAGTAATATATATTTTATAACTAATGTACCTATCAAATATTAGTTATTTTTTTTATACCTTTTACTCTCTTAATTTCCCAATACTTAAAATGAGTAACAACACCAATACCAGCAGCTACATTGACAGCAGTAATTCTGTTTACGATGATAGTGATGATGAAAATGAGACAAGTGCTGAGCGTGAGTTGGCAACTATGCAGAAAATATTTTATGTCACTTTTCAACGTAACTCTAATATTGATCTTGATAAATACAATTGTTTAGAGCTTGAAGTATCTCATATAACACAGATTAGAGAGCAAGCAGTAACTATATATACGCTATTCTCTCAGGCTTACAATGTAATGATGTTAGCCCAGAATGTCCAGACTGTAGACGATTTTCAGTGCGCTTGTTACTTGGGTCCCCCTGTCCATCTTGTGAAACAAAGTGGAATTTGAAACAACCTGAATGGAGGCACAAACCATTGGTGGACATATCGCCACCCCTACCTGCACGATGAAACTGGTCCCAATAGCTTTTGGGCACATTATCAAGTAAATAGAGAGACATTTAATGTGATTGTGAATGTTCTCAGATGAGACCCTGAGTACCAAGCCTCTGAGGAAAGGAGCAAGATTAGCCACCTCGTGTGGAAGCAGATTGCTGTTGTTCTTTGGCATCTGAGCAATATGCACTTTGGGTACAGAATAGCACTAGAGCTGTTAACGGTGAGCCATGGATCCTACAGTCGCTTTACCAATAGATTCGTAAATGGCATGATTCGATCCTTTTTGAAGACAACAATAAGATGGCCAGCAACACTTGAGGAAAGTCAAAAAATTATAGATGGATTTGCTGTTCCTTCTGTTATGTATGAGGTAAAAATAAGATATAAAATAAAACAAGTGCAGACGAGAGTACGGTGAGACTTTGTTTTATTAGAAGAAGTGAAAGAATCAGAAAAGAGATGCTATTCTATTGCTATTAGTATTGTGCGTTTATATAGACATTGTATTTAGCTTGGTGATGATATGATGATATCATGTAATGTCTGTTTCTCTACCATTATCTTCTATGATTTAGTTCTTATGTTTTTAGTGTTATTGACTAGAGTCTTAGTATGTTCTTTACGTAATTTCCTTGTATAAGGGAAGGTATATCTTTTAGTATCGTTACTAGTTGTCGGTAACTCAATGTATGTATTTATTGAGTGTCTGTACTTTTAATTTAAATCTACGATTATGTTGGATACAACACCTTCAGTCCGATCGGAATACCAGCACCTTAATGAATGCATTGGCGCTGTGGATGGGAAGCTAATTGTAATTCAAAAGCCATCCTTATTTGGTAACAGCTGGTTGGATCAGCACAGCAATGTCTCTATGGCTCTTATGGCTGTATGCGATCACAAAAAAAGATTTACAGATATAAGAGTTGGATTGGCCAGTAAATATTATATAACAATATGTATGTAATTACTTTTACTAAACTTTCTTGTATTTAGGAAGCCAAAACAATACATTTATTTTCAAGACTAGTAATTTATATCAAAATATAATTTACAGTCCTAGAGAGCTGTTTTGTGATCCAAGATCATACATTGTTGGAGGTAATGTATATTATATAAATACTCTATAAAGCTAATTAAACTTATATATATTTGAAAAAGACTCTGCTTTTCATATCTTAAAGCATTGTCTTATTTCTTATCATAAAGTCAATGACATGACGGTAGAGAAGAAAAAGTTCAATAATATATAATCAGCAACATGATTTAAAATTGAAAATGCTTTTGGGTTGCTTGTCTCTAGATAGAGATTCATGTTCAAGCATCTTTTTATCATGCAGCCAGAATCAATGGCAAAAGTCATAACTACATGTTGCATTTTGCACAACATGTGTATCACCTTTGGCAACAGCAAAGTATATCTCGAAGAGCTATTAAGAGCAGGTGAGGCCAATCTGCAGAGAAACACAACTATCATGGATTAGTTTGTTTGAGCTGACAATACAGACGGTGCCAGCTTTGAGGCACATGATGCTGACAATGATGATGAGGATTTTGAAGATCCATATGCTGAAATGGATAATTCTTGTATAGAGACTGAAACTGCTTCTGAGAGAAGATTTAGACGTGATCAAGTGAAAGATACTCTTTAATTTCTTTTCAAAATATTTGTAAAATTTAATTTTTTTATTAAACGTTTAATTTTTTTATTCAATATTTTATTTAAGGATAACCATGATAAGAAAGAAGATTTAAAATATTTTATTGATAGAATAAAGAAAGAAAAAAAGAGAGCATAAAAAAAAAGAAAGAAGGCATAAAAGAAAGAGGGCATAAGAGAAAGAAAAAAAATACATAAAAGAAGGAAAGAAGGCATAGAAAAAAGTAGAAAAAAATTAAGATATGTTGTTCATGTATATAAAGAGAAGAAGACATAGAAGAGAAATATATTAGTAAGATGCATTATTGGGAGAAGTAGAAGAAGCAGAAAGATACTGTGTAATTGTATCTGCACTTTTTTTGAAAATGGCTAACAATTTGCCTTTTGCTTCTCTTTCCTCTCTTGCGATTATTTCTCTGCTGAGAAGATTGTCCCTGGAAATCTGCTTTCTTGCGAGGACGTCTTCTCTTGCGTTATTGTCTCTTGATACCCTGTCCAAGTGACGTGCCTCCTGAAATGACACAGCGTATATATACTGGCATTCTACTGAGTAGACAAAGGCATCTTTTACCTCCTCCAACTGCGAACTTAAGGAGGTGAAAGTCTCATCAAAGATAGCAGTCTGTCTCTTGGAATTTCTCAAGAAGGCAGACTGGAACTCACGTTGCATCATTCTTCTGTTTTCCGTTTCTGGTGCCAATGATGATGGTACTGGTGTTGGTACTGGTGTTGGTGCTGGCATAGTTGCAGACGCAGATGCGGAAGGGAGTTGAAATGAGGACTGGTAAGACAGCTGAGAGCTAGGCTCAAAACTGCCTTCTGAAATTGGCAGTAGCTCCAGGTCTGCTGTCACAGGGGAAACGCTGCATTCAATTGCATCCATAATTTCTGGGACAAAATTAGGGCCAGAAAGATAGGTGTTGGAACGTGTGCTTCCATCTTCTTGACGGACGGATATTACTGGGGCTGCATTTGCTCCAACCAAAATGCTTGACAAACTGATGATCATTGGTGGGAAAAAACTAGGGTCCAACAGTGTTATCTCTTTCATGGCATCAAAAAATTGAAACCTCTCTTGAGAAGGAGGGCCACTGAATCCAGATCTTTGTATATTGGTCACAACTTTGCGGAATTCCTTCTTGACAGTTTGGAATCTTTTCTTTACATATTTAAGGTCCCTGTATTTCAGGGAAAACTGGTGTTCCACAGAAGTACCAGCAAAGCGTATCACATTGGGATTGATGCAAAACTCGGCATGAAGATTGCTCCATAGGCTTGCCTTTCTTCTACTGTTACCGTTGAGATGCTTGACATAAAACTCTGTCTCTATGATCAGGCGAAGCAACACCATTATAGTTGTGTCGTCCCATTCTGTACGCCGGCCTGCTTTAGGAGTTACTGTCATTTGTACGATGCCTTCTTGGTCTTCATAATTGTGTATGTTGTAGTTATCAAAAGCACTCATAGTAGTTAAAAAAATAGAAAAAGGTTGTGAAAGGTTGTAGGGAATTGTATGAGAGAAAACAGTATTAATTGAAAAGTATTTATATGGCTGTCAATGAGAATTACTCTTGTCATTTTAGTGGCTGGATTTAGTATCTTTTGCTCTTAATATTACTCTATTATTTCTCCACGAATTGATCCAGCTCAGTAATTACTATGTTATTGCTTAGATAAATGCTCATTTTTCACTAAATTATTGGATATTTATTATCATCTATTATCACAATAATACTATAATAATAGCTGACATTCCTATATTTGTCAATTGAACCAATCGACAATTTTTTAGGTAATATACTGAGGATGCTGGAGAGCACCTTTAAAGAGTGAATTACAAAAGCTCTGTACATTTTATTTGTAAAAGATTAAACAAAAAAACAACAATTTGAAAATATTAGTAAAAACCACTTGCAAATACTTTATATCAATAGAAAATAGTAAGAAAACGTGTCAGTAAAAGTTTTAGACTATATTATTATGTAGAAAAGATATTTATTAGCAAAAACAATCTATCTTGAATGGTTAAAGACGTGAAAATAAGTATATATTTTGCTTGTTTATTCAACCAAAACATAATAAATTAACTTCAAATTTTGGATATAGAGCTGTACATATTTTTTCAGCAATACAGCAAAATATCCAAGGTTTAGCGTTTGAATTAAGACAGAGATCTATGAAAAGCTATGTGTCATTTCTGTTTTACATCTTTTATGGTAAAATTTACGTCTGTGATTGGATGATGATCTTAATCAGATTGCTTATAAATATACAGACTTTGTACTCCAAAAAATAAAAGCCAATTATATAGTCTTCCAATTAGTTGGATATCAATAATATTTATATCTGGGTTTTACATGTAACATTAAAATTAAAGAAAAAAATAGGAGTAAAGTATATTAAAAGATAGAAAGATAGATAAGTTATATATGTGTGGGGTCAATAATATCAGAAGAATTTACAGGAGAATTTGTAGAAAAGTTAGTGGCAGTGGTAGTAATTGTAGTGCTTGTAGTAATGGAGATTAAAAGATAAGACTTGTTCTTTGGGAACTGACCCCAATGATTTCAACTTGTGGAAAAGCAGTTAATAATATTCTCTCTATAGATAGCATCAAAATACAGTGCATTTATATCAGGCCAAGACCGATGTACATGAGGCTTCACTTTGATTGTTGTCCAGTGGCACCCATGTATATGATGCAAGACTATTGGCAATAACTTTCTTTTGAGAGGCTTCCAATCATGGAGAGAAAGAAAAGTTACAGGCAAGATGCTCCGATTGTTTGAATACACACAAACAGGCTTGTTATAAGTGTCAGCTATTATCTGAGCACAGTCTGGTGCAGAAAACTACATAGAGAAAGGGCAATATGGGATATTTTTCTCAAGAGCAGAGTCAATCTCGGAGCCAAAGGCAATGATCTCTGTCACTTCAGCAACATCCATGCCAAAGTTGTGCTTGTAAAGTTTACCATGGGTTACCATTGTGGCCAACATCTTCTTCACCAAAGGAAATTGATTCTCTCTACCCTCTTTCAGGTATGCAAATATACGGAAACCACACCAACCATTGGACTTGAGGTTAAACATCAACAAAACACCATGGGAGATTTTTCCAGTGTTACAAAGGACTGTTTTGTATGATGGTAGCTCGATTTCCTTTTTTGGATTTACTATTTTTGAAACTTCACGATTTTAAAAATAGATCAAATTTGAAAAATAGAATTCTGACAAAATATTTTTTGGTTTGAAAAAAATATTTTTATTTTTATTTTGTGGGTTGAAAATATGGGTGTCATAAAATACTAGGTTACTAGTATCAGCCTAGTACTGGCTGCTATTGCAGGGTAGACATGAGCTTCTGGTACTAGTAGCTATTATTATAAATAAAAAGCTAGCTAGCTACTTCAATACAATTTACAAAATAAAAAAGCTATGGATAGGATCTTTTCATTTTATTGAGCTTGAAGTGTTTCAAACCTATATAGATGACAAGAATGATTAGTGGCTGCAATCTTTAAGAGTTGTTTCCAATAACTTATCTTTGATAATGATGATAATAAATAAGCCTAGAGTAAGATATACATTTGTTTTTGTTAATATTCATATTATATAAACTATACCACAGGAGATTTTTTGGGTGTAACAATAGCTTTCTTGTACCCCCGTGAATCAATTGCCTTATTGGGAAGACCTATTTTTAAGGATTCAGACTTTTAAAAATAGTTCAAAATTGGGGAAAAAAATAGAATGCTTGCAAAAACAAATTTGGTTGAAAAAATATTTTATTTATTTATTTTTGTGGATTGAAAATATCGGGGCCATACAATGCCAGGCCACCCCTACCCCTGGCCCTGCAATAGCAGCTATTGCAGGGTTGGCAGGCTTTTTTTTAGGCACTAGCAGTTAGGAATACAGCTGGCTACTTCAATAGCATTTACAGCAAAAGGGAAAGAAAAAACAAGCTATGAAAAATGTTGCTAAATCTTGTTGTACCTCAAGTGTTTCATATCTATACATAACAAAAAAAAATGATTAGAATCTGTAATGTTAAAATTTGAATACTTTAAATGACTTACCTTTTAATAACAAACAGAACTAAAGCAAAGAAAAAAATATTTGTTTATGTCAATATTTAATTCATACACATATTATTTGTATTAATATTCTTATCTTTGAAACTTTGGCAGATGAAGGCCTTTTTCTATTTCAAGATGAGATGAGACTTGATTAGTAATTGTATAAGAAAAATAATGTTTAGCATACCTTTTTTTTGCAAGTCATTCATATAAGCCAAGAGATAACATATGATATTGTAATATATTAGTAATTATACAGACTTCTGACAGAATATTTGGTCATTTTTAACCCCCGCCAAGACTCTTCAACTTATATTGTAGCTTTAAATTTATGATAAAAGATAGTAAAGTTCTATAAATCTCTGGTACTCTCACAGATAACTGTATAGGATGTAATAGATAAATTGAAAAAAAATTGAACAAGCTTTAATAAGAGATTGGTCTAAATTTATGCATCTTAAGTTCAGATAGACGATTTTGCATATTAAGGCAAAACGTCATACAAGTCTCTACACTAATTGCTTTCCACGTTTCTTGCAAAGCATTTTCCAATTGTTGCAATGTGGTAGGCTGAGGTCGTCTTGCGCGGATTTTGTTATCAAGAAGACCCCAGATGTTTTCAATAGGACTCAAGTCCAGACTGTTAGGAGGCCACTCCAAAATCTTCAATCCAAGGTCTTTCTTGAACTTTTCTGCCAAGGTAGCCTTATAATAACTCGCGTTATCTTCTTGATAAAGGTAGTCTCCCTTTTCTACATTAGGAAGACTTTGATAGAAGGGTATGAATTCCTTCTCCAGAACTTCATTGTACAATGAGGCATTCATGTTACCCTTAAGCATAACCAGTGGTCCAACTCCTCCAGACCAAATACATCTCCAAAGCAATACAGAACCTCCATTTCCTGGAACCTTTGGAGTCAAGCAGTCTGGATGATATTTCTCTCCTGGTTTCCGCCATACATGACTACAACCATTTTTCTTGAAAAGGGTAAAGGTTGCTTCATCTGTCCAAATGACAGTATCCCACTGTTTTTTCCAACCTTTTATTTTTCTATATCAAGCACGACGTTTGGCAATGTGCTCCTTAGTTAGAAGAGGCTTTGATTTGGTTACACAGTAGACTAGATTCATCTTCTGCAACGTTTGGCTGATAGTTTTTGTACTGACTTTTTTTCCAGTCTTTTCCTTAATCAAGTCTGCTATCTCAACCAAGTTTTGATGGTGATCCAATTTGACATCCAAGAAGAGATGTCTTTTATCTCTAGCAGTTAATTTAGAAGGTCTTCCTGTTGGCTTCTTATTAGTAGCAGATCCGGTTTCATTGTATTTTTTTATGATACGCGTGACAGTAGTTCTTGGTATTCCCTTTTTCCTTGCAATGTCAGAAATCTTCATGCCATCTTCATGAAGTCCAATTAAGATTCCTTTTTCAACTTCTGAAAGCCTTTCAAATGGCTTGTGAGGTTTACTGCTTTGTTGTCTAGGCATTATATTAAAAAGATTTTATTGAATTTAGCAGATTGAGTAAAGTGAAGTGTAAGGGTGTATTATGAAATAAATAGCAGAAATATAAAACAGCCAAATTTTATGTTTCACGACTGTAAACTAAAACTATTAGCATCATTAGTTACCTGATTATGATGGAAGAAATAATAATAATAAAAGACTTTGTTTTGAGTCAAGATTCACTTGGTGTGATTTTTTTTTTCATTTTTTTCTATGGACGTCCAAATTTGCAACAGAATAATCAAATGTAATTGGTTCACCAAAATATTCAAGTCCATGCTATCACACTAAGAAAATTTATATAAACACATGTACAGTAAATTTGACTTTCTCTCTATTGAATCTACTTTTACATTTACACTTACAAACATTAATGGATTCAAAAAAAAAAGAAAGAAATACGCTTCAGGAAGAGTATTAGTATCTACTCCTAGACAACCTGGGCAATACAACTTCAGTCTTGCTGAAGCTGGAAAAATCTGTACACATTGCGAGAAAGATTTTAAATCTCTCTGGAATCTAAAACGACATTTGGAAGAGTACCATCATATACATGAGATTCTTTCAAATGTTGAGGCCTATGTTGGAGCAGCACTCCAGAATCAACTTAACATGGACCAATCCAACAAAGATTCTATATCTAAAAATGAGATATTTGAATCTGACTTGGATGAGGATATAACTGAATTCAATGTCATTGACAGTGATGTTAGTGACACTGAGATAAGTGATGAAAGTGAGAATGAGAATGACAATGGAAAAAATGGAAACTTTGCTGATTTAGATACTGGAAATTACCTTTATGAAGCTATACTGAGCAGCATGACCACGTCTGCAGAAAGTATTAGCTTGTCAGTGGAGGAAGACGTTAATGTATTTGCAAATGGAGTTTTGTCTTTTGAGAATTTGGAAAGCTTTGTACCTAAAAATTATCCATTTAAGAACCTTCAAACCATGATTATGCTTGCTCTAATCGATGGTGATAATGATATGCTTTCTCGTAGAATTATTAAAAAGATTCTGTTTGCTATGAATCTTGTGCTTAAACTGCAAGAGGAAGCTATCAATACTAAGATACCCTTTACATTACCGCGTTTTGATGCATTGTTAAACTTTCAAAAGAGAAAAAAGTCTACAATGCTTGTTTTTAAGTCAAAGATTGTAAAATTCGATTTATCTGATGGCACACAAATGGAAGTCTGTTTTAATTTACCTTCAGAACACCTGAAACTTCTTGCGGCCAACCCCAAGACCTCAAAGAAGATTTTCTTGCTACCTGATCGAACACCAGATCAAGCAGTATGCTTGCAACAAGGTGAAAAGTGGAGAACCCATCCATTATTCCAGCGGCCTATGTGGACTATTGATAACATTGATTTCTGGCATGGTGATGTTGTTAAGCTGAAAGCTGATCAAAATAATGTTTGTTTTTTAATAGAGTCTTTTCATACAATAAAAAACTCTTACATATTTTGTTGTGGATATAACATTTGGTCGTCTGGAGCTGGAAAGTTTGGTATTGAAATCACTTGTAGTGATATTCCAATTGAAAGACTTGATTCTGTCTTACCTACTCCCAGTAGTTCTCTTTGTTACAGTATTTCACCTACTACTGTCAGTTCTTTGATTTCTTTGCATTCTTCACTGCTTGGGATATCACATTTTATGAGGAGGCATGTTTCTGAAGAACATCGGGTACAGTCCAACCACAGATTATTCTATAGAGTGGCGATTTCACCTATTTCACTTTTTACAGATGACACATCTGGAAATACGACTGTACAATCAAACCCGTATGAATGTTGATCTATGAGGTGTGCCGCAATGACTTTTGATGAGAGAAATTCGATTGATAATATTTACTTCATAGGTGGGATTCGAAAGAAGAAGGGTGTGACTGGAGCTTCTATGCTACCAACAATCGTCAAAGACGTACAACTAATGGAAGGTGGCATTTTAATGTACTCTCATGAGTACAAAGAATTTATCTTGGCCTATGCTCCTCTTGTTTGGATTGAAGCTGACATGCCATGTCATTCTATGTTGTGTGATATACTTGGTCCCACATCACTATACCCATGCAGAATATGTTATGTCGAGCTACAAAGAAAGGTAGAAAATTTAAAGGATGAAGATTACTACACCAAACGGCACAAGAACAGAACAAAGCAACATTATATTGCTGCTGCACCCTCTTTGGATAAGCTCATCGTAATCCCAGACATTTCTTTGATTTATGACAAGCACACGGCTGAATTTCTCAGGTTTAAGAATACCATTACACATATCCTACTGGATTTACAATCATTTGATCCATTGCAAGACACACCCGTAGAGATCTTGCATGTTATTCTCCTTGGTATTGCAGAATACCTAATAAATGATTTGGTAAATTCAGTGCTGGTAAAGAAAGATGAATTAAGACAACTTATGGGATATTTGAAGAATTATGAGCAATCCAAAGGCATGTCTCAAAAGTTCACAAGATTGCTTAGTGGATGCGGTTCCTACCTTGGCAGAGACTACAAATGTCTTATACAGATTCTTCTAGTCATTTTAGTGATAAAATTTACTGGTAATCCTGTATTAAAAAACATTACTCCATGTTTTATCCAACTTGGTCAACTTTGCTCACTTGTATTTGTTAGAGCCATAGAGTCTGATCTAGAAACATATATTCATGAAGTTGACACCGCTGTTAAAGGTCTTATCAAACAGCTTCTGGTTTATGATAAAAACTGCGAGCTCAATGGACATAACCCATACACATCAAAACTTAAGGCACAATTATTGACACACCTTCCAGACAACATCAGGAGATTTGGCACCCCCTTGCATTTTGAAATGGAAAAAGGTGAGCAGTTTAATAAGCATATACGTGAACACCTATTCCACACCAACAAGCTTAATACCTCTAAGGATATTGGTCTAAAGTTTGCGAAGCAAACTATGATGAGACATATCCTTGATGGCGGTTCATGGCCCATTGAAAATGGACTAAGATTGTCTTGTGGAAAAGGTGTTAAGGCATATATTGATAATACTGCTAGTGTTCACAAGTTTTGGAATAGTTTGTTTGGTGGTTCCAGAGAGTTTGCAGATAACAATAATGATGGTAGCATTGTAAACAGTGAACTTTGTGATGATACCTTTGCCTTGTTCATGCTCATGCACAGTGGAAGCCAAACCATTCATCCAATTATTGGAAAGGTTTCTTCTTTCTAAGTGATTCATCTTCACATAGATCTTCCTACTGACATTGCTCGAAAGAATAACTATTTACTTGTGTGAGAATATTCTGGTATGTCTACACCGCTGGAAGAACTAAAGATGATTCGCATTCTTGACATGTACACAAAGGTTGGTGATGCATATGTGATCAATTTGAGCAAGTTTGGCTCTTATTGGAATTTCTACTCTTACTTCTCAACAAGTACTTAATCATCGTTTTTGACGAGCCAGAATCTAATGGTAGGTATGGCTCATATATCTTCCCATAGTTAATATATGCGAGCAGAGAGTTTTAGCCAATGTACAGCACTACCAGAGCCTTTCTGGTGTCTTGTCCTCTGTCTTGAAGGAGGGGGGTGAGATTTCTCTTCATTGTTTTGCCCAGTCAAAAAAAACCATTTTCTTTATTCATTTTTTAAAATTCTATCAATAAAATAATTAAATTTTTTAAGTCGTTTTTTAGTTTTGTGATATTATGCCAAAAATCTATTTCTAGATGTCTGTACATCCGATTTTATCTTATAGAGATTGCTAATTTTAAAAAAAGAGAATAAAAGGAAATTACACAAGAGATATATTTAACTAGCCAATCAAAAAGTTTTTGAAATTTGGATTTCCTTATTTGATATCAAAAATCTCCCATGGTGTACTTTTAATGTCAACACACATATCTTTATGAGCTTAAAAAATTGTTTAATCTTATACTATTTTGAGATTAAATGTGATTAGTAAATGCTAATTAAAATAAGTGATCATTTATATTGTTTTTTTAGAAGTTTTCATATATATCATATCATAGATTTTTATGAGAGGAACATGTTATTATATACTAGCATTAAAAGTTTGATTAGTAACTTGATCGTGTTAAAAAATGCAGAGTAAAGAATGTTTTGGTTTATTTTTTTTATTTTTTCTTGGTTTTTTAAAATCTCAGCAAAATAGTGCAATTTAATTGATTTGTTCATAAAATAGGCACGTTGTAACTTGAACAAAATTAAGAGATACACGTTAATTCTATCTATTTTTTTGTCTTTACTTCCTTTATATTACAAACAACAATGAACAGAGTAATAAAAAACTTGCCCAGGAAGAGTATGAGTACCTACTCTGAGAATTATAGGCCAACTCAACTTCAGTCTTGTTTATATTGGCAAGTCTTGCTCACTTTGTGAGAAGACCTTTAAAGATCACTGAAATTTTAAAAGACATTTGCAAAGATGTCATGGCATAACAAAAACGGTTGCAGATGATATGAGCATAGTTCAGGAGACTGAATATCAAGATATACAGACAAACAACAGCCCAAAAAACCTGCTTACACCAAGTGAAAGTGTGGAAGAGAAATCAGACGTTGATAATGAATACTATAACAATATTTTAAATTATGACAAGTGTGAAGAAAGTGATGATGGAAGTAGAGTTGATAATAGTGATTTTGATGTTGAGGAAAACACAGAGACAAACGCAGACATTTCTCTGTTTAATCACATCTTGAACAATATATCTGCTTTTGCCAATAACAACGAATCTTCAATCAATGAAGAGAATGAATTCCAGAGTGAAGTGTTTAACTCTACAGCCTGGAACAGATTTATACCAAATATTCATTCATTTAAAGATATCCAGATGATGATTTTGCTTGCACTTGTTAATGATAATAACGACATGATTTCTTATAGAATGTTAAAGAAGATATTATTTACCATCAATCTTCTTCTAAAGATCCACAAAGAAACTATTAGAAAAAATATTTCTTTCAAGTTGCTCTGGTTAGATGCACTCTGGAATTACCAGATATAAAAAGGATCGAACATCCCAATTTTCAAATTGAAAAGTTTAGATGTTACTTTCTCTGACAGCACAAAGGTCACCGCATTCCTTAACTTGCCTTCTGAGCACATCAAACTCCTTGCTGCTGATCCTATAAAGTCAAAGTCAATCTTTTTTTATCTGATCGCACGCCAAAACAATCTGTTTGTCTTCAACAAGGAGAAAAATAGAGAACAAATCCATACTTACTGTTGTGGTAGTTGAAGTTGAAGAAGTTTTTAAGAGAAAGAATTGAAGATTTGAGATTAGGAACGAAGATTCGTGAGAACTTGTGTAGGTTTTGTTTATTGAGAAAGGATTTTGTATCAAAGTTTGACCAGGTTCCTACACTGAACTACTACTACTATTTATATTATTTTGGATTGGGAAAATTATATTACTGGGGTCAGGTAATCGATCCTATCTGAGCCTTAATCAGAGCAACATGATCTTGGGATAATTAATGTATGATTAATTATATAAATGTTTGTAGTCCCAATGAAGTATTAACATCGAAAGTAAATGTGTTTATGAGTAATAATTATGCTTATAATAATCCACTGATGTATCCCATATTATAGTGATATCATCATATGAAATATAATCACTATCATGCATGCTAAATCTGTGTGTTAAATAATAAAGTAATCAGTAGACACCCACTGGAAAAACCACCCTGATGAACAATGTGGCCAGGTTGGTAAACACATGTGTAGAAATAGTGATTTTTTTCAACTCAGTGTGTTTTTTGAAGTTCAGGTCAAAGATATAGTTTTAGTTGGTTTCATTGGCTAACAGAATTTTAGAATATCAGTCTGATACGGAAGGCTAAATTCACATACAGAGACCTATCATAATTCTCATTCTACCACCCCTTTTTTTTTATTCTTACTATTTTCTGGATTTACTCTTGCAATAATCTATTTATAAACTCATAGTAGAAAAATATATGCCTTTTACACACAACAGGCATTCTTGAAAACATTTGAATAAAGACTATGAATTGATAATATCATAATTGTCATATCTCTTTTTATATTTAATAATATAGAAAAGAACTTGTTAGAAGAATTCAATTAAACAACCATAAAATATAATGCTTTTTTTTACTATAAAGTTGGTGCAAATAAAGTATATTTTACGCTTGTTCCTCTTTTTATTCTCAATAAATCACATCAAACAAAACACATAAAATGTCTTCTATCCCCCACCACCATAATGTTGTCTGCCGTTGTGCTCAATGTAGCAGAAATTCACAGGGATACTCATTGATGACAAGCAGAACTGCTAAGCACCATATTAGAAAAGATGAGCTTGAGAGAATTGAGAGACTGGATATGGCTGAAAGATTAGCAAATAGTATGTTATATTCAGGATTTATTTTTTGATTACTGAGTAATAACTTCTTTATTTTTTAATTTTAATGAAACACAGCTATGCAAAAAGAACAAATGATGGACGTTGATACCCAATGTAAGAAAAGAAAAGAAAAAAAATATTTGAAAACCAGTAGAGACAATAAGCTAAACTAATCTATATTTGTATATATCCCGACCTGTCAATCTGAATCCATCAAAAAAATAGACGATCAGGCCGACTCACCTGATTCGAATGCCGCCATAATGGCTGACAATGTCTCAGCAGACGATGAGATCAGTGAGGTCAATGGCAATGACTCTGACATTGAAAGAGACATGAACTCTGACTCTGGCAGTGGTAAAGAAGAAGGTGTCAAGACAGACGTTGAAGAGTGTTGTGGGGAGAAAATAAAGCAAAATATAATATAGACGAAAGAATTCGTGAGAACTTGTGTAGGTTGTTTATTTCAAAAGAAAAGTAAAGAATGATAAAATTCGATTGTCTTTCTACACGGAACTATCTACTGATATTTATATGTTTTTCTAATTTGTAATTCAATGTGTGCTTAAGTAATCTTTATCACGATGAGTCATCTTCCAGGAGTATTGTTCTTCTGGAAAGATCCGGAAAGACCAATTGATATGATACTTCTCCAGTCAGATCAGTCCAAGAGTTTTGGTAAAGAAGAGCATTTATGCTATTGGTAATATTTTAGTATTCCGACCCAGATACTCGGGTAATGTTTCATAATATTAGATAGTTGTAGTTGTAGTCTCTCAATTAAGTATTTGTATAATAAAAGAAATATGTAGATGAAATATAATGATGCCATATATATAATGTATATGTATTTGTATATCCCATGTCATGGTGATAATAATAAATAATCAATTATGTGTATGATGATCTGTGTATTAGATAATATCATAAAGGGAGATCCGTTTGACTGGAATAGCTAAGGATATTATTTTATCCTTCAGTCTTACTCTCAGATTCAGCAGTAATCAATACTCATTCACAACATTATCCTCCACCAGATTCAACAATACCTTTTGTTGATTCGGCAATAAAACATTTCATTTACTATTTCATTGTCTGGCCAATTGCTTATTTTATTATAGTCAATCATGCACATAATTTTTGTACTTTATGGAGATCTACACTGTAAACTCAGCTTTGTGGATTACGTGTTCATTTTTTGTTATTTTAATTTTTTGTTGCTCTTCTTTTGTGTAATCTTTCTTCTCTACTCAAAGTGGTAGGAAGTGTTCTTTTCTTGTGCTCATCGTTATTGTTACTTTTACCATTTAGTCTTGAAGTGTGAACTATTTTCTTTTTTGAGGATGCACTTTTGTTAATCAAGTCTTCAGCTCTCTCATTCTCTAAACGTTCCAACTCTCTAACTTTCTTCCAATATTTTTGTACAATTGTGGAATCGGTAAAGTCTTCAGCCTTTTGCCATGTATTAGCGCGTTCGCCATAGCCAGCCCATTTGACCAAATATTCTCGTTGACCAGCAGTACCACGATGATCTCGAATGTCTTCAACTTCGTAGAGCTCATTCTCAATTGTTGATTCATCGATGGTGACCATCTTGAGTTCTGAGGGTGTATAATTTCGGTGTAACAATTCACCTTGCTCATCCTTTAACTCATACGATCCTCCTTTATTCTTTCGAACCACTGTATATGGACCTTCATAAATAGGTGCCAATTTATTTGATCGATGTGGTAATCTGACCATAACGTGTGTTCCTTTGGGGATGTCGATTAGGATATTTTTGTGATCATATTTCTTTTTTAATTCCTCATTAATCCTTAACACACGTTCGTTAATGGCAGGGAATATAATATTTTCCATATGATCAATCTGCTTCTCTAGCTCATCAATTGTAACTGTGGCTTTTGGAAGAGAGTATTTATCTTTGTCACCATACTCATCAGGCACATTGACTCTGCGAGCATACATTAATGAAAACGGCGCACTTAGTGTTTTTTGAGGAATATGTCTATTGATACACAGCTGAACAATCGGTAGATAGTGACACCAGTCATTGCTGTTCGCTCTCATCATTTTACGTACAGTATTCTCTGCAATTTTTACACTGGCTTCGGCAATACCATTTCCTTGTGGGTGATATGCTGTCGAATATCTTCGATCAATCCCAAGCTCTTTAGATAGGCTTGACATTAAAGAGTTTCTAAATTCCAGACCATTGTCACTTTGCATTACTTTGGGAAAACCATAATCTCCAAAAATCTTTATCAATGCTTTAGCTATTGTTGTTGAGTTCTTGTTTGGCAGTGGTCTCAAGATAATGTACTTGGAGCATACATCAACCAGAACTAACATGTACGTGTGTCCATCCTCTGATACAGGGAATTCACCGCATAAGTCAATTGCAATATGATCAAATGGTCGGAATGCTACAACATTAGTCAATGGGTGATAGCCTTTCTTGCTAATATTGTGTTTCTGACATTCAGGGCAAGAACGAATAATCTCTTTAGCCTCTTCATATATATTAGTCCAGTGTAAGCCTTGTGAATGAAGATCATTCACTATAGCTTGACTTCCAAAGTGACCAAACGAATGTGCTTCTTTTAGTAAGCCATTACGCTTTTCTTCAGGAGGTGACATATAGTCGGACGACTCTGAAGCATTTTCGACGAGTTGCGTTGCAAGTACATTTAGCACTCTGTCTTTACTATATTTTTTCTTTTGAACAATAACTCTGTTTTTAGCTTGAAAGTCATTTGTTCTGATTTTTCTCAATCCATCATCCTCCACCAGCTTGTCACTATCCTCTGGAGGATACAAGCGGCTTAGCAAATCAGGTAGTTTATTCAACAAACCAGGAATATGGACCACTTTAAAATCAAAGTCAAGGAGTGTCTCAATCCAGCCAATCATCATTGGATTAGCGATTTTTTGAGTGTGGAGATAAATGAGTGCTCGATGATCAGTAAAAATTGTGAACTGTCGGCCCCACAGAAATGGACGGAATTTTTCAAGCGCCAAAACGACTGCATATAATTCTCTTTTAGTTGTGCTCCATCGTCGCTGCGATGGGCTTAAGGAAGTTGATACAAAGCTGATATATTTATCACGCCCTTGTTCATCTCGCTGAAACAATAAGCAAGCTGCTCCATAAAGGGATGCATCTGTGGCCACATACATTTCACGTGACATATCTGCGTAATGAAGAATTAAATCTTGGTGCAATATGTCTTTTAGTGCTTTAAAGCTTTTCGTCTGCTCATCTGTCCATTGACCAGACACATTCTTGGCATGACTCAAACGTGAAATAGGCTCAGCTACCTTCGAAATCATAGGAATATAATCTCTGAAGTAATTGATCAAACCCATGAATTGCTGAATCTGTTTCGCAGTTGTAGGAATAGGCCATTTGTCAACATTTGTCAACTTTCGCTTATCAACCTTGGTGCCTGTCTCATTGACGACAAAACCAAGCAATCTCACTGAATGTTGAAACCAGACACACTTTTCCGAGTTCAGAATCAACTTCGCGGATGACAATTTTTCAATAACTAATTTTACGTCTTTGACATGCTGTTCAAATGTTTCACTGGCAACAATACAATCATCAACAAAATTCTGTACACAGTCAATCTTATCAAATAAAGTAGCCATGACATGTTGAAATTGTGAAGTAAGCATCTTCAAGCCAAAACAGCCTTTAATAAAGCTATACTGTTGCCCATCTAAGTGAGTGAATGTCAGTTTGTGTACATCCTCAGGTGCAACTTTGAAACGATGATACGCATTGGATAAGTCGAGTGTGGTAAAGAATTTCTTTCCACTTAAGTTTTGAAATATTGTTTGAATTTTTGGAATTGGATAATTGAATGTGGGAGGTAGGATCTGATTTAACAATCGCACATCTAAACACACTCTATGACTGACAATCTCACCAGCTTTGTTTCTCTTTGGAACAAGCAACATTGGACTGTTGAAGGAAGTGTTGGTCTTGGACTTGACAATAGTTCCTGTCTCAAGCCATTCTTTTACTTGCTTGTCAAGTGTTGGTCTTAGAGCGTGCGGTATAGGATACTGCCGTCTGTAAGCCGTCGCACCTTCCTTAGTAGGTAAACGAATAATAGATTCTGATAAAGGACAATATGACTCAACGGGAATATTCTTATTTTCCTCCAGTGATGCTTTAATAGAGCTCATAAATTCTGCTCGTTGCTGTGCTGTGCCAGCTGGCGAATTATCAGGTTCAAACTTTTTCTCTTTATCAATATTTAGATTTTCATAAATGGCGGCATAGTCTTTTGCATTATCTGAATGGACATATTCTCCTTCAATATCATATGCAACATTAATTAATCCAATATTCATCTTTGCCAAAATATCTCTTCCAAGGAGGATATCAAAATTAAAACCCGTATTAAACTCTAACACCTCTGGTGCATGCTTAAAGGTGATGCCATTTATATATTTAAAATTTAAAGGATCAGTTTTTCCTAATCTCTTTGTACTACTATTCTTAGACAGAAAATTAAAGGAACCAATTGAAGAATTTATTTTTGTTATTTGTAAATTGTTATTTAAACATTTCAAATTTATAAACGTGCGGGAACTGCCTGTATCGATCATCCCGATTAACTTCTGGTTCTCTATTATGATTGGAGTTACAAGATTAAACGCATCATTAGCTTTAATTCTTCTCTCAATTCTGTCAAGTAGGTACTTACATTCAAATGATATTTCCTCCATGTCTTCATCTATCCTGTCCTGGATCGTCTTGAGCGTCTGCTCAGACTTATCCTTTGCGGGAGACTGGGATACCATGAGAATTGGCTCATTGTTCTTGCTTTTGCAGACATGACCATGGTAGTAGTTTTCACCACAACGTCTGCAAGGATTGCGACTGTTGGAACTACTGGCTTTGTTCTTGCGGTTGATCAAGGTAAAACACTTGCTGGACTCATGGGTCGGGTTTTTTCCATGGTGCGAGCAGAAAAATGTCTTCTCATGCTTGGTTATCTTGTTGGAGTGGTGAAGCTTCTTTCTGGGATGTTCCTCGTTATTCTTCTCAGGTTGCCCACGGGAACCAGGAATCAATCGGGTCGCCTCAGCATAGAGCCTGTTGTCATCCCCAAGGATGTCTCTGCCGATCTGCGTGATCTGCTCTACAGTCCAATCACGCTTGGACTCCCCATTGGGACCAGAGCGGGCCATGGTAACTCTTACCAGTGTTTGCACTGATAAGGTCAGCGAGGCAAGGAAGCGATCAGCGATGCGAGCATCGTCTTTGGGTAAACCAGCATTGTAAACCGCACGGAGGAACTTCTTCGAGTAATCACCGATGGACTCAGTGTTCTTCATCATCATTGTAAAGACCTGGTCTGTGAATCGCCGAGACACCAAGCTGGAACCATGTCTTTTGTTGAAGCATGATTTCGCCGCCTTCCAATCAATACACTTCTTAAGATCCATCTCTACCCATCCGTCATCAGTGTGAGGCAGGCAAAGTGGGAGGAATTTCTTCCAAACTCTCTCGATGTCCAAGGAAGAAGACTCGATCACATTCTTGAAGGTACGTAGGAAATGTCCAACTGATTCAAAAACCTCTTCATTTGGGAAGGGCTTAATAATACTGGAGGCCAATTGGAATTTGGGAAGATCTCTTCTGTTGAGAGTCAACCCTCCTTCACGGCCAGCTCTCTCTGTGTTTGTACCAGGAGAGGCAAGCATCTCGCTGCACTTTTCAAGGCTAGTGATTGCCAATCTTGTGCGCTCGATCCTGCGGAGTGCATCATCAGCTGCTTGCTCATTGTTTGCTACATGAGCAGCGCTGAAGGCCTCGATATGGTTGCCCAATTCAGCCTTGAGAACGGCCACACAGGAGGAAGCAGTTGCTACTTCTCTACCAACGGGAGGGGAACCAGAACCAGAAACGGAACCAAAACCAGGGGCAGCATCCGGAAAGAGGACGGGCTCACTCAAGTCAGAGAATAATTCATCCGCAGACATGGGGGACAAGGTAGCCTCCTCAGGAACAGGGGTCAAACCAGCGGGAAACAAGTCAGCAGGAGAGTTCATTGTAGTTCACGAAAAAAAAATGTTGTGGGGAGAAAATAAAGCAAAATATAATATAGACGAAAGAATTCGTGAGAACTTGTGTAGGTTGTTTATTTCAAAAGAAAAGTAAAGAATGATAAAATTCGATTGTCTTTCTACACGGAACTATCTACTGATATTTATATGTTTTTCTAATTTGTAATTCAATGTGTGCTTAAGTAATCTTTATCACGATGAGTCATCTTCCAGGAGTATTGTTCTTCTGGAAAGATCCGGAAAGACCAATTGATATGATACTTCTCCAGTCAGATCAGTCCAAGAGTTTTGGTAAAGAAGAGCATTTATGCTATTGGTAATATTTTAGTATTCCGACCCAGATACTCGGGTAATGTTTCATAATATTAGATAGTTGTAGTTGTAGTCTCTCAATTAAGTATTTGTATAATAAAAGAAATATGTAGATGAAATATAATGATGCCATATATATAATGTATATGTATTTGTATATCCCATGTCATGGTGATAATAATAAATAATCAATTATGTGTATGATGATCTGTGTATTAGATAATATCATAAAGGGAGATCCGTTTGACTGGAATAGCTAAGGATATTATTTTATCCTTCAGTCTTACTCTCAGATTCAGCAGTAATCAATACTCATTCACAACAAAGAGTTTGTTAATGAAGGTCAGTCATAAATGATTTTGTTTTCTTAAAAACAGATCTAAAGAAAATTTGTTCTAATTTATTTTTGTTAATTTTAAATAGACCCATTTGAGGTTTCTAACATGTCTGAAAACCCTGTCCATCATTTCATTGCTACCTTTGCCATTCTTTTTATCTCGCGTTATGTTGTTAACAAAGGTGCCACCATATTGATTGAATTTATCAATCAATTACTCAAGATGTACAGCAAAGATTTCCAATTACCAACAAGTCTTATTGGCCTGCAAAGAATGACTAGTTTTTCCAATTACGCCAATAGTATCAAGAAGTCTGTTGTATGTGAAGACTGCCACAAGGTTTACGAACAAGATGTGCCTCTCCCTACTCATTGTGACTTCAAAAAGCATGGTTCTTGATCAGCATACAATTGTGAATTGATGAAGGTTTCATCTTCTGGTGCCATGGTAGCCAAGCAATCATACGTCTACAACTTTATCCAGAGATTATTACAAGTTTTCTTTCTTCGTTCTGGGTTCGAGCAAAAAATCAGATAATGGAACAAAGAGCTTAAGGTTGTAGATACACTATGCAATGTCTATGATAGTACTATGTGGAAGGAGCTAAAGGACCAAAGTGGCGTATCATTTGTGGATGAACCTCGTTCATTGCTGTTAACAATGAACATCGACTGGTTCCAGCCATTTGATGGCGTTACATATTCAACTGGAGCTATCTACCTTGCGATAAATAACTTGCCTCAGGAGGAAAGATTTAAGCCTGAAAATGTCATCCTTGTTGGTTTGATGCCTGGTTCTAAAGAGCCAAAGACCAAAGAGATCAACCACTATTTAAAGTCAATAGTTGATGAATTGCTGCAGTTGTTTATGGGGATAACCATCCCAACCTTTAAGTGCCCAGCCGGTGTTAATATACATGCTGCATTACATATGGTTGCCTGTGACATCCCCACCACCAGGAAGACCAGTAGATTCACCACCCACAACAGTACTTGTGCATGCCCCAGATGTGTGAGGCAGTTTACCAGGTTACCAAGCACCAATCAGGCCGACTTCAGTGGGTTTGACTATTTGACGTGAAAAATCCGTAGCGGTCTGGAAAACAGGTTGCATGCTGAGGAGTGGAAGAGTACCAGTACGCCCTCAGAATGGCATCAGTTGGAAATCGAAAATGGTGTTCGATGGTCACAGCTGCATCACCTTGGATACTTTGATCTAGTACGTAGAACGATCATCGATCCCATACATAATTTATTCCTGAGGACACCAAAGAGAATGATGGAGCGGTGGATAAAAGAAGGACTGATAGACGATAGAAAGCTAGCTATGATGCAAACAATGGCAGAGACAATAGTGGTGCCAATGGATTATATGGTGTTGAAATCAAAGATCGGAAAGGGCTTTCCATACATGAAAGCTGATGAATGGAAGTCCTGGGTGCTAGTGTATTTGCCTATCTTGTTGAAGGCCGTCCTGCCAATTAAAATGTTCAGAAATTGAATCAGTTTTGTTGATGTCTGCCACCAATTAGTAAAGCCAAGCATCACGTTCTCTGACATTGACGATGGCCATAAATTTCTTCAAGAATTCTATACTGAGTGCCAGCGTATTTACACTCCAACTATTCTCACCTGTAACATGCATTTACATCTCTATCTTCACGAGACCATCAGTGATTTTGGACCAGTATATGGATATTGGCTCTTTGGGTTTGAGCGATATAATGGTCTGCTAAAGAACGTGAATACGAACAGAAAAAATTCCTTTGAGGTTACATACATGAATAGTTTCGTCCAAGATACATTCAAAGGTGATTTCGTTCATGCTGCTCTCACATGCCCAAGCCAAGTACCGTTTCTTTCTCTTCTTGTCAAGCTTACTACCACAGCTCAACCCTCCACTTCAAAAAATACAATAACTTTTCCCCAGCGTCCGTTCAGACTATCAGCCTTCATCCAAGCATACTCAAACCCTTCTCTTCCAGTCCTTGGCAATGAACCTCTTCCTCCATTCACATTTCCTCTCCATATCGAACCCCCATCAGCAATGAGTGATGTCGACTATCCTCATTTGCTTGATTACTATAAAGTTACATACTGCATGCCAAATCTTGAAGGTTACCAGCATCCCTCCTCTCCATTCTCTTTTGTCGACAACTAAATCATAAAGTTGAAATCAATCAATTTGCTTGGTCAGGTTTACAAAGGCTGCAAATATGCTTCTGGTCATGGCTCATTTGTTCAATCTCTGTTCCTTAGAAGTCAAGGCAATAATCGGTTGGCATATGTAGTGATCCAGACACTCAGATATTGGATTTATCACATATAAGAACATATTCATATTGGGATAGCGTAGTAGTTATCATCTTGTCAGTATAAAATATATATAAACGATTAAGTAATCAACCCAATAATTATTACAGTTAGTACTGTAGATAATATCTTAAAGATTGTTAAGATAATTATATCATACTGCCGGGTAAACTATGTCAGATTGATATGGAGCTAATTTAGTAGGAAATCCTAAAGCTCTAGTATAAAAGAGAAAAGAATAACTAAGAGCTAAAGAAGTAGGATTTATGACTTGATGTCATAATTGTAACACTGACACTAGTTAAGCAGTAAATACACTCTAATAACCAAATATAGTAAAGGAAGAAAGCCTTAAGAAACTAAGACGTAATGACAAGAGCAGATTGTGTTTTCTTATAAAAAGAGACACTTTTTATTTATGAATAAAAACAACTTATATATAGTCTCAAAGTATTTCTATACGTCTCTATTATTAAATATTTTATTTTTCTATTGTTTTGTACCTGAAATACCACAGCATACACTGGCCAAATTCAGTATCTGTTCTTGCACTCTTTCACTCTACCAGTAGACGACACAGAGCTCCAAACACGTGTTATTTATCAAGATAAACATGTGTTTGCGTTTGTTAAGTGGTTCCAGATTGAGCATGACCGTTCAAGAGAGTTGGAAAGTGTTGACATCTGCAGTGCAGATTTTATTGCATGTGATTTTGAATGCATCTTGCCAGTACATCGAATATCATCAGTTGTTGCAACATGTGATTATAAAACCAGCACAAATAATAAGAAAATACTTGTTAACGCTTTATCACACAAACAATACAATTAATATTTAATACATTTCTTTTTTAATAAAAAATTTCAATACATAAGCTAATATAGTCTTATTATATATGTTGCAAACAATACATATGTGTTAAGAAATTTTGAGAGTAAAAGAAAAAAAATAACAAAAAATGAGTTTTATTTATGACCTATATTTAAGAGCCTATTGAGGTAGAGCAGAATCTAAATCAGTTGGGACTGTTGATTCCACTGTTCTATCATAAACTCTCTTAAGCAGTTGGCAGGAATTTGCACTCAATTGCTTAACAACAAACGAGTCAACCTCCGTAATGAATTTGTTAAGCTAAGTAATAAACATATATTAACATTCAGCCTGGCATCATTCAAAAAAGAAAACTGTTAGGTTTTATCTCGTCACTTCTCCAACTTGGGCGAGCAACACAAATCTCATTTCTTGGCTGAGAGGGGGACATATCATTGTCTGATTCGCCTTCAGACATGACCAACTTTTGGATCAGTCCAGAGCAGTTTCGACCCATCTTGAGATCAATGTCAGCCTTGTAAGCATCATAAGCAAGGCGACGGCAAGTGTAGTTCTAAAGGAAAAAGACAATACAATTAATATTCTAATTGTTATTATTTAGCATAAATTGAAAATATAGTTTACATCAGTTTCACGGCCAGATCTTCTTGAATTAGTATTCAAGGCTCGTCTTGTTTCTGGAAGTTCCCTTTGCTGGCGATGTCTACTACAGAAGTTTGTGTATATACACTTACGAAGGTCGCGTGTCCTCATATCAGTGCCAGCAAACTTCTTTTCCAAGTAATACAAGAGTTGTTTGACTAACTCTCTATTTGGAGAGCGATCAAAACGAACATCAACTGCCCACTTTGGTTTTATGGCATTCACTTGGATTTCTGCCTGGTCTCTTGATTTTAGCTTTGGGTTCCACATATAACCATAAATGTATCCCTATTATATTTTAATTAGCAACAAGATTGGCAAGTGTCTTTTATATCTTTATACTTACAAATACAGCATTAGTATCACTTGATTCGGCGGTGGGAAGGGCAGCAGAAGTGAATGCAACACTAGTGGACACATGCGCAGGTGCTGGGAGGGCAGACAAGGCATCAATGCCATTAATGGTGGTTGCGTTACCGGTGATCACTACACCGATTCTTGTATCCATCAATGTGATCTTATCCTTCATGGCCTTCATCTCTTCTTTTATTGCATTCAAAGCTTGTAGCAACTGGACATCAGTGCTAGCAAGAGAAGGAGCGAGTCTGCAGTTGGGGGTAGGCATTATCTGTAATACATTATAATATTTTCAATTGTTAATATCAGTTCTTTTTCTTTTTTTATTCTCTTTTGTAAGAGACAATCCATCTATTTTGTTATGTAAATTACAGTAAATTTGCAACGTAGATTTGTTGAGATGATATAATCAAGAGTGAGTGACATTGAATTGCAAGTAGAAATATTAAGTATTTATAGGTGGTAGTGATACTTCAGGAACACTTCAAAGACAACTTCTTGAAACACTGAGATGCAAATCGACCTTGATACATTTTTTGGCCTCAATTGATCACCTCTTTTCAGTTTTTTTTTTGCTATTGTTTATTGGATAAGCTTTTTGGTATTTTGTTTCAAACGCAGAAAAAAAATTTACATCTTTTTCTTTCTTCTTTTCTGCTCCTTTTTTCTTTTCCAATGTTTGTCATTATTATATTAGTGGCTTTTTTTTTGGTAACATACTTCTTTATTAAATATTTTATTATAAACAATAAAAATTAATACATTCTATTATTATCATAATAGATACTCATTTGCTTTCATTTAAATGCATTCATTTCACAATCGCTGTCCAGATTAACAAAGGTCAATATTATATTTTGCGAAATTGACATCTATAAAAATCCTTCTGACTTGTTTTTTTTATTACAGACTTGATCATCAAGAATAACTGCTACAAATGAATTTGGTTAAAAACATCAAGGTAGTATATATATATATATATTATTTTGACATGTATCTTACTAAAATGAAGTCTTATTATAGATGAACACTGTTGATCCTGTCTTTGATTTCCCTTACATTATACAGCTGGAAATGATATTACATGGTAAGGATTACTACTTTATTTTTTATTTTAGTAATATTAATATTATAATGTGTTAACATAAAATATTATTATTTTTCACTAGAGTTCTATCAAGTGTTTACAAAGACAATCTATCTCTGTTAATATATATTCTTGCTACTGGTATGTAAATTATTTATTATTTTATTTGATTCACAAAAATTAATGTTTTTCATTGTTTTTATAGTGAAAGATATCATAAGGAATGCCATGGATTATCAATATCAACATCTATTTTTTGCTTGCTCTTTTTCAATATTTATAATGTAAGTATAGAAGTGTACACAAAATGTAAAAGCATATTACATTAAATGTAGTATCCAGCACACATAGCTAATAATTTGTCTATGCTTCTTAAAGTCTGTTGTATTTCAACAAACAGTCTGCTTTCTTTTTATATTTTCAGGTATTTCTTTTCTGTAGATAATTATTCTATTCAAACAGTATCAAGCAGACCAGTAGAAGCAATAATGGATATCCAATAAATCAATACTATAAGATTGTTATAGTTCTAGAAACATTCTGTTCTTTTCAAATAAATACTATTATAAACTTTTACCAATAAAACAATTTCTGAAATTAAAATAAAAAACGATTGAACTATACTATGGTTCAGAACCCAAAGAATTGCTCAAGTATTGAATTTAATTGGATATAAAATATAACGAAGAGGTGTAATGTTGAACTATACTACTGTGTCAAGATCGAAAATAAATATATTATTCACCTTTAAAGCTCCATATAAAACATATAAAAATAAAACCTTGGTTTCAAAAAACTCTTTTCAATATCCCAAGTCAGATCAACACACCGAAAGTGCTAAAGAACTATATTCCTGTCATTTTTATTTGACCCCACACATGTGTATAGCTGCTCATGGCACATGGTGCTAAGACGAACTTGTTACATGGTGATATGTATCTGGACTCAATGTTAAATCCCGTCTTGACACCTGAGTAACTACGCCTTTACACATATGTATGTCAGATCATTTTTCCAGTGCTTCCTGGTCCTGGTACACTTCCATTGCTATTGCCCTGTACCCACAATTTCCGTCTGCTTCAGGAGAAAAGATTGTTGATATATGTTTTGGTGCGATTGTGAAATTTGTTAGTAATGTGAGATCGCATGGTGATCCAAGGTTGATAATATTTTTTATGGCTTTTTGCTCTTTAGCTGAGAATATTTTTTGCCTAGAAAACAAAGCAAAGATTTAGTAAATTAAATCTAAACAATATTAAAATCTTACTTTTTTTGTTCTTTTTCTGTTTTAATTTTTTTTGTGATTTTTTCTTTTTTGGTATTGATGCAATGCTCTAATGCAATCACCTTGTGCTTGGTATTTTTTGGTCGGCCCTTAATGGCTTCAACTACTGTTGGGCTCTTAAGGTTTTTGAGTTTCTGTGCGTCGATTTGTTTCCAAGTTTTTTCTATCAATTGGTATATATTGATTTGTTCTTGTTTGCTCTGAGCATTGACAAAATGTTTGCAAATAAGCTCAAGAGCATAGTTGAATTCTGGGGTTATTGGTTCGATATTATTGATGTTTGGGGATACTGGGGTTGCATTTTGGATAGTTAAATGGTCTACATAATAAAATGTTATATGAGAAAATCGTCACATAATTATTGCTATTATTATATATATTACCTTCTCCTTCTAGATAGTTTTTTCTCCAGCATCTTGGGATGGTATCGAATTTAGCGAGTGTGTAGTAACAAGGAAGCAGGTAGTTGTATTGTATGAGACATTTGCATGCTTTGGCTAGTTTTTTGGGTATAATGGATTTGGATAATTCTAATTTGATTTGATCCATTGCAAATCTACAGACTTTAAGACAGATGTCACTTAGTCTGGCGGCATTGACTTTATTGAACACAATTTTTGTTCCTTCTCCAAGGCTTTCCACCATTAGCCAATGCTTGCGATCTGCAACCTGTACAATTTATAAATATATTATAACCAATAAATACATAAAATAGTATAGAATAAACTTACCAACTCGTCATACCACTTTTTTACTTTAAGGGTAACTGTCTTCAGTTTACCTGAGAAAGTACCAAGAGAATGCTTGAGAGAAGCATGGGCACTTTCTGCATGGTTCAACATGTAATTGCCAAAATGGGCATGTTTGTAAACATACATGTTCACTCAGTTTTCCTTGTCTTTCATTTTTCTGATAAAGTATATTAAAAAAACACAATTTTTTATAGTTAAATACACTGTTTACATCAAATTTAAAAAATTTATATGTACTTCTCAAGAAAAGCACTAGCAGCTTTTTCCTGGTCTTTACAATTTTTCTTTGCAAATTCAAAATATCCATTTGTTTCCTTTTTTACTTCTTGATGTGTAATGCATTTTAAAGCAATTCGGTCAAGGAATTCTGACAGCTTATCCAACAGGTCTCTCTTTTTGCTACTCTTGTCTCCCTTCATTATCAGAAGCAATTGCTTTTTAAAGTTGTCTTTGATATGCTTATAGCACAACAACTGCTTCGACTCAGGAAAGACTCAAGTAATAGCATTTCTCAATGCTTTTTCATTGTCTGCGATGAAAACATCTGGGAGAAGTGTTGTTTGTTTGTCATTGCTGCTGTTGTTGTTGTTATTGTTGTTGTTGTTGTTGTCATTGGGCCAGACTGCATTGCAGAGACAGCTAAGCACTCAGAGATAATTTTCTTCTGTCTCATGCTCTACCCAAGCACCGGCAATTGGATACATCTTTAAAGTGGTACAAGAGTTTCCACTCATATTGCTAGTACCAACAATGTTGACATAAGTCATTTGATGACTATTTGTCTTATATGTGGCATCAATAATGACAGTCTCAGGCATTCTTTGTGCCTCATTAATCACATCCTGATGCACAAAGAAGACCATATTCACTTGATTATCTTCTGTATTACCAACAGAATACCTGACATGGAAGTCAAGATCTTGCAGAGTAGTGATAAAGTCAAACATCTCCTTTCCTTTTTCCAATTTTCCAAAATGTTGCTTTATATTAGCAATGTCATGGCAAACAATGTTTGTATATCCATTTATCTTCAAACTGTTGAAGATGGTGGATACATCGTCATTGTTCTCCAGATGCTTAACCACAAGCGCCATTGTCTCAGATGAGAGCTTGCAGTACATAGCATATGCTCTGTGGTCTTCTTCGATGGGGTGGTTATGTTCTGCCTCATGGGAGCGCACAGTGAGCTTTCTGCCCTTCTTGGTGTTGGCATACATGAAGCAAGGGCAGCCATGCTTCTGCATGTCTTTTTTGCGCTTTCTCTCCCATTCAAAAAGAGTTTCACCCATAACTGATGTTTTGGAAGCAACCTTCTTGGCTTTTCTGGTATCTCTATATTTGCCAGAGTGCTTGCAAATCAATTTGATACAAGAGCTTGATGCATATTCAGTAGTGAAAGCAATATTATGCTTGACACCATATGTCTTGGCAGCTTCTCAAACAGCTACAGCTGAAGAGAATTCTCTTCCAACAAGAAAAATTGAGTTGAACTCAGTCAAGGCAGCATCGTACTTCTTCAATGTCTTGCTAGCAATGACAAAGTCGTTGGTGTTGTTGATGTTGTTAATGTTGCTCATGTTAAATGTCAAAAAAAAATTATGTACTGATGTTGTAGTAAAAAAAAGCAGTGATTTAATTGGCAATCTGGAGGGTAATTTATCTGATCCCCCCAAAAAAATGCGTGTAACATGCAAAACTAATTATATGTGACGTCACAACTAGTTCTTCAATTTGCTCACTTTTGCATGTCTTATCAGTGTCCAATTTGTTGGTAACACTCCCAAAAGTCAATTATAAATGACGTCACATTTAATTCTTCAATTTGGTTGCTTTTGCATGTCCATATAGATCCCCTAAATAAAGTAAGATATTAGCTAGCAATAGATGACTTAATTAATTTGATTCCTTAAAAAAAATCTATATTTTTGAAAAAAAAGTAAAGTACTTTGAAATTTTACCATCTTTTTTGTCTGAGCCAAAAATTATAAACTTCAGATAAACAGTGACTGGTTGCACTTTGTAGTAATTAAATTTTTTCATAACCAAGATTATATATTATAACAAACTACTGAACAAACTTATCAAATAGACTGACCTTCCAGTACTGGATATTACAACATGGTCAAAAACAAAACTTCTTTACAATATATGTGACATATTTATTGTAGCTGACAAGCTAGAGCTTGAACAAAAGAGAAGATTTAAATCAATTGTTTCAAAAAGAGAAAAGGGTAAATGGATTTCTTTTTGTAATTAATTTACTTTGACCTTCACTCACATTCTCACATAGCACAAAAAATAATTTAATTAACATTTTTATGAAAAAGATATTATATCAAATAAGACTTCAAGATAAATATTCCAAATTGAGGTATTCGGGATTGTTTATGGGTTAGTATCTCAATAATGGGAAAAGTAGATACTGTGAGAGTGTTATTTATTGAAGAGACCAAATAATATTGTTTATATCTGCTACTATTCAAATCCCTGTAATTCAAATCCCTGTTGTGTAATGGTTGGTTTACACTGTATGAGTGTGTAGTGTACGTGTGCCTGGTGTGTAACAGTTCCGGAGATTGTTAACTTGCCAGGTTCATTAGCAAGAAGGAACCAGTGTTTGGTTGTGGGGTCTGTTCTTCACTCAATTGTGGTGTGTATACCACACAAATAATTAATATCAATATCAATAGCAATTATTTATAATAAAATCATCTTTTATCTACTATATTATTTTGTTTATTTTATTGTAATTCTTTAAGTACATTTTTTTATTATCAAGTATATTCTTTGTTTGTTTTTATATTGCTTAAGGCGTTCATATTGTTGTGATCAACTGATTTTTTTCCCAATTTTAGACAAACTTTTTATTCCAAAAATAGGCAACAAATTCAAGTGCATTCCCAGCAAAAGACAGGGGATGCACTAAATCTCGCTCCTTTTAAGGAAATCTGAATTGATGAAATATTTTAAGTAACAACAGACTTGACTCTTTTTATTTTGAGATAACAGTTTATTTCTTGAACGTTTACTTCTTGACCTTATCTTAAAACATGCATACTTTCAAATTTGTTAAAGTAGCAATCTCTGTTACAGATGTCTCATCCCTCCCAAACCAGAATCAGGACATTGCTTCGAACGTGAAAGATTCTGAACCAATATGTCTTGGCAAACTGGAAGGCAACGAAGCCCCAGAAAGTGATAATGACAAGGAAAGCAACTTGGGCCCAGAGTCAACTCCTGCCACAGCCTGTAGAAAACAGACCAACATGTTGCACTGTTCCTGAAGGTGATCTTGGACGATTATACCCATGCCAAGATTCTAAGAGTAAAAAACAATAGCTTTTTGAAAGGAAAAATCTGGAAAGATCTGGTTAACAAGTTTAAGCAACATGACCAGTTTAAAGATCTCAATGACGATTACTTCAAGAACACAATTGATGGTGATAAATGTGGCAAAAATTTCAAGGACTTAACAAAGACCTACAAGCTACGTGCTGATTGTAATAGACGCAAAACTGGTTGTGCAAGAAGCCATGAAGCCCCTGCATGGGCTTTTTTTGATCAGATGAAAGAGATCTTGATCAATGATCCCAGTGTTTACCCTCAGAACTTTGGTCAATCAAGAACATCAAGACCAACAAGCATGACCACAACCTCAAGTAATAGGCCTATTGTTCATGAAAACACCTTTGGAGATAGTAGAACAGAAATTGAAGTTCTCTTGAAAGCTGTAGTTTCCAACAACACCAATGACAATCATGCCAGTGATCTTAATTCTGTTATCAGCAACAATGAGAATGAGAAGAGTTTAACAGCTGCTTAGCTATTAACTGAAAGAAGTGGTTATTCTGCTAGTGTAAATAAAATTCTGAGCACTATCACCTGTTTGCATAAGGAAATGCAAGATGAAGTGGCCACAGAGCGTGATGTCTTCATCAGTCAGTTGCTTGGGACACCTGAGCAAAGAGCAGCCAAATGAGCAAGAGATGAGAAAGACAGAGAGCTTATGCATGAGTTCATCAAGGCCTGTATAAATGAATTGCATCATAGACAGTTACAAGACAATGTTATTCTTGCTGAGCAGAAACAATCGAATAACTTCTTAGCACAGTTTCTCCAGTATAGATGTAATAACAATCAATAAAAATATATAAATCAATAACTTTTATTTCTTAAAAAAAATTCATTACTGCCAGTTGTTGTTGTTCACCACCAGTTTTCAGTTGTGCAAGAAGTGCATTAAGTACTCTTTCAGATATAATTGAATTAGTATTTTCTATTTCTCCCAGCCCAAAAACAGCACCATTCTCATTGCCTGAATCTTGAAAATTGCCCAAGATATTGTCGTCTTCATTCTCTTCAAGTTCTCACATATCATCAACATCTAGACACAAGTTGTGTAAAACACAGCATGACATGATTGCTCAAGTCAGTCTTCCAACATTCTTCAAGTAAAGATGCTTGTATAGAAATTTCCATCTTAGCACCAAGAGTAAGATTGTGTTTTCAATCTTTTGTTGAGTTCTGGACTGTACTGCATTATATAGTTTCTGTTCCATAGTAAGTGGAACAATTTCTTGGTTTTCAGATCTACATCCATGGGCAGCAATGAACAGTATCAAAAGTTGGGGTAATAGTAGATACATCAAATCTAGGAACATAACAAATTTAAAAAAACCCATTTTGTATAAATATGATCATCAATCTACTAGCAATTATGTATGTGTTTTTCAGACACGTCTCTGGTTCTCAGTGAATCAGATCCTGATAAAGATCACCTAACTTTAACATATGAGCATCATGAAGACTGCCTAATATATTACAAAGGTTTGCTAAATCTCACATGAAAAAATCACATTTAATGTAATTACCAGGTGTATCAGTAGCAATGTGAATAAATCTTTTTTTATAATTACTAACGGCTGTCAAATTTATGCTGATATTTTCTTTGCAATCTGCATAACTGTCACCATAGTTGGCAGTAGTTGGTTTTTTGATGGAAATAAGCTTTCCATCTATGGCACCAATTACTTCTTTTAATCTTTGTTTGCCACTTTTTGTTGGTTGTTCAAATCCTGCTGTAATCTCTAGGGTTCGTTTAATTGTGTTTGGCCAGGTAATGACATTGTCAATTACAATTGAGCTCATGGCAAGAATAAACTAGTCAGTGAAATTGTTGTAGCTTTCATAGCTACACTCAAACTTATCTTTCGCCATTCTATATCCAAAGTGAGTGTTAGAAAATCTCCAGAGAACAACTGTTACCTGTTTCCACACAGACTAAGCCAGTTCACTTTCATCACATCTTCTGTATGGCTCAGCTCCCAAAAGAATGTTCACTAGTGTCTTGAAAGTAGACAAGGTAATGCGGTAGTGCTCTTTGAACATATTTTCTTTAACTACTCTTCTAATATCATCTATGTGAGGAGTGTCGCCCAAACTTGGGTTGCATGATACGCCACCAGGTTGTTTCCTCTCTGAGTCGATTAATTCTTCTTCTTGTATGTGTTGCCTGAATATGTTCAAAGCTACCATTGTATATGCAGAAGAAGATATTGTAGTTTGTCAACTGTAAGATTTACATCTTTTAATTGATCAGTTGTCTTTGAAAAATCAGATACAAGTCATTTAACTCTTCTTTATCTCTTTGTCTTTTCTTATTGAATTCTTCAAGTACTTAGTCATCTACATTATTTTCATCATGTTCTTTTTCAAAGCCATCACCAATATTTATAAGGCTCTGTTTACAGAGCTCTAAAAGAACATGCATTTCATTGTAGATGATGAGTGGATTGTTGTTGTTGTTATTCATGATTATAGATAGAGAGAGTTAAAGGGGTAAGCAGATGGTATTTTAGTAAAGTGCTCACATTACATGTAACAGATCTCAAGTGACTGACTTTTACAATCTCAGTAGTTACTATAAGAAGTGAGCAAAAATTAAAGTGGTCAACCAATAAAAATCAGTTGACCGCAACTTTGTAAACACCTTTAGTCATTGATTTATCACGTTAGTTCAATCTGATACATTTGATGCATGTAGTATTTGTTTTTGTAATAAATATTAATATACAATAAGTTATCACTGTTTTTGAGGGTTTGTAATGAGTTTGAAAATATGAAATAAGCTTTTTTTTTATACAAAAGATAAAAATACAAACTCAAAAGAAAATAGAAAAATTAAAGATAATAAAATCAATAAATATGTGGTATTTCAGATATGAAACAATAGAAAAATAAAATATTTGATAATAGAGACGTATAGAAATACTTTGAGACTGTATATCAGTTGTCTTTATTCATAAATAAAAAGTGTCCCTTTTTATAAGAAAACACAATCTGCTCTTGTCATTACGTCTTAGTTTCTTAAGGCTTTCTTCTTTTACTATATTTGGTTATTAGAGTGTATTTACTGCTTAACTAGTGTCGGTGTTACAATTATGACATCAAGTCATAAATTGTACTTCTTTAGCTCTTAGCTATTCTTTTCTCTTTTATATTAGAGCTTTAGAATTTCCTACTAAATTAGCTTCATATCAATCTGATACAGTTTACCTGGCAGTATAATATAATTATTTTAACAATCTTTAAGATATTATCTACAGTACTAACTATAATAATTATTGGGTTGATTACTTAATCATTTATATATATTTTATACTGACAAGATGATAGCTACTACGCTATTCCAATATGAATATGTTCTTATATGTGATAAATCCAACATCCGAGTGTCTGGATCACTACAAAATATATTAATGAAAAATAATACTATTGATTAATTTTAATAGACTTGACTCAATATATTTAGATAATCAAACAAGTAAAATATCAACAGTATTAAATATTAAGAGCACTTGTTATCAGAAAAAAAGATAAAGTAAAATCAATATTTATTAAATGCAAATATTGCGATATTTATAGTTTTGCAATTGACTTGTTAAATAATTAAATATATAAAATATTGAAAAATATAAGGATAGTTATATAATTGATAATCTTTTAAATGTGATTTATTCTTTACTATCATTAAGTACAAATAAAATAAAATAATTATTAAGTCATAATAATGAAAATAATTATGCTTGTAAAGAAAATATAATAAAAATAATGTTAATTTCAACTTGATTCATTCAGTTAAATATAGTGAGAAAATAAGATACAATATGTAGTTACGTAAAGTTATTGTTGACAGAATGATGCTTTTTTATTGTACTTATTGGTGTTTTGCTCTACAAATAGAAAATTTTTTTTCTATTCAGCTTCAGCCACCATCAGAAAATCAAAAAATAATAGAATATAATTTTTCTTGAATTACAAAGAATTCTGCAACATCATTTCACTGCCGGACAACCAAAATTTTGTTGAGAGCTGGCTATTTTTACAACACCTGGTGTCACATTTGACGTGTGATGTGTTAGATTTGTTGTAAATTCGTACGGATCACTTGGCAAATAAAATACAATGATTATTGAATAGAACAGAAGATGAATACAGTAAAAAGTAGCAAGCAGTAATAGTTGACAGGTAAGAAAAAATAGAACAATCAATAGAATTGTTGTTAAAAGCGAGAGAGAGACAGGTATATGAAAAGAGAATGACAAAACAAAAAAGTAGTAACTGATGAAGAGACCAAAACCGACAAACAGTCTTCTTTAAATCAAGGAACTGATATGCTATATTGCAAGATGTTATAAATCACAAAGAGAAGAAAACAAGAAAAAGATATTGAATTAAATCAAAAGATAAAGATTTTATTGAATGAAATTTCTTCTCTTTTATAGTCGACAAGATTTACAATTGATTATAGAAGTATAGAAAAATAAAGATAGTAAAATAGAATGATGAGTAATCGATATGGCAAGGATAAAATATATGAATAAAGATACAGTAAAAATATAATAATAAAAGTACTGATGTTGCATGGAGATATAAGCAAGATTAATTATGTGCATTGTAGAAGAGGAATGTTACTAGCATGGGGGACCATGATTTCGAATGAGTACAATGTAGACAAATATGTTAACAAGAGAAAAGGAAAAAGTATTATATGTAGAAGGAACAGGGAACGGAAATGAGATTTTTCCTGTGCACGGAAAAATTCTCCTCTTACTACCGAGGGCACAGCACCACATCAACAAACCGTTGACGTCAGCCTCTCATAACCGGGACGACACGTCACAACAAACCACTGGACAAACCCACCGAGCAGACTGACCTTCCAGTATCGTGCACCACAACATGGCCAATTGATAGAGTTGTGTACAATACACATGACATTCATGAAAGCTTCCGTGGCGCAATTGGCAGCGCGTCTGACTGTTAATCAGGAGGTTGGTGGTTCGAGCCCACCCGGGAGCGTTTAATATGATAAATACTTATTTTTTGTTGTGCCTATGTCATGCTTAATTTTTGTGATACGATGTCATTTTCGATCTGGGTTGTTCTTCCAATGCTATAACACAGCCAAAATTGATCAAACCCACTGGGAATCGTAAACAAAGATAAAAGAATAAAAAGAGGATAGAAAGATAGATAACTTTTATTAAATAAAATAACGCTCTCTTTTATATCTTTTTTAAACCTACTCAGTGGTTATAAATGTCTGTCTTGGTTTCTATTCTACTTTTGTTAAGCTATGTGCTTTCTAATTCTTTTGTAAGCAAAAGAAAATCACTTTGGTTGTCGTTCTCAAAAGAGAATTCTGTGTAACCGTCATTCTGATTAGTTGACAAGAATTTGGGCATGACAACGAGTTCTACTGACTTGTTATTATTGTCAGATATTATTTTGATAAATCTGTAAAATCTGAAGATGACTAACCGCAGTACCTCTTTATGCATAATAACATCTTTCTGAGCATTAGCTGCAGTATAATGACTCTTCTTTTATTTAAATATAATATAATAGCTACTGCGGATAATACACAGTATTAGTTTAGAAAACTATATAAGACAATTCAATTCATATCAATAAAAAGTCTCTTTTATTTTCTCTTTGATTTTATATATACCTTTTGATCCCCAGTGAGTTTGACCTTTTGACTTTGTTATAATAAAAGAAAGATCAACCCAGATCAGGAACAACATTATGTTAATGTCAAGTCTCAATCTGATATTTTTTTCTGACACTTATAACAAAAACCTTTAATTACTACCAAGTGCAACCAGTCACTGTTCATTCAAACTTTATAATTTTTGGCCCAGACAAAAAGATGATAAAATTGCAAAGTGCTCTACTTTTTTTTCAAAAATACAGATTTTTTTAATGAATCAAATTGATGAAGTCGTTGATAGCTAGCTAATAGCTTAGTTTATTTATTCTGTTTTTATTACTAAATTTATAAAAAAAAATAGAATTGATAAAATATGTTTTATTGTTTTTTTTATTGTTTTTTTTTTATTGTTTTTTTTATACTTCTGCTGGGGAGCAGCACCTGCTTCTTCCGAAAAGGAGAGACAATCCCTCAGGATCTGAACAGAAACGTCCATTCCAGAGAGATTATCCATGACCATGGCATTTCGTTTTGTCACGGTTTGCTCAATTTTCTTGAGCAAGTTTATCTGTATCTCAACAAACTCAAGACAATGCAGCTTATCCTGTACTGTAGCACTTACTTCTTCTCTTTCTTCTTGTACATCTTGATTCTGAATAATAGGAAGCTCCTTGATCAAAGAGTACTGAAGTCCTATCATTCTGCAGACCAAAAAAATATGCTTGTACAAATGATTTGTGTCTGGACAAGAGCAGGTTGGCAGTTCTTTCTCTTTGACCAAGAGCTTATACCAAACAGAATTGTCAGCAAAGGAGCAACACTTATAGACCTTAAATAAATAAATAAAAGCATAGTATTAATACTAGTGACACTATGGGAAATAAAAGTGCGGCTTTCTGGTGGTTTTCTGGCAGTTTTAGATGGCAGTGTTCTGGCAGTTTTTTGCCTAAAATCCATTTTACTGCCCTTGAGTTTAAACACTTTTTACAAATTTCCGCTTCCTTATTATTTTTTATTGGCTTTTCTATTAGACATGACTTCTTTATTTATTGTGTAAAGTTTATATAGAATTGATTATTTTTACTTGAGCATAATTTTGATTCATGTTTTTGCTTTAAAACTTAGTTTATATAGGATTTCTATAGGACACTAGTTACTCATTATTATTGTTACACTTTTAAAAATAGTTTTTATTGGATAGAATACATATACATTTTGATCATTTTAATAAATACAAATTTTTAATGGTTGACTTTATAAAAATAGTTTTTTTAAATTCATTTTATTGGCTTATACAATAAGAGATAGCTTTTATTATTCATTTTATTAGCTTATACAACAGAAAGTAGTTTTTATTACTCACTTTATTGGTTATTAACGCAAAAAAATAGATACATTTTATTGGTAATAAACTATTAAATCTTTTATGTTTTTAAAGTATAGTATCCTATTCAATCCTATTGCATTTTGATTACTTACAAAACTGCAATCTTCTATGACAATCTCTTCAGAGAAGAGCAACTCTTGCAGTTGATGCCCAGTTTCCAAGACATCCGGTGAAGTCTATACCAGAATCCTTCATTATACTTGCATGACTTACATACATTTCTTTCTTAACTGCTGCTGGTATAGACCCCCAGCTAGGGTTAGGACCAAGAGCGATCATTAAAAGATGGGCAGCCATATCATCACATATAAGCTTTGTGGTCAAAGTGAGTATGGCTTTTACATGACTGGTTACTTCAATGCCAAGATCTTCACTTATCATTTTGAAAATGTGCATCAAAGTTATGTCACAGAAATTTTCCGCAGGTTTGTGAATATAATTACTACCCAACTATTAAATAACATGTTAATATATTATTTACATTATTTTATTTTTGACTTACAATGGTAGTGAGAAAAGGCGAAGTGTCTTGGTTTAGAGTATTTTGGGTCTCTGGTTGATTTTTGAGAGTGGTGATCTCCAACTTTAACTCTTTAATCTGTGTCTTCATTTCCAGCTTGAAGTTTTCTTGGCCTGCCTTCAAAGATAGAATCTCATTGTATATAGAGTGTAACAAAGAGATGTCATTGTTGTTGGTGTTGTTCATGTTGAGAGTTTGGTTTACCTGAGAAAAAGGATTGTTGTGAAAGAAAGATAAAGGCTGAAAAAAATTTCTATTGTCTATTATTAGTTTCATATTAATTAGTTTGACTTATTCATCTCAGACAATATTGATTTTAACTTGCCGTAGTTGTATTAACAGCTTAATAGGCAATGTTTCAAATTCTGTTCCTGTGTTTATACTCATAATATCTATGTCATCATCTTGAAGTTATTAAGTTTGTTTGAATCTCAAAGCTATTAAATATAAAGGCATACCATTTAAAAGTAATTATTAATATTTATATCTTTACTCTAAAGTGTTTATTTTCAACTTAAAAAATGTCTTCAAATTCAATCCTTGATAGTTACCAATGCATTTTTTGTAAAGAACACGACCCCAGTCTAAAAAAAGCCAAAAATTGTAGAGTTCAATGCTTTAAAACCCGCCATAGAAAACATAATGCTATCCAGACTTTTCAGATCATATATGTTCCTAAACAAGTCAGCATTGTCTTGAACACTGATTCAAACAACTCCATTGTGTAAGATTACAAATCACATACGTACTATTAGAAAGTGCAATTAATTATGTTATTATCTTTATAAACAAGCAGAGAAAACAATACAACAAACAATGACCAAACAGTGAATTCCTTCAATAATAGTGATAATGATGAATCCATGGTAAGATATATATACATATATGAATATATTATACTAATTTGTGTTTTCATAATTAAAGTATGATATTGAATATGATAATACCATCGAAGAATTAGTTGCAGTGAAAGATACTGAAGATGTAGCCACGCCTATGGTATATGACTTCAGTCAATCTCTTCCTACTCCCAGTTATGATGATGCAAAGAATCTCAAATTCATCCAAATCAACAAAGACTATGATATCTCTCACAAAGCACATGAAAAAATTACCAGTCATTTCAATGGAATTCTTGCCACTTCTACAGATATAACATATAGAGTGTGTACATCCGACCTTGGCAAAGATCCACTGGAAAAATAGGGTAATTTCATCTATGGCGTAGAGTACTATTATTTGTGGAGTGGTAGCTTAAATTTCCATCACTTTTGTCTTTTTTATTTTCGACAGCAATGATAATGCTCGGTCTGTTTTATTGGATGAAAAAACAAGTTTACTCTTTTTTGTAAAAAATGTCTGCGAGATTTCTTTTTGGGACTTGTAGCCATGTCGCAGAGTCAATAGTTATAGGAAACTTAAACCAAGTGATATCTTTTGAGTGAGATAATAAAGCTTTTTATTGTTGTAATATTTATTTATAAGTATGATGAGGTTAATGGTCGTGATATTACTATAAATATTTTTGTTGTATATGCTCTACAGCTAATAAAATGTATATGACGACATGTTTTAACAAAAGTGTATATTATTGTATTTTAGAATGAGGCAATCAATTACTGTTTAGAGAACTGCCCATTTTAACAGCCGGAATAAACTATGTCATTTTGGAAGCTGGTGTAATTTGGAAAGATATATATTAAATTGTATTCCTGAACAATTTTCTATTCTTGTCAATTCTAAAGACTTAAAAAATAAAACATACGCACACAATATGTCAAACAACAACAACAATTCAGAATGCAAGTGCTCTAAATGTTCTTCCAATAGCATGGGATTTGTTTTGGTGTCTACCCAAACACTCAGAAGACATGCACAACAGGATATCGTGAGACAATATCAGTCAGGATCTTCTTGTAAGTTCAAATTTAAGAAAATTATTATTGAGACAATTTTAATTAAATATTTATTTTCATATAATATAGCCTCAGTTATAGAAGTAATGTCGAATGACAATGACATGGAGATTGACTTTGAATACAATGTTGATGCCGAAGATCAAGTTGAAGATATGCATAGTATTTTTATTAAAGTTTTATAATCATTTATAATATCTAATAATTTGATTCTTTTTTACCTAACAAAACAGCTGAAGACTTACCTCTTTTTGGCATTGATTCATTGTTTGATTCTGAAAGCGAAGATGAGGGTGTCATTGAAGCAACCATTTTGGATATTTCTGACGATGAATCTGATGATGTTAGAGGTTAGTACAAAAAGCACATATAAATCAATAAAGTCAACAAGTATTGATTTTTTTTCAAATAGAGCACTTTTCTTCATCCAATATGCCAGTCAATCCTACTCATGCTTTCATTGCTTCTTTTGCTGCCTTCTTCATATCCAAATATGTTGTCAATTCTGGTGGTGCTGTTCTGTTAAAGTTTCTTAACGAAGTATTGGCACACTTTGGACAGTCTTTCCATCTTCCCCTCAGTATAAACGGTGTCAACTCTATGACCAGTCTCAGCGACGTGACTCGAGGTGTCCAGCGGTTTGTTGCATGTGGCGATTGTAACAAAGTATACGAAGAGTCCGATGTTGTTCCAGAGTGCTGTAATTTCGAGAGACTCTCTGGTAGAGAATGTGGAAACGCTCTTTTCTTTGCAACATCAAGAGCCTTGACTATCCCCAAAAAGATCTACATGTATAACTCCATAATCAAAACATTGTCTATCCTTTTTTGCCGCCCTGGATTCGAAGACACCATCAACCATTGGATAATCAGAGTGCAAGTTCCAGGTATGATGTTTGACATTTACGACGGTACGAAGTGGAACAGTCTGAAGGATAGCAATGGTTTACCGTTTGTGAATCATGAGCGCTCCATAATGCTTACCGTGAACATCAATTGGTTTCAACCTTTCGATGGGGTCACTTACTCCTGTGGTGCGATATACCTTTGCATCAACAACTTGCCAAGATCGGAATGGTACAAGAAGGAGAATGTTGTTCTTGTTGGTCTCATGCCAGGGCCCAAGGAAGCAAAGACAAGTGAGATCAATCACTACCTCCGTCCCCTTGTCGTGGAACTCAACCAGTTGTATGGCGGTGTGGTGATGCCTACCGTACAGTGCCCATCTGGTGCTCTTGTCCGTGCTGCCCTTCTTCTTGTTGCCTGCGACATTCCTGCTGCCCGTAAGACTTGTGGGTTCACCTCTCATTCAAGCACATGTGCATGCAATAAGTGCAACCGACAGTTCCCTCGCCTTCCAGACTCCAATGCTGTGGACTACTCTGGGTTCGTGTTTTCTGAGTGGGTGCCTCGCACTGATGCCGAAAACCACCGTGATGCTGAGTTGTGGAGAATGGCCAGCAGTGATGCACAGAGAAAGAGATTGGAGAGGGAAAATGGTGTCCGATGGTCAGAATTGCATGACCTGGTTTACTTTAACCTTGTGGAGTGCACTGTCATCAATCTGATGCACAACCTGTACCTTGGAACAGCAAAGAGGATAATGAAGAAATGGAGATCTTCAGGTCTCATCACAGATGCACACTTGGCCGAAATGCAGTTGGATGCTGACAAGCTTGTACTGCCAGAGGACTACACGCCATTAGGGACAAAGATCGGGCGTGGCTTCCCATTCATGAAGGCCGACGAGTGGAAGTCTTGGTGCTTGGTGTACTCTCCTGTTCTCCTGCGTGGTCGTCTACCTGAAGCTCATCTCAGTAACTGGACAACGTTTGTCAATGCATGTCAGTACCTCTCAATGCCAAGCATATCCATGGCTCACCTTGATGAAGCCCATCAATCTTTGGGGGCTTTCTGCAGAGAGTGCGAGAAGTTGTATAAAGCCCCATTCCTTTCGCCAAACATGCATCTCCATCTTCATCTGCGAGAGACTGTACTGAACTTTGGCCCGGTTTATGGCTATTGGCTTTTTAGTTTCGAAAGATGCAATGGTATCTTGAAAAACTATGCGACAAATAGAAAAGATGGGTTTGAGGGAACCTATATGAAGAAGTATCTTGAAGAAGCATACCAGGGAGATCTTATTTGCCAAACTTTGCCAATAATTCGACCTGAGCATTCGGCGATCATCCTTGAGCTCACTGCATCCACTGCCAATTCCATAGCCACTTTCACTTCCACTGCCACCTCAATCCAATTCGATATCAATGCTTTTCTTGATTCTCCTGAGATCAACTTTGATATCGTCAAGGGAAACGAGCCTTTGCCCCCTTCCGCACTTCCTTTAGCTCTAAAGGGGGAGATTTCCATGGATGAATCCAAGTATGAGCATTTGTTGGAATACTATTGCAAGACATACGATGATCAAACTCTTGTTCATTATCGTCAGGCTGGTCATTCCAATAATTTTGTTAACAATCGGATACAGAAGTTTGAATCAATCAATCTTCTTGGGTAAATCTACAAGAGCAAAACGAAGAATCAGCGTGGATCGTTCATGCAAACCTTGTTTGAGACAAGTGATGGTAGAAGTACCAAGCCATACGCGGGCCAAATTCAGTACCTCTTTGTCAATACTACTGTAAACTCATTTGCTGGTCATGCGAGCCAGCATGTATTTGCATATGTACAATGGTACAAGGAAGTTTTACTTCAGCCCAGAGCAGGAGAAGGAGTTGAGGTGAATAAGGTGGGGTTCGAAGATGACAGCATGAACAGCATTCTCCCAGTGCATAGAATCTGCTATCCAGTTGCAGTAGGCGAGCACCTTGATCTAGAAGGCGAAGTTCAGATGTGTATAGTTCCTTTGCCGCGAAAAATATATATTTAGATTCAAATACAAAAATAAAACACGTATAAAAAAGAAAAATTAATTAATACAGACTAATATATATAGCTGCACGTTTATTTTTTATTATTTCTATAAATTTTTGTTTGTACTTGGCATGCTATACATGCATCTGTATACATCATGCTAATCTGTAAACATAAACAAGTAGAAAAAAGACTCTAAAATAGTTGGCAAGAAAAAAATGATTTATTTTGAAAAGCACCAATCTGGTAAAGTGACTGCCAAATTCTCAGGAATGCTCACTTCTTTCTCATAAGGGATGCGCTTTTTCAAGCTTTCTGAATTTTTCTTCAAACGGATAACAGTAAGTTCATCAATAGTACTAATAAACGTCTGGAGCTGGTTTAAAGAATAAATAGTATTAATAAAGTATTATTATTTTCTTTAAAACATAAATAGATGTTTAACATTACCTCATCAGTTCTCCAGCTGGGATGATATGCCCGCACTTTGTTATCTCTATCTGACTTGCCATCAGACATCACGTCAATAGAAAGAATATTTCCGCAATCATATCGATTCATGCCCTCATGAATAGCCTCTGTGTATGTCTGATACGTGATAATACGACGGTCAAGAAGCTACCAAAGAGTATTGTATTAAAACATTAAATCAATAGTAAATTAACTTTATTTTAAAACTTACGGTCTTCTTTCTGTTGCGTCTTCTTCCAGCTTTATTTCTAGCCATAATCTTCTCTGCTGAGGTCCGGAAGACTCGCACTTGATTTTGGTAGTGATTCTTTATTATATTCATAATGACACTCTTTGACACATTTGTGCAACATCTTTGAGGTCTCAGGTACTTGAAGAGAGCCAGTGCAAGTGTCTTGTTGTACTTGTTGCCATATGTGCCAGTCATTGACCATGCTGATCTATTATTATTCTCAGCAACTTTGAGTGGGTCTGTGCTAACAAAGTTTGGTTTCTTGATGTAACTATTGATAAGTTGCTATAAAAACAGTACTAGATATATTAATCAGTAATGTTATTATTATCAATTTACTTACAGAAATCAAGGGATGATGTTTTGCTCCAAGGTCAAGATCATCATCCATGGAAGACGAAGAATCTGCTGGTACAGCAGAAGGCATCACGGAATTTTGGCTGGTCATTGCCTTTTTTATTTCAGCATTTTCAGTCATGACCTGAAGGACCGAGTTCTTCAAAAATTCATTTGTCTTGTTGGACAAATCCAGGCCATTCTTCAAATGAGTTATTGCATCAGTCACTCCTTTTGCATTTTCTTGCAAGGATTGCATCGACACATTGTTGGCTGCCAACAAGGTAAGGACGTGATCCATTGGGGTCACAGTGACTTGAACTTCAGGGGCTGTATCAACTGCTACTTCTGGAGTTAGTGTATCAATTGGAGCAACAACACCTGCAATTGTGCTATTAAGAACAGCATTCATGCATAGGTTGGGTCGGCAGGGAGCAGTAGGAATACGCTTTGTCATTTTCTGTTAATAAAATAAATATTAATAATTTTCAACTAATATTGTACAATTCACTACACTTGTTATATCATTGTTGTAGTGGTTGAAGTTGAAGAAGTTTTTAAGAGGAAGAATTCAAGATTTGAAATTAGGAACGAAGATTTGTGAGAACTTGTGTAGGTTTTGTTTATTGAGAAAGATTTTGTATCAAAGTTTGACGAGGTTCCTACACTGAACTACTACTGCTATTTATATTGTTTTGGATTGGGAAAATTATATGACTGGGGTCAGGTAATCGATCCTATCTGAGCCTTAATCAGAGCAACGTGATCTTGGAATAATTAATGTATGATTAATTATATAAATGTGTGTAGTCCCAATGAAGTATTAACATCGAAAGTAAATGTGTTTATGAGTTATAATTATGCTTATAATAATCCACTGATGTATCCCATATTATGGTGATATCATCATATGAAATATAATCACTATCATGCATGCTAAACCTGTGTGTTAAATAATAAAGTAATCGGTAGACACCTTTGACTGGAATAGCTGAGGCCTTGTATTATTTCCTTCAGACTTATTCTCAATTACAGCAGTAGTCAATACTCATTTACAACAATCATATTTAAAATTCACATACTAGTAAAGAGGATAAGTGGTGCAGATTAACTCTCTACATTTCATTTGATATTTAAGCACATCTCCTAACCGCTTGATCCACATTTAGACAACTTCTTTTCTAACTCAATGAGGCACAAAGTAGTATTTCAAGATGACGGTGGTCATCTTCTTTTGGAGTATTACTTTTTACAGCCCGCATTTTGTCAGGGTCAAACTGGATTTTAAGACAAGTCTTTTTTTTTCTTTTTTTTCTTTTAACAACATTTATTATTGATATTTTCTTTGTTTCTCTTTTGCTTATGTTTTTACAATTTCACTTATAATTTTTTCTTTCTTTTATAGCTCAATACCAAATATGTGTCTCTTTGTTTGGCTATACTCTGTCTGATATATCAAGGTAAGATATCATTCTCTTACAGATCTTTGTTACTCATCATATTGTTTGTCTAGCCATTGCTACTCATTTCCATTGAGTCTCATCATCTCTTAATCGAACATGATAGTAAGTTTTTTTCTTAAAAAAAATTCAAATTATTCTTTTGTCTTCCTCATAGATATATATTTATTTTTATTATGATTTATTAGTTATGTCTAATATTATGCACAAAGACGTATAATCAGTAATATTTGGTAAGTTAACTACAATATATTTAATAAATACGCCTTTACTACGCACAATATTAATAATTATTCATTTTTAGAATGTATCTCTATTCAAAGACTACTGGTATTGTCTTGATAATTCTGAAGAACATGTTTATATCAAGTTTATGTCAAGTCTTCTCCACCTTGTAAGTATTTATGAAGAAATTTCAATTTAAATCATTTACTAATTCTTCTTTTCTATTAATCATTTTTTAATAGCATTCCCGCTATTAAAGTATGTATTCCATGTCTACTCCCGGAAGGCTTTAAATTATATATAGCGAGCAAGAAGTATTAGCGATTATAATAGCTATAGTATCAAAACTGTCGCGAAATTAGGATTTTTATCTAGAAAAGATTTTCCTATCAAATAAAACAAAATTGAACAAAAAATGTATAACCCAATGTTTTTCCAAAAAATAAATAAATAAAAGTAAAATAAATAAACAAACCAAAGAGGCTTGTTTATAAAAATCTACCCATGCTTTGTTTCTCTTTTCCATTGTAAAAAAACCTAGTTTCATTGCTTTTGTGTGTATAAAAAACCTAGTTTCATCACTTTGAGCATGTATAAAAAACCAACTATCATCATTTCTTTATATTGTAAAAAACCTACAATCATCTCTTTGATAGTTTTTAAAGCATTTCTGCAGCCAATAAAAAAACCCGGTAAAAATAATAATATGGGACGCTAGCTCTTTATAGACCTCAAAATATAACACATAAAGAGGTAGACTCGATAGGAGTAAAGCGTAACTACAATATTTATTCAGTTTCCATAGTTTGCAGACTGACAATCGTTCTACATTGGGTTTTCGTGTACCCGTTGTTATGATGATACGCATCAGCACCATAGATGATATCGTACCATTGCTCAAAATGATATATCACAAAAATTGTGATGATATCGGCTCAATCATCTACATTTTTGGTACATTTGATCCAGATGAAATTACCCTATTTTTCCAGTGTAAAGCTATAATTAGTAGACAATTTTTTTTTCAAAGTAAGAGAAACAGTCTAATAACTTTTTCAGGGTGTACGGCTTTTTCAAACACTGTTTTTTATTTTCCCACCTTTTTTTGTTTTTCTCTACTCTTTAATAATATTAATAAAAATAACACTCTTTTAATCCTACTATGTTTCACTTTAGGCACCCTTAATATATACATATGATGCAGATGTCTTTTATTATACAAAAGGTACTTTACCATTAAATATATCACTACGGGAAAAAATGGTGGTTTTTTGCTTTTGTGACTATGTTTTCGGCCTATAATAATTAAAAAATCACTAAAAACCCAATTTGAAACTAGAAAATCTCTGTTTTTTGAAAAGGTTGACAAAAAGCAAATTGACCACCTAAAATTAAATCTCCTGATAGACAAAAGTAAGCTTTAACTACAGACTTTACATTTTTAGTAAATGTAGATTGCATTTGATGACTATTAAAAGTCAGAAGAAAAAGAGAAGAAAATATCTAAACTTTCTGCTGAGAAAATAAAATATGTTAAGACAATTTGAAAAAAAAATGTATTACAAAAAAAAAAAAAATTATAGGTCTGCAAGAGAACCAAGTGATAATTTTGGGCCGCGGTTAAGCTCTGGCCACACTATGTATGTTGTTGTTGTTGTTGTTGTTGTTGTTGTTGTATTTATAGTCGCGTCCGACTTCACCAAACCAACCAATTCTTTGACACCTGCCAGGTGAACTACCTTTGGCTTCATTTGCCCATTGTTAACAACTGGTATACCATTTACCAAACGGACTGCCGCAATCTCTACAAGAGCAAGCGGCCACCTCTTCTTGTTGAGCTTGTGCTCAAAGAAGACAACAACTTTTCTGAAGAAATCCTTGTAAACCGGGGAGTATGCAGAATTTATGTTGCGGTTTTCATCAACCTGAATCTGTAATCTGATGTTATGTGCCTCCCTTACACAATTTTGGTCGAGTGCAGAGTCAATCACACAACCATTGACAAATGCCTTGCGGCTAGTTTGTATAGCTGCTTCAATCATACTACACTCTTCCCCCTTTGATTCGTAGAAGTCTTCAAGAAGTTTCGAAAGACAAGAAATGCCTTCAAAACTATCTTGGATCGTTCTATTCCTCAAAGGCCCCCAGAACTCAATATCAGACCCAGCACCAACACGCTCACCCTCATCTGTCAACGGCCAACCAGCAGTGGAATCTTCATATTGTAAGTGTCGTGCTGTTCTTGCTTCTGTAATCATGACAGTGGCTCCGGCCTCTGCTTGTCGTATTTGT